AACCCCTAACCCCCTAACCCCCTAACCCCCTAACCCCCTAACCCCCTAACCCCCTAACCCCCTAACCCCCTAACCCCCTAACCCCCTAACCCCCTAACCCCCTAACCCCCTAACCCCCTAACCCCCTAACCCCCTACACTCACGCATGCATGGCAAGCCTAATGCATGGGAACTCTCGACCTTGAGAAATGTCGACAAACATTGTCAGCATCAGCCATATGCTCCAAGCTATGCGCCCTCAAGCCTTAAAACGTAGGAAAAGCAATGAAGCTTATTACACTTAGCTACTCGGTCAATCGAGGATCGACGACTCCGCCCACGGATTCTTCCCGCGTGTGAGTCATTTCTTCTCCGTTCAACCCGCTCGCCCCTAATGCCCATACAGCACATGGAGTTGTGCCTAGTGCTATTTTCGGAATGTTTGTCGCCGTTCCTGATTGTTTTAGTTGTGAGTCTATTATATCGGCTATGTTCTTGGAACTCTACGACAGTCCTGCACATTGGTCATCGGTCGTGATGCTACATGCATACTCAAGAGATCTTTGAGTCATTGGAGACAGGTCCTCCTACCCGTACGCAACGTTGTCTCACAACGCTTTCTGTTCCGGTTCGTGCTCCAGACATCGACAAAACTGCTCTTCCTTTGTCAGGACCGCCTCAACCCGTCTATGTGTTCGCTCACCGCCACAGACATCAAACTGCCACCAGCAGGCCCCAAACGAGCAACGCAAGGACACATGATCCCTTGAACGAGGTGTACATGGCCGTGGCGCTGCCAGTAGACGAAGACGATTCACTCGTCGCAGCGGTGTCGTAACCTGCTCGACTATAATTCTGTCCAATGTAGTTGGCCATGGAGGATTGGTCGACGCCACACCAGTAGACAGGGTATGAAACGATTTCTAGCACGGAGGAGCTGTAAAAGACACCGCCGCCTGCTTCGAAGCAGATGTTGATGGTACTAAGGTTGGCGGCGATCAGAGCACCGTAGGGTAGGGTGACGTTTTTGTAGATCTGTTCGATGGCCTGGATCTGAGCAGAGGTTGGGGATCCATCGTTGGACTTTGTCTGCCTGAGCTGCAGGTGTGACATGATAGGAGATGATCAATGAGGAGAAGAGATGAGAATGCCAAAGAGGTTTCGAGAAAGGAGGGAAAAAAGCGGGCTCAGTGAGCATGATAACGATGGGGGACGTGGCTCCCTTCTACAGCGGGGTGTGAGACGGAGGAGGCGATGTCCAGACGGGCATCGCATGGGCAACGGTTATGAGGCTGAATGCGCCAGGGCCCTCAAAAAATCTCCCGAGATATCTCCGTTGCCATCCTGCGCGATTACAGACGCCCCAAGGCTGCAAGCCACAGACACGAGCGGAATTGAAAGCGAACAAATGAGCGGGTAAACGGCTAAAAATTGCTCATTTAGCGTGAAAAGCCTTGTAGACACGCGCAATAGAAGCTTATTTTTCAACGTTTAAGGCACTGGCGGAAATAAAATTTGAGCTAAGGAATGTCGAAGCTTCTGTTGTGGCAACGATTCAAAAGGCTTCCCCTTGACTTCCAGCAGCATTTGTGTCCTTAGAAATGCAGTCTGCAGCCGTGGGTCTGCAATGGCGTAGCCTTATACCAGGGCTCTTGACCAAAGAGACACGTTAGCAGGAATAGAGCAACTACGTGACTGGTGGATGGACGGAACATTGTTAGTGTGGCGGACTCCCGGGCACACGGTTATATGTAAAGGTGGCAGTTCATGTATTGGCGTTGTGCAAACGATCTTAGGTCCTGGTCCCCAGCCTGGACAGGTCCAATGCGGCTGAAACTCTGTTCAAGGGGTCTGTGTGAATGTCCCGAGCACATCCCCATTGCTCCGACTCGAGGAATATAAGTGTGGAAGAATGCTTTCGCCTTCTTTTCCCATCATTGGCCTTCGACGTCTCATTCAAACATAAGTTCCCCCAGCTGGCAGCCATGCTCTTTCTTCTTATCTCCCTTGTCGGTCTCAAGTCCATCAATGCTGCAAATTGCTGCGGTAACATAGGAGCTTATGATGCCAATACCCTATGGAACTTAAGGGCAGACATGTGTAACAATGTTCTATCTCATGACAGTAACAGCGACGGTGGCCGTGAAGATGCGACGTTCTGGCAGAATGGTAACCTACGAATTGAATACGCTTTCGAAGCCTACGACACGACCAACCAATTTGCCAACTGCTGGTCCGCCACACAGGATTTGATTCAGCAATGTGCATTGAATGGTAACGGAGCTGGATCTTGGGTCGATGGCTCCGAATCCTACTACTTCAGCGCTAGTGCAGGAAATTATGGCAAAAGGGATGCCACAAATTCGACCACGGACCCCGAATCTCTCCCTCCCCTACCCCAGGCGTCAGGGTCCATCGATGAGCTCCAACTTCAATCCGGTTCATACAATATCAACGGAATGGTAGCCAATCTTCAAATTCAAGGTGTGGTCCTGAATGGATCATCCGCCACGTTGTTGTCAAAACGAGACGATGTGTACAACTCAACCCAAGGACCTGGTGTCAACTTGACCCAGACATACTCGCAGTCTGTGAATCTGACGGCCTTTATCATTCAAAGTGTTCAAGCCGCTATCCAGCAGCAGGCAGCCACACAGACTAGTGGTCAGAATGGGACACAGGGATCGAGGAAACGCGCTCAAGAGTGCTCAGTGTCAGCCGATGACTATGTGCTTGTTGACGGAGGCTACTGGCAGAAGCCTTGGACTCTGGCCTCTGGCTGCCTGTACTGTGGAGCTGGAAACTCTTGCAATCAGAAAACGGCCACGGCGCTCACGTATGGATGGTCCTTCTCTGTGGGACTTTCAGGATCCGCTCAAGGCGAAGTTGCACAAGCCGCTATCGATGTCGGATTCTCGTTTTCCAGGTCTGTGACAACCTCCACAGCCATTCAATGTGATTGGACAGAAGGAACTTGCCACACCTACTGGATTCAACAACCTATGACCTGGACTAGAGGCTTCCACATCAACACGCAATACGAGGGTGGCTCTCAGTATGCCGTCACCTTGCAGCTGGTACACGGTGATGCGCCAAACGATGACGGACTGAGTGTTGGATGTGGCAGTGGATGCTGCGCAGATGGAGCTAGCGCGGTTTGCGGAAACCCGTCGTTCTGCCAATGGGCAAGACAAGACAATGATGTAGAATGGTACGGAGTTTGCAATAACTGGGATCAGAGACCTCCCTGTCAGTAGATACGTCACCTCGGCTGCTCCTCCGCAGACCGGTACATCATTCTGCTAGCCGCGTTCCATCGCTCCCTCCCTCGAATTTGCTTGAAACAAACGGACTGTTCTCGTATTGAAATGAAAAATTGCCTTGTGAAGTACTCGAATCATTGTGTGAAGGCCAGAGTTATCCGGCGCGAGAGTCCCACATGATCATAAATCTTCTGTACAGGGGTGTCAAGCTGGGTGGTTCATAGATAACGAATATACTTAGGTGATGGAGAGACATCCACGGATTCGAATTCCATAATTCTCGTACCGGCTCGGCTAGTATTGGGATAGTCCCGAGATCCGGACTTCGAAGAAAATTTTCCGTAGCGACGTTTCTATGAATTCACCACTCATTCATCACAGCTTAGCGGAGGTTGCCGATTGTTCCTGACGCAAGATACCTGTGTCCACATCTAATGTATATATGTCTCCTCGCCCTATGCTCAGATCCACTTCCCCAGGAACGCCATGAGGCCTGCTCCGGCACACACACAGACGACCATGAATGCCAGCTTTCTATCATCCTTGACTCGATCTGGGTTGAACAAAAAGTCACGCGCAAGGAGCTCGACGAAACCTGTGTAAATGAGGATCCCTCCGGAGAGTGCGTCCAAGACACCCTGGACGATATTGGCGGTGTATCCATTCGGATTGAACGTCGTTCTAACGGCCAAGCCGATGGCGATAGAGATGGGTGTCGTGAGGCCATAAGCCGCGCACAAGGCCCAGGGCATCCAGTGATATTTCCGAGGAAACGGGATCCCAGAGAGTCTGGCTCCGATGCCCATCTGATGGGGTCAGCAAAAACACGATTGTCCCCTCTCGCTCACCCCCTCAAACGACTGGTGGAAGATGATGACCACGTAGAGAATGACAAACTCGTTGCCAGCCGAACCGAGTGTCAGGCCAATGATGACGCTGTGGAAGATGACACCGAATTCGAGCACGAGAAAGGCGGTGATTTGCTGTTTGAAACCGAGGTCGTCGAGGCGGTCCTTTCCGAGGCGGTCCACGGCCTCCAGATCAGGCTCCTCCCGCGGGGCCACCTGCTTCTCCTCCATAGACGGACGACGAGATATGGTGTGGAGATCGACTCCCCCAGCATCGCAGTTCGCCTGTGTGGTCACACTGTGAGATCCCATGAAGGTGATGCCATACTTTTTCTCGACATAGCGGTCCGCAGCAAAGTCGAGCAAAAAAGTCACGACACCGGCGAACATGGCGAACGCTGGAGGCCAAGAGTATTGGATCCATCCTGGGGCGGATCCGACACAGGTGAACGTTCCGATCTCATAGTAAGCGGGATCGAGTAGGCTGAGAGTGAGTGAAAGAACTCTCTATTGCAACTCACTGGACAAATCCTGTCGCGACGATGACACCAGATCCAAAGTATCGCGCGAACAGATAGACGTAGATGGGGATCTTCAATTTTGGCACACGGGCCGCAGCGACGGGGAAGAAGGTGACGAAGGATGAGACGACGAGGATGACAAAGATGGACGAGACTCGCGCGCCGAGGTATCCCTTGTAGTCGTTTGGCGTGTAGAACAAGTAGCACAAAACGTCGTGCTGACTGGCGGTGGTGAGATCCACATGGGTAGGGTCAGCGAGGCCAAAGTTTGGGGCGGACATGGTGTTTGGATCCTCCAGTGTGAGAGCATGCAGACATTTTTAAGGCCATTAGACGACCGTTGAGGTCCTCGATGCGTTGTGAAAGTCGGTGAGTAAAGATAGCACAGAAGTGACAGATTTGGGCTCTCGGCTAATTTCGGCAATTCATACAGGCTGCACGGGCTCGGGGACTGGAACCCAGGTCATACTCTGGATTCCCACTCGGCCTGGACCTATCAGCCGATTCATATGCAAGGATCCCTGTCCCGAGACGAAATTGTTCATACCAGTCTCCAGCTACACGGGGTCAGCAGCTGACTAACAACAGTGTCCCAACTTGCCTTTTGCATGAACCCGCCAAAGCCATGTCGACCCTGGGCTGGTGCAGCGGATTGCATCACGTTGATGGTCTACGGTCAGTCCAAGGCATCTGGATCACACCCCTCACCTGCATGCTCACCGAAGCATCGGACCACAACCATGCACCTGGCTCGATATCCAAGGCTTCTCCAGGCTGTAGCACCCGTTCGAATACCTGAGATGTCAGGCGCCCTGGCATTGTGTCACACCCACATTGCCATAGCCATGCAGCAGGACGAGACCCTCATGTGGACCATTACAGGTGAACGTGTCGATGACCAGCCCGGTGCGAGCAAAGAGGATGTTTGAAGCGCCTGGAAACACTGACACGCCATAGGAGACGTTTTGTGTTGCGAGAATGAACTATCGTCAGCCACCGCGTTCGTTGTCTGCGCCCACCTGGTGCTCCCTTACTTTCACAGTCTGGCCAGGATCCACCTTGAGACACACAATCTGTCCCACCGAGTCGCGAGAGAAGGCAATGTTGCCGGGTCCATTGGCTTGGGTTTGAAAGATTGGTATGCCAGCGAGAAAGCGTTGGAAACCACCTTTCCAGGAAGACATTCGAATCGTCAAAGCGGGGCTGAAAGGTCAGTCTCAAAACATACCCCCTCACGTCCGTCCTCACTCTTTCCACAGCACGATGTGGTGCTCAAAGTAGATACCCAACTGGGAGCCCAACATGACATCCACGACTGGCACGAGCTGACCCTCAATGGTCAAACTCAGATCTCCGCAGCGAATGACGCCTTGTCATCAGCATCTCGCCTCCTGACACAACGCCTCACCTGTGGGATTGTGTGTCTCGACTCGAGGGACGCGGCCACCACCGAATACGCTCGGGGCATACTCCATGCTGGTCGGGGGAGGCGGATTGTTCGCCCACTGGGACATGGTCAAGTGGTGAAGGGAAAAATAGATGCACGAGAGCTATAATTACACATTCAACGCCACGTATTTGCTTCCGACACGTTCAGCACGGGACAGGTACTCACTTGATCACGGTAGTGTAGATCGCCTATAATGGCATGTTGAATCCTCCATGTGACACAGGCTCCAGAGCGGTCTAACGGTCCCGATGCAGGCTCCAGTCGTCTGACCGGTCAGCAAAAGACGTCCTCAAGCATGTATCCCCACACAGATCGTCAAAGACCTGGCCCGTGGTGTAGATCTGGCGGCCGTGGGGAAGTGTGTGCCATCGTTGACTCCGTCAGATAGCTAGGTAGGCGTCCAGAGATCGCTCGACCCGCCGAGGAGATTTGTCAGAGCTGGAGCATTCAATGCGTTTGATTGGTGAATTCGACACGTGGCCCACGTGGCCTGAAATGGCCCGAGCCATATGGCACGAGCCAAATGGCCCGAACAAATGGCCCGACACCCGATAGCCCGACACCTGCCAAGATCATCGAACATCTGTTGCACCCCGACCCCCCCCCCTCCCTCCACGCCCATGGACGAATACGACTTCATCATCGTCGGCGGGGGTACCGCTGGGTGTGTACTCGCCAACAGGCTCAGCGAGATCTCCCATCTCCACATTCTCGTGCTTGAAGCCGGGGAGAACCGCAACGATGATCCCCTCGTCAGGATTCCCGGCCACGTTGGCTCACTTCAAGGCCGACCCGAGTACGATTGGGGATACGAAACGGTGCCTCAGCCTGGACTCGGAGGCAGAGTCATCAACCATCCTCGAGGGCGACTACTCGGCGGCAGCAGCGCGATCAACTCGTTTGCCCTGCTTTACCCGTCCAAGGCATTTTTTGACGCCTGGGCGGATCTCGGTAACCATGGCTGGGACTGGGAAGGGGTAGGTAAGTACCTGCTCAGATTCCAGACGATTCATTCGGAGAACGAAACCATTGGCAATGGACCCATTCACGCATCGTATCCGAGTGAACGACTCCCGCTGCGGGCCGCGTGGCTGGACACGTTTCGACCGTATGGATTGACGTCGTCCTCCTCCTCCTCGTTTGATGGGACCGCGATTGGGGGCTTGATCACGACGAACCACATTTCCCAGGAGCAAGAACGAAGCCATGCAGGGGTAGCATACTTTGCACCCGTCCAAGATCGACCCAATGTGACCCTGCTCGATCGCAGTGTGGTGAGTCGGATCAACTTTGACTCAGGAGGTCGTCGTCGCGCGACGGGCGTATCGTACGTACGCGACGGGATAGAGCACGAGGTCAGGACGAGAAACGAGGTGGTGCTCGCAGCAGGAACGTTTGCGACGCCTCAGCTGCTCGAAGTGTCCGGTATCGGCGGAGCAGAGCTGCTTCATGGTCTCGGGATCGAGGTGATCTATGACAACCCCAACGTTGGGGAAAATCTACAGGACCACATGCGCCCCCTGTTGTCGTTCGAGGCGCTGGACCCGGGCGATGGCATGAGTGAGCAAGAGGCAGAGGCGATGTACGAGACGTCGAGACGGGGACCATGGACGTGGGCGGCGTGTACGTTTGCGTACATGCCTTTGATCCCGTTCTTGTCAGAGACTGAGCGGGTGGATCTGGAACGCTTGGTGGATCAACACCTGATGATGACGATTGGAAAGACGACCCCATTCGAGCAAAAGCGCAACGCCTTCCTCCGAACCATGATCCTGTCACCCGACGAGGCCAGTGCGACTGCCCTTCAGACACGACGGCGCCCGGCGGAGGACAACGATGACCGACACTGGATCACGTTTGCCTCCATGTTATCCCACACGCTCTCCCGAGGCAGCGTTCATATCACCTCTCGGGACGTGACGATCAAGCCCGCGATCGATCCAAAGTACTACAGCGACGACTTTGACCTGGAACTGCATGCACGACACGTTCAAATACTCCTCAAACTAGCCCACAGTGGACCCTATCTACCCTACTACAAGCCCCATGGTGCCGTCCTCCCCGCTCGCTCCCTTCAGCCGAGTCTTTCCGAGGCGAAAGCGCTCGTCCGAGACAATGCTAGCACCAATTATCACCCTTGTGGAACCTGCAGCATGATGCCCGAGTCGCTGGGTGGTGTGGTCGACGACAAGCTCTTGGTGTATGGCACGAGCAACGTCCGGGTGGTCGATGCCAGTATCATGCCCATCATCCCTCGAGGCAATATCATCACCACGGTCTATGCGGTGGCGGAAAAGGCGGCAGACATCATCAAAGGGTGCTATGGTGTGTAGACGTGGCAAGGCAGATGTCATCAAGGGGGTCTATGGGGTGTAGACGTGAGAACGCTTTGACTTGTTGCTCGGGTTGACCTATCGCTCGACCCATGACCTATCGCTCGACCCATGCATATCGCGACACCCTACAAATTCGTCACGGGATACTGGTCCTTTTCGAGACCAAAGTAGCCCTTTTCGGGCAGCGGCAACAGGGATATCGCATTATTGTACAGCTCGAAATCCACACCAGCTGTGGAGATGGTGTTCACCCCATAGTTGAACTGAGCCCCTCGTCCTGCACCAAAGCTGAAGATGAGCGTGCTGATGAACCCAGATATGGCGACGCCAACGTTGAGACCGGCGAACAGCAGGAAAGCGTATTTACCCCACCAGGCGGTATAGTTTCGCTTCAGATAATACTGGAACAACCAAGAGAGGAACAGGGCGGTCGTGTACTGAGTCAGATTGGTGTTGCCTCCCCAGTTGGTAGCACCTTCGAGGGCGATGGCGGGATGGATGGACTGGACGACCGTGCTGAGAGGAGCCCAGTATCGGCTGTTGAATCTGGCCTGCTGCTCGTCATCCATGTTACGGACGATGCGGTGTCGGATGAGGTGCGTGAGTTTCTCTCCAAAGGCCCAGAAGAGCGCGAGGATGGGTCCGATGAGGAAGCACCACTTGAGTGCGGGGTAGAGCTTGAACAGATTGTTGGTGCCGAGGACTCCGTACGAGACGACAGACGAATAGACACCTCGGGGACCGTTGCAGACCATAAAGTTCTTGTTATCGGGGTGGCAGAATGTGTTGTCTGAATCGTACAATCCGAGCAACGCCTCGATCGTGCAGCAGTAGATGACACAGTTGAGGACCTGAGACGCGATGTGGGTCCGGAAGATGGCTCTCGGTGGGATCCTCGCATAGTGAGCATACTTGAGATCGGTACCGAAACTGCCTGCAATGTCGGTGAAGGCGTCTCCAAGCATGAGGAGCATGAGATCTGGCAAAAACTTGCCAGGGAACCAGACACCGGGCAAGACGTTCCAGATGATACCCAGGGGGAGACCGACGTTGGACAACGACTTGATGACACACCAAGGGATGGTGACAAACGTCCCGATCACGGCGAGGGCGACAATGGTCCACCAGGGAGTCTGAGTCGGGTACGCCGAGACGGTGACGATCGAGATGGCAAAGCCGATCGCCAAGACGATCATGTACCACCATTCTGGAACCTCGGGGTATTTGCGCATGAGTTTACAGTGTCCGTCGTCGAATCCGGTGTAGATGGAGCGGCCCTTGAGGTTGTTCTGGATCAAGCTGCCAAACGCCTTTTTGATGATCGGCCAGTAGCGGATAAAGACGTAGACCATGGAGAAGGTAAAGTAGACAAACTGCGCCCCTTGACTGTAGAGGTAGCCGATGGCGTAGTAAGGTGGACTGTAGTCCAGGTAGGCCTCGAGATTGAGCGAGTTGTCGTCGTTGAGGATTCGACTGAGGTTGTAGCCTTGCATCTTGTTGTCAAACGATGAATTCGAATTGATCGGCATGTACGCTGCCCAGCTGACGTTCTTGAAGTAGAGGATGAGGAGGACAATGCCGGAGACGAATTGAAGGGTGTACTGTTGGAGGATACTGCGGAGATGTCAGCGAAGATTGGAGCCACCACTCACGCAAAGAATGGCGCATTCATCGTGCCACTGCCCGACGTGTTGGGATCTAGACAAGAGATCGGGTTGATACCCATGCCTCCCCAAGAGCCGGTGACCAGGGCAAGCTTGAGGTTTTGAGGCGCGATCCAGGTCATCCAGTTGAAGTACCTGATGGCCTTGAAAAAGTCATTGGGAATCCAGTACCAGACGATGAACACGGCTGTGGAAATGAGGAACGCCTGCCATCTCGTGATTTTCCACCCGTTGACGACCTCTCCCTTGTTGTCACGGGCCGTCAGGGTTCGATTATAAGCAAGGAGCGGCAGGTTGGAAGGCCACACTGCCCAGGTGGGGTAGACGGTCAATCGTCGAAGAATCCCGGCCATGCCGAGACCAAAGCATTGATTGGCGATCGCGAGAAGGATAGAGTAACCCAGTGTCGCCCACTTTTGGCCGAAAAAGATGGGCATACGGAGATCAAGAATACCGGTGGTGTTACCGATGGTCGAGGACTGGGACATCATGATGGTGGACAACAGCTGTTCTTTCGGAGACCAGGGTCCATTGTTCAGGCTGTATCGCGTGCCGCGGATGGTGATACCCCAGTCAGGCAGAACGTAGGCGAGACCTCGACCCATGGGCACGAGCAAGAGCTGCACAAATTGTTGAGGAATGCTGATACCCGGTTGACGCTGGGAGAAGACTAAGGGCGCGTCAGTTGGGGCGTCGGTCGGTGATTGCCCGCCCATCTACTCACACGTCCCGACAAACGTCACCACGGCTATCCAGAAGAATCCCAAAAAGTAGACCCTGATCGACTCGCACGGGATGTCTGGGTCATCATAAGGCACCAGGACCGCTCGGACCTCGGCATAGGCAGACCAGTTGTGAATGACACCGGCCAATCGACAGACCTCGTACGACCAATCCTCCATGTTCATGTTACAGTGCTCGTTGCCGAGGAGCAGGTCTCGGATATACGCCGCGAGGGACTGATCAAAAGTGTAATCATGGGGCGCCTCGTGAGCGATGATCTTCAATCGTTCGAGAGATTCTTGCACGTCCATGGTGAAGACGGCTTCAGCGACGAGTTCTGGATCCGAACCGGGAGGGAGGGTTTCACCGCCATGTTGGCCACTGTACCCATCGACAAAACGGGTCAACCAGTGCTCGGGCGGTGTCCACTGCTCAGGTGTGCTTCGATCTTCTCCTCCCTTGAACTTTTCCTCTGTCGTATCGACATAGGTGTCCTTTTCGTCGCGAGAGACGGTGTCAATGTCGTCTTCGTATGCGGCTTTCGACATGGTGGTGGGGTGGTGAAGTGAAGAAGAAAAGACCCCTCGGCGATGGAATCCTGTCAATATAAACGGATCTTGACAGCGGCGAACGCGGCGACACGGGTCGTCCCATATTCATTTGAGGATTGCTGTACGGGGCATTTGGGGCGAGTTTACTCCACAGGGAATGAAGGGGGGGGGCAAGGGGGATCTCGAGTTATTCTTAGAAACAAACGGATCAGTGGCTTGAGAAATTCATTTATGTCGGATTTGTCCGGGCAGGCGGACCAGCCGTGGCCATTGAGCGGAGGCTTTGGGAAGATTTGGGTGTGTCGGCGCCATCTCCGAGGGCAGCGGAGAGGAAGGGGTCGAGGGTGAGTACAGAGAAATCCTTTCGGCTCGAGGTCAAAGATCGATTTCGGTGGTTCACCCGATGACAAAAGTGGCGGCTCACTCGGGTCTCGGCGATGATTTAGTGCCACATCTCGGCAATACAACGTCTCCTCCACTTCTCCCTACTTCTCTCTACCTCTCTCTACACACCATGGCACTGCTCGTTCACGAGCTACAACAGCTCATCCCCCAGAAGCTCCTGCTAGACACGGTCGATGGTTTCTTCCCTCGAGGATCTCGTGAATCACCGATAGACCCAGCCAATCTTCGTGGTCGGAGCTACGATGCGACTCCGGCGTGGCCTGTACTCGAGAGACTGGCGGAGTGTGGGTTAGAGGGCGCATTGAAGACCGACTGGATGAGCATCTTGCCCGGTCCAGATGAGTCACTGTTCCCAAAGGCATGTCTCGGTCTCATCATCCTCCTCGATCAAGCCCCGCGCGAGGTGCTATCCGACGGGACGAATGCGAGGTACAATTTCGGCTTTTTCGATCCCATCGCTTCCCATGTTGTCGCCAAGTGGAAGGACCTGCCGCCGCATCTGATCCCATGGAACAAGCACCGATGGAGTGACTACCACCCCGATTGGTGGATGTTTGCTACCATGTGGTTCATGGCCCCGTTCACGCATTCGGAGATCCTGGCGAATCACGACTATCAGATCGGCATCTGGAGCTGGGTCAAGCGGGACTGTGAAAAGGAGTATGGATTACAGGATCCGTATGCGGAGCGGCTGAGAGCCGGGGGAGATCTCGACGCAGATCCCTGTGCTTTCCCCCGCGAGGCCATGCGTGGGCCACCATGGAACTCATTCGCTGAATGGCTCTACTGGTGGGCGATGATCTTCCACGTACATCGTCCCATCCTTCAAAACTTTGGACGCTATCCCTACCGCAACGACGCACTGGGTCGAAGCACGACCCAGACCGAGGCACGGTGGATCGAGGAGACCAAACTGTTTGCGGCATCGGTTGAGGTCGCCGCTGGACAGATCCGAGAAGATGTAGAGAGGGGTCGGTGGAGACCTATCCAGAGGTGATTGGCGCGGACTGAGGTGACTATAGGCAATGAATCCATCTGAGCTCAGTCCACATTGACTTCTAGACTCTTTCAATGATGCCACCCCCTTCCGCTGCCGAGATCACATGCATATTATAAGGCCATCAAGCCTATGTCTCATTATACCAAATATTGAGAGTCCTCTTGCCCCTCCGCCTAGTTCTTCATCACCACCGCGGCAATGGACCTTCCCGGCATGATAAACTCTGCTGTCCCGTTCACGGCTGTGACATTTCCAAATGGCACCGCGAGAATCTCACCCTGTTGTGCGACGGTGAATGTTTTGGCGAACTGTGGGTCCCACCAGTTGTTAAAGTTGGCAGCGACGTACAACGTGGCTGTGCCATTGTTCCATGAGGCGATATCCGTCGCATCCACTTGAGGGTACATCAACGTGGTGGTCACATTGGTGTTTCGGGTGTATGCAAAGTCGGTGAAGAAGGAGGCGTGCTCAGTGACGAGGGCGGCGATGAGGGAGGCGTTCTAAAAAACGTATCAGCAGAGGAAAGTGGGGATGTGACTCACGGTGAAGGCGGCTTCGGGTGATCCCGGAGCGTCGAACGGAGAGATGATCGAGACACCGTGGTTGAGTTGGACGACCATCTGGACGGCAACATCGGCACCGGTGGGTGGGGCGAGCCAGAAGGTCTCCATGTAGTCGTCAAAGGCCTGAGGGGTTCCGACGACCTGCTTTGTCCTGTACATACCGAGCAGCCTGGCCCGGTCAATCGTCTGGTCCACTCGATTGATAATGTCGTACATGGATCCCTCGCAGTTGTCGCAACCCGAGTCACCAAAGATGTCGGTCACAGGCGTCGAGTAGACCGGGGAGAAAGCACCGTTCAGGTTGACAGGGTAAGGGTCGACGCCGATCTGATCCGCGCCTTGAATACCGTACTGGATAAACTTGTAATCTTGACAGTTGAGCGTGAGCTGGACGGGGTGGTAACCGTCATTCTCATAGATGAAATCATAGGCGACCGATGTGGCATTGTTCGCGGGATCACTACCGTCGAGCTCGTCTCCGGTGTAGTAGCCGATGAGGTTGGATCGAGGACGGAAGATTTCCAGCATGTCGAGGACGTAGGTCATGTTGCCGACACCTCCGAGCACTTCGGCGGTGAAGTACATGCCGAGGCTTTCGAGTACGTCCAGGTATTCGTTGATCCCTTCGACCGATGGGTACTGCGGACGGAGATGCACAAAGTTCATGCCGTTGGCGTGAGCCTGGTAGAGTCGTTCAAGAGGGGTGAAGGCGGGGTTGACGGTGGAGTTTTGGCCGATTTCCTAGGCAAAGGGGGTGAGCGAGGCGAACGGAGAGAAGAGGGTGCACTCGTGGCACTCACATCGAAGAATCCCACGGGGAAGATCTTCTTCCACTGCAGCTCCCCGGCGGTGGCGTTTCTGACCATGGTCGCACCGGTCAATCGGTCGATCTTTGAGCCACAGGTCTTGCCATAGGATGGAGGGGGCATGTAAGCGAGCGCTCGGCTCGTCGTGAAGGTTGTCGAGTCGAGAGTCGCCGTGCACGTGAGGTTGTACGGAGTCATCTGCGCCGTGAGCGAGTCGAGCGAGATGGGGATGAGTGTACCCATGGAACCCGCCGAGACGCTGCCAGTGCCAAGGGTTTGGCCATCGAGAGAGATGGTGACAGACAGATTCGCGCCTGATGTGCCGCTCCAGGCTTGACCAATGTCATTGGTGATGTTGGCGTCGATGATGACCATGGGAGGGTCGTATTGAGCGTCATTTTCGAGATAGTACGAGCTACGGGGGGTGCATTGAAAGTCAAGCAGAGGAGAATCGGACAGAGCTGGGTAGGGGAACTTCCATCCGATCTCGTAGCCAGTGGTAGGAGCACCGTATCGATAGTATTTTCCGCACCATTTGTCGTAGATTGGGTTGGACTGCGCCGAGGTCGAGGTCAAGGCGAGCCCGAGGGCAAGGGTGGTCTGGGTCAGCGTGAGCATGGTGTGTGTGTGTGGGAGGTGGTTGGACTTGGGATGCTTCAGCTTGAGGCCTTTTATTATCAGATCTTTCCAAACGGTAGTGTTCCGGGTACGTAACCCACGGTAGAGCATATGGCGGCGTAGATCCCGAATTGGGGGGCCTCCGGGGCATTCGAGATTGGGATGTGGAGGAATTGCTCCGAGGTGGGAGACGAGAGGCCAGGAATAGAAACCGAAATTCGGATGCAATTAGAGGTTATCTTGGAAATTGATTGGCGGAGAGTGTCGGTAGAAGTAGCCATTGGCTGCGCAAGAGGACTGACTGACTGACTGACTGACTGTGTGGCCTGCAGTGGCACGTCGGCAATGTCACTAGTGCGAGAAGGCTGCTTTTGATGGCGGTGGCAAGCTCAGGGCCTGCGATCTGGGGGCAATGCGGCAGGGCAGGTTCGACATGTTCGCTTTAAGGCGGGGGGGGGGGGGGGGGAAGCGAGGCTGGGGAGATTTGACATCCCCCTTCTCCGAGGAGCGAGGTACTTCGCCGAGTTGTCTGAATGAGAGCCAGGGATAAAGGTCCTGATAGGCGCTCGGGAACATGAGCACTGTCAAGGTGCATCTCGCAGTGCCAAGGTGTGTCTCACACGAGTAGTCACGATACGAAGGCATGATCATGCGTGACCGTCCTGATAGCGCTCTGGAACGGGTGATTGCCGCAAGGACAAGGCCCGACCTCGACCGCAGCTTCGATTCATGCTTCTTGTGTCGTCACCACTTCATGTTATATACAGGTAGTAGGTTCAATCGCCTGTCGTGGTCATCAAGATAAATTCGCCCCGATCTTTCGGAGCCCAGATTTGCTTCCGTTCTCTCGCTATCTCAACCTCACTGCCCAGTGTCGAGCCTATATCTCGATAGCATAGCGGGCAGAGGCTCATACCGTCGCATCGATGTGGCCTCGTAGAGCTGGGAACTTTGGCCTGTAACAGTGGTCCAATCGGTGCAGCGCTAGACGACCGGTAGGACCCGTGCCTTTTCTCGTCTCCATGCCATATCTAGTGCTCCTTTTCCAGCAAGTCTGTACTATCCCTTCAATGGCAAGAGCCCTGTACTATCCCTTCAATGGCCAGACCCCACCTCCACCCCTACACTCCCCTTCCCACCCCCTCCCCTTTCCGCTGGAGACGACCACTCCTCCACCCCCCTTACGTCTTCCCCCCTCACGTTCGCTTCTTCACCAGAGCCCGGCTGCGCCATGTGGCGTCCCCCTCCTCTCCATTCCAGCATGGTGATCGCCCCTCGCCATCTCCCCTCCATGCCCGTTCCGAACTAGACTCTCCCACCAGCTCTGACCCCTGAGCAACCCACGCAACCACGCAAACCCCCCCACATGCACCGCTCTACGTCTCCCTTCATTAAACCGTTGTGGTAATAACCCGCGGAACCATTCGAACCTGTATCTATTTTTTTTTTCTCTCATGACTCAGGTGAGCTATAGAAGCTCAGCTCTTGTGAACGATTCGGGCAACTGCATAACGATGGGGGGCGCTCTGGTACAGGCCGCCTCGCCCTCGTGCTCCCCCCTCCGGCCGATCAGATAACCTTTTTTCCTACTTGGCCCTCCTCGTCTGTCGCCCCCTGGCCTCGCCCGCGGCCGGACCATCGGTACCTCACCGCAGTCCCCCTAAAACCAACCCCACCTCTTATCATGTTCCAAAAATACACACTCGACGCACCAGATCACGGTGACCTACTACTCCTTGGAGAGTCATACTGACGTCGGGAACGAAATGGGTCTCGAAAATCGCCGTGGAAAAAAATGTACTACATCGAGAACATTGCGTCGACGATATAATAGAGCAACGCATCACCATCTCTTGACCACCACCACCACCACCACCCCGTCACACGACAATGAACGCTCTTCTCGCACTTGCACCCCTCGCGGTGGCCGCTGCCACCTCGGTTGGCCCCGTTCCCTTCTCTGACCACGTCCTTCCCATCACCTCCAAGGTGCCCCGATCCAACGCCAAAACGCAGTCCCTCAAGGACTACATGTACTGGGCGAGCAGCTGCTTCTATCCCCCAGGTGAGGGCAACGGCACTCAAGTCTCGCTCGATGCTCCCTACGGCGGATCTCAATACACCGTCAACGTGACTATCGCTGGGGAGGACTACAACCTCATCCTCGACACTGGCAGTTCTGATCTGTGGCTCCCTGCCTCCAACTTTTCCTGCCTCCTCGCTGCCAACCCAATGATCCTGGCCAACTACACCAAGGAACCTCAGTCGGTCTGCGAGTTTGGATCCAACCTGTTCAACATCAGTGACATTGGCGAATTCATGCCGTTGAATTACACCAACAACTGTGAGCGAAAAGATCCGTGACCACCGACTAATACCCTAGTCAACATCTCGTACGGTGTCCAAGGCTACTCTGACCTTCAATTCGCCACGGGTTCTTCCTACATTGGCGCTGTCGGCATTGGCAACCTCACCGTCCCCAACGCCCAGCTCAACATTGTCTACAATGCCGAATTCTTTGGCAACAACGTCTCTGACGGATTGATCGGATTCGCCGGTCCTGGATTGACCAGCGTCTTCGCGACCGCCAACCCGATGAACGATTCGGCAGCCAACTATGAGCCCTACCTCCCTTGGTTCTACCAAGCCGCCGAAGACGGTCTCGTCGCCCCCTACTTCTCCCTCGCGCTCAACCGACCCACCTTTGCCGATCAGGAAACCTCCGATGTCGTCTATGACCTCGGCTATCTCGTCCTCGGTGGTCTCCCGAAATGCATCGAGCTGACCGGCAAGTACGTCACCGTGCCCAACCACGACTTCAACGAGACCGTCAATGGTCAAAACGTCACCCTTCCCCTCTGGTGGACCACGACCGTCGACGAATGGACGTTTGCCGGATCCGACGCCATCAACACCACGACCGAGCTCATCATCCTCGACTCTGGTACCTTTAACGTGTACGCCCCGAATGCCGTCGCGGAGGCCTACGCCAACGCATTCAGCCCTCCCGGTGTCTACAACGCTTCCGAAGGTGGATACGTCGTCCCATGTAACGCCACGGTGCCCCCTCTTTCGGTGACCATTGGTGGTGTCGAGTTCCCCTTTGACCAGCGGGACTTGATCTTCCCCTTGACCGCGAACGGCGAATACTGTCTCTCGACCGTGACCAACGGAGGAAACACCACCTCGGACGTGTACATTCTGTGAGTCATTTCACTGGCAGGGGGAACACACTTGCTGACCTCGTATTTAGCGGCGACAAGTTCTTCAACTCGGCAGTCATCGCGTTCAACGTGGAGAACGACACGATGACGATCTACGAGAGGAAGTGTTACTAGTGCGTCGCGGCATAAACTGCGTCGCGGCCTAAAATTATAATCTTGAGGTTCTTATAATATGCATTTTTTGTGGGACATTCAGAAGGATGCGGCTGCATGGCCACGCGGATCTAGCCTGACCGAGCGGACTGAGTGCACCGAGGTCGCAGAACGTACATTGATAACCTCCGATTGGCGCAAGGCGCGTGCTTGGTCATCTGCAACCGTAGACCAGTCAGAGTCAGACGACATTCATCTCCTCGACTCGAAAGCTCATGCATGCGAGGTAGAAACCCCTCCTTTTTATTTCCACCCCCCTCTCTCACGCTGGCGGGTCCGGCGGCGGGGTCGTCACGGGAGTCTCAGTCGTGGTGGTGATCTCCATCATCGTCGTTGTTGTGGTCGTCATATTGACCGTCATGGTCACATTCGCCGGCATGGTGATATTCGCTGGCATGGTAATGTTTGCCGGAGGAGCTGTCACGTTTGCAGGCTTGGTGATATTGATCGGCGGATAACAATTCACGTCCCAACAGTTGAACAACAATCCCACGTTGGTCAGACTCGGGGACGAGATGATCTTGCTCGACTTGAGTTTCAGACGTTTATTGACCCGCTTGACGGGCAGCAGTGGGTAGAGTGAAAGATGATAGGCGACCAGACCCGAGATGAGAGGTGCCGACATGGATGAACCGGACAGAAAAGCGGTCGCTGTGGAGGACGTTATCCAAGTGGATGGGATATTGACGCCTGGCGCGACGAGATCCAGCCCAGGTGATGTCGCCGACTGAGCCCAGAGTTTGTAGTCTTTGGTGGTGGCTCCGACAGTCAACGCCGCCTTGACCCGACCTGGACTTTGCGCCTTGCCATTGAGACCGGTATTACCGCCAGCGACGACCACGGGTATGTCACATCGCAAGGCATGAAGCACCATACGATCCAGACCGGCATTAGGCGCCGTGCCCATGGAGAGGTTGATGACGGACCGTGTGCCGAATTTTTTCCGATTCTTGATGGCCTCGGAGATGCTCCATTGAATCCCACCGACACTGGATACGTGAGCGACAGAGGAAGAACACGACGGTGGCTCACATGTCCGATACAAGTCCAGATCCACCATCAGAGATCACCTTGACGGCGACAAGATTGGCCTGCTTGGCCATGCCCCAGCTTTTTGACGCGGCGAGGCCGGCCACTGGCGTGAGTGTTGGTCAGCTCCTCGTGGGGGACTCACCATGGGTGCCATGGCCCAGACCATCTGCCTGTTGGTATCCCGGTGCGACATAGCCCCACCTCGCCCGACCTCCAAAATCGACATGGTTCACATTAATCCCAGAGTCTACGACATAGATATCCACTATGATGTCAACGCCTAGTTCCAAACATGGCCCAACTCACCGCCCAGACCTGCCGTCTGATTATAATGATAATTGGTCGGAAACGCCTTGATCGTTGTGTTGGAGGATGCCATGGACAGGTGCCACGGTGCTCGGCTCTGAGCCATGGTGATATTCCAACCTTTCGGCGGCGGCGGTGGTGGAGGAGGAGGCATGGCTGCGACCCAGGCTTCACCATCGGCAGAAACACCAGCGACACCTTCGCGCCCTTGCACAGCAGGAAGGATGCAGCCAACCAGTGTGGCAACGTACATGCCTGCGCCGGGGAACACTGCTGAGACGCCACTAGAGGCGCCATCGGATGTCCCAGAGGGGTCAGGGGTCGCTGGGCCCGGGGGACCGTTATAGGGCCTTGGGGAGTGGTGAGCGGGGTGGATGGATGCAATGACTCACCCTGACGAAGCGAAAGGGTCATCCGAATCTGCAGCGCCGTCGCCGCCGCCGCCGCCGCCGCCTCCACCGGCGCCTCCGTCTGCACCACCACCGCCTCCTCCTCCTCCTCCTCCTCCTCCTCCTCCTCCTCCTCCTCCTCCTCCTCCTCCTCCTCCTCCTCCAGCACCACCGCCAGCACCATCGCCCCCTCCAGCACCTCCTCCAGCACCTCCTCCAGCCCCGCTTCCAGCGCCTCCTCCGTTTCCGTCGCCTCCGCCGGCACTACCACCACCAGCACCGTCTCCTCCTCCCCCTGCCCCTCCCCCTCCACCTGGCCCTCCCCCTCCCCCTGCTCCTCCTCCCGCCCCACTGCCATCTCCACTTCCATCGCCATCGTCACCGCCGTATCCCGGAGGCAAGGGCGCCGGCGGTACCTCTGCATCATCAGGAGGCGGCGGCGCAGAGGGTCCACCAGGTCCTCCAGGTCCACCTGCACCACCACCTGGCCCACCAGGTCCACCTGCACCACCACCTGGCCCTCCGGGTCCGCCTGCGCCACCGCCCCCATCTCCGCCCCCAGGACCTCCTCCTCCTCCTCCTCCTCCCGCACCACCACCTGGACCTCCACCGCCTGGTCCGGCTCCTCCGCCATCTCCTCCTCCTCCAGGCCCTCCGGGTCCACCTGCACCTCCACCTCCTCCTCCTCCTCCGGGCGCTCCGCCGTCACCTCCTCCTGGCGAACCAGCGCCGCGGCCTGGACCACCTGGAGCTGTCCCTGGCGCTCCGCTATCCGGCGGGGGAGCCACTGGATATCCAGGGATCGCCGCACCTCCATTCGCCACAAGTATACCTGCTTATGAGCCGTGTCCCCTTCATGTGTCAAACTCACCCGACAGCCAGGTCAGGTGCGCCGTGAGATCCGCACCATCGGCGAGCGTCACAATATACACATCCAACATGCCCGGATCCCCGACCGATCGTTTGGTCTTTTGCCATGATTTCTTGTGCCACTGCGCCTCTTCTTCATCTTGACGTATCGGATGAGCCAGTACCTCTTGAAGATGGACCCATGTCAGGACCAGCCTGACCAGTGCACGTTTCGACACTCTCATCGTGGGTCCAACCAGGGGGGAGGGGAAAGAAAAGGAGCAGAGGAGGAACCCTCGACTGTCTTTTAGTTTCACCCCATCTCACGCGGCACAGACGCTGACACCATCGTTCCATGGCATGCAAGACATCACGCACAATCTCGTCTTGGAGCTGGAATCAGACATCGTCTCGGTGACTGAACAATGGGCAAGACAACAAAAAGGTCTAGACTGGTGGGATTGGCCGCGTGGCGGGACTTACGTAACAAAGCGGTTAGTATAACCGTGATTCACATGTCAGATCCCGAACATTCTGCGGCAACCCCATTTGACCCACCATGGAGGACTCGCCAGGGCCAAGTCGGCAGGTACGGCGCAAGCTGTCACGGTCAAAGACATCTTGCCTCAAGGTATGCTCTTTCCACTGGGGGGGAATGATCTGTACTGATCGCTCGCGCTCGCCCCAGTGTCGCTTACGAAAAGCCAAATGTGGAGCCTTGCCTCCGGAAACCTGCGACTACTGCGCCAAACACGGCCTGAAATGTGTATGGCCCAAGGAGGATCGTCGTACGGCTAGATTTATGCCTCAAGATGTCGTCCTGCCCATCAACACTCAGCAGACGGAAGCTGTTCAGCAGCCATTGTGGGACTGGGGTCAAGATCTCACTCTATCGCCCGAGATTGACCTCGATCGCCAATGGCGCAATTGGTTCATGCCGACCCCAGGCCAATCCCCTTCGTTCAATGTCACCGACACGGATGCATTCCTGCAGAACCTGCTCTCCGACCACCGTACAGATCTACAATTCCAGGTGTTGGTGGATGGGCCGAGGCAGGATACGCGGAAGACGGGAACCATTCGGATAAAGTACCGTCGTTCTCACGGCCGCACCGCGTTCGTCCCAGGTGAGGGCGAAAGCTGGAGACGTTTGTCGTTAACGCCGCCAAAGGGACACTGGCTGTACCTATCAAGGTGCTTCTACAGCAGAGCAGACACGATTCACCGGGAGACATGTCCACGCCTAGCTCAACCCTCTCCGCTCAGTTTGACACGAGCCTATTGAGACACCTCGTAGCGACCTTTCAATCGACTCTCCAGCCCCAATTCCCTTGCATAGACTGTCGCGAGCTGTCCGATGCCCTAGATCGGGATCCCGTTCCGAGCTTTCTTGTCAACTGCGTGGCCGCCCTCTCCGCAAGGTGAGAGAGAGAACCCGTGTGATCCTGCTGACAAGGTTCAAGATTTTCCAAAGACCCTCGACTCGCTGCGACAGGTCTCAACCCCGAAGCTTACGGTGACGTCTACTTTGACCGGGCCAATTCCATGCTGGGCAACGTGATCAAAATACCTCTACGTGAGACAGTGATCGGTTTCGTTCTTTTAGCATGTTGTGCAGGTGAGACAAAAAAAACAACAACCTCGGCTCACTCCTTCTCAGACTCTGTCTCTGGTCAGTGGATGCTCGCTGGAAACGCCACGCGCATGGCCATGGATCTGGGCCTTCAGACGGTGAGTCTGGGGCAGGCATCGTGGACACACACTGACGGTTCGTCAGCACGATGCACTGGATGTCGATCCTGAGACGAGTCGCCTCAACCGGCTCTGCTTCTGGTCTGTCCTCATCCTCGACTATGTCGTTTCGTTGGGGGTGGGCAGACCCACATCACTACGTCCAGATTCAATCACCCAGCAGCTCCCATCGCAGAGTGATCTTCAGTCCAGTGGAGCGTCGTCGCCTTTTGCCTATGCCGCGGAGATGATGCACTCGTTTGGACCCCTCATCAACCTCTTGAATTCGGAGCAGTTCAAGACCCGTCCGTACACCTTGATCGACCAGGTGAGGGAGGAACGATCCGCTATCATGCGATGGTATCGTCAACTCCCTCAAGAGATGCAATGGAGTGCGGACAAGTGAGCGAAAAATTCAGCACCCTCCTTTTGCTGACCGCCAAAAAGTCTACGTACCCACAATGCCAATCTCCTCGGATCCGTCTTCTTTCAACTCCATATATGGGTTCATACCGTCCTCTGCAGCAGTGCACTTTCGCCTGCCGAGAGTGGCACGACATCCACGACCCTCGACAAGCTGAGCGTGTCCGGGGCCAAGCTCATCGGCGAGTATCTCACCCTCTGTGATGTCGTCGATCCGTCCATCTATTGTTTGGTCTATCCGTTTCTCTGTCAGCCACTGTTCACCGCAGGAACAGTCATCATGACAGGTAAGCCTCCGCAATTCTGAGCCTCGTACTGACGTCCAGACCTCTCGCAACAGATCGAAGACAAGGCGTCGGATCATGACGGTGTCGCCTATCTCAAATCCATCGCCCATGGGCAGATTGAGACCATCAAGAACGCGTTCCGGAAAGCCAGCGTCTTTTGGCGAGGATCACGTCTGATTGAGTCTGCGCTCGACGAGCGTATACGTGCAGGAGGTGAAAAGGACAAGATCTGGGTGGAGAACGAGTCGTACGCATTCCAAGTGTATGATTGGTCGTTGCCGGATCGATACCGGTCCGACGGCGTTCAAGTCAATTGATGATGATTGATTACGTGATTTTAAACATGCAAAATGACGTTTTTGGGACCTACGTCCACGGATTCATTCCAACTGTTTGTGCAAACCATGAACAGACCTCGCGAGGTATCGGTAGGATCCATCGACTCGCAGGTCTCACTCGAGTCAAACGATTCTAATCCCGGGGTTCGGCGTAAACGACAGTCCGACTTTGAGCGCATATTTGGCTCACAAGTGGGTCAAGATGTAGAGGTCCTCGCCACCCAGTCATGCGACTGGCAGTCCAATATCCTGCTTCACGGTCGACTCTATCTCACCCGCACTCATCTCTGCTTCCGATCCAACATCCTAGGCTATGTCACTGAGCACGTTCATCCCCTTGCCGATGTCGTTGCGCTCGAACGCGGGACGACGGCCAAGTGGATACAAAACGCTGTATATGTCAATATCAAAGACGAGAGCGATCCCGATGGCATCCACTTTGGCTATGGCAGTCTCAAGGATAGGGACGCAATGTACGAGACGATCTTTGAGAACTGGAAAGCGGTCGCACCCGATCGGGTCGAGGCCATGCAGACGAGACGAAAGGAGGCTGCGTCCATGATGGGATCTAGCGAATCCAACGAGACGGGCGCCGCCGGCGTCGTGCGATCAGAAGGCACAGGCGAGTGCTATGCCGAACTTGCCATCGATACGCAGTTTCCGATTCCCTTGGAGGAGCTGTACAAGCTCTTGTATCACAATGACGAGTTTATTCACGACTTTATGACGAACGACAAGAAACTGACCGGTGAGAGTTTGGGGTTTATCGGCGTGCTGACCGTTAGATGTCAACATTGATCCATGGAAGGACGAGCCGAAGAAGAGGACGATGAGCTATGTCATGCATATGGTAAAGAAGTGACCCATCGGGGCTCAAGTACTCGCGCTGACGTTCTCAGAGCGGTATGGGACCCTCCGAATCCGATTGTTACAGCACCGAAACCGTTGCCGTTGCCGATCCCAAGACGTCCTATGAGATTGTCTCTGAGACTCGCACGCCAGGTGTCCCGTCAGGTAAACGGTGAGCTGTGAAGTGGTGGTCCAATCGCTTAAACGCCGCCCTAGCTTTGTCATTCGCACGCGGACGGTCCTTACCCATGCTGAAGTCCATCATAAACCGGGCTCACGCATGTACGTCACCACCGAGTGCGACTGGAGCTCTTCATCGTGGCTCAAGGGCACCATTACACCGGCAGTGATCAAGGGTCAGCGATCCCATCACGAGCAACTGGCCAAAAAGGTCAATGAGTGGATCAAATCGCACGACATGGCAGACGTCGTGGTAGAAGTGTCCACACCTGCCTTGACCGAACCGACAGAGACGGCACCGTGGCTTGATCTGGAGAAACACGTCTCAGAGATCCTCGGGAACCCAGTCATGATAGCGTTGATCGCTGTCCTTCTTGCGATTATCATTCTGCAGCGGAGTTAGACGAGTTGTATATGCATGATCAACGTCTCGGCATGTCTCGGCGATGACCGACTACAGGTCCGAAAACTGAGGACGCATCTGTAGTGATCCATCCTCTCACCCCCCATGGCGACCGTGCTCTCCCGACTCTACCACGAGCTAGGTCTTGGCTCTGTTTGGGATTCGGGCAGAGATGTCTGGTTGGTACTCCTCGCTCGGAGCGCCCGGATGTTTGCGTATGGCGCCAACTCACTCATCCTCGCCTTGTTCTTCTCGCAATTATCATTTTCCGACTTTCGCATCGGTGTCTTTATGAGTTTGACCCTGCTGGGAGATGTTGTCTTGACAGTCGCCCTGACTACGACGGCTGATCGCTATGGACGACGTCGAACGATCTTGCTCGGATCGGTCCTCATGGTCATCTCAGGGTTGGCATTCGTTTTGGTCGAGAATTTTTGGATCCTGCTCATGGCCGCCGTGATAGGCGTCATCAGCGCCTCGGGCGGGGACTTTGGTCCGTTCAGAGCCATTGAAGAGTCCATGTTGTCGCAGATAACCACAGGTAAAGCTCGAAACAATGTCCTGGCGTGGTATGTGACGACGGCGAGTCTTGGCTCTGCCATAGGAACCGAAACCTCGGGTCGAATGGTCGACGGACTGCTCTCACATGGGTGGTCTCGACTCGATGCATACCACACCATCTTTGGTCTTTACGTCATGATGGGCGCTCTGAACGCTGTCCTGGTGCTTCTGATGGGTGATCGACTGGAAGCTGCCCGACCTGTCGCGCCAGAAGACGAGATGATGCTTCTGGAGGAGGAGCCTGGAACCAAGCCTCAGCCTCAGCCTCAGCCCCAGGCCTCCTCCCCCTGGTCCTTGTCTCTGTCAACCCGTACCGTCATGTACAAGCTCTGGCCGCTTTTGGCGCTCGACTCGGTCGCCGATGGCATGGTCAGCTACTCACTCACGACCTACTACCTCGAGCAAAAGTTTCACACCACAACGGCAACACTAGGCGATATCACTTCCGTGTCTTACTTTCTCGCCGCCGCGTCGACCATCTTTGCCGGTCCACTGGCCAATCACATCGGTCTCGTCAACACGATGGTCTTTACCCATGTCCCATCCTCAGCGGCGGTTCTCCTCTTCCCACTCCCCTCACATCTCGTTCTCACCGTCATACTCTTCTTCATCCGGACTGGTCTCAACAATATGGATCAAGCGCCACGTTCTGCATTCATTGCCGCCGCCGTCAAGGCAGAGGAGCGCACAGCGGTCCTGGGTCTCACATCAACGATACGAACTCTGGCAGCCACGGCGGGGCCAAGCATCACGGGCATCCTGGCGCAGAGTGGCCGATTCTGGCTCGCATTCGTGGTCGCTGGCGCGTTCAGATTGCTTTATGACTTTGGGTTATGGGCGTTGTTTATCAATATGAAGATAGATTGAATGATCAATTTCTAAATCTTGTCCCTTCCCACGCCAGTGAGCCAGAGTAATTTCCAAACGGTCACTATGGGAACGCCCATGAAAGCGCCTTTGGTGGCCGGAGGCCATTGACCTGGAGCAAGGAGCAGATGCGTGGGGAACTTGCAGACCACGGCCAGTCTGACCAGTCAGCCCCCAATCGAAAACGATTTGACCTTACACCCAGACCTGACGCTTCATCAGCGCTGTGTCAGAAATTTCAACACACACTCACATCTGATACCAGCCCCACGTAAATAGGGAGCTTGACAATCGTCTGCTGAAGACGGGGATTCCCCTTGGCGGCATACTTCGCAATGAGAATGTTGCCCATGAAGCAGACCATGACCATGAGGTACACTGTCCATCTCAGCCAGGTCCCCCAACCCATTTGACGTCGACTCACTAGACGCGTTCAAGGACCCAGTGATCTCATGTCTTAGACTGGTCTCGAGACCATCTGTAGCGCGATCATACCCGTTCGGCAAGGATCCGAGGAAGAATTCGACCGACTTGAACTGGGCATTGTACGCCAACGGAAGCATGGCACTCTGGATGTCAGCGTGTCCCAAGTGTGTCACTGTGATGGGCTCACTAGCTGTAGACCCAGATAGATCCACGTCCACCAGGCGGGAAGGACGTTGATGGGTGTGACGCCGGCCATGGTGGTGGTGGTGAGAAGTACAGAGTCGGAAGGGAGACTTGCCGTCGGATGCAAAATGCAGCTCGTACTGAACGCCACGTGACGCCACTCGGGAACGCGACGTAAAGCTTGGCACGTTCCATTCCCTCCCATGCCATCATCAACCGACCATGACAACAGAACAGCAGCGAGAGGCGAGGTGAGCGAGTCGTGACGAGATGACTGACAGCCAGCTGACAGACCCAGGTCATCCGCTCCGTCTGATTCAGCCCATCCATCCTCGGCTCTCCAGCTTGGATCCCTCCTCCCTCAGGCCAATACATCCCACCATTCCCTCCTGGACGCAGTGATCGGTCCCTCTCAGCAGAAGAAGCAGCCGCCTCAGCTCCCTCAAGCGGCCGACGATCCTCAGACTCGCAGTCGGAACACAAGTGGCAGCCAGGACGCGACGAGCTTTGGGACAAGTACGGAAAAATCTTGGGACGTCCTCAGTGATGCGAGCGTGCGGGTGAACCGGGACACGTCGAATGGAGGAGCGGTCGAGGAGCTCCAGAAACAGGTGGACAAGCGGTGAGCACGGATTTTCACGGCACAGGTCTGACAGTGTTCCCCAAGCAAGTCCCAACTTCCTGCACTCGAGATTGAGCTCGCCGCTCTCGAGGCAAAGATCAAAGAGGCCGAGGAGCGTTTGGCCAGAGCGAAAGCTCAAGCTCAGACCGGATGATAGCTGTGCATGTAACCCTCCTCCTCTTCCTATAACCTCTTTGCACGCTTCTCTGCCAGCTTCTCGTACTCACTCATGCCAGCGACTAATCTGACAGTCCCCTTTTCCACCAAAAACGTCTGGCCCGTCGGCGCCGCCTCATCTCCCTCCTCAATCTCCATCCCCTCGACGACGACCTTGCTGAACCAACGATCGTGGGTGATGAGAATGATGGCGCCGCTGAAACTCCTGAGCGCGATGGCCAATGCGCGAATGGTGCCCGCATCCAAGTGCGTCGTGACTTCGTCCAGTACCCTACATGTAAGACAAAGAGTCCAAGTCAACTCTGCACCCACAATAAATCTGGAGGGGTGAAGACCAAAGCTGCCAGGGCCAGTCTGACCTTTTGGCCACCGGAAAGCGCCGATATCAACGTCCGACTCGCATTCTGTCCATGCAGTCCCCAAGAGCCTAAAAAGGAGCGAGCCTCGCCTTCCGAGACTTGCCCCACCTTGGCCATGAACCAGGCGAGGGGTGTGTCCTCACCAGACTCGGTCAGCTTGTCGGCCGAATGCTGCGTATAGTATTCCATCTTCATGGTGGGATGTCGAATGACGGAACCGATCGAGGGAACAATGTCGCCGACAATGAGCCTGGCCAGTGTGGTCTTCCCTTGACCATTCTCTTTTTCAGCCCGAGAAACAGACTCTCATCTCTCACCTTGCCGACAAACGCACACCGCCCGCCCTGCTCAACCGTGACGTTGACGTCCGCGAAAAGCTGCTTCGACGCCCCCTTGAACTTGACGCAGAGATTATCCAGATGCACCAGGCTTCCTTTGGTACGCATGGCAGGCGGTGACGGCAACTTGAGAACGACCGGTGGGTCTGGTTCTTCAATCACCACCTCGGCTCGATTCGACGTGTGGTAACCGGCGAAATCTCGATTGAGCTTGAATCGGAACCCGTTGGCGGATCGTTCATCTCCCCAGCGCTCGTCGAGTTTTTTCTGCTTCGACACGACAGTCTTCATCCTTATCATCAGCCCAAGTCCAACAAACTATCTCACCTCTTGTCATCTCCCGACGCCTTGGCTCTCCGTCGACTATCGATGATGCCTTGCTGCACATGTTCCTTCTTCTTGTCTAGCGCGGCTTGCGTCTTGATCCGATTGAGACGCTTCTTCATCTCAGCGTCCTGCATCGATGAAGGCGTGCCTTCAAAGTAGAGCAGCTTTTTGCGGCGCAACACCACGGTCCGTTCGGCAATGTTGTCGAGAAACGCCTGATCATGGGACGTGATCACGAGGGTTTGATCGAGCTCAGAGAGCCGTAATTCCAGGAACTTGAGTGTCTCGAGATCCTTCCAAGGATGAGCGCCAAGAATAATCCCCCCACACTCACCATAAAGTTTGATGGCTCGTCTAATAGCAGCAGATCACTTGGCACAAGGAGGCCCACTGCGAGTGCCATGCGAGATTTCCACCCGCCGGACAGAACCTTGACCGGTCCTTCTATGCGCGAGCTCGAGAAGCCTAGACCGCGAAGGATACGTCGAGCCTCTTGCTCCAGAGTATCGGATCCGAGCTGGCGTATGAGCATGCGACGCTTCATTCTCTCTCACCAATTCCAATGTCATCTGGACGTCTAATAACATCTCATTGGCAGTCATCTCCCAGCCGTCGGTCGGAGGCCCATGCAACCTAGAAGTCAGCCTTAATATCGCAGATCCCCACCCTTCCTCTGCCGCTTTCAGCGCCTCCTCCGCTTTGATCTCCTCCGCCCTCGCCTCCTTGCCTCTGGCTCCTGATCGCCGCGTAGCATTCCTCCTCCTCAGCTCGAGCTCTGCTGTCGCCCGGGATAGGACGACCTGTTGGTATTCGCCGAACCCTGCGGCAGAGGAGACGGCACGGGACAGCACTATGGTCAGCGTCAGACGTAATGAACGACCTACGATCAAGTTCGCGCAAAGCTCGTGCTCGTTCGCGGTGACCATTGACGACGTGCTGTAGCACAGTCTCTGCTTGGGTGTTTTCAATCTCGCCAAGACCAGCATTCTGGTCGATCAGAACGATTCGTAGCGATTCGGGTGTGCCCGCGAATAGCCGGTCCGCGATGGCTCGAAGGATAGCTTGAGTTAGGCGGGCCTCCACTGTTCTACTCACTGGACTTGCCGCTACCATTCCTGGAAAATGGCTCAGCCCAAAATCTCCACGATTCAAACTCACGGTCCGACCAATGCATACTTGATGCCATCCTTGAAGCGGATCTCGGTATCCACCAAGATTTCGAGCTGGTCAATGGCAATGTTGACAGTGAACAGCTCCAATTCGGAAATACTGGTCGGATCTGTCAGAGCAGAGTCAAATCGAGACTGCTGAGCCGTGGCCACGATCTTTGGTGTGCTTGTTGAGGGCGTCATGTGGGTGTAGGATGCGTAGAGGGATGGAATGCAGGTCTGGGGGGGAAATATAGTCAATGCCGGAGCCGTGACTCGGTTCGGATCCGGAGCACGTGGCGTAGCCGAAGGGGCGGGGCCGCGGTGCCTTACATGTCAGGCCATAGGCGTGTTATAGGACCCACAAATGAGCAGCCCTGCATGGGGGCACACGCTGCGCACGTATCTCCATGCGCATCATCTCGCTGGGCATTCGCCGCCCTGCCACGCCCTTACTTGTTTTCCGGGACGTTCTCCTGTCTCCATTTGGCAATCTCAGCCTCTGATGGTATCTTGCCCTCTTGGATCAGGCTCAAGTGTGCACGGCGACGAATATTTGTCTCTGCTCTTCTGATGTGATCCTCATAGTTGAGCAGGTGGTTGTCTGTGGGGCACGGGCAGGGGTTGGGGGGGTCCCATTGACGTCGCGATGTGATTCGTCGGCGAGGTGTAACGAGTCAGAGCACGTTCGTGTGACAGTCGTAGCGGAGAGTAGGGGACGTAGACGATGTGTGATAGACGAAGCAAAGAGCAAGAGTGAGAGCCGATGTGTGAGAGATATTTATGACGGTGTGCATCGATGGAGACATGAAAGACGATCAAACGAGCAGGTCATCATCAGCAGATGAATACACAAACCCATGTGACCGACTCACCAGCACCGACAACGAGTCCAAAGATGGTCGCTAGAGGTTCTTTCAGTACGGTGTTCCACACTAGTCTGTGTATACCTACCCGACGAGGTGATGAAACCTTTGAACGCCAAGGTCTGCCTCCTGCACCGTAAGCGAGAAGACTTACACCGAAACCTCTCACCTGAAAAATGGCCACGTATAGTGCCCAAGGACACAGGCCGCTCCAGCGATCACCGTCCACCGAATAGCTCCCTGTTATGCGTCAAGATTTTGGGTTGCGGGTAACGGCCCACCTCGATGCCCCCCTTCATCTGAGCTTCGACCTGAACAATGTCGGCGGAGATCAAAGAATTATCACCCACTGCTCGATTCGCATATTCCGCTCGCTTCGAGCGTTCTGATCTTGGCGAAGACGACATGGTGGTGGGCTAGAACGATTGCTTCTTCAGATGCCTGGTATGCTGCTTGTTCGTGTAAACGTGTATAGATGTTCATACATGTTGAGACCTGAACTGATCGATAGGATCCGCGATCGAATGGAACAGTCACGTGATGCATTATAGATTCTATTGCGGCAGCTCCTTTTTCCATCCTCCCTCTAGTGCTACGCTGTGAGCAAGAGTTCTTTACCCCTCCACTCACCGTCTTTTCGATAGTGATGGCGTCAATGACAGAGTTGTCACCTGAAGCCATGAATTGGTGTGTCAAGTGGGTGCTATTGTGGAAAGTGAGCTTGGAGTACGAGTACATCCTGAAAATGTCAGCGCGGGTTCCATGTGCAAGACATCATACGTGTCATTGGCGAAACTGACTTGTCAGCGAATGGTCAAACACGCTAGCGCCTCACGCAATGTAGTCATAGAGGGGAGTGTACTCCTTGTCGAGTCCGTCATAGTGTCCGGCGGCACCGTTGACCAGGTAGACTAGCGAGTCAGCGATAAAATGTAACAGCATGGGCTCACCAGGCGCTTGGGGCTCGGTGTAGTTGTATTGCTGTACAGTTCCGTTCTGGTGAACAGGGTAAGATCGAGAGATGAGATGGCTTTTTGGATGTCAGCGAGCATTTTGAAAACGTTTGCTGCCTTACACATGACCTTGCATGACAACGTCGACCTGAAAGCGTCAGATCCAGGTCTCACTAGTGCGCCGCTATTACTCACATTGGCGGCCTCGAAGAGAGGCTCAAAGACGGCCAGACCAGACATGAATCGGTCCTCAGGTGCAGCGGAAACGTACCAAGGTCGGTGACCCATGGCAATGACCCAAGGCGTCTGGGTTCGATTGACCGAGGCAAGGTCTTGTTTGATAAAGTCGACTTGGGCAGTCGGATACGCGCCAACATTGGACTCGTACATGCCGGCGACACCTCCGATGACGTCTGCGCCATAGTAGGGAGGAGGAAGGTCGGTCTCAGTGTCAAAGATCAGATAGTGCGCCATGCCGACGTCTAGTACACACTCTCAGCGCGCCGTTCTTCGTCTCGACGACTCACCAAAGGAGTACCAAAAGTTGTTCGACGCCGAGCCATCTCCCGGCATGTTCCATCTGACTTTGTATTCGGTAAAGTTGGTGAGTCCAGCAGTACAGATGGCCTCGGGATATTGTTTGTAACCTCCGTTGATACAGTTCGCCTCGTGGTTGCCCACACCGACCATGTAAGCCTTCTTCGAGGCGACTTCGGCGACCTCATTGAAGAATGCATCGTTGATGGCGTTGTATCCGAGCACCTGATCCGTCAAGGTCAAGTTACTTCCGTGGGTGACTTGTTCCTTGACCCAATAGTCGGCATACGCCATATCTCCAGGGTGAACCACAAACTCGTAATCGTCCATCTGAGCGACCAGTCGTTGGATGGTGTTGGTCTGGTTCGCAGGGATAGGATTCGAGATGTCAGATGGGAGATTGTGTCGTAATCCGTATTCGCCCATGGCTCCCATGTCCACCACGACGGCAGCGGTATAAGGAGTCATGTCACCAGCACAGCGAGCCGTGGTGAACGAGTTGACGGGGCTTCCACACACGCTGTAGTAGTCTGGCCGTGTGTTAGGTTGGATCCGGGGGGGGGAAGGTATCTCGCTCACACTTTGTGTTGGGCTCGAGGTTTTCAAGTACCACCTGTCATATGTCAGGCCTGGAGCGACACCCCGAGTACTTCACTCACGTGGTTCTCCCACTTGAGACTGGTCTCGTAAGTGATCGATACTGAAGACGTAGCGGTCCAGTTCTGATATAGATTCAGCCAAAGAAATCAAAGGCCTAGAGCCCACTCACCAAGCTCGAGTTGGATGTTCCGTACAAGACGGTGGGGACGACATTTCTCCCGTTGGTCGACCATGAGACGGACATGCCATTACATCCTCTGTACGCCGTACGGATCTGGCTGGCGTTCCAGTAGCCCTGGTTGAACGTCGCATTGAAGCCGTAGTGGACGACACCGTTGGCTGGCGGGGCGCCCGGGGTGGGGGGGAGGGGGGAATATAAGGTCAAAACCATTCCAAATCCCACAGTCTCTCTCTCACTCACCATCTGGCTGCCACTGATTCGACCAGGAAGAGGCAGACGTCTGATCTCGCTCGATGAGTCCATGCTCGTTTGTCCATGGAGCAGCTCGAACAGAGCCAGCGACGGCGGCAATGGCAAGGATGGAAAGCATTGTCGTCGGAATGGGTCTGGATGGGGACAGTCATTCGGTGTCCCCCTCTTTATTATATTCCCCCTCTTTATTATATGCCCCCCTCGGCTCGCTGACTTTGCCTCATCTCGTCATTGGCTGGAAATTTTTCGAGGGTTCATTCACCATGCATCTCGACGGATATGGCGCTCAGAGACAGCAGGAGCTTGGAGCGAGAGGACGGACGACATGATATCAGGTATAAATAGCCAAAATGGAAGGAAACGTTTGAAACGTGCGTTCGGGTCAGGTGGTATATGGGTCGGTGATGCCCGACTGGATACTTTCGGATCCGAACATTTCGGGCTAGGCGGGGGGTCCGCTTGAGCAGTCACTGTAGCGGTTTGCCAGCGGTTTGCCAGCGGTTGCCAGCGGTTGCCAGCGGTTTCTCCTGAACCGGATGACCTCGATGCATCTTACATGAGTCCTTACGTGTGGTCTCGACGCTGTGTCTCGACACGCTCGAGTAACGCTTCTTAGGCTGGATCTTCGCAACCGTCCGCGACGCCGGACATGTGTGCTCAAGGCATATCCTTGTAGTACCTGCTCCGCTCGTCGACATCCTTGACAGTGCTTGGCGTCACTTTGAACCCGCAATCTAGGGCATCGAGTTTCTCCATCTGAGCTGAAGACAGCTCAAAGTCAAAGATGGACGTATTGTCCCGGATACGATCCGCTTTTTCCGATTTACAAGTCACCAGGTACCTGGACGATGGGAGGTCAGCGGGGATTGCCTAACATCACTTCCACTCCGCACCCTTTCTGCCAGTTCCATCTCAGCATCACCCTGTTCCAAGGTCGTTCAACCTCTTTGGCGACCTGTAGCAGCGATTCGTCGTCCTTCTTCTGAGCCCTCGCTACCGGCGCAAATGACTGCATCTGGACCCCATGTTGATTACACCATTCGACCACTTCCTTATCCTTTTGAAACGGTCTCAGTCGGGAAACCTCAAGTCAAAACTCACTTGATAGAACATGGTCAGCTCCGTCTGATTGACGGCCGGAAGCTCGGTTGCGTACTCTTTCATTCCTTCGAGGTGGTGCAGAACGCTGGCCCGAGTCAGTAATAGACCTACCGAAGCACATCAAAACCCACAAGTTACTGACACCGATGGCCCTTGCAAGTCCCTCCTTCTTGGCCTGCTCTAGAGCCTTCCACTGGATCTTTCTGCCCTCAGGTCCATAGTTTGGATTGTGGATGAGAAACAGGTCGACGTAGGCGAGATCCAGCTTCTGCACACTCTCTCGGATACCCTCCAAGGTCGCTTCCACCGTCTCTCCAGGTTTGTTCACCTTTGTGATGACAAATACGTCTTTGCGATCGATCTTGTACTCTTTCAAGGCTCTTCCGACGACCTCTTCGTTACCGTACTGCTGAGCCGTATCAAATGCTCTGTATCCCGCATCGAGAGCTTGATGGATCGGTTCTACAACGTTGATGCCACCGGTCCCGAACACGTATCTCGGGGTCTGGAGCGGTCAGAGGGGGTGGCCACAGGCTATAACTCACGGTGACATTGCCTCGGATGTTGACGGTGTCGGCTATGGATCCGAACGACATGATCAATGAGGGGTTTGCTGACAGGGTCGGGCGAGATGACTTCGGGCTTTATTATTAGGTGCCCGCACCGGCCCGCTCCGTGCCGGGACCGGTCAAGGGGTTGACTTCGCAGTCGACTGACAGTGTATCTCTGGTGTCCTCTACCTCTCGTTTCAACGTGTGCTCGAGCGAACGATGGGGTATCGAGTGCCTCTTAAATGTCCTCCTTTAGCCAATTCGATCAACACCTTACACGATAGGCACAGCTGTGGATCCATAGGGAGCTCTCATTAGACATCTTGATGCGCCCATCGCCTCTCTCTCTCTCTCTCTCTCTCCTCCTACGCTCGCATGGACTGAGCTACACCCCAACTCTCGACCAATCGTCTCGGCGGCATTGCAACCTGATCGCATAGCATGCAAAGCCCATCCCGTCCCTCACGACACAGATGCATTGAACCTAGACAGTAAAGTGGTAGTGCCCCGAACCGACCTTTTTGACCACTTGCTCTCCCAGATGAACCTCTGCAGTCGTGTTCGGCGGGATCTCGACCTCAAGATCCAGCTTCCCGCCGTTCATCTCCCACTTGACCGTCGCTTTACCATATGGCGTCATGTGCCAGGTCCAAGCCGACGCGAATTCTCCCTTTGAACCCGGCTGAGGACTGATTTTCATCTTCTTCCAACCCGGATCCAGAGGCGAGAGACCCGCTATAACGTTGTGGAAGAACCTGGCGACTGCTCCGAGGGCATAATGATTGAACGAGGTCATCTCCCCGGGCTGGAGGGAGCACACCTTTGTTCAGCCCCGAAAGCAAACCTGTAGGGTGGGTGGACTCACATTGATACTGCCATCTGGGAGCAGACTGTCCCATCGTTCCCAGACCGTCGTAGCGCCCATGGTGACAGGGTACAACCAGGATGGGCACTTGGTCGTCAGGAGCATCTTGTAGGCAATGTCCAAGGCACCGTGACGATGGAGCATGTCGAGTATCACAGGTGTCCCTGCAAACCCTGTCCCGATCCTAAAGTCATTTTTCGTCACCAGTCGAACCAGTCGATCGACGGCATGAGGGATCTGATGCTGGTCAAGGAGGTCAAATTGGAGAGCGAGGACAATAGCAGTTTGACTGTCCGACGCCAGTCGACCATTGACCGTCACGTATTCGTTTCTGAATTCTTTTCGCAGACGATCGTGATCTTCGGCATACCGTCCAGCTTTGTCCGTCTTGCCGACGAGTGAGGCGATGCGAGATACCAGTCTCGTCACGCCGACGAGGTAGGCATCTGCGACGAGAAATTGATCTGTCATCGCAGCGGCTGCATCATCAGGTGGCGCCCGAGGGTCAAGCCTGGAGGAACATTAGAATTTCAACGCAATTGAAGCCTCTCTTACCAGTCGGCAAACTGGAATCCATCTGGTGGATTGTGCCAGAGCCCATTTGCCCCGCGGGGAATTCCCTTGTCCAGCCACACACACATGCTGCTGAACAGCTCTTCGAGGATCATGGTGCCTCCATACGCTTGGTAAAGTGAATCTGGACCCATCGCGATGACGTCGGACTGGTGGGGACGGGGAGGGAGTATCAGCGAATGAGCTCAACCTTTACATGACCTCTCACCCAGACGCTTTGAGGGAATGGTCGCTGCGGATACGCTGTCAGCCACCTTTGACGTACACCTTGTACTACTCACCTTGAATGTCGATCCCGAGGCTGGATCAGGTGATACCACTGGCGGAACACCCATATTGTCAAGAAGCTGCTCAGCTGAAAGATCATGCAGCCAATTCGAGAGGAAACCATGACAGTCATACAAGTAGGAAGCTGTCGGTGCGAACATGTTGATGTCCCCGGTCCAGCCAAGCCTTTGATGCCGTCAGCGTCATGCTGTCATATAAAAGAGCCTTACTTACCTCTCATCTCTCTGAGGACAGTCTGTGGGCAGTCCCACAAAGTTGCCCCTCAGACCCCAGACAACGTTCTGATGCAACTTGTTGACCAATGCGTGATCGCAGCCAAAGTCACCTAGGCGCTCCAAGTCTGAATGGACCACAACCGCCTGGAAGGTCTTGTGATCGACAGGCGTCCCCGTGACTTCTACGTATCGGAAACCATGGGTCGTGAAAGATGGTTCCCACATGCCTCCAGGTTTGTCACTGAAAAACACTTGATCCGTCGCTTTGGCAGTCCGAAGCGGTCTCATACCGATCTCTCCCTGGTCCAAGACTTCCGCGAACCGCATGTTGATCGACCCTTTGAAGTGATCCGCCTCGTCGTGAGGATCAGCGGGCAGGTCGGGGATGCGAACCCAACCGGATATGTTTTGACCAAAGTCGATGATCGTCTTGCCCTTGGGCGAAGTGATGATCTCCTTGGGGGAGAGCATATCGGTTATACGGATGGGCGGAGCTTCAGGAGCGATGAGACTGATCGAAGAAGCCATGGGGATGGTCTTGACTGGGCGCCAGGAGGAGGACGATGGTTGGGACCCGGACACGGAAGTCGACCAATGAGCATCAATCAAACCAGCGTCGAAAACTTCTCCATCGTAGAGCTCGCTGCTGATGATGGGCCCGTAAGACCATTGCCAAGATTCGTCACTGAGCACTGTGTCGTGAGGCATCTCCAGCTGGATCCGTACGCCTATTTCGGAACCCCAGACGTTGCGTTGTTCAGGTGCCCAGGTCAATCGCCCGGCATACCAACCTTCGCCGACGATCGCACCGAGGACGTTTTCGCCGACACAAAGTCGATCCGCAGGTACTTTATACGTCTGATAATGCAATCGATGATGGTAGCTCTGCCAGCCTGGGGCCAAGACATGATCCCCTAGTCGTTCTCCGTTCAATTCGAGCTTGTACACTCCCAGTGCGGTGGCGTAGAGACGCGCTCCACCTCTGCACCGAATCTCGTCCAGGGCTTTTTGATCTAAGTTGAACGTTGTCCTCGTGTAGAATGGTCTCTTGGCCATGCGCGATAGTTGAGCGACGTCCGTCGTGATCACCTTGGCTGCCCAGTCCTCTTTCGCCAACAAGGCCGTCTCGACGCTTTCCTCGTGCCATTCGGTCCACCCGTCATTCCCTCGAGCTCTGACGCGGATACTGACCTGTTCTCTCGATTCCAGAGACGCCTCCTTGTCTGGCCAGGCTATATCGACGCTGGCTTCCGACTTGACTCGGTAAGTGTTGTTCTCTCCCGATGTGCGCTGGATGACTAGCTCGTATTCGGACTGGATCCAATTCTTGGTGTCTGTATCCCCACTCTCAAATCGCCAGCCGAGGCGGGGTCGAGATTGTCCTATACCAATATAAGGTGGTGTGTTGCGTCCGACAGTCAGTCGACTGATCCTGGGCGCCGACATCTTGGAGTGTTAATCGAACACTCTCACAAGACTGTCCCACTCTCATTTGTGAACCTCGAGTGGAGGCCCGGACTGACATTAACCCGACCGGCCCCACCACCCACTCTTTCGCCGAGATTGCATTGACCCGCGGGTGTAAATGCTACATGTCGTGAAGCATACTTTATGCTCGCTCAGAATATCACATCTTCGTCCTTGCCCTGACCTAGCATGTCGTCACCCCCACCTGCGCCACCCCCGATACCCTCATCGCGATGGACACTCCCTCCGGATTGCTCATGCGCGTCGTTCTTCTCTTTGCGCTCGTTGAGTACCCTCTCGGCATCTCGCTTCTTCTTTCCTTGAACCTTTTTGAGGCGGAAGAATTCCTCACTGACGGGGCGGAGCGAAGCGGAGCAGCAGCAGGGGTAGAGCGACGTGACGACATGTTGGCGGTGTGATTGGAGATGGATCAAGTGGGATACGGTCGAGAGGGTCGAATGGTGAGGAGCAAACATTGGAAGAGATGACCAGAGATGATCCATCGATCGCAGGGGTCCCAAAGAGTGTGACAGGGGGGAAAAGGATTTGGGAGGGCTGGTGATCAGCGACTTGACATTCTGGGCGACTCCTCCACTCACCGATCCATTTCATCCAGTTCTGAGTTGATGTACTTGATGGTATTGTCCAGACGTGGGATAATGACATGCTCAATGGCATTGACCCGACGATTGGTAGCTCGAATGACCTCGTCGAGGATCGTGAAAGCAGTCTACACACCAGGTTTCAGCTTGCTGCAAACACGCACACACTCCCTCCCTTTGCCCACCTGTAACGACGCCAACTCGACCAACGTTCCGACCGCTTTGACATATGTATCTCTGCACTTTTGAATCTGCTGACCACCTCGACTGAGACCGGTGAGATTGAAATCTGAACAAGGCGATAAGCTTCAAAGCATAGAGACATATGGGTTGAATCGCCGCCCACCGTTGCCCTCTTTTGACCGGACGCTCTCAAATGTTGGCAAGACGACTCCACTGACGTTCTCCTGCCTCGCCTCGACGGTATAGCTTGCTCGCTTGACGGACTCTTGCACTTGATATCCGATATCACCAGCGGTGTAGGTCACTTCGGCCAGAGAGAATGATGCGAGTTGAAGGACACGTCCCATGAGTCGTTTCGCCTGCATGCCAATCAGCATCGGGTCATGGTGATTCTGACCAAACATCCTCACCTCATCTACCTTCTTCAGGATCTGTCTAAATCTCGTCGTTAAAGCATCTCGCTTCTTGGCCAATAGCGAGTGACCGGTCTGAGCTCCTTTCAGTCTCCCCTTGGTGAGGGTGAGGTTCATACGAGTCGGGCTGTGTGGGGTCAACACAGTCATAGCGGGTCATTCCACTCACAAGACTGCTTCTCGAGGACCTGTGCCCGACATGATGCTTCAGCTAGTCAAATGGATGGAAAGATGCTATGACGAAGAGGTCAGTGAGATTGAGCGTTGGGCGCTGATATCTTTATTTGGGTTACCCGACAAGTGGCGTGTGTGGCACCCGCCAACACGTTCAGAGCATGTCCATAGCGGCATGGGTGTCAAAACTTCTCATCGACTGGTCCGAGGCTGTTGCAAGTCATCTGTGTAGCTCTGGGAGCTTGGGAATAGTCTGACGGTCTTCACAGACACCATGCACCATCCGTCTTGCGTTGCTTTGTGCGCCGGCCACGAGGAATGCTGGCTCATGCTTCGTACTTGCCTCCTCTGGCTGGCCCATCAGCCTTCTCGCAGTTCTGACCTGCCCGATCAGCCCAACCAGCCCCACCAGCTCCAACGCCCCCGCCTCTCGCCCCAAAACGCGCTCGTCGACTGACCGACTCGTCCACCACCAAAGCAGGTTGTTGCCCCGCAGTTCTTAATCTCGCGCCGGGTCTTTTTTTCTCCCATTTTCCATTTTTGACCCAAAAAGAAAAAAATGCTACACCACGCCGATCTCTCATTCCAACCTCTCTCTGTGTGACATCGACCACAGCTTCCCATCGCCATAGGGCTCCTCACCGTCTCACTGAGACCCAGGCTGGATCCACACCAAAAGACCTCGACACTAAAGGTCAACGCATCTTCCACACCCAACCCACCCCACACACCCACCATGCCGTCCGATATTCCAGAACGCCAAGGGACTCCAGGTACGCCACCGAAATTGTCACCATCGACTCTGCCAGCTGCAGCAGACTTGGAAGTGTCCAAGGTAGAAGAGGAAGATGTGACTGGGGTGGTGTTCTCTCCAGAGTGAGTTAGAGGGGGGCCAAAGGCTCGAGACGCTGACTCTATAGATTATGGATGCAAAGGAGGAGTTGGGCAATGGACGTGCTTCGGAATGAAGGTGTCAGATCGGTATGTCAGGAACCGGGTGTCTAGAGTATCACTGAGGAGTCGCTCTCGCCCTGCAGGTCCTAGATATCGGATGCGGTCCCGGAGCTCTACTTGAAACACTGGTCGTCCCCCCTTCTTCAGTGTACGAGGAACCCATTCGCTCACTGGCCAAAGCGAAAGGTTCACATCTACCGAGCCCTGTCGATAGTCTGGACGAGCTTGCAGAAGGGAGCGAGCTCTTCATCGACGTAGGTGATGGACCGAGACTTCATTCCAACTGACCCTCTGTATAGCGCCTCGCTGCCCTTGACCCATCACCATCTTACATGCCCCCGGCCCTTTCCATCATGTCGACACCACCCTCACCCACCTCCTCCTTTTCACCAGCAGCTCAACCTCGTTGGGAACCTTTGCATACAGAACTATGGCTTGGAGGCATTGAAAAGTACAACGCGAGGTTGGAGGGATACGAAGCCATCACCTGTCTAGAAGTGATCGAACATTTGGATCCCAACGTCTTGAGCAGATTCGGGGTCGTGACCATGGGAACTTACCGACCGAGGTTGCTCCTTGTGACCACACCCGTGCGTCTGGTGACCTTCTTTTGTTTTTGGCTGACGTGTACAGAATTTTGACTTCAATGCCAAATTTCCTCGCGCGGCCGACCATGATTTCGCCAAAGTCGGCTTCATGGACCCGACCGGACGGACAGAGCGTGTCTTCAGGCATTCGGATCACAAGTTGGAGATGACAAGCGGAGAGTTTAGGGAATGGGCGACGTCCGCAGCGGCTGATTGGGGGTGAGTCGATGGCCCGCTTTCGGGACAAGGCTAACATGACTTTAGCTACGATGTCGAGCTTGGCGGAGTGGGCATTTCCAATAAACCGTCCTACTATCCGGCAGATGATCCTCATCTTCCGAACCAACCCATTTACGCTACTCAGACCGCCATCTTCCGACTGGAAGCTCTTCCAGCTCGTTCACCTCGATCAGTCCGATCGAGCCAGTTGCCATTTATGCCTGGATCCAAAGAATCCAGTCATTCTCATAAACTTGCTGGAAAGTTTGTCCATCCACCAACAGTCGAGGCAAAGACAAAGTTGCTCCCGGAACAAGTCGTGGACATGGTGAAAGAGACCTTGGCACAGTGGAATGTCGGACAGGTGTCCATTGGCGAATTATGGGCGAGATCCGACATTTCTCTGGCGTGTGCAGGCAGCAAGAGATACTTTGTCAGTTGTCTAGGTGGATGGGGAGATTGCCCGCCGGCACGACAAGGAGGAGCTGGAGAATGTGAGGTGTACAATGAGCGAGGCCAGGGATTGAGCGTGAGGTGGAAAAGCTTCCAGCCGGTAACAACGGAGCGTCACCAGAGCTGGGGATCAGAACAGAGGGAATTGGAGGGACCCTCGGAGAAGACTGGAGGATGGTGATGATAGAACGAGGAGCGACATTGACGAGAGGAGGGCTCTACATTCATAATGCTGCATCATTCCCTGTGTATTATCATCTCCATGTCCAGAAAGGCCCTCATGGATCATCGTACCGGGCCAATAATAATATCACGTGCCAGTCCGGAATTTTCTGAAATCTTTGTCCAGCTGACATCCTATTCATCCATTCCACTCATCCGATCATCGCCTGTATCACCCTCAAAACCCTCTGAACTATGTGCATCTAGATGCTGTTCCCTACATATATATCATCGCTGTGGAGCACAAAGAAACCCATTGTTCGCCATTGACCAATGCGCGCGTATCACGAAGATGATGAGGATGATTTCGAGGATGAGGTGAGTTCCGAGGACAACGCTTCGACTGTGGGCTGATTCGGGGGGTTGGGGCTTATAGGACGTGGACGAGCGGACGAGTCAGATTGTAGGAGATATGGATATCAACATGGAGTGGGGCCAAGCTTCTGGAAGGGGTCTATACTGTACACACTGACGACACATGATAGGGACGTATACGGACAGTATGAGGAATCTGGGGACGGGGAAGGTGAAGGCGATGGAGAAGGCGATGAGGAGGATGAAGACGAGGAAGAAGATGATGAAGATGACGGCGATGAAGATGAAGACGACGAAGAGGAAGATGATACGGAAGAAGGTGAAGGTGATGAAGAGGAAGAAGATGGAGACGATGTGGAAATGGCCAATGGGGATGATGGTGTGTCGAGGAGCATGCTCCTCCGGTAACCACTTCGCTGACTTCAACCTTACAGGCTCGTCCCCCTCCAGACCCTCCTCCTCCTCAGTCCTTCCTCCAAATATGGCCCGTCGGCAACTCCTTCGACCCTCCTTCCCATTCTCTGAACCTCCGTCCACGCTCTCCATCGAAGCTATCTGTGCTATTCCATTACCTTCCCCTGTTCACAGTATGGCCATGACGCCCTGTTCTTCTTTCCTCCTCACCGGTTCTCAAGAAGGATACGTCAGAGCTTACGACTTTTGGAGCAGCGTCAATGGGAAACAACTCATGACGGCTCAACAGAGGACAGCCGTGGGGTTCGGAGAAGGCGTGAGTAAAGCTGGCGTCGCTAGAGGTTGGTGGGAGAATGAAGTGATGGGCTCGGATGGAGAAACCAAGGCGGAACCGGTGTATAGCATGCAAGTGGAGAGTGATGGTCTATGGGCATTGACAGGGACAAGGGTGAGCTCGGCGAGCGATCACGTCTGCGTGCGAACAACTTTTTTTCTTGCTGAGACTCCTTACAGAGCGGACAAATCAATCTTTACACGCTTCGACATTCCCCGGGACACTTTGTCACCTCTCTCAAAGGCCATTCAAGCGTCGTCTCATGTATGACTCTGTTGCCTGGCGAAAAGTCATTCATCAGTGGAGGATGGGATGGGACGTTGAGGGTGAGCAACAAGTGACCTCTTCTCCTCCGCGCAGCAGCCTGCTGATTGCGGGTGGGGGTTGGCCAGGAATGGGATCTCAATACCGGTCAGACGGTCAGATCATACCCTACACATGGCGCTCAAATCTCATCGACATCTTTGAGGGCTCTGAACGCCGCGGCGGCGGGTGTCCTGTCAAATGGTGGCCATGCGAACGGGGTTCATGAGAATGGCCTCAGCGTATCTGTTCGGGTCGGCGAGGACTTTTTCGATGCTAAAGAAGAACTACCCCCATCCTCTCCGCCTGCATCTTCGACGCCTCGTGCTGGACCTGAAGACGCCGATGCAATCGTCATTGCCTCCCATGGCGTCAACGATTCAAGTACAGTCGATGCACCGCCACAGAATTCTTCCAGCGGCGTGGCGAATGGCGATGGATCGCCTGGTGACGACGCCCCGTCACCTTATGATCCGCTCTTCGACGATGACGCCGAGGGCGAAGATGTGCCTCCTTCAGACGCCGTCACATTGACAGGTACACCGGGTATCAACGATATGGCACCCCCTCCATTGTCGCCTTCGACTACTTCCAACAACAAACCTGGCTTATCACTCGCTCTTCCAGGCGCCGCTGGACTGAAAGCCACCACCTCAAACCCCCTTCCTCCTTCATCCACCGGTTCTGGCACCACTCCTCTGTTCCCTCAAGCTCAACATCCATCATCATCATCTTCCTCTGGACCCAGTCGACTCGACAACGCAGGCGCAGCGGCTGGTATCCCTCTGCTATCGCCTGCGGACTATAGAGACTTTTCAGACAACATTCTCATGTATTCCAGTATGGACGGTCAGGTGACATTGATCGATAGACGAGAGCCGACAGCTGGCGAAGGATCAAGAAGAGGTGGTGGTGTCGGGAGACTGATACCGGGCGACAAGGCGCCCCCATGGTGCATGTCGGTGAGTTGGGAGCCCACTTCTTCGCCCCGTGCATCGTTACAATGTGCTGAATATACCACAAAGGCTTGTTGGTCGGCACATGGGAACCAAGTCTTGGCGGGGAGACGGAATGGCGCGATCGACGTATGGGACGTCAGGAAGTCATCATCTACGAGTTTTTCATCGTCGTCTTCCTCTTCACTTCAATCGCCCAACCTGCTTCGAACACTTCGAACACCCCTTCAATCAGGCCCTGTGAGCTGCATCGTCCCCTTCCCGGATGGGAAACACGTCGCTACCGCATCGACGGACAATATCAGATTATGGAACACTGTCGAATACTTTGATCAAGAGGATGATTTGAGGAAAAAGAGCGGACGACCACCGTTCAAGATCATAGCTGGGCATCATGGTGGGACAGTATCGTCTATGCGTGAGTGGCCAAAAAGAGAGATCGATGTTGACGCCATGTCTATTCAGTTGTCGATCCGACCTGTCGTTTCTTAGTCACTGCAAGCGGGGATAGAGGATGGCAAGGGGAAAGTACAAAGGTGGTTCTGGTACACGAAGTCAAGTGGTAAACATCTAGCATTGTCGTCAACAGTCCTATGCATGGTCCTATTACGCTGTTGAGGGTTGACAAGGGGGTGATATCATGACAAAAATGATACGGAGACAAGAACCGAATCAATGCGAAGGAGGAGACCAATGTGAGGGGCGGTGTTCCACACAGAGATCAGATGAAGCCCTGACAGGGGATTAGCCTACGTCGCGGCGCTACGAACATCTGCCCGGTTCACAGCACTCGCGCCGTCGCGACAGCTCAAGCTCGCTCAAGCTCAAATCCCGATCAACTCACCGAATCATGCAACATTCTCGTAATCCTCTCCTCCTCCCTCTCCCTCGGTTCCAACTGTAAACTCAAGTTGTACATCTTGTCGAGGTCATACGTCCTATCACAATATTCCAACTGCTTCATCAACCAATCGTAGACCATTCTTGATTTCGCAAGGTTGTACGGTTGAGATTGATACTGTTGGATATCTCTCAGGATCTCTGCGGCGAGGGACCGTTTAAAAAAATTGATCAATAGTGGTTGATTTCCGTCGGCAGCGGCGGTACTGGCGGTGGTGGTGCTTGTACTCGTGCTCGGAGTAAACGCAGACAGAGGCGTCGGCGCAGACACAGGCGTTCGGGCCGAAGTGTTGAGCGATGAAGAGGATGTGGAATGACTCATGCCTGATCCAGGTTGGACAGGTTCACCAGTCGCAGCAGGTATAAAGTCTTTATTGCCATCTTCGATAAACGTCAGGGCAGAGAGCCAGAAGCCTGAGCATTTGGGTCATCAGCCACGTCGGATACCACAAAGGTAAAACTCACCAAAGAACGGGACACACGGCGGATTGATCGTCTTGAGCATATCCTTGTAGTTTGAAAAGTTCTTGGTCGAGTCCAACGTCTTGTCCACTTCGGCCTTTTGAGCTTGAGTCTTTGGACTGCACAGTTCCCAAGAACGCTTGAGACGGAGCACAGGGGCCGTGTTGAGTCCAGCAGCCACAGCAGCCATGGATGAAAAGTTGTTCAAATTGCGTAATTCCTGGTGGGCGGCGCTGTCAGCTGTGTGCTCATCCAAAAGGTCTGTGTCACCCACGATAGCCGTCTGGACGAAATGCTTCATGATCCTCGCTCGATGTTTCGCATCACGACTGCTCAAGCAGGTCGTGCCGACCCATCCGGACAGGATATTGGCAGTCTTGATGACGCCCCGAACATTGGGCGCGTGCTTGTCTCCATCCGGACCATTCCATGATTTGTTCAGACACTCGGCAGGTTGAACACGTTGGAAGAAACCAGATTCGAGAATGGTCAATTGACGCGCGAGCTCCAATGGAGCGACGTCGAGGACATTCATTTCCCGACCGGCCGGCACGCGAGGGATCAGAGGAGCAGGTGGCGAGAGCAGGGCCCCGGAGACGATGCGGCGTTGGACCTCGATTTCACCTCGGCGCTGGAGCGTTATTCGTGAGCAGGCCAGGAGTACCGTGATGGACTATCACTTACTCGACGCTGGACGAGTCCCTTGAGCTGTTGAGCAGCCAACATTCTCGTTTCATCCTCTGCGAATTGTTCAATCCGATCCAGTAACGGCGAGTCAAGCTTGTCGACGTAGTATTTGTCAAGCCATGCTCGTAGGGTGTTACACACTCTGCAAGACAGTTCAGCTCACGAGTGGGATTACACCGCACCGACTCACCTCAGGCGCAGTGGAGTCTGCTTCTGTCTCGTCCAATCCGACAGTTCCACCGAGGTCAAGCCGGCGGGCGGCTCGATATAGTATCGCTGGAGAAGGCTATCCAGCAGTTCCTGAGACGAGGTGAAGGATCGAAAAGTGAGCATGAAGGCTTGGAAGAAGCTGGTATCTGCGATATCTCTTCAGTCCTCCAACTTCATCATCTGGTGATACTCACCCGTCGAGCCATAAGGTGTCAATCTCGCCACGAGAGCCCTCAATGATCCCGCTCTGACTCCACCCTTGTCGTCAAACATGAGCTCGGACGCTTCATAGTCATTCCCAAGATACCAAGGTGTCTCGGGGACCTGTTGGATGGGTGGCGCGAGAGGTGGCGGTAATGGGTGACCCAGGGTCGATACGTCTTCCCCGAGCAATTTGGCAAGCTTCTTCGACGTCTGTCGCGACTTGGCGTTGAGCCGTCCTGGAGAACCCGTCAGTCAGAAGTGGATCCAAAGGAGGAGAAAAAAGAAGAAGACTACTCTCACCCTCATCTGCATCGCTTCCAGAACGACCACGCATAAACCTCATCAGACTACTTCGTTTACCCTTTTGACTCGCAGTGTCGCTATCTGACTTTTGATATGTCAACGATGTCGTACTGCTCGTCGCGGAGATCTCCCCTGGACCAGGCTGCGGAACGGCTCGTCGAGGCAGTGAGACTTGAGAGCCACTCGCAGAAGGCACAAGCTCTCCAGCTTGATCACGTAGCTCCTCGTTGAATTCACCTCCAGCGTCCAGAAATTCCTCTTCTAAACCTCGGGCAGTGCGTTTGGGGATGGTAAGTTTGCCAAGGCGGGATGGGGGAGAAAGCTCTGGACGAACGTAGGATGGTGACCGATGCCCGAATTGTCCAAGGACAAGTGACTGATCGATCATGCTGCGTTGGATGGAGGAGATATCCAGAAGGGATCGAACAGTGGCCATGGTGGCCTCGGTTACGGTGGCCAGAGCGGTCAGATCAGGAGGACTCGAGGTACTCGTCAGGGCCGAAGCAATGAACCTGTGGAGACGGTCTTCGACCGACTCCAAGTCTCCAAGGGCTATCCTAGCTCGTCTGACCAGCTCCGAGTACGCCTTTGCGTTCGCCTCCTCCGCACCTACACTCGCGTCTCCATCCGTATCGATGGAAGACGCCACATCCACGGACAAGAGCAGTGTCAGGAACGTCGACATCAGGCGCACGTGATCGATCACTGGATCTCCACGGCCGATAGAGTCAGATAGAGCGAGTCTGACCTTGTCGAGCTCCTCCACCGTAGCGCCATTCAACGCTCGCAGGACTTTGCCTTCCTTGACCTTGCCGAATCCAAACCTCCCACTGAAAGGCCAGCCGAATCCATCCGTGCTCAATGTGATCTCCCTGATCTTGCCCTTGACTGCATCTTGAGCTGCGGCCGTAGTTCCAGGACTGACAGAAGCAGGAAAGAGGGCAATGACATCGTTCAGCTTTGATGCTGATCGCATGACTTCATGCCACGTCGTCGTGCCTGAATCGGAAAGTCGGTGTGAAGTGGTGGCGGCATGAACATTGGCCGAGAGTAGACCTATGCTGCCTATCAATGTCATGTCCCCGACCCATTTCGGCCTGGGCATGTCCGCGTCCGCTTCCAAGGGTCCAACGTATCCGAATGCAGCGAACAGATCTCGTATGGCGGCCAACGTCGACAGGTGGGCGATCTTGAGAGACGCTTCTGCCGCTTCTTCCCTCGCCAAAGCCATGACTACATCTGATTCCGATCCCAAGTCATCCGCCCGAGAGACTTCTTCCTCGGCTGAAGATCCAGCGACGCAGGCTTCGAAAACGTCTCGTAGACTCTCATTGACGTTTTCAATCATTTGCGCCATGGTTGGCGGTGTGTGTCTTGGTATACGTGCTCTCACCCTTTCACGAGTCTGGCGTGCCCAGTCGTCCATTTGACGGCGTCTCAAGTCGAGCGATCGGCGAGGTTGAAGCGTGCGAGCAGGAGCTTGAGGAGGAGGGATCGAAGCGATACTCAGTCTGTTCATGTGATCAGACGTGTCGCGCATGATGGGTGAAGGGGGATTTTTTCGAGTGTGTCCAGTGACCGTGTCGACATAATACCATCCTCTACCATCGTCCGTCATGCGCATTGTCCATGGCTCGGGGAGATCGCGTGATCGAGGTGGGGGTTGAAATGACTCAATCTCCCCAGAGGGAGCAGGAGGTCTGTCAAGGCCAAACGAGCCGCCGCCGCCCAACCTGGCACTGGCGTAGACCGCCGCCGAAGATGGACCAGCTCCAGACGTTGCAAACGAGCTGCTGAAAAAGTCGTCGTCGTCGTCGCCTCCATCAAATGTTTCTGACCCTTCAGATGGCAAGCGAGTGGGTAATTCCCAAGCGTCCTCGCCGGTCAGCTCATTGTGGTAATACACCTGGAGCGTCAGCCCACAACGTCTCTGAGGTTTGAACGAACCTGACCATCCGGAGTCATCGAAGGGACCCAAGCGTCCATGCCCCCCCCACTGGACCCTTGCATCTTTTCTGAACTTGTGTGGGATTCCATGGTGGCACGTTGTAGTTCTCTGACTGTATCTGTCGTTTCTTGTCTCTGTCGACCCCATGCTCCAGGCTCAAAGTCGTCTGCTTTAGGTGTCCCTTCTCCTTCCCAAGCCATCTGTTGACGTCTTTGCCGGTCCCTTGCGGCAAGTGCAAACTCGTCTGTTGGTCCATTTGTCTCGACTGTCGATGGATCCAGTCGCCGCCGACGATGGTGATCCGCTGCAGCTTCAAAGTCGTCGTCCTCTCCTTGTCCCATCACTTCTCTCGCTAGATCCCCTAAACCCACACTGCTTGTGAAATCGTCGTTGACATCGTCCCATGATCTCAGCGCGAGGTCGTCTCCAGTAGTAGATAAGCTCATGTGAGAACGACGAGACACCTGCCTGTCGACAGATCTCCGTTGTCTGGATGGTCCAGCTTGAGCGGATCCAAACGAGTCGACGGGGGAATATGCCTGAACCTCTTCACCTTCCTCCTCTTCGTCGTCCTCCACCACCAAATCTACATGATCCATTATAGACCTCGGGTCCATCCCTTGCACATAGTTGGAAGGGAACCATCCTCTCTCTCTTCCCAACAATCCATCCCACCATCCACTCTCGAGCCGAGTGATGACCTCGATGATATCTCCCGCGCAGAACGACAGTGCAGATGGATCAGTCGCCGCAAAGTCAAAAATGGCCCTGACGAAATGTCTTCCGTCAAAGGGATCGTTCTCGACGGGTGGTGGAGTCTGAGGAGGGATCCCGCTGGCACTTCCTCCAAGCCTGCTAGGTCCAGCTCGACTGGACGTGGGCGGCGTGCCATGCATGCCATCATTGACTGGTAGAGGTGAAGATGAATTTGGATGAGCCTGTCCATTGGAGAGCAAGGGGCGAGACGGCGTGGTGGAGGTCGAAGGAGGGGCAAGTTCATCCGGTGAAGGTGGATACGTCCCCATATCCATCCTATCTTTTGCGACTAGCGCTTCCAATGCATCGTGTGGTGAGATGATGGATGCAGTGGAGTACGGTCGAGAGAAGGCATCGGTCATGGCAGATGAGTAGGTGAGGGGTGTTGTCTATGATCTGAGAGCGAAGAATTTAGGGGGGGTTTTGAGGAATGTTGGAGATACGATACCTCGAGTCCGAGCAGATGGGGGTTTAGCCGGGAGAGCTCAGGGGGAGATGGGTACAGCATGCACACCTCGGGGGACTGATTCAATCTAGGTGATATCAAGTCGAGTGTCTCTCTCCATGACATGAAATCTAAACCCTCTCGCGTGATGGTCGCTTGACAAGAGGTCGGTGCGAGGAAGAAAGCCCCCGGGGGAGGGAGCGGGGCCAAGGTAGGTATCCGATATAGGGTGGATGAACCGTATAGATGAAAGGAAGAACAGGTACTGGATGATTATATATCTGCTCCACCGTCTTCGAAGCTGGCTTGCCAAAGGGGACAAAAGGTCTTTGAAGTTGAGATTGAATGGAGAATGGTTGAAGTGTGAGCCGGGAAAAGGAACAAAAATGTACCTCGGACTCTTTGTTATTGTTATTGTTGTTGCTGGTTGCTGTTGCGGTCGAGGGTGGTAGACACTCCGTCTATATGAAGGAGGCGACCTCGAGGAATGGCCATTCAGAGGGGGCGTGGTTTCCTCAAGATACCTTACTCGAGGGGATGCTTCCGGTCGTTAAATTGCGTGAGGCGCTGGGTGGCGTTCATGAGATCACAGGCGGAGTCAACCTGGGCGCCGCTGAGCCCGAATACACAGAGGGAATGCCCGAATCGTGGAATGCTTGTAATCACCTCAAACGACGGTATCTGTCGCTTCGTTTCTTTCCATCAACCTCTCAACCTCCCATCAAGCTTCAAGCTTGGGAGAGTTACGGTCACAACTGCCAGTGACCGAACACTATCAACCCACCCTGACCTCGGCGGCTCCGCGAGACAACGACGCGACGTACCGAGACATCAGCTTTGCCTCAGGCTAGGAAGGAACCTACTATGCATAGTTCTCGTGTCGTCTTTATCACTCGGACAGGACAGGGCAGGTACACAGAAAGTCACGGGTGCACCAGGTCCCATGACTGCTCATGACGGCATACTCTTCTAAGCTAGCGAGCGGCAGCGAGCAAATGCATTCTTTCGGGATAGATAATGTACAAGGAGGACTAGGGAAAGATGAGGCGGCGTAGAAAGACACAATAGTACACAGAAGGGAGGGGCATCACAATGCGAGAAGCGAAAGAGAATAGAGCGGACAGTATGAACAAGATGCTTAAGAGGAGGTTGACTGAGCAGCGTAAACCGTTTTTGTGTACAGATTGGGTGATATCTGGTCCGTCGACAGGTTACAAGAAAGGCGATCGAACAATGCCTCTCAGAGTCGTTGAGTCGTATTCCATGCAACATGAGAGTCGTCTCGGAGAAGACAGTGTGGCTACTGCAAGACGACCGTCAGCTCAAGCACGACTTCCTCCACTCACGGCTCATGCAAAGTAATGTGTGTTATCACGCGACGCAGGATGAATCGGCATCTCCAGTTTGAACGCGTTGAGTCTGGTCAGGTCAGTCCAGTCACAAGGGTTTCAGCCAGCGGACAAAAGAAACTCACTCCTGCTTGATTTGCATGGCCAATTCTGGAGTCAATTGATTACACGTAGCAGGTCCACTCCGTCTATCATATGTTCCCGAATCGTACGTCGAGTACACGGCGCACGCCGGGGCCCAGATGATTCTCCGCTTAGCGGGTGTCGGTGCGGTCAACGCTCGCGGGACAAGTGGTTTACTAGAACCCAGCAAGGAGAGCGTCGGAGCCGACGTGTTGTGCGCGGGATTCTGGTATGGGAAGTGCTGGCCATCTGGGCCGGTGGAGAGACTTCCAGACAGGGAGTCGGCTGGCGATGCAGGTGTGGGAGAAGCAGTCATCAGGTGTTCGGTACGAGTAGTGTGATCCAGACCGTCAATTTTGTCGGCGTTGATATTCGGAGACGACATGGGTCCACGAGTCAAATGAGCCGTGTGATCAGCTGCGGAGCTTGACCGTTGACGACGAGCAGTAGCTTCGAGATCTTCCGAAGAGAGGGCGTCTGGAGGCATTCGTCCGTCAGCAGACAGATTCATTCTACCTGTCAATTCAAGGACTCACTCTTCAAGATACCCTTCCTCGGCACGGCATTCTTGTCGATCCATGCGTTGCCCCAAGCTTCTCTAAACGCTCTATCCGCAGCGCCATCACTCAATCTCGCATTAGCAAGATGAAGCGTGACATCTTCGACAGTTTCACCATCGGACGAATCGTCCGCAGAATCGTATTCATGTTCAGAGACCGCGACAGCATGGACGAGATTAGGCGGCTGACGAGACGCAACGCGGACAATGGTTCCGGAGGGGGAGTAGACCGGACCAGATTCCTCGGTGACGCTAGAGATGGGAGGCAATACACCTCCATTTCGATTCGCCTTGTTGTAATCCCAGGCAAGTTCACCAGATACATCCGAAGAAGTCGTGGAGATCTGGCTCAAACGCTGAGCCTCGCGTTCAGAAGCCTCCGCTTTGGATCGAAGCGTATGCTGTCGAGCCAATTTGGCAGCAGGCGAGAGACCGGCAAGTACGCGATCTTCTTCTTCCCGTTCCGCTTCGGTCAACCCGGCCGCGAAGCGATCTTGCTCCGCCGTGGCATGAGACAACTCCACAGGCGCTGCTTGACCTTTACCACCTGCTACTGCTGCTGCAGCGGCGGCCTTTTTCGCCGCCTTCTTGTCCTTCTTTGACATTTTGGCCTCCTTCTCAGGTAGCGCAGCGTCTTCATCTTTCGGCTTGTCTTTGAAGATTTTAGAGATCCCCATGAGGCTACAAACGAAAGCGGCGGCTCAGTCATGTCATGTCATTGCGGACCAGAGTCTGCTCACCTGTTTCGTCTCGCGAGTTTGCCCAAGCTTCCCATCTTTCTGATCATCATACTGGCCGAACTGACCGTAGAGCTCAACGAAATGTTATCCGTGGACATGTTTCTCATCCTGAACAAGCTTCGCTTTTTACCTCCAGATTGGTTCAGTTCACTGAATGACGGCGCACCAGTCGCTGTCCGTTCAGTATACGCAACGGATATCTCGCTCCCCATCGCTTGTGGATGAGCGACGGTGAAAGGGGCAGATGGCGTCGCGAGATCCGAAGCTTGGGGTGGGGTAGTGGGTGGAGTGACGGAGTGATTGGAATTGAGGGACGGAGAGTTTGCATGTGTTTGCTTCGTGATGGCTGACGGTGCTGCGGCGGCGGAGGAGGAGGAGGAGGAGGAGGAGGATTTTTTGCTCGATGCCGCTGCGTCCTTCTCCAGCGCCTTTTTCAGTCGACTCTTCAGGCCATTCTTGACCTTTTCAGGCGGAGACGCGGGCGTTGGTGCGACCGCGGTAGCATGTTGGGACAGCGGAGAGGGTCTTGACGCGTGAGTTGGTTGAGGCGTATTGGTCCCGTTTGCGATAGGACCCGAATGCAGGGGTTGAGACTGTTGGTTTGAAGTCACCGCCTTGATGGTCGGTGCGGGAGAGGTGGAGCTTCTGACGGATGGAGCGGGTGAGGTAGACAACTTGGATCGATCCATGTGCGCGGAATCCTTTCTCGGAGCGATGGGTGGGCGTTGAGCATGTATAGATGAAGATGGTGAATCCATAGATGATTGGCGATGATGGTGATGATGCTGCTGATGATGATGCTCAAAAGATTCTGAACTGTCAGAAGAGAGTCGTGAAGGATAGGTCGGGAAGGCAGGGGTAGAAGTGGATTTTGGAACGGTGGGAATGTTCTCCTTGGCCGGTTTGATGTCGTTCTTCTTGTATGGGTGCGGACCACCGTGTCCATGGACGTGACTTGGTCCCGATATCGATTTGGAAGGGTGAGACATGCCATGGTGGTCATACTGAGCGTCGTAAGGGTGATGATGCTGATGCAGAACGTGTTGGTTGTATCCATGAGATTGCGATGGTCCTGAATGTGTGCGTTTCCTATCTCCTCCTCCTCCTGCTCCTCCTCCGCCGCCGAATTCTGTCAATGGTGGGGGAGGCATACCTTGTCCATTGGCATAATCACCGCTCGCAGCCATGGAGGCAGCCATCATGTGGTGATACGCGTTGGCCCAAGCTGCGAATTCGGCTGGTGTCTGAGCGTAATTGGGATAGACCTGTTGATGGCCATAAGGGGGTAGCATGGGAGGTGGATAGAAAGAGTTAGTCGGCAAGGCAGTGGTGGACCATGATTGTGAGTGAGGAAGGGAGTACATGGATGATGGTAGTGAAGGTCGTGGTGGTGGTTGAGGAAAGTAGTTGGGTGCGCCAAATGGCTGAGAGTGGACGTAGGGTGAAGAGGACGCTGAACCGGATGCACTGGAGTTTGTCCGAGAGTGTGAAAGAGATTGACTGCCAGACGCTGCGTGGGCGTAGGTCTGAGGTCTGACGGCGGGAGAAGAGGAACGGGATGTCGAGTGATAGCTTTGAGCTGATCGTGAGCGGGTTTGATCAAAGGAAGCGGAGCGATCCATAGGTGGACGGGGCGGTGGAGCCGCCGCCTGCATATGGATGGCGGCCATTGGGAAGGGGGGAGCGAGCTGGTCGGTGCGATAGGAGAGGGGCTGTTTGCTCTGCTGCAACGAAGAGATGGTACCAAGCTCGTCATCAGCAGTTGGTCTCTAGATTGGAATGAACAACTCACACTCTCGCGGCGTGAGGACTTTCAAAACCTCTTGCCAAGTCAATGCTGAGGATCTGACCTCTCGATCGACTCGGACTGTCCAATCTGGAGTGAGGTTGCGAGACAAGATGGAGAGAGATGGACTGTGGTGGTTGTGAACGAAGGCAAGGCGGTTTGCAAACGAGTTTTTTCCTCCACTCGGTAGCGGACAAATGGAGACTACGAATGGCGATACAGAATGTTTAGCTGCCGGCTCTTTGTTGGTTGTTTGAGTTTAGGGAACGGGGAGGTGTGTGTGGACAGTGTGGTATGGATACGTCGAGAGAGATGGAGGAGCTTCATCCAGTTGATGGATGGTAAAGGCAGGTCCAAGCTGCGGACACGCGTAAAAGGGGGAAGGGGGGGGAAAGGTGAAAGGGCGAAGATGAGGAAGCAGAAGAAGAAGAGGTCATAGCTTTGTGATGGTGTGGAAGGGATGGAGGTTGTTGCGACAGCTGTTGCTCACCAGGTAGATTAGATGTCCTGTGGTGATCCCATGGAAGCCAGCTACATTCACGTTCTATACGTCGTACTGGTCGTTGAGAATGAATGACAAGGGAGAGAGAGAGAGAGAATGAACGAAGTGATGTTGAAAGGGTCTCCCTCTCCTCCTTTTTTCTTCTTGGGACGGGAATAGCGACTTGACGATGATGGAATGACTGAAACACAAAGAGAGAGAGCGGGTAAGCGCGAATTCGTTCTTGGTGATTGGACAGGGCAGATGCGTGCACGGCTATTGAGTCGTGTGTTTGACTTGTCTCGTGGAAGATGGGTTCAAATGGTCGTGAGGTGAAGCTGCAGAGAAACACAAAGGAGAGAGGAACGAGATGGATGAGCAGATGTGTGGTCTGGGTGGGTTGTGTTTTTTTTTTCCAGAAATCCGTCCGACCTGAGGCGGTGTGTGATGCAGAGGGATGGAACGAACGCTGTACAGATGATGTCGCGGCGCCTCTTGGTCAATGAACAGCTCGTCACTGACTGACAAAGAGCTCGCGGTGAAATCGTGGATAGGAGGGGTGGAGAGAATGAGGTGGGGGTTAGGCCAACTCAAAGGAAAAGCTTCTAGCCTAGGTATTCCCCGAGGACCGGCCGAACGGTCATCTTTCTTTTGGTAAGAGGGTTTGGACCGACGCGAGGTTGCAGCTGGGTGTGGGGCTAAACGGAAGGATGCAAGGTGCAAGTTCGCCCAGCCTCGAGTCAAAAAGTGCCAGGCGATTCACGCTCGCTCGCTGTCTCTTTGAAAAGAGAAGCTGACTTGGGAGTACCTTGAACGTGGTGACATCTCGGAACGACGTTGGTCCCCCGGCTCGAAAAAAGACCTTCCTTGGGAAAAGAAACAAGGGAACCTTTGCTCACCTCTCTGTGATCCCTCCTGTCTTCAGCGAAGGCGACACTTGAGCTCGCCAGTGCCTGTTGGATGGCCAGGTGTCTCTTTCCGAAAGGTCTGTCTCTATGAAGAGGGTTGATCGCTCCTCTCCTCCCGTGAGGAATTGGGCGTTTGACCGGGACACTGACCGGGGAGAGAGAGAGAGTGAATGATGAAAACGTCTATTTTTTGATCCCAGATTCGCTGCACTACGCTACTCTCCTCATCCCACGTTGATGGATGCGATGATACGTCTGGTCGAACTCATTTGCTGTTGGTTTGGTCGTTCAAACAAACAACAAGACGATACCTGAGGATGTGGCGACAGACATGGCACAACCAACTTGCTTGGGATGACTGATTATTAGACCATATTTTTCTCATTCTCATCTTGACCCGATACTCGAGGTATATCATATCCTCAATGGACTCATTTACATGCTTACATCACCCAAACCCTCTCACAAGTGATTGGGGCACCACCGAAAAGCAGTATACCCGCTGGTGAACTGACTCAACGCAGCGTGCTGTGGCCAGCCAGTCATCTCAAACGGTGCGGACGTCTCATTCCTCCCGTCCATTCCCGCCGATAAAGACCAAAGCCGCCGAGATCGACACGTATTACGACGTCAGGTCAGACCAAGCTTGGCACCTGAATGTGGCATTTTTGATACTAGCTTGAATCTACTGACTCCAACCGACCGCTCACGACCAAAACACCTTCTTCTCACCCTTCTTTCTCCACGATTCCCTCTGCCTGCTCAACTCATCGTCTACCCTCACTTGATCCATTCCAAGCGATTGAGCATCACACAGCTCATCCTCATCCATGATCCACCAGCCGGTAGGTCTGTTGTCCCGACAAGCTGACACGGTGGACGACGATCCTCTCGGCGGCACCACCACCCTCTTCACTATCCCACCACGCTCCTCTCGAAAGCTCAAAGCCAATTTTGATCGGCTGATTCCCTTGCTCATCCTGTTCAACGCCCTCGCAAAATCATCCATCTTCGTCATCGCGTTCTCTTTCCGTTCATTCGCCTGACGCTCCTCATGATCCCTCGACTTGAACGCCCTCTCGCCGTACATTCGTCTCCAGGTCCCCGTCGGGATTCTCCCATCCATTTCGAGTCTCCAGACCTCGGCTTCAATCTCATCGTATCCGAAACATTCATGCACCACTTCGCCGACCCAAGATGGAACACCGCGGCTCGCTGCGCGTCGTCGTCGTCCACGTCCATCACCACGACCTGCTGCAGCTTCGGCGGACCGTTCGTCCAGAAAACTAGGTTGTTTCTTCAATCCTCCAGGACGAGCGTGCGTGAGGGCCGTCGCGCCGCGAAGATCGCCTGGACGAGATTCACACCGGGATATCCGGCTTGATCTTCGTTTGGCACCGCGTACGCCTGCTGCTCCTGCTCCTCCTCCTCCGACAAGGTCCCAAGCGCCGAAGGCACCCGGACCACGCTCGAATGGATCCCTCCATCCAGGTTTGTCCTCGTCCTCCCAGTATTTTGCCAACCCTTTCTTCTCCTTGACCACATCCCCTCCCATGACTTCCACTGCCCATTCCCAATCTTTCTCCGCGCGTCTCAGATTCCGCTTCACACGTTCTCTCGCCACATTGAGGATCGCAGATGACGTCGACCACCATTCGTCCAGCTTTCTCTCCCATTCCCTCACAAGATCCGGTGGGAAAGGAGACGTATGAAGTAGGGTCGTGCTGACCAGATTCCTGGCATAGAGCAATTGTCTAGCCAGCGATAGACAGTGGAGCAGTCGAAGTAGGTGAAGCAAGGCATTTCGATGATGTGGGAGAATGGTATCGGTCGGTGTGGATCCGTCGCCAACGACGGGAGCAGAGCTCATCTGAGATGATGATTCACCGAGGCTCATGGCGGGGGATGAGGGAAGAGGCATGTCGTGTGCACCGAGATAGGCCGGGGCAGTCGTAAAAGTAGCTGATGTATCGCTGGAGGAAGATGCAGGATTCTCCAAAGGTCGCCGAGTGGTGGTCTGGCTAGCGATCCGAGGCATAGGCATCGTGGTGGTAAACGGGAACGGTGTCTTTCCTCTGAAAATGGACAGATAGACAGATGCAAGGGAGCCACCGTCTTGAGAATTAACATCTGGGGATGGGTCTGACCACGGTTTACGAGGTAAGGGCGGTGGTGGATGTTCAGGTGGAGGTTGAGCTGGTGGAAGTCTGAAAGAGAATGCTGGTCTGACGTTGATCTTTGGCAATGTCGGAGGCTTGTCCAGGCCATCGGGGAAAAGCTGAGAGAATCGGATAGGTGTTGCCGATTGATATGATTCGCCTCGCGGTACAGGGACCCTTTGAGCAGTCTGGATAGAGGAGTGATGATCGTCCAGGGTGACAGAGACGACGGATGACCTGGATGATTGGGGATGGTCGGCGGCGGCGTGAGGAGAAGCCACTTGAGGAGGATAGGATAAAGGTCGGCCGAGAGGATGAAGCATTCGGGATGGACCTCCTTGAGAGCTGTTGGCGGTGGGACTGTGTGTCCATGGTTCAGGCATCGTCATGCAGAGTCGAGTGGTGTCACGAGGTTCAGACTGATCGTATTGGATCTGATCCAATTGTTCGGGTGAATAGCCTTTCGTTGGCGAGATTGTCACCCTGACTTCAGGTAATGTCGTGCTTTGCGCTCTGGCATGTTCAGGGATCCAGGGGCTCATCTGATCAGGTGCCAACTCTGGTGGAGAAGGCAACGTCGTTTCAGGCATACGATCACGTCCGACAGCTGATTCAGCGGACAGGCGACGGGACGACCGCCAGCTGTTACGTCCTTGGTTTGACAGCTTTGTTGAAACGCCAAGAGTGGTGTCGACAACTGGGGCAGAAACACGTCGATAGTTCTCTTCTACTACTACCTTGGGGGGTGGGGATATCGGACCAAAAGTCTGTCCAGACCATCTGTTCTTGTTCTTACGGGATATCGGAGAAGCAAGGTCTAGCATCTCGGGAGGGATAGGCGAAGGCTCTGATTCGCTAAAGGTGAGGTCGGGTCCATCTCTAGTCTCCTGATCTTCATCGCATCTTCCATGCCCTCGATGTGCCTGCGCTCGATCCTCAAAGGAGGCTCTCCGAGGTGGTTTTGTCAATCTCGGTGGTCGACCTAATGGCAGATTCATAGGGACCTCAAGTTTAGGTCGAGGTGAGAGAAGGTTCAAGATCTTCTTGTGTGTCGGTTGATGAGGTGGCCCTCTGGGTCTCCAGATGGGGATAGGCCAGCTTGATGGCTCAGGTGGAGAGGATGGGAATGGCATCTGAGGCGGAGCGGGTGAGTAAGCCGGCGATTGGAGCTTGCTAGTGAGCTTCGTCTGCCTTCTATGGTCAGGCGCCCTGGCTGCCGTGATCCTTCATCGGTTCGTAGCCAATGATTTAAGCTGATCCACAAGTTGTCTTCCGCAGACTCCGCAAGACTGTCCAAAGGTCGTAGCAGGATCCAAAGTCTTGCACCTCTTTCCCCAGAGGCCCAGGATTTCTTCGGTAGTGACGTTTGAATCTCCAGAATGTGTCTCACCTCACGTCAGGTTCAATGTGTTCATTCACACGTTCAGCTCTCCTCTGAGACAAAAATTGTCCATCCAGACCTGTGAGTCATGTGTTGAACACTGAACCGAGGCCCATGAGGTGTGAATCATGGGTGTAGGATCGAAGTGAGCCCTCCTCGATGGATGATCATTCGCACCCTTCACTCTCAAGATGTTTTCGGCTCTCCCTCCCTCCCTCACTGCCCCCAGCCTGTTGCCCTTCTGTCGCCTCTCCCATTTCCCCCCACGGTCCAACTCCAATCGTATAGCACGATTCAATACCTTTTTCCCTTTTCCTTCTCTTAGGACCACTTTGAAGACCAAACAGTTCTCTCAGCCCAAGTCTTTCTCGATACGGCGTCAGATAAAACCCTGTACTAAGCATCTTGGATCTCCTGGGTCCAAACGATCAGACATGACAGGACTGCATCGAGAACGCGCTGGCGTTTTGAGCCATTCGGATCTAACAAATGATATTGGTAGAAAGGAAGAAGCATTTCAGTTTTAGGCGATCGGCTATGAGGTTCCACCGGATAGTTAGAGGATTAATTGGCTGATGGACCTTCTGGCGAAACATGACGCACCCTCCCATACCTCCTCTTGACTCCTCCTCTTACATGTCATGTACTGTCTGGCGCACTATATACGTCGTTCGAAAGAACTGGAGTCTCTTCTACCCGAGAATCTGCTGCTCTAATTACAGATTACACCCCCTTGGTCGTCGGCTTTTTTTGACCACACCGGCAGAAAAGCAAACCTCTAAATCCCCCCCGTCTCCTGAGCGTGTGCCATGAGATTCACTCACGCCCGCAGCCCATTCCGCACAGATGAACATACGCCCAATCATCGACCCCCATCCAGAGGCTCATACTTCCAGATCCTAGCCATGCAGTCTCCACTTCCACTGGCGAGATGATTACCCGTCTTGGCCAAGTCGATGGAGATGACACTGTTCTTGTGACCCTGAAGCATGAATTGAGCCTGACCAGATGCCACGCTCCAAAACTGGATTGATCGATCCTTGGATCCAGAGACGACCCACTGACCATCAGGCGAGACAGCGACGGAGAGGACGTAATCCTGCTCGCGGTTGTGAGCTACATGTGCGCGCTTTCCACAAAAAAGTGAACACCCACCTTGTGTCCGTTCAGTGTCGACTGACACACGCCGAGACCCTTGTCCACGTCTTTTGATCCAGGGGGAGCATTCTCCACCGCACGCTTGGTCTGGGTGAGATCCCAGACGCGTAATGTTCGGTCCAGAGATCCCGAAACCAATGTCTTGCCGTCAGGTGAGAACGCGACGCTGAGGTGGAAATTGTCAGACAAAAAAGCGTCCGAGACGTGATACCCACCTGTACACGGAATCTTTGTGTCCCTTGAGTCTCTCCACCTGCTGTCCGGTCTGGACGTTCCATACACGGACCATTGTGTCGAGTGAACCAGCAGCGACAAGCTTGCCATCGGGCGACACTGAGTCCGAGGTCAGCTCTGAGCACACACACCAATATTGCCTGGGAACAGCTCACATGCTACCGACGTGATCCCTGCATCGATCGGCCCATGCTCGTTGTGGATAAAATCCTCGATCCGTAGATCCACCACACATTGACCCTTCTCAATATCCCACACACGAGCCGACTTGTCCCCTGACCCGGAAACCAGGAATCGGCCATCACGAGAAAAGTCGAGCGAGTAAATCTCCTGCATGTGTCCCTGGAGCAGGTGTCGAATGCGTTTCTGTTTGATGTCCCAGATCTGCCAAAGAAAGTGAGCCAAACTCGGGTGGGGGGAAGAACTGTCACACTCACCCTGATCTGCCTGTCCTCTGCCCCTGTGGCCAAATACTTTCCATCCGGACTGAAACAGATACTCCTGATATACAGATCGCCAGCTCGGTTGTTCGTTTCGTCCAACAAGACTCTGCAGACTTGTGTGTGAGCTAAAGCGCCTGCAGAAACACCGCGCACAGGCACTCACGAGACCTTGCGTCCATCCTTCACGTCGTAGATCTGAGCGGTCCTGTTGCAACCCGTAGCGAGGTACTTTCCATCATGTGAAAATTTGACACAGCACACAACACTTTTGCCAAGGTCATTTTGGGGGCATTGTCTCATCCACGCGCGCGCTCACGTCTCATGACTCAGGGTGTGGACCAACGAGACATCCAATTGCTTCTTGCTCTGACTTGACCACACCGCGAACCAATCACTGCCCTCCTTTTTCAACTCTCTAGAGACATTCTCCGGATCGAGATCTGATAGGAGAGAAGGTGGAGAGGTGGGATGCGGTCGTTCGCGCCTGTCGGTGGAGACGGCTCCAGCTCCAGCAGGGGGAGGATAAGGTGATCGACCTGGGGAGGGGGGTATCATGAGTCTCTGTGAGATGAATGCGCGACTCACCCGACTCGCCGTTCAATGGTGGTGGTCCACCCCCCGCGAGACTCCCTGGGAGTTCAGGTCGAGGGTAAGACGGTCTATCTGATTCGCCTAGACGTGATGGTGATCCTGGTCCCGCGATAGCAGCTGCAGATCCGCCACGCGCCTCGAGTTCTCTCTTCAGACGTGCGATCTCGGCCTCGTAGCTGTGGAGGGAAAGAGTGAGTGGATTGGCCTCCTACGTATTTGGGGAAGCTTGAATCGACTCACTGCTCCCTCACTCTCTGATGCTGTGACTCTAGCTCGTACAGACTTTGCCTGATCAAGCCTAGCTCGTTGATCTGGACTTGCACTGTGGACAGTGATCAGCGAGCCCTGACGACGCAAAGTGGACGCGTAGCTCGACCCGTTTTGAGATGCTCACTCTTTTGCTCGTATTCGTCCCTCTGAGCTCTCCACATCGCTCCATCCTGTCCCGTAGCTTCAAACTCATTCTGAATCAAGTCGAACAATTCATTCAATCTCGGATTCTGTGGTCCCGACGTGAGAACACTCGGATTGCTCGTGGTTGATGTTGGAGGCAGACGATGATGCTGTTGTGGTCGTTGCGGGATTTGAGGAGGTGGTTTGTAGAGTGGTTTGGAGTTGGAAGGATGATGCATCGTGAGCGGCGATGTACGGCGAGGAAGGGGCGGGGGAGGATGTCGACGATGGTGTTGAGAAGGAGGGAAACAGGAGAGAGAGAGAGGGATGATCAGCAATTTTGGTCCGTGATAATAATATTAATTTTTTGGCAACTTCGGTCGACGGAGCGGGGGGGGGGGGGGGGGGGGGAGGCGAGGCTATGACACTACGGTCTCTCCAGTGTCGCTGGACTTCTCTTGTGACTTGATCACGAAGCTTGCTATGAACGAGTACCAAAAGAGATGCACAGTCTCAGGAGGCAAGCGCGCAGGAGTATGTATGAATGATAAAGTGACAGGAATAGATCTGGGTTGATTGGGTCCTATCGGGGTAAGGGGAGAGAGAGGAAAGGGGTGTCAGGAGAGGCGCCGCCGCGTGGAAACCGTAATATGGGAGAGAGAGAGGGAGAGAACGTCTTGCTCTGATCTGGACCATGAACTCACGTTGTAGATGCCCGGAGGCTGCATATTTGAGGACAAGTGAAGTGGCGAGATGTGATTGAAGCGGTCTCGAGGTGGATGGATGGTGTCTTTCCAAGATGGAATTGTTCGGGAGAGAGAGAGAGAATGAGAATGAATGAATGGCGGGGGGACGAAAGGAGTATGTACATGGCTCACCGCAGGGAAGATTTTGGTTCCGTGCCGTTTTGGGCTGGCGATCTGTGCCTGATGAAGGGGGGGACACAGCGGCATATTACGTCAGCTAAACTTACCACGCGACAGCCACGCGACGACGACTCGTCCATCCCTTCGTGCGCGATTGGCTTTTCAACAACATAACTGTCAACTTTCTCGAGTGCATACCGCATCAAGAGATCACCATGTTCAACACACCACCGAATCCACATGACCCGACAGGCCCATCTTCCTCTTCTTCATCATCTCACACACCATCAGCTCCGGGACCAGCTCATCGTAGACGAGCACTGCCGCCCAGATCATCCCTCTCCAACTCGTTCTCCTTTGCGCCGCCGCCCATCACCCCTGCTCATCCGACATCGGCGACGATAGGTGGGCATGCCATGGATGTGTCAGATATAATACAAGATGGAGATACATCTTACTCCTTCTCGTACGCTGCCATGCCAAGGACAGCGACTCGCATAGCTGCCCAAGGCAACAGGGGGATCGCTCAAGTCTCACCGCGAGTCAGACCGTCTTCCTCCTCGTCTGCTGCACCTCATCGCCCTTCATCAGAGAGTGCAAGGGCTCGGACCACCATACCCAGACATAGAGATGCTCAAAAACGGAGATCGAGGCTCGCCGATCGGAGCTCACCGGAACGTGCTGAAAAGGTCTCGCCGAGAAAGAGGACGATCAGAGGGGCTGAAGAGATGGACGAGGAACAGGAAGAGGAAGAAGAAGGAGGAGGAGAAGAGGATGAAGAGGATGAAGGAAAGACCTGGGATATGGTGGATTCAATGAGACTGTGGAGACACGATGCGATCATGCAGCATCTGTATGATACTGCAGCTTTCTGGGGAGACAAGATCTTATCCTGGACAGGTAAGCCACCATTTTCAATCCTCCTCTTTAGCCATCCAGCTCACACAGAGCAGCCGACCCGAACGATGCTTTTTGGCTCGCTCAGACCCATTTCCTCACCGGGCATTATCTTCGCGCCGAAAGAATATTGACAGAACCCTTGCCTCCACCGTCACGGGGTGGTCTACCTCGAAAAGATTCACTCAAGGAGAATGGGATTCACGGCATGTCGAAAGGCAAGAGCAGGATGGAGGAGACCGAGGACGCGATGAATGGGCACCTGTATTCGCCCAGAAGCGACTTGGATGGAGAGGGAACGTTGAAAGGGAGACCCAAACTCATCGACGAGAGCTTGGCTTGCCGTTACCTTGCTGCGCAGTGCTTGGTGAGTGTACGAAATGTAACTTCCGCTCACCTCTTATCTCAGGTCCAGCAGGAGAAATACCAAGAAGCGTTGGAACTGCTGGGAGAATCGAATCCATTCAGAGAAAATGGTGAGTCATTGCCAACGAGGTTTGACGCTGAATGCATCGTAGGATCAGCAGGAGGACCCGCTACCGAACCTCATCCAGATGACGGGATCAAAGTGAGCATTGGAGATCCGGACAGGACTTGGACTCACAACCTAGCTTCACTCGTCCATCTGCCATCTTCGTGGTCTGCTCCACCTCAGGCTGTCGTCTTTGGCCTTGGCCAAAGAGTCTTTCATGGAAGCGTTGATCATTGACGTGAAGAACTACGAGGCATTCAGGGAGCTTGTCGAAGGGGAAATGATGTCTGCCACTGAGGGTGAGTTTCGACCCCCTTGCACGGGAAAATACACGGACTGAGCACACGATAGAATGGACATTTGTCCAGAATCTGGCGTATCGCTCGCAGCTTGCAGACGATCAAGCCATGTTTGTTAAGCTCATGTACATTACAAAGTTGAAAAAGGTGAGTGAGCTAGCTTGTTGGCGAGTCGACGACGGTCGAGAGCTGACGGGAAACGAAGGACAATCACATTCACGACATTTCACGCGCGAGAACCGAACTGGTCAATACCTATGCTCTACAAGACAACTGCGATGTGCTCGTGGGGTTGGCAGACGAGTTGTACGCAAAGTACAAGTGGGAAGACTGTTACGCAGTCACTTCAAAGTGAGGAACCCTTTTCTCCACGCGTTGTCAGCTCATTCACTGTGCAGGATTCTGAGTCGTATTCCCGGTCATTCCACAGCTTTGCCTCTTCACCTCGCATGTATGCACCACATTCACCGACTTCGATCGTCCCTCTTCATGCTCGCACATGATCTCGTCGAACAGGATCCTCAAGCAGCTACGACATGGTACGCGGTTGGATTATGGTATTTTTCCGGTAAACGATGGACAGATGCCAGAAGATACTTTAGTAAAGCCAACTTGATCGACAGTCGGTTCGCACCTGCTTGGATAGCCTTTGCGCATTCTTTCGCCTGGGAAGGAGAGCATGATCACGCGATCACGGCATACTCGACATCGGCGAGACTATTCCCAGGGTGAGCCAATCGTCTCTGTCTTTTCTCCCCACACGGGCTGACAATTTCTACGCCAAAAGGACTCACCTGCCACTGCTGTTCATCGGAATGGAGCACCTACAGCTGTCCGCTTCGACTCTTGCCGAGGAGTACTTTCGAGCCTCGGAGGCGATCAACGCTTCAGATCCGCTGCTTCTCAACGAGCTAGGCGTCGTCTCGTACAACAAGGAAGAGTGAGTCGCTTGGTACCGGGTGATGGTGCTGACACATGGCAGCTATCCCGAAGCCATCAGGTATTTTCAAAGATCGATCGACACTGCCAAGGCGATGCAAGGAGTCTCTTCGACATGGGCTGTCACGCACTGCAATCTAGGACACGCTTACAGAGTCACAGAGTGAGCTGTCTTTCTCCCATCGTCTTTTTTTGAAACCCATTTTGACACACCTCATAGCCAATTGGACAATGCCCAGGCAGCGTACGAACGCTGTCTCGCTCTGGATCCTACCAATGCGACCGCCTATTCCTCCCTCGCCATGTTGTGTCATCTCCGCGGAGACATTCGGACCGCTATACGACACTACCACGTTGCCTTGTCCCTCGGCCCTCAAGACCCCATGAGCACTGTCCTTCTCGAGATGGCTTTGAAAGAGCAAATGGAGCGATTGGGACCGACCACGCTGCCGGGTCTACCAGCCAGTATCGGAAGCAAAGATCTAGATCCGTTCAACGTCGCCAAGGTCAGTCAGCTTTTTATACCACCGGATGAATCAGCTGACAAACCGTGTCCCAGGGCAATCCATCGTTTGGACCTTTACCTATTGAGCTTGACCCAGAGACTCTGGCAGATGCAGGAGGCGAAAGTATCATTCATCCCGCGGGGGGATACGATACCACTGCGGACATCTCTGTTCTTGGTTTGAGGTCGATTGACGAGTCTGGCGTCGAACGATCCATGCGACGTCGCAATCGACGTGAGGGACCAAGGGACGCCAGCATGAGGCGAGTCGAACAGTCGATGATGGAGGAGGAGGAAGACGTAGGCGAAGAGGGAAGCACGATGGATATAGAGGAGGACTGAAGGGCGGGCGCGGGGCGTGCATAGCGTGAGTGAGTCGTTGAATTTCTCGAGCTGAGACTTGAACAGTTGAGCAGTTTATATCATCAATACTCATGGGGACGTGACATCCCCACTTTGCATAGTCCACATTTGGGGTTCCAGCGTCCGGACCATGGTCCACCGGACGTACTCGTCTCAGTCGTGATCCTTTCGTGTCGAGGGGTACTTAAAACTCTGACGTGTTTCTGAAAACGTCTTTCCTTTGACCTCTAGTGAATCGAGCTTTTTGAGCTTGGGATTTAGGAGGAAGCTTTGACTCCACCTATAAGTACGCTCGCCACCCTCTTTGTCGTCCGCTCTGTTACCCACTAACAACAGACTCACCCTGAACAAGCTTGGTTCCAGTATGGCTCGCCGTCATCGAGATGCTTCGTCACGACAACCAACTGCACGATTCGATCCTTCCACCCAGGACATCGCGGACACATACGTCCCCAAACACCGCTCGGCGAAGGATCAGACCAGTCATGGCTATAGCCCAGGACCACGGTGGTTTTCGAATGAACGGACTTACGACGATACCGTCAACACGGCCTCTATGCCGCCGTACCTCCACCACGGCACTGACGTGACGGACAAACGCCCACCTACCGTATACCCAAGCGAAGGCGGTACGACTGTAAGGCCTTCTTCGACTCTCGATGACGCTGCCCAGATCGACACTATGCTCACGATGCTCAATGATATCAAGAGACAAGTTGATTCCCCAATCGACACGATGACAGCAGAAATCAACACGTTGAGACAATCTCAAGAGGCACTTCGACAGCAACAATTGAAAATCCTTGATCAATTTACAGACGTTCAAAGGAATCTCAAGAACTCGCTCATCGCGATGAGGGGAAAGGCAGACCCTATCGGCTCGAGAAGCTGGTACCAAGGTTCCAGATCCTCTGGCTCAAGCACTAGTTCCGGTGATGAAAGTTGGCATGATGATTACCCTGGGTATAGGCCAACGGGGCATCATGTGAATCCCTCCATCCTCATCACTGAGAGGACAACACCGGAAGAAACCAAGCCTCAATGGACCAAGATCAGTGTGCCTGCTGAAGGGATGCAGGAACGTATCAGTCTTGTTCGTGTGAACGACGGACCGTGGAAGGAACAACTCGAGATATGGGTCCGGTCCGACGATCCCGATATTACCATTGTGAGTGTCGTGAGGGGGATAGACAGATGCGCCAAGATTAGGAGGGTTCATGTTGAATGATCCGTTCCCAGACACTTCGACTTGAAGATCCTTCTTCAGACGACCAAGAGCTTGGAGGCAGGACGAAAGCGTCTCGAAAGGAGGCTCATTCGCCGTACCCTACCAGAAGCGTCCGCTTCTCCGGCAATGTCAAACACCCGCAGTCGTCCCCAAGTGAATGGTCAGATGAACAAGATGCAAAGACGTGCCGCGATACCGCTTGTCGAACCCCCGGGTGAGGCTGTATTCCTTGCTTGCTCACCCTCAAGAGCATGTAGCTGATCTAACATATAGATGTACCGGCCGCAACGACTCTACAGTGGACACCAGACTTAGGACCCCCGGTCGGTCTCGAAGCGGTAGTCCTGTAGAGTCGTCCCGTGCTCGCAACAGAAAGGCTCCTTATGACGGACAGGACACCCCTCTTGGAAAAGGGCTGGCTGATACCAATTTGAGTGATGTCACCATTGAAGGCGGCACCAAACGCAAGCGACGTCCTTTGGTGAACCGACGGGACGTTGAAGCAAAGTACGACTCCTCAACGTTGCCTGATACTCAATCACCCTCGTACATCTCACGAATCAACAACACTGCCATCAAGACGAGCGATTCCGAGCCCCACAGGTCCACGAGACGACGACGTGGGAGAGATATAACGATGTCGACACAGGCCTGCACGCTCCTCCACGAGCAACGAGCAAACCAGTCATGCTGCCTCGACGCATGGCCGCGACCAAGTGGCACACGACAAACGTCGTTGGGGGCGAATGGAAACACCCGACAACAGGACAGATGCACCCGATGACAGGCATGCCAGCCGCGCCTCGAAGCCTTACCATCACAGCGGCCTCAACACCTCGAGCAGCACCCATTCCTCCAGCATCATGCGATCCGGTGGATGGGGCAGCACGTCTATGCCCCTCAGAAATGACCCGCTCAATGTGACTGCCTCGCTTGTTGGGGCGGCGTACTGAGTTCATCCTGTATACCTTTCCTCTTGATATGGAGCCACGTCACTTTGAGCGACCCAACTTGGATTATCCTGAACGCACGCGCATGCATACCCGTCCCAGAGCAGCTTGATTCAGAGCGTCGAGATGAGCATACTGTACCGCGCTCGGTTTCGAAGCGAATGTGGCACTTTAGAACCCCAATGCTCTGATGGAGCATGAAGGCATGGACTGTGTGAACATTCACACCAGGGACCTTTATTCTATCTGTGGTCAACTGCCTTGACGTAGAAGCACTTCGTGCTATGCAGATCCACACTGTCCTCGGCAGATGCCCGAAAAGCAACAGCAAGTGGCAGTGTGCTTCTCTCGGTCAATCTCCGGCCGGTCTGCCAATCGCCGGGGCGGGCGCGGCCAAGTGAGAGCATGCAGAGTGTGCGAAGCTTCTCGGGTTCTCACTCTCATCATGAATACACACCCTTTGTCGGCATACTGGAAGGAGATTCACTCAACTCCACGTTTCAGCATGTTGGGTGTGGTGTGTCCTTTGATTGAATGCTGGAAAGTCAAAGTTGTGCTGATGACCTCTGGGAATCACACGTGTGAGAGCAACTCGCTACCGCAAAGGTATATATAAACGAGCTCACCTTCTTTGCCATCGCATCACTGCCGAAACATTGCTTCTATCACTAGTCCATTCCAACCGCCCGGAAATAACCCTTGGCCTCACCTGGTCAATCCATTGCCAAACCAGAAGATACCTCACAAACATGGGCAAAGAGTCAGATCGCAGGTATCAAACCTCACGAAAGTCTACTGGCTCTATCTTTAACACACGTTACCACTCGCAAGGAGCTACTTACACCGAGTATGACCCCGTAGATACTCGGACGGGGTATTCCCAAACTAGAGACAACGGTCTTCAGAATTCACCTCACACGATGGGTGGGCAGCAAACAACTTACGCTGATAGTCCCACATTCGTGTATGTGCACAACGATGACGGATATGCAGATCTATCCAGCCAGATGAAAGCTCTTGAACGTAAATTCATGGAATTTAACGGTGGACTCCTCGACCTTGAAACGAACACCAACCTCAATCACAGTGCGGCGCTCCAGGCCACGGCGGGGATCCATCAGGAAATCTCCAAAGTCAATACTGCTTTATCAGCCGGTCTGGCCTTCTCAGAGGAGTACCAAGATGTCAAGAATCACCTGGTCAAGGCCTCCAGCATGGCCTCTGGTCTTGCTGACTTTCTCAACGGTGCGAACGGCACTACCACATATGGCAAGTATCCAGGCATGTCAACGGTCGGCAGTGAGGGCAGTGAGACTATACACATTAATATCGCGAATGCACGCTCAATGTTCCCAGCGTACCATACGGGGAGGAACGTGATGCCTGACCAAGTCCACGACGGGTATACGCAGGTGAGCTTACCGACTAGTCGTAGCTCTAGTGTTTGCCGATCATTACTGATGCTTTGGCAGAACGCTTACACGTTACATAACGGTGCTCCCAATGGCTATGTACAGCCCAATGTCTCCAGCCATAACCCTCCATCGATGCCTTCTACTTGCGGCGGCAGATCGAGCGGGCCTGGCTACAACATGACCAGGCCGCAAGATACTACTGCATGGTCACAAGGTGGTTATCTGCCGCCGCTGGACAGCGCCACTTGCGCCACTCGCGGGACCCGGACCCGCCACGAGACAGAGGAGAGTGACGAGATGTCCGCCTTCCATGTCGGCCAATCTGGTCCTCATCGACCAACGATGCGAACGGCCAGAGTGTACAGTGACGACGACTATCATCGCGGTCCTCCTCAGCGTAGCGGGGCTCAGCAATCGCCATGGACTGAGAGCGATGACGGTGAGTACGTTTGAGTACCAATACGCAGGTCGATATAGCCTTAATTTTGGCAATCCACCACACCATCACCCTCTACGGCTTGCGTCTACCAAAAGGTCTTGATTAATACCATAGAAACAGAGCTCAGGCGGAGCTATGCATGTCGTAAATCCCTTGCATACCTCTGGGCAAGGATCGATATTGGCGGGTCTTTGCATCCACCAGCTTTGAAAGTAGCGGATGACGTGTGCACTCCTCCTTCACTGGGGCTACTGTATTCTGTGCCATCTCAAGGGGTCGACAATACTATAATGGTCGCCAACCTCGTCCACGGACGCTTGGTCCGAAGTGAAGCGGGGCTCTTCTTGCCCCCTCCTGTACGACACCGACGATGATGGCACTTTGGCCGGTCGGCCGAAGCAACCAAGGACTCGGGAACCGTTTCAAGAATTTGAAAGAAGCATCCCACCTCTTACAACGTCGTCAAACCATTTCTCCGTGACGTTCAACCGATACAACATCACTTGCCTTTCATGACGAAACCCTTTTGAGGGGCGATGGGGAGGTTATCATTGCCTACTCGCTCCACGTCTCACCTCTTGACCTCCTTTGATCGATGTCCAGCCAAAGATTGGGCTGGATTAATTGAGACGATATTCGCGGGTTCAGTGATGTCAAGGATATATAAAGAGTGGCGAGGCGAGTCCTACTGATCCCCAAAGTCTTTGTTTTCCTGCAAGACTTCCCAAGCTCATACCATCCTTGACTCAGACCAGTCTCACACAGCTCATAGGTCAACACTTTGGGTACCCAACTCAATGTTGACGAGCACCATGAATGGACCTGGCCCTTTTCATGGCGGAAAGCAACCCTCTAAACGATCCCCCTCCCACGGATCATTCTCTCATCCACGCTCTTCAACAACTTATGGTCAGGACACCGTCATTGGCTACAGGCAGGATGATGGACATGATGACGATGGAACGCGTAGTGACCAGTCATGGGTAGACACCACTGAAACGGCACGTCGACCTCAAGACGCCGCCCGCGATCAAGGTCCTTCTCGGGAGAGCGACGACGATGATGCAATGGTCACTCGAGACATGCTGGAGAACCTACATTCGTCGATGAGAAAGTCCTTTACCAGGTCTCAAGACCGCCAGAAACTTCTCTCACTCCGGGTCGACAGCTTGCGACTCGGCCAAACGGGCTTATCCGACCAGTTGGCCGAGATGGAGATTGCCATTTCAGGCGCCAATCAAAGTCTTCTGACACGCGTGGACAAGCTGACAGATGCCGTCAATTGGCTCACGGCGCTCTCCGCGGTAGACGCACTCAGGCCCTCTCAGGACACAACAGACCGCCGTCCCGGTACTAGCTCCTGCTGTTCCCACCACCACGGCGGCGGCGGTCATGAGCTTGATCTTCTAGACATATTGACATTCAGCCGACCTCACTCCGGCAGCAGTAAGTCAGATGGTACCTATACGTTCGACAGGCTCTGACCCGCGCAGACATCTTTCCTTCCCCTGGACAGGCTACGAACGCCTCACAGTCAGCGACGGTGAGCTTTTGATCTTGATGGCGTGGCGTGTGACTGGGGTGTTACCGGCGGGCAATAAACCCCTCGCTGCCTCCTAGATCCGAGGCTGATAGCCGCACAGAACGATGCCGTGCTCTTCCAAGCCTTGAAGATGGCAGCGAAGGCAGAGGCAGAGGCTCCCAAGATTTCCAAGACCTCCCAGCCTTCTGAACCTCCAAAAGGTTCTTACAGCAGCATGAACAACTTCCAAGCGGGTCGACCAGGTCAAGCGAATCATACTACTTATACCCAGGGGAGCAACATGCACGCTCCCTGGTCCCTACCCCGACGAGAAGCGCCGAAAGCCCCGAGCGCGACTGCTCAAAGTGACACAACCCAAGTGAAGCCAACGAATTCGGCGGTGAATCAAGAGACGAACACTGCATTCACCAGCCACGATGGCTCTGGTATGTCCTCGAATAGCCAAGTCTATGGGCGACCGGGCAATCCTGTCGCACCTTATTCCATCCTTCCGGGGGAAACGTCCCTCAATGATGCGTGCCGGCCTAAGCCTCACACTGAAGCTCAGTGGCGAGCAAGCCTGCCTGAGGCTTACACTGACTCGCAGTGGCGAGCAAGCCGGTCTCTGCGGCCAAACGCAGGCCATTTGAGGGCTGAAAGCGGACCTCAGGGGGTCGACTCTGCTGCTCAAGGATCGCACGCTGCGTCAAACTCCAACCTCTGAGGGCACTGCATTCACGCAGGTCATCCACGATGCAGAGACTGACATGTTTATAAGGAGAGAGACACATAGACAGAGCTATGCATGGTTTAAACCCCTAGACGTGCTCAAAAGTGTCTCAGCAGACATGCATTGGAGGACATCTCCGGTGATTGTGGCTTGCTTACACTTGTGGCAGTCGACTCATAAGTGCAATCGATCCACCACTGGGTGTCAGCCTCCGCACGGATCCAGGCCACGACGTCTGCATAACCAACCCGTCTGGCCTCACGAGCTGACCTCAGACACCACATTATACGTCAAGATCCCCCGTGTCCAGTGTTCGTTACCCGATATGAAATCGCCTCTGACCACCTTCCCGCGTCTAATGGTCAAATGCCGATCCGCGTCCTCCGTCCGGATATACACGCCTTCGATTGGGGAGTCGCTACACGTACTGTGCCGCTTGAGGATATCCAACACCTGTGATTGAGTCACTTGATCGACTTGGGCGATCAATGGGACTTGAGCGATTCCAGAATCATGAAGAGTCATGGTCAACCGTTGGCGCGATAGAAACGTCCCCTCGAGTCTGTCAAACAGGTCGAAAGCGATAAAGTGGTCAGGCAGAGACGTATAGTGGATCGAATGTCTCGCGACCATCCATTCACCGTAGAGGATGTATCGTTCGGGGAAATGTTGGTCTTGATCGAGTATCCGCCTGAGCGCTGTATCGTGGGCTCGAATCCACCCATCCAGAGGTCTGAACTGGGCGTGATCCGCCGAACTGACCCAATGACTCCGATTCTGACATCGGATGGCGCCGTCCCAATCCAGTGAGAATCCCATGTTCGCTCCATCGATCTTTTCTTCAATCGTCAGAGGGGCCCGGAGAATGCCAAAATCAGCCTTGACAATGTCGTCGGAAGTGGTCGCTCCTAGATCGAGCAAGTGAGGTGTCCGAGGGAATTTGATCAACGGTGGATCACCACAGATCCGAAAGACGACTTGACGAGCGGCCAAAAAGCTCGTGATGGTGTATATGGCTGAAAAGCCTTCATCCAGAGTCGGCGCTTGCATCTGTCGATCCATCTGTTGGAGAGCATTGGCGCCTCGCCCGGCACGAATTCTCGGATGATCCAGTCTAGAGCTGACTCGTTGATGACAGAGCTCGAGGGGGTAGTCGAAGTAAATAGCGACGAGGTGATGCGTGAGGGAGAGAGATATCCAAGTTTTTCGGTCTTCGATCGTGGGATTGCATCGGTCCAACATGACGAGCGTGTCTTCATTATGTTTCTGACCAAACACTCTTTCGCATTGTTCCCGCGATCCAGATTCGTCTTGACTGACAATGATGGTGGTTCCCTGTGGTCTTCGTTTGAGAATAGCTGTGGATAGCCAAGACTTTCCAGAACCAGGACGACCGATAAGCATGTACGCTGTCGAGTGAGCGAGACAAGTAGGCGTCACACCAGCCTTGAATTGGACTGAACAGCGAGAAACTGGTTCCGAAACGTGAGTGGCAGCGGTGTAGGACAGCTTCCATCGATGTGAGATCCATTCTTGAACGAACGTCTCTTGACGTTCTGACTCGAGGGATTTGGGGCGACTGAGGCGAAGCGACCTGATGGCTTCCCTGGCATCGAGCCTAGGTGAATGAGAATCACTCTCAACTCCGTGCCTGGCGTCCTTGCCGAACATGCCAATGAGGCAGGCCAGAACGGTCCCGGCTCTACCGACGCCTCCACCACAATGTACGAGCCATGTGCCACCGTCCTGGACCTGCGCATACACGATGTCCATCTCTTCCCTCGTCGGCGTACCATAGTTGTCGATCGGGATGAAGTTGTGTTTTAAAGGTTTGAGCCGAAACCACTTTTCGTCCAATGGCTCCTCTTTCGTCAGGCTCAGTACGTGGGTCATGCCCATCTCGATGAGCGTGTCGATATCGGCTTCTCGTCGGGGCGTGGACATACCTGCCAGACGTCCCGGATAAACCCATGAAAAGTAACGGGGAAGATCGTAGGACATGAAAGTGCATCGATGGCGAGGATCGATGGGTGTCGTCCAGAGTTGATCAGATAGACGTTGATCGAGGCATCTCGGGAATCGAACGAGAAGTAGATGACGGAGAGATGGAGGCACATCATCGTATTCCTGAGGCGTGGTGATCGGTCCATATGGTACTTGCGAGGACATGGCACGAATACGGGACGAGATGGGAGTGAGCAAGGTGGAGTGGTTCAAGTGGACAGCTCGAGCATAAGCGAGCATCGAAAGCTTTGTATTCGTCGATCGAACGAGATCTCCCAGTCGTACATAGCCTTTGAAGGAATTTGGATCAAGGATGATCATACGCTCAGCCAGCAAAGTGGCCTGCATTTGGTTGGATGGGATCAGCTAGGCTCATCTCGTGGGCGGTCATCACTTGCAAATGTTACATCGGCGCTTCCTTCGCAAGCTAAGACAACATGATCCATCGCCTCCAAACCAAGGTTTTCGACTGAGTCCTGTAGCTCTGTGGCTTTCTTCGTTCGGATGATCAGACTCTGCACACTTTTATCGACCGAGTGATCATCCTCGTCGCTGAGAGTGATATGGAATGCTTTGGATTGCAGACCCTTGGTCTTACGCCAAGCATTCGCATGGTTCCATATGACAACGATCCAGTGTACAGATGAGCCTGATCCTGATCGACTGGCCGAGGCCTCCCCTAGGGCGTAGACGTGATTCAACGGGATCTCACCAGCGATCTCATTGACGTTTGGTCGACCGAGAGACTTGTATTCAGCTGCCGTGAGCAGCGTGATGTGAAGTGGAGACGAGGGATTTCGTACGTCTCCTGCATATCGATCCCTTGCTCGGTCCAACGACACGCCCAACAGGGCTAATCCCCCACGATAAGGAGCGAGGTAGAGTTGTAATTCGGTGGAATCGAGCTGCATGGTGATGGTGATGATGATGCTTCTGGCGATGTTGACGGGGAGGTGAATGGTGAAATGATATTGAACGTCATGATCGAGGAGTGCGCGTGATGAATGCGACCACCTCTGAGAAGGTCACCCCCGAATGCCCTTCGAGTCGACAGGCTGTGCTGTATCGAGCGAATGTATGTGTGTTCGAGTTAAGACAGTTGAGACGCCCTCTGCTTGATCTTCGGATCCGAAGGGAGTATCCGTTAGAGCGGAGATGATCAGGCTGGCAATAGGTTTTGACCCCCATCTGACGATAATGTCCCCCGACATGGGCGCAGTGAAGTCATCGGGCCACCACGGGGGCGTCGGGAGTAAACACTGAACTGGTCGGATAGTTTGTCGAAAGAAGACAATTCTGCAAGCTTCACAGAGACCTCGACCGATCTCGGTTGGAGTATTAGCTTGGCATCGCAGACTGACTGGTCTAGGTACATGTCAGACTGATGGGGACTCAAAGGATTGAACTTGAAACGTTGTTCAAGCTCGCCGAGGAGACAGCATACTGATACAGGAAGACGCTTGGGAATAGAAGCTCCACTTGCGATCTGGGCCTAGTCTCCCGGCCAATCACGACCGGTCTCGCCGAAAATCTCTCGCGCAACGTTCCTCCAAGTTTGTCTGTCATCTTCCCTCAGCTCTCCCCCCCCCCCCCTCCTAGTAGAGCTATGTCTTCCATTGAATAGAAAGAACCCTTAAAGGAAGAGATACGGAGCCTCTGAGGAGGGTCAACGCTAAAAGGAATGTTGAAGCCTGGCGTTTGGTCAAGGGACCGAGAGCAAAGTGTACAAGAAGCCTGGCGATAAGGTGGCAAATAAAGAGCTCATGGCTCTACCATACACACACCCACTCGCTTCATTACGACCCCTCTCGACAGAGTCAAGCCTCATATCCGTCGACTGCGATCATGTCTGGTAAGATTCGACAATGACGATGATGACTGACCATGACACAGAAATGAGGAAAACCACGAAGACGGCGTCCCACCTTGGGCATCAAGGTTGTTCTTGCTTGAACTCGAGTCGAACTCGCTTTGACCCAAAAGAAGATCACACCTACTTTGTGGAAACCACGCCCCCCTTGGGTCAACGTTTCCCTGCATGCGTGAGCTTTTCCACGCCCCACACTTAGGATCTCTGCTGACGGTCCACGACTGTGCCTCTTTCATCATCAGCCGACTGCAACCCAGTCGGGCAATGACGAGTGCCGAGAGTTCCACAAACGCGTGAACACCCTGATCGAACTCGTCCAGAGCTTGAAAAGCTTTGAGCAGAGTCATGACAAGACTGATCAAGGATACAAGATGCCAAGCAAGAGCCAACCTGAATTGAATCCTAACGCGCCTGAGGATCTGGATACATGGGTACGATCAGGTCGATTCCACCATACACGACCTACAGATTTGGGATCACGAGTTTTCATCAAGCTTGGCCCACATGAGGAGCTGGTGAGTCAGCTCGATTAAGCCGTCGAAAACTTGCTGAATCCTCGATGATCGTCCGCCCACAATCTCACAGCGGATTCACGAGCGGTATACCAACGATACGACGGGTATCTTTGTACCTACCGTGGCACCATTCACTCCCGGCCCATCCGAAGACGACTTTCAACGATTTCATAGAATCATCATGAGTCAGAAGTCCGGTCGTCAGGGCTTTGGAGGGAGTACCGCGCCTCATCAGGACTCCGTACCACCCGGTGACTCGTACTGTGGTCACTCGTGTAGGAGGACCTTTGCATCCGGCCTACCGTGAGGTGGGAGACTGCCGCCACGTTGTAGCCCGCAGCTTGCACAAGCTGAGCACGAGGTGATGGCGGGTCTTGTGTTGGCTCTTTAGGCGAGGAATGAGGTCATCAACAGTGAAGGACCACAGTGGTACATATAGAGCGATGCATGATGGCGAAATACCTTGGCCACCCCCATGATTCATAATGCACCAAAGTAACACAGACGGTAACTTCAGCCGCTCGCTCGGCCGATAGCTCGGCACGGAGATATCACGGGCACAGTTTTTGAGTTTATAGCGCCGCTGACTGCTGCGCACGTGGAGGGGCAAACCCCCTGTTTGTTGACAGCAAAGTTATGGGGGGGGGGGCAGGCAGTGGCGATCAATGAATGGCAATTCAATCGATGTCGCTGGATGCATGCAATCGATCGGCGGGCAATGAACCAGCCTCAGTGGTGGTGGTACAATGCATGGACGTGTGTGCCTACATCACTGTGAAGAAATATGCATGTGGGGGCGGTTCACCAACACATGGACCATATCATATACAATGTTTCTAGATCATACCGCCACGAGAAAAAGAAGGGGTGTATACTTGATTTAACACACTGGATAGACCAGGTCCATACGATCCATTGACATTTCGTCATGAGAATCAGACGAAGGCGGATGGGATGTCAGTTTGCGGTTTGTTCAGAGAGGCTTGTCAGCATTTCGGGTTGAGTCTATCATGATCTTAGAGAAAGGTTTGAGATTTGGGGCGGGGGGAGGCAGGGCAGAGGGTTGGGGTTCTATTTTGGACTGTTGCGCTATTCGGTCGTATCCGTCAGATCATACGGCGAGGCCGGCTGATGCATGTGGATCACTCAGTAGAACATGAGCTAGGTGCCTTGTCGCCGACCAGTTCCGCTGCCCTACCCTGTGTTCCTCGCCTAGTGACAGCAGCAGCAGCAGCAGCAGCAGCCATAGCATGGATCTATTCGCAGTACCAGGTGGCTGCAGACGATGTGTTCACTGTAATAATAACCCTTTTTTTAACCCGGGACCCTGAACAAGCTGGACCTTGTGTTCTTTTGGGTGGCATCTTCATCGAGACACTGTAAGTGTGTCTCAGACTGCTGCTGCTCGATATCACTCCTTGCACAAGCACACAGGTCCATAAGCAGATCAATCTAGAGCAGCTCGACCATCCATCCATCGCCATCGTTGAGACCATCCTCGCCATTCCCCGACCCGTTCGGCTGCACAGCTTCCGCTTTTTTGGCGGCGAAACGTAAAAAAAGTGAGAAAAAAAAGAGTCGACCCTTCAAAAACTCTACTTGGCTGTTTCCTCTCTCTATTTCATCCATTCCATCCACAGTCAGTCAGTCTCTCTCAGAGCAGCGTCTACTTTTGGATTCCGCATTCTCATCTCATTCGCATCTGGATCCGTCGCATCTTTACAGCGAGCAGACACAGTAGAGTCGCATCGTACAGCGATCATCGCCTGTAAAAGAAAAAAATATTGAGGGGCTGGACGACTAATCCATAATATTGGTGAGTTGGGTGTGACAATAGGTCAAGCGTGATGTGCCCCCCCCCCCCCCCCTGTTGGCCGATGTCGAGGTGTATGATCAGGCCAGTCAGTCAGCGGTGGCGAGGAAGTACACCACCTCTCTTGACTCAGACAAACCCCCTTCTACTCCCCCTCCATACAGTGCCCTTGGCTCAACCCTCTCTCTCTCTCTCTCGTGTCGCTCTCTCTCTCTCTCTCTCTCTCTCTTCCTTCCTTTCGCCGCCCTTGAATCCTGTACATTTCAACTACACTGCATTCCCCACTTCTCACTCTCTCTCTCTCTCTCTCTCACGATCTCTCTCGCATACCTTGTTGATCAAGCGTATAGCACCTGATACTATCTAGCCTGTATGTCTCATCCTCATCGCACCGCATCACATCACATCACACTCTTTCGCTTGCCTGACACATCTCTCCCTTGTTTCTTCCACCTCGTACTCACTCCGTCTCAAACCCTTTGATTCAACCCGTTCCTTTGACCATTCCAACTCCCGTCTATTCATATCGCTGCTGACACACTACCTCTCTCTCTCTCTTGCTCTATTAGCTGCGCCCCACTGTATCACTCTGAAAACCACTCGCTCACGAGTGCATCAACATCGAGCACCACTCGATCACACCTTTCCCCCAGCCCACACCATGTCATCCCTTAATATGGCCACCTTGCTTCCACTCCTCCCTCTTCTCGCCTCCCTTCCCTCCGCATTGGCATCACCTTACCGATATGTCGGTGGCGAGGAGCTGCGAAAGCGGGCCACGACCAACACCACGACCCCGCTTGGGTTCGAACAAGTCTCTGCATCCATGGGTATCAGTGCTCAAATGGTGAGTGTGTGCCTCTGCGCTCCACACACCACACGATGAACTGACGTTCTGGACTCAGATGTTCCTCGGTAACACTGAAAAAGTCTACGTCCTCGACAAGACAGAGAACAACCCTGCGACTGTCACTGGACCCTGGGGCACCCACCCCGCTTGGGCCGTCGAGTATGACCTCGCCACCAACGATTGTGAGCCGTTTGAGCATCCATAACACTGGTCCATCCACTCACTCACTCTTCTTGCCCAGACCGAACCATGGACGTCTTGTCCAACACCTTTTGTGCTGGAGGCAGTGTTTTGGGTAACGGAACATGGGTTGTGTTTGGAGGTAACAAGCGTGAGTGTCTCTTGTCACACAACTTCCGGTGAATCTTCTGACGACAACGCCAACCCCTTCCAGCCATCACGACCGGTGGCAAGGACAACGTCGGATCCGCTGGAGCTTACTCGGACGAAGATGGTGGTTCAGCCATCCGAATGATGGACCCTTGTACCGATGAATCGTGTGACTGGCAACAGCCCAACATTGGCAACTTCAACTTGACCAGCTCGGCCGGAGGATACCTTCTCATGACTTCCAAGCGATGGTACCCTACCGTCGAGACTCTGGAAGACGGATCCGTCATTGTCATTGGAGGAGATATCAACGGAGGATATGTCAACGATGTCTACCAGGACAACCCAACCTACGAATTTTTCCCTCACAAGGGAACCGATGAGCCTATCCATCTTCAATGGCTCGCAGACACACTCCCCATCAACCTTTACCCTCTGACTTGGCTCATGCCTGATGGTCAACTCTTCATGCAGGCGAACCGATCGACTATCCTGTACAACTGGAAGAACCAGACTACCACTCAACTCCCCGCTATGCCGTACGCTGCGCGTGTCTACCCCGCTTCAGCAGCCACCGCCATGTTACCCTTGACCCCAGAGAACAACTACACCCCTACTGTCTTGTTCTGTGGTGGATCCAATCCCCCTCAATGGGGTGATGGTATTGCTGGATACAATGTCACCGCCGTCCAGGCAGACAACACGTGTGTCCGGATCAACCCCATGGACGAGAACCCGGAATACATCACGGATGACTACATGGTGAGCAGCAAATGACACTGGGCCTCACATTTTTTGTGCATAGCTGACCTAGATCCCCAGTTTGAGGGTCGAAGTATGGGAGAATTCGTCATTCTGCCAGATGGAAACCTTTGGATGGGTAACGGTGTCGGATACGGTACTGCCGGTTACGGCTCTGACAAGTGGTCCATCGGAAGTGAGTGAACTTGGAGGTCGGCCTCATCCATGACAATCTGTTGACAACTTTCTCTCTCCCTTTTCCACAGTGTCTTACGGTCAAGAACCCGTCTACATGCCAGCTCTTTACAACCCTAACGCCCCGGCTGGTGGACGATGGAACCGAACGGGTTTGACCGCATCGAGCGCTGAACGAATGTACCACTCCAGTGCCATTCTCTTGCCCGACTCGTCCGTCTTTGTCTCTGGATCGAACCCCAACGCCGACTTCACCACCGAGCAATGGCCCAGTCGAACGGACGCTGAAAAGTGGTACCCATGGTACTACAACGAGCCTCGACCCACTCTTCCCAGCTCTGCACCTACTTCGTTGAGTTACGGAGGAGATGCGTTCAACGTCACTCTGGACACTTACGACCAGACCGCCGTTGAATCCGCCCACGTTGTCATCATCCGAGGAGGTTTCCACACTCACGCCATTGGATTCGGACAACGATCTTTGACCCTGAACTCGACATACACTGTCAACCAGAACACCAACACGTCCATGCTTCACGTTGCCCAAATGCCAAACAACCCTGCATTGTTCCAACCTGGACCTGCTATGATGTTCCTCGTCGTCAACGGTGTTCCATCCATGGCAAACTGGATCATGGTCGGAAATGGTCAATTGGGCGACCAACCGACCTCTCCCAACGCCGACTTGCCAGCTTCAAGCTACGTCGCTTTGAACACTTCTAGCAGTGGTGGAAGCAGTGGAAGCGGAAGCGATTCCAGTGGAAGCAGGAACAAGGATGGTGGTGCCATGGCATTCGCCAAGGCTTCCCCGGTATCCGTTGGATTGTTGGTCGCTGCGGTCGGGTCATTGTTGGCGTTGGCTTAGGCGGACGGCGGGCACAAGCTGTCATTCTGTCGCTACCGGATCTTCAACCACTTGTCGAATGAAAACAAATCGGCATCATCACGAGAAAAATCATGGACATCGCCCCGAGCAATGTTCGCTCTCTCTCTTACTTCCTCTCTCCCTCAATTTCACTCTCCTCTCCTCTGCTCTCTACACAGCCTGTACATGGATGGACATTTCGGTTTACTTTCTTTCACACTAGCGCACTCATCTTATAATCATTATAATATCGCCTTCGAACACACACCCCACTGTCGTTCGTTTCGTTTTACCCCACGGACAATCCATCCCGACTCATACAAGAGTGACGGGGCGCGCAGCAGTTACCTATACACGTCGTCGTCGTCGCATTCCTTGATACGTAGCGTGTTCGTCTGCTTCTTTCACAAAAATGTAGCGCTTGCTATGCATCATACGTGGACATTCGACCAGTTCGTGGTGGTGGTGGAGTTCAGCGCATTGCAACGATTTTGCAACTCTGATTCCTGCATTTTTTACTTTGATTCACATCATGAGCCATACATTCCAGTAGCCTCTTCATTGAGACTTGAGGGTGCAACCACAGGGAAATTTCTGGCAAGGACATCGACCTTTTCGCATGCTATGACGGGTTGGTTGGGTCGTAGTCGCATACGGGACCCGGTCAACGGAGATGAAACGAGGTGGTTGGTTTCACTGAATTATCGTCGAGCTCCAGGGGGGAAACCGATCCACGCATCCTCACAGGACGGTGTTGTGTGAACATGTTGATCGTTCCAAAGGTGTTGGATGATCGCTACCCCTTTTCTCACTGACGTTCTCAGCCCATCTTGACGAGATACTGACATGTTTGGGTGAGAGCCGTTGATGTGAAGGAAGGAAGGAAGGAAGGAAGGAAGGAAGGAAGGAAGGAAGGAAGGAAGGAAGGTCGGCTATCCTTCGAATGATCTATGTGACCCACCTGCCAACGTTCTCATCCCTCGGATGACCTCACGCATCGATGACGCCTAGCAGGCTCCGCCGAGACCAGGTACGCCCTGTTGCCCAGATGGAATGATCGACTCGTCCAGGCGCTAGACCGAAGGACATCGAACAAGAGGTCAACACCGACCGCAAAGGTACGGAGAGGGGGGGAAGGGGGGGGGGAAACAAACACGTTGAAAGTGCACACAATCAGGCCACATCCTTCGTCGTACGCGACAGGTCTAGCTGACATTGTCGACATCAAAGACACCAGGGGACCACAGCTGTGTTCTTCCTCATCACAAACACACCACGTCCCGCCTGTCCTGTGTCTCTCCTGTGCTAGACACACTGAACACGTCCTCCACTCAGCTCACACGATCCATAGCGGCGCAGTGAGTGCACGTATGATATGGCATCATCCTCCCCCTTCCGCCAGACAAAGCTAACGAACGGCTTTCCTCTCTAGACCATCTCTGTACACAGTTTCGTCCAGATTCAGTGTGTTTTCTCCCCCCCTGCCCAGCCCTCCATCCATCCACAACAACTCTTATAAATCGTGCTGAGAGAGCAAGATGGTCCTCCTCTTCTCTTCCCTCGGTCGAAAAGCCAAGAGCACCGGTACAAGCGCTTCGTCAGAACGAACTCCCTCTCGACCATTTCTCTTTCCGCCTCTTTCCCCTCTCCACGTCGAGAGCTCAGGAGCGTTTGGACGTATTGAGGCGACGAAGACAGCGACCACCACAAACACGTATGAGTGTCCAGTCACCAGAAGACCTCGACGAGAGACTGATACGTCAAGAACTATCAAGGTAGATTGCGATCTTGCGACTGAGGAGCTCCCAGAGTTCCTCTTGGATTCGCCGCTACCACGTCAAGACGCCTTCTCGCCAGCCCATTCGTCCACTGGGACTCGCCGAGCGCACAAGTTACGAAAAGGTCAAAGTCTAGGTCATAGTTTGGGATATCATCTCTTTGGGGGATCCACAAGTCCAAATCTCATTCCGACGCGTCTGCAAGAGTGGGTAATCTTACCAAGATCATCTGTGAGTATGGCTGGCCTCTGACCGTTTGAGTCAAGATGATTCTTGGGAGGTTCCCAGCTCTTGCTGGCGAACTTTTGCCTAATCGAAACGTGCAAAGTGTTGATGCTAACCCTCCCAGTCACTTCCTCCCACACCGACCACCTCATCCATCCATACAATGGGTCAGAACCAGACCAAGACTGGTCCGGTCCGCGCCAATACGGCTTCTCAAACAGGACCTGGAAACAACGTGCCAGAGCAGCACCTGTTCCAGTCAAAGTCTTGCACCAGGATCCAACCTGGAGGCAACAAAGTCACCTTGCCGGACCCACCTGGAGGCAACAAGGTCAAATTGCCGGACCCACCTGGCTCAGCTGCTATCCGATCGACACACTCTTTACCGGTGTTCACATTGCGACACCCAAAACATGAAGATCCAGAGGATCTCAACGAGACTCCGACCGACCTGTCAGATCCCTCCTCGTCTCATCTCTTTATAAAACACCTACCCCTCACACCTCCTCCTCGTCCTCCTCCTCCTTCCAGCTCCTATCGACCTCCACTCTCCTTTGCACCCAAGACGAAAAACCTGAGCTTCGCCCATCGTCTCGGTAGTAGGAGAGGGTCTCAACGACGACGCCCTCATACGGCCGACGCATCGATATCCTCTTCGTCAATTCTCACGCGTGCGCCGACCCTGTCAGAGGACTTGGCAACGTTCGAAGCGGCCATCTTGTCGGCTGAATCTAGAGCTGGACAGCGAGGCGGAGATGGTTTGGATCCTGGCGAGATAACCTCAGGGTCCGACGCACAGGGCAGACGAAGATCAGAAGGTGTATCTACGTCTAACCCTGGCGGTGAACCTGCTCCACCATCCAAAGCTGGACCGAGACGAGGTCAAAGCCCACCTCTCGGTCATGCTTCCTCCACCCTGCCAACTCGCAACGCCAGCCTCAACGTGACGAACCGATCTTCGCCGCTGCATCATCGCCGCAAGTCTAGCTCTTCCGTCATATCTTCCAAATCGAGTATCAAGTCCTCTCGCCGAGCCGAGATGGAATGGCGAGCCAGAGTCGCAGCATTGAGTCTCGCCCATTCGTCGGGACCGGGATCTCCAGGGCTCAGCCAGAGGTCGAGCGTACCGGGTCGTGATACGATCAGAGGACCTGTGCCTCCCAAGCGGATCAAACGCGAGCCATCGAGACAACTCGCCTCTCAAGTCATTGACAGAGAGCATGACCTCAAGATGGACAATGCCCATGCTGATACGTCCTTTGGGTCATCGATCGACAGCGAACGGGTGATCACTCCGCGTCCAGCAAAAGCCATCTCTTCGACCAGCGAGAACAACGATCACTTATCCGAATCACCCGTCTCAGTCTATTCTCAGGTGTCCCCTTACCCTCTCCGGCTGCACTACTCGACGGCCCTTGCGCAACACGATGTGGGCTCACCACGAACACCAGCGAAGTCTTTCCGATCAGGTCATTCATTCGATACGTTGGGTTTCCATCGTCCTGATGTTCCACCTCCACCGCCATCCGTCATCGACCTCAACCTGACGCCAAAGAAACTCGGCGACTCGGATTCAAGGTCAAAGCCGAGCTCGAGGCAGCTTTTGAGTCCAGGTCATGAGCCCACGACTACGCTCAAAGCTGATCGGATGGTTCCGCTGGTTGACGAAGACAGCACGATCGGACGGGACGCCAGAGGAGATTGGAGGCTATCTGTTCCGCTGAGTGTCTCCTCTATGGGCCGATCGATATCCAGCTTTTACTTTGATGGAACCCCTGCCAGGGGAGTAAAGGAAACATTGAAGCAGTCCACAGCGACAATGGAGAAGCCAGAGCCGTCAGTAAGACGTTCGCTTCATCAAGAGGTAGGGGTAAAGGTGGAATGTGAATTACAAGTCAAAGATCAGGTCGAACATGAAGCAAGACCGAAAGTGAGCAACTCTCTTTCTTGTTTGACCGTTCCTCTTTATTGAGCGACTTCACTGATACTGCATCGTCCCCCGGGTCCAGTCTCTCGGATCTACGTCTAGCTCTGTCCCTCCGCCACCGGGTGAAGCGTGTCAACCCGCCACTCGGTTAGATGTCAATTTCGAAGGGATAGAAGAGCTCGTCAAGGTCAATTCGGCAGCAGAGTTCAAAGCGTCAAAGATGGTCTCATCGCTGCCGGACAGATCACGGATCGAGCCAATTCGTAAAGGCGCATCGACCCCAGGCACCAAAGCCAAGGCTGCAGATTCTGCTGATAAAAACGGTCATTCATCTGCCTCCGCATCTACCCCAATCAAGTCTCCTCATACCGATCGTTCTGCCAGATCAACTACCACACTGGAAGACCTCGCGGCTGCCTCCTCCGCCAGACAAGCTCCTACACCTATAACTCCTTCTATCCAGCGGTCCAGCCACGTCATACGCATGGCCAATATCTCATCACCATATTCTCCAACGACGACCTATCTCCTCACGGCGCCTATCGAGTCGCTCCCGTGGCACTTGCGAGCAGAGGAGGCGGAAGACACGCCTCCCAAATCGAGGGATGGTGCATGTCGCGCTCATCCATTTGCGAGTACCTCGAGGGATAGTACGGTCGATGTGACGTCCCCTCTGGTCCCTGCTGAACTCATACCTCGACCTCCTCGAGCACCCTCGCCAGACGTCTTCATCTTGAAGACAACGACGACGACTGGCGAGCCGACACACCATGCACCGCAGGTCAATACTTTTGCGCTGAGAGCTCGTCGACGGGTCCCTGCTCCTATACAAGTCATCGATCCTGCTCGCATATCCTCGAGACTCTCTAACAAGAAATCAAACAGCCGTTTAGACTCGCTTCGAACGGACGGACCCACTCAAGGAGCTGCTTCGCACCATTTATCAATGGACGCCGCTAGCGCGTCAAGTAACAGACTCGTCAAACCTGTCCCTCAACCCTCCGCTCCGCCTCCTCCTCCCCCTCCCTCTTCGAGAGCCTTGCATGCCCATAATCATGCGAATCATCGATCCAAGATACCTTCTTCCGGCTCGGCCTTCAAGTCCCAAATCCTCGGTACCACTGCACCTGCTAAGCGTCATGAACGTACAGATCTGACACCTGGGATGGAGTCGGGTCAAAGACCCCCAAAGACGGGATTACCTATGGCGGTGAGTGGTCTGGCAGCAAAAGAATCCACAATATCCGAGCTGGTCACGATACCTTGCATCTCTTGACGATCGCTCATATACCGTCACAGGACCTTCAACAATGGCTCCGAGACACCTCGATTGGAGCTTAGGACGAGACTCGGACTGCTGCGATTCGGGTGTAGCTCTGTATTCTGAGAGATTTTTTCAAAGCGCCCTAGGCAGTCTCGGTGTCCTCCGTGTGAACGAAATGAGACGCACCGTCTCGTTCAAGAACTGGCTGCGGTTGCCCGCTGTGCATCTGCCAAATGAATATAATGCATGCGTGGTCTTCCTTTCTACCGCCGGGGAAGGCACTGCTCTGGGTCGCAGTCAGGCGTACGACGAGTTTGAGCATGACTCATCTTGTGAACCAGGGAGATCTCACGGTAATGGCTTTGTTTGAGGTCGCCGACATGTTTAACAGCGGACCATCGCTTTGAATGATGCTCGATTGTTCCCCGATTACGCGGCTACCTCGGCCCAAGTCGTCCCGGTCTGTTCGTGTATTTCATGTCAGCAAGGCGCGAGGGGAGCATCGAGGCCCAAGAGGAGCGCTGCAAGCCCGCCTTGCTGCCGGTCCATATCCAACACAGCTAGCTCTCTGAGGCCGAAGAGTAAATTCGCCATCTTTGCGCTCCGGCTTATGCGCACGGCGGTATGAGGCCTTTCACGGTCGATCGTTCTTGCCGTGGCGTTTTCCTTCGCGGCATCATTGAAATGTACCCGAATTTGCCAGAGACAGCGACGACTCCGTCTTGTCGACGTCGGCGCGACACAAGCCTTGAGGCCCTGATGACGCTTCATGCTTGTATTCGTGCATGTACGCGTACTTGGCCCACGCCACAGACAGAGAGATGATCTCACCACCCGCAGACGATGCGCCGCTGCTCCTCGATAGTCCGCTCCAAGTGGGCTTGCATGGGTCTGGGCAGCCATGTATCTCCTAGCCGCAGAGGCTTGTGCATGTCTGATAACATGGCTTGGCTACCTCCCCGCGCGGGTGCATAACGGAGCTCGACGTGGACATTGAAAATCTTGAGAGCTGCGGCAAAATGTCTCAACGAGCGTACGCCATGATACGGCTCTGACACGACGGTCAGCCGGGCGGGTGGTCGTCCTCCTTCTGCTCCGCTTCCACGGCAGAAATCGGGCCAGTCTCGCTTCAGGAGAGCTAGGGTGTACGCGGCGTTATCGAGGGTTATTCGGGCTCGGTTCTCCACCAAGATACGTCTAGGGTCCACGCCCCATGCGATGAGCTCACGCTGCATCACCTCTGCTTCCGCGTAACGGTTGGCCACCGCACCGCCTGTCACGACGATCTTGGCGGCTGGATATTTATGAGCGAGCTCAAAGGCTTTATTCACTCGGGCCCGTAAACCTTCGGTGAGCTGCCCATCAGGCCTCGGAGGTACACCCAGTACTACCAGCAGATGTAGTGGTTCGGTCCCGCTCGATAGCGGCTCCGGCTCAGGCTCAGCGTTTGCGGCCAGAGCCCTCAGCGCTTCATCGACATCTTGTGTGGGTGCCTGTCGTAGATATCTCATCAGGGCATCCCTGTGAAGAGCGGCCATCTGTTGAGGGTCGTCCTTGAATGAGTGTCTTAGACTCATGAGGCGGCGCAGCATGTGGAGCAGTGTACCACCCGTAGTCCCTGCTCGCCGCTGCGTCCAAGGTTGACCTTGAGATACATATATACACTGTTGCTTGCTTTGTCCAGCGACCTGCAATGACTCAAAAGAGATTTTCCGACGTTTTTCCAAAGCTTTCAAAATTTCAAACCACCGCCCACCACCAGATCATTCATCGTTGTTCCTCTCTTGACTCCTCGTGCTCTCTCATTCAACCCAGCCAACACGGCACCAAGCAGCAAGGTTGATTACACAGTCGACTCTCCATCATGGCCAATCCCAGACAACGGAACAAGGCTCGGTCCTCTAAAAGCACTAAACCATCTTTGGCTGCCAAACGAAGGATGCATCATAAGTTGAGGAAACCGCCGACACTGAGTGGTCCAGAGGTATTGCAGAGTGGCTGGGATAAACACAAGACGGTGTTTCAAAAGTGAGTTCGTCGGGCTGAAATGGAGGAGGCATCTTTTGAGAGAGACCGTGCGGTGCGAGCGGACCTCCTAACATTGGGAGAAGAGCGGTGTCAATCGCCTATTCTCAATAGCTCGGGGTATGATCGTTGACTCTATCTCTGTCTCTCTCTTCTCCAGCTACAAAGCTCTGGGTCTACTTCCTTCTCTTCCCTTGCCTACCGCCTCTGGCTCAAGGTCTTATCGGACACGATTGACTCTCCCTCCTGGTGCGATTGGCTCCGCTTCTGGACCAGTGGACAATGTCAATGGTCTAGGCGGTGCCGTGTTCTCTGGATTCGGACAGATTATCCGGGACGAAGAAGGGAACGTGGTGGATATCATTATTCCCGAGGAACAGGAACAGGATCAGACTCCTCCGGAGCAAGAAGCCGATGACGCTGAGGAAGGAGAGGAAAGAAATAGGGTAGAAGCTCAGACGGATGTTGTGAGATGTGAGTGAAGGATCGACCTGCCTACCATCTTGGTGCCTCCCTGAAGACTTGATCCGCGACTCATACCTTTCGCTTTTCAGCTCTCGAACAACTCGCAGCATCTTCTGTACCCGTCAAAAGGCATTCCTCGACGTCTGAACGGACATGGCTTCAGGACCTGGTAAGGGCCCACGGTTCAAATTACGAAGCGATGGCGAGGGATCACAAGTTGAATGTTTGGCAAAAGACTCAAGGGGAGATTAAAAGGATGGTCAACAAGGCTGGAGGTGTGGACAAGTTGACGAGGTGACACAAGTGACGACCGAAGGAGTCTGAGCCGGCGAAGGGCGAGCTGGAGATGGACCCAAGTGAGATTCAGCTCCCCCTCACGGCGCTTCACGAAAGATCTCTCAGCTGGTGTCAATCATCGCAGGTCATGTTGTATCGCACTGAATCGGATGTAGATGTACATTACATTCATTTGATCATTCTTTAACCCAAATCGGTACAGTAGCTGACAGTGATCATTGCGGCAACGCGGTCAGTGGACGTCGCCTTGCCAATCTCCAAATCCTGCCCATCTGCTTTCTAGCCTCGGCTGTGCCCTACTAATCCACCATCATCCCTCCGGACCTCCCCCCGCCAGCGATCTGACCTCTTCTGCCGCCGCCGCTCATCCTGTCCAGCAATGTCGGAGCGCCCCTTGACCAAGCATCCGCCCGTTGAGCGCGATTCAAGCGATCAGCCTGTTCTTGTTGTTGAGCGAGGGTGATAATGCTAGCGGATGGGTCGGAGATGAGGATTGTATCGGAATACATCTTGCTGCAGAGGCGTGACCATCAGTCCAAAGGACATATCATACTCGAGGATCTGGCACGCACCTTCCGCTCGTTGGTCCAAGGAGTTCTTGACCTGCCCCATTTCTTCTCGCACCACTGGATCCATTCCTCATGGGTCCAAGTCCGGTACCTGCTCCTCCACTAGTCGCACCTCCCATCCGCTCGACCAGACTCTGCTTGACTATTTGTACACGTAAAGCGTTACCATCCGCCACTGCTCCGTCGTATCGCTGGATGAGATCGTCTGCCGCTGCTCGAGTCGACACGTCCAATTCCACTGTCACCGTTGAAGATGTCGAAGGGGATGTCACGCGGGCATTCTCAATAGGCGTGGAGGCGAATGCAGACTAATACAGCATATTTGTTAGCCTTATAAGTGATCCCCAGTGGTGCTCGGATAGAGCTTACCACTACGTCGTCTGCTGTTGTACCGACGGCCAAGTTTTCCACCCTCACGAGGACTGTACTCCTTCCGGCACCGAGGATACTGACTGACTCCCTTTCCTGTATCAAAGGCCTGACGACCTGACGTCGAGGTTGGGATGTACCGAGTGCGGCATCAAAACCACTCTGAACCAGGCGGCCCTTGTTCAGCTGTGACCCATTACCTCCATTGTTACGTCGCGTAGCGCTCGATCCCGGTATGAGTTCCAATCCAGCATTTGGATTACTATTGACGTTGACGGGATTTGAACCGAAACCAAAGAGCTTAGGTTCTGACGAGGATGTCGAAGAGGCTTTGGAGGATGAAGGAATCAGCTCGCGACCTTTGCCTCCAGAGATTCTATCCAGGAGCGATGGCTTGGGCTTTGATCCGTTCGATTTGTCTGATGACATGCGGGCGAGCAGAGATTTGGATGAAGAGGGAGAGCCATATCCGGATTGATGCAGATCATGTCTCCAGAGTCCATCCGAGTTGCCGCGTTTGACGCTGCTGTCAGAGGACGAGCGCTAAAGAGAATAAAGCGTAAGGATACAATTTGCTTCAGACTGCCGTATTCACTCACTTGATATGGCTTTGCGCGTGCCATCGGTGATCGAAGTCAAGAAGGAAGGACGAATGGCGAGGAAGGCAGACGCCAAATGAGCAGCAGGGTCGCGCTGGGAGGGATTGATAACGTCAAGTACTGCTCAAAGGATTAACACGTCATCAATTCCTGGGCATACACACAAAATGGCTGCAGCTTGAACTCCATTCGTCATTCGTCACGATACCATAAACCTGCCCTCTTTCATCTGCTCGCATCCATAGCGACCTTATCTATCGTGATCACCAGGCGCATTACACAGAGTTATCAGCTAAAATGGGTGGAGAAGGTGCGCTGGGAATGGTCTGATGGTGAAAGGGACACTCTTGACTGACCTCGTCGGCTTCATGCAGGATGGCTGTTTCTATTCGCCGTGTTGATGGCTGCCGTGCTGTTATTCACCATGGTGTTCTTTGTGAGTGAGAGCATGCGGCGTAGTTGACCTGTTGCTGACTTGCACAGATCATCATGTTCTCTGATTTGGAGTGCGGTAAGTCTATCCACGGGTCCATGTGCGCGTGCTAAAGGTCCACTGACCCTCGTGTGCTAGACTACATCAACCCTATCGATCTATGTAACAAGCTCAACCAGGTGGGTCATGTTGCGACTGGGACATATGGAAGCGATCATCCGGACAGAAGGGAGTGCCAGTGGCCTTGCCATCTCTGACACGGACGATCGACAAGAACCATGGGAAATGAATACTCGAGCAAATCATGCTAATAATTCACTTGGCAACAGTTTGTCCTGCCTGAAATGATCGCCCATGCCTTCCTCACTCTGCTTTTCTTGCTCTCGGGTCAATGGCTCGCTTTCATACTCAATGCTCCGCTGGTCGCATTCAACGTCAATAAGTGAGTAACAAGGGGGGTGAAAACGTGAAAAGTTTGTTTCGGAGTGCGAGGCATTGATGGCATCGGAGCTGGTGGTGTATCGAGCTTAGGGGCCGCCGTGGCTGCTTCTGGCGGGAACAAAGTGGGCCATTGAGTAGGCTTCACCGGTGTCGTTTAGGGCCAAATCTGTTGGCCGCGTGTCCGGCTGCTCGGCCAATCTGGAGTGTGACGCGGCTCTTATGGGCCTTTCCCGCATACCTGTCGACAGCATGATGCTGACCCTTGGCTTTCTTCAGGATCATGTCCAAAAATCACATGTACGATGCGACCGAGATCTTCCGTACGTTGTCAGGGCACAAGAAGGAGAGTTTCATCAAGTTGGGATTCTACCTCGTCTCCTTCTTCTACTACCTCTACCGGTAAGTGCCGCAGAGCCTTCATATGAGAACGGTGTGCTGACTGATCTTCCTAGAATGATTCTTGCCCTTATTTCCGGTACGTCGTTAAGATGGCTCATATCTCTGTGGTCAACACTGACAGCCTCTAGAGAGTGATTAAAGTCCCGACTATGTGATCTGAGCTCGGCGCGAATGGCGAACGAGACGCTGAAGCAGAGGAGGAGGAGGAGGAGGAAGGAGGGAGAGCACAGCGCACGAGTTTCGATGCAAAGTTTAGAGGTCTGAAGGAGATACAGTCACGACCAATGATGATTTGCCGCCGTGGATTAATCGTGTTGCAGTGTTTTGTCGGTTTGGAACAAGGGGTGAGACTCCATAGAAAGCTAGCGTTCAGTGTCGATATATAAACGTTCTTGACTTTGAATGCGCACTGGTCACACAGGACGATGGGTATTGGTACGAACAATTGGAACAGGGTCACCGAGAAGAGGGGTGGGCACTCCGACACCCTGCTTTGACGAGCGCCGGCCTCTGTCTTCACGGTCCGTGCTAGACCATCTCGAGGTGGTCTATAACGCCGCCCTGCCATACTATGCATGATGCAGGGATGCATTCGTGCGACTCGACCTCTACGCCTCAAGCCCCGTTGGACATTTTCGCTGGAATCTTTTTGCTGGAATCCCGTTGAAAATGACGTCGACGTCGACGATAAAATGCTTTGGTCATCGTCGTGGGATCGAAGCATTCCTCTATCCATTTGCAGCACACATCCAGAACCAAACAGCTTCAGCTACAACTTGTCATCAGCAGCACATCCAGGACCCCATCAACCCATATAGTCAGAACCATGTCTCCCCCCTCAAACATTCCCGCCGAGTACAAACCCGGGTTCCTCCCGCCCTCCATCGCCAAGCAGATGCAGGACAATCGACCTGGTCAACAAGGACCTCTTGAGCCTGCTCCTCTGGACACGCTGCTTGCCGATGGAACAGAGTACAAGCCAGCTGGCAAGTTGGAGGGAAAGAACGCCGTCGTGACTGGAGGTGACAGTGGAATCGGACGAGCAGTCTGCATCCTCTAGCAAGTCCGGCGCTCATTTAGGGAAGTGTTGCTGACGTGATTTTTTGGGCAGCGCTCTCGAAGGAGCCAACGTATTCATTCACTATGTCCCCGAGGAAGAGAAAGATGCCAAGTCTGTCAAAGAGTACATTTCAAAACATGCTCCTAATGTCAAGGTCGAGCTCTATGAGGGCGACTTGAGGACCGAAGAGGGAAATATGAAGATGGTCCAAGCCATCAAGGAATGGAGTGGAGGCAAAGTCCACATCTTGTGGGTAGATCGTTTCCTGGTAGAGGCTGGATCCTTACTGAGCGTCTACCTACTGAGCGTCTACCTCCAGGGCCAACAATCACGCGACTCAACAGCAAGTCGACGATATCAAGGACCTTCCTTCCGAGCAATGGCGACACGTGAGGGCTCCGCGAATCCAGCGCTAGGGTTGCTGACGTCTTACAACAGGTGTTCGACGTCAACATGTAGGTTTTGACGCTGAGGTTCTCTCTAATGCGCATCAAGCCACTCGTTCTTCTACTTGATCAAGTCCATCATCCCCATGATGCCTTGGGGAGGAAGTATCATCAACAAGTACGTGATAAGATGCCGATGAGCTTGTAGGAATGATGCTGACTCGATGACAGCGCTTCCATCGTGAGACTGAGACTCTTGGCATCGCTATGACTGCTGATATTCAATCACTTTAGAACCCCTTCGTCGGACACCCAGGTGTGAGTATGATTTGCCCTCGGTGTCGACATGGGGCCTGACGCCTCGATCCTAGCTTCTCGACTACACCGCTACGAAGGGCGCCATTGTCGGTTTCTCCCGAGCCTTGTCCAACCAGATTGTCAAGGAAAAGGGAATCCGAGTCAAGTGAGTGTGGCACTTGGCCAACATTGGTGTCTGTGCTGACCTGCTCAGCGTGGTTTGCCCTGGACCCAGTGAGCCTGCAAACTAGGCTCGCTACATGATGCTGATAGCTCACAGTCTGGACCCCTCTCGTTGCTGCTACGATGACCAAGGAATCGCTCGAAAGCTTTGGTGTGACAAGTGAGTGTGGCGTCTTGCCTTTTCCTCCATCCGTCGTCCACGTCCTTGCAACACTTGCCTCAGCTTGAAGAAACCTTCAGACAAACATCGAGGACAATCTCAGCCTCTTGAAAGTCACTGACAATGTACAGCCGCGATTGGCCGAGCTGGACAGCCCGTCGAAATCGCTACTGCTTTCGTTTGGCTCGCAAGTGCTGAATCCTCTTACTACACTGCTCAGTGAGTTGTTACTTCCTCCTCTCGTCGTTTCTTCGCTGAATTCGGCCGCAGATGCATGCACTTGAACGGTGGTCAAGCGTACTGATCGTACGCTGCTCGTTTCGCGATCAGCTCATCGTCGGCGTGTCGTTCTATCTCGCGAATGAAAGTCGAAATTTGGATGATTTTGAAGGAAAGAGCAAATGTTTTCACGACGGGGATAAAGATGCCACATTCAGATATGATTCTCTTCTGATGCATGGAGTGATGAGTGTGTGATGGCCAAGTTTGTGTCATGCATGCAGATGCGGGCTCATGACGTGCGAGGGTGAAAGCGCGGGCTCGACGAACGCTACCTGTCCGGCTCAACCTGTCCTAGCCTCACGAAGGTGGCGGTCCCATCTTTGCTAGGATTTCCCCAAATTCACGCCTGACCGCCTCTGCGGCATCAACGAAGGCCGGATCGACCGCGTAGACACCATTGTCGATCTCAGCCTGGACGCACTCGACAATCTTCTTGGGCATAGACAGGAAAGGAGAGTGGGCTGGAGCAATGGAGTTCCGCATCAGCAGCACCATTGCGAGCGGGATCATCGTTTCTCAACTCACACGACTTTACTTCCTTTTCGTTGAATCTCGCTCCAAGCAAGCTTGCCCTCTTGACCATCCATTTTTGAATGGGATAAGGCAATCGTTGATCGTCCGTGGCGTATATGTAAGTGGAGCGATAAGAGAGGTACGAAGCATCCGTGATAGCTGAGAATTGGGTGATAGCGGGGCAAGGTTTAAGTAACGAGATCCAATGTTGAGCTTGATCAGAGGGTACATCATGATAGAATGCTTGAGCGGGATCAAGCATCGTACATGATCCGTCAGGCTGGACGCGAGGAAGAACAAGGGGCACCCGCCCCCCACAGACCAAAGTCAGCATACGTCGTGTCATTTCCTGAAAAGACGCTTCTGGGGAAACGCTCACGTGGATGGGCAAGAAGGGGGGCAGACTCGACCCCAAAGCATCCGCCAACGATTCTCCAGGTAGAGGCAAGAAAGTCGCCATGAATACAAGTCCCACGACTCCGCCCTTCAAGCCTTTGACCATCCTCGTTTGGACATCGTATTCCCTTGTGACAGCTTGAGACGTGACGACACCACCATACGAATGAGCCAGGACAAGGATGTCCTGTCCTGCTTCCACTAGTTCCTCTAAAGCCGCTTGGATGGCTCGGACATCTTCGCGCAGACCTATATGAGGCTTTGCAGCGAATGAAGGGAGCCGAGGACAAACGGCTTCGAATCCCTGGGATTTGAATGACTGAACAAGAGGCTCGTAGTGCGCTGGAACGTGCCAGGACCCGTGGATTACGAGGATGGTGGGTTTGCTCAACATCTTATTGTACGATCGTTGGGCTGTGGGGGAATATACACCATGCATCGAGAAGCTGCGGCTGTATTCGCTTCGAGTACCCAACAGTGCATCCGGGCATTGCTCCCACGCGGGGCATGATCATTATAACCAGATTTTTTCCCAGGAATGTTCATCGCCGGTACACCGGGCGCCGCGAGCCAGCTGAACCGAACATTTCCGTGGGGAACGTGAGCGATCCTGCTGGCGCACCATGTTATTAAAGTCTAGCTTGCTAAGCCTCCACGCTCGTCTCGCTCCGCTTGAGGACTGCCTTGGAATTGAGACAGGGCTGGATGTCCCGCGATGACCCGATTTTATGTCACGCTCTCGGAGCCAATCCTCCGTGCAGGTACATTTTCATGTCGCCGAGGCGTGCGCGTCAAACCTCGCCTGGATATCTTCATGCCTGATAATGGCCTTGTAACCATGCTGCAGAGCGATCAATTTGTCCGCTGTCCAAAGTCGCGACGTCGTACCGTTGATGATGGCGAATAGGTCAGAAACGGAGTCGGCGGCGAGAAGATCAGGTTCATTCAGTTTGAGTATGGCCAGCGCGATGCGGAAGAGAGCCTGGGCTCCTGTCAGCAGCGAAACGGCATAAAAACGATGCTCACGTCGTGTCCTTCGACAAAGAACACGTCCCAGACCCTGAAGAGTGTCTTTGCATTATCAGCACATCTCATGAATATTGCAATCTCACCTCGACGGGCAAGCAATCGGTGAACAACGACAAGAACCATCCAAAGGTGATACTCGCGAGGTCTATGCCCAGCTCGACCAATTTGGCATGAACTTTCGGAGCATACTGTGCGACGAGGTCATCCAGGACCATCTGATCCACCCGCGACCCATGCAGGTCAGGTGAGAAGAAAGCAGCTGGCAGCAGACGTTCGACGATCGCAACGAGCGTCCAGTAAGCTTGCTCTGAGTATATTGTCAGCAGCCGTCACCCTTTTGAGGCAAACCCACCCTCATCGGGATGAGTCAGGAGCAACGTCGCGGCGAGCATGTTCATGCCTTGACAGTAGCCGACCGAGGGATTGTGCCTGAAGGTTCGGTTCAACGCGTGCCTGACAGCGGCGACGCAACTCACCATGAGTACGCGAGGAGAACGTTTCGTAGCTTTGGAACGCCATGACCATCACCGCCTGCGCCGTGTGAGCCCCAAATACGGAAAAGACCTTTCCCACCCACCAAAAAACAAATTGCCCGGAAACGTCCTCGTAATGTCCTTTTCGATCTCCGCCTGCACTGGGCTCTTCTCATCCCTATGTTTCTTCAGGACCTCGGTGTATTCCCCAGGTATCATCATGTCACGCGCGCCAGAGCATTCTGTCCTACATCAGCAGCGAATTTGCGACGCCTTCAACGCGTACTCACCCGCCCATATATCGTTCCGATAGATCAGGGGTATACCCCTCCTGACCAGCTTAAAGAACGTCTTGCGGTCCTCTTGATCGTGCTTATGATTTGAGTTGAGCTCATTGAACCCTACCAACCCTGAACCCCAGATCATCTCTTCAGAGCCTTTTCGACCTTCCACTTGACTGATTTTGGTCTTGGCGCGGTGCTTGAGGAAAGCTGCCCATTCGACCATTCGTTCCTTTTGTTGACGATCGTGAATGTCTGTGAGCTGATCCAGGAGGGACGAGACGGTCGCTCGTGATGCGGCGGCAGACGAAGCGTCAGAGTTGGCAGGTGTCATAGACTTGGTCTGAGGCGATGGCGGCAGTTCCGAGTGAGTTGTCAAGGCGTCGGAGGTGGTGCCGAGAGAGGTTGAGCCCCGGACAGAAACTGTCAAATGGTCTTTTGCCAGGCTCGGTTTCGCAGGAGATGGGTTCAACGCGGCGACCGTTGACAGGGATCGATGTCTTGATGCCGAATCGTGCTTGATGATAGACGGAGGGAGATCATAGAGACTGTCGGGCGTTTTTGATCGAGGTGTAGATGCATCGGGTGTATGGGTTGGGATCGGTGACTTGATGGAGCTCCGAGACGAGGGGCGATCGGGCGTCGGAGCAGACCCCACCTGCTTCTGTCGATGGGCTCGTCGTTTCTCGACCCAACCTTCAGGTTGAGAGGACGGGATTGTGCCGTTGAGAGAGGCAGCAGCGGCCGCACCTGCCACACTGGCATCTTTGAGAAGCTTGGCGTGTTGGATGTCGTCTATTCATATGTCAGAGAGACTGTAACCTCGATGAAACTCACAGATGAACCCGTATCGATCCGTCAAAGGAGGCTCTGAGCTCTGAAATCGGCTGGCAGTAGACAGCTTGACTTTACCAACTTCTGAAGCTCTGAAAAAGGAGCCGAGATTCTGCCTGCTCAGTAGGACCGTTGGAGGCCTAGCCTCATCAGGGATGATGGAAGCGAGTTCAACGGACGGTGGAGGTGTTTCGTCTTGCGGCGAAGTCGAGGAAGGAGAAGGTCGCATGTCATTAACGAGAGGCGGAGAAGAGACGTTGCCGAGAAACGGACGAGACATCGTGCGCGCCAGTGTGGCGGGACGAGCTACATCTTCTGTTTTCGCTGACATGGCCTTTGTGCCCCTGATCGTAGCGTGGGACACGGAGCTGAGGAGACTTCGGCCGACGGCACGTGCTTGATCGCCATAGCTTTTGGTAGATTCGGCAGAAACCGGAGGTTCGATCTCGACTGGGATCGATCGCTGACTCTCCTGAGACGCTATGGATGTCGCTCTAGCGCGGGATTTGGATGTCCTTCGTTCTGTTGATACCTTGCTGACGAGTCCCTCATCTCGAGCATTGGACACCAGGGAATGAGCCAGATACGCAACGAGGGAATTCGGAGGGATGGCAGAGGAGTCCAAGACAGAGGATGGATCTGGTGTCAGTATGCGCTAGGACAAGGATTCTCAGTCACTGTCATCTTTGACCCCGAGGTGGGCTCACCGTAGCATTGACTATGGCCCTCAGGGAGGGTGTGCTCCCACCATCACCTTTTCGCCAGGCTTCCTCGTCTCCATCCTCCATCGCTTCCTCCAGACCAATACGAGGCTCGTTGGTCAAAGTTTTAGAAGTGCCAACAGGTTGCGATGCGAGAGACGATACGCTCCCTCGGCGAGCCTTTCGTTCTGCTGAGCCTGTCTGTCGCTTTGTCCCATTCCATCCCCATAAACTGGACGTCCAAGTCGCTTTAGCAGATTTGGCGGGTTCCGTGAGAGGCACAGATTTGGATGACTGGTCTGGAGATAGCGCTGGAAATCTTGATCGGGAAGGTGGAGGTACTGATTGGGTGTGTGTGATTTCCGGTAGTGGTCTACTGGAACTTGGTTTGAGTGGCGAGGGTGAGGTGAGCGAGGTGCCAAGGGCTTCGGAGATATCATCATGCAGAGCATTCTGCTGGCCGTCAGTTCTGATGGAGCACGGTTTCACTCACTTCTGGCCGATCCACAGGACCGGCAGCCAATTGCGCTTGCAATACTTCATTCTCCAAGATGAGGCTTGCGACAGTATCCTCCAGCTCGCGGATAGCACGCGAGAGGACCTGAAGAGGGTGATTGCGGCGCGCTCTGGCCAGAGGAGGAGGGGATGGAGGGAACAGAGGTGGAGTCGAGCTGTTTGGACGACCGTTGGCATTTGGCTCTCCGGATGTGTCCGATCGATCGAGCATGGCGGGGTCGAGGGATTTGGTCGTAGATGGCCGACGAGCTCTTGGCGTTTCCATGAAACCAAGGTCATTTTCCTGTAAGGCCATACGGGAGAAGCTGGATGATATATCGGCCGATGAAAATGGCTCAAGGAGCTGCTGGATCTCATCCTGATCCATCAAGTCATACCGTGTTCCAACGATGTCCAACTCTTCGTCCGTAAAGGCACTTAACAGCTGCTTCGTCGTCGATCCACGTCTTGATTGACGTCCAAACTCCTTCCCTTGCGAGATGATCTCATCCCCGCTGGCTTTACGTACCTGTCTGGCTCCGAGAAGATCAGGGTCGACCATACGAGGCGGTATGGATCCAGCTCGAAGGTGTCTTTGACCCATGAACCTAGACTTTGGTGTCGAGTCCAGAGCAGAGTCATGGCTTGAGTTCGTATGTATGGTGGGGATACCTGGACCCTGGATAGATCTCGCTGTAGACTTGACTCGGTGCAAGCTGGACGAAGAGACGGCCCGAGGGAGTCGAGGATGAGATGGATGAGAAGGTGAAAGGGGATGATGTTGTGGCTCGGCGGTAGAAGTGGATAGGGATGGGGCGAGGCGAGATGCACCAGGTCCTGGACCTGAATTTGCCATGATGTGGCTGCTGAGAGTTCCTTCTATCCTGTCATCTGGGCTCTTGGGACGTGACAAGACATTGAGCTGTTGTGGAATGGAGGCTCTGACAATAGTGAATATGAACAATTGAGCGAATGCGGCAAGTCGCGTGGCGGATCATCCTGTTTGCCACCGGGGCACCGGACAGCAATAGTGTACTCGTCTGATTGTCAAGAGCAGCAGCAGCAACGCGCCAGATGCGGCAAGATGGGCTTCGAAACGTACATAGATACATCGCGCGCCAAAGATTCTGTGTATCGTTGACGAGTAATCTATGACGGTCCCTGACTCAATAGCCCGACTAAGAGATCGTCCCGTGAGTAATGCCCGACAGGATCGAAATCAAGCTTGGCACCGATCAGATCGTCCAGGTCGATCTGAATCTCTGTCAGAAGGATAAATTTGAGCAGGAAGATCTTCGTTACTCACTGCGGCATACAGGACACCTTCTCGATCCCATAATGGCCCGGCGAGAATCTGGCCTAATGGTCCGACGATGCAGGTGCCACCTGGACACCAGGTGGAAACCCCTTCAGACTGCTTATGGCTAGGCGACGCGACCACGCCGTCGGATGCCGCATGAGCTCCCTGCTTATCCTCAGCCTGGACGTTCCCTGTATTGGTCGTGGCGGTACCAGCCCCGGCCTTCTTGAGCGTTGGAGGATAGTTTGCTGGGAAATGCTCTTCTGACTGATATTGATTGACTGTGCACGAGGATCGTGTCATTCATTGCATCGGACGATTCCTCACCTCCAATGACAAAACATCGACCTTCTTGAGCTATGTGTTGCATTGTCGGTGTCCATGTCGGTCGACCATCAGCCGTCGGGGCTAGGTATCTGTGTGCAAGGGTCAGTTCGGAGATTCGTCAACAAGTCCCAAGACTTACATTTCCACGCCTTTCCTGTAAAGCAGATATCGAGCCAGTGGCATGTAATCTGTCAGTCATCACCATGTCAGCTCTCTATCAGTGACCGTGCACGATGCGACCCACTCTCCCAGCAGATCAAACCGCCTATTCTGCCCATTGCAGTCTGCACCACAGGTAGGTTGTCTTCCCTCCCACCATCCGTCATCCCTTGACCTTGATGCCAGACGACACGTTCAGCAGCCGTAGGCTGAAGTTTGCGATGCCGTGAGAGGAGAGCGCCATCAGGTCCCAGGAGGATGTTGGTACACCACAATGTTGCGCCGACGTGGGATCGTTCAACGATTCCGACTGAGAGGTACTGATCAAGCGGGCCGTCAGGGAGGTCATATTCTGTATGAATGGATAGGTGCATCCGGATGAATCTCACCACTCGACTCTATGAGGCTATGGATTGCAGTCTTTCAAAGGCGGCAAAGTCTCCGGGAATGCTCTGGTGTCCATTCGTCGTCGGCTCGTAAGGCCTTCCGACAACTCCGTTGGGGATTTTGACTGCCGACTGAGGCAGACAGAAAATGAGCTATGGCAACGATACACATGACTCACATTCACATAACGGTTGAACCATTCTCTGTTCTCATCCGTCCTGGTTCCAATCACAAAGCCCAGAAATCTTGGATAAGCGCTTAAGAAAGCTTCAGGGAAGACAACGAGACCAGCACCTTTGCCCTTCGCTTCGATAACGAGTGATTCGAGTTTGGTCAGAGATGCTGGTAAGTCAAACGATACGCTGCCAGCTTGGACAGCAGCCACTGTGATCGGTGCCATCGTTCTCGTATTGGCGTCGCCCGAGTCAGGCTACATCACAAGACAGTGGTAGCTCCACAATCAACCACGACAGAACGTCAAACGGACTTTCGATACGAACGACGATTACTTCGGCTCGGCAAGAAATACATTCACATCCTTTATACGACCCTGACGATACTGAGACTTTATCAATCTGGCTACCCTGTCTCTACACATGAGTGCCATCTCTCTCCCTACGATGCTGAGTGCTCCATTTAGCTTGCTCGACGGCAAACGCAATGGCCAGTCGAGAGAATTGAGCCATGTGCTTCGAGCGCATCACGTCAGCCAGCGACCTTTGCGCAACGTAGAGGGCTCGACTCACGTCGATAGAGAATACGCCCAGCTCATTATCGACGTCCATCCTGTCCCTGTCAGTGTGGACATAAGGATCAAAGTCGCCCATGGGGCTATGTTTCGTAGATGGGTCTCCTTCAGTCGCAAAGGCAGCTGGGAAGCCTTGTTGAGTAAAGGACATGTAGTCGGATCCAGCGTTCCTGAGGGTTATAACGTGATCAGTCGACTTTATGAATGCTTCCTTGCGTACTCACGGCCCCATGCTGGACAACACTCGAGTGGTGAGGTCGATGTATTCCTTGGACAGGTCAACAGCCCAGTTTGTCAGGTTGCTGTTCGACTGCTCAATGATAAAGTTGATGGACTCGGTGGCGTTCCGGAAGATAAAGGCGGTCATGTCCTACACATAGTGTCAACGAATCTATGGAAGGGACGACCTCCGTAAACACTCACAAACTCCATCATGGCGCCGATGGTAGCCTGTTGATCTTTCTTATATTTTGCAATTGCTTGACTGCCCAAAAGACCAGCTTCCTCAGCAGCGTACCAGTGGAACTCGACCGGTCCTCTTTCAGGGATGAAACCTCGCATAGCGAGGACGCGGAAGGCTTCGAGGATGGAGACGCTTCCCGACATGTCATCATCGGCACCAGGTGCAGGCCTTGATACAAGTCAGTCGGACTTCAAGGGCCACGCTCACAATAGGGGGAAGGCGTAATTTGCGCTATCTTGATGAGCACCGATGATAGTCAGCGGAGCAGAAGCGTTCCGTATAGGTGGCTCAAATCGGGCGATGATGCTTGGTTGCATGAACCAGTGAGTGTGATATTCCAATGAAATGTACGTCTGGAAAGGCGATTCTTTGATGATCTAGAGAGAGAGGTGTGTGGTCAGCCTGAGGAGCAACTATGTATAGTTACACTGACATCAAGGATATGGTTATGGAGCCACGTAGCGCTCCTAGCTCCGTTGACGTGGTGGTAGTATCGGTTGTAGTAGCTCGTCATGTGTGTGAGGACATCGCGCATATGGTTGGTGTCGACATCCTCAAAACATGGTTTCACCCAGGCATGCTGAGTGAAAGGGGGCATGTCTGGTAACGACGTCAAGCATGGCCATCGACTTTAAACTTTAAAGACTCACGAGGCTCTTGAGGTACGATGGCCGAGGCATGAAGGCTGTCATCGTGGAAATCTGTGACATCCATGAATTTCTTCCTCTTTGAAGGGTTCATTGTCAGTCATGATCCCGTTGATGCAGGGAGACCGCACCCACCTCCCGCCTGAGCCTCAACTTGTCCCCCTCCGTCATCCATACCGGTCCATCGTCCCCAAACACCTGGATCAACCTCTTCTCCGCAAGCGTCTCAGCTAGCTCAGGCTGTATAGACAGCAATGCGAGGACCGGATCATCATATCTCTCCATTGCCATATAGATCGATTCATCCACTACATGCTGGGCGCTCAGATCCTTCGAGGAGAATGATAGTTGAGACTTGGGTTGGAGAGGGGAACCAAGCAAGCACGGTAATAGCCCAAGGAGGGCCAACAGAGCGTTCGTTCGCATGGTGTTGCACTGCTTACAGGTCAAAAAGCTAGCTGGCTGCAGTTGTTAGATCGCTGGTATATATATATATCGACGAGATCTCAAATGGTGGATAAAGCAACAACGATTGCGCGTATATGATCGAGAGGCGGGAATGGGCGTTTACCGGATTCCCGTTTCCGGATGCTAAACCCTAGATGATCTGGGATCCTGGCCTCCAGAGATCTCGGTCGAGGATATGCTCCAGCATCTTTGGAACTGAGTCCTCTGCACTTTGGGACATTCAAGATTGACGTGGCCCATGCAAATCGGGAGGCGTCACCATGCTTGATAGCCATGTTGGCGGTGAGGTATTCCAGGGGGCATCGGGGATCTCCGACGAGTCTCTGCTGCCGATTCTGAGAGGGTCGCCCGATCGAGTCCGCCGAACCCCTTGAACAGAGTGATCTTGGGTCATGGTTCTGGTTTGATTCAAGTCGCCTGTCTTGCGACAAGTTCGCCAGACGCCAGGCTCACGAAACCTTCTTCGGAACGATTCGAGCGCTGTGAGTGAGTCGGGCCTGCCTCGTCTGTCCTCCTGGGCAGTCCTGTACGCAGCGGATCATCGAGCAGATCCCGACGATGATTAGATTGCCATGTTGACCCACTGAGCTCGCTGCCACTGAGCTCGCTGCCAATGAGCTCGCTCGTGGGTCTACACTAGAAGGTCAAGCAGGAGGTGCGTCTGTTGACAGTGGCACTGCCATCCCACGACAAACTTGATCATTAGCATTTGGGGATTAGCAACTGCAATTCCTAATCAGCTTGCTAATGTGCCTCAAGTTTTCTAATGATTCCCGTGATTTTCACTGATCCGCGATTGACTTTCCGGTCATGAATCGTCGTCGATACCGTACGTTCACATCGTATCCTACACCAGAACTCGACATCCCGAGCGAGACTCTCCCAAGCAGCGAGCAGAATGGCACCCAAAGCCATCATCGTGGGTGAGTAAAGACCCCGTGTGCCTCTCTCTGTGTCTCATTCCTTCCCTCTGACCTCACTGACAATGTCCTCCAGGCGCCGGAGTGGGTGGGATCGCCACGGCGGCTCGATTGGCACATGCTGGCTTCGATGTGGAAGTATACGAGAAGAACAAATTCTCAGGCGGGAGGTGTAGTCTGATACATCATGACGGCCATCGTTTTGACCAGGTGAGCGAATGTTCATGTTGATCCCGGCTCTGTGTGGTCAGGGTGTCTCACAGTATGACCCGGTCGACCTGCGTCATTCGCAGAATAGCTTCCTATACTGCAATTGAGAGGCTATCGCTGAACCTCCTGATCAGGGCCCATCACTTCTCCTCCTCCCTCGATTATTCAGACAGCTATTCAATGATCTCGGCACTCGTCTCGAAGATTACGTCGAGCTGGTACAGTGCGATCCGAATTACGTCCTTCACTACCACGATGGTGAAAAGGTCATCCTGTCATCGGATAGAGCAAAGCTAGCGAGCGAAGTGGAGAAATGGGAGGGAGAGGGCGGAGCTCAAGCTCTTGAGGGATTTCTCAGGTGACCGATCTTTCTCTCACTTGGTGCCGAGACATGAGCTGACTCCTGGCAGAGAGGCAGGTATCCACGGCGAACTATCCTATTCCCATGTCCTTGCTAAGACCTTCCCTTCGATCTTCTCCTTTCTCCGCCCTTCCGTCCTCTTCAACCTTATAGCTCTGCATCCTTTTGCAACTGTCTATGGTAGATGCGCCAAGTACTTCAAGACAGAGCGGATCCGTCGAGCTTTCAGCTTTGGCAGCATGTGAGTGTGCCAGGCGCTGGTGGTCCGACCGACTGATTTCCCGCTCGCAGGTATCTCGGAAGCTCTCCTTTTGACGCGCCAGGAACGTATACCCTTCTCGAATGGTCTGAAACATGCGAAGGCATCTGGTACCCTATCGGAGGCTTTCATGCCGTTCTCCAGGCCGTCATTGATATCTCCACCTCACTCCCACATCCCGTCCAATATCACTTCTCCGCACCCGTCAAGTCTGTCTTGCATTCTGAAGGGAAAGCAACAGGCATCAAGCTCGAAGACGGAAGCGAGATTCATGCCGATCTGGTGATAGTCAATGCGGATCTCGTCTGGGCGCACAACAATCTGTTCGAGCGGGAGAATGCGGCAAGTGCGGAGCAGGTCAAATCAAAGAGCGGAGATGTGGTCAGGAAAAACCTTCTCATGCCGGGCTTCGCCAAAAGCTTGTTGAGGAAACCACACTCGTCAGTTTGCCACGTACCTCTGCCGCCATGGTTGGTATTGATGGCCATCCCACAGCTGTTCTTCCATTTCATTCTACTGGGCGATGAACACCACGGTACCTCAGTTGAAGGCGCACAATATATTTCTGGTGAGTGGGCCCGAAGAGATGTTGAAACTTTCCATCCGACTCATCACATGGCCTCAGGCTGAAGACTATAAATCCTCTTTCGACGATATCTTCAAACACCACTCCATGCCCAAGGAACCTTCCTTTTACGTCAATGTCCCTTCAAGAGTGTGAGTCTGCTTTTTTTTCAACATGCACGCCGGCACACGCTGACAAAGATGTAGAGATCCGTCCGCCGCGCCAGAGGGGAAAGATAGTATTGTCGTGCTGGTCCCCGTTGGTCACCTCCTCCCCTCTGACTCGAGGAAATCAAGTGGCAAGAAGCCCAATAACCCTGAGCAGAATTGGGACGAATTGGTCGACCGGGCGAGGAAACAAGTCATTGAGGTCATGCAAGCGAGACTCGGTATCAATGGGTTGAGCGAAATGATCACGTGGGAGGGTATCAACACGCCTCTGACCTGTGAGCGGTCTGGTCTCATTCCGAATTCAAGGGCTGACACATGATTATGATAGGGCAATCCAAATTCAACTTGACTCACGGTTCTATCCTCGGTATCACGCATGATTTCTTCAACGTCCTCTCTTTCCGACACCAAGCGCGCCATCGATCTATCAAAGGCGCCTATTTCGTAGGCGCTTCAGCCCATCCCGGCACCGGTGTCCCTATTGCCATCGCCGGGAGTCGCTTGTGTACACAGGAGATTCTGAAAGATCATCATGTGTCCCTGCCATCAACTTATGGACCGTCCAAACCGGAGGGTGTCTCGTCACTCGACACGTTGCGTCGTCGATCAGTCATCCACCTCGTGGAGGATTGGACATCGGCCGTCTTTCCATACCTTATGGGCATGTTTATCGCCTCATTGCTGTTCCTGATTGGAGCCGCAAGCCTATGGTATACTGGATTCTTTGAGCCCCGTGTTGTTGTTGCGCCGGCCGTTCAGCCAAGTGTCAGTGTCAACGATATCCCACGACACAGTCTACCGTCTTTGGACATGGAGAACCTCAGTCAACCGGTCATGTGGGGATCATTCGCGGCCGTAGTCTTGTCATTGGCTTATTTCAATCTGTCAGCGGGACCAGCCGCTCGATGATGTAGGAGGAGGGCTGTCGATAATGTATATAGACTCCATATAGACTATGCATGATGTTGTTGTATGATGTGGCTTTGTTTGCGCTATTCCAATAATGCAAGTCGAGCAAGGTAAGATTCGACGACTCGCTTCCCGTTCCTTGGACGATCCTGTCAGCTCGCCGCCACCTTATCACCGCAGCAATGGGTCCTCACCTCAAGTTGAGCAACCTCATTCGCTCATTGGCCAAATGACCAGCATCGGATGCCTATCGAGAGCAGTTTTAGCGCTTTGCCCGTGCCCCCTTGACACAGCTTTAACTCACCTGACCCAGTGGGAGATGAACACAAGGTGCGCCAAATTCCCTTTCGAGCCAAAAGATGGTCGGGACCGTACCTCCCTCTCTGATCTTGAGAGGTTTGGCTCCCCATACATCTTCGATGGCGCATTCGAGTGATTTGAAATATGGCGAGTCGAGAGAGGTGAGCCACCAAGATGCCGAATGGGTCACCTTGATCTGTTCAAGAGCATGGCGTGTCAACAGTGTGATCCTTGTCATCTTGTCAAGACTGACCTCGAACGTGTTTGAAGAATGGAGGTCATCATACAGGTTCTTACAGTGGGCTTTGAGATTCGCTGTAATGGTCTCCAGGTCCTACGTGGGAATTCAGCAACCAGCGAGTATACCTTCGGGACGGATGACACACCTGATCAGGAACTATACGCATTGAGATATCCGCAGTGACGCGTCGAGGAATGACAGTCTTATTACTTGATCCGGTACTGCTTATATTGGCAATGGAGAAGGACGGGTCTCGCCATACTCTGGATAAATCTTCAACAGATCGCCCTGTCGCTATGGAGACATCGGTGAGATGCTGCATCTCTTCAGGCGTAGGAGATCGGACCTGGTCGTCTGGAAGGTCCATCAGAACATGCTCCGACCTCTGCTCTCGCCACATCACCCACAAAAGTCTGGGATTCTAACACCTTGACTGTCGGCTATCCCGCCCAAGACTCGGATCATGTCAAACATGGGCTCAGCAACGCTTCCGCCATCGACACCTGAATGGGCATCGGCTCCCTTGCTTGATATTTCCAAATGCGCATAGACGACTCCTCGCATCCCAAAAACGACACACGGGTCATCCTCGCCAACCCATGTAGAGTTGGACAAGAGCACTACATCGATATGCCCAATGGCGTCCTGCCTCTGGTGAGCACGACAGCAATGTAGCGATGCGCGACCCACCTTGTGCTTCCGGACGGTCGGAGCGAAACCTCTACTTCCCGCTTCTTCTTCACCCTCGATGAGCATGACGAGGTCCACATCCAACTCCCGCTTCTGCCGCAGGGATGAAGCAGCACAAGCCACGGCAAGGATCGGACCTTTATTGTCGCTCACACCCCGGCCGTATAGGTATCTGCACAGTGATCAGTCAATGTTTTCCCCCTGGGGATTGGGCCTTGTAGCTATTCACCCGTTTCGACCCGCCAGAGTCCAAGGATCAGACTCCCATCCGGCCTCCGCGGCTGGCTGGACATCGTAATGCCCTAGGTCCAATAAGCTCTTAAGCTCTCAAAGGGACTAGCTCACCATAAAACAAGACCCTCTTCCGCGGACGCCCGGTTTCTCGTCCGACGAAGGTAGCCAGGACCAGTGGATTTCGCCCGTTCTCACCGGAAATCTAATGCGAGTTAGCCGCTGTCTGTTCACCTTTCTGTCGAGCTCACCACCTCTGACTGAGCGCCGAGCTGCTGCAAGAGCCTTTTCAACAGATGCGCTCCCTGTCGACAGCTTCGACAAGTCAGCTCCGTACAAGGTATACGGCATTACCTCTCGCGATGAGCCTCGTCGCTGACGGTCGGCACTGCTATCAACTTGCTCAATGCTAGAAGCATGGTATCGCCCTCTCCTTCCACTTCAATCTCTCCGGATAAGGGCAGTGTTGAGGGTCGCGATATGGACCAAATCTAAGCACCGGCTCAGCTCATGTCCATGCAATGGGGAGACGATCTGCTAACCTTGACGAATGAGTCGTTCCCAGCGGTGATGTACTCCCAGCCATGTGTCGCTTGAACGATGACCGAGCTCAGAACGATCCCCTCGTGAGCTGCCCAGGAGGAAGTGTTCTCGAACTTCCCATCGATCCGTGCAACTTGACCATCGGCAGCTCCAGCATACAGATCCTCGCCAAGGACCGAAAGCGCCAAGACATCGGCAGCGTGAAGATCAATGTTTCGAATACAGGCAAATGTTTCGAGGTCCCACACGCCAACTTGACCATCTTGCATGCCCGCAAAGAGCAATGAATCTCGAAAGGCTAGGGAATGAACGGCTCCAGATAGCTCTTGGAACGTTTGGATAAGCTTTAGACCGCCTTCAGCTTTACAGAGCCATATTTTGATATCACTGTCTCCGGACCCTGAAACCAGCCAGGATTGTCCTTCGTTTCGAGGGATAAGATGCAGCGCGTAGACATAGCCGAAGTGGGCGAAGGCTATCCGTGCTCCTGGGCCGACGTCGAGCTCCACGGCCTTTGGGCCGTTCAGGCTCTTTTCCCCATTCGATTGGGCGGAATGTCGTGAGACTGTGGGCTCGAGGGTGTTCAGATTGGCCAGTTGCGGCGATGCGTGACTTGAAGTAGCATAGGAATGGCCCTTTTTACATCCGGGCACAGGACTCGTGGGCGTAGTTGAGCCTGATATTGGAGGGTTATCGAAGAACTTGTGCGGTCGATATCTCCCCGTGCGTTGGCGAGGTAGGCTGGGTGGAGTCGGCTTTGACGAGGATGATGTTGCTTCGCTACTTGACACTGCGACAGTATGACTTGCGGCCGTTTGTAGCGAAGCTTTACGTGTGCGAGTGGGATCTTGATGGAGTGATCCTGGATCGGCAAAATTGATCCATTCAATGGATGCGCTCTGAGACCCTGGACATTCTGATGAGCGCGCGATCCGGGGCACGCATAGACATACCGAAATAAAGCGTTCCTCCTGCTCTGTCATCCCATGCCAGACTGTAAATATCGCCAGACGTGTCATCGCATGGGTGAATGATGTAGACGGGCTCGAATGTCTTGGTGGACCATATCTAATAGCAGTCGTGAGCGATGCTCCGGCAGACAGCGACATTTTTTACTCACCCTGACATCCCCTGCTGAGCTGGAACTGACCAACCATCCCCTGTCTTCGACGATCATAAGAGCCAGCACGGATCCTTGATGGCCCAGAAGTTTGAACATTGGTCGGAGAGTGTTTCGAGAGAAGACCTGATTGGCGAACCAGATCAGCTGGACGACACTCGCGGAACGAGATCGGCGTGAGTCAACGCACCACAATTTCATTCTCCAGACTCTGGCACCCCGCATACACGCAGTTTTCATCGGCCGCAAGTGACAAGACTCGTCCGCCTTGCACACTCAGCAAGTGGCTCAACGCAGGCGTGTTGCCCTTCTGCTTCCACGTCAGTGAATCTGGCGTTTCGAAATGTTTAGACCCGACATCAGGGGAGAGTGTGACGTCGAGTCGTAGCCGAGGACGAGTTCGACCGTCGAACACACCAGAAACGGGGGAAGGAAGTCGAGAGGGAAGTAGCGATCCCAATGGGATAGGAGACGGTGAGGGCGGCGTGGTGGTCGACATTTTCACGGCAGTGGAAGAGAGTGTAGCATGAAAGTCAAAGTTTGAAGGACAGATCGGGGAAGTCGCCAGAGGGAAGACGATCCGTTTCGAGCGAGTCGAGGTGGAAGCGACGATCGTTCGAGTCATGGTTGGAGATGATTTAGAGGTCGAGGTGCAAGGTGATAGTGGAGGGGTAGTAGCGATACCGCGATAAATGTCAGCTAGTGAATCTTTGGCTGGCATGGCAGGGGTAATAGTCTCGGGTTATGGAGAAGTATGAGACAAGGAAGTAGAGGTGACGAGTATGAAGCAAAGACGTGTTATGGGTGGGCTCAGGGGGTTCAAAGACGATATCAATGGAGCGCTGGTTAGAAGGGAAGAAGATATCTCAGGAGTCGTTATCGACCGTGTGAGCGACGATGTCGGTTGAGGCCCTGAGGCTGGCTAGCCACTGGGGTCAAGTGAAGTACGCCAAGGTTCACAGACGAACAGATATCCAGTCAGACAGAGCTACATTACCTGACTGGCTCGTAGAGATAAGACAAGCTCGAGAGTAGTGATACGATAACTCCGAACACCTCCACACTCACCTCTTTTGATGCTGTTCGTGGACATTGACGTTGTTGAGGACGACTCCGCTCGAGCACTCCATTCATCATGACGTTTCTGGATGAGGCCTTCGATAGAGCTGTATGCCTGCATAGCAAGCAGGCGAATCCTGTATGGGTGCTTCGCTCGTCCTCGATGCCGATACCTTGGTAGGGCCTAGTGACGACAGCCAACTGGGACTGAGGATGTTTCCGCTCCGGATCCGCACTGAAGTTTGGCGTGTGCAGAAGGATTGTCAGGCGAGCAAAGGATTGGTAGAGCGGTCTATATAGCGTGATGACCAGCTGAGCTTCGTGCGAGCTTCATCTCTCCCCAGAGTCCGATGAAACAAAACGTCAAAGGTCGAGAGAGCCGTTGCCCAGGTGAGCTTTTGACTGTCCGGTGATACGACCCCTTCTTCAAAGTCCAGAGATCGTCAGGTCCCGGTTGTGATAAGGATGGGTCCAAGGAGTCGTCCGCTGAGGCTCTCCCAAACCCCCTTCTGGATTGTCAATAATGGACGAGATGTAGTTGAGGATGTTTGAAAGTGAACAGAATTCCGAGTCAATTGGGGATCTCCGAACTCGGAGATGATGATGCAATACTCCGAACAGAAAGATCAATCACGAGACCTACAACCGACTGCGTCCAGTGATGCTGAGGGGGATAATGCATGGCGAAGCTTGCTCTTGACTGAATGAGTTGAAGGAGGGGGGGTATACTTGATCTAATTGCAACAACAATTGTTTGAAACAAACTCTCGACACACAAGATGGTAGGTATCTAATTTCTTCCCCTTCTCGCAGCTTTTAAACATTCTTCTTCGAGCCCAACGACGCGAACCACATCGACACCACCATCTTGAAGGATCCTGACACCTTCACACTGCACGAAATCGGGTGGCTCCTCCACACCCAAGTAGACAGTATGGACTTTGGCCTTGACGAGTTCGAGAGCGCAGCTGGGTCCGCCGGATGTCCGAAAGGAGCAGGGCTCCATGGTGGCATAACAGCTAGAATCGGCGAGAACGTCCTCAATGGACGGCAGAGAATAGGACAAGGACGTTATGGAGGCCATGGTACTGATTGTTTCTGGACTGCCGGGTAAGTCGGGCAACTCGGCGTCTAGATCAGAAGACGATTTGCCGAGATCTATGATCTTCGAATTGGTTGTGGACCCAGCAGACGACTTGAGCAGTTCAGCGTAACGCGCTCGAAAGTTGGTCAACGCATTCGCTTCGGCGTGCGTGTTGCCAGGAATCTGACGACTATAACCCTCCCCCAACAAGAGGCCAGATGGGTCCGGGTCGTCCTTCGGGAAGGCCTGGAAGTGTGGACGAAGAGTCGTGAAATGGGATGAGGTATCGGGCAAGAAGATGCTGGATCCAACACAAAATGCCGTCTGAGAGACTGGGCATAGAAGAGTAAGTTGCAGACAGTGTCGCATGATGGAAAGGTGCAATGGGTCTGTGAGCATCGTCAGCTGCGTTCAGATGAAGATAAAATCTCACTCACCCTGACGAGAGGTGATGGAGGTTACAGCACTGGACACATCCTCTTTCGCAGGCGACGCCTTGACCTTGATACCGATCGAAGCCGTGACGGCGACACTGAGGACCTCGTCGGTGTTTTTCCGATCATACACTTTGACTAGAGCCTCCAGCGTATCCTTTGTCGTCGATGACGCACCGGAAGACGGACTATTGCTCGCCATGACCAGATCCAGGATGATCTTTGTCTTCTCGTTCGGCTGTAACGAAACGGAAAGCGACGTCGTACATTGGCGAGTCGGGATCATCGACGGAGGCATCTCCTCAGCAGGCGTAGCCATCCCAGAGGGGGCACCGCTCTTCATTGACGCGCTGTCTTCCGGATCCTCCACAATCTCTGCTCGGGCCGAGAACTCTGAGACCGTCGAAGTGGTCGGACTTGACGATTTTGGCGGAGTAACGCCCAGCTCTGTTAATCTCGATTCGTACTTTTCGACCTTGTCCTTTTTGCCTTTTCGCTGAGCTCCCTTGAGCTTCTGTAAGAGCGTTTCGACTTCCTCTTCTTCTCCCTTGGACAAAACGGTCCCTCCACCGCTGTCATCTCTCGCCAAACTGATCTGAGCGAAAGACTCGGGACCATCCTGAACTTCAATGACAAATGTTCGCTCGGCCTTGGACGTGTTGGAGAGGACGAATGTCTTGGACTCGAGCTTGGTCGCAGCGTCTGGGCTGATCGGTCCAAAGGCAATCGAAGGCGGTTCGACAGTCAAGACGGGTTGTTTCCGGACCACTGCTTTGATGGCGATATTTTGATCGTTGACCGAATCGAGCACGTTCTCGACCGTCAGATTCTCTTGGAAATTTCCGCCGAGCGAAGGGATAAAATTGAAGTTTTCAATCTCTTTACGACCAAATGCAGCGATGACACCCAATCGACCGAGACCGAGCTTCAGATCACCCGAAGCGATAGAACCAGATGTGCGCAAACGGAACAGACCGAGACAATCACTCCGGTTCTGTCACTTCGTCAGCCAATCTGCTCCGCTGACTTCAGTCACTCACCTGTATCACGATCATCTTTGACTTTGCCTCGCCCTTCTCGCATTGACCGAAATTGATTGAACTCTGCTGGACTTCCAAAACACTCCTGACGCAAGAGGATCGAAGGACCAAGTCCCTGACGGGAAGCTCTCCGAAATCAGACTTTCCAGCGGCGGAATGCGAGGCATTGGACAGCAAACTTCGGTCAAAATCTACGAGCCGGATGAAAATCCTCGAGTCGGCTCGCTTGTGTTTCGTCGTGATGTGCGGTCGAGTAGACCCGTTAGGCGTCATGACGGCTATGAGCTGACGCGTCGATTGCGCCGCCACGGAGATACTAGCAGCAGGGACGAGCTTCCGGCTCGAGATCATGTTCTGTAGCTCTTTCCTCAGAGCCATATGTCGCCGGACATATTCTTCCTCTTCTTCCAATGTGGCGTGAGTCACCGTCAATCGATGAGAATCGTGCTGTTCTAAAGCGGCCAGTAACTCGTCGACGGTCATCTTGGAAATTTCAGCCACGGAGGACAGAGGATCCATCTTGGTCTCGGCGCGTTTGGCAGTCAAAGCTGGAGACTTGTCTTGACCTTTCGCCACAGCCTCTCGAGTGAGATGAGATAGTGTGCTGTTCAGCTGGGCAGCCGGGGTCCTAGGTGCTTCCCCATGAGCAGCTTGGGATGGGGACTTCGGATGGGTGAGACTGCTCGTCTTCTTCTTTGTCTTCAGATCCTTGCTGAAAAGGCCGGTGGCCTTGGCACTGGCTGCAAAATCGAGTTTGGGAATCTTGGGATGCTGTCCGGATAGCTTTGTCCGATCCTCGAGCTCGATTGTGTCAAGAAGCATTGTCTTTTTGGATCGCGGAGAGCTTCGATGTGCAGATACTGGCGGGCCAGAAGCCAAGTCGAGATACTCGTGATCCTCTAGCAACTTCCGGTCTTTGAACACCACTGCATTGCCATACAGCTGGACAAAGTCAGCATCGGTTCACACAATCCATGGTCGCGTGGCTCACCTGGACAGGCCTGCCTCGACCACCTTTACGTAGAGCCGATGCCACCGCTGCACCTATAGACTGCTTGCTGGGATCTTTCTCCTTGTCGGCCTTGCACTCCGGCTTATCTTTCGCCTTTGATTTCGGTTTGGCAGCCTTGGCGTCACCGTGACTTGCTTGTCGAAGAGTCTCAATGAACCGTTCCTTCAATTCGCCAGCTACAGTTCCAGATGGCTTGTCCGACTCGTGTTCCTCGGCGTACTTGCCTACGATCCTCTTGTCGGGCGTGATCACATCTTCCAGCTTGACATAAAGCTCAACATCCTCAGGCTGAGAAGCTGACAAGTCCAGAACAAGCGGCGCTTGTGTGAGATTCTGAACAGACACTGAGCGAACTGTCGGGGAGTTGATCGTGACGGATCCAAAGTCTAAGAAATTGGATCCGGAAGGTGTAAGGATTCGATAGAGATGCGAGTGGATGGTGAGATTGTACACGTCGATGTTCCTTGACCTGATTTCCAGCAATTGATCATTACCTCGATTCAAGAGGTTCCGAACAAATATTTGCTTCTCGTAGTGATCATTGATCCGTCGAGGGAAGAATTCCAGCTTCTCTTCAACACTCTCAAAGGGCGGAATGACAATCACGTTCCGATTGGCCATCAAGACTTTGGAGATCGCTGCGATTTCGATTCGAGCCGACAAGGCACTGAGATTCTTGATCGTCACGGTACTCGTCTTGGACGCTCCAACAGTCACTTCGCCAAAGTCAATCTTCTTGCCGGATGAAATCTCGATGAAGGATGTACATGATTCGGCAGAGCAATTGATGACCCGACGGAATTTTGAAGACGCCTTGATGCTGGGATTCGAGTCCAGGAAGATCTTGAAATTCGACGGACGGAACGCTCCAGCGACTTCTGCGGCACTCGACGCATCTCGAGAGGGCCGGTAGAGCACAATGATTCGATACTCTGTGCCTGGTCTCATTGTCAATTCCTCAATCTGATCTGCATTCTCCTTGTCCAGCATCATGTCGACGGGCAGCGGCGTCGAAGACGTTGTAGGGGAGGACGAAGTCGGTACATGGAGTAAGGCATTGGTCTGTTCGGAGCTTCCAAAGAAGGGCATTTCTGAATCATCTTCATCCGAGTCGACGTCATTCTGAGGCCGATAGCTCGATCTCGAGGTCACGCGTGAGAGAGGGCGAGAAGGAGGTTGAGATCCATGCCTGCCAGTAGAATTGGACGTGTCGTCTCTGGGTCCACCATTGTCAAAGACCCCCCGTGAAGATGGTTCAGAGGTGTTTCCTCCCTTGCTAGACGCTACAGAAGGAGCTCGAGATGATGATCGACCAGAAATGGCTTTTCGTCCCCTCACATCTTCTCTTGTGGACACCCTAGATAATTGCTCGTTCGAAGTTTGTCTTGGAGGTCGAGGTCGTTCTTCGACCTCATCGTCCATGTCGTAACCTGCAACGCCGGCCAGGCGGAAAATGACTTCATGTCCTATGGAAGCGGAGAATCTGACGTCCAGAGGTTTTGATCCAGTATTCTTACAATTGACAGTCTTCTTCGCCCATATCCCATCTGGTATCTGGCCAAAGTCAAGGCCAGGTCCGCTGAGGACTTTGAGGGACTGATCCGCTGTTTCCATGTGGGCTGATCCAATGGCTCGACAAGTGACCGTGTTGCCTGATGAATGGACATTGGAAACGACAAAGTCGAATTCGAATTCTTCAATGGGCGCTTTGACGCGCATCTCGAGTCTGAGGTGACGAGAAGACAACGCAGGTAGGGGTACAGGCTGAGACGACGTGTCGACACCAAAGACGTTTTCTGAATCGAGATCGCGGAGCGAGAACCAAACGGCATCTTTGTGCTCGGCGCTGACGACGGCTGTCGTCCAGACAAGTTCGCACTCGGATCGATTGACGAGCATTATATCTCGATGGTACTCTTTGCCGACGACGGGATCCGCCCCGAAGTCAATGACAAGATGTCCGCTAGACTGCTGGGGACCACTAGCGAGACCGGAGTGTGGATCGATCAATGCAGATGTGAAGAGAGATCGACAGACTGTGGCGTAAAAGGGAAGATTAAGCAATTGACTCGATATTGAGCCACTCGCAGATGGGGTGGAGACGGCCTTGATAGTGACTACACCATGGACGGAAAAGGCTCGATGCACAGGTTCAGTACGTCTCAGTGCCGATGTAGTCGCAGACTTTGGCAGTGAGCCTGATTCTGATCCGGAGGAAAGTGCAGTAGGTGATGCCATCGGAGACACCTCTAGGTCAGATGCGCCGTTATAGCCAGAAAGGACTCGAGGTGTCGATGTATCGTCAAGGAACGGTGGTGAGACGACAGCAGGCATGGCGTTGGTAGGCTGAAATGCAAAATAGATCTTGGCCGTGGCATTCGGTCTGATGGTCACCCGGAGGGATGCGGTGCCTGATGATGTGGACGAGATGGAAGAAGATGTCGATGCGGACGACGGAGGTGCTGAGAAAAAGGTATGAACAGACGCTCAATCTCTCCATCCGCAAACTCACGTTTCTCATCATCCGCTAGCCAAAAGGTCAATCCTTGACCGAGATCACTGGAGACTTCGACGTTGACTTCTGAATCGATTACGTTTCTGATCCCAAACGACCGAACGGTCCTGTGACCCACAGTGTCATTCTCGTCGAGATAAGTGGATGGAAGATGGATCCATCCAGATGGTACTCCGACCGCTCGGATAAGAGTCTCAAGATTGGCAAAGGCATCGTGTGATGAAGTTGTGGAGGCACCGCTCGAGATGTCCGAGGAAGGTGCCGAAGAAGAGAGAGCACCGTCTCCCGATGTCTCCCCTCCACTTGATTCTCCCTCTGGATGTATGTAGCCATCCGCGAGTCCCATGAGACCTTTGACACCGGCTTCGACAATAGTGCCGACACTTTGCACCAGGTTGGTCATCGCGATTGCGGTCCTAAAGAGGGATTGGGGGTTGGGGTTGGGAGAAAGTCCGTCTGGGGACAGGTGATGGTGATGGTGAGGTGAGATGAGACTAGGATAACGACATGGGGGTCGATAGCCCTCTGGAACACTAGAGAGGTATCATGTTGTAGACGGAATTGTTGAGGAGTCTGCTCGATTAGCAAGGGGAGGTCTGATCCAGCCGCCTCTCGCGTCCTCTTGCGGGCGATGAATGTGGTAAGGGGAATGAATTTGAGAACGTTTGTCTTCCCCCTGGCAGCGTCACTGAGGTGGCAAGACTTGTCACACGGTGGCTATCCAGTCGAGTCGAGGTGTACCGACGATCTATCCGTTGTGGAGGACGACTGTCACCAGAGAAGGGACCAAAGGGATCTCCTTGTTGCTTTCGGGGGCGGGGAATGGGAAAAAAAAGCTGGGGGGTCCGGTCACACGAGCGGATTGGTGGAGAGGTCGTCCGAGTGCGCGACGAGGCTCGTCTCGCCGAGTCAGACTGTCCGCTCCGGGAGCAGAGTGTGGAGATCGCTGGAGATCTTTCAGAAATGAACGAGTGACACAAGGTGGGAAATGGCAGGATGGTGGTGGGTTGGTGGAATTTTGTCGCCTCGGAGAAAATTGGGACCAACGGTATTTTAGGCTGCTCTCTGCGTTCTCGCTCTGTCGTTGTATTCAAGCCATGCAGTCCACGTCGTGTGCGCTTGATGTGACCTCTACTGTATGTCAGCAGGAATCAGCCTCTATCGACTATCGACAACACGATGGCACAGGCATCAGTCAAAGCTATAAGTGTGATGACCCTCGGGGAGTGTCTATCGAAGTGCTGTGGGTGTGTGATCGTGTGCGTCCCTCGGGCAAACCGAAAATGTTATTAGAAACTGAGCATTTGATAATGGGGATTAGAAAACAAAGAAACGGGGTTTCTAATACCCGATTAGTACACGGCTATTGGCGCCGGATCCGAAGATCACTGGAACTTTCGGACCATGTGATGGATTGTTGACCCAGTACATCGTCTGGTCGTCACAACCTCATCTGTCCATCTCGTACAGTTGTCATCATCATGTCCTTCTCAACAGCGTATGCGCCAAAGAATCAGCATTCTATCCCTCAGGATGACAATGATCTGTCCACTCACGCCAACTACCGCGACATCAGGACCACTCACGTTGATCTCGATTGGACCATCGATTGGAAGTCTCAACTGATTCACGGATCATGTACACTCGAGCTGGAAGTGACGGCCAAGGATGGCGTGGAACACATCTCGTTGGATGAGAGTTATCTCGATATCAGTGCTGTGGAAGTCGATGGACAGGACTCCAAATTCACCCTGAGCGATAGGCATGGCGTCTGTGGGCGGGAACTTCGTATTGAGTTGGCGAACATGGCCAAGGCGGGCGATGTGAGTTCAGCAGGAATTCATAAGCATTTTAAGTCATTGACGCTATGCTTGCAGCAAGTCAAAGTCAAAATTCAGTACTCCACAACCAAAGACTGCACTACATTGGGCTGGCTGAACCCCGTCCAGACGAAGTCCGGTGACTGGCCCTTCCTCTACTCTCAGAGTCAGGCGGTGAATAGTGACCAGCTCTGTCCATACCATCACAGCTGATGATATGATTTCAGATCCACGCTCGATCCCTCCTACCATGTCAAGACACTCCCGCCGTCAAAGCTACTTATGCAGCCAAGGTCAAATCAACCTTACCCGCCTTGATGTCGGGTATCAGGGTGTCCCCTCCTTCTGAAGCCAAATTGGAGCTCGGTAAGGAGATTGAGTATGTCTACAAGCAGGTAAGTGAACTTCACCGTCCTTGTAAGTCAGCCTTGCCGACACAACTACAGCCCGTCGCCATCCCCTCGTACCTCATCGCCATCGCCTCCGGAGAATTGGCCTACCGCGAGTGTCCGAAGCAAGAAGGCAAGAACTGGAAGACTGGTATCTGGACCGAGGTAGGTAGATCAACCTCTCTGAGTGATCTGTTCTGACGGCCAATAGCCACTCATGCTCGATGCAGCGTACGAGGAATTCAATGCCGACACTCCCAAGTGAGTCATGCGATCAATGTGATCATCGTGCTGAGTGCTCAGATTCGTGGCTGCCGCCGAGAAATTTGCCTCGCCATACGAGTTCGGCGTGTACGACGTCTTGTTCCTTCCCAACTCTTTCCCTTATGGAGGTGGGCGGCGATCGATGGTACTGGATTCTGTCCAGGCTCACCTCGACAATAGGCATGGAGAACTCGTGCTTGACCTTTGCGACTCCAACTGTGCTTGCCGGAGACAAGAGCGCTGTCGATCTTGTCGCTCATGAGATCAGTCATGTGAGTGAAAGTCCTCGGGCCGTCTAAGCTCCTCCTGACTCTCTCCTAGTCGTGGTTCGGAAATGGTATTGGATGTGCTTCTTGGTCTCATTTCTGGCTCAACGAGGTGAATATCGCCGTGGGATAACACATCACCGAAAGCTGACCGAGTACAGGGCTGGACCACCTATCTTGAGCGTTTGGTAAGCGACGGAAACGTGTTGGAGTTCGAATTGTTGATATAGGCGTAGCTCGTCGGAGACAGAGAAGGAGAAGCTGCTCGTCAACTGTACGTCTACTTGTGTCAATGCGACCAATATGCTGACTATCGGGAATTCAGGTCGTTCATTGTCGGTGAGATATCTCTCGAGCTTGTTCCAACAGCCCACGCTCACGTCTGCAGGACGCACGGATCTCAAAGATGGTCTTGCTTTGCTGCAAAGCGAGCCTAGATTCCAGAGATTGGTGCCCAGCTTGCAACAATTTGAGGTGAGCATGGTCACCGCATATGAACACTGCATAGACTGACTTGTGCAGGACCGTGCGTCGACTTAAAATGCCCAAAGCTTACCACTTGCAGCCGATGATGCGTTCAGCAAAGTCCCCTACGAGAAGGTAGGTGGAACCTCATACACTGAGCATTTGACACTGACCATATCAGGGATCAAACTTCTTGCTGCACCTCGAACGGACTGTTGGAGGTCTGGACATCTTCCTGCCTTACCTGAGAGACTACTTCAAGACGTTCAACCACACATCCATCACGACTGATCAGTGGAAAGAGCACCTGTTCGACTATTTTGGCAAACAAGAGAACGGCTCAGAGTTCCAGCGTAAGCTTGGTCAGGTCGATTTCGACGAGGTGAGTTGTCTAGACTGTCTTTTGAGGAAGTGGCTGACGGGAGTCTTAGTGGATCTATGGCTCTGGACTCGATCTATGTGTCGACTTGCAGTATGACCAGTCGCTTGCTGAGTCTGTGAGTGACAGCCTGTGGGCTGAGCTGAGCTGACCGTGTCAGTGTGAGGCTCTCTCTCAGAAGTGGGATGCGGCGAGAGAAGTCAAGGAGACTTCGTTCACCTCGCACGATGTCGAGTCGTTCTCCACGCAACAAAAAGGTCAGTTTTTGTCAACATTTGACAGACATGGAACCTGCACTGAAACCCGTTCAGTCGTCTTCCTTGACAAACTTGATGCCCAGCCCGTCTTCCCCGCCTCTCTCATCTCATTGCTCGACAACACTTACGGCTTTGGCAAGAATGACAATGCGGAAGTCAGACTGCGCTTTTATCAGATTGCCCTGAAGTCTGGGCCAGAGTACGCCGAAGACGCTGCGAGTGAGTCTGCCGTTATCTCTTGTGATACAAGCCGACCTAAACGTTCCCCTCAGAATGGGTAGTGGACAAGGGCCGAATGAAATTCTGTCGACCCATCTTCCGGCTGCTCAAACAGCAGACGCCAGAGCTGGCGCAAAAGACATTCATGGAGCACAAGGACTTTTACGTGGGTCTAGGCTCTGTTACGAGGATGAATCAGGCTGACACGATGGTTTCACACAGCACCCTATTGCTCGAAAAATGATTGCCAAGGATCTCGGAGTCGACCTCTGAGTCGCAAAACAGTGGCAGTGGGCGTACACTATGCGATCAGTGCATGCTCCTACAAGGGCTGGGGCACAACCCTATTCTCTTTGTGCATGACTCAGCCAGCAATCGTGACCCTGCATAGGAAAGACTTATTCCCTGTTTTCGCGTCTCAAATGCCTCTCACTGTTTCCAGATGTTGACTGTAACAAAGGGTGAATGAGGAAGCATCGAGAAAAACACTTGAAAGGAGAATGAAACTCGAGTCAACCTAACGAGCTTTCATGGCCGTCTATCGTCAACCCCGTTTTGAACAAAGGTATTGATACTCGCCCCAGTGACGAGTGACGATGTGTGGGAAATGCGCTAGCGGTTTACATGCCCCCACTGTCACCTCATCCTTTACCTCATCTCATACTCGACTTACTCACACGAACATGGCGAGCCAGCAAGTGCACGAAAGCTTCGAGCTTGGCAACCTCGATCCTGACAACTCCGCTGGAGGTTCAGGAGGGGATTCAGCTTCCGAGAACCAGGCGCTACTCCAAAAAAGAGGAAGTTCTACTGACATTGCCACCGGCTCTGAGAAGCAGAGCAGCGGCTTCCGTCAAGCCATTGAATCCTTTTCGAACCTGTTCGGTTCCGCTGACCAGTCCAAGATCACTGTTCACAGGACTCGCAATGGAGAGGTCGACGTAGAAAGACTGGTGCACGATCTTAACTCTGCACTCCCCGAAGGTGTCTCAGTTCAGGTTCATGAAGAAATGACGTATCGGCCTCCCGTGACAGAGGCTACTGCACGGGGAGAACAAGATGGTGAAGCGGCAACGGCGGACGGCACGACTCTGCTCGATCTATTCAAAGACGGTGCTTGGACGACGTGGAAGCTTTTACGATCTGTTCATAGCCAAGATGCTCGAGACAGTTGGGTGTTTAGTGCTTACGATCGTGGGGCAGACTGCATCTACGAGAGTGGAAACCCTTGCGTTACATTGGCAAGCTTGGGAGCCTCCGCGGGATTCTTCGTCTGTGTCCCGGCTCTGATATGTTGTCCATGTGTACCTTGCCCAGATTGCTGTTGCGGTCAATGTGAGGACGCGCTGCAGGACTGAGGAAGGAATTGCTTACATGTCATGATACCTGAGCCTAGGTCTCTCATGGCGTACGTCGCTCAGCTCATGCATCTAGGGTTCCCGCTACGAAGTCGAACGATAGGCATCACGCCCCTGTTATCCGATCCAGGATGACGACCTCGAGTGACATGTGATAGAGATCAGGACTGCTGTCCTGACATGTCGGAGATGGTGACATATTCGTGGCTGGGCGTATGGTACAGATGCGCAGGATTCGACGCAGCTGATCTTCTCACCGTCCGTCGAGCAAGCAGAATTCTCCCCCCGAGGGCTGTGGAACCTGGCGGGATGACCTCTAACAAGGGGCAAGCAGGCGATGAAGTTCTGGATCGTCTTGCGCCATTCTGAGAGCCGAGGGCCAAGAGTCACTGAATCAAAGGATTAATTGTCTTGAAACGGATGGTCACAGCGAGAAACACTGCTTCAAAGGTGGTATGCAAATGTCGACATCTGCTTCTCTTCTCCTTGCACACGGATAAGGAGTGTGATCGCGCAGTTTCTCCCTAGACAGGCCTAATCCCCTCCACATGTTCACATATCAATCCTTCTCGACTTTCTCTCCTGGACACTTCTCACGATGAATCAACAAACACAAGGCCATCTTGGTTCTGAGGCTTTCGAGCTCCAGACTATTGGCGAGAGCGCCTCCAGAGACTCGTCCGATGGGCGACCTTACACGTCTGCCAGGTCAGATGCCTCGGAAGCGATCAGTCTGCTGGAGGGAGATCCCATGCGTGACACTGCGGCCACGGTCGCTGATGTCAGGTGTGGTCCCCTGACTCAAGTATGGCGGACACTTTCGACCCAATTTTACTCCAACGGGACGAGACTTGAGATACATAGGCTTCCTGATGGTAGGCCCGATGTCGAGCGACTGACGAGCGATTTGGGTACACTTCTTCCTGGCGAAATCTCTATTCAGTATCAGCCCCAACCAACGATGACTGCTGAAAATGCTGGTGATGGTAATCGCACTCTCGAGAATGAGAGTCAAGACAGCCAAGCAGTCACACGGAAGGACATTCTCCTGGACAAGCTGAAGGACGTTGCCTCGGCCGGTTTTGCAGTCATTCGCTCATGCCACAGTCAAGATACCCGACTCGAATGGACCGAAGAACTTTGGGACAGGGGAATGGACGGCGTACCCAATAGTGAGAACCCATGTGTCTTCGCTGGAAGCCTTGCGGTGATGTCTTGTCTCTATGGTTGCCTTCCAGCCACGATATGTTGTCCTTGCATCCCTTGCCCTGATTGCTTTTGTGGCACTTGCTAGGAATACCTGGATCCCGAAGTCAGAGGAACCATGTAGCATGTATGACGTTCTCTCTTGATGCGCTGGCGACACGCAAGACCTCTGGGCATGATGTGACACCCTCTGATGACCTATGGCTGGGATGCTGCGCGCGGGATTATGATGCATAGATCTGATCAACTCGACTCGAATCATGCCGAACAAATGCTGCTTCGGCTATCATCGACTCGGATTTCTGAGCGGATTTCCAATGTTCACCTGACGGGCTCTTGAATCTCTCTGTTCAATGCATTCCTTCTTTCCTCATCTACCAGGCAGGCACCATGTCGACGTATAGCTTCTATCAGGTGGATGTATTCTCGGATGAGGCGACCAAGGGGAACCCCGTCGCGGTAGTCATCGTGGATAATGAACCCTCAGACTCCAGCTCGGGATCTGCAGATCCATCCGCGGGGCCGAGTGAAGAAGCCATGCAGTCCTTTGCAAGTTGGACCAACCTGAGCGAAACTACTTTCCTGTTTCCCAACACCGCTGGATCAGCCTCAGGCGATGACTATGACTACACGCTGAGAATCTTTACGCCTGTTCGAGAACTGCCGTTTGCTGGACATCCTACACTTGGAAGTTGTCAAGCTTGGCTTCAACATTCCTCTGGTAAGGCCGGAACTGGAACGTCTGAGGCTCAAGGAGAGGATGGAGAATACCGATACGTCACGCAAAGATGTCAAATAGGCAACGTGACTATCCGAGTTCATCGACAGCATGGGACATTGGCATTCGCGGCTCCTCCCTTGATTCGATCAGGGCCCGTTGACTCCGAATTAGTGGACACCGTTTGTGATGCTATGAAGGTAGATTCAGCCTGTGTCATCGATCATTACTGGGTAGACACCGGTCCCGGGTTCTTTGCCCTCCAACTACAATCGGCCAAACAAGTCCTGGAAGTGAACTACGAAACAGTGACGGGCGTCAAGAACCTCATATGGGGAATATTCGGAGAGTACGAAGGGAACTCTGATGATCCAGACGCTCCACGGTACGAAGTCAGGTTATTCGCACCTGCGATCGATGTAGGAGAGGACCCAGTCACTGGGAGTCTGAATGCTGGAATCGCCATCTGGCTCGGGCAGAGAGCGGAAGCGGAAGGACGGAAGCCTGAAGACTACATCGCTTCGCAAGGGACCAAAGTAGGACGAAAAGGGAGGGTCAAGGTCAGCTATGTCTTGAACGATGACGGCAAGGTCGAGAGGATATGGATAGGGGGGCACGCTAACATTTGTATCGAGGGTAAACTGACATTGTAGCGGCGCGGTGTGGTTGCGATGCGATTGGACAGCGTCAATGGATGGTGTATAGATTGCGCGGTTTTAGAGCCTGTCGGACTTGTCTGATGCAAAGGACGTTGAGTGATCATATACTGAAGTCTCAGCACGCACTCAACCACAGAATGTCTCTCTACCCTCTCACCTGTCACCCCCTTACCAGAGGCAATGCTGATCCTTGCGAGCGTCTCACTGGTTCTACTACCAGCTGCTCTCTCTCAACGATCACGCTCAGTCACCTTGTGGTCAGTGTCCCCATTCCAGCTCAACGGTCAGACGCGAGTACCGTCCCCTTTCAACGATACGCTTGGAGGATACAACCATCCCGACAGACCTTTCGGCCTTCTCACAATGCCTCGCAGATCCGGATCAGATTTCTTCAGCTCTGGTCCATTTAACCTCACTGGACTTGCTCTGGCTGTGATGGGGCCCAATGCAACGGGATACGCTGTTGGCTCAGACCAGACCTTCACATCTTCGCTCGTCCGTGTCAGTATCAACGGTCACCCTTACTCGGTCCCGGATCCAAGAGAGATCGGCTGGACTGATCCGATCGACTTTGCGATCACGGCTGGTCTCAACGTACCCTTGGTATTGGACGACATGGAAACATCACGGGGCATTTCCAACGGTCAGACCACCTGGTTTGCCAAGGGTGATCAGACGTTTCTTGGAGAGCTCGACCAAGGCATAGAAGAGCTCGGAACGTACTTTCTCAGCGGTGTCAAAGGGATGGATACAAGGACATGCAATTGGCACTCTTGGAGATTCCATCACCCCTCGAGTTGGCGTACCTATCAATACTCGATAGAATGCATGAGATATGATGAGGAGGCCGACTGTTGCCATTGAGGAGACTACTCGTCCCCGTCCTTCAGTTTCACATCCATCTCCTCCGCCACTCTCTGTGCAATCGCTCAAACATGCCGCGAGGTACTACCGACTTTGAGACTAAGCGAGGTCCCGCGTGGACGAGGTCCGCAACCTCCGACACATATGATACACCAGCCAGTGCCAAGGGATCACCATGTGAATCTTCGATCTACGCTAGGAAGCACCTCATTGACAGCCTGATATAATCGTCCACTAGATCGAAAGCTTATCACTTTAGGACACTCTCCTTCCATTCGCCCGCAAAGATGAAAATTAGGCGACTTCCGCGTGGTGCGATGAGAGCGGGGGGCCATCCCATACCCGAGCCACAGCCTTGTCGACCTGGGAATGTCTATATGAAGACGGATCAGCCTTGGCACAGTCTGCTCATCCTCTTCATGAGCCTACATTCTACGTTCCATACAACATGAGATTGTTCTCTCTCTTCGGCGTCGCCTCGACCTCTGTTCTCGCTGCGGTTTTACCGGAACGAGATGCCGACCGTTGGGTCGATCTTTGGACAGTGGCACCATTTATCATTGATGGTCCTTCTGGCGTGCCATCTCCTTACAACGATACGTCAGGAGGAGTGTTGGCCAATACGACCATCCGACAGACTGTTCGACCATCCCACGATGCATCGGAGATCAAATTCCAATTGTCAAACTTCTTCAGTACTGGACCTCTAGTGATTCAACATCTGTCCGTGGCACATGCTTTACCTAATGCCAGTGGAGTGAGCTTGGGGCAAGGTCTCATCGACGTCCCGACGAGCAAAGACATCACCTTCGATGGTGGTCAATCTGGAATCACGATCCAGCCTGGCGATATCATCGAGACGGATCCGGTGGACTTTCGAGTGATTCAAGACAGAGACTACAGCCTGTCAATGTTTCTAGGCCAAGGTCAATCACACAACATTACCGGTCATTTCTGGGGTGAAACAGCTTGGTTCCTCGGTGGAGATCAGACTTCTGCGCCAAACTTTTCGCAAAATGGAGGAGCAGAACAGATTGGGACTTACTTCTTGGCTGCTATCGAAGGCAAGGTTAACGCTGAAGCCATTGTGGCACTTGGTGATTCGACGACCGACCGAGCCGGGACCGATATCGATACCTATGTAGGTTGGACCGATGACTTGGCAGTGCGGATCCAGAACGATCCATCGACAAGGCACTTGACGGTCAACAATGCTGGTATCGGAGCCAACACTGTGTTTCACTTGCCTAGTGTTGGTGAACCTGCTGTCGATCGACTCCAACGGGATGTCCTGAATCAAGCTGGTGTCAAATATTGTATCGTCTTTGAAGGAGTCAACGATATTGGGTCTCAAAATGACACGGAGATCGAAGGTCCCACCAGTCCATCGACCATTCTCAACGGTGTCATTGACGGATATAAGAGTATAATCGAACGATTACATGCGCAAGGGATCAAAGCGATCGGAGCGACCATTACGCCATTCCATAAACCTGCTTATGCGACCGGTCTCAATTTTTACTATACGCCCGGACGAGAACAAACGAGACTCAAGATCAACGAGTGGATCAGAACCCCAGGAAATTATGATGCCTTCTTTGACTTTTCAGCCGTCGTCACGAATGCCAGTAACCCTATCCAAATGGCAGATCGATACGCTTCGGCCGACTTCTTACATCCTGGACCCGAGGGGTACAAAGCCATAGCGGAATCGATCGACTTGAACGTCTTCCATTGACGATGAGGTGTAACAATTCCAAGAGGCCTTTGAAGCTGGAGGAGGATGGTGGCGTACCCTGGACAACCTTACACTAGAAGATGTTCATCTTGCTTGGTCTATGAATATAGTTTAGCGGATTCGAAATCAACCTCGCTGCTGTCGTGTCCTTACCTCAGTCGCAGCATTAGACCCGTCCAGACAGCAGGCAAGGCGATCCAGTTGGCCACCACGCGCAAGACGAGTGACATGGTCCCTTCCTGTCTTGTTGCCCAGAGGGAATGTGCTCCGCCAAGATGGGCAGAAAACAGGAAGAGCGTCATGAATGCGTAACCGCCGACCCTGGAAAGAATGCCCCGCCCCCACACACATGAGCATGGGCACAATGTGATATACTTCATTACTGGCCGTCTGACTCACCTGTGATACTTGTACAATTTCTTTCCCTTGACTTCTCCACCGACGAGTTTCCCTTTCTCCCAAGTACTTGCCAACCCTCCCGCGACTTGACTGAACGCCAGACCTACCGAGATGATACCGAGCAGTCCATGCCATGTTGTAAAGTGAGGAGCTCCTCTCAAATACTTGTTGTACGCTATCGAGAATGACCCAAGGAGGAAGATAGCATGTCCAGCCAGAGCGAACGATTGATGTGTTTCGAATCGGCGGGTACGTTCAGCCGCAGCGGATGGTGAGGGTGGTTGCAGAGGGGCGATACCCCAACTGAACAGTAAGACGGAGAGACTCTGAGCGAGAGGATGGAGTGTGAACCAAGATAGGGAAGATGATGTTGTAGATGAGAGCACAAGAAGAAAGATGCTGGCGGTAAATGCTAGCGATCCATATCGGACCAGCTTGAGCGCAAATGTCTCCAGGGCAGTCTCGCTGTGACCAGCAGATTTGATGTGCTCGAAAGCCGGAGTCCTACTTGAAGACATCCTTTTGGTGGCCGAGAAGCCCAGTCGACGTCTGAGACCAGGCTCTGAGGAGAAGTGTGTGTTATACAAATTGTAAGGGTTGCGGTGTCCCCGGTGACACGACCAGCCGGGCAAACTTTCCGGAACGCGGAAACCACGGACAGCGCTAGCGGACGGTGAGATTATGGCCGCTGGCGAAGGCATAAGATAGTGGAGCGGATCAACCTCAGGAAAGCCCATGGGTACACACCCCAAGCCTGCATCGATGAAATCATGTCAATGCCATGCATGCGATTCTTTTTCGACTCATTCCATGTTCCCTTTCTAGCACATCATCCACTCTCCTCGCCAGCCTTAGAAGAGATCCACGACCTCTCTCGCGTGGCCCTTGACGGCCCTGACACGGCCTTCAAAGCTCAACATGTCACCTTCATAAGCGACCCAGCTCTCCGATCCGATGTCCTCATCAGCTTTGTGAACGTCTTGTCGATCATTCAGACCGAGCAACTCTTCCAAGTTTGCAGATACGAGGTCGATGGCATCCTGTCGACTGAAGACGTGGTGATAGTTTGCGTATTGCCATCCAGCTTCGAAGCGGATGTTTCGAGTCTCCCATTCTTCTCGGGATCCTAGACCAACAACCTGCGAGCGGGACGTCATTGAGACGGAAGAATCAAACGGGCCGGCCAACAGAGGAACTCACGACGCCCTTTGAGGCCAGGTACGATGCCAAGGAGTGATTGGTGATAGGGAGACCAGGCATGATTCGTCTCTGATCCCAAGTAGCTGGGAAGGAGCGAGAAGGGGCCACGACCACTCCGACCGAGTACTGGACGAGTTCATCGACGATCTGAAGACAGCGTCAGTACTCTGTCTCATCCCATCCAGTCTATCGTCTGACCCACCATCCAAGCTTCAGCTCCTCCCAAGAAAGTCAATTGCATGCCAGGCGCCCAATCTCTCTTCAGTCGAATGACGCTTGCCATGATGTCGGCCCTGTTGCATTCCACCACGAGTCTTCGGTACCCTCGTTTCACGGCGTGTAGTTCCTTCTCGAGCTCTGTTTCAGGTCGCAATTCATTGCCGTCCTTGTCAGTTGGGGCGGGTCCAAGCATCCGTCGAAGGACAGCGAGCTTTGTGGAGATGGAGACGATACTTTCATCACCTTGGTCTTCGCTGTCAACTTTAGAGGCGAGCGAGATATGCAGCGCTCCCGAGGGGTTGAGGATCGCTCCGTGAGATAAAGGGTGCTCGGCCGAGGTGGAATACTGGACTGACAAGCCATTGAAAAGGGCGTCTGAGATCGGATAGGCGACGGCGTTGGTCACTCCGGAGCGGTACGCGAGGCTAATGGAAGGCATTAGTATTCTTGTACTGTAGACAATGCCAAATGAACTCACAGCTGATCCTTGCTTCCGAATCGGATACCATCCGCAGCATGGACGACCAATCCTCGCAAGAGTTCAGAGTTTTGCTGCAATGGATCGTATACCACCTAGGGATTGCTCGTCAGTGCCCATACAGCTCTCACGCATCGGCACAGACTCACACCATCCTGCGTTGTTGGCTCCTGCCTGATCTCCATCAACCCCATGTAGCTTCCGACACTCGTTGCACCTGGTGCAATGCTTCCTCCCTTGAGGTTGATGACTGTAAAGCCTAGACCTTCCTCAACGACACATTCGCCGACGCATTGAATCTTGCCATCCGTCACTACAACCGTACCGTTTTGCGGCATGTTTCCGCTGGTACTCTGCAAGTTGAGCGACTGGTAGTGTGGTGATTGAGGCAGGTAGAAGCCAGCGACGTCCTGGAAAATGACAGTGTTGGAAGTCTTCTTAGGACGAAGATCTGGGTCTCCACGCATAGCCAGTGTTTCGGCAATTTCCTCGTCCCATTTGCCCTCCTTGTAGATTTCCTGAGCGACTGCAGGTTTGTTGACAGTATGAGGCGTGACGATCTGAGCGATTCCGTCGATGTAGGTTTGCTTGGGGGTGGCACCCAAGACGAGAGGGAAGGAATCCCAAACGACGACATCTGCATCGTAGCCTTGTCGAACGTATCCGATTCGGTGGTCCAGACCCATCGCGCGGGCAGAGTGAGTAGTGACAGTACCAAGAGCCTGAGACATGTTGAGACCGTAAATGTGCGCCTGAGCAGCTTCGTAGACGAGATACCTAGAGTCCAGGACCGAGTGATCACTCTTCATGACGACGTTGATACCTGCATCGGCCAAGATCTTCGGGGCAAACTCGCTACCTCGGTAAGCTTCTCGCTTGTATCTCGCATTGGTGGCGAAGATGGCGACACTGGGAGTTCCACCATAAGTCTCCTTGAGCAGATCAGGGACAAGATACGTCTCGTGAGCGTGGTGGAAAGCGGCAATGTTGAACTTGAACTCGTTGGAAATTCTGACCATGTCGTTGAGATCGACAGTCTCGTAACAGTGGATGTTGACTTTGACATTGCCACGGAGGACATCAGCCAGGGGCTCCCATTCGAGTGAGGTTGGGAACGGCTCAGTTTGGGTCTTTGGCGAAGCGCACCATCTGTCCTGCTTGTCCTTGAGGTTTTGTCCCTCGGTATAGGCTCGTCGGAAGTCATAAGCAGAGTCGAGACGAGAGTTCTTGTAAACGCGATGTGGGTTTTCTCCACATGCGTGTTTGATATGTCGCCAGGCGTTGGTTCGTTCCCAAGATCCATTCTTCATGAGGTATGGCGGTTCGACCTGCATCGACGCAGGGGTATTCTCGGCTGTCCATCGAGGCTTGAATGTGTAGGCGGTTCCTAATGTCCAGATCGCGTCAGAAGAATACGTTCAAAAGTCGATTTCCTCGGCTTCATTTTTTCGAAGCTCACCTCCAATATTACCTGCTGATCCAGGCAAGACGAGCATAGTGGTGATTCCACCCGAGATACTCAAGTTGAACGAGTCATCGTGTGTGTTGAACGCGTCCAAACTCCTCAACCAAGGCAAAATCGGAGCCTTGATAGAGTTGGTATCGGAATTTCCAAATAATCCAGGAGCAGCTCCGACTCCGATATGAGAATGGAGATCGACGATACCAGGTGTGACCCAAGCGCCATCAAGTTCAACTTCGTGAACCACGACGAGTTCCCTGGTCGAGTCGCTAGAAGCGACAGACTTTGAGGTCAATCGTGGATCCGAGGCGATAAAGGCCTGGATATCATCGGAAGATCCGATTTTTCGAATGACTCCTCCATCGAGGAGAATGTCGTGGCCTTTGAGAATCTCTTCACCATCTTGATCTCCGGTCCAGACTGTACCGTTTTTAAGCCAGGTCGGTCGAGTTCCAGGGACAAATCTGTGGTGAGTATCAGCTCTATCGCGTCCACAAAAATTGACAATGAAGCGTTCCCGACTCACCGATCATTTTTGGTCCTCTTTTTATCCCATTTAGGCTGCTCAACAGATCTCTGAACAATCTTGCATTGCTCAATGCCTTCTTCGATGAAAGCAGGAAGCGTCGTAGGTGCAGGTTTTGAAGGCCAAGGGAAACCAGCAGCAACGTCTTTCCGAGTCAACAGGTAGAACAATCCAATGAGGAGGAACAGAGCAGGTGTAGATTCCACGACGAGTTTGAATGCAGGTCGTGATTTCAATGACCGAGATTTGGTGTACTTGTCATCCTCGTCGCTGTTAGAGCTAGCCGCGACGATCGTGTCCCCACTTGAAGTGGGGAGCAAGGCATCCTTTTCGGGGTCGGTGGTCTTGGATCTCTCTGACCCAAGGAGCGGTACTCCAGGTCGTCGAGTCAAGGAAGAGTCCATCGTGTCTGGAGTAGAGACACGCGTCGACGACAAGAGCTCGAGATGATGTCAGGAGAGAGAAGAAGGAAGGAAAGAGAGAGAGAGAGAAGATGACCCCCAAGCCACGGCAACGCGTTTCTTCGCCTCAGTACACCCTTTTTGTCGGAGATGACCGCCTCCTGGCTAATTATGAGATGCCCTTATCGGCGCGGCGACATCCCTTGCATATGATACTATGAGCGACTAAAGCGTATCAGGATTTCATCTATGTATGATCGAGTGGGTGGTGGGGTTTAGGGCAGGTTTTGTCAGAGAGATCATGCCATGAGGGCAGGAACAGGATCTAAAAGTAGGGAGCTACAGCGCGAGGACCGGCACAGTGGAGACGGAGACGATGAAAGGCACTAGGGTGTCGTCGAAACAAAAAGACCAAGAACATGATCGTGCGTCTGGGCGTGCTGGAGGAGAAGAAACAAGGACACATGCGTGTGTGGCGATGCAGAGGGAGATGCTAGTGCTGTTGAGTATTCAAAGGCTGAGACACGGGCCAAAGGACCTCTGGGGCTACGAGAGGCATTCATCGTGCAATGCCGTACCGTATCGTCCTTAGATGCCGGCGGTAGTATGGGATGCGAAATCTGGCGGATACCTCCCGCTTCTCTGAGCAGGTTTGACACCGATCGACGATCCGAACCGTGGACTTGCGTACTGTGGACCAGTACCATCCAGGACCTAATCGATCATATCCGGCCCATTCCGACGAGACCTTTGACAGCAGGACCAAGCTTTGCGACTTCTTCCAAGAGTCCATTCCCATCTTTTCCATCCGTGGCGGCATTGGATTTTGAAGCCTCGCTCTGACTCCCCGAAGACGTGCTGTTCCTCGCCGTCGCACTCTCGCTCGTCACATTGCTCGATTCACCAGGTTGGTTATCTGAACCACGCCGTAACTCTGCCAATTTATCCATCCGGGCTCGATGAATGCTCTCTGCGATCTCCTCTTCGCCCAGGACCACCACGCCTTTGAGCCATGGATGATTGACCATCTCCGCCGCTGTTGCTCGGGCGTCAGAGTCGTATCGCATCATGGGGAGCAAGAAAGACGACAAGAGCTCTGCCTCTTCAGCTTCCATGAGATACTTCTCCTTGAGGACAAGGTCGAGAGGCCAATATCGTAATCGACTGATATGACGCAGTTCGCCTGGCATCCACAGCCCATCAGCATTTCGAAAACGACCCATGAAGGAAAAAAGGACCACCCACCCTTCCTCGTGAAAATCTCGTGACTGTACTTCCCGTGCTGCGTCAGAGCCTTTGGCATGTCGCCCAGGAGCTCCATGACTTGTGCCATGTGATCGTCATCCTTGTCATACTTGCCACCAGGCTGAGGATCAAACAAATAGTCGCCTGTCAACAGCTCGAAGAACTGATGATAAAGGCGTCAGCACGTGAGCCACAAAGTAGCTAGTCTCACCAGACACGCAGCACTCCATATATCCACACTTTCATTCCATTTCGTCCCCAGGATGATCTCTGGACATCGATATTGTCGCGTCTGGATATCATTGGTAAAGTGATGATCGACCCAACAGGCGTTACCGAGATCCGCAATTTTGACAGTGATCCTCTCGAGACTGACGGGATCATAGGGGAATGGCGGAGGAAGCATATTCGGATCGCCGGCAACGGGAGCGATCATACTCTCGTCGATATAATCTCCGTGTCCCCCCGTCGGTTGCGGTGTGTGAGAATGAGAGCCATGCTCAGAATGATGTGGTTGATGAGGTGACAGGTCTTGTAGGTTGTTGAGATGGGTAGAGGAGGCGTCTTCGGAGATATTGCTGACAAACGTGTTGGATCGCGCGAATCCAGTCTCTTCTGATGGTGGCGGGTCGGAAGGCTGTGTGATATTCTTACTTGTATCATCGGTTTGTTGAGCAGATTTAGACGGGGCGGCGGGGTTTTGACTAGTCCCCGAGATGGAAGGAATGGAAGGAGCGGTGGAGCCGACAGAAGTGGAGATCTTTACCTGAACACTGTCAGGTGTCGTCGCAGGTGTAGTGATGACTGTTTGACTCGGAGTAGCTGTGGTACTGGTTGCCGAGCCTGGAGCATGAGCGGATTGAGGTGCTAAATCTGGAGGATTGACCATCTGCTGAGAGAGAAGTGAAGGTCCAGGCTGATGGATGATGGCTTTCTTCTTTTCCCATGTCAAGGCATCGTCTCCTAGATTGACGTTCCCCAACTCATTCCCAATGCCTTCAGCTGTATTGCCTCTGGCAAGCCCCGAACTCGGTCCGACACCACCCGCTACATTTGTCGTGGATCCTTTTGAGCCTCCCCCAGAGATCTTGCTCATTCCAAATCCATGTTTGTCGAACATTGGCGAGCTGGAGAAACTGGAAGATGGTGAAGGGAGAGGTTGAGAACCGACTATGAACATGGACTCGTTTCGAGGTGTTTGATTGCCCAATCGTCCTTGAGAAGGCGGTACACCGACCAGTTTCGTCGGGACAGCAGCGGGACAGGTTGCCAATTCGGCCTGGACGACTGACTCGACGTCTTCTATACAGATCAAGACATTTTCAGGTTTGAGATCGGTATGAATGATGCGACATTGATTATGGAGGTAATCGAGACCCAGCAAGACTTGCTTGGCGATCTGCTTGACAATGTGTTGAGGGACTCCACGGTGTTGATACCGTTTGATGAGCCCCAGGAGGTTTTCACCCAACACTTCAAACACCATGCAGACGTGCGATCCGTTCGGTCCATCGTGTCTGAAATCATCTACCAGACCAACCACATGGGTTCGACCAGCGTGAGTGGGCGAAGATGAGACGACTCGTTGAAGAAGTTGAATTTCGTCCAGCGCAGTCTCGGTGTAGTGGCCGTCAGATTTGACGACTTTGAGTGCGACATGCCGACTGGTCCTGATCATTTGGCGACCGGCGTATCAGCTGAGAAGGTCCAAAAGGAGGAGGAGGAGGAGGAGGACGGAGCAAGACACCACTCACGTATTATCCCTTGCTAACCAAACGGTTGAGAAATGGCCCCATCCGAGTTTCCTGACCACCACATAACGTCCGAGATTGAATTCGTCCCCGATATTGATCGGGTGATATCCACCGGGTCTATAGTCCTCCAGATCCTCCTCGTCCTCCGTCATGACTGATGTCGAGTGAGATTGGGCGGATAAGGAAGTCCCAGAGGTAGAAGCGTGAGTGTTGAGTGGAGGTCTTGGAGGTTGAGTCGTATGACCACCGCCGATTGAGGATGAAGAAGAAGCGGCGGGAGGGGCGGCGGCGGCGGTGGTGACCATGGAAGTGATGTTGTTGGTTGAATGAGAGGGCATGGTGAGAGGCGCAAGGTAGGGTTTCTGGAATGAGATCAGCTCATGTGTGAGCGGACATGTACGAATGTGGGATGGATGGAGGAAGAGAGAGAGTGAGAGAGTGACACAGAGTGGAGAGGAGTCGCGTGTCCGGACGTTGCTGCCTGATTAAAAGGGGAAATGGGGATATCCGCGGAGATGTTGTCTATGATGTAGTCATCCAGCAGGCTATGGCCTCGAGACACGGACAGAGGGAGGAAGAGAGTGAGATGATCTAAGTCGTTATCGTCTAGGGATGGATGGATGGATGAAAGAGATAGTGTTGTTATGATTAATGGTGTGAGAATTAACCAAAAATCGGGGTGGTCCTGTCTCTCTTCTCTCTCTCTTCTTTCGGGGGGTGAATCGGGTGATTAGGGGAGGGCGGCGAGATTTATAAAATGGAATGATAGATTCAGATCTGGATGGAAAGTGGTAGGGCAAGCAGAATGGGTTAGAGCCAAAAGCATCCAGTGGACACCGTAGATGGGGGGGAGTTTGGCACACGACTCACCTGATTGGCCACGGCCATGGCTTCCTTTCTATGATGAATGATCTGTTTCCGGCCCGGGGATTCAAATATAATTGAATGAGAGAGATGGTTGCAGCGGCTGCAGCAGCAGCAGCAGCAACAGATCTCTATATCGTTCCTCCCCTTCTATGGTCGCAGCATCATGGCTGATCCTCTCTCTCTGTGTGTATGTGGACTGACTGCCTTGAGAAGATGTATGCCAGGTGATTGCTTGAGCACTACTTGCTCGCCGTATTCACGCCGGTTTTTGGAGAGAAAAATAAATGACGACGACCGACGACGAGTTGAGTCCGGACGAGATATAAATCCTCCGGGGTGGCTTCAACAACAGATAAGAGAATGGGATGTCGGCGGCGGCGGCGGCGCTGTTGTTGAGATTGTATGTTCTGATGAATATGTATGTATGTATGTAGGTAGGATCAAGTCTGCACTGACGACACTGAGCTCTCTGATCTAGCTCATCATCCCGTTGTTGGGCCTTCGTGTCCTCCCGTGAGTATATACCTGGTCAAAGGTGTATTTTTGGGATGGCTGCTGCATTTTTTTTCTATTCTATTGTTATTTTCCCCTCTCTCTCTGCTGCAGCAGAGCATACACGAGATCTACCGGATCGTCATGGTGACGTCTCGCCCTCGTATACGCTTCCATCATTGAGAATGTGATGGGTTGCCCCTCTCGAAGCTGAGCCAGTCTGTTCTCTCCGTGACAATTTCCATCGTGCACACTAGCCAATATCAATATCCTCTACGCCACACAACTCTGGCTCAGTGATCGACCTCGTCTCATTGTCTTGGCTCCTTCAGCTGGTCCATTGCCCCTCCCCACCCCCCCCCCCCCCCCCAATTCCCCGCTTTCCTTGCCACCTCGACACGCCTCCTCTCCCTCGTTCTAAAGCCCCTGCCCACCTCTTTCTCCTCCGACTGAATAGAGCCTCTTCCCCGCTCAACGAATGAGGTGCAGACCGTTGTCAGTCCAATGATCCCATTTCTCGTGTCATTCCCAGAAGATTGAGAATCCGTCAGGCTCGCAGGAAGCACGCCCTCCCCATCCATTCTCGGCCGAGTGAGACGAGTCTGCAAGATAAAGGTGATAAAAAAACACCTCAATAAGCTTTATACTCACGCTGGCGCAACTCGCTGCTGATGCTGCTGTTGCTGCTCACTCACCCGCGGCCGCTGTTCGGTCCTATCGAATCCCATCCGACCCCTCGTGTCCGACCAATCATGTGTTGAAGATTTGGCAATCACCTGGGAGTCCGAGACAGCCTGCCGAGCATACCCCTTGCACGTGGGATGTGGCTACAGGGCGTATACTCGACACAACACAAAGCACGGCAAACACCTCCTCTTACAAACTCATGGTATCTTATGCATGCTTGAACACCGCTACTACTACTAAAGCACAAAAGCCCGCTCATAGCTGCTCCTCCCCCTCTGGCGAAGCATTCGCATCCCTCACACTCAACGCAGCTCGTCTAGCAGCAAGAGCACTCGGGGTCCGCATCTTGACAGGTGAACCATCGTAAATCTTTGCCAACAGAATCTCCACGCTCTTTTCCGGTGATCGATCTACGACGACGTCGGTCCGTTGGCCATGGATCGGACTCAGGTGCTCTCCGCCGCTGCTGGCTTGAACCCCGCGAACAGAGCGAGTAGATCGTGAAAACTCTATCAAATCTCCACCATCGACCACAAGCTGATTCTTGACTTTGGGTCTGGGCCGAAGAATCGGTTGAGTCGACGAGGATTTGTTGTTAAAACGAATCCCTTGAAGCGCTTCTTGACCTTCGTCCAGTGCCTCATCGTCTAGATCCTCCGAAAGGGGAGGCTGGGTAGATGTCCCCGAGGCTTTGGTATATCTCGTCGAATTGGATGGGAAAGCATCGCGCTCCGCGTTGGCAGGTGATGGTACTTGGGCTTGGAACAATGAAGGTAGAGATGATCGAGAACCCGTAGGTGACAGAGCTACGAGTTGTTCGGCAGAGACACGCGCCAGCGTCGCCGTGGCGAGGGGTGATGGAGATGTAGGCGGGACCCGAAGTCGTAGGGGCGTCGTCGCTTCGAGAGATAGTCTCGACCTAGACGGACGACTTTCAGACGCCCCACCGGATTTAAGGAACGGACTCGGCACCGTGTCGCTTGCCCCCTTAGACATCACGGGAGACTGCCGTGGCATATGCCCGTGTGACCTGGTCGGAGATCCCACCTCGTCTCCATCATCATCGTCGTCGTCGTCGTTGTCAACCTCTCCCTGGTATCGCGGAGAAGGCGAGACAGGCATTTCAGACGACATGGCATGTATGGCCAATGGCGAAGGAGAGGTCCAGCTTCTGGTGGACATCTTTCTCACTGGTGAGGAGACACCAAGGGAACGGACCTCGCGCTCGCCGAGACGACTTGATGTTGGTGACTCCACTTCCACCAGCCCCTGAGTCGCCAAGTGAGGGTGCTGAATACTCAATGGGGACAGATTCGCAGACCCTCGTCGGACGGCTAGTGGAGAAGGAGGGACATTTTCACGCCACTGCTCGATCTTGTCCACAGGTGATGGTGGAATCGCTCTCCTCCACGCATCGATGGGCGAGAGCGAAGATGCCGGAGCAGCGTGCATCGACGCCACAACCGCCGATTCAGCCATCAGAGCGGGAGACACCTTGGCTTTTATAGGTGTTCCGCTGAGAGCTTTTCGAAGAGGCGTCAGGTGAGGCACCGTAGGGCTTTTTTGCAACGGTATGAGATGTGGTGATGAAGGCGAGGGCGCTTGCAATGTCGAGCAGCCTTGGTGGTGTGGGCTTGCAGGTAAAGGAATAGCCTCGGGTCGAACTTTGGCCACAACGGATCTCACTCTCGCCGTCGCACCGGATTGGCTCGACACCGATCGAGGCAGCGGTGGTGCTGGCGCTGGCGCCGGAGCCGAGGTAGCTCCCGCCTGTGCCCTATTCCGAGTCGGTACGAAAGACGGGAGTGGAGCTTTGCGCTTGATTTTCTCTTTGCGGATGGGCGGAAGAGTATTGGATATGACTCGCGGTGGCATCGATTGCTTCGCTCGACCCATTTCTGAGCGGGTGTCAAGCGTCGATCCACTCTGAGATGCAGAGCCAAGCGTCTGTTTAAGTCCGCTAGCAACTGTCGATGCGCTGAACGATCGGACAGATGCAGAAGATGGCATGGTAGGTGGGCGAGGGGCTGCAGGAGGAGCCACAGTTGGTATCGGATCGGAGGATGCCACCGGTTTCGTACTGGCTTTCCGAGATTCTGGGACTGCCTTGCTTGGCAGCCGTACAGCCGGAGGTAGCTTTGGCACAGGCGGTCTTGAAGTCGACGATACATCCCTCGAGATCTTCAAAGGGTTGCTGGTGGTTCGAGCGAGAGATGCAGCTGTGGGTTGGGCATGACTCGTAGGTTTGAATGGCTTGCGTTCAGCTCGACCTAATGGCGGTCTGGGGGCGGCTCCGCGGGTCTCCCGATTGAGATTCGCCGAAACAGTGCGCGAATGTGCCGGCAACCCAGCTGCCTTGGGCAGATCGGCTGTGAGCAGAGTAGTGGAAGGCGCAGTCGGCTGTATGACGTTTTCGAGGGTGTCTTTCGTGTCTACGAGCGCATGAGCGACATCGTCCGTCACAACAGGGTGATTTTGGCGTTCCTCGATCTGTTCTTCAGCACCCTCCCCGATCTCAGAATCTTTCGCCGGTCCATCAGGGTCATGCTGTTGGTCCAACTCCTCCGCCATCTCATTCTTTCCCGGTGAAACGGCCTGTGTCTCCAAAGCTTCAGTCACAAGCTCAGCTCCTTCCAACATCTCCGTCGTATCAATTAACGGCTCGACGACCTGCGACTCCGCCACTGGGGCATCAAACACCCCAGCAAGCTCTTCAAGATACCCATTCGAGACGCCATGTCCAACCCGGAAAGTCGTCTCCCCCATGGAATCCATCCCAGCCCGAACTCGAGGCGTGGCGCCCATATTGTCCCCATCATCAAGCTTGACGAGGGGAGAGACAGACCCCACAGGTAACGGTGATTCCTGGAAAAGGTGTGCCAAAGGCGATCCTTGACCTTTTGAGGAACTGACTATCCGAGCGATGGTCGGTGTAGGTGATGCTGAGCCACTTGTCGCTTCTCGGGATCGCTGTTCAAACATGGCTATTTTGTTCTTGATGCTTGACCCGGATCCGGATCCGAGAGACGTGCTCTCGCGGGGCGGCAGAGCCGAAGAGGGCCCAGGGGTAACCGAGGGCTCCGCGAGGGCGCGCAACGGGCTCGGGAGAGAAACACTCGAGGTGAGTCCTGATGAGAGCTGTTGTGTCACTCCGAGTTCCACCGCGGGTTCTTCCCCGACCATTGCAGATGGACCGCCTGTGGAGTTCTCGGACGTCGTCTCTGCTGGAGGCTCAAGGGCATACGGTTCGTCCACAGCTGGTCGAGCCAAAGATGTTTGCCCTGAGGGTTCGTGAGCGTATGGAGTCGATTCCAAAGGCGAGGCCACCGGCACACGGTGAGAGAACGCCATGGTCGAGACAGATTTTGACAATCCTTGTTGTCCGTGTCCCGGCATGCCATCCACATTACTCCTAGGCATAGCTAGCCCGATGTCGTGGTCTCGCAAACTGGATTGTGAGCTATTCTTCGCGTGTCGCGTGACTGTAGAGCGAAGAGGCACCTCCATAGTCGAAACGGACCTCGGGAACATCTCCCTGACACGATCTGACATGGAACCTGTGGGCTCATCCCGATACGCATGTGAAGCTTTTGAGGAGGCCCCCGCGGACAGGAGGAACGGTTGCCATGCTTTCACTGGCGATTGCTTCGATGGAGATGTACGAACAGAAGTCGTTTGTGGGACTCGCGTGGATGCGGAAGGGATGCGCGGGCCCGAGTCATGATGTCCTTCTCGTCGATCGTGTCGTTTCACTGGGGATGATCGCTTCGGCGGTGAATCGAAAGCAACGGGCTTCGATGGGACCCGCGAGGGCGCTACAGGAACGACAGGTAAGGGTCTCATGATTTGACTCTTGGACTTGTGGAGTGTGGGCAGGGGCTTTGATGCGGCGGATTTTCCGGTCGGACGTATAGGTGGAGCCGCGTGGACGTTGGCAGATGTAGACGAGGAGGAAGATGCCGCGGATAATGGGCGAGAAGGGGGTAATGGAATCTTGGCGGGTGGTTTCGGTCGAGACTTGACAGCCTTTTGAACTTTGGTCGGGGCGATCTCAAGGTACCGTCGAACCGTGGGAGTCAGTGGTGCGGAGAAACTGAGAACAGGGTCAGGGAGATTCTCTCTCAATATTATGCTCACTCTTCCACTCTCTCCGGGAAAAGGTCCTGAAACCTCGCCCATACCCTCCTCCCAGTCTGTCTGACTTCTGGATCTTTATCCGTAGCCATCTTCTTGATCCCCTGTTCGAGTGCCTCTAAAGACTTTTCGTTCCACGTTGCTCCATCTTCTGGCCAATCGTGTAGGGCCCTCTCGATGGCTATTGAGCAGCCTCGCCTACACGTCGCCGCTTCGTCATATAGCCCTCGTTTCAGCTCGAGCAGGATGGATGGAATATGACATTTCGAAATGATGATGGAGAGACATTTTTCAGTGCGCTTGAGGACGACTTTGTTTGGCCGTCCTAGGAGTTTTATCAGCGGATCAAGGTAGAGTTGAACGAGCGGTGCGAAATGATGGGCCAGTCGGGGCGCAAAGGTTTGAACGAACTCCGTCGCGGTACCGGATAATCGACCTCGATCCGATAGCATCTGCAATTGGTATAGCATCAATTCACGGCGTTCCTCATTCGTCGCTTCCGTAGGTCACCACTCACACACGCCACGACTTGTGGTCCTAATGCTGTCCTTCCTCTGCCTCGGCCAAGCGCATCGACGAAAAGTGGTAAGTGCTTGTACCCGCCGCCTCGCGTGACACCGGCAAAACGAATGAGCCCTTTCTCAAGCTTCTCCCATGTATCTTCACGTTCACCCAAGTCAAGAACCTGAGCCAAGATGTCGATCTCAATCTGCAGCGTCGCGGCATCGGGACACTGAACGCGGTGTGGGTGAGCTTGCTGCAAAGCGCTGCGCCCGCCCATCAAGATGACATGTTACGCACCTGTATCTTCGCGTCAGGATCGACCTTTGGCATGGTGGCAGAAGCTTCTGAGAGCCCTACAAGATGACTCTATCAGCTTCTATTGAGACCATGCAGCCGGTTCAATCCACTAGGTTGGTTTGGATGACTGAAGACAGTCGCGAGAATCCCAATTGATTTTTCTCTTTTTGGGTTGAGTGACTGAGTCGTCAACAAATCAATCAGAGCCACGTGGCCAAAGATGCCGTAATGTCAACCCTGTTTCAGGACGAAGCGTGAACATTCATCCTCCTCCTCTGCATAGACATCCAGCGATGCTCATAGCTGTCCAAGGGTGCTGTCATGGCTCTCTGTCAACTATATACGCCTCTATAGCCAAATTCGAATCACAATCTGAACAACACCGCCGCGTCCGTCTCCTGCTTCTCTGTGGAGACTTTCAAGCACTACGCTCAGAACATGATTATGCCTCTTTGGCCGTTCCACCCAAATACAGAGCTCTAGGCACGTTTCATGAATACTACAGTGGGAAGCAGGTCGCTCCTGTCCTTACATTGGTCATTGGTGGGAACCATGAAGCCAGTAATTACATGCAGGAACTGTACCATGGTGGTTGGCTCGCTCCGAATATCTATTACCTCGGTGCGGCGGGGAGCGTGATGGTCGATGGATTGCGGATAGTAGGGTCTAGCGGGATATACAAGGCTCACAATTATGGCAAGGGTGAGCTGGGTCGAGTGGAGCAAACACAAAAAAGGCCGACAGCTCATGTCTTCGTAGGACACTATGAAAAGGTGCCGTATAGGGATTCACAACTGAGAAGCGTGTACCATACCCGACACTACGACATTGCAAAGCTGATGCAGGTGAGTGAACGCATCGGTTCTAGCCTTCGGTTTTTGTCTGACATCCAATCTTCTCAGCTCTCTCCCCGCCCTCATACCGTCTTCATGTCGCACGATTGGCCGACCGAGATCCCAAAACACGGGAACACGGCCGATCTCTTGCGCCGGAAACCATTCTTCACATCTGAAGTCAATTCCAATACACTGGGATCGCCACCATTACTCAACGTTCTTCGATACCTCAAACCGAATCATTGGTTCGCAGCGCATCTTCACGTCAAGTTTGCAGCTGTATACGAGCACGAGGCCGGCGCCAGCTCGACGAAGGAGGTCCTGAATTCAAGACCCACATTGAATCCTGATGAAATCGACTTGGACCTCGATGATGGTGTTCAAAGTCCTGTGGACAATCCTGACGAGATCACCATCGATGACGGGAATGACGATGTGCTGTCGGAGACAAATCCTGCCACCGAGAACCCTGATGAAATTACCATCGAGGATGAGGATGAGTCAGATTTAGAGGATCACATGAAAGAGCATGTGGCTCATGAGCTTGCGCAAGGTCGTACAGGTGGAGAGATCAACCCGGACGAAATCAATATCGGGGACGATGAAGAATTCGATGCTCCAGTCATACCGAATGGGGCACTTTCTGACCCGGTATTGGATGCACTCAAAGTGGACGAAAGTGCGGATCTGGTCGAGGCGGCGCGGTCACAAGCCGGTCCCAATGCGGCTCATGGTATCATTGGGCCTGTGTCAGCATCTTTGCCAGCGCCGGAGAAGCATGGCGAGCCTGGTCCATCAACAGTGCAGGCTCGCAGGACTTCTGAGAGCGCGACAAGCTCGACATCCACCAAATTCCTCGCCTTGGACAAGCCGGGCCGCGGACGCGATTTCATACAGGTGAGGTCTGCGCCAGGAGAAGAACGGGGCATCACTGACATCCTTACCAGTTTCTCGACATTCCTACTCCTTCCTCCATCGCCGAGGACCAATATCCTCGCATGACATTCGATCCGCATTGGCTGGCTATCAGTCGAGCCCTACACTCACATCTCTCGACAGAGCTGAGGCAGCCTCCACTACCCCGTCAAGACGAGATGGATAGGATGATCCAGCTGGAATTAGACAAGATAGAACAAGATGGGTTACTGGTACCGAGGATCAAAGGCCAAGGAGAACAGGACGGACCAGTAGAGCTGGTATGGGAGAGAGGACCCATCGACATAGCTCGTGTACAGCAGTTCTGGCCAACAGCTCCTGCTCATGGAGAGCCAGGAGGCTCGCCAAGTAAGTCGAAGTTGAGTTCCAAAGTTCGCCCAGTTGACATTCCGACAGCGGCTTGGTATACTAATCCTCAGACCGAAGCGTTCTGTGGGATGTTGGGCATCCAGAATAAGATCAACCCAGCACCCCCATGAGCGAGAGTATGCATGAGGCGACATCTCAGCGGATAAAATCAACTGAAGCATTTCCTTGACTACTGATGACTACCTGGCACACACTCCGCTCCCTCCTTTGTCTACTGATCGGCAGTGCTGCTATGCGCAACCGAGAAGAAAGGATGGTCTTGTATGGCAAGATTCTAAACTCACGTCTGTTTCTGCTGTCCACAACTGTCACAGTCAAGATCCAATGTCCGAGTGAGCTACACGAGTCTTGGCCAGAGCCATCCGTCACTAAACGTTGACTTGCAGAAAACGGGGTAGATCGACCTCTCGGTCACAGGCAGAACCATCTCCTGCTTCGGAAAACCCTCCACGGTCCACCTTCACTCGCATCTTTCGCTTCTTTCTGTATCTTATCTGGATTCCAGTATGGCTCTTTATCTTTGTCCCTCTGGCCATCGTCATGGCTCTCCCTTACACTTATATCAAATCATGTCGACCACATGAGCGAGACGACGAAGGGCACAAGAAGCGAGTGACTGACAAGTTTGGTCACGAGAAGACAAAACATCTGGATTTCAATCCGTTTCAAGATCATGTCAAGCATCGAAACTTGACCGCGTTCCCTGGCGAAGGTCCGGAAGCTACAGCACAAGGTTTCTGGCGATCAGTCCGCATTGGAGTCGTCAGGAGAACTTGGGACATGTATCAAGCCCTGAGAGGTAGTTGGCGGATGATCAATCGGCAAGGTCTCCAAGTGGGAGGTGTGGTGTCTGGTCTGATCATCATCATCTTTCAAGTCATCATCATGGTCTCTGATCTCACTAACGAGAATGTAGGTGTGATGTTCCGGTGGGTCTGCATTGACATGTTCCTCCGAGGTCCAAAAGGCTTTCAGAGATCCAGTCAATTATGAGTCGACAGATCCTCTATGTGGCTACTTTCTCGGTTCAGGTGTTCCCAACTGGACAGATGTGTCAGAAACTCGAGGTAAGTCAGCATCTCAGACGGTCCCTTGCTTTTATTTACTTACTCTCCTTAGTGTGGTACGGGTTCTACCACGTTCATCTGGGAATCCTGGCTTTCATGCTGATCCTTGACGAGTTATTCAATGTACGCATGGGAATTTTTGCCCCACAATGGAGTCGCATGGGCAATGGTCATACGATCATGTTGTGAGTGAGAGAGGCGCTTCGAATTCTCCCTCCCCGCTTCACCCTGAACCAAGTGATAGTCTCGTCTCGTCTACGGTCACCACATCACCTCACTGGGGCGATGGGAAGTAGGTCCTTTGTGACGACGTCAAGATGCTTGAATCTGACGATTACAAGGTTCTTCCGCTTTCGATATATCATCCTCGTGGTCCTCTTCCTCGGAGGAGTGTACAATTGGGCTCGAGCGGTCCTCGCTTACCTCTGTCTGATACCCAAGAAAGACATTGCAAGGACATACCGGTACCGACGATTTCCACTGCGACTATGGACAGAAAGGGAATGGCTCCAAGATCGCGATACGCCGCCGTTCCGAAAACATGCCAAGGACCTCAGGAAGGAGAAGAGACGGGTAGAGGCGGCTCAGAAAGCTGGTGACAAACAGGCAAAGATTCAGATGAAAAAGCCGAAATACTGGACCGAGCGATGTCAATTGAACCTCGGTGATCGAAGCGTCCAGCTGGAAGCAAAGGATAAAAACAAGTATGATTTTGGAACAAGATTCGACATGGAGGGTGAGGCTGCCGTGCAGACGGTGTACTCGAAGACTGAGGAGCAGGTGGGTTCTTCTGCAGATGGTCGGTGTAGGATGTAAAAGACTGAGCGTATCATTGCACCACAGACCCAGATTGAGAAAGGCTCAGTCATGCGAAAGTGAGTGTTGGGACGCGAATTGTTGTCTCAATGTTCCTGTTGATGCTGAAACGAATCTGGCAGCTTTTGGCTCGGCAATCCAACTGCCCTTCCCTTGGACATGCGCCGCGATAAGAAATGGCTCCGAGATGCCGCTCGATATTCTGAATACAAGCACGGTGCAGCATTCTACGGGATGCATTACTGGAATCCATGGGAGCAAGTCGACGAGTACAATCGGAGACGTAAAGAAGGAAAACAGAAACAGTTGCCCAAGTACGAGCATTACAAGTTGAGATGGCATCGCAAGAGGTATTTGACACTGTTCTTTGACGTGCGAAGATGGCATTCGATCTTTTGTGCGTTGAGCATGTTTGCAATCCACATCGCTTTATTGATCCAGTGAGTAGGTGTAAGGGCCGAATTCCTTACCATTGGATTCGGCGGGCAGGACGACGACAGAGTCCACTGGTCGCTAATCATCCATTATCTTTAGAGCCTATAATGGCGGCGGTACTCGATGGCAAGACTATGCAGCCCAGTACGATAAAGCGACGGCATCTTGGCGGTCAAATGGCGGTCCGAGTATCGACGACTGTCAATACTATGGCGGGTCGACGATACCTATACTGGTCATGTACGGCGTAGAGGCTTACTCTGCGATCCAACAAACGTGAGCTGTGAGAAGCCTCGCATGTTTGATCCTGACCGCTTTACGACCCTAGGATGTTTTGGATCGTCATGTGGCATATCCAGATACTAGGCATGTGCATTGCCGTGTTCTTGGTGGCTCTGGGAAATGACCGGTGAGCAATGATGCAAACCCCCAGTGACGAGTAGCTAAATTTGCAAAGACACTGGGGCATGCACCTAAAGTGGCCGGTGACTCTGGTCGGTCCTAGAACGAGCTCGATCAGTATGGGGCTCACCAACGGATTGTGAGTTAGGCGTACCTGGTAGTTTGAGAGTTGACCAGACTGTCAGGATCGCTTGGTCTACACTTCAACTGGGCTTCTTCCAGGACCAACCTGAGTGAGTGGACACTATCAGATGAAAGTCTGCCAACTTTTGGCCATGCTCAAACGGGGTCCCCCATCAAAGGATGCTCCGAACGCTCACTCGGCTGGCCTGCTATAACTGTGTCCTCTCTTGGGCAGCTCATTTGTTCAAAGTGAGTGGTAATCCTTCCGTCTCTGTCAGCTTGCTGATACGCCTGCTCGTCCCCCTCCGCGCTCTCACAGAACGAGTACATGAAGAATGTCGTCTGCCGTCGGCCGTTCTTTCGGGCCTTGACGTTCTATTCCTTTGAGAGGATGGACTCTGACAAGATGTTTTGGGAGTACCCTGACTACGACGAGGACTAGAGTAGCATCTTGTGCTGGTCGTCGATAGCATGTTACCGCTCTTCGTGCCGCCGGCTGCTGCAGTTAGTTCCCAAGCTATCCTCATGCCACACGACCTATGTGCCACAATTTGCATCCGCTTTTCTGCGATTCCCAAAAATAATGGGCGGCTCCTTCATCTTGCCGTCTCACCTCCATCCACGAAATCCACGACGTGTCTGCACAAATGAACGGCTACGGGAATATGAATGGAGCATCCACCTCAGCTCAAGGAGCTGGCGTAGTCGGATCGGGTATGAATGGATTGGACGGCACATCGGGCGTTCAAGTTCCTATTGGTCCGACGAATCAACCTCGAGTCTTGGTCAGGAATATAACGGATAAAGAGACGACATTTCATCTCAGTGGAGTCGAGCTGGGCTATGCAAACAGTGTCAGAAGAGTCATGATGGCGGATGTACCGACTATAGGTGGGGAATATCCTATATGCGCTGCAAGGCGGAAAATGATCGCTGATTTTGGATGATGCAGCGATTGATCAAGTCTCCTTCTTCCAGAATACTTCCCCGGTCCCGGACGAAATGTTAGCTCATCGACTTGGAATGGTACCTTTGATCAGTCGGAATGTCATGAGAGGATTGAGATATACCAGGGTGAGTGCTTGTCGTGCGGCAGCTCTGCAGTCGGTACCCGAAACGCGGACCAACCATCCAAGAAGGAGGAGAGAGATAGGGGTTTTAACTTCTCTCTTCCTAATCGATCTCAGCGCGTATCTCAGGAGGGCATCCGAGCTGACACCGATGACTCAGGACTGTGACTGTGACGAGGGATGCTATTATTGCATGGTGCAACTCCGACTTAAAGTCGCTTTCTCAGGCACAGATCGAAAGAGTTTAAACGTTACGAGTGATATGCTCGAAGTCATCCCATCTCCTCGTCAGGTAGATCGTTTGTCCTCACTTGTCCACTATCAGCATGCTTACGTCTCTCTCTTCTCAGCCGCCGCCGCCAAATCCATATGGCCAGAATCCAGATTTATCCGAAGACGACCGTCTAATCATCGAGAATAGGGATCCGGAAATGGGCGTCCCAGTTGGCAAGGGAGATCCATCTGTTCCGCCTATATTATTAGCCAAGATTGCCAAGAAGCAAGAAATCGATCTCGTCTGCAAAGCCTACAAGGTAAGAGCTGCTCCAGAGGGCTGTCGCACTGGCTGATTGGGTATATCAGGGCATCGGCAAACACCACGCCAAGTGGAGCCCTCTCAGTGCTGTCGGATTTGAATATGATCCTTATAATAAGCTGCGGCACACGACGTATTGGTACGAAGTGGACGGTTCGTCATCTCGAAGCCTTCAGTTTGGGATATTGCTGACTTGCGTCCGCAGAAAAAGCCGAATGGCCGTTATCCTCCAACGCGGCATTTGAGCAACCTCCAGATCCATCTCAACCATTCGACTACAATGCCGTCCCTTCTACATTCTACATGAATCCGGAGGCTGTGGGCTCTATTCCTGTCCGGACGATCGTAGAACAGGGCCTGGATATCCTCGTCGAGAATCTAGCGAATGTCGTGCTTGCGGTTCAGAAAGAAACGGGAGGAGATGAAGATGACGAGGAGGACGGTGGTGGAGGAATGGTGGACCCGACGATGGGCATGAACGGAGATGGGTACGGTATGAATGGACAGTCGGATCCATACAGGGAAGGAGGAGGCGGGGGAAGCTGGGGAGGTGGTGGTGCGCCTAATGGAGCGCCTAGCTGGGCTGGAGGAGGAAGCGGTATGAGCCCGCTGAGGCGGTAGTCTGACGGGCAAAAAGAAAAAGCTAGTGCGAGCGAGAAATGCAAGAGGCGCGAGCGTCCTTTGTCACCGTCCCCCCTATGATCACTTCCCTTAGCCCTTGGCGATTGGTGTCTGGGTAGCCTCTCTGGGCTCGATCTCGCTACCTCAATGTTGAAGCGTCAGATTGACTGACGCATCGCTGACAGCACTGACACGATGTCTGATTCCACAGCGGACAAGATCAAACAGTACGAAGCGGATATCGAGAAGTATCTGGCACGAGGTGATGTCGCTCGTGTGGAATTGCTAGAGGATAAGATTGTGGAGCTGAAGAGAAAGTTGAAGAAGGAGGAAGAAACTGTCAAGGCGCATCCATCGTGAGTTCCCGCCTGAGAAAGAGAAGCAGGGGGTCTGACTGGGCTGTGTTTTAGGCTTCAATTCGGTCCGATATCTCAGACGATCGCCATCATGAGCGGGCTTAGTTTAGGTGAGGACGTCGGATCAATCCAGACGCCTTTCCTGCAAGACGTTCTGCTCACCTTTCCAGTCATGTCGATCTTGCCCTTACCATTAGAAATGATGCCATTCTATTACCTGTTCAGTCGACTGAGCATGGTGGCCGTCGTGTGAGTTAATCGATACCAAGCGAATTCACGCACTCAGCTGGTCTCACCTCTCCTCTGTCAGCTGTCTCGTATGTCACTGCTCGATCATCTGGTACGGCTACAACCAAGCCATAGAGCAGATGCCAAAGAAGACTGAATCGGCAACCGAGGCCTATAAAAATCTGATGAAACGCAAATCAGAAAGACCAGACATGTGGGTGAGTATGGATACCTGATCCACGCCAGACTCTGCGTGATTTTGTCCGAGCTGAAGCTACGGGTTCATCAGGCACATACTCGCTCTCACCCTTCAGCTTTTCTCACTACTAGACTTGCTCCGCCTCGTATTTTCCCATTCCCACTTGGCAAGAGCCGGCCAGAAGCGACTGTCAGGGACGAGCTATGGTGGGAAGGTGGCAATGCCCCGCATGTCGTAAATCCCTGCTTTTCCAAACCGTGTGGTATGATGCTCACTGGCTCGGGGCCAGGGACACTTCAACAGACCCAAATTGCCTGAACCCGAGGCATTGAATGAAGACGTCGTGTGGGCGAGAGTCAAGGAGAACATGGAGCGGGAGAAGCAGCAAAAGATGTGGGTCGGTCTGGCCTCGAGGGCAGACCCGAAAGACGGGGTCTCTGAGCTGATTTCCAACTGTCAAGCTGGAAGAAGCGGATTCGCACGATTCAATACTTGTGTGTAGTCATCATCGTGGCTTTCAGTAGGTTCCTCTTTCCCATCTTGTGTACTGAAATCACCGCAGTCAACTCCAATGTTGCCATCGCTGGTCTATGCTACCTCATCTACACGACTGTGTCTTCAGAGCTAGAGGACATGCTGAAACCACCTCCAAACATGGACATATACCACGAATACATTGACAGAATTACGGCGCCGTTGAAGAACCAGGCGAGTGCTAAAACGAGCAATGTGCAACCAGGCATGGCTGACTTTGGTAATGACCAGGGCGCACCGAAACCTGGTAAAGATCAGCCTGTAGGCGGTATGAGCTACATTTACGATCCTACCGAGGCTCGCGGACTCAAACCGACCAATACTGCCATTCCGATCAATGTGGTTCCTCCGCATGTGCTCATGACATCGGAGAATCATTTCTACGCTGGACCTGGAGAGCAGATCAAGGATCCAAAGAAGTAGTGTTGATGAGCAAACGTCTCACGCAAGTAGTCAGCACGCCTATGCATGTAGAGCCGTTACAATCTTCATCAGACAACAAGGATGCATAATGGTTTGTCCATGCCACTTTTTCCTTTGCCACCTTTGAATTTCGACGCGACGCGTCCAAAAGCATCCACAGTCAAACGTTCAGCCCAGGTGCTCGTCATTTACATCTCTTATCACTGCCAAAGTCGTGCATCGACAACCATGTCTCTGGCTCGACGATCCATAGCTGTCTACGAGAACACTCCAGAGGAGGGATTTTTCGAGAGGGAAAAGGCGAAATTGATAGATGAGATTTCATCGGTGAGTGAGGGCCAGGCGGCGCCGGCCCAAGCTTTGCAATCATCTTGGAGGCTGTCATCGCTGAGACTGAATACAGAGCTTTGAAGAGCTTATGACTCATACTAACGTGCTCAATCGGAAGCATGAGGAAGTCTATGGTGTCGGAAAGGAGTTCAAGACGGTCGCAGAGCTTTGGGGAGTGAGTCTGGTCGAAGGAGTTTCGACGTGCACTGTCGATTGCAATAGATAGATGTACTGACGCTTGTCATCCATTCAGACGTTCAACGCCTTGATAAGGAAACAGCAGGTGAGCTGGTCCGGGATTCCAACAGCGCTCGACAAGTCACTGATACGTCGTCAGAGCGATCTTGCAGCGACTGCTGATGTTGGTGTCCCGGGAACGGGAAGCGCAAACTTTGGGGCTAGTGTCAACCAACCCATGAGATGAAATGGGCGACCAATAGCGGTGGAGAAAGGGAGGAGCTCAAGTGTGGTCGTGCATGGGATAGAGGGACAGATGCTCATCGTTGTATGTATCGCTATAATGACCCTCTGTTCCTCTCAACTTTCTATTCATATCTCCTCATCGTCCTCATCTTCGTCATCTCCATACTCCATCAGGTCCGCGCCTTCTCCTTCATGCGCATACGGCAGTGGAACCTGGCCCCTCCGGCGTCTCTGCTCATCTGTGAGGGAAAGATTGAACGGAAGGTTCATCTCTGTCGGAGTCTGTGCCGGACGATCGACCCGGGCTGATCTGCCAAGAGAGCTGGCCGAAGTTGGCGCGGCAAATGGCTTGATGTCCACTACTGAGTCCACAGGCCCAGCTACGAGCTCCTCCCGCGAACTCGAGTTGGACGTATGATTCTGCGCCGAGATGCTTGCAAGTGTTCTGGATATGCCTTTGATTCCTCCTGTAGCTTTCCTCACGAGCACTTGTACGACCGCTCCTGACTTGCTTCTCGTCCAATCACCCACTTCCACCCCTTCTTCACCGTTGTAAGCCAATTGTTCGGGAGTTCTCCTCTCCTTGGCCCGCTCGAGAATCATCCAGAATGGAGGTGAAGACGAAACAGGCTGAAGATAGGATTTTGAGAGAAACTCCACGACCCTGGGATTTAGGATAGTGAGAAGAGATAAAGTGGGTGAGAAAGAGGGATGGATGAGAGTCTGGAGAATGGTTGAAGCGTACGGAAGAAGGAGTGTCAGTCGACCAGGCGATTTGGCCTGTGTCAGAATAGACGAAATCAGTCGAATTGCTTCGAGAGGCGAGTAATCTTCCGCAAGAACGCCGATCGCATCGATGAATATCTGTGACTCTGGTTTGGAGGCCTCCAATATGCGCTTGCTGAAGCTCGGACCTGACTCGTCTAGTGTCAAACCGGGAACCTCGCCCGTCAGGTCAACGGTTGTGAGATTGGCCGAATCGAATTCAGGAGATGGTTGTTGCTGCAGCAGCGAGGGCTTATGCAGAGCCGTAACGAGGACCACTGGACCGCGCCTGATGGTCATCCAAGCTTAACATCAGCGCGATCTCCGCCTACACCAGACTCTCTCTCTCTCTCTCCTCACATTCTCAAAGCTCTGCGTAGAGATTCCTTGAAGACGGCCAATCCGGAAAAGACCGCTGAATCGGTGATGATGAGCAGAGGCTGATGCGGTACCTGTGTGCCACCGAGGATCGCCTCGAGAGTTGAATGCTCTGCCATAGTCCTTCTAGGCTATCGTATGCCGCGCCGCACCGTTTGATATTGTATGTATGTTGAGGACGAATGAAAAGGAGAATTGAAGGTCGTTTCGGATCTTCTTGTGAAATTCCGCCAAGTCGAACTCTTATCAACCTTCATACAACCTCCCTCCTAGCGGACAGTGATCTGATTTGTCTTCGCCTCGAATTTGTGGCTATCGAGGTCCGTGAGATAGTCTTTGGCACCATCTCGTGTTTACAAAGCCATCCGCGAAGATCCTATAACTCCTCCTCACCACTATGGCGCCGCAGAAGATCATTATCGATACGGATCCCGGAGTGGACGATGTTTTGGCCATCCTCATGGCTCTAGCGTCACCAGAAGTGGACGTGTCACTCATTTCTATAGTGTTTGGCAACACACATGCCCCAGGAGCTCACAGCAATCTGCTCAAGATATATCATCTGCTGGCTCAAGAGGTCGCGGCTGTTCCAGCCGCTGCGGCAAGATATCATCGACTCGAAGGTCAAACCAAGACCAGATTAGCTCTAGGTGACGATTCGCCCATCGGTGGAGAGAAAGCGGTAGCTGCGTATTTTGTGAGCTAGCCATGTCGCTACATGTAGCTCAATTCTTTACCTAGCACGGTCTCGACGGTCTTTCTAATATCTCTGAGACCCATCCTGAATTCACCCCTCCGCCATTGGATCCTGGAGCGGTGCATGCTCACCTGGACATCCTCAAGACACCGGCACATGAGGTCATATTAGAGACTCTGAAATCCGAGCCCGAAGGCACAGTGACCATCGTTGCTTTGGGACCATGTGCGTTCTTGTCTTCTCGAGCTGAAGGCAACTGACACCAGAGCCCTCAGTGACAAACATTGCACACGCGTATCAAGCCGACCCTGTCACTCTCGCCCGTGTTCATTCGGTCGTCTGGATGGGCGGGGCACTGGATCATCCTGGCAACACATCTCCCGTGGCTGAGTTCAACTGCTTTGCGGACCCCTACGCCGCGACAATCATCATGGAAGCGTGTAAGGCTGGAGAGATCAAATTGGTCATTGCGCCGCTAGACATCACCACACCTCACACGATCCCATTCTCCGATCTCATCGATCCGTCGATCGGTATACCACCTTCTGATTCATCAGGGCAGTCCTCAAAGCTTTCTCCACCAGGACCTCTGAAGACATTTATATCGCACATGCTGAGCCGCGTTCGTGGACTGCACGTCAGTTTTGGCTTACCCGATGCGATGGAGATGCACGACCCCTTGGCCGTGTGGTACGCTCTGTCAAATGCCTCTCGAGCACCGCTGGATACAGCTGAGGGCTGGCATCTCAGACCGCGGGACTTCAAAGTCGAACGTAAAGGAGAGTTCACAAGAGGGATGTGCGTGGTCGATAGAAGAGGGACAACCGAAGATCAGGGAGAGAACAGGGCCTTTGATCTTGCCAAGGAGCATAACGCCAATAAGACCGAAGCATCTGCTGTAGACAATGGAGAGAGGGATAGGGATGGGTCGAAGATCGTTAAGGCTGGTCATTTACCCATGGTGATCGTCAAAACGCCGGGCAAGGAGGTCTTGAGAAGCTTACTGCTGGATCGAGTTTTTGGTCAGACAGTTTGAACCATGGATCTGCCTCGCGCATCTCGCCTCATTGGCCCCTCCACTCCATCAGCATATTGTATCTCATGCATGGTTGCAGTCGAATGCCGGCTGGGCTACTGTATCAAAAGCCCGTTGTCTCAATTTGCTTCCGCCACCTCTTCAGGCTTGAAATGCAATTCATGAGGCTTCTCCATTGAGCCCATTGAGCCCATTGAGCCTGACCAAGGAGGTGACACCTGTTCCAGTTCGTAACCTGTCTATCCGGTCCATTAGCCATGTCTCTACCGCCTGTGAATCCTGAGAAGACGGCTTCTGGGATCATTCAAGATCCAAGAACTCTTGAACGAATTGTGCCGACTTCAAAACGTAGCGATGGGTCGTGAGTCTAGGTCGAGACACTTTGCGCAATCCTCAGCACTGACGAACCCCCGAGTGTCCGTAAAGAGCTCAAGATCCGACCCGGATTCACACCTCAAGAGGATATAGGTCGATTCCGGTCTAATCGGCAGGTCGCTGCAGACGCTCGGAAAGGCTTGGTACCCGGATCCAATCGACCTCCCCCGCCAAAACAACCAGATCCTGACAACGTATTTGCTCAGCCTGCGAAAGAGAAATCTAAAGCTCAGCTGAAGAACGAGAAGCGGAGAGAGAAGAAACGGTTAGAGGCCTCTAACAAGGACTGGGATGACGATGAGGATGGAGATGAGCATGTGCTGGAGGATGGACAAACAGCTGTCGAGATACCCGGTAGCAAAGAAGCTACTGGTGGAGGCATCTACAATCCTGAAGACTCTTTCACTCCATTCTCAAACCACGGTACACCTGATCCTCCTGCTATCCAACCGAAATCCCAGGGCTCCAATATCCCCGCTTCCAAACCTTCAGATGGTGCAAATATCAATTGGGCGGATATGGATGATTCTCCCGTCGGCATCTCAGCTTCACCTCCTTCTGCACCGGAACTCGCATCCGCTATTCAAGCCTCTGCGTCGACCTCAAAATCCAACCCATCCGAGGCCGCCGCGAACAGCCGAACCGCTGGTCCGGCCGCCAAACGCCATCCAATACAAGGTGGACGAGATGGGCCCCTGGGGCTGGCACATCCGCCACCGATAGAGCAATCCAAGTCAGACAAAGCCACTTCGTGGAGGAAGGAGAAACCACCTGCGGAGAACCCAGGCAAGGGTGCTGGAGCGAAGAGCAAGGGCAAGAGCGGCAATACCAAGCCTGCAGCGGGTCCCAAGGGAGCAGCCGAACCGCCGAAACCGACCTCAGAGCCTCGAGTCCGGAAAGAGGTCAAGATCAGGCAAGGAGGAGTCAACGATATTGGCTCGCTTGCAAGTCGAGTGCGGAGTCTTGTGTTGGAGAACCAGAAGCCTGCGGCCCCTCGAGCGAAGAAAGAGAACGCGGCAGAGTCATAACACCTGAGGATCTGCTATAATCTCCTGACCAACATGGCCATAATTCACCGGTCCTAGACGCGAGACTATAACACGATGTCTCTTCGTGATCGAGACGGGAAGCCTTATCATTATTATCATTCAGCGAACTTGCGGGACTTTGTTGCACTTGTCGGCCCCATGTCTTGAACTCATCACACTAGTAATGCATACAACAAGGTGTTTATGAATAGTGCGACTATGATCAATGCAAGATGCGGGCTAATTCATTGACTTGCGATGCAGTATGCCTCTGTGCATGACCCTGTCCCAATTATCATCCCATGAGCTCCACTCTTGCTCATCGACAGAATCAGCCAAAATAGTCCGTAGTTTTGGAGGCGTCGAATGATCGTTTGCGTCCTTTTTGAAGTGATCATGCAGTTTTTGCAGCTGCTTCGAGTGGGGGAATTCAGTCAGAAGATCCTGAGTAGAGGAGTCATCAGATGGTCCTGTCGTATACGTATACATGAACAGGGATAAGACGAACCTTCATGTGCATCCCCAGATCTTCTGGCGTATTCCAGATCCTCCCGTTCACTCCATCCTTGACAAGCTCACCAATCGCCTCATACCCCTTTGCCAACACTGGAGTCCCGCATCCGAACATGTCCACCACTTTCATCGGTAGATCCAGGCTTGACGAGCTCGAATGAAAGCTCAGGCCGAGGTCCGCAGACCCAAGGATGATCGGGTAGTCTCTCGCTGAGACAAACGCGCATCGGACGCAGATATCCATCCACTTGGTCCCCTCACGAGATGCGACAATATCTTCAAACTGGGCACGTAGAGCTCCTTTGCCAGTGACAACCACTAAGAGCTTGGGTAATTTGGTTCCCGAGGTTATCGTGGACTGATAGTCGTCCAGCGCCTGTATCAGGGGTGTAAAGTCCTCATCAGCTGTCCAGGAGGTTGAGGAGACCACGAGAGCAGGTCGAGATGGGTCGTCCTGCTTCGAGGTATTAGAGCCAGTGACGAAATCTGAGGGTGTGAAGCCATCCGGCAATGGATTCTCCAAACTTTCAGAGAGTCTTCTCAGTACTCCATGCTCATCAAGGGGGAGTGACCGGTGAAAATGCGTGGGTGGCCGATCATGCAAGATTGCCGTGATTCCTCTGTGATAGGGGTCATTTTGCGGCTTGGCGTCTTCTCTGATCAGTCCGGAAAGCTCACTGCAGTTTCCAAGCCTTGACGAGATGATCTCGGAGCGCTTGCGTGACGAAGAGATGCGCGAAGGCTTTACGTCCAAAGCCCGCCTCAAACCTGGAAAGGTAAATGTCAACACTCTGGATGTGATTCCAGCTGGAACGGACTCACGCTGTAGCTATTTTGTACAAGGGCGAGCTCTCGCCGACTCTCATCGCTAGTATAGAGCATCCTGTATTGTGCCAGTCGATGACGAGCTTGGCTCCAGTGGTCCAGCAGATGAACTGAGCCAGTGCTAATGTAGGAATGGAGGGAGGGTTTTGAAGGATGAGGAACTCGGTACGGACTGGTATATCCCACAATGCGATTTTGAGAACGCTCCAGACTTGATACACTATCCTCAGAGGAGCTCTCAAGATCCAAGGGAGAACCTTGAGCAGCACTCGAGGAGGATTTGCCAGCGCGTGAGGTTTGACATTTGGAGATTCTTGAAGAGCAGGTATCGGCGGTGTGTCGTCATAGCCTATCATGGCGACTATCCAATCGTGTCTTGCTAATGACTCTGCATGATACATCATTCTCGGCGACCTTCCTATGTCACCCAAAACTAGAACAATCGCCGTGCGATGCCTAGACGGACGATTGGAGATGAACCGGATGAACAGGAACAAGAAGCCGGTAAGTATACAGAGAAAGGAGACGAGGGAGACGAGGAGAAGCTCGGCGGTCGAGCTGGGGAGGGCAACCATGGTGTACAGAGCCTCTAGAAGCCTTCAGAGCGCACACAGATAATCGAGAAAGAGGCGGAATCAAGACGAGACAGAGTCATGGATGACGAAGGCCATGTAGAGAGAGAGAGAGAGAGAGAGGTTCTACGTAGGTTTCGGTTGAATGTTTCGGGTGTAAGGATCTGGCGGTGAGTTTCAGATCTGGCGACAGCGCAATTATGCTGTAGGGGGGCTCATCCAATTGGAGTCCTTAGCCCTGGTGCTCCTGGCACGAAGATATCCTTGGACTCCCAGACTCGCGTGCATACAGTGATACAAGACAACTGAAACGATACACACCTTCTCTAATCCCATTCATCATCGCTACCTTCCTCTGAATCAGATTCTCCCAGATCGCCCTGTCGCTTCGCCAGGGCAGCCGCCAAACTAGATGCCAAATCAGGTTGATCATCGCCTCCACCTGCGGCAGCGACTGCAGCTCCTCCTGCCACGGCTCCGACGGCTGCTCCGCCGGCCGCGCCAGCCAACGGCGATACCTTCTGTTCTGACGGATCCACTTTACGTAGATTATGGACCCCTTGGCCTTGGATGGACGCGAGCAAGGCGGATCTAGCATTGCCACCAGCACCTGCTGGGGGCCCAGATGGAGGTGGAGGGGGAGGCGGTGGAGCACCACCTCGTCCACCGGGGGGTGGTGGTGGAGGAGGAGGAGGAGCACCCCTTGAACCGCCAGGAGGTGGAGGTGGAGGAGGTGGTGCGGCTGGGGACCGGCCAGGAGGTGCTGGAGGTGGTGGAGGCGGCGGAGGGATGGATGCACCACCTCGAGGTGGAGCTGGAGGTGGAGGAGGTGGAGGGATGATAGCCGCGGTTGAGGCTGGTCGACCGGGAGGTGGAGGCGGCGGAGGTGGAATCGCGACGGAAGAGGGTCGAGCAGATCGTGAACTCGGAGGTGGAGGGGCAGGCTTCCGACGGGACGTAGGTGGTGGAGGGGGTTTCCTAGCTGCGGCCTAGATCGAGAGTCAGTTCGGGTCCTGTATCAGAGGAAGGCCCGTCTCACATTCTCGATCCCGCCTTGTTGTTCAACATACTCCCTGATGAACTTTTCATTCTTCTTGATATCCTTTGCGGAAACGCCCTTGGCAGCGAGCTGCTCTAGTAGAGTCTGCCAGCTTGGATCAACACCAGAGGAAGAGAAGCCTTTCTCTGAATCGTAGCCCATATGCGCAACGTGTTTGAAACTGCCTGCGGACTGTGGTCGGGGCAGAGGGTCAGTCAACACAGTCATCCATATTGGCACTGTGACTCACCGGTCCGGAAATGAGGGATTTGTCGATCTTACCCTTCTCCTTCTTGCTCTTCTTGGTCGGCGTAGACTCTTTCTCCTTCTTTTCCTTCTTGTCCTCTTTGACTTTAGCTACGGCGAGGGATGGTGTGAGCTGGGCTGTTGCTCTCACGTTCAAGTCTGGCCGACTCACTGGCATACTTGGACCTGTGAGCTACCTTCTTGTAAAAGTCATTGGCCTCTGCCTCAGAAGCGAAGACGAATGCTATTGAACCAGTCTACAGAATGTCAGCAAGTGCTCGCAGGAACTTGCCTTCGGACAGAGGTGCTCACGTCGCCTTGCCAAGAGTGGAAGAAAGGTTTCTCCTGATTGTACTCGATTTCATTCGGCAGCTCATGCTCCCATAGTACACCTTGATAAGACTGAGAAAAGTGTCAGTTATAGCACGAATCTCTCCAAACAGCTCACTGATAGGTCGACCAGTCTGAACCAGAGACCACCTTTAGCCTTGTCTGCGCAGAATACCAAGGCACCGGTGACGCCAGCGTACGACCATCTAAGGTGAGACGCATCAGTCATGCATGTCATCCGCAAAGGTAGGAGGGGTTCCTCAGCGTCTCAACCTGGCACCTCATAGCGTCTACTCACGTTGATGTCCCTTCCTTTGCCTGGTAGATTCGAGCGACCGCAGCTGTGATGATCTTATTTGTCGAGCTTGACGTCGGTATGGCCTTTTTGATCTTCGCCTTGTCCTCCGCGGACAAGAGAGTTGGCTTGCCCATGGTGTCGACCAATTGATAAGAAGGGAGTTCGCTTGCTCTGTCTCTCTCGGGAGGCGCTGTCGAGAGTGGATGCAACAGAAGTGACAAAGTTGATGAAGCTTGAGAGATGTAATTCGAGGGACAGACCAAAACGTCGAGTGCTTCGTTTAAATGACGCAATGCCCGAAGTCAGTGTGGCAGTGTGGCGAAAATCAATGGTTGAGCTGTTGAGGACGACTTGTCAGAGCAACAGAGTATAGAAAGGATCCTGGCATAGACAGGGGGGACGATTCACAGGGGCCAAAGGAGCAGAGGTCAGTCTGCTGGTCAAAAGTTGTTTGTCGCTATCCATCAATGACTTTTGTACTTTGGCGCTCGTATCCTCAGCGGCATCCTCGACAAGTGAGATAGCGATGAGCCTCACCCCTCCGCTCTACTGCGCGTTGTGCTCTGCACGATGTCTCGTCCCCCGCATCGAACTACCGCTCCCAGCACCTAGACCTGGGGGCCTAAGTCTAAACACCGACACTGTAGGCTCTCAACCGCCCTCCCCTGGGATGAAGCACGATCCCTCGACATGGGAGAAAAGGTGGTTCGTTCTACAAGTCTCCAACGGTTTGATCCAACCTCCGCTAGCTTCTCAGATCCATAGCGAGCCCACCTCCCCTCTCGGTTCCGGACCGTCAACGGATTCTACTGTCTCCAGAATGAACCAACGCTGTGTTCCCATCCACGCTTACTGCCTGACATGCGTTCTGGGAACTGTCCGACGATCCATGTACAATAATGGCTTCTCGCACGAAGAGAACATGATCCTCGCTTGGAGTATACCCAAGTGGACCGGACATGGAGATTGGACGTATCCATCAGATTTGGAGCCTTCAAGAAGCCCAACAGGGTCGTTCTCCAGGTTGAGGTCCGCCTACTGGAGCGGGACGGAGTCTCAGAGACGCAGATGGGATCCAGAGATTGAGGGGTCTCACTTGCTCCCGGTATGTCCGATAGGGAGAAGCAACTTTTGTTCTTGCTCATGTAGTGTGTTTTTACAGGAGGACATGGTATCTCCAGAAGAGGTGGGTACACCGAAATCGATACTACCCGACCGAAATGCCTCTCGGCTTCCCCAAGCATCCCTTCTTCTCGCTATACCAGAACACATCCTCCGAAATATCGCCCTAGAGCTCGTGAATGTTCCGCACGATGAGAACGAGACCATCAAACGAAACACAGCCTCACGTCTCCTTCCCATGAATGACATCACGGATCTCTTGTCCTTCACTCGAACATGTGCGGATTGTCGGTACCTCACGCTTCCTGCTTGGCTGTGGATCAGAATCCTGTCCGACGCCGTAGCGCGGTTCAAATTGAGTCTACTCAGTCGATGGCGTGCCAATCCAACAGGAGTAGGGAGTACGATGCAGCTTGCCATCTCGCTAGACGAGGCTTTCACCGCTCCGGTCGAGGAAGCAGTCTCTCATTTGGCATGGGATCTAGACGACGTCGCCGGCTGGGACGACGACAAACACCGTCGAACCCCAATCACGGCCAGAGATCTCTTCTTCTGGTGGTCTTATAGTGATAGCTGGAAATCTCGACGGCGCATATGGTATACCGTCGTTCACGCCTGTGCCACGGCTAGGGATGCGGATTGGTGGTGAGCAGACATGGACACCCAAGAGCAGTTGAGGCAAAAAGGAGACAGCGAGCCGGCGAGCTGAACTTTTTCCTTCTGACGATAGAGCGAGGTTTTGATATTGAACTTTGGCACAAATCGTAGCGTGGACGACCCAGTGCATGTATGCTCTACCTCTTGGGACCTATGGCTCAGGTATCGCCTGGGTATTGGGAGTTGGCCACCCAGGCAGATCCCGAATGATAAAGACGACCATCTCGCACCGTTCTTCGGCCAATGTCAATTTCCTCACGACATCGTCGAGCTCCTTCAACTCTTCCTGGTCCTTCTGCATCAGCACATCCCTTCCGCCTCTGTGCATAGCAGTAGCGGCAGCTTCCCTGATTACTGCTGCTTCTCGCCGTGCATACTCGCTCGCTCGCCGTTGAAGGATATTGCCCAACGTTTTGTAAACGTTTGCCAGCATGGCATTGTATGCTCTCGGCAGATCCATACCCCATCGATGGTGTTCTGACGTGGCTGTCAAGTTCGCCCGTTTCGCGTTGAGGGATTTGGGTATTTCGGACGTTTCGATGAGTGACATCTTTTGAAGCTCGGCAAGAGCTATCCGCGCCTCTTTGAGCGGTATCATAGCGCAATCACGGATCTGGCAGATATCAGTGCCAGTCAGCTTGGTAGATGACTCACAGTCTGTTCACTAATGTGATGAGCCTTGGCAACTGTCGCCAGTACCCTCGCCGGCCTAGGACCCAGTCTCTCTCGCACCAGATCCATCATGAGATTCGCCCTTAGTCTGACGCAGATGCCCTGCAATTCTACAGTGTACATTTCGTCTGCGCCTTCCGCTCGGACCAAGAATCTTGTTCCCGATGACGGCTGCAAATCCTCTCCAGAAATGACCATGAGATATTGTCGCACATAATCCAGGATGGACTTTGATGATCCCTGACTCTGTAAGGTGATTCCAGCAAAGATGTATTTGTGTACTTTTGCTGGAATTTTGTCCAAAATCTGATTCACATTGACCGGTGTATAGCTTCGACTCGCTTTGAGCTCCGAATGTCGATCCAGAGTCGCCTCCAAGACACCTCGTACAACCTCTGCGGCTCCACGATTCCACCGATCCTCCGTCGCCTTCACGATGAGCTCATCTCTCATGAGGACACCGTATCGATCGTAGTTGACTTCAAGTAGGACGTCTGACCGGAGACTATAGTCAAATTCCTCGGCCGCTCGGCTCTTCTTCTTCTTTCCAGGTTTCTCCTTTGAGATGAGCACCCTTTCCATCTCTCGCAACTTGGACCGCTCGACGTTGATCTCCCACTGACATTGATTCGTCATGTTCTCGACATCGATAGGTCTGAGAAGGCCAGATTCGCCGGCTGCTTTCTTCTCCTCGCGTTTCATCTACCGACATGCGTCAGCCGGGTATGATGCGAGCCGGTCAAAGAAGGCTCACAGCAAATCTACGTTCTATCTGATCCGACATCGAGACCTGAAAGATCGGCGAGGTGGGATGAATAAAGCTCTGTCTGACCAGATTGATTGTCGCTTCCGTCACTTGATGAGCTCCTTAGAAAAAGGCGTCATCATTGAAATCCACTACGACAAGGATGCACTCACGACTTGGCGAGTCTTGACCTCCACAAGCATGAACGATATCCGGTAGGGACATTTTGCCAAAAAGCAAAATCTGTTTGACAACCTCGAGAGCCTCGGAGATGGTCAACAGCAATGTTTCAAAATTGGAGGGATGACTCACCTCTTGACCTAACCTCTCGTACGTATACATCAATATCCGTCCCCATCTCAACCTCAGAAGGCATATCTCCACGTTGAACTCGTAAACCTCATCTCGCGGAGGTTTCAAGCTGGATCCTCCGTTTGTGAGGACCAGGTTATGCTGACAGAGGATCACCAGCGAGGTCAATACGGCCTCAGCTCTCAATCCAGATAGGGCGATGAGCGTGGTAGATGTCAGACGTCCACGGTTCAAGAGTGTCGAGGCGACTCGCTGTGAAGGAAGGACCAAAAAAATGTCAGAGCGTGATCTAGCTGAAGCCACCATGAAGGCCAAAACTCACACAAACTTCCTCTCCGAAAGATTGACGGATGATATGCTGACACAACCTCACTACCTCCTTCCCAGCTGCCATATCGGCATGAATCCCGTCTCCAGCCTATGCTACTCTATGCTACTCTATGCTACTCTTCGCTGTTCAAGTCAGTTGAATGTAACTTTTGGCTGGGTTGGAAATTTCTGCTTACGTCAGGAAGTTTCATTTGGTTCCGCGAAGTCAACATCCGAGCTCGCGGCTGACTTTCTTCTTGAACAACTGTTGTTGAACATTACTCGAGTGACACAAACAACCCATTCATCATGGGCCCAGTACCAGCTACGCCAGCGCAGTCAAAGAGTAGAAAGGCTCCGGCAACAGCTTCAAAGACAGCTGGGACAGTCACCAGAACGACAAGGAAACGAGCAGGGACCAAGAACGAGGATGAGAACGACGTAGAGGATCCACGTCCAACCCTTCACACCAAACCTTCCATCAGCCTATTCGCCAAAGGTCTCAGAGAAGCCTCAGACAAGATGCTACACCGAGACAAGGAATCGAAACACATTTTTGCTGGGAATAGGAGCAGAGCGACGTCGTCTGGGTCAGACAACCATTACTCGGAGAGTCTAAAGGTGGGTTGAGTGATATTCCGGAAGGATCACCACTCATTGCTGGCTCCAGGCATTCTTGAGGATAAGACCACCTCCAGAATCATCAAGCACTCACTCACCTGTTATGCCATACTTGGAAGCCGAGAACGAGACTCAGGTCATCATGCGACCGCCGATGGTGAGCTTACAAACCTGGGACACCTGTTGATATCTCCTAGGATCCCTCTCGTCCTCATGCCTCAAAATCACCCAACATCTATTCGTTCGACAAAGTGTTCCCTCCGGCCTCTCTTCAAGACGAATTCTTCTCCTACACCACCCTTCCACTGGTCAAAAAGCTTCTGCACGGCGAAAATGGGCTCATGTTTGCCTATGGGGTGTCCAACAGCGGCAAGTCATATACTATTGCCGGCACAGAAGGCACCGAAGGCAAAGACAGGGGTCTCCTGCCCCGCAGCATCGACGTCATATTCAACTCTATCGGAAGTAACCAATCTTCTCTTCCTCTGCGCTGCGTCGGTGTCGCCGATGTGGAGATGGCAGCGGAGGAGCATGCGTTCGCACGTGCTTTCGACCAACTACGAGGGGAGACAGAAGCCTGCACTCCACAAACAATCACCATCGACAAGAACTATGGTTATGCAGTCTTCGTCTCATACGCCGAAGTCTATAACGAGAAGATTTTCGATCTCTTGGACGCTGTCCTTCCCAATTCATCCTCCCAGCTCACGAGCACAAAGAGCTCCTCGAGTAACGCCAGATCATCCTCAGCTTGGGCACTCTCCTCCTCTCTCAGTCTAGCCGCCTTGGCCAACGGAGGTGGAGGCGTTCTCAAACGACGAGCTCTAGCTCTCAAGAACGACCCTGATGGCAATGGAAAGTACGTCGCTGGTCTGAACGAGGTCCGCGTGCGAACACGAGATGAAGCTCTCTCCATCTTCCGAGCTGGCCAACGAGCTCGACAGGTCTTTGGAACGTTGGCGAATCGCGAATCTAGTCGAAGTCATGGCATCTTCTCCATCAAGATTGTGCGCATTCACAACGGCGCACCAAAGGATATTGATGGAGTGCAAGTATCCAAGCTGTCGATTGTGGATCTCGCGGGCTCGGAGCGGACAAGGAATACAGGCACCACGGGAGATCGATTGAAAGAGGCAGGCAATATCAACAAATCTTTGATGGTGAGGGCCACTTGGCCTCGTGACGTGCATGGCTGATCGTTGTCCAGGTTCTCGGCCAATGTCTTGAGGTTCTTCGCTCAAATCAGCAAAAGATGTCTCTTGCGACAGGCTCGAATCAGAAGAAGAAGCTGGCGGTGGTGCCTTTCCGTCACTCAAAGCTCACTGAAATCTTTCAGAATTCGTTTGTCGGAGATGGCAGCGCGGTCATGATTGTCAACGTCAACCCATACGATACGGGCTATGACGAGAATGCTCACGTCATGAGGTTCTCGGCGGTTGCGCAAGAGGTGCAAACGATCCCCACCTCGAAATCTCACCACGGCTTCTCTGGCGGGACTCTTCGACGGCAAATCAGCACTCAGTTCAGTGCTCTCAAACAGGCCGTCAGTGGAGGCGGTCAAGGCAAGATCAAGGTCATGGTGCCCGTCGTGCCAAAGATCAGTGCGCCAACTTCTGCATCGAGCTCGATGACTTCACTGCCTGAGCCTGAGATTGAAATGGTCGAGGAAGAGCTGGAGATCGTGGAGGAGGATGCAGATGAAGCCTCTGATGAAGAGGGGGATATCCTTGTGGATTACCTCTTCGACCAGATAAGGGAGCTCAAGACGATGGTGGGTCTTCTTGGCTGAGACGGTCGTCTGAATGCGCTGATCCCTTGGTCAGCTTTACGAATCCGAGATGCGAAACGCCTCGATCGAGGCTGAGGTCAGAGAAGAGCTCTCGGAAGAGATGCAGAAGACGATCGACGCGGTGCAAAAGCAATCCGAGCGGAGACTGCACGAGCAGGTGGGTAGTAAATACCCATTTCATTACTATCGATACAACCCGATAGGGTCCTTGGAGACAAGTGCTAACGATACAAAACAAAAACAGGTGCTGGCCAGCGAGAGGAAGATGGATATGAAAATCGACATCGTGTCGAGGTCAATGTCGAAACCTGCTCAACCAAGATACGTCAGGACTAAAGTGTCACCATCAAAGGACACGACATACCTTCGAGCCACGCCCGAGATCGATGCCGATTCGAGCTTTGAATCGCAAACCATCAACACGACTTTTGAGTCGGCAGTGGAAGGATCTCTGTTCACGGATGAGGACGCGGATGAAGAGGTATTGGAGGGCGATGGTGTGGACGACCCTTTTGTCGTCAGAAAAACTGGAAAGAGCGAAATCGAAAGTGAATCGGATGACGAAGAGGATATCGATGAATCCGAGAGTGAAGATCATGCTGAAGCTGGTGATGGTCAAGACGATGATGACGAATTGACCGAGGAAGAGAGTGAGGGTGAGGACTCGGATGGAGAAGCAGAGGAAGAGGATGACGAAGAGGAAGAGGAAGACGTGTCCGAGTCCGAGGAAGAGACTGAATCCGACTATTCAGCTTTCGAGTCAAATGTGAGCTCGAGTGTCTCACCTTCGCCTGTTCGCCGTTCGAGCATCAAACCACGCCATACTTCCACCACTACTCCTTCTCGACCTCGGAATTCAATGAAGACTCCAGCTCGCCTCAAGACACCTGTTCATGTGCCCTCTCCCAAGTCGGTTCCAGAGTCCACAGCTTCGGGAACGATGAAAATCCAAAAGACGCCCTTGGGTGAAAATCTGGAACAAGATAAAGTGGCAGTAGCATCGGATGATGATGACGAAATCGCGGATGTGACTGCCACAGTGAAGAGGAAAAGGTAATGTTCGAGGGTGTTTTGGAATGCTTTGTTGACAATCCTCGTGACGATAGGAGAACATTGGGAAAGAAGGTCCTGTTGGAAGATGACATTCAGGTAGATTCCCACAAATTAGGCGGAGGAGCAGACATAAGGAGGTTGGGGAGTCGGGCCGCCCTGTATTAACCAGGAGAGTAGCTCATCGTTCGCTGGGCAATCCCAATCGATGTATTGATCGAACATGTCGTCCTCGGTGATGGGTTCCGCGACCGCAGGCTGCGCGATCTGTGCGGGTCCAGGCTCTGATTGGTTATCCGCAGTGAGTGGCACGACCGCAGGCTGCGCGGTCAGTGCATGTTCAAGGAAGGCCTGGTCGGCCGGGTTGAGGGGTTCCAACAGAGGGACCCAAGGCTGCTGGTATGTATTCACAAACGCGGCCGGATGTTCCTCTGGAACTTGAGGAATCTGTTGGTGTTGGAAGACTTGGGGCTGTACCGGGAGTGGAGGACCTTGGAGGACGTCGAGAAGGAATGGCGCATCATGAGCTGTGATTTGCTGCACCGCGGGAAGGACTTGAGAAGGTGGAAGGAGGACCGAACAGTCGAAGGCCGCTGGGGCAGAAAGAGGGTACTGAGGATATGAGAATGGCGGAGTGTAAGGATTGGGCAGGTGATGAGGTCGGAGGGCGGGTGGAGTCCGCGATGAGGAAGGGCCAGGAGGAAAGGCGGGAGATGACAGGGAGGGCCGAGCAGGGTAAGGAGCCGTCCGGGCGCGATGAGATGCCGCCCGAACGGGGCCAATGTTGACCGGGCCCTGGGGGAGAGGCTGCGCTGGAAGCGGCGCATGAGCCAAAGAGACGGGATGGGCAGGTGGAAGAGGTGCTGGAGGTGGCAGAGGGATGACGAGAGGGGCTGGAGGTGCTGGAGGTGCGGGGGCTGGGGCTGGGGCAGCGGGAGGGACGTGTCGAGCCACTGGGTGTGGCCCAACGTTCAATCCGGCTTCAGCCGCTTCCTGCACCAGCCGGGGAGTCACCGCTCCTCCTTCTACCGCGTCCACGATCTTCGCGGTCAAATCTGAGGCTCTGGGCCAATATAAAAAGTGGGCGTAAAGGCGCGAGTGATCGCCGCGTCTTCCATGCAGTCGATCTTCAATGACCTCTCGCACCCAATCGAAGTCGTCGACCATTGGAATGTCGTCCGACGCGTCGCGTGACGACGACTTGGAGGCATACCCAGAGTCGCCAATTCCCGGCCACTTCATCTCCCTAAACTCGGCAATCTTCTCCCCGAGTCTCTTCCACCATTTTTTCTCCACCTCTGGCACTGCGGCGTAGGTATTCGCCGCTACACCGCTGCTCACAGGCATTGAAGGCCGTGAGCTTTGGTAAAAGCGGTTCCAGAGGGTGAAGGCTATCAGTGTTGCATCAGCATGGTTGTGTGAAAATACGGTATATAAAGAGAACATACCATTAGGAGCCCGCTTGGGAGGCGTGCCATCCTTCTGCGTCTTTGTGCTCCAAACTGCTTGGAGCAGGTACAGCCCGGCGATACCTTCGATCTCACCGTGCCACCGTCGTCCACCCTGGTGGATGGAGAGTAGGTCGGTGGGGGCAAAGGACCCGGTTCGCGCTCTCCTGTAGGATCGGCGGACCATTGGGGGTGATGGCAAAGGTGTCGTCGGGCAAAAAAAAAGTGATGCGAGTATAAATTCGCGAACCCTTTGATGGGATCTGAAGTTGTTGAAAGGATGGAGAGAGTTGTGAGTTGCGAGAAGATCCAACTGGAATGAGCGAACATTATATATCTTTGAATGCTGGTCCATTTTTTCCCCTTCTCACGCCATACCAGACCAGCTGAGCTTGAACAGAGACACTTTGCTATCTAGTTAGTCCAGCTGTTGGTCCCATTTCGAGTGTTTCAACTGGTATCGGACAGCCATCTCAGAACATGAGCTCTGGTGAGTGGGAGTGGGAGTGGAGCAGCGCGTCGTGCTTCTCCTTTTGCTCCGTGTCGAAGGACTTTTTTCTGCCATAGAAATGGATCACTCAACGCTGAAAAAACTGGGAATTTTTACTCTTTCAACAGCGAGAAGATAGACAGAAGAGCTAGTCAGATCACGAGACACGGACGGAGAAGACTGTTCTGTCTTACTCTTTTCATTGGTGTAGTCAGCATCGTCGGGGGGGGGGCAGTCGTGAGTATGAGGTGGTGGCGACATCTATCAGTTCTTGTTAGTGAGAGAAAGAGTGGACGGAGATATTAGAGGAGGACGACTACCGGTTAGCGGTTAGTCCGAGACAACAGGACAGGGGAACAAGGGGGAAGTGTCATGGGAGTAGGTTTAGTCACGAGAAATACCTGGAAACATGCAAGGAGCAACGGGCATGGGGATGGGAAGTGGGACAATAGTGCAAAGATAATCACAGCGAATTATACGCGACTCCGACTGTCCCATATGGGTTCGTCTAGAGAGCGAGACCCATGGCGACGAACAGGATCGAGGTCTTCTGCTTCGACAGTGAGCGGTTGCGAAAATCCAGTTTCCACACGACCTCATGGAATCTCATGTTCTGCGTGCGTTCGGGGAATTCCGAATGTCGGAGTTTGATTTTTTCGAACTCCGTTCGTTTCGGTTTCGCCGTGTAACGCTGTCCAAAAGTCAGCTGAGACACAAAAGATTGGAGCCGTTTCGGGATACTTGAGACCGACGTGGTCATGAGAGGTGATGAATGGGATTACTCACACACACAAGGAAGGAAGCTTTTCGAACGCAGCAGTTTCATTTGCGAAGAAGGGTCCGGTGACTTTGTTTGCACTCACTGCGATGAGGAAAGCTGAGGTGAGGCTGATGGTAATTCCCACGACGGGTAGAAACGAAAGAAATGTGTGAAAGCTCGAGAGCTCAAGGAGGATGGTGTAAGGCACCTGTGACCGCATCAGAAGACTGCGCGCACGAAGGTTGCAAATCTTGAGAATGACCTCACCGATAAATAAATGGCTAAACTGGCTCTGCCTGCCTTCTCTCGTTGCAGCCCAATCGTGAGTAGAATCTGGGGAGTGAAGCCAAAAATATGGTATCTGAGTCAATCAACGTCCTTCCCGTATGGGTGACCTTCTCCTGTCAGTATGATGAGTGTCAATGATAGCCAATCGTGAACCCAGACAAAAGGTCCAGTTGTTAAGATATGACTTTATGAGAAGATGAGGAATTATCTATTGCCTCACGTGGCCCAGCCCGTATGCACAGTATCTTAGCTGCCACACACATGTATGCGTAGAAGAGCATAGAGTGGAATGGACTGGCTCGGGTACCGATATGACGAATAATAATATTATGTATCTGTGGCAGGTTAGTCCCAAATGCAGTAGATCGGTTGGCGGGTGCCACACACTCCGCAAGATGCCGCAAAAACCGCGATGACGGCCCAACAGACTGAGACCATTCGATCACCGAGGGTCCGCCCGGGACCTGCGGACCGGTCCAAGGGCACACTCTGTCCCCACGAGGGAGCTTGTGTATCGCCCGAAGACCATGATTCAAAGAGAAGAGCGGGCCTCGAGACAAACATGGTGCCAATGAGGCAGCAGAATCCAGCTATAACCTCTCGTCTCTCAAACGTCTCTCCGAGGACGAGATATCCTAGAAAGAGCGTGACTGTCGGTCCCAGAAGCTGGACAGTTATCGATTCACTGACTGACAGCCCACAAAAAGACGAGTAACTCGAGAACATGCTGAGACATCCAGCACATCCTCGAGCAATGAGTAATTTGCGAAACTCGGGTGGTCCAAAGAGGTGGTCCAAAGACTGGATCAGGATTTCCAGTCCCGTACAGCGCCACCAAACAGCCTACAATGGTAATGGACATTCTGGCCAGGATGAGAGTGGCGATGGATATGCTGTTGATAGTGAGGAAATACTTGACCGTCAGATTCATACAGCTGAAAAAGAATTGTGAGATGGCGACAAAAACCAGGCCCAGGTTCTCGACGCGAAAATGGTGTATCGTCTGCGGGAGGATCGGCTCTAGGAAAGCAGCTCCGTCCATGGAGGTGGTGTATTTTCGACCCCTTGCGTGGTAGGATACCGTGTGGCACTGCGAGACGAATTGGGACGTCTGATCGGATGCCTTGATTGTCGTGCGAGTCTCCACGCTCTTAAGCGTGAGACCTCCAATGCCACGAGCATGATGCGCTCGAGCTATCTCGTTAGACTCTCAAGCTTTCCGTCCAGATCTCAGTCTATGAGCTACTCTGCATGGTCTTCAGCTGGGAACCATCGATGTCCGGATTTCGGTCTTGAAATTATCGATCGTTTGGGGTAGATGAAGAACTCTGGAAAGGGAGTCACGACGGCAAGCCTAAGTATGGTCCAGCGTAAGCAGCAGTCGAGATGAATGGGATGAGCAATTGGCTGAACACATCCAGTTGTACACGACTGAGGTGAATGGGATATCCCAGCATAGCTCGATGACTTTGTGAAGGACGGTTCGACGCACAGACTTCCTCCGATATCGGAGTATTACGTCAGCAGTCACTCACTCCTGATAAAGTCGCGCGCTGCTTCACGTTGATCATGTTGACGACCTCGTCCACATGACTTGGACCTCTCGGCACATGTTGTAGGCACATGTTGACAGCTGAGAGGCCATGGAGGTAGATCAGAGAAGAGATGATGTTGAAGAGGTGTCCGCGGTCGCGGTGGAGTCCGAAGAGTATGAGCCGAAAGGTCCGAAACCTATCAAGAAGCTCTCCATCGATGTGATCAACTCGATCGCAGCGGCAGAAGTGAGCCCCAGCAGCGTCATTTTGTGGCTAGCTTTATGAAAGGGCTGAGACTTTGACAGATCATACACCGACCTTCCAACGCTATCAAAGAGCTCATCGAGAACTCGCTTGACGCCGGGTCGACCTCAATCAAAATCAGCATCAAAGAAGGTGGACTCAAATTGATCCAGATTACCGACAACGGACACGGTATCAACAAGTCAGACCTGCCACTACTATGTACACGATATGCAACCTCCAAACTTGCCAAGTTCTCTGACCTGCAGAGTTTGACAACCTATGGATTTCGAGGGGAGGCCCTGGCGAGTATAAGCTATTGCAGTCATGTCGAAGTCATCACAAAGACGAAAGAGGATGGGTGCGGATGGAAGTGAGTAGAGGAACCTGAAGAAGGCACAGAGAATCATGCTGAAAGGGATGGCAGAGCCTTATACGCCGATGGCGAGTTGGTCGCTTCCAAAACTGAATCATCGCCGGAGCCGAAACCCGCAGCTGCAAACGATGGAACTGTAATCAGTGTGAGCTACGATGCTCTTCACAGGTCTGTGACTTATGATTTATTCAGGCGGAAGACCTGTTCTACAATATGCCATTGCGAAAGAGGGCTTTCAAATCAGCCTCGGACGAGTACAATAGGATCCTTGATGTCATACAAAAATACGCCGTCCACAATCCTCATGTCGCTTGGTCCTGCAAAAAGGTACGCACTCCTATGCCCGCCACTAGCATGCATGTAGCTCATGAAGTCATCCTTCAGGCTCAGTCCTCCCTTCCGGACATCTCAACATCCGCAGCCTCATCATCACGAGCCAACATTTCTCTCCTCTACACCGCTGCGCTCGCTGCTGATCTGCTCGAAGTCCCGGAAACGGTCCTCCAACCCGCAGATAAGCTCTGCGCCACAGTCAGAGGCTGGATCAGCAATGCCAATACCAATTGGACTCGCCGAGGCGGATGGCTATTCTTCATCAACAGTGAGCTGCACCGCTTGTCACATCGGCACCTGGACCTGAGTTGACGCCGAAATGCAGATCGCTTAGTAGACTCTACGAAGCTCAAGAAGGCGCTCGAGTCGCTCTACACGGCCTTTTTGGCCAAGGGCTCTTCCCCATGGATCTATTTGAGGTGGGTCCTAGCGCGAGAATGATCAACTCAATTGGCATGTCAGTCTCGAAATCGATCCCGCCAAGGTCGACGTCAATGTTCATCCTACAAAGTCAGATGTGCACTTTTTGAGTGAAGATGAGATCATTGAGGGTATCGTGGGAGCCGTACAGCAGGCGCTATCCGGCGCCAACACGTCGCGAACATTCTCCGTTCAGGTGAGGCATTTAACCGGCAAACTCGGAGGCTTGCGTTGAGACCTACTTCAGTCACTCTTGCCTGGTGCCGCCGACCCCGCGATTGGGAGAGAGTCGGATCTCTCCAGTCGATCCCAATTAGCACGTAGAGCCGCGCCAAATTACAAAATTCGGATGGATCCTACCAACCGGACGCTTGATTCCATGCTCGCCCCCTTGGACCCCTCGCAAATTGCTCCGTTTTCGGTGTCTCAACCCCTAGACGCGGATCGCCCTTCGAAGCGGCGCGGAATCGACGTAGAAGACGGTCTCGAGCTAGATGAGGAAGACGGCATCGGCCAATCAGAGCAAAGGGAATCTCTGTGGGATACGCCCATCGAGCAGTCGCAAAGTAGCAGCATACCAGAGAGTTCTTGCGACTTTACCAGCATTAAAGAGCTCCGCAAGGCTTGCAGAAGATCAGCCAACGCTGGTGAGCTTACACGTCAATCGAAACTCGTCTCGTGTCTCATAAAGTGCAGAGCTTTCAGAGATCCTAGCCAAACATTCGTTTGTCGGAGTGGCCGATCGCTCGCTGTGCCTGTCCCTGATTCAATACGCTACCAAGCTGTATCTGGTCAATCACGCGGCATTGAGGTGAGACAATGAGACATGTGAAACTGGGTGAGCTGACATGACGGCGGCAAGTGACGAGCACTTTTATCAACTTGGTCTGCGGCAGTTCGGAGCCATCAACAAGCTCAAGTTAGAGCCTCCACCATTGTTGAAAGACTTGTTAGAGGTTGCCATAGAGCAGGAGCGAGGTATCGAAGAGCACGGCCTCAACAAGGAGCACGTGGTCAATGTGAGCTTCATTGCTCGTTGATCAACGAATATCAAAGCTCACGCACGTTGCAGGTCCTCGATGCCCTTCTCCTTCGGAAGCGCGACATGCTGGATGAGTATTTCTCCTTGACGATCTCCGACAATGGTCTGGTTGAAGCTCTACCCATGCTGCTCAAAAGCTACACACCAAACCTGGACCGGTTGCCTCATTTCTTGCTTTGCTTGGGTACACGTGTAAGCTATGGAGAAATCGGAGGAAGCTTACGACACAACAGGTTGACTGGGCGGACGAGAAAGCATGTTTCGAGACTTTTCTTCGAGAACTGGCGTTTTTCTACTCTCCTCGACCTCTGGCGGACTCGGCCAGCTCGAACGTGGACTCGCAATCGGATGATACATCAGAAACGCCAGACGAGGTGTCTCGACAGCTCTGGCAACTCGAACATGTTCTCTTTCCCAGCTATAGACGCGACACTTCTTGGCCGAGAAACTTGTTGAGCAAGGACGTCACTCAGATTGCCAACTTGCCCGACTTGTTCCGCATTTTTGAGCGATGCTGAGGGTATCCAGTCATGCTCTCCCGAACACATACATAGCATGTCTTCCGTATTGTTGTTGTTGTTGTTGTACGCATATGCATAAGCCCGACGCAGCGCGGTTCCGCCGTCTTCCTCCGCCATGGATAGAGATGATTTTTGGTTGGGGTTGACCCGAGGATTGCCGAAAAGATGACATGAACGGACTGGGGCAATAATAGAGAGGAGGATTCACTCAGTGCTCTGCTCTCTTGTCAACATCATCCATCTCATTCATTTCGACACAGATCAGCCTGAACAACCACTGCAATCATGGCATCTCAAAGAAAATTCTTCGTGGGGTGAGCTGCAGTGGTCGTTGGCCTGCACTGCAAGACGACTCATCGCTACTCCTAGGGGCAACTTCAAGATGAACGGTAGCATGAAGTTGATCAAGGAGATTGTCGACCAGATCAACGCTGCCAATTTGGACGGCAGTACAGGTGGGCGATGAGCTCCTCAACTGACGTTCCCCGGAGTTGACGGTCTCCTCTAGAGGTCATCGTCGCTCCTCCTGCTTTGTACCTACTTCAAGTCCAGGAAATGCTCAAAAAGCCAGTGGAAGTGTCTGCCCAAAACTGCTTCACAGAGGTTTCCGGAGCCTTTACTGGAGAGATCTCGCCCAATCAATTGAAAGATGCCAATGTTCACTGGGTCATTCTGGGACACTCTGAACGAAGATCTTTGTTCGGAGATACAGACAAGTTGGTCGCGGACAAGGTCGCTGCGGCACTCAAGGCGGACCTCAAGGTGGGCCACGAAAAGGATCTTCTACTTCGCGCCATGAATACGGCTGATATATCGCATTGGCAGATCATCGCTTGTATCGGCGAGACGCTCGAGGAGAGGGAAAAGGGAGTCACTATGCAAGTTGTGGAGAGACAACTCGATGCTATCGCTGGTGAGGTCAAGGAGGCCGACTGGAAGTGAGCCCAAACTTGAGATGATGAGCGAGACTCAACGCTGACGTGATCACAAGGGATATTGTTATCGCCTGTGCGTAGGCAATGATCTCAACAGAGGAGTGACTGTGAGCTGACATGTACGTTCAGACGAACCCGTCTGGGCTATTGGAACTGGCAAGGTCGCGACTGTTGAGCAGGCACAAGAAGTCCACAAGGACATTCGACAGTGGTTGAGCAAGCGCGTCTCGTCTGCCGTCGCTGAGAGCACTCGAATCATCTACGGAGGAAGTGTCAACGCCAAGAACTGCGGAGAATTAGGTGAGCAAGGAAGATCCAGTGAGGAAGTTTCGAAAGCTGACAAAGGGGATGACCGCAGCTGGACCCCCCGATATCGATGGCTTCCTGGTCGGTGGAGCGTCGCTCAAGCCAGAGTTCCTGGATATTTGCAAAGTGCAACACTAGATATGTTGGACACCTCTCGCGTACCAAAAAGAAAACGTCCGTGTTGACCGGTCTGAGAATGCATAGACGATACACTACCATGCCCAATTGCCAGTGATCTTCCGTCTGAGAGGCGTGTCTTCCCTGACAATAGCTGCGCCCCTGGCATACCTATCGATATCCTTCTGGAACTTGATTTCCTCCTTTTGACGCGGTGTCATGCCCTCTGTCAAGGTGAACCGTAGACGAGAGAATGGTCTGATTTTGATACCATATCTACCTCTTCCCTTAATATCAATCTTCTTTGGTCCGAACTTGGCTTTCTGCACCCATGCCTCGGCTTTAAAAAACGGATGGAATCAGAGAGGGTAACTAGGACGAGATGTACGCCAGACTCACAAACTTGCAGTAAGGACCTCTTCAGTCCCCTTTCATGAATCGCAATGTCTTTCCCTGCTTCAAGCTCCTTCTTGATCCATCTAGCTGCTTTTTTCGATGAATGCTGCATCTGGATGATGGCTTCATCAACCGGCAGTCCAGCAATCTGGTTCGCTAAATTATTCAACTTGAGAGGTGAAATCTGGTGAATGCTGGGATCCTTGTTGGTATACTAAAGGGAGGTATGAGCTTGTTGGGGGCCTTCTCAGACGAGAGGATCAGCTCACCGATCTATACTCTAATCTCCTGGTAGGCTTTGTCTGCAGGACTGTCTTCTGCTCCTTTACCACAACGTCAAACGGATTCGTCTCCAACGGGTCTTTTCCACTCTTGTCTCGACGACTCGAGGTTGGCTTCTCCTTCAGTCCCACCAACGCTGAAAACCAACTTCCAAAACTCGCATGACTGCACCGTATCAGCCTTTTGATCTAGTTAGAATGGATGGGACTCACCGTCGTTGTATCTGATTCGGTAACGGGGTTGATCGAAAAGTCAGGCGGGACGGTCCGGCAACGGCTGATTGAGCGACTAGAGACACATGAGCTCGACTCATGATGATCAACGAGACGTAGAAACTTACCGATCGCTGCTCCTCGTAGTGTTCTTGACATCCTAGCCGTATCTTGTTCTCCAGACCAATGTAGTCTATCTATCACACAGTGACCAAGGTCAACTCGAGGCAATTTCCGATCACCCTACATAAAATGTATGTCAATGCCACGTCAGGTCACTACCACGTGGTTGTCGTCACACGCCATCATAAAGTCAACGACCTCTCATTAGCCTCCCATCTGAACCTCGTCGCCATCAGCGATCCGGCAATACCTTGAGCTGGGGGAGCTGATGGCGTAGTTGTTCCCGCCTCGTCCGTGATGCCGCCACCGTCCGCCTTTGAAGGCGGTATCGAGGTCGGGGAGGATGACTTCAAAAAGGCCGATAGATTGGCAGCTCGTGCCGCTCGATTCAGCAACAAGCTACCCGGAAACAGGTTCAAAGAGGTCAGCTTACGGGCCCTCCAGTCCTCATCCAGCTGACCTTCTGTAAAGCTGGAAGAGTCTCGGACGAAAGAGCGGAAAGCATTTGAAGCTCAAGGCTTGATCAAAGTCGGCAAGACTGAACTTGGAGATGCCGTGGATATGAAGGGTACTTGCGAGCAGATGTGCTCAGACTACGAACGAGAGTTTAGGGAGTACACTCGAGAGATCCATCCGTTTGAAGCTGTAAGTACGATTGAAGGAGTCTGCTTTGCTCGTCGTTGCTCAAGACTGTTGCCCAGGCACCGAACAAGCGGATGGACCCTGCCAAAGCTGTCGCTGCCTACTCGAGATCAGATGCTGGCGCAGGACATGGAGAGTCTGCCATCCTCCCATCGGATCTGCGCACGCCGCAAACGCTAGTAGTAAGCCGCTACTCCCCGTTGCACGTGGCTCACACGATCAGCGCACCCTGGATTACCTCTTCGCCAAGGTCATGTCGACCCAGTCGCCCGAATTGATCGGCGCGCCGACCGCTCGGAAAGCGCTTGGATACACTGCTGGATTCATCAGAGACAGGACTCGCGCGATCCGGAAAGAGTTTGCTATGCAGAGCAGCTGGGGTCACGAAGAGGCTATTGCGAGTTTCGAGCGCATTGCCAGATGGCATATCTTGTGTTTGAGGGAATTGCAGGAGGAAACAGGGATGAACAGTGATATGCACATCGACTCTGCAGAACTCGGCAGATGTGAGTGTGAACGACGGCGCGCATGATGTCGAGTCTCACTGATGACTTGCAGGCTTCACATCCTTGCGTCAGCACTACAACGATCGAAGGGAAGAGCTAGGCACCGACTTGCCGTGCTCTAACGAGCCCGAGTTTCAGGCCTACATGCTCATTTTCAACCTCGCCGACAAATCCGTCGCTATCCCTACATCTGAACTCCCTTCTGTCATCCTCGACCATCCATTGGTCAAAATAGCTTGGGAGATCCGTCGAACCGCACAGCGCAATTTCGACACACAAAAGGAGGGCTCGAAATCCAACGCGGAATACGGAGCCAATATGATTAACCTCTTCGTTCGCCTGCTGCAACAACCTAAATTCCCCTACCTCCTCAGCTGTCTTGTCGAGGTTCGACTGAGAGAAATGCGCAGAAGTGCTTTGCGAGCTCTGACCCGGACATATCCTAGGCTAAGGTCAGATCCTTTACGATACAACGATCAGGGTGAAGTCGTCGAGAGGCGAATGGTTTTGATACAGACATTGGACAAGATTCTAGGATGCGAGGAGCAGGAAGATGAAGAAACGGCGTACGATGACATTGAACCCGTGTCGAGATCATCGGATGAAGAGGCGGTCAACGTGGTCACAAAGTTTGAGCTCGACGTCTTCCCAGATGTCAAGCAGGCTATCGGAGCTTTGATTAATCTAGGTTCTACGTTCAATGGTGAGCTGACTTTCCTTCTCTTGCGATGAGCTGACAGCTTGGTTAGATAACCGAGATGCCCCGTTCACACGCCGCTGGAAGTTGATCACATCTAAACGAGAGGGAATTGCTTTCGTCGATGTAGTTAATGGAAAAGCTGGCATCCACATCGACGGCACCTCTGCGCCTGCCCCTCAACCAGCGAGACGACCTACATTACCGATGTCCACACCACTCAACGCTGCTGCGCCCGCCTTTCCTCCCAAAGCCGCTGTGGCCGAAACGATCAAGGCCGCCCCTCCTTCGGCTTTCTCTTTCAATCCGACACCAGCAGCACCTGTCGCCCAGTCATCCATAAAACGGCCTAAAGAAGACGTTGCGGTGCCAACGAATGCGTCCTCGCCTTTCTCATTCTTCTCCAAAGCTGCAAATACCTCGACGATCGAAGGAAAATCCCCTCGTCCAGCTGCACCGGCTCAGACCGCGCCGGCTTTTTCGTTCAGCACGCCAGCCCCAACTCCGCCCACCCTGAGGACACAGCCGCCTCAGGCTGGAACAACCCTGATGACGACTGAGCCTAGTCAACTTCTAATTCCACCACCAGCTGCCAGTACCTCCACCCTGGCGCCCCAACCATCGAGCCGTGGATCCTTCTCCATACAGATAACAGAGCCATCTTCATCGAGCGCGCCTTCTAGCACTCCATCCGCCAAAGCCCTTGGAAAGAGGCCAGCGCTTCCTTCACCGCCACTCTCAAGGTCGCTGTCTCGAGCCTCCGAGGCTGATCGGCGGAAGAGTAGACAAGCGCTGCCCGCCCTTCGCGACGCCATGCTGCAGGAGCTAATGCAGTCCACGTTATCCGACATGACTATTGATCTGCTCAAAATGGTGAAGCAGGAGCAAGCTGCCCGTCAATACCATCAAGCAGCTGATAAACGGCACAACGCGATACAGACATGGTCGCAATGGGTTTACGACAGCTTGAAACAGCAGAGGATCGATCGCATTTTGGCAAAGGCCGTACTCAACGAGCTCAAATGGCGGTACTTGGCCCGAAAGTATCTCGCTATCTGGCGAGATTGGGCGCGGGAGAGAAGAAGGGCTCAGGCTGCCTTGCGCAAGGAGAGGGCGAGAGTCCTCACTACCTTTCAAAGCATGGGACTGGGGAGTGCAGACACGTTGTTGGCGGAACATTCAGTCGACTCGGCGGAAGGTGGAATGCCCGAGGACCGTGACGAATTTCTTGTCGACGTGGCTCTTCGCGAGGTCAGTGAGACCTCTGCAGAATGCTGCATACTGATCTTCACAGGCCGCCGCGGAGCGCTCCCATCTCTATGCACCGAGCACCTTCCTTCACATCATTGCCCGACATATTGCACCACTTTTGTCCAGCTCCATCGCCGACAATCGAGGAACGCCTCTCGCCTCACCGTTATCAACTAACAGCCGTTCCGTCCCCACGATGCACCGATGGGAAACATTTTTGTCACTCGCTTCTGGTGCCGGTTCTGCTCCTCCTTCTTCGGCGTCCAAATGGCTCCGGGACAAGCTGAGCGTCAAGGGTGAGGAATTCTATGAATATTCGGATATATTGTTCGAGACGTCTGTCATCGGAAGCGAGGACGATGTCCGCGCTGGAGCCGTCGGTCTCATTGTATTCGAAGCACCGCTTCAGGGACCCGTGTCTAGTCACGAGAAGTGAGATGATCGGAGCGTTCTCCGGTCCCAGAGCTGACGATATGTCAGGAATCGGAAGGATGCACAGAACCGCCTCGAATGCTTAGCTCACGTCTGTCGCGACCAAGCAAATCGGTATGATCCAGCTCTGCTGATCATCACCTGGGAAGATGAGGATCTGGATGCTCTCTCCTCGAGGGTGAGCTATCAAAGCCCGAGTCCATCTACGGCTGAGCTCACGTATTTGCAGCTTTCGATCGCGTCACAGCTTGTACCGTTTTCTAGCAAGACTATTCTTTCACTACAAGTGGTTCATGAGGTCGACTCAAGATTGGAAATGGCGTTAGGGGCGATCTTGCCTAGCATAGACTTGAAGTGTCAAGTTCTTATCCCTCTCCAAGGTGAGCTTAGGCTCTTGATTTGTACGGCACTCGACTCATGCCCCTCAGACCTCGTTGCGGACTTGCTACCGATTTGGGCGAGATTCGCCGATACAGCTCTGCGGATATTGCAACATCAGTCAACGAGTAGGCCGAAGATCACTGTATGTAGGCTCCGCTGACCATTTGAAGCAGACTTTTCCTTCGCCGTCCGGGTGTTCGAAGAAGGACTCAGTATCGTCAATCAGGTGTCAAAGCTGGCAAGTGATAACATTGGCAAGGTGGAGATCAGCGAATCTGCGACTTTCGATCCTATCTTATTGCCGCCTTTCGATTCGGTGGCCCCGACAAGCGCGTCGTGAGGTTTTGTCCCCTAGGGCTCGAGAGGAAGCTCACTCTACTACAGCGGAGCTGCAGACGCGATCGCTTCCTATCTTTCACACGAAGACTTGAGTGGTATCTCAGAGGTCAAGCTATTACTTGGTCCGCTCAGTAGAGCCGTTGCAAATGATGCGAGTGAGTCGGTCCGTCTATGCGCTTTCACGATGTCGCGCTGAGCCTCGTATTTAGCTCTGCCAGTCATTGATATCCTGTCATCTCTTGCGTTGCTCGTATTTGGGGAAATGGCTGGTCAGACCCTGCTTCTTGAGTCATACTGGCCGGCCTCCGTGGCCCAAGAAGTGGTGAAGGGTTATTTGAGCACCACGACAAAGCAGTATGAAAAGTACCTGTCTTTGAAACTGGACGTTCTTGGCCGGATGCTCGTTTCGCCAGCCAAGAACAAGTCGACATCGATCAGGACGAGCGAGGTGCCGCTCAGCTACGAATCCAATTCTGAGAACTCTCCCATCCCTTCTGTCAAGATCGGAATCAAACGTGGTCGATTGAGCAGTAGTGAGAACCTCAAGAGTTCTCCCAATGCCAAGCAAATCAAAGCAGCGAAGAATGCCAAGTTGCTTCAGGCGATGGCAGAGGTCAACAGGACGTTGGGCGAGATGGACATGGATGCTGTCTACTAGGTTGCTGTCTTTTCATTGCATATCGAGTGTTATGGTATGAGATGCAGTCGATGCATTATGAGATGTGTATGAGCGATTGTCATGTAGGTCAGGGCTACCGGCCCGAGTCCAACAAGTGTTCTGAAACGAGCAATCAGAACAGTTGGCAGTTGAGAATGCACAAGCTCTCGACTTACCCTTTAGCGGCGCCCTGACCGCAGCTGTATCATCCACAGTGACCTCATGCAAGGTGTCCCGGAAGCTATACCGTATGCGCAGCTTCTTGCGCTCTCCGATGCATGGATCCCAGAATCCAAGCAGAGCATGCTGTGGACCAGGTCAGAACACCTCTTTCGTGAATACAATGAAAGCTCACCTTGCCCCGTCCACCCGGGATGATCAATCTGCTATCGTTGACCAGAGCCTGCACAGGTACAGTCACATCGATGATATCTTCCGCTCCTCCCGTCTCGCGACGCCCACGTTCAGTGAAAGCGCTCGCGAGACCGTAGTGAGCAGAAATAATGATGAGGCCTGGTGTCAGACAAGCATCAGTCGTGGGCTGTTACAATGTCCCGCTAGCTCACCCCTCTTTTCCTGTTCTGCGGCTAGCTTCAGAGCCGTCGGTCGCTCCATCACTTGAACAGCCTCGTGAGCCTCCATCTTCTTTTGAGCGATCATTTCAGCGTTCTCTTCTCTCAATTCCTGAACGCGTCTGGAAATTGACCGTTAGTCCGAGATGTCATGGCATGGCATTTCGGATCCTCACTCTTTTATACGCCGGCGACGGCGTGGCGAGAGATAGAAATGGTGAAGGACTGCATACCCTGCTGCAGGGACAAAGGTGAATCCAAATAGAACATATGGGTTGACGTTGGGTGCCAAGACGATCGGAATGGCTATACGTTGACCTAATCGAGCGAATCTGATGCGAATCATCAGAAAGACCGCTGGAAGGACAGAGATACGTACCGTATTCTGGCCGTGATACCGCCCGCAAACTCCGCCTGGACCATGTAGCCAACTCTGGTCGTGTTGGATACTTTCGATTCAGCATCTACAAATGCGTTGATCCCATCCGAGGACCCTCCAGCAACACCAAGCTTGACCCTGACGCCTAATATCCTGGTCGACCAATCTGCAGATATATGCGAGTCGTTCAGCCCTGCTTGCGTCTCTACGGTCCATCCCGTTCCGTCACGATTCGCCGTTGTGGCTCCTACTGACAAACCTGACCTATCAGACAAGGCCAATTGAGGCGGAAGGGAGAGACCCCAGGAGCCGAGGTTGAAAAAACCTGATTTGTAGGCTGCAACCAATGTCAAAGTCAGCAATCGGATTCAGGTGTGAATAGAACACATACTGATAAATCCTGTAGTCTGGGCGTAGATCCTCCGACCCAAACTTATCGACATTCGCGGAGGAGCAGCCAGAGTCTGCGCCACAGCATTGACAGTCACGTATCTGTGGAAACATCCTTCAGTATCAACCGGTAGGTGGATCCACTCACGTATTCTCATCCACTGTATATGTCCCCTTCATGTTCAATGCCCTTGGCGGCAACAATCCAGTGCCGACTTCGATCCATAATCTCGGCGAAAATTGGTGCTTGATCGTTCCGACAACGTTTGCTCCTCCTTGTCCATTCCGAGCGATCATTTGACCCGCACAGATGAACTGCGTCCGTTCCGATAGAGGTACCTCGAAAGAATGCTTCATGGCAATACGTCCAGGTCTTGTCCTCTGTATTCTCGAGATTGCATCATGTTTTAATCGTTCAGGATGGGGGAAAACGCTCTTTGGCAAGAATACAGCTCGAGCATCGAAGACGACCGTCATATCGCCTCTTGATTTAACCAAGGCGTCAATCTCCAACTGTCGTTTGGCGTTAGATTGCTTTTCGAAATGCTTTCTCAGCTCTGCAGGAGTCTTGACTCGATGTCCTACTTCCCACGAAGTCCTCAATCCTTCCTCTCCAAACATGTCGTAGATCATCCGTTTCGTCGGATCCGTCAAGACTTCATAAGCACGTTGAATCTCTTGAAAACGTCCATGGGCAGCTCGACGCGCCGCGTCATCTCGCTGTCTATCGGGATGAAATGTCGATGCGAGCGATCGATAACGATCACGGATCTCTGCTTCCGAAGCATTGCGAGGAAGGTTCAGGATCGCGTAGAGAGTCTCATCCGTCGAAGGACCGGCAAGAGTACTGCCATTCAGTCGAGGTGAAGAAGGTGGTGAAGGTGGACGAACCGGTCCATCAGCCGTGTCGGGGAATGCGGAGTAGTAAGAGGAGCTAGGACCCGGGTCCTGCATGCTCCCTCGTCTCCCTTGAACCTGAGAAGCCTCTGCCTGCCCAGCCCTGTCACAGAGATCAAGGTCTATGACCTAGAGATTCCATTCAGTCATAACCGTGATAACGTAATCTCGTTCGGGGTAAAGGCGGAATTATCCGGGGAGTTGAGTCCATTCGGACCTGGCAGTCGATCCTATGTCGAGATTCAACACTGTCTCTACAACACAACTGGGGTCTACTCGTATCGTAGATAGTTGATTCTGCACAACAAAGCATGTCGTCCAAGCCATTCGTCGCTCAGTGGGGTGTCGTCGGTTGTGGATGTGAGTTTGAAACTTCTTCTGCTTGACCCGTGGCCGATCTCATGATGACCCTTCTCTATGTCATAGGGATCTCTTCTGAGTTCGTCATGGATATTACCCGTCCGACCTCCCTCAGGAAAGTCAGCGACGTCTCGCATGCCCTTGCAGCAGTCGGCTCTAGGTCTCTACCCAAGGCCGAGGACTTCATCTCAAAGTACTGTCCAGACGGAGCTTGCGGTCAAAAGGATGGTCTGGTGGATTTCAAACCGAGAGCATATGGAAGCTACAAAGAGGTTGCTGATGATCCCGTAAGCCGGATGATGTGTACTCCAACCAGCTGGTCTCTGACCTGTACTGCTCGCCAGAACGTCAACATCGTCTATGTTGGCACGATGAACACGTCGCATTATGATGATGCCAAGATGGCTCTTGAAGCAGGCAAGCATTGTCTGTTGGAGAAGGTGGGGGACATTGCATCCAGTATCCCGTCTGATAAGCTATTCTAGCCTGCAACTCTCAATGCTGCTGAGTGGAAAGATTTGAGCGGATTGGCAAAGTCAAGAGATCTGTTCCTGATGGAAGGTGGGCAGAATTCCAAACCTTCAATGTGGGCCTGCTGACACTTCAAAGCCGTCTGGACCCGATTTAATCCCGTTATGCTTGCCATTCAACAGGCTGTACATATCGACAAAGTCATAGGAGACGTCCATGTAGTGCGATCCGATCACTCAATGGACCTCTATGGCAAGCAGCCCGACACACATCGATGTCTATCTGCAGATTTGGCAGGCGGACCAATGCTCGACGTCGGGCCATATCCGATGGTTTGGGTGAGTCCATCGGACCAAGCGATAGACGCGGCATCTCCTGACGACCTGAATAGAGTCTGATGATGCTCTTTCGTCATCCCAAGAACGATATGAGTCCACCTGAAAAAGTCGCTGGGACTATGCTGTTACACTCGACCGGAGTCGATCTAGCGACCGGGTGGACAATGACGTTTCCGAAGATCAAGGCGATCGCGTATTGTAAGTTGAGTTCGACTTACAGCAATATATTGTGCTCAAGTATCTCCTCAGGCACCACCAACCTGTTCGAAGACACTGACAAGAAGGCACACACCCGGATTGTCGGCTCGGAGGGGTATGTCTGTATCAAATAGTCCTGCGAATGTCCCGGCTGATGTCTGTCCCAGGGAGATTGTCGTCCAAGGTCATACTTCTCGCCCTGTTGGCTACACCGTCCGTCGCCTGATCGATCCAAGCAGAAGCGACGGCAAATATCACCCAGATGAAGTTCACGATATGGGTTTTGAAGGGTTTGGGCTCTCATGGGAGGCAGACCAGGTCGCAAGATGCTTGAAGGGTAGGTTGGCATCGTTGCATCTGATTTTGACACGACTGCAGCGGGACTTACTGAATGCCCTACTATGCTTCATAAGGAGACTCAGATGACAATGGAGGTAAGCTCGACATTGTATGTCCTGGCTCACGAGTTCAGATCTTCGACAAGTTGCGCTTGGAAGGCGGGTATCACTATCTTCCCGGCTTGGAGCGGATTCCCTTGAAGCCTTAGAGGGGATGCATATCAAGTACCAGTATACTCAACAGTTCGTATCACATCAATCGCGAAGTGTAAACTTCGGCTCTTCATGATAGTACATCTGACCGTCCCTCCATCCAATCTTGTTCGCCCAAGCATCCTCCTTCTTCTGTACAAACTCTGCAGGATTTGTATTTGGTACCTCTCCATCTGCCAGATCCTCCGGTCTCAGCTTTTCAGCCCAAGCAGGGATCCAAGCGTTTCTGAGATCGTCCCATGAAATTTCACCAGCGTACTGTCCTGATGAATCGGCAAATGCCAGGCGCTCTTGTCTCATGACAAGGTCGAGGGCTGATCGAGTGAGGAGATTGCCTCGGTATTCCCACACTTCAGGTTCACTCTCTCCCGACGGGTCGGATTCTTGTGAAGCGCGGCGAGGTGTGGCGGGTACATTTGGCTTTGGCCTAACCGTCGGTATATGACCTGTGCCAAATCGCGCTTCTAGCTCGTTCGCATCAAGATTCTGGTAAATCCGAACATCAGGATCAGAGGATGATGAGTGGGAAGTAGCGGATTGCCGACTGTCTGCAGGCGATGCAGGGTTGGGATCAGAGACCACGCTGGGTGTTCTGGGTGTGTGAGCGCGTGAGTTGAAGGTCGAGGGAGCTACTCGGCGTTGGAGTTGTCTCGTCAGTGTGGTGATAGCTCGCAAAGCGTCTTCAGTCGGCGCCTCGTTGCCAACTTTGCTATTGAGAGTTGAGGATAAAGTGACGATCATCTCAGCAGCTTGTCCGAATCTGTGTCGATGCGGCATGGTTTCGTCAGCGAGGCTCGGAAGACGCGTATCATGGCTCTCCACGCAGCTCACGATTGAGGTGAACCATGATCTGCAATGGCGCGATCCAATTCACTTCGGATCTCTACTCCGCACGAAAGATCGACGACCTCCACATACCGAATAATAGCTTCGATCAAAGCTATGTCGATAAGGTAATCCGGCCCTAGAAGCGATGGCAGCGTTTTCACTGCGTCGAGACTACAACCCATCGCAACTCACCCTCGCTCAGAACCTGCACGAATCCTTCAAGCTTGTCTGTAGATTCACTGTTCTTCCTAGAGCTGGAGAGCTTACGCAACCCAGATTCGGCCTTGAGGTAAATGTCTCTCAAGGTCGCTTCGAGCACCCCCTTCAGTCCCTTCTCTTCAAATGCTCCGCACGTCACCCACCCAGAGTTGGTAGCTCAACGTCCGAGCTGTACAGCTTAATGTCCACCAATTCGGCCTTCTGAGCTTTCAAAAGATCAATGATCCGGCTGATCAGATCTTCATTTGAGCTCTGATCGCCTTTTCGACTTTGCAGAAGTCTCTGAGCCGTATCTGAAATCCCCTCATCGTCAGCAACTTCTGTCGCAAATCCCCAAAACAAGCGTATACCTAGACATCCGTTGCAGGCTTGACTCGCTCCTGCCAATTGTCCTGTTTCGACCTGCTTGCCCTTGCCATGTGAACGCCCCTTGGTCAGCCTGGGCAGCTTGCTGTGAAGCTTCCTTCTCTCATCTACTTCTTGCCGGTTTTGGCTGGACGGATCGTATTGCGTAACTTGCTCAACTCGTAATCTATCGTCCAATGCGTCTAACAGTCTCGCCATCGTCTCGTCTGTCCTGTCGCAACTTTCATGTTCAGCGGAGAGATGTGCTCTAAGCCGAGACGCGATGGCTTCGAGCTCCGAATTTTGAAGTTGAGGTGTAGTACCTATAGGAGAGAGACAGACTCCAGGAGGAAGTGGTCCTCCCCTTGAGGGTCGAGTCTGACTTTTGGACTCAGGAGAGCTTTTGAAGAGCATCTTGAGGTAATTCCGCATTATGCTGCAGCTCGAGTGGAAGGATTCAGAGTTAGGAGGATGGTAAGATCTGCTTGGATCAGTGTCGCCCGGTGAGCCAAAGGAGCATCCTGTGGATCCCTAATGAAAGGATGCAAATGACAATATGGCCCTTCCTTGACTTTTGCAGATCGTAGCTCTACGCCATTCCCTCCTCCTCTCGCATCGTAGCGCCGAAATTAGCATACTCCTCCAAGCATTCCGGATTCCGCAAAGTCGCCGGGTTTATTGAGCTGATCGGAGATCCATTGATGACCTTCCGGATCGGCACTGATTCCCATGATGGTCAGCACACCGTTTGGTGATTCCCTTGCAGCAGCGAGATTTGCTCACCCTCCACACGTTTTCCAGTCAATGTGACTGGAACATCGCTGACTGCTAAGATCTTTGCAGGGACGTGTCTTGCACTTCGAGCTAAACGGATGGCCGTCTTGATCTTCTTGGTCAAGTCGTCATCCAATGCCTTGCCCTGCGCCATCTGTTTTATTGTCAGCCAGCACCCACAGGGGAGATCTGCCCCATATCGGCTTGACTCACCTTTACAAATAGGATGACCTTCTCATCGGCTCCCCCTTCCACCATCAGGCCAACGACCAAGCAGTCCTCGACCCCTTGACTAGCAAAGTCGTTGCTCTCGAGTACAGAGTAAATGTCCGTCGGACCGAAACGGATTCCACCGGGGTTCAGGACGCCGTCCGAGCGTCCCAGCATGACGACTCCACCTCCATTTCCACTACGCGAAGGAGTAATCTGTACACTGCGACAAGGATCAGTCACATCGAAAGCGAACCTGCAGAGTCTACCCACTAGTCCCCGTGGTCTGAACGTTTCCGGTCAGTTCGACTCCCAGTATGGAGCTTCGACCAGACTCACACCAAGTCCCTTGCTCATTTTTAAAGTAACTCTCTCTGAATCTCTTCTGAGCATCGGCAACTGCCTGCTCGTCAAACCCATATCCGGGTAACGGCCAGAAACCAAGAGGCTCGATCGGGAATGCCTTGTGGCATATGAGTTCACCCGGAGTGCCTGGTCCAGCACCTTCCACGTCCAGGTCACTGTCGCGTCATCAGGGTCGCCTCACGCCGGTATGTGAAGCCGACTCACAAACCGAGCATTCTCGATTGAATCTCGCCTCGATACACCGGCAGAGCAGTGTTCCGGCCCGCAAACACTGAACATATATCTGACCCGCCAGTGATGGAGCCTAGCAAGACGGCCGATTTCACATTCGAATAGACAAAGTCGAAGAGAGCCGGGGGTAGTGGTGAGCCCGTAGAGAGAATTTGGCGAAGTGTAGATAGAGAATGATTCTCCTTGACGTTGGGGTATGTTTTCTGGTAAACTCGTCAGCGGGATCGGCACTTTGAGGGCATCCAACTCACCGAAATGACTTCGAGCCACTTGGCAGAGGTACCAAATATAGTGATGCCTAGCTCATCCACCATCTCCCACAGTGCTGCTGCACGCTTTAGAGGGGAGCCCTCGTACAGCACGAGGGTAGCGCCTGTCGCGAGGCCGGAAATGAGGTACTGGAACATCATCCATCCGCTGAAGGGAGTGGTCAGCCCGAAGACCGGACGGCAGAGTCCAGGGCTGACTCACGGGGTTGTGTAGTAGAAATAGACGTCACCCCTCGTAATATCACCTTGAAGATGATGTTCCCTCAACGAGTCGATGAGCATTCCTCCAGCGCGATGCACGATGGCTTTGGGTTTTCCTACAGGACGTCGGCCTCAATCGAGCGAACGGAGATTCCGCAGACTTACCCGTCGTTCCGCTGGAGAACAGGACCCATATTGGGTCATTGAACCCGGTCTGCACAAACTCGATCTTTCCTGAATCGCTGCCCTCCTCTGAGTCTTGGATGAAATCCGTCCAGGGTAACGTGCTGGAATCGAGCTCCGCAGGCTTTTTACAGATGCCGTGTGGAAGATGATCTATGACGATGGTCTCTTTTGGCGGCTGTGAGAGTGAAGAATGGAGTTTCGGAATGAGGGGTAAGAGTGGACGGGGAGCTGCGCCGTACACCACTCCGTTGGTCACGAACAATAATTTAGGTCGGATCTGAGGACCATGTCAATCAGCGTGGCCCCGTGGCACCTTTTGGGTGCGGAAAACCACTCACCTGTTCCAGTCGCTCTACAACGCCATCCACACCAAAGTCTGCAGCGGCAGAACTGAAGACTCCGCCTAGCGAGGTGACGGCGAGCAGGACAACCACCGCTTCTAGACATGTGCCTCCCCAGAAAGCCACCCGATCGCCTTTGGTGACTCCGTGCGCTCTCATAGCCTTTTGAGCTTCCCTCACTAGCTCGTACAATTCCTTCTGAGTGACTTTCCGGGCTTCAGGCGTATGTCCAGGGCAAGGTTCCGACAGTGTGATGATAGCCACGTCGTCCGGATGAGCAATGTTCCTCAGCTGATTCTCCGCCCAGTTGAACGACGCGCCAGGGAACCATAAGGGGTTGGAGGAAGGAGGGACAGATTCATCGGTATATGGCTCTGAGCCTTTGGAGCCAATGACTTGTTCCCAGTCCCAAACTTCGCTCCAGAAGTCTGCTCGGTGATCGCATGACCAACGCCAAAGCTCTTCGTAAGATGATAGGGACAGTGAGTATTTGGAGTTGATGTGGTTTCGGAAGAGGGTAGATTGGGCCCGTTCAGGATGAGATGGACTCCATAGAGGTTGCGTATCGGCACTACTGCTCGCTGATGACTCCATGGTGGGATCCAAGGTTCGTCTGAGGATGATAGGTTTCAAGATGGAGTTGCTGGACATGAGTGACGCGAGACGGTTGCTCTCCGGCCGGATCATGAGCCGAGGAGAAAATCAATCCCGATTGTGGCAATGTGGCAGAGGTTGCCGGTTAACCGGTCGGGGCACTGTCTATGGTTGGAGGCACAAGTCTGCGTTCCGCCTGCGGTATACATGCCTCGCATCTATATTTGTAGAGAAAGGTGAGAGACGAGAGCGTCCATGTCATATTTCATGCACAGATATACGTCGTCCTCAAGTTGATGATCCCACACCCCTTCCAGTCACTTTTAGGCCTTCACTTGCACGGACTTTAAATACGGCTCGAGGTCATAGATAGTGGACTTGATAGCCTGTCCATATACGTTGTGGTGTGAGGGATGTAAGCCCGCCTGTCTTCTTTCAATCCCTGGGATGCGCCGTTTGGCAGGTCCGTGCAGAGGCGAGGGAAGGACGAATGCAAAGTTGGTATCGTGCCCGAGGTATCCTCTGGTAAGTATTTTATACGATATGATATTCTATCATCATTGCTCCGATCCGCTGTCCCGATATCGCTTGCCATCGAAACCACAAGCACAACTGCACTGTATGACGCGTTTGTCTGACGATTCTTCGAAAATCACAGATTTCGGGTATGCAACAGTTGGGCACACTCCCCGATGCAGTCTTTGGATGCATCGGCCAGGGTATGAGATTCAGAGTTTTCGGCAAAGTGCACATCTTGAGTCCGACGGATATCATCTCATGCCCGTGTATCTCGCAGCTCGCTCAGTCTCGTCAATGAGGCTTTCAACAATCCAACTCTACCCTCAGACATGATTTGCGATATTTTATCTAGATGGACGATCTCTACACCACGTGGAAACGCGAAGGACGCCAGAGCCTCATGGCCTTACATCAACCAGCAATGCTCAGCCTATCGAGCCCCTATCGTAGATCTCCCTCGACGCTACTTCCATGGATCGACAAGCATGTCGTCTCACATTGAGCCAATTGATGTACCTACCTCGGTTGTTCCTGGACCAGTTTTATTTCTGGACCGAAACTTTAATTCACCGCAAGCCGCTGAAACATTGATATTTCGAGGAATGGAAAGTACAGGAGAGTGGTGATGGGGTATCAAGGCATGGGCTTGCATGGGGCTAGTCGGAATCATGACCACTTCATCGTAGGCTCATATAGACGCTTGAGACTCCTTTTGCTCTTGTTGCTCTAGCGCATCTTTGGCCCCACCCCCCATTTGCAGCGGACAAAACATGAGGCCTTCGGTAAAATAAACGCCTAATAAAAATCAATAATTTCAAGAGAGGTGTTTCAACCACAACCCATCTTCAAGCGACCGACCGTGCTCACTACTGAACATCCTCCCACTCATCCCGCAGCACACCCTCGCGCATCGCATCCTCCGCCTGAGCTTACCCTCACACGATGACCACGCCCGAACTGAGTCACGGTCACCCCATGGCTGCCCCAGGGGCCCCAACCACTAAAGGAAATTACGATGAAGCACGTGAGTCCGCACGAGCTCGTCCTCGGGGGCCATCACGCAGACCTTTTCCAAAAGCTGACAGATATCGTCGATACTAGCCTATCACGTTAAGGACGAGTCTCAACCCGGATTTCCAGTCTACGATCGACCTCGAGCGAATCCTGCTCCTCTCGGTCTTTTCTCTTTCGCTTCCACAACGCTCCTCCTCTCCCTCATCAATGTCCGTGCTCGACATCTTACCGAGCCAAACATGGTCGTCGGAATGGCATTTGCTGTCGGAGGGATCGCCCAATTCGTAGCGGGTATCTTTGAGTTTGTCGCTGCCAACACGTTTGGAATGACCGCGTTTTGCAGGTGAGCGTGAACGAATGTCACTGGAAGATTCCCGGTTGACAGGGTCGGACCTCCAGCTACGGTGCATTTTGGGTATCCATCGGACTCATGTTCTGGGCGAGCAATGATCTCCCTTACCTTCCTGTTTGCCTCCGCTGAAGAAACACTAGCCCAGCAGCGGGATCCTCTCCGCCTACGAGGCAGACGCACTACCTGACGCTCTCGGCCTCTTCATGATCACCTGGTGCGTCTTCACGTTCATCCTCTTCCTGGCGACGTTCCGAAGTAGTGCAGGATTGGTGACCCTGTGTAAGCTAGGCCTCTCCACCATGATTCCCTCACTGACCCGCCTCAGTCTTCCTTTTGACCATGACGTTCTTGCTTCTCGCGGTTGGATACTTCCAAGATGCGAATGTGGCAATTATCAAGGCAGCCGGTGAGGCTGACCCCTCTGATGGGCCTGTGCTTTCACTCACATTTTGTATTCAGGATGTTTTGGCATCCTCACTGCGCTCACTGCGTACTACGTCGGCGCTCATGGACTACTGACCGCTGAGTCAGCTCCATTTTCCATTCCCGTAAGTTTGGTCATCCGCCTCAAGTGCCTTGCACAACCTGACACCTGCGACTTCAGAATCCCAGCTTGGCCACCAAAGCCAAGCTCTAAGCGGTCACCTCGCGAGCAGTCTCTCCAGGCAATGTTGTATTATAGAAATTTGCCTCTTCTCATTTACCCCCTTCGAAGCACTGTGCATGAAAACCTCCTTAATATGGTCTGCGCCTACTCCTAATCCCATCGTCGCGTATGCATGAACAAATGATCCCCTCGTCAGAAGATTCCTTCGTGAAAGGCTAACGGTCTGCAATGACCTGATACATGCAGCAAGAAGACTATCCGAAATGGGGAAGGGTAAATCAAATCGAAACAAGATGGAAGACCACAGTCTAGTGTCCGTGTGATTAACGAGATTTAGGTATATGAAAGGGGTCTAGTTTGCCAAGAGATCCTAGTGGTCTGACATCACTACAGAATAGCCACAACGGCACCGATCAAAGCCAACATGGCTCCCATGGCGGGCAGGGCTTTTGGCGAAGCTCCACCAGTGGTCTGGGCGGCTGTGACAACAGTGGGAGCGGATCCAGCGCCGGAGACGGAACCAGAGCCTGAGCCTGAGCCGGAGCCAGAGCCAGAGCCAGAGCCAGTGCCTGAGCCAGATCCAAGCCCTGATCCGGAGCCAGATCCCGATCCAGAGCCTGAACCTGATCCAGAGCTTGAACCTGATCCAACAGTTCCGGATCCTGCGGTGCTACCTCCAGAGGCGGCAGTAGCAGTAGCTGTAGCAGCCAAGGCACCATCTGTAGCTTGGTAATCTCCAGTGGCTGCGACTCCACCACCAGAAGCGGTCAAAACAGGAGCAACGTAGTTGTCTGTTAGACATAGAGAGTAGGGAGAAGGGGCAGGATCGTCAGCGGTGTTTATGCGATCGGACATTCCAGATGTAATTAGACAACTCACCGGTCACGGGCATGGGCAAGGGCACGGTTGTGAAACTCTGGTTGGCTCCAGGGTAGTTTTGAGCCTTGCAAGATGCCTCAAGGGTTTGCCAGTCACTCAATTGAGTGGCGCCAGTGTTCCCATTGGCGGTGTTGCAAGATCCACAGTTGTAGATGTTTTCAAGGTATCCTGCGTCGCCTGTTTGATTGGGTCAGCTTCATATCTCCTTTGTTAGGGGTCCTAAGGAAAATAATGACTCGCATTGACAAGCAACGTCTGACGTTTCACATGTGTTGAAACTACAGGCGAAGAAGCAGCTTTGGACAGCCTGAGGACAAGCAGTGACCGTGGAGGTCAAAAGGGCTCCGAGGGCCCCGGCATTGCTCGAGTCGAGACACGAGGCACACGACGCGGCATCGGATGGGAAGTCGTTACAGAAGCATCCGTAAATCTGAGTGGTGTCTCCAGCGAATTGGTTCTGAGAGAGGGAGAGGGCATGTCAGCTCGGGCGGTCAAAGCGATGTCAGAATGGCTTGGCTCACTTGACAGAGGTAGGCAGCCTCTAGAGTCACCGCACATTGCGACTGACACGCTGCGGGGATCTGTCGAGATGATCAGCGAGCGCTCAGACTCCTCGCTGGATGCTCAGACTCACATAGATCCAGTTTGGGGCAGCTTGAGACTTGACCACGGCAGCGCCGATGACAGCGGAGAGCACGAAGAGTCCAGAGGTGGAGAGCATGCCGTTGTGTGATCAGACGATGGGGAGGGGTCGTGTTCGAGGATTAAGAGAGTGTCTAGAGTTGACAAAGGAGTGTGAGCAGTGTGACGAAGAAGAGGGGAACGTGAGGATCAATATGAATGAATGAATATCAAGGAGGTGCCTCTTCTGTAAGAATCCAATGTTTACAAAGGATTAACGTGTGTTGCAGATGAACAGGAACGAGGATTCGATATGGATGATCAGTATGAGGTCAATGAATTATTACTCTGTTTTGGTGGCGACTGCCATAAGTTACATGACACGGTGACACGTACAGCTAAGACGACGAGCCAAGCCTATGTCAATATTGTACGAGATGTTGAAGTGGAGTCGGGGGTTTGGGCAACAGCTTGTCATGGCAAAAGCAGGAGGCGGAGGAGGTGTGTCAGAGGGCGCCACCACCATCGAAAAGGGTCGGTCAGCATGTCGTGATTGAGATGGAGGGTGAGGCCTGAAGGATGTAATCCCATGTTCGTGCCTCAAGAAGTGTGAGGATTCCCCAAGCGGCGTCTGTGCGAGCAGAGGTGAGGCGGCATGTATGGCCCAAAGAGGAGGGGGTCGGGGGGGATTCGAAGAACTGCATTTGACTGCAATGGATGGGTCAAAGACGTTGATTGATTGCATTGTTTTCTTGTGTTTTAAAAAAACGCCCCACATTCACTCAAAGACGTGTTTTGATTGATTTTTTTTTGGTTTGTTGACATGTTCATGGATAGCACGCGACGCGTCCCTCCCAGTGGGACGAGAGGTGTCATATGCAGTGTCGAAACGACAGCAGCAGCAGCAGCAGCTTCATGCAAATGTCATGGTAGATACAGGGAGAAGACTTGTGCCTCCAGGTCCCAGACTAATCAATAGGTCATCCCAAAGGTATCATCGGGTGGTAGACTTGGCAGGGAAAAGGGCATATAGCGGAGAACAGTGCTGAGCCGAGCTTGCTTCGGGTGACCATAATGTGTCGGACTCAAAAGACTCAAGTATGAATGAACCAAGTACCGGTCTGCAGCCCCGACTAGCGCTCGCTCTCCATTGCTCGCATAGCAGCTAAATCGTCCTGGTACTGTACAATATGCATTGGATTGCCACTGTCGGGACGCTAGAAGCTACTATCTGCCACATTCGGCGTTTCGGCGATATGATTTTCTCCCTCAAACGCTGCTTCCACTAGGATATAAGGGAGAGATGTTATTAAGATACAAAGAGCGCGACGGTGGAGGGGGCATTTTTGTTTTTCCCCCCGGCTACCCAAAACGCCTCTCATACAAAACCTGGCGAAAGTGGCACTTGATTGTGGCACTTGACCAGGCATCATGTCTTTCAGGTGAGTCGGGTGCTGCTTCCTGATGATGATGATGCATCGAGGACACTCACTGACACGGTCCCTCTCACCCAGACAAGACAAACTTGTCCTGCTGCTGGAGACCGGTACCTCGTCCCAAGTCCGTCAAACAGCAGCGAAACAATTGGCTGAACTGGTCATCAAGACATTTCGAGCGACGCTGGATCCTAAACGAGAGAATGAAGGAACGTCCTCCGAAAATCAGTCCAACACCATGACTATCCATGGTCAAGTGAACGAAGATGACGCTTGGAATCAAGTCCTCGACACCATCTCCAAAATCTTACCCCTGCTTCAATCCAAATCGTCAGATGCGAGGTATGCAGCGTCCACCGCGCTAGGTCTATTAGCCAAGTCCTTGCCCGAGTATACACCCATACATCCAATCGCGTCCTCGAGTACATCTCAAGCCATAAACTTGCATGCTCTCTTAAAAGATGGTCAATTGTTGCTCGCTTCCGCAGGAAGAGAATACATCGCCAAAGTCTCCAAAGCCGATCGAGCGAAAAGGAAAAAGGCAATGATGGGGTCTTTGGGTCTCGGCGGAGGAGTCGGATGGGGTGAAGATGTTGACAAGGAGATAGGTGATGAGGAAGAGGAGGATGGAGACGCGGAAACTGGAGTGAATGGTGAATCTGCGGAGAGGGTCGAAGCCTCAACATCGGATCCGTTCGAAGGTCTGAGTGCAAGACAGATCACCATGCTCAAGAGGAAAAAGGGGAACATTGTGGAAGAGGCCAACAAGTGGGTCCTCTTTTGACCATCATAGTCTGACATTTGTTGCAGACTTCGTCGGTTAAATCAGGCGAATAGTGCTGGTCCACCTGGATCAACCCAATCTTCAAACACCTCCACGCCAGGTGCCACGACGCCGATAGATACCGACAAGCCAGAAAGCGTGATCATAGATCCAGGTGCTAAAGCGAGAGCAGCTGCTGCATCCACACCAGCATCCACTTCTGGAGGAGCCATCGAAATCTCCTTGGACAATTTTGATGCGGATGGAAATCTCATCGCTGAGTCATCCAAACCAACATTGGTTCTCAGCCCTGGGACCACACCATGGACTTTGACCATCTGCACCCTCTTACCTCGACTGAACGACCCCATGTGGCAAGTCCGACACGGTGCAGCTCTGGGCATCATGGATCTCCTGCGTCATGTAGGCGCTTCGCTCTCATCTGATCTCCTGTTAGAGCTCGGTCGATCTCTACTGTCTCTCTTGGCGATGGATCGTTTCGGCGACTTCGTAGGAGATACCGTCATTGCTCCCGTGCGAGAGACTGCAGCTCAAGCGCTCGGTGTCCTGCTCAAGTATTTGGTGGACCCAGAGACTATATCTGAAGTTCATGGGACCCTTATGGAGATGATCAGACAGTCTTGGGCGAAGCGTGGAAAGGCTGCTGAGGGTCTCGGGCGAGGTGATAAATTCGCCTGGGAGGTGAGGCATGCGGGACTCTTGGGAGTCAAGTATGAAGTTGCTGTGAGGGGAGACCTGCTAGGACCATCCAAGGTCGAGGCCGAAATGGTCAAAACGGAGGATGTCAAAATGGAGGACATCAAGCCCGATATCAACGGGGACGGTGCGACTAATGGCAATGGGCCACACGGAAAAGGCCTGGACATTTTGCATGATGTCGTCGATGCCGCGGTCTTGTCGTGAGTCCGAGGAAGCAGTCCACTCGCAGAGGCTGACACCCCGCACAGGATGACAGATGTAGACGATGACGTGAGAAGCGTCGCGGCTTCGGCTCTACTCCCGATCACTGGCATCCTTGCTCGGTCCTTGTCATCAGAAGAGCTCGGAAGCCTTTTGACGACCCTCTGGGGATGTCTGCAAGGGGGCAGCGACGACCTTGGGAGCAGCACTGGAGCTGTCATGGAACTCTTGTGTGAGTCCTCATACCCTCATTTGTCTGCCTTAGCTGACCATGGTCTCCAGGCGAGATGTTCACCCATGATGCCGTCATGAATATGACTTCCGCTCAGACTGACTACTTTTCCCGCCTGTTCGCCTTCATCCGACATCCTATCTATTCAGTCAGACTGTCCGTGGCCAAGATGCTCCATGTCCTCGCTACTGATCCTCGACTGGCGCCACGGACGAAATGGATGCAAGAGTCTTTTCCGTGTCACCTGTATCAAAATCTGATACTGGAGGAGCGATCCGACATTCGGGCATTGTGTCTCTCAGCACTACGAGCGGTGTTACAAGACACTCGAGCTGAAGCTCGATTTGACATGCTGGAAGATCACCTCGAGGACTGGTACGGGCTCGCCATGACACCTATCGGAGTTTCAATAGACGAAGGGCTACTGTACAAGGCTCAGGGAAACAGGACTGGACATAATATCGACAAGCCCTTGATCGCTGGAGATTTGTCACTCGTGCCCGCGGAAGCAGTCATGGAAAGGCGTCTGGACGCTGCAAAGGCGCTGGCCCTCTTCAGGCTGTACGAATCCGACGAGGTGAGTGGTTTGACTGTAGTGGTCCTTGCTGGGCTGACATGAGACTAGGACATGACATTCTTGCAACGGTATCTTGGGTCCAACTCAGCGCATCAGACCTTCATGGCGACTGTCATCATTCAAGAGTGGGTCGCTCAGATTACTGCTGGATATGTCAAATCTGAGACAAATGGACATGAAATCAAAGACGAAATCAAGCTGGAAGAGTCAGCCGTGTCGACCGTGTTCGACATTGAAACGGCCAGACCACTCGTCAATGTCTTGATCGCCCGAATAGAGGCGCCGCCACCTTCGACTTACTACGAAATGGATGTCAACCTCCAGCGAATACACAAAGAGTGTCAGGCCCTGCTGAACGCTTTCCATGTGGAAGCCAAAGTACCAAAGGCCAAGATACCTGCCTTGCCGCTCAAGGGCTTCACCTTGGCAACTGCCCAGAATGTTGTCACTGAGCATGTGGACCTCTTGTCTCGCACACTCTCTACCCCTCTCGCCAAGACGATATTGCCGGGCTTGAAGGATCGACAGCGCAAAGTTATGGGATCGATCGGATTCTCCAGTATCATGAAAGAGCGCTATGATATCATGGTCGCCGCCGGAGTCGCTGGAGCGCTCATTTCCATCGGCCAGATGCCAACAAAGATAGGACCCGTCATTAAAGCTGTCATGGACGGGGTGAGGAAAGAAGAGATGGAGGTCATCCAGATCCGAGCAGCGAGGTCAGTCGCTGGATTCGTCGCCTATGCCTATTCACCTCGATTTGCTGGCAAAGTCAATCCTGTTGACAAAGTCGTCAAGAATCTCTTCACATTCCTCAACCAAGATACGAGCATGACCCCAGTGTTCAATCCTGCGATCGATACCAATCAGATCATATCCCTCAGCGAGGACAAGCCTGCGTCTGTCACACGCGCTGCTGGAGGTGTCACCGTCGCCGAAGAGACGGAAGAGCAGATCTTGATGCGCGTCACTCGCCGCGGAGCGCTTTACGCGTTTAAACGTCTGGCGGATGAATTTGGACCCCGGCTATTCGATACTGTTATCAAGGTCTGGGAAGGTCTCGCATCGCCTCTGAACGTGTTCTCTACTGCGGATCCAGAAGAGGTAAACAAGCAATTACTCGAGGGTCAGAACGGGCAAAATGCCATTGACGCCTTGTCTTCCTTGCGTCTCACTGTACCGTATCTGGACCAATCCCTGCACGATCAACTATCGGACCTCTTCCCCTTGGTCATCTCGGCCCTCGGGAGTTTTCATCCGCAAATCCGGAACGCAGCTGCGAAGTGTATCGCTGGCATGTGCGATTATATGACTGATCAAGGTATGAGACGAGTAGTTGATCATATCGTTCCTATGGTCAGCGATGCCAAACAGGTCTGCTCTCGACAAGGGAGCGTTGAGGCTATACACCATATCATCAAGGTCTTGGACATGAAGGTCTTGCCGTATATCCTGTTCCTGATCGTGCCTGTCCTTGGACGGATGAGTGATCCGGATGAACCAACAAGACTACTGGCCACGAGTACATTTGCTCAGTTGATCAAGATGGTCCCACTGGAGGTGAGTTTCGAGATCAACAAGCTGGTTGAGGAGGAGTATCCGACTGATACCTTCAGGCTGGTCTTCCCGACCCTCCCAATTTCTCTACGGAGCTTCTCGCTAAGCGTGATGAAGAGCGCGCTTTCCTCATGCAGTTGCTAGACGGGAACAAGGCCGAACAGTACGAGATACCTATCAGCATCAAGGCGGACTTGAGACAGTATCAACGCGAGGGAGTTAGTTGGCTGGCTTTCTTGGCCAAATACCAGCTTCATGGGATCCTGTGTGATGGTGGGTGGCGTAACGTAGACTGTTCCGCTGACTCGCACAGACATGGGCCTAGGGAAATCTCTCCAATCCATTTGTATCGTCGGCAGTAAGCATCATGAAAGAGCAGCAAGACACAAGTCCTCGCCGTCACCCGCAACGGCCCATCTACCCTCTTTGATCGTTTGCCCGCCAACTCTGACTGGACATTGGTACTATGAGATCCTGAAATTCACCGACGATCTCAAGCCGCTGCAATATGTCGGGTCAGGTGGAGAACGAGCGGCTCTGCGACCCAAGATCAAAAGCGTCGACGTCGTGATCACATCCTACGAGACTGTGCGATCAGACATCGAAGAATTGTCCAAGATCGATTGGTTATACTGCGTTCTGGACGAAGGACACATTATCAAGAATGCAAAGACCAAGCTATCAGCAGCGGTGAAAAAGCTCAAAGCTCAACATCGACTCTTATTGTCCGGTACGCCGATCCAGAACAACGTGCTGGAATTGTGGAGTTTATTCGACTTCTTGATGCCTGGATTCCTTGGCAGCGAGAGGGTGTTCAACGATCGATTTTCAAAGCCTATCCTTGCTGATCGAGAGGGGAAAGCCACGCCGAAGGAGCGAGACGCAGGTGAGTTTGTAACTTGGCACTAGGTATGGATATGTCCAGCTCACGTAAATTCACAGCTGCGGCGGCTCTGGAGGCTTTGCACAAGCAAGTCTTGCCGTTCCTTCTCCGCCGACTCAAAGAAGATGTCCTGAATGACCTACCACCCAAGATCATCCAGGACTACTATTGTGATCTCTCGCCTGTCCAGAAAGCGCTATACGACGAGTTTTCCAAATCCCGCGCCGCTGAAGAAGTGGGTGAAGAGGTGACAGGCGAGGACGGTAGCGGAGGACAGACCCACGTCTTTACGAGCTTACAGTACCTGCGCAAACTCTGCAATCACCCTTCGTTGGTCGTTCAAGGTCATGAAGATTGGCTCAAAGTCAAATCCAAGGTCCCTGACGCTCTACCCCTCACGGACATTTCCAACGCTCCGAAGCTCGAGGCTTTGCGTCAATTGCTCACGGATTGCGGGATAACTGGTTCAAAGACGGACGAATCGACAGGAAGTCAACATCGAGTGTTAATCTTTTGTCAACTCCGGACCATGTTGGACATTATCGAATCGCATCTCTTCAAACCTTTGATGCCTCACCTGACTTATATGCGAATGGACGGCTCGACCGAACCTCGAAAACGACATGCCGTGGTTCAGACATTCAATGCAGACCCCAGGATTGATGTCCTCCTCCTGACTACGTCTGTGGGAGGTCTCGGATTGAATCTCACGGGAGCGGATACCGTCATCTTTGTCGATCACGATTGGAATCCTATGAAGGATCTCCAAGCTATGGATCGAGCGCATCGGTTAGGTCAGAAAAAAGTGGTCAACGTCTATCGATTGATCACCAAGGGAACGCTGGAAGAGAAGATTATGGGATTACAGCGGTTCAAGCTCAATATCGCAAGCTCTGTCGTGACTCAACAGAACGCAGGGTTGGGCAGTATGAACACTGGCGAAGTTTTGGATCTGTTCAAGGTCTCCAGTGAACCTGTACAAAAGGCTGCTAGCGCCAGTACAGTTCCAACGTCCGCGAGTAAGATCCTCGAAGGGTGGGTCTCGACCTGAACCATGTGACACTTTCAGACTGACTAATATACTGCGTAGACTGGAAGACCTGCCGCCCGAAGACGAGTACTCCGAATTGTCGATGGCAAATTTCATGAGCAAGATATAGACGGTGACATGTCCGGAGTCATCGCGTTGTACATTTTCATCCCCGATCGAGGAGAAAAGAGGACTGGTCAGAGTGGGACATGTATGTATCAGTTTCTTGAGTGGAACGACATGGCCACAAAGATGTCGAGAGGCTCCTTGATCCACTTTGGGTGAATATGCTGCTACATTGGTTGGCACGAGTCGTTCTATAGTGTTGACTGCAGATACACTATGCAGTGTGCGACGATAGCGAAGCGCATCACGCAGCACTATCCGTCGCCCGCTGTCCACTGCCTCCCGCCGCACTTCCATCATTGCCTTCCAATAGTGCTGTTCGTTCGTCCGCCCTTTCCTCCGGCATGAGGGCCTCAACTTCTCCGATGGGAACACGTTGATCTCGTGGGATAGTTTGACCTTCGGGAACAGGGACCACACGGCCTGATTTGGATCGCTTGTGTCTCCTAGATTTACGTGCAGATGTACCTGCTGCCCAGCTCTTGCCCCTGCGCGCAGCTAGACCCGTAAAGGTGAGCATTGCGGCTGCAACAGCAGAGACGATCGCGGAAATGACGCCAAATGTGAATGACGAGTCTGACGAGGGAGAGACGATCAGTCGTGTATCTCCCCAGCGTCGTCAGAATGACTCTGCACCTACCTAGATGCGTGTTCTTAGCGGCAAATCTGTCGTCTGTTCTGAATACGTGGAGGACCAGAGAGATTTCCAGTAATTGAAGGTTGCAGTGCAGGAGCATGGCACCGGAAACGAGCTTCCAAGCGTGTCGTCTAGCCCTCGCTCGTGCGGTCCGTTCACCTCGCTTCAGGAAAATGAACAACAGACTGAGCAGTGACAAAGCACAAGGGAGAAGACTGAGTTGAGCAGAGTACCCAGAAGTACTCCACAAGACGCAGAACTTCTCACCAAACTCGGCACATTCAGATCTGCATACACAAGTGTCAGCGCAGGACCAAGATCTTCCAAAAAAAAGAGAAACAAAAACAAGGCAACACGTACCGCGAGGGGAAATCCTGACATTGCCACCCTTCTCCTTCTCCATCTGTTACAGGTGCGTCATTTTCTTCGATTCGAGCTTGTACTTTGAAATTTGGGTCGGGAAGAGGATGAGATGGCCATAGGAGAGTACTGTTAGGGGTTTGCGACTTTCTTGTACATCTGTCGCAGGAATGTCAGACATCAATCGGGTATAAGTTATGGCAACCAAAGGAAGAAAGGTATGAGGGTGTTTCAGAGCAGAGAGTCAATTCACCTCTGATAGAGCCCATATCTGAGGAGCGGTGATCAGCATGACCTCGAGGGCTACACCTACTTCGTCTCGAAGTCTAGTGGGCCCTGATTCCTTAGCTTGACATGGATCAAGTCGGTTCCCTAGCGGTGGTAAGTCGTAAATCAGCATCATCGGGTAAAATAATAATGGCGTGGGCTAGCTCACGTAAATGTTCAACAGCGTCAAAGCTGTAGCGGCGATCAGGAAGACGAGGGTGATCCAATACGGCGTCTTTCTCAACGAATGCTTGTAGACCCTGTTCCTCTCCGCTACGTCTGGCCCGAATGTAGTCCGTTGATTAGGCTTGGCTGGCATGTTCGGATCAGGAAGTCCAAGGCAGGGTGGGGGTTTCACCTGATGTGACGGTCGGTCAACCGCAGTGCAGCTGAGTCGTGCGACAGATGAAGACTGTGACAGTAGGAATCTTCAATTGGCTGTGGATTCCTGCGTGTAGTCCCTCGCGCAAGAATATCGAGATTGAAGCCTATGAGAGGATGAGAAAGAGTGTAATGACGAACGGCAGCGGAGTCTCGGAGAAGGCTGCTGAGGTTCAGGTCACGTGATTTGTGTTTTTGGGGGAGATTTCGCGCGAACCTATGAGCTACCTGACACGATTGTGTTATTGTTCAGTCTCGACATCAAGAGACTACCGCAGCGATGGCTTCCCAGGCAACGGCGACCGACAAGGCGAGCAAGAAAGCTCGATTCGAGCAAGTTTTCACGGACAGATTGGTCCAGGAGCTTGTAGAGCATGTCAGAGTGGACCATGAGATGCCGGAGGAAGCCACAAAGTGGTACGAGAGGGTGAGTAGGAGGGAGGGCCCAGGCACTCCGATGACAGCCGTGTTCCTCTGACGTTGGGGGGGGTCAGAGTTTACTTTACAACACGGTAGGAGGCAAGGCAAATCGTGGAATGTCAGTGGTGGACACTGTCGAGATCTTGAAGGGGGAAAAGTTGTCAGAGGAAGAATACTTTGAGGCGAGTACGCTCGGATGGTGTGTCGAGCTGGTAAGTGACCCAGTAGTGGAATCAAAGACGGCCAAGCTGAGACTTCTGCCATTCAGTTGCAGGCGGACTTTTTGGTGAGCTTGGTGGACAGGATCTATGCGCTCGGACTGGTTTGTAACGGAGCGCTTAGGTCGCGGACGACATGATGGATTACAGCATTACCAGACGAGATAACCCATGTTGGTATCGTGTCGTGAGTGGTTCTCGGTCCCCTCGTCCTGGATATGCTCCTGAGAGCTGAAACGTCTCCCACTAGGAAGGCGTAGGAAACATTGCCATCAACGATGCGTTCATGCTCGAAGCTGCTATTTACTTTTTGTTGAAGAAGCATTTCCGATCTAGAGCATACTACATTGACTTGGTCGAACTATTCTTGGAGTCAGCCTCGCAGACTATGAGCGGGCAGCTCTTGGATCTCTTGACCGCTCCGGAGGACTCGGTGGACCTGAACCGGTTTTCTATGCAAAAGTGGGTGTTTAGTCCCACTTGATCCACAGTCGAGGAAACAAAGCTGACTGGCGCTCAGATATGACCGAATTGTCGTTTACAAGACTGCGTACTATTCTTTCTACCTCCCAGTCGCCCTCGCTATGCGAATGGCAAGTTTTACCTGTTGGATCGTTGCGATCACCACTGACGACAAGCTTCCAGAGCGGAATCACCAACGAGCAAGCTTACAAGGTCGCCCTTGATATTCTGATCGAGATGGGTCACTATTTCCAGATTCAGGACGATTATCTGGATTGCTTTGGTACACCGGAACAAATTGGAAAGATTGGATGTGATATTGTTGTGAGTCTCACTGGACCCAGACGTCGCATGGCCAGTCTCGCTCACGGCGAGCGCGCAGGACAACAAGTGCAGCTGGTGCGTCAACACTGCTCTCTTGCACGCCACTCCGGATCAGCGCAAGATCCTAGATGTGAGCCCTGGATTGACGGTCTTACGGTACGCGATCGGTTCTGACTATATGATCAGGAGAACTACGGCGTGAAGGATTCTGCAAAGGAGAAACGAGTCAAAGAACTCTACGTGCAAGAGCCCATCTCTCTACCTCAGCGATTCGAAAAATTCGAGACGGAGAGTTACCAAAAGCTGTCAAGCATGATTGATCAAGTAGATGAGCAAGGCACAGGGATGAAGAAAGAGGTCTTCCATGCCTTCTTGGCGAAAGTCTACAAGCGCAGCAAGTAGATGGATAGGGAACGAGGGAGACGACAGGCCATCTCATGGGCTCTTCCCCACCGGTCTTCACATATGCATAGAAACATTAATTGATGGGACTGTGTGCTTGCAAACTGTAGTCGACACACGTTTGACGAATGAGACGTCGTCGTCAGATGTCATCTCGTCGTGCTCGTCCACGATAAGTACTCTGTATCAACAGTGCAGACTTCCGTTTGATCCTGGCTCGGATTCGAACGCGATCCAGAGATTATCCAGCAAACCGACTGAGGCCTCTCATTGCTGCTTGCTCACAGACACGACCCTTTCAGGCGTCGAACAACGGACTGTGCGTGATGGCAGCCGCTATCGGGGTCGATCCAGCTGTCAAGCCCGCGTCGACAGGCAGACAAATCCCGGTGATGGCGGGTGAAGTGTCCAAGAAAGCCACTGCTTTGGCGATATCCTCCGGGACGATCCTCCTCTTTAAAGGGTACCATTTGATAATGTCGTCCATGGCTTTCGGGTTGACCTTGAGTCTCTCTGTCCATGCACCCGTGATGACTGTCCCAGGTAAGATTGCGTTTGCTCTGATGCCTAGTCCTCCCAATTCAATCGCCATGCTCTTTGTGAGGGATATCAGACCAGCTTTTGCGGCGCTATAAGCTGGATTGCCGACACAGCTCATGACACCATTGACAGAGGCGATATTGATGATATTGACGTCTGTCGGATGATCCCTGAAAGAAGACTCGAACGAATGAAAGACCGTGAAGGAGGCGTCCAGATTCAAAGCCACCTCGGATCGCCAGCTAGAAGGAGTCGTCTCGTGTAGGGTATCCTTGTCCGCGTGTCCAGCATTATTGACCAGACATTTGACACGTCCAAGCTCAATTATCTCCTTGGAGACTCGCTCAACTTGTTCTGGACATGTAATATCGCAGATCCACGTACTCGTCTTGTCCTTACCGATCTCTTCAGCCACGATATCCAAGCGAGATTGCTCGAGATCCAGCAGAGCGACGTGGTATTTTTTGCTCAGCTCCAGTGAGATCGCTCGACCGAGACCTCCGGCCGCTCCAGTGACGACGGCAATAGAGAGCATCGTGTCCTCGTGCGATGGACGACAGAAGAGGTCGAATGTATAGATGCACTTGTCAATTGATATCTCTGTCCCCCACCGTACGTCGCTTGGCTGAACGAGTGGGCGGAGAGTGGGGGAAACCCGACAGACCGGACATCTCAACAGATCTGCCATTCGACAATAGGAATGCATATGGATGCGGCTGGATTGGCATAGAGAATAGTGCTACCTAGCCCATCAATCGCTCCCTAGGGCATGGCCGTCCAGTCTCCCCAGGGATGGTATATCCAACTCGGCTTTCTAGCGCTTCGCCGGATCCCTCACGCTCTCTTCCCTCTCCTTCGTCTAGCTTGGCTTCATATGTATCACTCTCAGCCTCAGCACCTTTAATCTTATCGGAAGGATCCACAGTGACCTGGAGAGCATCGGATCCTTCCTGTTACCCTTTACGGTCCGGCCCGTCTGTGTCGGAGCCGGCTGCCGGACGAACGAGATTCAGCAGTCGAAGAAGGAAGTCTGCTCGACTCTGTTCGATTTTGGGATCTTGAAGCTCCGTGATAACATGCGCCAATTCTTCAGGTTCTAGCGAATCCGATAGAGGCAAAGACCCGAATGGCATGTCGATGGAGGCCTGAGGTCCAAGAGAGGGACCGTAGAGCCGGGACACGGCAGGATGCATGGTGAGAGCGTATAAGCCACTGCCGGGTTTGTGCTCGGTGGACATGGAATGCTCTCGGAGGCGAGCAATCCGACCGATTGAGCGATGATAGACCTGTGAACAGCGAACGAGTATCGGACCGGTTGCAAGTCCGAGTCGAACAGGGGTCCGCATGAAGAATGTTGATCAGAGGTGAAGGTATTTGACCAAATCACCAATATCGAACGCGGTTAAGAATGTGGAGGGGGTTGCCCGTACACGTTCGACGTTGGCTCTCCTTTGTCTTGACTCCTCTTTGCCGATGAAAGGATGGCTTTGGGCCGCCATCGGACGACTCACGACATCTAGGAGAGACGAGCTTCGGGAAAAGGTCGACGAACTCAAACGCGGAGGTGTTGCCGAATGTCCAAGAAGGGGTTATCAGTCTCCACTTCACTGCCATCCTCCGAAAGCGATGTCAAGAATCCCTCGAACGATGTTCGGTGCTCTGAAGCCTTAGGTGGGGTCAGCCTAGGCGTCGGTAACCATTCAGAAGGCAGTTTCTTGACCGGCGTCGTAAAGTCGCTAGAGCTGTCCTGAGCTGATTTGCTCTTCTTTGATTTGGCACTGGACAGAGATTTCGGGGTGGCGGGCGCAGTTTTGCGCTTCTTCGGCGTGACCGGATCGATGACATATGCTAGATTGGCGACGTACTTTGTCACGAAATCCTGTACATCCCCTCGGACGAAGACATCGAATACGTCTTCCCATTCGGCGGCGGTAGGTTTCGGAGGCTCGTCATTCACAAAGACGGTCTTAATCTCTGTACCGGGTCGAGATTGTAGACTCTTCGCCATCTCCTTGACTATCCGCTTGACTCCCAGGATGGACAGAGAAGTTCCACACACGAGCAGGAAATCTACCCGTCCTTCTCTCGCAACTTTGGATCCCGTCCCTTTCAGATCTCTCTCCACGACCTGACCGATCTTTTCACCTTCTGGATGTTCTTCTCCATACAAAACGACAGATGGTCGGAGGGAACCGGATTTGCGAGGCCTTTCAGCGAGGGCTGTGCGGATACTCGAGGCGTCTTCACACGCTGGACAGGGGATCGGCCCGGTGGGTAGAGGAAGATAGTCGTACAGTGGCACGGAGGTAGAGCAGACTGGACAATGGAGTGAAGAGAGCGTGCCATGTAGAGGGATGGCGCGATATGGGCGGGAGACCGATGCATGTTGAGTGAAGGACGGTGAATCTTCCTCGGGGGTGGTGGATGGCGGCCGAGATGGAGAAATTGGCGGAGAAGCCGGGGTCAGGTTTGGCTTCACCCTCGCTTTCCGGGGGGAAGATCTGGGAAGTTCCGGAATTCCCAGTTCCAGTCCGGCCTTGGCTTCGAGAAGATCAATGTTCTGCGTGTAGACGCGAAGGAGTCGACCTTCGTCATCGAGAGCCTTGAGATATCGATGGAAGCCAGTCGGTTGAGTCGATAGGCTCAATGATGCGAGTTCAGTCATGAGTGCGTGATGGTGCGGTAAGAGAGATTCAGACTGGGATCGCACTTGTCAGCAAAACGCTAGGTAAATTCAGAGGTAGACACTCGCTGAGAGACACTTGACGTGGAACAGATCTTTGAGCGTATGCTGCGTGTTCTTGCCTTTGCTGCGATGGAATAGACCTGAAGATGATCTAAAGTCGGGAATAGAAGCTGCTGTAGATACTCCGGCACCTAAGCGAAAGCGTCAGTCTCGCCGTCGATGAAGAATGGATCGGCGGACATGACTCACCACATATGACGACGATTCGTTTGGAATTCCTCATCTTCTGTACGACCTGCTGCATGACGCTGGTTGGATGTGGGGAAAGGGTGCCGAAAGTCGATCTAGATGAGCCAGGAACAGATGATGATAGGTTCACTTCGTCTGTATTAGACGGATCGAGATGGATGAGTACAGTCATGATGGCGGGGAAGAAGAAAGGAGGTGCAATTGAGGTCGAAGAGGTCGAGTACGATGCGATGTCCAGGAACTCCAACCCTATCCGTCAATTCTGATGTTACAACCGAGCAGCAGTCTTGAATACAAAGAGAGACAACAGGCGCTGGTCTATACTACACTGATAATTCAGACACTGAATCGAGGATGATGGGGTGGATGAATGAACGAGGGATAGCAAAAATCCCATGTTCAGGTTTTAGAAATTCGGACGGTGGCGGCGATCATCTGGTCCCGCATCCGCCTGTCTAGCCCGTTTTGATTAAGACCCGCCATGAAGATACATGCAAGTGCGCGTCGAGATCATCGTCTGCTCTTGCCCTCCCCTACTCGCTTCATCAAGACTTCCGTGGCTGTCCTCAGAGAATGGATCTCTTCTGGCGTAGCGGCACTGCAAGCTGCCCAACGAATCTTGCAATTTGGGTCGACAAGGTAGACATAGCCAACAATCTTGTTACTGTACCCCAGGGGCATACTGATCTGTCAAGGGGCCGGCCATATGAGTGCCAGATGCACGGACAGACGGACTAATACTCACATCCAGCGGACTCCACTCGCCCCTTGATAGCATATACGATGACCATCTGTCTTCTGGAACTTGGCTTTTCAGAGTCGAAGAGAACAAGCCGACAAGTATGCCTTTGAGTTGATTCTCTTGATGATTGATCTGTGACACTGTCAGAGACTACTGGCGTTGAAAGTCGTAGTGGCTCACCTCGACATAGTTGAATCCCTTTTTCCCCGTTTGGTCCTGTAATACAGGTTCCACAAATCGTTTCACTTGCTCCTGGAGCGATTCATCAACATGCTGCCTCTAGCTTCCCGCGATCATTCAAAAACCCCACCTCAGCGACCTTTGTACTGACAAAAGCAACGAGCGTGACCTTGCCCTCACATAGTTCAGTCGTGTTGATCGATTGGCCGAGAATATTGTGTCCAGCTATATTTGGTAGGTAGAGAGCGCTCTGCCACCGTCAACGATGAGTGACCCTACCAGCACTGTCTGCACTCACATCCTCTCGTATCAGTACTTTCGGCGCCATCCAGCCCTTTGCACTATTCGCTTTCGAGGCGCGATTAAAGTCGTGAAAGTATCCCTTGCTCACTTCTCCGAGCCTACAGCAGCCAACTGTCAGTCAAAATGCCCTCACAGCGGCTGAGTACGACATACAGATACGCCCTCTGTTCTTTCTTTCTATCCATACTGTTATCTACCTTTTGATACGTCTTCGAACTCGCTACTGGCCTTTCGAGGGATCCCAGCGGTCGGGACAACTCTTTGATTTCCGGCGGGTTACCTTTACCTTTGGACGTGGAGGATGAAGAGGCTGTGGAAGGTGAAGAAGACGGATCGGGGCTCGGCGTGAAAGCCGAGACGGATGCGAGAAGAGCATCACCATCATATTTTGTACTATACGCCCTGGTTGACATTCCAGATGTTGTCCATCCACATGCGCTCCAAAAACATGAGTGACAGTCGAAAGTGTGCTGTCTCTTGCTGGATTTTCCGGCCACCGACGACTTGACAGGAGCTCTCAGGCTGCCATTTGAGCCTTTCAGTGACCTCGCCAGAGCTTGCCCTCTCATGGTCGCTGTCCATATGCTGCTCTCCTGACCATTGAACACGTTGGAAATTTCAGAAACCGTCCAACAATCTCCCGCTTATGTAATGTTTCCCCCCCCCCCCCCCCCCCCTGTATGCCGTCTTGAAATCTTGCCGTGGCCTCAGGTCTTCCATCTTGCCAAGGCTAGACAATTACAACCTCTCACCCGAGACGAGTGTCAGGACGGCTCGCCCGGGATCCGTTGAGCCAACATGAGACTCCCAAAATCCACCGCATTGCGGTCATCAACTTTGATCCGACCTTCAACCTCTAGTCCCTCTCTCATTGTCCGAGCCAACTCTTCCATTCACCGACCGTCCCTCGTCAAGAAGAAGCCTCCTTTACCTACTCCGACAATCACCGAGTTTCCAAACAAGCTTCGAGTCGCGACAGAGCCATTAGATACGCCTGGATGCTTTGTCGCTGCTGTCATAGATGCCGGTACACGGTACGAAACGGAGAGAAATTCAGGTGTGACTCATCTGCTCGAGCGTCTGGCATGGAACGTGAGCTCAAGTCGGGCCTCAAGCACGTCAAGGCAGACGCTGATGAAAGGCTCAGAGTAATTCGAAATACAGCGCAGAGACCATGGAGCTGGCATCTCAACAGCTCGGAAATGGAATGATCGCATTGTCTGGCCGAGATACAGTCCTGTACGGCGCTTCGACATTTCTGAAAGAGCTTCCTCTTGCCGTCTCGCTCCTAGGATCCAATATTCGTTCGCCCCTCTTTCTACCACACGAAATTGCAGACGCGAAATCGGCAGCACTATACGAGCACCAATTGTTGGAAGAACAACCTCGATTAGCACTGGGCAACTATATCCTCGAGACGGCGTACGATGGCAAGACTGTCGGCCGACCGAGTCTTTTAAGTCCAGAGTCGGAGAGTCGGATAGGCGAAAGGGAGCTCAGAGGATATATGAAAGACTGGATAAGACCTGAACGGATGGTCATTACGGGTCTTGGGGTAGATCACGATCAACTCGTCGAATTGGTCAAGGAGAATTTTGACACGTCGGCTTCTTCCAGTTCGACATTCACCCATGCTGCTTCTAGACCAGCTTCCGCGTCAGCTCTCGGCAAGAGCTACGCGACAGTCTCCAACGTTTCCGATCTGTCACTTGACTCAGACTACGAAGCGCTGGTCCATGAAAAGGCGAAGTACGTCGGAGGCGAATTGTACAAGGAGATCCCGACGGAAGAATGGACCCACCTTGCCATTTGCTTCGAGGCCCAGAACTTTAATCATCCCGATGTGGTGAGGAGGGATCCATCTTAGTGGTTAGGCTCCTTGCTGATGGTCTGTTGTCAGTACGCTGCGGCTCTGCTACAACAATTGTTACTCCGAGGTTCCGCCTTTTCCCCCGGAGGACCTGGAAAAGGCATGTTCTGTCGATTGAACGAGAATATTCTCCAACGGTACCACGCGGTGGATCACTGCGAATACATCCATGAGATCTTTACCGATACCGGATTAGCAGGTATCAAGATTACACTGAAACCTCATATGGCGCCACAAGCTGCGGATCTCATCTGTAGAGAGTTGGAAAAAGTCACTGGCAAGACGAAAAAGGACATCACAAAGGAACAATTTAGTCGGGCGAAAATGATGCTCAAGTCGACATTGGCGAGAGCAGTAGAGGGCAGGATTCTGTCCGCAGAGGGTGAGTCGAGATGGACAAGGCGTCAGGCGGGCAATAGCTGATATGGTGGCCTAGATCTCGGAAAGCAAATCCTGACACAAGGGAAGAAGGAGCCATTACCGGATATGTTGGCTCATATCGACAGAGTCACCATTGACGTGAGTGTTGGACACTACAGGATGCAAAATATGACCGACTGACACCTTCAATCAGGATCTATATCGTGTAGCTACAGACATGTTCCGGCCGAAAGAACGAAACGCCAAGATGAATCTTGGCTTGGGGACTGGTGCACCGACCATTGTTGGTATTGGGAAGAATGTAGAGTGGCTAGGTAACGTCCGAGAGACTGTCAGGCAGTGGGGCTTGGGAGAGTAAGCGAGTCACGGACGAAGCACAAGTCGGCCGACGTGTAGAGTATACAATCGTGTAACTTTTTTTGACCTTGTAACACCATTCGCATGAACCATAGCCACAGGCTCATCTCTCGGACATGTCACGACCAGTTGCAATCATTTACTGTCGAGAGCACTTGCATTATGGACAGGAATGTCAGGTCTCCATATATTTACATTTAGCGCTTGCCTGCGTTTGGAGGATTGTGAGGCACAAAACCCTTCAGCCTTTTCACCAATTTCCGGCTTCCCTTACTGCTCCCCAGAATGCGCATCGTTCTTCCGTCCCGACCTGAGGCAAGGAGTTGGAAATATAAGAATCGCTGATATTGTTGTTTGACAGAGACAAGTTCAAGACTTTGAATTGTTGATCGTCGGACCAGGTCGGCCACTCGATATCGGGTGATCCAGAGTTGGGATCATCGGTCGTGATGAGGGAAACGAGGGGTCCGATGAATGAAGCGTAGAAGGATGGAGAGGATGGCGCTCGGCCTCCATCTGTTGAACATGTCAGTGTGGGCTCTTTCCCTTTCGAGACCGAATCACTCACAAAAGTAAGGGAACTCTTCGGCGTTGTCTGTCATTCCGAAATTCAGCCACTTTCTCGAGGAGGAGCGAGACGAAAGCCTTACCCTGAGCGTGGGTTGCGGGCAGGACAGAGTAGAGGTATCGGTAGCCCGTACTTCCAGTCTTATTCAAGGCCCAGTTGATTGGGCTGGGAAAGTCAGCTGGGTTCACAGAGACAGATGACGGAAGGCTGTGCTCGACCTACCAAGCAAAGACTATATCCCCATACACTTGTCCGGCTCGTTCCCTATTATCTGCAAAGTCGTTCAAAGGGTACAGTTCCAGCATGGTAGTGATGACATCCTGATGAGTCACCATAAAGTTGTAGGTCAACCATCCGGACAACAAGTAGTCTGCATCGGCTTGGAACGTCGCCGAGTTATTGGACGGGTTCAGAGCCGTGCTGACAAAGGAAGGTCCGTCATTGTAATTGTTGCCAGCGATCAGGGTGGTCTAAGATCTGCGTCAATGGAGAGATAACACTTTGCGGAAAACAGCTTGACACTGACGTTGGGGATCGGACCGTTTAACAGCCTTGTCGCTGCGTTCTCAGTCAAGAAGCCTCCGGGTCCTTCAACACAGGGGCAGTATGACGTAGATGCTCCAGTGTATTTTCGAGTGCCAAACTGAGCGATCGAGAGTCAGTACGATGCACGATACATCGAGAGGCGGTTCGCCCTCCGCTCGCATCACTCACCTCGGAACTGGCGATCCTAACCGGCTGAGTGGGCAGTCCTCGAAGACATTCAATATCTCCATTGGTGCAATTCAGAGCATTTGCAAAATCTGTATACTCTTGGCCGTGAAATCGAGGATCATCACATCCACCCATGGTGACCATGTAGGGAGAAGCGACGAAAGCATTCTTCCAAGGTGGAGCCGCTCCGGAGTCACCGTATGCACCGTAGAGCTGGAGGATGGTTCCGCCGCCTATGCATGCAGTCAGGAACGTTCTCAGACATGATTATCTCTTCATGACTTACCCGCACTCTCTCCTCCGATAGTCACTCGCGATGGATCTCCACCAAAGCTCTCGGCATATTTTTGAACCCATTCCAGGGCAAAGTTGGCGTCCGTCACTTGAAAGTTGGAATTTCCAACTCCCATCTTTGACGAAGCTAGACCTCCAAAGGCACCGAGACGGTACTGAATGATGACTCCGATGAACGAAGAATTGGAATATAGGATCATCGGTGTAGGATCAAACTCTCTGGCCGAGTTGACTATACAGCGAGCGGTCAGCGAAGAAGAGGCCCGGCAGAGCCCGAAACCTCACAATCCCATCCTCCACCGTGGATCCAGACGAAGACAGGTAGATCTTTGGCTTGGTATGGCGCATAAATGTTCAGGAACAAGCAATCTTCCGAATCGCTTGTCTGAAGCGGATTGTACGTCTTTTCATTGTCCTGCCACACTCATGTCAACCATTGACTTGTGTCTTTCCCTTGAGGCCACTTACACCTTGGGAAGATTGGACACACTGAGGCGCAAAGGTTGTAGCGTCGATCGTTCCATTACCGCTCTGGTTCAGAGGCGGCTGAGCGGCTCTGAATCGATTCTCTCCAGCGGTCGATTGGGCGTACCTCACGCCTAGGTAGACATCGAGTCCGGAAGACTCGTTGTAATACCCTTCATATGTCGCATAAGGTAGCTCTAGGACAGGTCTAGGCCATCGAGGAGTGAGACTGGAAGAGGCCCCTGCTATTGTATTGAGCGCCAATAATCCAGGAACCAGTGACAACTTCATCTTGATTGTCGGGATGGGGTCGAATGAAGACAGGAGGAAGATGACAGCATCGTATATATGCATCCTCAAGATAGCGCCAGGATATGATTGCTCGGAGGAAAGCCCGGGGGGTCCGTTAAGTGTATGTCAGTGTCCGCCTACTACCGGAACGTCAGCTACGGCTGTCCTTGGGTTCGTAAGCTCTGTGTGTCTTTTTGCTGATGTCGCACCTTGTATGGACCCAAACCTTGGTACTGTCGCTTATAAACGGTTGCTGCGCGGCGCCCGCATAATAATTATCCGATTAGGGGGTGGGTAATTTAGGGTTAGAAGCGGCTAAAATATTTCGGGCAGCGCCGAGTCTCACGTGAGATTGGGGAAATAATACCACGTCATCTCTACCATGCGCGCTTGGTCCACGCTTAGAATACAGTTCATATTTGACCTTCCCTCCCCTGTATTCGCCTCAAGATGCCAGCGGCTGCTTCAAGCAAGAAGTCAAAGTCCAAGTCGAGTAGGGTGAGCTGATACTATTCGCTGGGACGGTGATGACAGCTGATATCGGTCGCAGTTCCCAGTGGTACGTTGCTCCTTCACCTGCTTCCAAGAGCATAACCCTTCATGATTTGCTACTTTCAGGCCAGGATAAAGAAGATCATGCAGATGGATGAAGAAGTGGGCAAGCTCGCATCAGCAACACCCGTCATGATCTGTAAGCTGAAATTGACGTCCCGTATGAGTGACGTATCTAATCACAAACATTCTCACCCCCTCTCTTGTGTCGCCAGCCAAATCCCTTGAATGCTTCCTCCAATCGTTTATCGATGAGTTATCGAAAGATGCAGAGGCTCGCGGCTCCAGGAAGATCACACCTCATCATCTCAAATCGACCGTGACATCTCAGCCAAACTTTGATTTCCTCTTACCGTTGGTCCAAAACATTGCGGATCCAGTCCAAGCGGGAGGGGGCCACAATGGCGAAGGCGGAGCTCAGCGACAACGTCGAGCCTCTAGACCGGGAAAGAGAAAGGCAGTGAAGGAAGAAGGGGACGAAGATGAGTATGGCAGAGGTGGAGCTTCGGGCTCAGGGAGTGTTCCGGCGCCAGGGGATGCTTCGAAGACTTTACCTCAGATCGGGACTTGGAAGCGAGAGATGGAAGGAGCAGGTGGGACAGGAGAAGGCGGAAGAGGGATGTATGATGATTACGAGGCGGACGAGGATGATTACTAGGGGCTCATTGGCGGATCATTATTCGATCGAATCGGAGCAGGACACGGCACGACTAGTTATGAACATACATCCCTTTCTTCATGTGTACAAAATAACGACATCAACATGTATGACACATCATGCAGTACTACATACAGAGCTCAAGAAATATCTCACATGGTAAGGTGTCTTTTTTTCCGGGTCATAATCATCATTCGTCATCTCCTTCTTTCGTCACTTCGTCACGAGGCTCCCTGGAGATGGCCGAGTGCTTCCGTGTCTGCCTTTCGTCAGACCATGCTGAGGTAGTCGCACCATTGGATTGTGGGTGGAGGTACAGAAGATCGGATGGGCGACGAGGGGAAGTGATCAGACGAAGAGTAAGAGGGCGAGAGCCGGGGGCTGGTATTCGGGATGATCGCGTGAGCAAGTTGAGGGTGAGAGTAGCTGGTGTTGAATGTATAGTGGGGGTTGTTGAAAGATGATGCTGAGGAAGGTAAACTTTGGATGTGGTTCTGATTGTCACGTCAGGAAAGTGTCTTTGCGATGCATCAAGGACGGACTGCAGCTGCCACTCACCCCGTTCAGATCATCTCGGGTGTACCGCGGTAGCATGAACGTAGGGAGCGCTTTAATACTCTGCGTCATGCGCGGGATGAGGGGGAGTGTTGCCTTCATCATGGTACAGACGTAGGGTTGAAGAAGGAATCGACAAGTGGCGAGAGAAAGTTGTTGAGGTTTTATACAGCGCAGAGGAAAGGTGCTGGCGATGCTACCCAGCCTTGGTCGTGTAGCCTCGTGTGTGGATGGGGAGAATACTGTCTGAGAAGCGAGATGCGTGAGGCACACTGGAGATGAACCTGGAGTCTTCTCTCGTTCGAGTCTTCTTCGATTGTTGCTTTTGCGTTCTTCGGGAATGAAAAACCTTCAGTCGTAAGCGAGCAGCTCGGGTTGGTTGTGAAAGTCGTCCTTTCGCTTGGCTGACGTGAGCCCGAAGCTATATGACTCGACCAAGCGAGAAGGATGCCCAAGAACAATCAATGCTCGTCGAGGCGAGGTCCGGGGTCACTTTTCGCAGATCGCCGAGAGGGGACGACGACGGATGATGCAAGAGATGACTGCGGAGTGGAAGCGAGAGAGCACGGTGGTGACGCCTCGAGCGATTGATGAATCTGGAAGGGTTCCTTTGCAACGACGGTCAATGTTCGTTGTGCTGCAGCAGACTTTGGTGAGTGGAGGCGAAGAGCTGGATGAGGGGGATGGATGGACTTTGAGCAAACGCGACAGATCCCAGAGAGAGCGAGGGGCTGGGCCTAGGGCCGATTTCGGGCTTGGCTGGGCAACAAAAACGGAAGTAAAATTATTAAGCGAGTGAGCCCCGTGGGACAGTCGCGGGGGTTCCAATGTGGCTTTGTGGCGGAAAGAGGCATTGTGACAAGGACACTGTTGCATATTCTCTTCTACTGTACTTCTGATCGTTTAGGGATTTTCAAAGTTTCGGTCCTGTCACGCGTCGTTTCTCTCTACTGACGGATCTAAGGCTACATGTGGGTGGTCGGAAGAGGAGAATATCGGGAAAGGAAAGTAGGTCTCTCAGTCTCTTTTGCCATCTAACAGAAGGTGATGGTGATCTTTGTCGCAGTCAGCTCGGCTCGTACTCAAGATTGTCTCAACTCACTCCGACGTTGTCGTTGGAGCATTGGAAGACGGTACCGTCAGTGGCATCGGTTCCGACGAAAGCTCCGGGGCAATCGGATTGGGTAGGTCCTGTGCATTCTCCTGGAGTGTAAGGAGTAGGGTTGCAGCCGTCGAACCTAAAGTCCATGGGGTATTTGCTGGAAGAAATGAGGGTCAGTCGGCGTCACGGCGTCGACAAAAGATTCGAGTGCTCACTAAGAGTGGGTCTGACCACTGTTCTGCTGGAGCGAGTAGTCGGCGGCGGTTTGCGCGTAACCGTTGGAAGAAGTGGGGTTCACGAGGGTGAACTCGACATCTCCACAGTTGAGACCGTTGGCATCTCCACATCCGTAGGCTCCAGTGATCCACGCGAGGCCACCTTCGACGGGTCCATCAAGGGTCGTGGTGCCGTAGTACATCTTTCCTCCGGCGACTTCGAATGCGGCAGTTCCGACACCACAGTTGTTGATGAGCTTTGAGAGGAACTCGTCAATCGATGATCAAAATGGAAAAAGCAAGCGTCCTTCACTCACGGTGACAGTGTGGTACTCTCCTCGCTTCTCGGGAGTGGGCGAGGCAATGGCAGCGAGAGCTCCAAAGGCAGCGACGGCGATGATGTTGGCGAACATGTTGATCAAGTTTGGTTGGTGCTTTGGGATGGAAGAGACTTGTTTTAAGTTGTTGTTGTTGTTGTTGTGAGTAGATTCGATTTGGAAGAGCTGATGGGCAACCAAAGCTTCAAAGTACGAGGTTTATATATTTTGCCAGGGGACGTCTAGACGCTCGGTTTCTCGGCCTCGATATCCATAGCGATCTGATGTCTGCCTCCGAAGTATCTATTCGTAGACCACCATCTCTGAATGTGCGCACCTACTGACCGGTCGGGTGCGACACAAGCTCCAACCCGCTCCACATGTAAGCCCACCAGAGGGGGGAAGGATCACCAGGCTCCGACGGGTGAGAACGCACAAAGTAATGTACGTGGGCGGATCCGACCTCACGGAGACCACCGAAGGACACAGATGACCGACAACGGTGTATCGGCTTGCATTGGATGGCGGCTCCCGCTCACTTTTCCCACCTTGACCAAACTTTCCCAGCCGAACGAGATCTGCCTTCATCTCTTCTCTTGGAGCGTGAGTGTTCCCCGAAATGATTTGACAGATATGGCAAAGCTTGCATCACCCCCAGGTCCTCTCGTGCGACAAAGTTTTGTCTCAGGAAATGTACGTAGATCCCGGAACACGGCAATGGCCTGGAGCCGCCACTGAGCGGCAATTGCACGGAGGACCGGAAAAATCCCAAAATGACATGTCGTCGATAAACGTGTTGGAGTGGGGAGTCTGTGTCCTACTTTGGAAACGAGCGGATCATCAGGTCGGAGTGGACACACATACACGCACACACTCCAATAAAGATCTTAGGCTTCAGCAGCTGAAATGCGTCACCTTGCGGGGGTTTTGAATAACACGTTTTTTGCGGAGAGTACGAAATCATTCACGTCGCGACAGGGGAGGGGAAAGGAAAAAGGTAAAAAAAAATATTTCGTTATACCCGTCGCATAATCACTAGTCTCTTTTTGGGACTTTTCAGCGGAGGGAGCTGAGGATGATCATTAACTAGACCCTACATACATAGATTGCAGTTTAATCACGGAAGAGAACAGAACACAAGGGAGTGGCCGCCCTCCCTCATTACGACGTCGACGTTTCCCCCTCCTCCTCGACACGGCTTGACTTGACCGCCTCTCTACGATTCATCCGGGAGCTATTGGTAGTTGTATCTATTTGCGGCAGTGGCAAGGTGCTTGACCCATTTTTTAGACTAAAAGTCAAATAAAGCTCCTCACACATAATGAAAATGATGGACGATTTCTCTCAACTCTCTTGACGTCGGTGGGGACCGAAGGGGGGAGTGGCTTCAGGCTGGGGAGAGCACATGATTCAATCGGCAGCTGCCACCACATTCTAGACAGAGAATAGAACCATCACATCTGTATCCCGGCGGGATAATGAATTTCCAACAACACCCACCACGACGACGACCACCACCACCCTTCCTCCCCCTCCTCCACCATGTCATCCATTCTTGTTGGAGCGAAGGTATTCATACGTTTTTTGAAGCTAATGGGAAAAAATATCACTTTGAGACATGAGCTAAGAGATGGGGAGTTTTGCCAGAGGTTGCAATCACCGTCTGCGTCCACGACACACCCCAGTGCCCGCATAACGTGTGTGGGCTCCACGCATCGAGCCCGCTTCGATGAGCCGCAACGCTGCGGCTGCGCGTAGTGCCAACTAGGCCAGATGCATTAGGTCAACGGTAGTCTGACCGCGATTGTTGGCATTCTCACAGAAACTCCATGGAGAGGCAGGCTCGTTGGTGCGATCAACGAGAACACCACAGACTAATCAGCCTTTAAACGTGGCACTGCTTAAGAATTTGATGAGTGCTTCACGAGACGCATCCCACGCGAATGCCTGCGAATCACTGGCGACGCGGCAATCCGTCGCAGGCGTAAACAACGTGACAACACTACTAGCATGTTCCAGCCCATCACTCAACTTACAGATACCATGACGTCTCTGAACCCCGAATTCATCTATTTCTGCACCTTTCAACTCTGCGTGTGCATGACGCCACATTTTTGCGGCAACGGCCACACAACCTATAATTGCGGCTCACGTCGCTCAATTTCTAAGCTCTCGGACAGAGAAAGGGCCTATCGCATTCTGTCTGAAATAGCATTCAAGTCCAGACAAGGAAACCTATGATGCAACGTTCCGGGCAGTCTTGTAGCCTGATCAGTATACGACGTCCCTCGGCGATCAGGCGAAAAGTTAATTCGTTCACGGCGTTTGTTACCATCCCATGTGCGTTCAAGACCGATCCATCCACCTCATGAATGACCTCACTTTATCATTGCATCACCGGGCACGTTATCCCCCTCAGAGTCGAGCGATGGACATGTCACGATAATGCATGTGCGATATTCGCCAGATATGGATCACCAGGTAAAAGCGAGCGAGGAAGTCTATAGGGGATTGGTTGGGAGTTGGTTTTTTCTTTTAGCAGAATGAGTCTGTGCGCAGTGAGTAATACTTGAAAGCCCTTTCTATTCCATAGTCTCTGAATTTCATTCTATGCTACACCCATGTTCGAGGGGCGAGTAACGCCGCTTTACAGCTCATCGGGCTCAGGTTCCCTAAATATCATGGTTAGTGAGGGAGCGGGCGGGGCAATACTAGTGAACTCACCATTGCGTGGAGACGGACTGAGTCGAGTACGCAGAGTAAAGCGATCCATCTTCTGCAAACTCGCTGGGAGTGTTGAGCTGTTCATCAAAGTAATGACGGGCGATACTTCGAGGGGCTGAAGAGAGCAGGGTCAGCTGAGAATCGGGACCCGCGCGCCCGGCGAGAACTTCCGACTCACTCCTTGGGGTCTTCGGAAGACGGGCATTCTCTCCGACTTGGGCGACACAGTACGCGACCAATCCCGTCCATCCCGTTTGGTGAGACGCTCCGAGACCTCTTCCATCGTTGCCATGGAAGAATTCGTAGAAGTGGACGAGGTCCCGGAAGAAGGGATCACGGTCAAGCTTGGGATTTCCACCGTTGACGGCTCGTCGACCGTATTCGTCTCTTGAGAAGATATGCATGAGTCGATGTTGGATTTCTTCAGCGACTCCCGCAAGATTCATGTACTAGCAGGAGTCAGCTTCGCCTTTGGCCAGTTCGTCACTCACTTCGCCAGATCCTGTGGGACATTCGACCTGACAGTCGTCTCCAAAGTACTGGTGGAATCGCTGAAGACTGAGTTGGTGTCAGCATCATCTCACTCCGTCAGAGGGATATCCTCCCACCTCTCGACAAGCAAGAAGTTGACGGCAAACCAGATGGGGCCTCGCCAGTTGGAGTTTCCGCCAAACTGTGCGAAATAAGCAAAGACTTGGCGGCGTTGCAGTCGACTCACCATGCCAGACTTTGAGTCTCCAGGCCAGTAGCCGACGCCAAACTCTTCTCCATTCACGTTCATCGAGAAGGGGTGCTCGTGGTGGTAGAGGGACATACTGATATAATTAGATCACCGTGATGATGCCTCTACTCACGATCGGATACCATAATCTGACAAGAACTCCTTTTCGTCCAACATTCGCTGTAAAATCCTGACGAGTCGGTCCTTGGATGCCAGGGCAAGAAGTTTCCGGTCCCCTCGACCCTTCTCTATGACCGGTCAGTCCTTGACTCGGGTAAATCACTCACCTCTTATGTTGGCAATATTTCGCATGGAGATATCCGATCGATTCTCAATGAACCAGTCCATCCTCTTTTTGAAACCTTTAAACTTGCCAATGACTTGAGGCTCAAGAACGAGCGTCGCGTACAAGGGCATAAGGCCGACCATGCTTCGGACGGGGAGCTGTTGAGAGTTGCCAAAGCCCCATTGGATAGCATCGTAGTAGAAGCCATCTTCCTCATTCCACAGGGATGATCGCTCGTCATTGCCAGCGGGGTACGTCATGGCGTCGGAGATGAACAGGAAGTGTTCAAAGAACTACATTGTCAGGGGAAACCGCACACGTGTCTCGGCTCTTACCTTGGAAGCGATATCTTCGTATGTCGAGTTGTGCTTGGCAAGCTCGAGGGCGATACTCAGCCTACACAACTGTCAGTCAATACCAGACAAGCCACCCACATGTTGAGACAGAAGAACGCCATCCAGGCAGTTCCGTCGGCTTGTCGGAGCGTGCCACCAGTTGGTAGAGGTTCCGATCGGTTGAAAGGTCCAATGTTGTCCAGACCGAGGAAACCTCCCTCAAATACATTGTTCCCGTCCTTGTCTTTTCTGTTGACCCACCTGCGAAAAGTATCAGTGCAAGCTGCCTTTCATTGGACTCACCAGGTAAAGTTCAACAGGAGCTTCTGGAACACTCTCTCCAGGAAGTTCAGATCCGCTCGACCGAGCATCTTTCGCTCAATTTTGAAGACTCGGAACGTTGCCCAGGCATGCACAGGTGGGTTGACATCTGAAAAGTTCCATTCGTATGCTGGCAGGGCACCATCAGGCTTCATGTACCATTCTCGCGTCATCAAGTCGAGTTGTTTCTTCGCGAAGGAGGGATCAACCATGGCGAGGGGGATGCAGTGGAAAGCCGTGTCCCAAGTGGCGAACCAGGGGTACTCCCATTTGTCGGGCATCGAGAGAATGTCGTTGATGTACATGTGCTTCCATTCTCTGTTTCTGACCCATTTCCTCTCAGGAGGAGGGGGAGGCTGACCAGGGTCACCATCCATCCACTCTTTCTGAATGTACTGGTAATATTGCTTGGTCCTGGCGGAATGTTAAACGAGATCTCCAGGGACACACTCACCATAGCATGCCGGCAAGAGCCTGTCTCATGATGTCCTTGAGATCTGCACTGATACCTCCACGTTGGATCAGTGCGTAGAACTCGTCCGCTTCCATATGTCGCTCGTCAATCTTGTCGTCAAACTCATCCTCCAACTCGATCGACTCGTCCTCTTCAGGCGTAGATGGGGTCATCTTGAGTCGGATGACACAGCATCCACCTTGACCAGGCACGTCTTTGAACAAGTAGTGTGCTCCAGCCTTCGTACCAGTCTTTTCGGGATTGACGAATTGTCTAGCGCCACGAGGGTTTCGAGGCGTAGGAGGAGGTTGCACAATGTGCTCGGCACCTTCTTCTTCCTCCTCCTCGTCGTCATCTTCACCCTCGTCATCGTGATGCGTGCCGTTACCGTTGGCGTGGATGTCTTTCCTCGATTCGTCATCGCCATTCGGCGCGGGTTCGCCCTCGGGAGGCTGCATCTTGGAGTTGGACGGAAGGGAAGGAGATTTGCTCGAGGACTTGGACGACCTTCGCTGCTTCAATCCCACAGTGGGCGAGGAGGGCTCGGGCTCGGGCTCCTTGGGTCGGTGCCATGGGATGATGTGGTCGTGGAACGCATCTTTGACGTAGGGCGTACGGTTCTTTCCATTGTAAAGGCGCTACGTGTCAGTCTAGTCTCACTTGAAAAGGCTCACCTCGTAGTTTGTCTCGTTCTCAGTGAACAATAGCTCAGGTACCACTTCTGGTCCTTCGACGTAGACTGTCCCTTCGGATTGACCACCTGCAACCGCTTCGGCGGGTCCAGGACTGGCAGTGCAGTACAGCCTGGTCTTTCCAAGCGTGGGATGTGTGGCTTCAATGACACCAGGTTCGATCTCTCGGAGGTTGGGCATGTCCTTGCCCGTAGGCATTTCCTTTGGCCAGGACCAGGTGTTACGGAAAAACATTTGAGGAATGATATGAAGGTCCGCAGGGTCAGGTCCACGATTGTACGCTGTAATTCGGATTGACATGGCATCTACGTTATGATCGTCTTTGGCGTACTGGGCAATGTCAGCGAAACCTAGAAGTGCGTGTGCTCACCTCGACAAAGATGTCCCAGTATCGGTTCTCATCGAACACGTCCGTGTCCATGAGTTCGAATTCTGACACCTCGCGACTTCGATTCTGGTTCTCCTCTTTGAGCTGATCGTAGGGGTACTCGGCTTGAGGGTACTTGTACAGGTATTTCATGTACGAGTGGGTGGGTGTGGAATCGATGTACCAGTACATTTCCTTGACATCTTCACCGTGGTTTCCTGATATCTGTGAGTATAAAAGGCATGTAGCTGAATGTGTCCCACCTTGACTCCCGTTGAGACCATACAACCGTTCCTTGAGGATCTTGTCTTTTCCATTCCAGAATGCAAGGGTCAGACACAGACGTTGGTGATTGTCGCTAAGACGCGATCATCAGTCTTGCGTGCCAAGACGGTCGTCATGGAGCTCACGAGATACCAGCGATACCATCTTCACCCCATCGATAGGCTCGCGAAGTTGACATTTCAAAGGGGAACGAGTTCCAGGCATCTCCATTGGCAGAATAGTCTTCTCGGACGGTACCCTGGGAAGTTGCGTGAGCGCCGGACAGACGACCTCACAGCTCTCGCTGCTCACCCATTGTCGTTCGGACACGTATGGACCCCATCGCTTCCAGTGAGCTTCATACGCGTCTGCTTGGTCGAGACTGATGGGTACATGTCAGGGATCGGTCTCGAGTGGGAGCCACGGCCCAAGCTCACCGCCAGTTCTCTACCGATCGATAGACCCTTTGCTGGCGTTGGTACTCCTCTTGGATTCGATCGCGGAGAAACTGGGCGACGTGCATTCAGCGAGAGCTTGGCGGAATAGACCTACACCTCCTCTGTTAGAGCCTCTGGGGGTGTCTGTCTCTTCGGCAGGAGCAGCTGAAGGGGATCGTCAGTGTCATACAGCGTGTTGACACAACGCTGCTCACGAGAAGATTGTCCATTCTCTTGAGCGGGAGGGACATTCCGTTTAGGCAGACTAGAAGGGACATGAGCTCTTTTCATTGTCTCCTCTAGTAGCCCGTGACAATGGAACAGACTCACTTGTCCTTCTCCCTCTTTTCTGATTCCCCGTTCAGACTTGGGATATCGATTTTGAAGCCCTCACTCGCGTTCGTGTTCGCGTTCGCGTTGGACGGTGCAGAGCCAGGCGTCGGGGTGATTGATCTACCCTCTGCAGGAGTGGAATCACCACTATCTCCATTACCTGCAGACTTTTTAGCTGGGTTGGGAGTTCCAAAGAGCTTTGTCTGAAGCTTCTTGGCGGTTGACATGGTGGATGGGATGAGGTGAACAACGTGCAGAGAGAAAAAGAGAGAGTGTGGGTAGGGGCCTCTTTATGTGGAATGACGTCGGGAGTTTGAACCTCGCGACTATCTGACAGTCTGAGGATGGTCCTTTTTCTTGCTCAGCTGGATTCCAGCTGCAGCAACCTGGCTCTCTGAGTCCTCCTCGTCAAACAGTCCGAGGTAGTTGTGGTGAATAGACCAGTAGAACCAGTCGTCGTCGTCGATCGAGTTTTTTCGTCTCGGATGTGTATACCATATGAGTATGTGTGTGACTTGGCTGACTCTTGTACCAGAACCACGTGTTTTTCTTCTGGTTTCCCAGGCACGCAGCAACAAAAATGACGATAGTGGCGGGATTTGTGGAAAGAGGCGGAAGAGCTTTTTTGGGGGGAGGCAACAGCGGCAGCCAACAGCAGCAGCAACCAACGGACCTTTTGCATCGATCATCAGGGACCACATCTATGTCGGAATCACATGCATTTGCTAGTCCAAGACGTGTGCTTATGAGGTGGAGAATGGAGTCAGGCTGACGGGAGAAAACACTGGGAGAATATGGGCCTTAGAGTCGGGGGAGAGAAAAACGCTCAGTTCGGTCCGACACACAAAAGGCTCGCTCACCTCGGTATTGAAGACGTGCTTGTCGAGGGAGATGTGATCAGAATCATCAAACAACAGGTATAGGTATTCTGATCAACGGTCAGCTATCAGTCATCCACTCCCAAGGTCCTTGAGTCTCACTCAGCGTCTCGCCGAGCCAAAAAGTCTCCATTCGATCCAGTTTCTTGGGCGGCACGACCTGGACATCTTCGATCCCTGCGTATCCTCCGTGCTCGACTCGACAATGTTTTTGGAACGCTTGAAATGCTTTCCATCCCCATTCTCTGAAGATGGGATCACCGGTGATCCTGTATCCTAGCATGAGGGATTCCACAGTCTCAGGTCGGAGAATGTTTCGAGCGTCAATCAGCGCTCCGCCCCTTTTCAAGATCCGTCAGGCTTCTCTCTTAAAAACCCCCTCGGGGTGAAGGCGGATACAGGGAGCGACTTACTGAGAAGGCTTGATAAACCAATCAAGGTCCTTAGCTCGCTGATCACTCCACTGAACAAACATGGCAATCTCCGGAGCCAGTCCGCTGGGCATCATTTCGTGTCAGCTCAAACTCCCTCGTCACACGTTACACCGGCTCTCACGTTGCCGTTTCGTGCGTCATCATGCAGCCTTCAATGATGCCTCGGCCAACCTTGAAATCTTCGGCATCTCGCGGCTCGAGTTGTTGCCAGTCGACTTCCCTGCGACCACCCTCCGTGATGCCGAGAAGGAATGAACCGCCAAGGAAACAAGCTAGATGATCCTGCTTGGGTACAACCTGCATGGTTCTATACGGTCAAGTTCAGCTCGCAGTCGGAAACGATGTCACATGACTCGGCTCACGGCTCCTTGCTCTGAGGGTGCCTCGCCGGGTGTAGCTCTTGAGTGAAGATGATACCTGATTTGACTGTCTGACCGATCATGTGGGCCTTGATGCCACCCATTGCTTCGTCATACATCTGGACGTGAGCCTACTGAGATAGCGCGTACTACTCACATCACGATAAACTGGCTCTTCCCGGTTCTACGGGGCTATCTTAGCATAAACCTCAACGAGCATGATCGACTGACCGTCTGCAAGTATTGCCTGGAGGAGGTCAGTTGACCGTTCAGACCGGTTGACGACTCACTTGAGCAAATACTCGTAATAAGAATCGCCTCTGGATCCAAGCCTGATCTCGCTTTGCAAGAACTGTCCGTTGTGAGGACTGCAGAATGTGAGCTCTCATATCGTCAGACGTATAGAATAGCTCACGAGATGAAAATTGGCGCGATGCCTCGATTCGCAGAGACTTGATTCCGGATGATCTCTGTGACCTGTATGAGGGGAGACCATCAGGGAGAGGCCTCGCACATATCTTTTTCTACCCACCCGCTCTGCCTTCTTCCAGTAGATGTTATCACCCGTCAAGTGGGAAAGATATTTGAGTTCAAGCTGAAGCGTACCGGCCTCTGAAAGACTTGCGGCACCTTGAAAATCACCACTGGGGATACCTTTTCTCCTCGCCAAATTTATATTTGACCAGGGGATTCCAGTGGGACTTTCGAACGCCCCTAGCAATCTATCCGCTAGGTCGACCGCGAGACTGAGGTAGAGCCGGGCATCGGGCCGGATGCTGAGATCTTCATGAACGGACGTGAGATGATGGGCGGAGAGGAGTCCTCCAAGGATACGAATGGTGGTCTTTTTGGCAGTGTCATCAATTTGAGAGAAATCCGACGGTCCCACCGTGCACACGCCTCACTCACCTCGAATGTGTTGAACTCTGCATCCTTTTCAAAGCTCAATTTATCCCTACACCAGTCCCTAGCCCTCTTGTACTCGTCTAAAAAGCCCATGACGAGTAAGCTGTCCAGCGAATCCACGATATTGTACCCTACTCCGCCAGCCGCAGTAAGGTTCGACCCAGACCGTGAAAGGGGGTGAAACTGCCCTCGCATCAATGGACTGAACCCTTCGAACATGCCGCGCTATGTCGCATTGAACTCACCTCGTCATCCCCCCAAGCGTGCTTCTCGTACGCCGTCCAAGACCAGGCAAACGCCTCTTTGATCTCGTCTCGTTTTTCCACGTCCGCAGGCAGACGACCAGGCATACGTTGAGGTAAGTGTAGTGGATTAGGATCGCTCCATCGCGTGCTCGGCGTCGGCTGAGCAGTCGGAGCATTACCAGCCATCAGAGGATCGTTATATTGACGGAACAGCTGTGGAGAGACCGGATAAGCTCATCGCCTATCGATTTTTGAGGGGACAGGCCAGCTCCTCACTCGAATGCCAAACCAAGCGACAGCCATCAACCCAAGCATCGACACGACCTGCCTCAACATCTTGGTCTGTTCAAGACTGTCCAACTTTCTCTCGAGCTGGGAAGGTAAAGCGTCAGCATGAGCTCTAGGTGAATGGAATTCTTGATCAACCTCCTCTTTATTCAGGTTCTTGAGTCCATCTATCTTTGCCTTTTTAGTAGAACTTGGTGCGTTCGTTTTGCCGGTATCAGGGGGACTTGTTTTGCCTGAGCCTTTTCCTGGCCGAGCGCGGAGGTCGCTCATGGTGTCCTGGATGCTTGTTGGATGGGCCAGGACGTAGAATATTCCGGGAGATACAAGGGAGGGAATACGTCCACGACGACAGAGAGAGATAGAGCCTCCACTTTGTCCCCGCTCGCGTTTGAGATTCTCGAAATGGTCCAAATGGATATTTTGTTCATCTCTTCAGGGCTTCACTTCTTCCCCTTCCTCCACTCCTAGATTCGCAGACGGCAGGTGCCTCAAGTCGGGCGACAGCTCTGTCTCATTCGCTTCACTGAACAGCACTACCATGCCAGCCGCCGAAGCCCCAACACAGCTGGAGCAAACCTCGGCAGTGGTCAGTCCATTATCACTCCCTTTGCCTCGCGCTTCTTCCGGTGCTGACTGACTTCTTGTTTGCTCATAGCTTGGAGAGTACATGCTGAAAGGTTGGACGTTGACAGATCTGCACTGTGATCAATGTTGCGTTACGCCTTTGATGAGAGAGCCGACGGCCAGTGCTACTGCTGAATCTCGACAACCAATACAATTCTGTGCTCTGTGCGATGGGCCTCCAAGCGCAAGTGCACAGTCCACTGCGACTAGGGCTGTCCAGTCGACCTCACGGTCTGTTCCCTCTGCTCCTACAGGCTCTGCTCCTGCCTCCACACTCCTCCAATCAGGCCCGAACCTTGAGAATCCCATATATAATCCCTCATCCTCTTCGGACGACACGGCTAGCCAAATTTCATCACTCCTCCTCCGAGGCTACTCTCTCCTAGGCACCAATTGTCCCTCTTCAACGTGTCGTGGGATCCCACTCGTAGGGTATCCCAGAGGCCAAGATGGTAAAAAGGACAATAGACGATTATGCGTAGAATGCGGAAGCAGGTGGATCGATGGAGGGGAAGGTGGCGGCGGCAAGCTCAAGCGGCTACCCGTAGGTGGGGGTGACAGTTTGAAAGGTCACACGGAGAAGGGGAAAGAGAAGGCCACGTCCTTATTAGATTTAGGACTCGAAAGTCCAAGGACGATGAGACGGAATCAGCTATATGGATTGGTCCCGACGAAGGAGAAAGAAGAAAGCAACAGTTCAGATCTGGAAGACGAGGCAGAGGTGCCGTCTACAATGCTCCAAGTCCAGACCGGCTCACAGGTGAGCCATTGACTCCCCGGAGGTCTCGTAGATAGCTGACACGAGGACTCAAGACGTCGTCAGCCCCGCCTTCCCTCATCCTGGCATTGGAACATACCTCCAAAAGCCTCGCTCTGACCTTGAATAGATTTGCAGTCTCGCTCGAAAGACATACCCTCGGCACGGATAAGGAAGATGAAAGTCGATATTTTGTCGATGTCAAATTGCACATGGATGCGATGAAGGATGTTCTGGGTGTGCTGGGGATGGTTCAGGAGCTGAGACGTTAGAGAGCGTGTGGTCATAGTGGCAGTCAGTCTCTCCGAAATCAGCAGTGGCAGCTCCTGTAGTCTTGTTGAGACGTGGCGATACACACCTGTACAGGGATTCTCGTTGGATTGGCCTCTATAACAATGACACTTTCTGAAAGGATGGTATGCGTAGAATGATGCGAATGGTGTGACATAGTAGGCAGGTAGCCTGCCTAGGCTGGATGTATAAGATGTCGAAAAGACAATCGACTACCGGGACGCACACACGAGCTGACATCAGATCTAGATCACATCTGTACGGAACCCAATGACACGGTATCTGAGGAGTAGCAGGGTGCTTGGTATGACCTCAAGGAGGTGTGCAGCAGCCCCGAGTCAAGGCAGAACCAAATTCGTCTCTTCTGTCCCCACTTGGCAGTTGTTGGGACTTTTAATGATGAGATGGGGATCCTGGCTCTTCGCAACTGGTCCGTCCCACGCATCGCTACAGACTGGAGTCTGCTGCCGCGGTGATGCATGAGTGTCCGAGGGCAGTGTCAGGAACAGACCTATCGGTCTCGAGGGTCCTACTTGATTAGTAGCTCTCTGGATTCCTCTGGATAGGGATGTCAAGCTGGGTAGCTCATAGACAACGAATATACATATTGATGAAGAAGAACGTCCTATTGTACTCGACTAGCGGAGGTCGCCGCCGACCGTTCCTGACAGGCAGTACGGACACCCCTCCCCCCCCCCCCCCCCCGGGGGCCCGAGGACTTGCATTCCAAACGCTTCATATTGTAGTGTTATACAAATGTTTCCAGCGGACGTCGCTGGTGTACTGGTGAGTGCCTTCAAGGTCAAGGCAGTATACAAGTAGCTGAAAGCTCGTCGGCGTTATCCGGTCCGAAGGAAGCTTAAAAATACTTTGCCGAATACCCGGGTAATATTACGTAATACATAATGCGAGTACAGGATCATATCATCTCTACGATCTATTGCACAATGCCAGACATTGACTGAAAATGACCGGTTCCAAAGCATGCGATTATGCCATGGATCCAGTGATCGCGTCCGCAGGGGTGTAAAGTGCCTCGCCGACGTAGAGGACGGCAAAAATCAGGAATGCAGCGGCGCCCATGAGCGTGACTGTGGCGCAAAGGTCGATCAGCAGTATATTTTGACCTCTTTCACGGGAATACACCCACTATGCTTGACGGAAATCTTTGTGGACAGATACCTGCCTCCGATAACAGCTCCACAAGTACACAGGCCATGCCCCAGAATGGTTCCAAATGCAACAACTGGGACGCTCTAGAAAGGAAGGAAAAAAAAGTGTCAGTCTCGTCTCCGTTGCTTCTCTGTCAACGAGCACGACGATGACCCACATTGCTCGCAGAGAGCATGATCGTCGATAGCTGGCTGCGGTCTCCCCACTCGCCTAGGAAGGTAAGAATGAAGGCCTGAGCAAAGACAGGACTGGTCACAAGCTGCAGGAAGTCTCTAATTTGATTTATCCAGGTCTTGAAAGAAGATTTTCTATTTTTTTCGGGACTGGATTTTGAAAGTGGGAAATGGATGGATGGACCGGATTTTGTATTTGTACTTGGAGAGGGTGATCTCGCGCGACCGTTGGAGGTTGATCGTGGGGTTGTGGGTGATCGAGGCGAAGAGAAGGAGTCTTGGAGGCCCGAACGACCTTCTTCGACCGCCTCGAGTGGGATAAAGTCGGTACCACCACTGTGACGTTGATTCTGGACATCATGTCGAGAAGAGTCTTGCTCCAGTTCTTCTTCCACTTCCCGCATCTCATCTTGGATATGAGAATTTCCACCGGACATCTTCATCGCTTCTTGCAGCATGCGAATACCGAAGACTAGGAAGAGCACGGCGGCGGCCCAAAGCGTCCACACCTGATAAACGTGATCTCAGCTTTTCCATATCGTTGTTGTTGTTAACCCACCTTTGGTATCAAGCCCAAGATGACTTTGCCCAACGCAGCACTCAAGATGGACATGATGACCAACGAGGCAAAGGCTCCGCCAAAGACTGTGGCACGCGCGTGTCGAGTCGCCATGATCGCAGCGATGAGGAATGTCTTGTCGCCTGATGGACAAGTCGATGGGTCAGTGGGACCGGTCCCTAGACAGCCCTCTGTGTGGCTCCGTCGTGCTCACCTATCTCTGACACGACGATCATGATGAATGCTTGGAGAAACGCATCTGCGGTGGGATTTTGGTCAATCAAAGCTCGCTCTTGCATCATTTTGAAGCCAATGTAGAGCTGCCAAAGCGGACCTCTGCCTGGTCCTCAGAGATGTCTAGAGGGGTGATAGAGGGAGATCCTTGATCCCTCGTGATGTCTGTGGTAGAATGTCATAAAAGAAGACAGACCCACGGAAATCTCCACTTGCTTCTCCTGATCCATCATTTCCAGGCATGGCTTTCCGGAATTTTTTCTATCCAGTTGGTGTCGTCTGCCGTCAATGGTGCCCGGAACAAGTAGTACCAGGCGCAGATGGGGCAGCAGCAGCAGCAGCAGCAGATCAATGACACTCAGAGACGGCACGAGGAGCAGGTCCGCATACCAGGAATAGCATTTCGCGACACACGTTCGACTTTCGGAAAAAAAAAATATGTGGCACGTGGCAGTGTGGCACAAGAGGGGCATCTGTTTCAATCCCTCCCACGTGACTCAACCCCTGGTCAGTTTCATGGCCACCACGTGGGCTATGCAAGCAAAGATAGCAACCATTATCACTCCTGATCCTCACTGGTGCCATAGCCGTTTAAGGCCCCTGGCATGGCAAGCACTGAGGAATTGACCTCAGTATTCGGCCAATGAACATGTATCAAGTGCAATTCAAGATTAGCTTGCTGCGGAATCAATTTTTGTAAGACAGGTTAAAGTATGGCCCATATTCGAAGGCGTATCCGGAGAAAACTCTACAATGCCACATCTACCCATGCATCCGAGGCCAGACGTGGGCCATTCTGCAACTGAGCGAACGCTCTCACAGCCCGCTCATCCTGTAACCTGTCAGGGCCAACATCCGCGCACAGTTTTGGTCTATTCGCCCAACATCGCTTCCCTTGGGCTCTGAAAGCCTGCTCGAGTACGCCTGGGGAGTAGCTTCGATTTCGATCCCTCGTCTTGTCTTGTAGGCCTGGCGTATCTACATCTTGTGGGTCAGTATACCGCTCTATGACTTCTCTGGAAGCGGCGTCACTGGGAACCCTCAGCGACGCGGACATCGTACGCGATGTTCACAGGCACTCGGTAGCCCAAAGATGCAAGCCACTACATGCTCCGGGATCTATTCTACGAGCGGAGCCATCCAAGAACTCCTCCTGAATCACGCGCGACTGGTAGAGCTCTACATACTTTTCCTCAAGAAAGCAGCTACGATCTTGTAGTCTGGATCATCTGGCCTCGGATCAGGGAAAAGAGGGACGGGATCCTGCCAATGATCAGCATGTCATCGGAAGAATGAGAGGACATTTGTACTGACCCGGAACTCTTCATACCCTCTCCTCACATACCATGACAAGTTGCTCGACACTTTCTCCCTGTCGTTCGAGTCATGTCCCACTTGAAGATCTCTCCGGCTGTCATACGCGTATCTTGCAGTATCTAGCGTGACGACTTGACCTCCGAATGTATCTCGAGCTTCTCGTTCTAATAGGTCCATCGCTGTACCACCGAGGCCTAGGCCTTGATACGCATGTCGAATGAAGAGGGATGCTGATTTGGACTTCAGGACATGGCCAAACTGCCGCTCCGCTCCTGTCGTCTCCACGACTCACTCAGATAGACAACCTTATCCGCTCTCGAAGCCATGAACGGATACTCTGGCCAATCCAATCCCCAGCCTCCCATGCCCACATCTCTGATCTCGCCATCCACCTCCTTCGTGAACACACACAAGATCCAGTCCCTGTTCTTCTCCACCCGCGCCGGGAGCTTCTCCCAGCCCCAACCACATTCCTTTCTCATATCCGTCAGAATATCCAGGTCCGCCTTCGTCGCACGACGCAGACTCAGACCTCGGAGGGGTCGGTCTGAAGGTCCTGCTGTTTCGTCAAGGTCGACCGTCATGTTGGTAGTGCCACACCGGGTGTCGAGCGATCCGTCCTACGGGGGACCGATCCGAGTAGACAAAAGGAGGAGAGCGGAGAGAGCAGCGAGGATATGAGGGGGAAGAGGAGGGACGTCTCTTCTGACTCGACTTGTACGTCTGTGGAGAGCTCGGGTCTTGAGGAGGAGGCAGGCGGAGGAAAATGGGAAAGAGAGTGATGTAGGAATGAAAAATTAGAACACCGAATGGAGGATAACGGAGGATGAACAAGATTGGAGATCAAGTCGTCTCGGATGTTCTCTGAGCATCACCACCAAGGAGATCCGGGTATGGGATATGAGAACTCGTCAGCTGTATATCTGGCTGCATCTCGACTCGTGGTTGATCGGCTGTCCCGGCCGAAGCCATTACGATGAAACAGCCAGGCGGCGGTGTCCGCTCTTTGAGCTTAGGCGCACAGTGTTCAATAGGCGTAGATTTTTGACTTCCCGCTCTCGCTCTGACGCAAAGGTGGGTGGACGACCGTCACAGCACTCACAGCTCGCTCTCTCGGTCGAGCCCACTGGTCAACATGTCGCGACAAGGTATGCTGCGTCTTTTTCCCTCTTAGTAGCATTGGGCTCACTCGCTGCAGATAAAGCAACGACAGAGCGCAATGCCCGGACACTCAGGGAGCTGGTCAAGCAACCGGATAACAAGTCGTGTGCGGATTGCAGGAAGAATGGTATGTCGAGATGGGGAATAGCGGGTGCTGACAAATCGATAGATGCGCGATGGGCGTCTTGGAACCTGTAAGCTAACGACTTCGGAGTGGAGAACCCAGCTCATATCGCTCACAGTGGGGTATTCTTATGTATACGTTGTTCGGGTATACACCGATCCATGGGCACACACATCAGCAAGGGTGAGTGAGAGCCCTGAGGCATTTCGTGCTTTGCGCTCATCGAGATCACAGTGAAGAGTATCGACTTGGACATGTGGACACCTGAGCAAATGGAGGTATGACGCATGGGTCCGGCAGATCTTGCTGATCATCTTTTTTTCCCCCCCTTTCCAGTCGGTTCAAAAGTGGGGCAACAGACGAGCCAATCTGTACTGGGAGAAGCACCTCAAAGCGGGTCATGTACCTCCAGATCAGTGGGTGAAGATGAATCTGACGAGCAAACTGATCTCTTGTCCTTCCAGTAAAATCGAGTCATTCATACGCTCAAAATACGAAAGCAAACGATGGGCAATGGATGGGCCTCCGCCATCTGATCCGAGTGTGTTAGAAGACGGGTCTCCGCGTCAGCATGTGAGCTCGAGCCGTTTGTGAAGGATGACATCTGATGCAAATCGGTCAGGACGATTCTTCGATGGCCCCCACACCTGCCTCTACGGCGCCTCCACCCGCTGCTTCCAAAACCCACCCTCTATTATCCCGGCAGACAGCGCCAGCTCCAAAAGCCACTGCCGCTCCAATCGTTGATCTGTTTGGAGGCGATGATGACGCCGCACCAATCAGTACGACCTCAAAGCCTGCCATTGCCGCGTCCAATGGCAATGCTGGACCTTCCGCATCAACGACTGCCCCCAATCCCGCTCCTTCGGCGACTGCGGAGCAACCCAAAGCACCTGGCTCTTCCATCTTTGATTTGGACTTCCGCGCCCCGACCCCCAGTTCCAAGCCTCAGACCAACAAGGCCGATATCATGTCCCTCTTTTCGTCCCCATCCACTGCTTCCGCTCCTGCTCCTCAGCCATCTTTCTTCAATCCCCCCAATCCACCCACCGCCCAGAACCCTTATGCGACGTGGGGCGGTGGCGGGACATCCACAAGTACAACGATGCAGAGCCCTACTCAGACCGCCTTGCCCACGGCCAATGCAGGTTGGGGAGGACTACAAATGGACCAAGGGGCTTGGGGTCAACCGCAACAAGCCGCTCCTGCCGCTCCACAGCCAGCTTCGTCCTGGGGTCAGCCGGTCGCCAATGTCAATGCCAGTGCAGACCCTTGGGGTAGCAGCAGCAATGTCGGTGCCAGCGATCCCTGGGCGGTATCTGCTGCGCCGGCTGTATCTCAGCCAACCAAGAAGCAGGAGAATGACCCGTTCGCCAACTTGTGGAACTAAAGCGTCATGACGAGTATCATTGCATGCGTCCGTTTACGAGATGCACCTGCATGAACGGGTATCAGATGTAGGCCCAACAGCAGTCAGTTGGTAGGAGTGACCTAGTGCCATGCATCCAGCCGCCATCACGTAGAGTTTGGGATAAATTCACCTGCAGAAAATACGCGAATATAGATATTCAAAATTTTTCGAAAATTTCCGCCGGGTCGCGCGAACGTTGTCCCCCTCCCCCAGAGTCCTGTTCTCTCTCTTCTTCTTCTTCTTCTTCTTCTCTCTTCTCCTCTCTCCTCTCTTCTGAATGCATAAACGAGTGACCAGAGCTCTCTGCTGCGTCTTGTGATCAGTATCGCTGTGCGTGCGAGCTCATCACTGTCACAAAACCCAGGTATACGGCCCACCCAAAAAAAAAAGACCATCCGGTAGTGTCTCTTGAAGCCGGAACCCTCCACTCTTTTGGAGCAAGAAGAAAATTTACAGCTATCATCCAGCTGCCTACACTCTGTATAGTAACATCATCCTCCTTCTCATCGTCGGACGACACTAGCCATCATGTCCGACATCACTCCTCCCACTTCCCCTCGTCCCATCTCTGTCCCGGCTTCTCAATCCCCTCAACAATCTACGAAACCTCGACCAGTGATCACTCGAGCCCCGGCGACTCTCCATCCAACGACAACCTTTCCTCCTGGTTCATTGCACCCCCCAGCAACACTGAAAGGTATCGACGCTGATGGCTCCTACGCTGAAGAATGGGACGACTCGCTCGCTTCGGCGGATATGGTCCTTGAGCTCGCTGATGGTCTCGCTCTCGCTGGTCACTCATTTGGAGCAAAGAAATCAATCGCCGGAGAATGTGTTTTCCAGACGGGTAAGGTAGCTTCGACTGACACAATACTGAACCGCTCCAGGAATGGTCGGATATCCTGAATCCTTGACGGACCCTTCATACTCTTCTCAGATCCTGATCCTCACCTACCCCTTGGTCGGCAACTATGGTGTGCCCGAGAGACCTGCGCACCCATCCGTCCCTAACGGTGACGAGACTTCCAACGCTGTCCCGCCTCCTACCGACTTGCTGGACTCCCTGCCATTGGAGTTTGAATCGTCCAAGATTCACGTTGCCGCACTCGTAGTGGCCAACTACCACCCTTCCTTCTCTCACCACCTCGCCAACTCTAGTCTCAGTCAATGGCTCAAGGAACAGGGCGTTCCTGCCATCTGGGGTGTAGACACTCGAATGCTCACCAAGAAGATCCGAGAGGGTGGTGTCTTGCTCGGTCGAGTCTTGGCTAGAGATTCGACAGACGGTGCTCGAGGTCGAGAACCTGGCGTTCTTGGCGGAGTCCACAGATTGCTCAATGGTCTATCCGGCGGATCTTCCTCCTTGACTCGATCTGTCTCGACTGACAACTTGTCAACCACGAACTGGAAGGAAGACTACCAGACTGTCCCGTTCGTCGACCCCAATGGCGAAAACCTCGTTGCCAAGGTGTCCACTGTCCGGCCCACTCTCTACACTGCCAGCACTGGATCAGAGGTCAAGGTCAATCCGAAAACTGGCAAGACATTGCGAGTCCTTGCTGTGGATGTCGGAATGAAGTGGAACCAAATCCGATGCTTCAGAGAGCGCGGAGTCGAAGTCAAGGTTGTCCCATGGGTGAGCACTCACAGTCACAGGGGCTCGCTAACAGGTCCAGAACTACGACTTTAATGCCGAGCCAGAGCACTATGACGGTCTCTTCATTTCCAACGGTCCCGGTGATCCATCTATGGTCACCGAGACAGTCGCCAACCTCTCCAAGGCCATCACTGCGGCCAAAGTACCCATCTTTGGAATCTGTCTCGGTCATCAACTCCTGGCCCTCGCTTCTGGAGCTTCGACCCGAAAGATGAAGTACGGAAACCGAGGTATGAACTTGCCTTGTACCTGCGCGCCCTCTGGTCGATGCTACATCACCTCGCAGAATCACGGATACGAGGTCGATGTATCGACCCTCAAGAACGGCTGGGAGCCATTGTTCACCAACGCCAACGACGGCAGCAACGAGGGTATCTGGATGGGCAAGGGGGGCAAACCCTTTTTCTCAACCCAATTCCACCCCGAGTCAGCCCCAGGTCCACGAGACACTGAATTCCTTTTCAACGTTTTCATCAAGAGCATGCTCGACTCCGCCGCCGCCGGAAAACTCGTCCCCATCGAAATCCCTGGCGGCGAGGTAGCTGCCAACTTGGCTGCACGACCACGGGAACAGGTCAAAAAGGTCTTGGTCCTTGGATCTGGAGGTCTGTCAATCGGTCAAGCGGGAGAGTTTGACTATTCAGGATCGCAAGCCATCAAGGCCTTGAAGCAGGAAGGTATCTACACCATCTTGGTCAATCCAAATATTGCCACCATCCAGACTTCCAAAGGTCTCGCTGACAAGGTCTACTTCTTGCCTGTCACACCCGAATTTGTGCTTCGAATCATCAAGCACGAGAAACCTGACGGTATTTACTGCACATTCGGTGGCCAGACCGCACTGAACGTCGGTATCAAGCTGAAGGACGAATTCTCCAAACTCGGTGTCAAAGTTCTGGGAACACCCATCGAAACGATCATCGTGACTGAGGACCGTGAACATTTTGCACGAGCTATGGAAGAGATTGGCGAAAAGTGCGCAGAATCTGCTACGGCTGTCAATCTTGCCGAGGCTGTTGCCGCAGCGAAGAAGATTGGATTCCCAGTCATTGTTCGAGCCGCCTACGCTCTCGGAGGTCTTGGATCTGGTTTCGCGCAAGACGAAGAGCAGCTCACCGAATTGTGTGGCAAGGCCTTTGCCATCTCTCCTCAGGTTCTCGTCGAGAAGAGTATGAAGGGATGGAAAGAAATCGAATACGAAGTCGTTCGAGATTGCCAAGACAACTGTATTACCGTGTGTAACATGGAGAACTTTGATCCTCTCGGTATTCACACCGGAGACTCGATCGTTGTCGCCCCGTCTCAAACCTTGTCAGATGCCGACTACAACATGCTGAGGACCACTGCAGTCAATGTCATCCGACACCTGGGTGTGGTTGGAGAGTGTAACATCCAATACGCCCTCAACCCTCATTCCAAGGAATACTGCATCATCGAAGTCAACGCTCGTCTTTCTCGATCGTCTGCATTGGCATCCAAGGCCACCGGATACCCATTGGCCTTCATCGCTGCCAAGCTTGGTCTCAACATCCCTTTGAACGAGATCCGAAACTCTGTCACCAAGCTCACTTCGGCCTGTTTCGAGCCTTCTCTCGACTATTGTGTCGTGAAGATCCCTCGATGGGACTTGAAAAAGTTCAGCCGCGTCTCGACTGCCCTCAGCAGTTCCATGAAATCCGTCGGAGAAGTCATGGCTATCGGCAGAACTTTCGAAGAGACCATCCAAAAGGCTATCAGGTGTATCGACGATCAGTTCCCTGGATTCGGCGAGCACTTGCAGATCGAAGACATTGACTACGAGCTCCAAAACCCGACCGATAAGCGGTTGTTCGCCATTGCTTCAGCCTTCAAGAGAGGGTACTCGGTTGATAAGATCAATGCCATGTCTAGCATTGACAAGTGGTTCCTGACCAGATTGGAAAGGTTATCCAAAACCGAGGACATTGTTGCGTGAGTGTGATCCGACAAGATTTCAGCTGATCGCCCAGCCAATACACCGCCACCAACGTTCCGTCTGCGCTCATTCGCAACTCCAAGCAGATCGGTTTCTCTGATCGCCAGATCGCCAAGGCCCTCGGATCTAACGAGCTCGCCGTCCGACGACTCCGAGTGGAAGCTGGTATCACTCCCTTCGTGAAGCAGATTGATACCGTCGCTGCCGAGTTCCCGGCCTACACAAATTACCTGTACACGACGTACAACGCTAGCGAACACGATGTCGACTTCGTCGACAACGGAGTCATGGTCCTTGGATCCGGTGTGTACCGTATTGGATCGTCCGTCGAATTCGATTGGTGTGCAGTCCGAGCTATCCGAACGCTCCGAGAAAATGGCTTCAAGACGGTCATGGTCAATTATAACCCTGAAACCGTATCCACGGATTACGACGAAGCGGACAAGCTCTACTTTGAGAACATTTCCCTCGAGACCGTCCTGGATATCTACGACCTCGAACGATCGAGCGGTGTCGTCCTGTCCATGGGAGGTCAGACTCCCAACAACATTGCTCTGAACCTTCACCGACAGAGCGTCAAAATCTACGGAACCTCGCCCGAAATGATCGACACCGCTGAGAACCGATACAAATTCTCGCGAATGTTGGACAAAATCGGTGTCGACCAACCTCTCTGGAAAGAGCTTACTTCGTTTGACGAAGCTCAAGCGTTCTGTGACAAGGTCGGATACCCCGTCTTGGTGCGACCTTCGTACGTTCTCTCTGGAGCCGCCATGAATGTCGTCTTCTCCCAAGATGACTTGGCCAACTATCTCACGCAAGCGACCGATGTCTCTCGTGACCATCCAGTCGTCATTTCCAAATACATTGAAGAGGCCAAGGAAATCGAGATGGACGCCGTGGCAAGGGACGGAAAGATGGTGATGCACTACATCTCTGAGCACGTTGAGAATGCCGGTGTCCACTCTGGTGACGCTACCCTCATCCTGCCTCCCCAGGACTTGGATCCTGAGACGATTGCCAAGATCGAAGTGGCCACCCAAAAGATCGGTCAAGCTCTCAACGTCACTGGACCTTACAACATTCAGTTCATCGCCAAGGACAATGAAATTAAGGTCATCGAGTGCAACCTGCGAGCTGCTCGATCTTTCCCCTTCGTCTCCAAAGTGACCGGTATCGACGCCATCGAAATCGCTACGAAGGTCATGATGGGATTGTCAGTGACGCCCTATCCTGACGCAAAATTGCCTGCCAACTATGTCGGTGTCAAGGTCCCTCAGTTCTCTTTCAGTCGATTGTCTGGCGCCGACCCGATTTTGGGTGTCGAAATGGCCTCGACCGGAGAAGTCGCTTGCTTTGGCAAGGACAGATATGACGCTTACCTCAAGGCTCTCATCTCTACTGGTATCCGTCCTCCCAAGAAGAACATCCTTCTCTCTATTGGATCGTACAAGGAGAAAATGGAAATGCTGCCTTCGGTCCACAAGCTTCACCGAATGGGATACAATCTGTTCGCTACGGCAGGAACGTCCGACTTTTTCCAAGAACACGGCATTCCCGTCAAATACCTCGAAGCGCTCGGATCAGAAGACGAAGTCAACCCTCAGAAGGCTGAGTACTCCTTGACTCAGCATTTGGCGAACAATTTGATCGATTTGTATATCAACTTGCCTTCCAAGAACAGGTTCAGACGTCCCGCCAGTTACCTCTCGAAGGGCTACCGATCCCGTCGAATGGCCGTCGACTTTGCTGTGCCTCTGATCACCAACGTCAAATGCGCCAAGCTGTTCATCGAGGCTATCATCAGAAAGCCAACATTTGACGTGGCGACTGTGGATTACAAGACTTCGCACGAGACCCATACTTTCCCGAGCTTGATCTCCATCTCGACGTTCGTGCCCGGTGCTGCTGAAAGTGGATCATCCGACTTCCTCGAAGCCACCAAGGCCGCTATTCGAGGTGGATTCACAGCGATCCAAATGCTCCCTCGAGGTGTCAACTCGATTGTCGCCGATGAGATCTCTCTTCAGCGAGCCCAGTCGAACGCATCTCGACAAGCCCATTGCGACTACTTCTTTGCCGTCGCTGCGACCCCAGACAACGCCTCGAGATTGTCAGACGCCGTTGACGCTGGAGCCAAAGTCTTGTTTATCTCCTTCAAGGGGACTGGGAACAAGGTCGCATCGATCACGGAGCACTTTGCCGCGTGGCCCGAGGACAAGCCTATCATCACTGATGCTCAGGCCACGGATCTCGCCTCCATTCTCCTGTTGGCCAACTTGCATAGCCGAGCGATTCATGTCTCGGCCGTATCTACCGCTGAAGACATCCAGTTGATCGCTCTGGCAAAGGGCAAAGGCATGAGCGTCACTTGTGACGTATCGGTCTATGCCCTCTTCTTCTCCCAAGAGGACTTTGCCGTCTCGTGCCTGCCTACAAAGAAGGATCAAGCGGCTCTCTGGGACAACATGGCCTCGATCGACGTCTTCACAGTCGGGTCACTTCCCTATGAATTGGCAGTCGCTCTTGATCAGTCCTACAACGCGGCTTCGGGCGCCGAGGAGGCTCTCCCATTGCTCTTGACTGCGGTCACGGATGGTCGGATGACTCTCGAGGACATCACGCTTCGGCTCAGCGAGAACCCCAGATCTATCTTTGGTATTTCTGAACAGGCCCAATCCTACGTTGAAGTCGAAGTGAATCGTCATTCGACTTTCCGATCTGAGGGATGGTCCCCCCTGAACGGCAAGAACGTGGCCGGTGCTGTGCACCGAGTGGTCGTCAATGGACAATCTGTCTTCTTGGACGGTCAGACCTTCTCTACCCCCGTTGGCAGAGACATCAACGTGTCTGGTCAAATCAAATCCCGACCCACTCTCCAGACACATAGACCATCGACGACAGCATTGTCGCCCAACCTCGAGCGCAGCTCGTCTGGATTCCAAGCCCTCGGCTTCCCGCAACAGCCAAAGGCGAGCAACAATGCCAACCTCATGTCTTTGTCGTCCATGGCTCCTCGAGATCTATCGCCTACCAAGACGTTTGCTTCGTTGCCGGTTCAGTCTCACCCTGCATTCACCAGACGTCACATTCTCAGCGTTAAGCAATTCAATCGAGACGACCTTCACGTCCTCTTCAATTTGGCGTCAGAGATGAGAACTCAAGTCGAGCGAACAGGTACAGTCGACACTCTCCGTGGACGAGTTCTCTGCACTTTGTTCTACGAGCCGAGCACTCGAACCTCGACTTCGTTTGAAGCCGCGATGAAGCGTTGTGGTGGTGAAGTCGTTCAGGTCACTGCTGGATCCAGCTCAGTCGTCAAGGGAGAATCTTTGGCTGACACAATCCGCACGGTCGGATGTTACGCCGATGCGATCGCGCTTCGACATCCATCAGTTGGAAGCAGTAAATCCGCCGCGAAGACTTCGCCCGTGCCGATTTTGAACGCTGGTGATGGCGCCGGAGAGCACCCTACTCAGAGTTTGTTGGACGTTTACACGATCCGGGAGGAGTTGGGATCGGTCAATGGCATCACTATCACGATGAGTGAGTTTCAAAGGATGGTTTGACCTCGGCCGATCAGCTGACACGCACGACAGTTGGTGACTTGAAATATGGTCGAACCGTTCACTCTCTCGTCAAGATCCTGTCTTCTTACGACGTCACTCTCAACTTTGTCGCTCCTCCGACATTGGCCATGCCTGATTCCGTCAAATCAGAAGCTACAAAAGCCAACGTCAGATGGACCGAGCATCAAACTCTCTCCGACGAGGTCATCGCCAAGTCGGATGTTCTATACGTCACGCGAGTTCAGAAGGAACGATTCGACAACCTTGCCGAATATGAAGCCGTCAAGGACCTGTACATTATCAACAATGACGTCTTGGCGAAAGCGAAGGAATCGTGCATTGTCATGCACCCTCTCCCGAGGAATAACGAAATCGACCCAGAAGTCGACTTTGACACGAGGAGAGCGGCATACTTTAGGCAAATGAGATATGGCTTGTTTGTAAGTGATGCTTTGAGTATTTACAGGTGGACATCTCTTTGCTGATGGTCTACAGGTCCGCATGGCACTCTTGACCTTGGTGTTGGGTGCTTAAAAAGGGGTCTAGTGGAGTAAACATCAGTGGTTTTCGTTTCCGTGTCTGCGCATCTCTCAACATCATACCTAGACTATTTTGGATTCAGCAGAATCTCCCGTCTCATTATGCATTTACAACAATTGTCTGAACAGACGTGGCCTCGCCCGTCATTCTATCGTGTCAGTCTATGAATTGAATAATCTTGTGTGCTGTAGATCATGCCTCGCGAGCAGGATCTCCCCCAAAGGCCACGTCGTGGCTGGGCCAAAGGTTTCTGCATCGTATGCCCAGGCCCAAAACTCCTGCTGAACCTTCTTACGTGGCATTGTCTGGCCCTCAATCGTTGAAGTGTCCTCTTGATCCCTGAACAGTCCCGTCCCAGCGCCTCCATGAGACCTCATAGCGACCTCTACGAGATCCTTGAATCGAGTTGCCAGTAGGGATGTCGATTCATATGGTCCGACCTGGTTCAATCTCACCGCAGACGACAGAACAGACCTTGCATGGAGATAAAGATGCAGATGCAAGCATTGTTCTGAAGTCTGAGTCAGCCTCATGGGGCTTGCTTGTCGCATTACCGACCTCGGGTCAGATCCAAAGCTGCACATAAGATGGCAAAGCATATGGACAAGTGTCCGGGAGCTTTTCCAGCTCTAATTCTATGCTTGTACTTCGCGACGAGCTCATCTGCAAGTCGGGCATTCGTCCCTTCGTCGGGTCCAACGCGCTGGGTCTGGTTCTGCTGCCCTGCAAATGATCTCACGTACAGCATCAGGATAGCCACTCCTTGAGCTTTCGACGCTCTCCTCGCAACGTGCGAGAGCAGAGACGCTTCGTGATAATTGTCCAGGGTCTCGAGCCTGTCGATGACGGTAGGCAGATCCGAGTCAGATGGGTGATCGATGGCAAGATACGAGGTGGATGCCGTCCATGCGTCGTTCAGATATGGAACGGTGGTTGAGGCGTAATTATCCATTTCTGCAGTTCCAAATCGAGTGATCCATTCGCCTATCGAGTCGGACTTTGACGCCTTGGCAGTCGTTCCAGTGGTGGCTGCGCCCTTTGATCCACGAGCATCCCCTTCGGTCGACTTGAGAAATCCATGGGTCACGTACGATTCCAATCCTGAGGATGCTATAAACCCACCGGTGGGTAGATTTGAATCAGTCAAGATATACAGCAGATGGTTGGCCGCCGAGGACATCTTCTGGACTCTACAGGAGTACAGAGCTTACGATGAGCCCAGTGAGGGTCCAGCAGATAAAAGGCATGACGCTGATCAAGGACAATGCCGTCGACTGGACCGAGTTGGTGGAGGTTCAATTCTGAAATCAGGCACGACTTGGGTTCGAGATCTGAGAGAATACGTCCGGTCGACCAGAACCGATCGTGGGACTTTGAGACTCTTCTACTTATACACTCCGTCCAGATCAGTAATTCATCACTCGCTGAGAGCGAGCCGCCCTCCAGCCTTACAGCGTCCTCCCCCGATCCCTGGCCCTCCTCCCCTCATTGATCCTTTCTGCCAATCCGCCACATTCCCAATTCTCCGTGTATATCGCCGTGCCACACTCTAATTCCAACCCTCCTCCCATCCCACCCACCCTCGTGCGCCGTGCATTCATCTCGCCTTCACCTATTGTATGAGCTCTCGCTTCCTTTTGCTCAAGAGGAGGAGGACATCATCACTCGAGGACTTCAAGGGCGGACAATAGAGGCATAATTCTGGTCAGGACGACTCACATTCCCTGTCTCTTTGCTTCTCGTCGCCTCAAATCCGCTCGACTCCTTCCAAGCGTCGAGAGTGACGACACGCGCTTATTTTAAAGGTCAGTGATGAGTCCAGACGGGGTTTCTCGGTCTCTCGCCTGGTCCCAAGCTCGACTATGTGCTCATTCGGCGCGGTGATCGTCTCCTCAGTGTAACGTGTGGCTCACGCTTCTCGCAGCAGTGACCTTTACCCTTGGTCTGCCCCTCTACATATATCCTTTCGAGTGCTCCATACCCACTTCACGACATTTATGAACCCAACAAGCATCGAAACCTCAACATTACCAATATGAGCTCTATGCGAGGACGCGGCAGAAGTGGAGGAGGAGCACCAGGAGGACCAGGTGTCGCTGGTCGAGGTGGAGGTCCAGTGAGCGGAGAAGCTGGAAATATCAGGTAAGTCGGTATGTGGCGTCGAGCGAGGGCTGTGTATAATACGTGCTTGTGCTGACCAGCCACAGACGAGGTTCATGGCGTGGAGGTCCGCCTGGCTCTGGAGGATCTCATGCCTCTTCGCGTGGAGCTTCACCGGCTCTGGCCGGTGCGAGTCCTGCGCCGAGGCAGTCGATCAATGACCAGTAAGGATCTCCGCTAGAGGTTGCAGCTGCGATAGCTGACCGTCACGACAGTATGAATGAGATGGGCAAAGTAGGAGACAAAGCCAAACCGCAACCTAAAGGCGAGCCGGACTATAGCCTGCGCGCTCAACATGCTTACAATCTGGCAGGCTTCGCGACCGATACTGATATCTCCGGCACCTCATCGCCAGGTGCTCAACGCGAGCTCAAACCTTGGATTGGAGATGAGGCCACCTCTCAAGCAACGCCAAACTCTAATGGCAAAGCCAATGGAGGGCCTGGAAGGGACGCGGAGACCTTTGGCTCGAGCGGTGGTAGCAATATACCTTGGGATCAGTTTGAAACGAATGCGAGGCTATTCGGGACCAAGACCAGCTATCAGGAGGAGCTATACACTACCAAGCTCAACAGAGGAGGTGCAGATTACAAGAAGCGGGAGAAGGAGGCCGATCGTCTGGCTAATGAGATACTGGGCGTAAGTGTAGACGTTCCTCGTCATAACATGAGCTGATATGTCTTCAGCAAACTTCTGCCAATGTCCACGTAGCTGAAGAGAGAAATCATACGGGTTTGGAGGATGATTCGAAAGGAGAGGAAGAAAAGTGAGTCGTGCACTTGAGACGGCGCATTGACCTCTAGGTATTCCGGCGTACAGCGCAATCCGAATGCCTACGTGCCTCCCGCTGCTCGGAAGAGTGGTGCGCCTATTCCTACGCGTCCGTCGCAGCCTGGTACAAATACGGCAAAGGTCAACGGCAGCCATGCCCAGACTGCCCTGTCCCCGTCCGCTCAGAACGCTCCACTACCGATGGCCAAGACACCCAGCAGTCAAGGCATGACTGTTCCTCAACCTCCTGTCCGAGGCACCAGCGGCGATGTGCCGGCCTCTGAGAAGGCTCCGACCGACGCCAGACGGGCCGTCTCTCCCCAACCAAAAGCGTCAGAGCCCGTTGAATCGCAGGACAATCAGTCAAAGCCGACAGTCGTGGATCAGTTCCGCCAATTTGTCGGTACCGAGCGCGAGAGGGTGGAAGCGAAGAAGCAGACCATGATCAAGTTGGATAGGGAGAGGACTCTGGCGGACTTTAAGAAGTTCCAGACCAATTTCAAGGTGAGCACCAGCGCGTAGCACTGGCTGACTGGTTTCAGGTCCCGCTCCCCATGCCGAAAGACATCTTACCTCTTCTCTCGAAAGATGAAGAGAAGCAGAAGACCATCGAGGCCAATGCTGCGTCAAACTTGGAAAGTGTGAAGGCGCGGAAGACGTCAACCGATGCCACTGCGTCGATCAAATCTCCCCCATCTGGTTCGGGCAGCCGTAAGATCTCCATCCAGATTGCAGAGATTCCGCCTTTCAAGCCGAAGCAGCCTCCTCCTCCACCGCCTCAAGTGACTTTACCGGAAAGCGCGAGAAATGATATCCCGCAAAGTACGAGCCCGACACCTTCAGCTACTTCACACGCGAGCAACACGATTCAGCCAAAACTGAATCCCAAAGCATCCGCATTCGTTTTCAAGCCTAACCCTTCTGCTGCTGCATTCAAACCTGTACGCTTGCTCCTCTCCGTTAGGACTCGTCTGACTATTTTTACAGGGCCAACCTTCTTCTTCCCTCAGTCCCGCATCCATTCCTCCTCAGCCCGCTATTGCTGGCCCGTCAGCCTACAAAAACCCTTTCTTCCGCGAGCCTCCTCAAATACCTAAATCCATCAATCCGCGTGACGACTTCAATCCTTGGAAACATGATGCACCAGTTGCAGCGGCTTCTTCCATCCGTCAGTCTCAAAAGTGATCCCAAGTCTTGAGCTGACTGTCTTCTAGAGCCTCAATGGCCGTACACCGGACGCAAATACGGCTCTGGCATCATGAATCATCCATTGCAACCCATGCATGTGGGTGTCTTTGAGGAAGATCCAACTTCACCGCAGTCTGGGCCGCCGATGCCCATGCCCGGCATGCCTCCGAACTTCTCCCCCTATGGATATCGCTTCGGGGTGGGATTATTTGTGATTACTCGGTGCATGTACTGACCGCGCCTCAGCCTGGAATGCCGCCCCAACAGATACCAGGTCAGATGCATTCCAATCCGATGTTCTCCCCCGGGCCCGGTTTCAATCATCTCCAAGGTGGTCCAATACCACACGTCCACATGGCAGGAGGGCAGCCTCAGCCCAATGGCAGTGAGCTCGCAATCATTTTTCCCAGTCCTTTTGGCTCACTCCATTCAGTGCCAATGTACTTTCAAAACGGTATGCCTCGTGAGTCAACCCGTATTGCAATTTTCAAGATGCTGACTCCTCCACAGAAAACCCTCAACATTTCATCCCTCCTCAACACATGCCATATAATCCTAACACACCCACTCGCCCTGGTCCCGGTGGACCGAGTCCAAACGGCATGAACGCACCCATGTATTTCTCCAGCAATCTCCCGACACCACAGCAAACACCTCAGAGTGCGTTCTGACAGGTTGTTCAAGGTCAGGGCTGACAGGGCTATAGTGCATCACAACATTCTACAACCACCTCCGCCACACGCTCAGTTCTCAACATCACCCATCCCGCATCCTCAAATGCCGCAATAGTACAACATGTTGGGAGAAGAGGAGGCGAGACGCCTGGCAGCGACAGTGAAAAGAGTGTTTGTCTCGCTTCGATCGGTCGCCTGTCATTCTTGCACGAGTATCCTGTTGACTCCAATGGAGAAATGAGACTCGCAGCATACGAGACGGGGACCTAGACGGCAGGCCGGAGAAGTCAAGCTTTAGCCAGAGCTGAGCCGCAATGGTCGTATGCATATTGCATACCTTGTAGATGTACTGACGTCGAAAATCTCTCGAGCTGCCGCCGACCCTTTGGCACCCGTTGCGCTCTACTTCCTTACACCCACACTGGGCGATCCTTTCGGTCGCCCCTTCTGGATCCTTTGTATACTGACCCTCTCATTCGGCAGCTTGGGCGTTTCGATTGGCTGAAATCCAGAGATCAGGCATCCCGAGGACATGAGATGATTTGTTTCGATCTATCGGAATGCGAATTTGCGCGTTTACGTCTGCTTGAGGTTTGGAATCCCGTCCGCAACACTTCTTTCGAACATCGGTTGGAGGAGAGATCACGACATACTATCGTTGCTGGTGGGAAACGCATTGAACCAAAGCCAGGCGACATCCTCGGCACTACTGGTACTTCCTCGTCTTAAAACGATTCTCTTCTTTAGCTTGAAGCGTCAAGGCCTATCCTCCGTTCCACCCCAGCCAGCGGTCATCCACGTCTAGCGTGGTCGCCCGATCGCGATCTTGCTTCCGATATGAGCGAGAAACGGACCGGCGATGAGAGATCACGATCGAAGTCCAGCAGGCGGACAGGGTCGAGATCAGCCAAGAGGTCAAAACCCCGTCCTCCACGAGCTGAGAAGGACTCATCAGCACCAGCAGCTGAGGACCTCGGCCGCGATCGAGATCCAGAAAAGAGACCTCCAGACCCGTTTGAAAACTATCAATACCCTAACGATAGAGGATTTCTCCGGATTCTCCTATTGCTCTTGGAGCTCCTAGGTGTCGTTTTATTGTTTGTCCTTTGCTTTGCTCCGCCTAATCTGGCGAGTGGGAGTGTAAGCGTGCTGAGGGATACTGCCGGAGAAGAGTTTGTCGGCGTACTGAGTGAGTCAGATGAGCTATCGGCCGTTTTTTCGAAAATGCTGATGCAGTCTGGGGTCAATTGGCACAGGGAAATGTTCTGCTTCAACGTGTGATCCTTGGCTTGGGGGTGAGCGAACTGAGCCCCCAAGGTACGAGACCTGTATCAGCTGACGCTGGCTTCTTTCCCAGGCTCGACAGATGCCTCCTCTGCATCTTCCGACTCTCTAGACTTTCCAACAATGTACCTGACCACTGGCCTGGCGACCCTCTCAGCCTTTTGGATCCTCCTCTACCTCCTCATCTTCACATTCATCCGCTTCGCCTTTTTCGGCGTACCTCCATCAATCGAGAGCTCAGGTAAGAGACAAGCTTGGAAACGATTCGCATATCGCGCGACGCGAGTGTGGTTAGTCGTTCTGTGTATCCTGATCGGTGCGATATTACTCGACGTGATCGTCAAGGGGAGTCAATATAGGAGTTTAGAGAAGCTCAGTGGGATAGACGGTGTAGGACCAGGCATAGCCAGTGAGTCTTTGCGATATCAATTCCAAAAGGTTTCGGGGGGAAGTATCTGCTAAATCCTCTTTTTTTTTTTTCGCAAACAGTGGTTCTGTTCGCTTGGTTATCATGCGTCGTCTGTACGATCATTGAACTTGGTGGCGAGCGGACGCATCGATTCTTCAATGCTGCTTCCTGTGGGATGGACTGGGGATGTTGTGGTGTGTTTGAATCGAGAGCGATGAACAAGGATGAAGGAGGTATAGAGATGGAAGAGAGAGGTCGCTCGGCCGAGCGCAAGACGCGATAAGCTGTGAAGTTGGTCGTTTAGACATTCTTTGGGATTCTATAGGCGGTTTTCATGGATGTTCGTATCGTTGCTGATGAGAAGTTGAAGAATCAAATGATGGCAGTCTCCGTCGTTATATAGCTCGGCGTGCGGTCGCAGTCAGACACCTCGCCAAGCTGTGCTCGCTGAATGATCTGCACCATTTTGAACGATGTGCCACATTCCAAATTTTCGTCAACATTAGGGGCAAAATAGCCAGGGATTACATTGCCTCACATCATTCAAAAGCATCATCATTCATATCTTTTCAATTCGTCTCAGAACAACTGCTCGGCGAGACAGTCTCAGTGGAACAGGGACCTCAAGCACCTTATCTTTGGCGCAATCTCTCCCTCACTTCTATAGAATACTCTATACACAATGTCAGCTAAGGACGTGAGTGCATCTCCCCTGAAGGACACACAAAGCCGCCGCCCCACTCGTCCGGCTTGAGCGCTGATCGTCGGGATTGTATATCGCAGTACTACGGTAACCAGTCAGTTTAAAGACCTCCCTTCCATTTTCCGTTCCTCCACATAGATACGGAGGAGTGTCTTTCCTCCACTGCTGATGAGGCAGGTAGCTGACGCTATGCCTCTCTGGCTGCTCCACCAGACAACAACAGGGAGGATACGGTCAACCTCAATATGGCCAACAGCAAGGCTATCCTCAACAACAAGGAGGATACGGTCAACAGCAGCAATATTACCCACCAGCTCCTCAGGTGAGCTACAGCGACTATGGGTCCACTCCATTTGCCAAGCTCACTCGCTGCCCTTCCGCAGCAATCGTATCAACAGCCTCAACAGCGTGAGTAATGGTTGCCTCACAGCGGATGGACCAGTGGCATGGCAAAAAATTGATGGCCTTGGCTTCGCAGAATACTACCAGCCTCAACCTCAGCCTCAACCAGTCTATGTCCAACAACAGCGACCACAGGGTAATCAAGGTGGTGGTGGCTGTTGCTCGGGTTGTTTAGCCTGGTGCGTTACATGGTTGCGACGTTTTCAAATCATATACTGACTGTATCGCCCTTCCCTCTCATCAGCTGTGCCGGAGGTGAGTAATCATGGGATCAACCTTCCATGCCTCGCTCACATACCTGACCCCTTGCAGCTCTGTGTTGTTGTTGTGCCGAGGAAATGTGCTGCGACATGATGTTCTAAATGTGGATACGTCTCGGTCTTGGCATCCAGGAATGGCAGGGCGTCAAGGTTCATGGACTATGGTTGCAAGGCTTTACTGACCCCGTTAAAGCAAGAGTGGTCATAGGATGACGAAGGGACAGCATGAGACATGTATAGTCTTGGAGCACAAGACAAGATTCTGACTGTCCAACCCTCCGCTTGATGTCCTCTATCTCCTCCCTACTGACCTTGCCGACCGATTTCACTTGCTTGACCAGAAGGCAGATGTCTCCTTCGCTCGCTCTGAGACATGGTCGACATTCGAATGTTTTCGGGACGAGCTCGTTCCATGATTCGGCGTCGCTCGGATCCAAGCGGTTCATAGACAATTCGCTTCTCGATCACTTCTCGTCCTTCCGCCCAGCGCATGTCGGCGCCTAGAAATCCTTGTTCAGTAACGACAAAATCCAATACGATACATTCAAAGCTGCTCACTAACCATGCCGTCTACTTTGATATTGCCTTGACGCCGTTCGAGTAGCCTCGAGCATTTGACAAGAAAGATGGAGAAGATGAAAAAGAAGCTTAGGGACATGCCGAAAATGATCACTTGAGACAAAACGACACGAGGTATATCAGCAGACGATAACCGATCACTCAGACATGCCAACTCACTCGAGTCCGCCAGCTGGTTTGTCCTGAGGATCAAGTATCCTCTGCCGATTTCTCCGTGATCCTCATCTCTAAAGTGTGGAACGGGGAAATCGGACGGTATCACGTTGGGGACTGGCCCGTATGGTCAGTTAGCTTCCTGTCTGTCACAGATGGTCAACATTGAACTCAGCTTACAGATCAATGAGCCAGATGCAGCTGAAGAGGTTTCAATGGGCGTGATTGTCGACACTGAGGTGGAATGAAGTGTGATGCTGGTACTGCTGGTACTGCTGCTGATGTTGGTGCTGATGCTCGAGCCCAGAGACGACGAAGCTTGGGACAGTGTGCCGAGGGACAGTGACGATGACGTTGACGCAGTTAAAGAGGATGGACGAACTGACACGGACGACGTAGAGGGTTTTACTTGTGTTGTCGTCCTTCCCCTTGTCCTTGTCGTCTCCTCGTCTGCGTGATCATCCTTCGCGTCAGTAATGGTAAATACATCACCCAGTCCAAGCTGTCGCCGGCGTCGCCCCCTTCTCTGAGACTTTTGTCGAGCAAGATGAGGCAGGATCATTGCTGCGTAGAAACATTGGGCAAGATGAGGGATATCAAAGGGTTCGCTCATGGTTTTTTGGGTCATGAATCGTTATTGGCCCTCCTTTGTCCTGTCACCTTTTGCGAGCCGGCGTAGTCCATGGCAGCGGAGCAGTATCACGTCTGCCTTTGAACCTGGGATAGATTGTGTGACTGCAGCGCGAAAGACATGGCTGACGCCCGCTTACAGCTTCATGTCGAGCGCGTAGATGATACATCTAGAAATAACAAAGTATACGTCGAGAAGTCTACAGGGATGGAGAGAGACATGTGTGCGAAAGATCTGCGTCGACAGATCTGAAGAAGATGCAAGGGTGCTGTGTTCGAGGCAATGAATGGTGGATTGATCCGTACGAAAACGAGTGTATCCCAACGTTCGCAAGAGTGGCGTGTGACGTTTGAGTGATGAGTGCCGAGCGGAAGGAGCGACGAGTATCCGAAACGGTTTTAGGTCAAGATCAGAGCGGGTTGCCCAAACAAAGTCATCAAGAAGGCGCTCCTGTCGGGATTGGTCTGTCAGCTCAGTGGCCCGATTCCCCGCAACATCTGCCACTCACCCCTCCTTCACTTTCCTTCTCTCTACCTCTCTGGCGATGATGGAGTCCGCACTCTCCTCCTCCAGGTCATCATCACTTCCATTGACACTTCCCGCTGCACTGCCTCCGCTCCTGTAACCCTCTTTCAGCTGAATTTTGAAGTACTCCTCATCCTCCGGCTCGTCAATGATCGCTGAATCGAGATCCAACCTGAACTCGGGAACGTCCATAGATGCCTTTGGTGATCGAGAGGAGGCAGGCTGTTGTTTCGAGTATGATCGAGACCGAGATCGGGACTTGCCGACGACCACGCTGCTCCTCCTGACATGAGGTTTGAGCTCTTTTTTCGGCATGGTGGGCGAAGCGAGGCCGGGTGAGAGTCGGATACAGCCCCAACCGACGGTCAAGTGCGTATGCGTAGGAGCGGGAGATACAGGTCTCGATGTCGGCACGGCTCGAGGTGATCCTGGGACAGAGGATGGTGCGGCAGAACGCGCCAAGAGTCGATAAGAAGCGGGAAGCGAGTGCACAGATTGCAAGTATGCAATGAGGGTATGAGTATGCGATAAGGTCGTATCGCGAAGGGCATGCAGAGTGGAGAGGTCTGGAGAGACGATATGAGTATGAGAGACATGATTGCACCCTTGGCCTAGTGAAGCTCGCTCACCTTGGAATGATCCTGGACTCCAGACAGGAATGTCGACAATGAATTCGACCTTTTCCCCGTCCCAAGTATCTGATAAGCTCCCGCCCAAGCTTCTCCCTTGACGTTTACGCCCTTGATCATCCCGAGGTTCTGGTCGATATTCCGATTGGCCGCGGCGAGAATGATCGGTTCGTTGTCTGAAGAGATGTACCACTTGCTCTGCAAATGCTCTGGTATCACCTTCGACAGGTTTTAGAGGTTTTCCACCGCCAGTGGTGCTCCGTGATAACAAGGGGGACTGATACGGTCTCACAGGAGGAGCTCGGGCGAATGAACGGGAAGAGATCATCTGAGGTGAAGCGGGTGGCGTGAGTCGGGAGGGATCGTAGCCGTTCGAATTGGATGTAGAAGGGGCCGAAGAGTTGTAAGTGGAAGAAGGCGTCATGGATGATGATGTGGTGGTTGTTGATGGGAGTAAGCGTGGAGCTGGGAGAGGAGAATGAGAAGGGGAAGATTTCGCCATGGAAGATGCCAGTGGAAGAAGAGAGGGCGAAGACGTAGGGGATGGGTTCCGACTACAGTGGGCGGATGAAGGCGCATGAAGCGCTGATGAGGAAGAAGTCATCATGGCAGTTGTCATGGCGCTGGGCGGAGCCGAGCCAGGACAAAAACCTCCAGGTGTAGTTGTCGATGGTCGTGCTTGGCTTGAACCAGCCCGAAAGCGAGCGCTTCAAGGGGAGAACCTGTTTCCTTGAAGAAGCCAAGCGAGAAGACGAGAGTCGCTTGTATGAAGGACAAAGGCTTGTTTGAGAGATATTCTCTCAACGATCAATCGTCGATCTGTGTGGGGCCGCGACGGTAAGAACAAAGGATATGTGGAATGTATGGCTTGGGGAGCGTCTTCACCCAAGGATCGGTAGGGTTTGTCGAAGCCGATGCAACGTCACTATGCTTCTGGACACGATCCAGAACGTAGCGATGATGATGATGATGGACCAACTTGTGTGTGGAATGCGCGCCTGAGTCTTTCTGACGGGAAAAAGGTTGTCAGCACCGGAAATTGGGAATCGAGGGTTTCCGAAAGCCCTTTGGAGCGAGTCGTGTGACTATTGAGAGTCACAGCAGATGCAAGTGGGTCAGAAGACCCCAAAAGCTGATGTGAGGGAGGGTAGCCACCTTCTTCTTCTTCTTCTTCTTCTTCTTCTTCTTCTTCTTCTCGAGCATTCAATTCTGGATCGAGTATCAAGTACAGATAAACTATCCAACAGTGCAAAGCCAAGGAGGTCATCGGAATCAGACTACCGGACTTCCGATCTGGGCCAGACCCACAAATAACATTCCAAGATCCGAGGGGAGGTTTAAGACGGTGCCAGTCACTCACCACCGTGTAAACCTGTTGTCAAGGCGTGAGCCTGCTTCTTTGCTCAATTGCACTGTGCTGCTTGCTTTGGAGTATATCGCTGCTAGCCAGTCACCTCTACCACGCACTCAGCGCCAACAAACCAAGCAGCCAACAAGCGAGTTTTTTGTCTATTCCGCCTTTATTTGGGTGGATTATCGGGAAACATCGGAACATCACCTCCTCCTTAATAAATGACGTCTTCCAATACTATTTATTACCCGGAACAGAAGTGACTGCTGTCTCAGTTCAGGTGCTGAACATTTTGGCACATGGTACAGTAGTACAGTAGTAGACATCAAGCCTCTCCAGGTATCGGCCTTCACAAAAGTATCGGACTAGCCTTCCAGAGTCCAGAGCCCCCCGAGCCCCCCGATCCCATCTTATGGTCATCATCATCATCCATAGAATCTCACAACGTCTCGGCGAAACGTCTCACCGAAAACTCACCGGCATCGGCCCGGACATCACCGGGGGAACGGTCCGAGATTATTTTTCCGTCGAGACCATTGCGTTTCCGTCTATGTGCCCAGATGCATGCTGCTGCTCAGAAAGATCAAACAGAGAAGAGAAAAGGTATAATAAGTTGCTTCTTATGGAGAGGAGGGATGAGATCAGCCACTCAAGGAATCATATGCAGCGAGGTCTAGAGGGACGAATGGGAGATGTCGGGTCCATTTCCTCCGTAGTGTGCACAGGGGGTCTCCAGCAGCCTTCTTCCCGATTCTCCCGTGCGTTCTAGTCATCTCCATCTACTTGCCTCCAGTCTGCTTGAAAGTAACCAGACCAGCGAGTGAAATGCTGCGAGGCCGTGAGCTGGGAAACATGCTAGCTAGGTGGACAGAGCGCTCACGAGTATCCAACAACCTGGATAGGAGTGATGGGAGATCCAAAGGCCAAGACAGATGCAGAGATCAGTAGCTGGAGTGAGGCGTCAGGATCTATCCTCGCGTTATTGTCCCCATAATCCAACTCACAATGTCCTTGAAAACACCGGCAAGGGTCAAGATGAGTCCTGAGCCAACACTGATGAGGAAGACCGCAGCAACCTGGATATATTTCAGCTATTATACTCGATACCTTTTGGCTTGTCTCTCGCTCACATTCAGCGCAAATGCGATACCGGCATTGGTGAAAAGGACGAGAATACCGACCCGGTGAAGGGCGTAAAATGGTTCCATGCCCTCAGTGAAAGGGATGATGAGCAGGTTGATGGCGGCACAAACGGGCGCAAAGTAGTGCAACGACACGATGGGGTCCATCTAGGCGGGGAATCATCGTCAATCAATCAATCATATATCTTCGTTGACGCATTCGCCCACCTTGAGCCCGTGGAGGAGAAGCTGAATCATGATCAATCGCGAGGCTTCGAAAAGGAGGGCCAAGCATTGACAGATGAATCCGAACATTTCAAAGTGCAGTTCTCCGTAAGCAGCTGCATTGGACATCAGCTGGAATAGGGTCAGGCAGTTGTGAGTCTACGCACCAAGAGAACAGCCGAGGGAGATCATCTGGCAACTGAGTGAGCAGTGTATCGTAGCTGGACGTCAACATAAGAAAGCTCACAAAGACAATGAGCATCAATCTGCCGTTGGGCTCCTGAATCCTGAATGCGAACGAGATCAAGAGAATGGCCACGGGGTTGAAGGCCTAAGCAGAGATTTCAAGAGATCAATCGGATGGGAAATATTCCTGACTCACCTTGAGCATTTGGATGAAAGGGACACTCAAAGTAAGATAGGCATAATTGGACAAGATCAGGGATCCAGAGAACAAGGCACCGATAGGTAAAATGTTCTTGACAAATCGGTCTCGCTGAGCACACATTGGTGTCAATCAAAGGCCGCCGTGGGTGATGAAAAGCTCTTACAGTCATCTCAATGTCCTTGACTCCGTCGACGAGGGTGGTAGTCCTCAGCAGTACTCTGGTAGCGATGGCCTGGGTCCATGGGTCATCGGCTGACACCCCATCTTCGAAGGATCTTTCACTCACTGAGAAGGCAAGATGCCAAGTTGTCAAAAAGACAGGGTAAGGGAATTGAAGGGGGTCATAGATGTATTCTGGGCGAAGGCGTCAGAGCTGAAGCTACCATGTTGGGAGGTTTCCGTCTCACTGTTGTACAGGATGACAGTGATGGAACAGGCCATCCAGATAGGGATGACTGGTCGTACGGGGTCAGCGAAATCATGGCGTTGCAACAAGGGAAACATAAAGGGCAAGACTCACTGATGTACGCGGGGATAGAGATCTTCTTTGCTTGGCCGGCTGAACGAGGGGACGCCCTGTTGATTTGCAGCGAGCGAGTTTTACAAAGAGAAAAAACGAGAACACAAGGATATCAGCAGCTTATCGCCTAGATGGGAGGATACGACTATGTGCGCTGTCGAGTGTCTTACACAACTCACTTGACTTCAGCGTGAGCTCCACTCAGGTCTTTCTCGACGTCTGAAGCTCTAGGCATGGCCTGATAGTACTCCGAGATCAGCGACACGTTCAATGGATAATACCATTCAACGTTTTGACATACCATGAGGGGTACACCCGATTCGGCATCCTTTTCATTGTTCGTTGAGCTCATGATTGGCTGGCTGGCAGTGTGGAGAGCGGTATTGGGCTGTAGTAGGAGCAAGCGTTTCTTCCTGTTATTTGATTCAATAATGTTCCAAGATAGATCTTTGGATTGAGAATTTGTGAGGAATCGATCCCAAAAATGCGGTGTGTGTCTCCTACACACGGGAAGGGGAAAAAAAGTCAATGGGGGGGGCGTTCGCGTGTTCAGCCAAAAATGTGCGGTGACAGGAATGGCGGTGGACACGAGTTGGACAAGCGATTGTGAGAGAGAGGGTGGGAGCGTGTGTGTCTGTGTGTAGAGATGATCCACTTCTCACTCACCCTGGTAGCTTGCAGGAGGATTTCCAGCGATAGAGAACAAAGTTGGCAGAGATAAATGATGGGACCGAGACAGAAATCTGTGCGGGAAGCCCCTAGAGCAGCTAGAGCTGCTTTCTATGTAGCACGTGTCAAAACGGGAAGCTCCGGCGCCGCATCTCCCGATCCTTTTGGGACTAAATGCCACGTCATGACAAACCGGGGATTTTTCGACTTCTTCCTGTCGCCTGCTCGTAGGTTTGAAATGCCCTGCAAGTTCATGCGAGTTTGGTATCGATTCGAACCGCATCCCTGCTGTAATAGGTGACAGGCAGGCAGATCTTTGAGACCTTTGAAAAGCTTCGTAGTCAATCGCCTTGGGACCTGGCTTCCCCCCTGCTTTCACCATGTACGCCTCACCGTCCACTCTCCAGCTGGCCCTCTCACGAGCGCTTCGAAAGACACCCCAATTCCCACTTCGACATTGTTCTCTCGATGAAATAGTGATGACGTTGGAGACGGACAAGAAGAAGTTGGAGTTCCCATTGGAGAAAGGTGTGAAAGCCATATCTTTCAGGTACGACCAGTGGGGAATGTCGAAAGGGTTCCGGTGAGTGATTCCTTTTCTCGAGGCGATTCCACTTCTTCTTCACCGCATGTCCGCCGCCTCTAGGTCGGCATGTTTCATGCTGTTGCGAGCAACACGTCGTTAGGCATTCCCCTGTACCTACTCCGTGCTGAGCTACCCTGCTGTAGATTCTTGAGCTGACACACCGCCAGCGAATTCATGAATCGTGATATCCCTCGCATCAAATATGCCAACCCTCGCGTGACCATCCACACTTGGCAATTCACCAAAGAGCCCTACCCTCGAGACAGTATCGACGCGTCCAATGATCCTCAAGCAGGTCTGCTGAAAGTTTCCAAACGTGCGAAAGAGATGAAGAAGAAACGAGAGAAGGAGAGGCAAGCACAGCTCGAAGAGGAGGCTTTGGCTCGATCGGAAGCGTTATCGGAAGCTATGAAGCGGCTGGGTCAGAGTCCACCTCAGGCCACAACTCGCGAGGCTAGAGCGACAACGGGACAATCTTCGTCTTCATCTTCATCCTCTGATCCGATATCGAGTACTTTGACCTCTTCCACATCCTCCTCTTCTTCCTCCAACAACTCCCCCACGGCTCCGTCCACACCATCTTCCGCCTCTTCTGCTTCCCCATCTACCTCAACATCAGACACATCCTCAGATCCTTCCTCCTCGTCCTCGTCCTCCGCCTCCGCCTCCTCGTCCTCCTCGTCCTCATCATCATCACCATCATCATCAACAACAACAACAACAACAACCACCTCCACCACCTCCCCCTCCGCCTCCTCCTCCATGCTGAACCGCACCCAAACCGTCAAATCGCCTAAAGAATACACTGGGATCCGTCCCGATCCGCTGGAGCTGGATAATGGGGCTTGGAGACAGAGATTCAGAGCGGCAAAAGAAAGACAAGAGTTGGAACCGACAGAAATCGTCATTGAGTATGGTGAGTCGAGTTACCGATACGGATTCAGCGCGCGGGGCGGCGCGGCGACGCCCGGGTCTTCCTATGCAAACGGTTCTTTACTTCCTCGCTGACGCTGACTGACCATTACCACCGCCTATCGCCATGCCAGATGCACGACCACCACGCACGATCAAATTCGCCGGAGAGGATGGTCATGAGCTCGTACAGCAGATCCTTGATATCGTGCACGATAAGCACGTCTTGGTCGAAGGGCAATAAGAGTTGCGGGAGCCAAAAAAAAAAGGGTGGCGGGGCGTGTTCTGGAGTCGAGAGGAGATGAGGCTATCACATGAATGGACAGTCACACAGCTGGGATCAGCTGCATAGCATTCATTGCATAGTTTTCACAGTCATGAATGTCACCATGAACGCCCGGCGTGCAGTTTATTGCGCAACCGGTGTCACCCTTTGACGATCACCACGCACATATAATCACCACACCATGGCATGCAAATCATGAGAGCCCAGGTAACAAATGCTAGAAACGCCTAAAGTCATGATGATGCCTTCTCACAAACAGCCAATGTCCCTTTGTTTTTCGATAGAACTTGACGCCTCTCGTCCCCGCTGCCTGCCTGGCTGCCTGCCTGCCTGCGCCCCAGCCCGATACGATGTCTCTAGCTCACTGCGTCGCGGAGACGACAGGCTCCTGACCAAAGTACCGCCTGACCAACTCTTCCCATATTCTTTTCTTTTCAGCCGCTGCTCCCCCTTCACCACTCATCAAACTCTTATTCTCGATCGCCCTTCGACCAAGGAACGGAATGACCTGAGACGGACAATATCGGTCAGTATTGCGCTCCCCGGGCGCTGAACACAGCCCAATCTCACCTCGTCCAATTTCCCATATGCAATGTATTTCAAAGCGATTGGCTGATTACTAGGTTCAAAGGATTCTACAGCCTTGTCCATCAAATCGTCTTTCATTCCTAGCTCAGCCGATCAGCGTTGCCTCGATTGCGATTGCCAATGACAACTTTTCCTTTTTCTACTCACCGTATAGCTGGGCGATACCCACTCGTCCCTTGACATCTTCCCTCATTCTCAATTTACCACCTTCCACCTCCTTTGCCAGTCCATTATCTTTTAGTCCTTTGAAGATGAGGTCGACGGAATCGGGGTTATGCGTTCCGAACACCACGGCGAGAGCATATGCTGGATCCGTCTTGAGTTGTTCAGACAAGGTAGAGAGGATATGCGTGACAGCCCAATTGTACGATTTATCAGTGGATGATTTACTGGGTGAGGTTTCTCTGTCTCAGCATTTGTTTCCACATTGGAATTCTGACAGACACCGCTCACTCTTTCCAGATTGGGTCTGCACCTTCCCTTCCTTCGTCCTTCCACTTCTTCCTCTCTTGCAGAAAGTAGGCACCACGAACGACCTTGAGACCCAGAGCATAGCCATTGTCTTTGGCGTGTTGGATTGCAGCAGGCAGGTGAGTAAGTTGACGAACGAGGTAGGATTGGAATGTTCCGCTGCAGGGGCAGAATGAGCGCGTCAGGAGACAGTCGTCCTTGGCAGATGGAACAAACACTCCCAGGACATGAATGACCACTCACTAGATCAAGGGACCGCTCCAATTTCCATCTTTGGGCGGACGGTTGAATTTCTCACACAAAAGAAGAGTGTAAGCGTCAAGTGCGGGCTGATACCATGTGTGTTCGGCGTCAATCATCAGTCGAACCCTACAAGGAAGCAACAATGTCAATTGTTTGTTTTTTTCCTCTATCCCTTCTCTAACCATGCCCACTCACCCATTGGCCTTGGCCTCTTCTCCCATCTTGCACAATTTCTCCCACATGGAATGCATCTCCTCCAAGTCAGACGGTCGGACGCCTTCATCCGAAGCGAGAACACCCATGGACGGTACGGCGCCCTAAGAGGGGGTCGGGTCAGGTCACTATGCTCTCATCCCTCGGCCGCCTAAACTCTCGCAAGATTTCTCAGCGTTAACTCACCTCGAGCTTGAAGATGGATTGATCAGTTGATCCCGGTAACGAAGCGAGCACGCGTGCGTCTCCAGAAGCTGGTGTACCGGGATACGGTACAGCCTCGTCCTTTGCTGAAGTGGCTTTGGAAGATTCAGAGTATCGTAATCGGAGCAGGGTGGTGGATGCCCTTTGAAGGATAGCAGGGTCGATGAGACCGGTCTAGACACCGGAAAAAAGAAAAACGATCAGCCAAGCGCTCGACTCGCTCCTCCTCCCAAACGTTTGCTGGCACCCTCTCGGTGGGGCAGTTGGAAGTTTGCATTGGCGAATGCACTTACAATCTTCAATGCAAACCCTGTTGATCCTCTGGCCCCAGCTCCACTTTTCGCCTCGATATCGTCCTCGTATATTCCAGAAGCCCTCAATGCTCTAAATACCTCGTCAAGACGTTGTTTCTCCAATGCTCTGGCCTTGTCTGCAGTCGAAGAGGGGATCGTCGATGCAGGTCCCACGGATCCATCGGTACCTCCTGGTCCACCTGCCACAGCTTTCGGAGAAAGAGGGACAGCGCTCGCAGCCGCAACGTCCTCCTCGACTTCCGCCGAATAATTCAGTACGGCTCCTACACCTCTTTCTCTCAATGTCTTCATGGCTCGAGTGCATTCCTCTACCGTTTCTCCAGGAACGAACTGAGCGAAAAAGGTGTGTCGTATTCCCCATTCTGTCAATGCTTTGAGTCCTGGCATAGGCGCTTTGGACAAGATGGATAAGATGCGAGGAGCATTATCGATAATGAAGGGGAAAGAGCAGAGCGAGTAGACAAAGTAAGATCGGAGAAGAGCGGGAGTGGAAAAGACTTGGATAGAGGGGATGGTATGTCCATGTGCGGCAGACAATACAGAGGAGGAGGAGGTGGAGGTGGTGGCAGTGGTCGTCGCTGCGCTGGTCCGATTCATAGGTGTTGACGTGTGACTTCGTCTAAACGCGCTCGGTCCAGGTCGACTGAGCGGAGTGCCGTAGGCCGGACCACGAAGCATAGGATTCAGGAGTGCCCGTGAGAGGGGCATGGCGGAACGAGGAGTCAGAGTGACCATACTGTGCGTGAGGTTGTTCGTGTGGATGTGTGCGTGTTCAGGGACTTGGACGTTCCAAGTCGAATGCAACTATTGGATCAGGTCAGCATGAGTTAGTTATCTGTAACATGGGCAACTGGTGACGAAATTCTGCCTATCAACTGTGTGACTCACCGTACGGAAAGTTGTTAGAACGAGGTCGCCACTTGTCAAAAACAGAGATCTTGCCACTCCGGAGCGATGAGCTCACTGTCGACGTTACAATGGCAGCAATGGCAGCTCAATCAGTCCAGTGGATTGATACCGTTCGACAAGACCTCTAAACGCAGATCGCTCTCATTTTCCAATTCTAATTTTTTTACACGCTTCGGCCCTTATTTTGTTTATCGCGGCGTCCCGTCCGGTAATGTGGAAACAGGTGCTCCGGCCGGTCTTGGGCAGCGTGGCGAAGATATGCATTAATATAATAGTCGTCGAGGGTAGAGAGAGAGGTCAGGTCATGTCATTATAGCAACACACACACACAGAGAGACAGAGAGGGGGGGAACAGAGACACAGTACAGTGCTATGGAGAGCAAGCTCAAACAATCGTCTAGTACAGTATGGTATTAAAAAAGATGGGGAGGTTGGGTCAATGCGGAGCATAGAGGCCAGAATAATGCTGCTGGTTGGTGAACATGCTGATTCTAGGTTCACGAGGAAGAAGGAGGTGACCGATGGTCCCGTGTATAACGATCCGGTTCTATGATACAGTGATGTGCGTATACAGTGTGTCGTCGCGTCGGAAAAGAAAGAGTGTTTCATTGTCCAATATGTCCAATAGGTGGGGAGACAGAGGATGCACCTCGCTACGCCATCCTCGCTTTACGTCGAGGAGAAGCGACTCCGTGAGGTACAGCAAGCGAAGGCACGGTGCCTCTCGGAGCACCCAGATGGTTCATCGACCCAACGCTGGGTAGACTGTTGAATGGTCGATACGCTTGACCCAGTTCCCCAACGTAGCCAGGTTGACCTCCCCACAGGGCTTGAGGCGATGGTTGAGGGTACATGCCACCGTGTTGTGAGACATGAGAGTGGTGCGGAGCATGACGATGAGATGCGTAACCCATCCCCGGATGGCCCACATGAGTCTGATGAGGCGATGGCTGACGGGCTTGGTGGTGGTGAGACGTCTGACCGGCCAGTTCGTAGAAAGAGGGGTATTTCTTGGTACCAGGTTGCATGTGCGGACTGACCGGTAAGGAGGTCTTGCGGGCCGAGTCAGATGTCCGCTGTTGTTGACGAGGGAAGGATCCGTAGAAGCTCTGTGAGCGCGCTGCGGCGCGAGAGTCGGCATTGGATGGGCGAGGCGATGCCGCATAGACCTGAACGCTGGGTAGGCGAGCGGGTCCATTCGCTGGCAGATGTGAGCTGTATGTCCCTACGGGCGGACCCGCAGATGTCGGAAGACTCTTCGTTTCGCCCCTGGATTGTTGTCGGGAAGTTTCCTGCTCACGTCGCCGCTCAGATTCAGCTCGTCGTTCACCTTCTCCAGCGTTGTTCGCATTACGCCTCTCTCTCGCTCTGGCCACTTGGTCCATGACCGTGGGATCAGGTCTGTCGTCGAACCGTGCAACCTTTCGCCCATCCCGAGCGACACTCGAGCGTGATTCTCTCGAGACAAGGACGCTCTCTCGGACAGACCTTCTGAACGCTTGACGATCGGCTTCTTGACCAGCTTGGGAAGAGGCGCGAAGTCGAGGTGAGGAAGGAGGTGCCAGGTCCTGCGATGATGGCGTAGGCATACTCGGGAAGCTCCGGCGATGTTGAAGAGGCTTCACGACAGGACTATCTTCATCCTCATCGTCGCTCTCTTCATCGGATGAGTCCTCAGAGCTCTCGTCCCACGTCAGAATCCTACTTGCCCGCTTGAAAGAGGACTGAGGGAGGTCGACAATGTCGTTGGGCCCCACGTCGGTCGATGCACCACTCTCACTCAGCGCACTACTGCTACTGCTGGCCGAGAGGGTGAACGTGATCCCGGGAAGAAGGTTCGCATCGACTTCATCCAGCGCTGCACTCTCCTTGCTCTCTTCCGGCGCCGTCGTGGTGATGTCCGGAATGTCCATGACACCTTCCAACTCATCGATGTCCGTACCGATACTGGGTCTGGGGATGATCGGCCAACCGTCATCTCCCGGCAACTCGTCGACCTGCGATAGGGCGAGGATATATGATGAAAAGTCAAGATCCCATACGCCGTATCCTGGTCTAGCCATCGATATGGGGGAAACCGTACCATTGGGGTAGAAGACCAGATTCCGCTCCTCGAACGGAGGGCGATTGATAAAGTCCAACACGCCTCGAGGCCGACGCATAATGGACCGCTTTGAAGGTGTTTTACGAGTCAGACGAGGTGGGGTTTGACCTTGTTCAAGCTTCTGCAACACGCATCGGATGGCAAGAGAAGTCACCAGTCCACCTTGAGCTGGGCTCATTGGGGCATCGGGGTCGACGACATTGACGGAGAGCGGGTAGACTTTTTGACCGGATCGGATCGAGGTAGCTATCTCGCTCGGGAAGTTGCAGTATTGTCTCTTGAGGGTCAGGGTCAAGGGGTGAGGTGATGGGGATCGGAATTGAGAGAGCTTTTGGAGCGATAGGCGTCGAAGCTGTTCACTTGCAATGACGCTGGAGAAGGATTTTTCGGACGATGATCGAGACAAGGGTTCAGCAGCCACGATGGAAGCTACCACTGGGGATCCGGCTCGAGGTAGCGAAGGAGTAGTGGTGGAATGTGGGCTAGACTCTTGACTGGCAAGACTTGTCTGACTGGACATGGCCAAGGCGGTCAATTTCGTACCTCGTTTCCCGCCTAGCCAGCCACGCCAATTTTTGCGTCTTGAAGAATCGCCAGAGTCCGCTTCTGCGAGAGCTTGTGCCAGCTTACCACCAGCAACTTCGATCTGCGAAGAGACAATGACCGCCTCATTTGGTGTCTTGACTTCTTCGCCGCTTGACGTGGAGGATGCAGAGGACACTGCACTATGGCTGGAATCACTTCGGCTGGCGAGTCGAGGTGTCAGAGGAATGGGCGGAGGGGTTTCAGGCTGAGGCGGAGGAGGAGGAGGAGCAGCCGTCATTGGATCTTTGCCAAGGAATGATTTCCGAGAGAATGTCAGAGCTTTTCGAAGCGAGGATTTCCCATTCGAACTGCTGGACGATGGTTCGATTGTCATGCTTGCGGAGCCAGGTGTGAAGTCGGGCAGAGGGATAGGCTGAACTGGGGGTCGTCTATGCAACGATGAAGATGATGAAGCCCGTTGACTCATCGTCAATGATCCACCCAGGTCACTTCGATTCCGCTGCATAGAAGGTCCAGCCTGAGCCGCTTTCGTGCCGCTGACAGGGGGTTGTGACAGCGGTGACGGTTTCCGATTCATACTGAACGAATGGCGTTTAGACATGGACGGTGGGGTGGCCAGACTGTTGGAGGTCGATTCGGTTTCGGAATCTGAATGATCTGAACTGGCTGGCGAAGGATCCGTGTAGAGCCATGACGGGTCAGAAGGATGTAGGAGGTACTGATCCAAACCATGAGGATCACGAGCACCTGGAAATGTCGGAAAGGGACTGTAAGAGGAGGTGGCGACAATCCCTTGGGCGTCGATGCTCGCCGGGAGGTGCAGAGACGTCGGACGAGGGAAATCGGATGGTTTAGGACGGAGAAGAACGGGTGAGGAATCGGATGACATGGTGAGAGTGACTGGGCGTGAGTGAACGCTGATGACATTCGAGCTCACCTGCACTGCAGAGCAGAATCACCAAATCACCCGTCTGATCCTTCTGTCTTCGTCTCTTTTCACGGGCTCTCTTATCCACTATGCGAGGACAACGGAACGACTTGACTGGAGCCGTAAATGGGATACACCGGTCAATCCAAACGTTCCGTTGACATGATCAACCGTTCAGGATGGGGAATTGTGTTTCAAGTGATTGTGGCACGGGTACTGCGATGGTGCGCCCAGGAGGGAGGAGCTGTACCCAGTGGCCGATGATTGTCGAGCAGTAAGGGGTGCAGGATTGCTCAAAGGGCACCTGGGAGATGATGATCGGAGCTAGAGCTGTGGTAAAAGAGAGAGAAAGAGCACCATGTTAGCGAGCTGAACGGAAGGACAAAGGAGAGCGGTGACCGGTCCGCGCGGCAAGAGGGAGTTTATGGCTTGCACGGTCGTCGTCCAGGAGGGAATGAAAGGATGACAATGACGAGGGAGAACGTGCCAAGGTGGTCCGAGCGGAGAATGGAACCGAGATTGAAACGAAGAGCAAACTCACTCTAGGGTATCACTTGCGATACAGAGATTGAAGATGAAAGAGTGAAGGCCTCGTTGTGGCCTGGTTTGATCTATAGATGTGTCAGTCCAGTCATCGGACGGAGGGCGGGGGGGACGAGGAAGGTTGGCGATCGGTGGGGACCGGGCAAGAGAAAGGGGATTTTTGGAAAAGGCCACGAAGGGAAGGAAGGCCAAGAAGTAAGCGGGCGAACCTGATCAAGCCTCTGATCAAGACGTGTCTCTCCTGTTTTCCTTCAGAGAGCTGTTCACCCAGGATGGAAGGGTGTAGGATATGTGAGTAAACGTACAGGGAAGCAAGGAAAAGATGTATTGAGAAGTGATACGGTCGTGTCGCTGGTGCTTGTGCTTGAGTAAAAAAAAAAGGATTAGGTGAGACCAGTGTAGATGTGAGACGTTGAGATCAAAGACAGAGTGAGAGTGAAAAGAGTGTGTGTGTGATGATGATGATGATGTCAGGGAGTCCGAAAAGATGTGTTCAGCCGCTCGACATGCTGAGCAACTACACCAGGATGGCCCTTGCTCAAGTTTGGACAGAAAGGTCCAGGAATGAGATCGGTTCTCGAGGAGTTGCCTTTGTTCTTGACGTGACAGCGGCAAGAACACAGAGAGAGGCATAAAATGAGACAAAAATGATGATGACGGCTTTCAAAAATGGGGGGCGGTAAAAACGGGAAACAATAGACGGGATGAAGGTGGACAGTCCAGCGACGATACTCACTGTGTGTTCGAGTTGCTGAGAGAGACCAAAAGGCAGACGAGCGAGCGAGCGATGGACTGGCTGACTGACTGATTGACTGACGTCGCTCTGCACTGTGCGCTCCTGCTCGATTGCTGGAAACGGGCTTGCTATGGGATTTGGGACCTAATTTCGCCGCCAGACCGCCACTCGCTCTCCCCCCAGGACAAAAAAATGCTTTACCTTTTTTGGGTCGTCGTAACAACGTGCTTGTGCAATGAGCAATGTCGTATTTTGTGTTTGCTTGTATGATGCAGATGCTGTCACCAAGGATCGCCCCCTCTAACAGGTTGGCTCGAGCTGGAGGGAGATCGGATGAGTTTGTGCGGTCGAGCGTAGTCTCAGAAAGATAGAGATGAAGACGAGTAAAAGAAAAGACCGATCCAAAAGTTGAGAGGTATCACGTCCTCTCCTTTTTTTTTCTTTTGGGCCCTTGTCGCTGACCAAAGACTAGTACTACTATCACTACCTTGTCCTGCCTCTCTCGCGGGGGGAAGTATATATCACACTCTCGTTCACACGCAAAAGCAGTCAGTCAGTCAGTCAGTCCCCTTGAAAAGGAAAAATAAAACGCCAAGCGAAGAGCAACCCGTAGAGAGCGCAAAGTGGCAAGAAATAGTATCGTAGCCGCTTCCCGTCAAAGTTCAGTCCCCAAGCTGTGCTGTGAGGAGTGTAGGAGTTCTCTGTGGGCGAGGTTGGTTGGAGGATGGGCTGGCGTGAAGATGCTACGGGAATCGCTCCGGAGGTGATTAGTCTGCTTTTGGTCCTTAGTGGCGAGAGATGCCGATATTCGATGCAAGAAGTTAGATGATATAATGAATTGAATGAATGGCTGAATGCTGCTGCCACTACCGTATGACTGATCTACGCTCATGTAATCATGGTTTGTGGGGGAGGGGACTATCCTGGAAAAAAAAGAGGGGGGAGGGCGCCGAACGCTGCGAACAGCAAAGCGGTTGCGTTCAGGTCAGCTGCACTGGATGCTGCGTCCCCTCGCTCCTGTCTCAATTTGACGACTCGTCACTCGCCCGTAGGTCATCGCTGTCCTGAGGCATGCAATAGGAGAGAGAAAAAAGGAGTTGTCCCGACAGGCACCATCTGTAATATCAACTAGAAACTTTCATTATGTATCTACGTGAGGTCACGCAAGCCGTTGTTGCTGTTCATGATGGGCGGATGAGTAGAGTGCCATAAATAAAAAAAGATCAAGGATCTGAGAGAAGTAGATCAAGAAGAAGAAGATGAAGAAGAAGAAGGAGAAGGGAAAATTTAAGCTTGGGTGACGTCGCGTGTTTCTGCCCCCCCTCTTCTTGCAAGGCTTTTCTTTCTCCGCTCTCAACGGCTGGCTCAGCTACAAAGTTGCTCACACACACACACACACATTGCGCCGCAACGAGGGTCTACGATAGCGCAGCATCGGGAGAGAGAAAGTCCCCGTTATTATGCCGCTGTGGGGCGTCAAGGCACATGCTCATGCACATGCACATGCAAACCCTTTCGAACTGAGAATCGTGATACTCTTACCGCCCTGCGCTGCTCTGCCCTGACATGGCCATTGTGCTGTCCGGTGGGGATGAGGTGGGATGCGAGATGGCAGTTGAAAACGGGAATTTCAATCGCAGCTTTTGTCGCAAAACCCTTGACGCCTCCAGTGAGGGGTGTTGTTACAGGCTGTTTGTGAGCTTTCGGGTAGACTGCCGGTATACCAGATCCAAACGGCGAAGCACGATGGCTGAGCTGCTGCCGCGGTATCATCAGCGCGAAGTAGTGGCATCCGGAGTCAGTGATCGTTGATACCTTGATATGTCTGCCCGCAGCAAGTCACCAGGCGATCTATGCATCAATCAACCGGGCGTCGCTCAGTCTTTTGACCCCAATCGAGACCTCACGTGGTAGACCCTTACAACTTCGCAGCACAGCTGGTTAAGACTGTGGCGTGACGTGCTCGTCCCTGGGAACAGCATTTTTGCATTCGGATCGTCTCATACCACACAGCCCGCCTGAAGCATACAAAGAGTTCTCGAACCACCACCTCCTTCCCTTCGCGTCCGTCTGGCACCTCTCCCTGAGCATCAGCTAGGGGCGCCGCAACAACAAGCTCTGTATCCCCTCCGGCCGGTCACTCCCCTCATGTCGTAACCTTGCCTGACTCTCTCGCCTTTTATTGTCGCCTAAACGTTCTGCCGGAAGCCGTTTTCTTCTCCTGAGGCACCGCGACCTCGGGTTTAGCCCGGTTGAGGATCTTGAGAAATTCTGCGACTCTGTATCGCATCCTAGAGTGCATGTACGCTTTTGAGCATTTGATGTGATAGTGGAGGTAATCGCGGAACAGCTGGATCCTGTTGATTGTAGCGAGGGCTTGGGCAGGATTGGCAAAGTGTCGTGGAAAGAGCACTGTGCGAGCGAGTCAGTCCCAAAGTCTGTCAAGCGAGTGAAGAACAGCTTTGCAGCCGGAGAAAGGCGGGGAGAAAAAGCTTGGTGCCATAGCGACAGCGTACTCACCAAACGTCACGTATCCCCAATCTTCACCATTCTTCAACCCTGGCAGATGTCGGATCTCGAGCGGAGGTTCACGGTTCGAGTACCTGACCTGAGGGGCATTCTGCAGACTTCCGAGTTTACGAGCGTCGACGAACTCCTGGAGTTGAGAGAAGGAGAGTCAGCTCTGATCTTGTCAATCCATGCTCGGAGCTTCCGAAAGGATGTGCAGGCCGTGTGCCGATGGTGAAATTCTTGACCATTCCCGCACCTTCCATGCCTATGTCCCGTACGTCTTCGCCCTCTGCCCTTTCGCTTGGCTGCTGAGCCCGCTCACTCACCTGTAAGAACACCCTCCCATAGACTCTATCCGTTTCATCCTTGAAGACGGTGCTGAAGATGATCGTGACTCGATCATGACTGGCCTGAATGAATATGGCCTCTTCTTCCCTGTACTTGACGACTTTGAGATCTCCTTTGGCTTCTTGAGGTTGAACATCCATTTGCTGAGCTCCCGCTGCGTCTTTGTAATTGGCTTGAAGGGACGCTTGTTCCTCAAAGGCAGAAATGAACGGTGCAGACATGGCGGTGGATTTGAAATGGGCAATCTTGTCAATGAGCGCGTTTCGAGATTCTGGACGATGACGAGTCATCGCAGAATTGAGGACCTGCATTCAGCGAAACGATCGAATGGGGGTCAAGCCATCCGGCCCTCGCTGGGTCACTCGGCCAAACTCACCTGGATCCTGAGGGATTTGTTCCAGATCAATCCTCAAACTAACATCGTACTCTGGTTCGGTCTCCCCTTGACTCAACAACAAGCCTTCAAAAGTCTTTTCGAGGTGGTCTCTCGCGCCGTATTTCACGAGATCAGGCCAGCATTGGATCCCCATGGAGAGTAAGAGGACAGTCTTGGAATCGGGTGTGGAAAGATGAAAGCGGACGTTATCATAGTCGACAAACTGGATATCTGCGCGGGACGGTCTGTGGGGCGGGGCGCATGATCAAGGCAGGAATGCAGGCAAGGACAAGTCGAGAGTAGCGGCATCAAGTGGTATTCACAATCAGACACAGAAGAGCGGGCACATGGTCAGCCGGTTCCTATCGCCTACCCTCCCTCTTGCGTCACTCACTTTTCAAACCTGTCCGTCAGAACATCGTGCACAATGACGTTGTGAGACTGATAAGAGAGTGAGCTGGATGTTGACACTGAGCACATGCACTCACCTCTAACAAGATCATGATGGCTGCTAGTGGACCCCGTTGGCAGCCAGGCGAAAGAGGAATCTATCCAATCTTGAGCTGCGGGCTTGAACAGGCGATGACGGAGGTAACCAGGGGCTGAGTATGGGATGATTGATAAGCAAATTGTCCACGTCATGGGCGAACAATGACCTTCGGTCCACGTGCCGAAGTTCCTTTTGCCGACGGTCAGGTGCTTAGCAAAGATTTCTCAGAGATAACATAAGGCTATCTTTTTGTTGTTGTCAATAGATACATATAAGAGAGCCAACTGCTGCCATACAGAGAGCGTCTTGCTCGCATATTACTTGCATGAGCTCAGACAGATCCGCTTCAAGAGGATCAGCAAGAGCATCAGCATCGAAGGGTTCTCACAGCTCTGCGCCGATTATCGATTCCAAGTCCACCTTTCGACATCTTGCCATTGGAACATTATTGGCAGTTGCCATCCTGATCGTGTCCACGCTGTTTGCCCCCCATCTGATCCGTTCACACCTTCCGAGATCTCTGACAACCTTGTCAAGCAGACAACCTTCCTATTTCTCTAGCTTCAGCTTTCACGGTACACCGCATAACCCATCTTCCGACCCTCTCAGCAGCAGCAGCAGCGGCACCGTCGCCGTCGATAATATGGCTTCCATTCAGAAAGTCGCCGTGGGCGAAAAAAAGTATGCCAAAGCTCTAGGACCAGAGAAGAAGATCAGTGCTGCAGAGGAAGCACAGTGGAATTCGTGTGTTCAAAGCGTGCTATCCATGTTGGAAGTAGACTGAAATGGTCATGCGTTCAGGATGGCAGATCGCATGGAAAGATTCCACAGTCATTTCAGATACGAGTTCAACCGAGTATACACTGTGAGTGGGGCGATGCCTTATTAATATGCGCTATCGCTAAGTCGCTTGCTTCTAGCTCGCGGACGGAGGGTTCCACAAAGAGGGCATGTCACTGGCTCGGTTCTTGCGAGAAGCTCAGCAATTGTCTCATCATCTGACGATGCATCACACCATAGTGAGTTACAACGGATACAGACATGCACTTGACGTAGGGGGAGTAACAACGGTGCTGATGATATCTGAAGGAAGTGAGTCGACCTAGCGTCTTCTCTTGAAAATTGCTCAACGTCGCCCACCATCCATTAGGAACGGTACGTTTTCCCCCAGCTCGCGAGGAAGATGCCGCAGTTCAAAGCTGGAGCGAGGGAAGGCGGAGAACATCTCAAGTCACACAAGGCGATACATGATGGTGAGTGAGCGAGGGACGTCACCGAGCGAATGACCCGAAGCTTTCCCCCGGCGTCATACCAACGTCAACCCCATTACTGATACGTCTCAAGGTCTCGAAAAGTATGAGAAATTCCTCGAGGAGGCCCTGAGAGATACGTCGAGCTATAACGCCTCAACACTACGAGGGATCATGGATGGGTTCAGGGAAGTGCTGTATCGGTGAGTGGACTCTGTTCTCGTCTCCTGTGCATGGATTGGTCCGCTGAGCCTTCTCCCCCAGCCATCTCGACGAAGAGGTGCACGATCTCAGTGCACCGAGTATGCGTGCGGCGGGCTGGACTTTGGCTGAGATTAGGCAAATCATGATGTAGAAAGGAGTGATGTATTGTTTATTTTGTCCATTTCAAACGAGATATCAAAGCACGAAGAAACAAGATCCGACAGACAAGGTAATGGTGATCGTCGTCAAATTGTTACATTCACATCCGGTAAGATGATTCTACCCAATAAAGAAACCCAAAGGAAACATCCAAGCCTAACAAGTAATCATAAACATCCGCCTTTTCACCGTCGTGATGGGAACGATGGTATACTCCCTGACAAGGGGGCGTTCTAGTCAGTTGTACAGATCGTTGAGACCTGCACTGTGAATGTTGACCGTATTCCAAGCATCCATGATGACCCTGAACCTCGCTGCCAACCCGGTCCGCTTGATGTATCCTCGGTGTTTCTTCCTCTCCTCTGGGAATCCAGCTTCGTTGACCAACTTTTTGATCGCCAGTCCAAGCTTTGCGCCGACCGCCGTTGACCCGATGATGAGGTCTCTGACGGGGACAGGTGCATTGAGAGTCTGTTCGCCGATAGCAGCGAGGCCTTCGAGGGCCTTTGCTCGCAGAGGGTATGACGATCCTCTAGGGACGACGTAGGCGTAGGTATCGATGTACTGGGCAAGGGTTTGCAGCAGAGCTTTCTTTTCTTCGGCAGTGTTGATGGGTCTAGTAAAGGCATTCTGGACGGCTTCCTTGTAAGCATCAAAATCTGGGTTCGCACGCAGGTCCTTCATTCGCTGCTCTTCGAGTGATTCGGCATATTTATCGGCGATGGATCGAGCGATGTTATCGTCGACGAGTCCGGCGTTGAGGTACATTTGGATGGTATCTGGGTCATTGGTGAATGTCTTGATCATACCTTGGAGGATGGCGGCTCGATCGGCATGGGGTGCAGCAAGTCGAGAGAGGGCATCGGCCATGAGGTTTTCCGCCAGAGGATTACTGAGCGTCGGAAAGCCTGACTCATCTTTGTTCGCTTCGACAACCATGGCGGACAAGGTCAAGGGGGGGCAATGATATTTGCTTGCTCCCATGTCGTCATTGTTTTCCTCATCATCATCGCTTTCGTCTTCAGCATCGTCGTCAAAGGTCGTGTCGGCTGATGAGTCGTATGAGAGGGCCGAGGGACTAGGAGGGTCCGAAGGGACGTATTCAGACTCTGAATCGTAGTCGTCCATCTCGAGGTCGTTGATGTTCATGTTGGCAGTGGATGCGACGAGGGAAGACATGGGTTGGTAGTAGTTAGATAGGAAGATGTGATGTGTGAGGAAGGACAAAAGTGAAGGGTGAGGCGTAGTGGTATGGTGAAGTATTGGATAAGGAGCGATGAAAGGAGTACAGGGACAAGATGAAGTTTGTATGAAGTGAGGGGGTGTGAGAAGGTATGTGTGATTGAGCGAATGCGCTGCAAGATGAGTCTTTGGAAAGTGTGAGATAGAGAATCAAGAACAAGTCGACCCAATCCACCCTATTTATACCTTTGGACAAGAGGTTCCCACAGCTCCTAAAACGCCGTCTATAACACCGTATGGCATCTAAACCTCAGTCCCCAGCCCTTACTACAACCCTCTTTCAGCCCCCCCTTCTAGCCTCCCGCGCTAGGGTTGGCAATGAGCACGAGTGAAATGGTGACGAGTAAGAGTGTTTTGATAGTGAGAATGAAAAGAAATCAACGATGGAGAATCGATACCGGAGAAGACATGGGTCAAGTCTCCGACGCGCGGCGCGAAATGGCTTCGGATCCGAGCGAAACCCTTGTTCGCTTCCACACTGCTCCTCTCCTCTCACGCCTGAAGCCACATTCTGCCATGACCCTGAGTTTTTGAGCAGACCCTGAAATGAACCTTAAAAAAGTCTGATTTTCGGCTCCCCGAACAAACCTCAGCTCTCGCGCCTCGGTCAAACAGGACCGGTGACCCTGAGCTGAACCTTAAAACCGAGATCCGTCATACCCAAAATTCCGCGTGGAACTTTATGCTTCAAGGTGGCGTGGCGGGGAGGTGTATGGGTAGAGGTACCCTTCTCTATATATATATATGAGCTGAGTGAGGGCGGTGTCATGTCATGATCGCTTCGAGCGACTCAGGAGTTCCCGGGGGCGGAGGCACTCCAGCCCATATGCCCTATCGGGGAGAAAGGGGCGTCAGTCCATGTAGCCATGATGTGACACCGGAGGGGGGCGGACCCATATTTGACTGCCCCCGCACGATAGAGTGCGGAAGATCTCGACCTGAAGAGTTCTTCGAGAAATGGGATCCATCTCGAGACATAGTCTCACAGGTGCATGCGCGGTCAAGCGGCGTTGTGAGGAGCTGAGGGACAGTCCTCAGGACATGTGATATGATTGGCTCACTTCGTTCTTCCAAAAGAGAATAGTGTGGCACTATTTATCCTTCTTCAGAATAAGATTGATCTGATCAACGCCATGACCGGGCGTTGTGCTTTGCACAAATATGCACATGTGCCATGATGGCACTTGCATTGACATACGATTACCTCGGTCCTGTTCCCTACGGCTGTGGTTGGCGGTAGCAGCGGATCCACAGTCATTCCTCCCAGCGCCCTTCCTACGGAACGAATCCCAGTTACCAGATCTGTGAAATTTGTTTACGTAAGCAATCTCCACGATTGGGTCAGATGGTTCATGAGTGTCATGGTGTCATGCACTGCTCAATCATTGTGACGCCATATCGAGCCGAATCCTTTCTACATGATCGACGACGACAACGACGACGACACGAGAATGAAGCTACAGAGCCTTGATGTGACTACGTTTCGATTTCGTGTTCATGCAATTCCAGTTCACAAACGCTTGGATGCTCCATCCAAAGGAGAGGATCCATCCGCTTCGGACCGCTTGGACATCCGCATCCTTTGAGGTCATAAAGTCCCGCGTACAGATCGATCCCCCGCCTCACATCAGGGGATCTTTCTGATGACTATCTTACTACTTGCGCTCCCGCCTCCTCGCAGCATGCAGTGATGCCTAACAGTGATGTGTCTTGTCGACTGGCTCGCTCCCTCGGGTCTGTAGTCCTTTACTGATTTAGTTTTGACTTGTCTGATCTTGGGTGTGCAGCTGAACCGAGTAGCGAACGGGTGCCAGCTGTAAGTGCGCTTCCATAGCGACACAATGGTACCACTCAACATACCTTTGGTAGATTGGTGGAGTCCATTGGGTGTTTCTTCCCCCAGCATCCGATCTCCCTTTGAGGGTGGTCATTGTGCTGCAGTACAGCACCACAGACTGGATGACTGTACATCAGGAGATTTACATCCTTCATTGACCAGACTCACTTGGCTCAAGGTCCTCTCCGCCTGACGATCGACCGACCGACCGACCGACCGCCGACTGCTAACTCATCCAATGCCATTGATGTATACACCATGTCGCCTCTGCCCTCGCTCCAGCCCACTGTCCCCACCATCCCATCTCTATTATCGTCCTCATCCTCCTCAAGCGACACCGCTATCATTTCGTCCTCCGATTCAGTCCACCACCGCCCAGTACGTCTAGATCCTGCACCACTACCATCCTTTATCCCTTTCAAGAGATCATCAGGATCCATCGAGAGTCCATCATCAGGAGTGCGCACGTCAGCAGCTGCAATACGACATCATCCTCGTGCTCAGGGACAACAACCCACAACTAAGCCCACCACTGGAGCATCCTCCAGTCAGTCAATCATTCACCCTCGATCATCATCCCTGAGCGAGTGGTCGAATCTCCACTGTCCATCACTTGACTTTGGCCATGCTCCTCCTGCTCACACTCGCCTCCTTCCTTCTGAAGCACTGAATAGACCTCCCATTTACCGACCTCTCCCGCCGCCTCTGCCTCCTTACGTCCCTGACCCATCTCCCTTCCCAGCCCTTCCTTCAGGTGACGGTCCGATCATCCCACTATCTCCCACTCGATTCAATTCTCAGACATTCACATATCATCAACCTCAACCACGACATTGGCAGAATGTTTTCCCACCGCCTTCTCCCTCCGCTTTGATCGCTCACGGAGGACTGTTCCAAGGTCCCATTCACTCACCGTTTCCGTTCTTCACTTGGGTCAGAGACGATTTACCCACGGCCGAGATACCGATGAGCAAGAAACAAGCTTCTACACCTGGAACCGGGGCCCCGTCAGTCCCTTCGATACCGTCTCCTAGCGAGGCTCCTGTCCCAGCCAACAAGAGGCGAAGGACCAGAGGCTCAGGACGCCTCGCGACATCGTGTGATGTCTGCAGTAGAAGGAAAGAAAAGGTGAGGCTGTCAACGATATGGTACCGCGGGACAGCGCATCCGGCTGAACTCTCCGCGAGACACAGTGTGATCAGCTACTCCCTTGTGCACGTTGCAAAGAGCGTGAGGTGCCAGATGAATGCTCGTACAGTCGGGTGGAGCAGATTCAGGCAGCCAAGGAGACGCGGCTGAGACGCAAGTTTGCAACGGCCGATGGTGGTAGAGCCATGTCAACTGCCCATGAAGAAGCTGCGGAGGGGAGTCCGTGTAGGGACGAGCCACACGCTTCAGCCATCCTCCGTACCAAGACCCCAGACCAGCGTGGAGTCCATCAGCCTACCGGGTCTGCCAAGGACAAGACCTACAGCCGAAGAAGTGATGACCCGCACCGTCTGAGGTACTCCCTGATGGCAGAGACTCGGCTACCTACAAGTCCATTGGCACACCTTTCATCGTGCATACAGTCAGCTGACGGGCCAAATTCCCGTGACTCTGAAGTCGACAACTCACACACAAGTCTCGCAACCATCACCTCGGACGAAGCTTCCAATCGCATCGAGGGACCGACGGCACCTCTCGTACTGCCGCAAGTCCTGGCAAGTGGTATGGACAGGCACTCTGACACTGGATCCTCGTGGTCTGATGCAGTTCAAAGGGACGACGGACCGCCATGTCCATCTCCGCCCAGCTCAATGGGGAGTGTGGCGGGAGATGGGGATGGAGAAGGTGACTTGATGGAAGAGGATGAGTTTCAAGGTGTCGGGAGTCGTCGAAATCAGACGCCAAGAACCCAACTTGACAACCATGACGAGCGTGAGCTATCTCCCATACGTGAGGCCAACACACTCATATTCTGCGGTGGCAGGAACGTTTGTCGGCCGAAGCCACTTTGGACCGAGTCTCGCACTGAAAAAAATACTCAAGGTGAGCGAGGCAGGCGTCATATGTACATAAGGTGCACCAATAGGCTGAACCTTTACCCTTGTGAAGAACGAGACGCCATGTATCCCTCTCAGCGACGTTCGGTTCTACCCCCGCTACACAGAGACCAGTATCGACGACGCCAAACTTTTCTCGTTCCACTCGGTGATGCAGGAAACTCTGAGATATCTGCCGAAAAAGTCAAGCTGCGATAGGTACATCGTCGCGTTTTTCTCGGCATACAATGAGTGAGAGCATCGTCCTTCCAAAGCAGGACGGACTGAAACGATACAGATACGTTGATATCATCTACGAACCGGACTTTCGAGCAAAGTACGAAGCATTTTGGACGGTCGTGGTTCAGCCGAATCCCAGACCCAACGTCGAACTTCGGTTCCTGGCTCTGCTCTTGATCGTCCTTGCCTTCGGGGTTCTTCTGGATTACAACCAAGACACGTCATTGCTTGACGGTCTAGGCGTTTACAATGACGATGTTCGGAGAAATTTCGAGAGGATGCTGAACGAAAGCAGAGACGAATCATTTGGACTTGCAGATCGGGAAGAGCTCTCGCATGTCTTGTCGCGAGCTGCAAACAGAGCTCTGGCAGAGGCGAGTACATTTCATGAGCCGTCTTTGGATTCGGTCACTGCGAAAATCATGGTGAATTGAATTGCGATGCGCTGTCACTAGCTGAAACAATGGGCTCGTAGCTCTCGCTCTACTATGTGATTTGCAGGCGAGTCTTCGAGGGCTGGACCATGATAGGTGAAGCTGTCCGCGCTGCTCAGGCACAAGGGTGAGAGCACGAGGGCTAAAGCTGGTACTGATCGCTTCAGCATGCACGTCGATCCTTCCATCTGGGACATGCCGCCTCTCCAAGCAGAGATAAGGCGGAGACTCTGGGCACGTAAGTGGGGAGTGGGGAATGTGGCGCCACACTTGAGTTGACATGGACTCTTCACACAAGACATGTACACGCTCGACAGGTGAGTCTGATGAAAGATCATCAACCAAGCGATCTGTGGTGATGCTCTCCACAGATCTCTAGCTCTCTACGTGGGCCGACCCTTCGCCGTCGTCTCGGAGTACACTACCCGCCCTCCTGTCAACGCCACCGATCAGAGCATCGCTTCCGCATCACACCAAGACAACATCATTATCGCGACCCTTGATAATCCCACGAAATCCACGTTCTTGATCCTCCACTATCAACTGGCCAAGATCATCGGTGAAGCGCAGGAGAAGTGTTTCGGTATATCTGGCAAGAGACGATACAAGGATGTCTTGGATTGTGAAGAACTTTTCGACGCTTTCAAAAGGAGCCTTCCGCCACATTTCCGACTGGATGGTGATGAAGCGGATCATTCCCTAGATTTGTCAGACGAGTACAAGTGGCTCGTGCCTCAGAGACTGAGCTTGATCAGCAAGTATCATCTCGCCCGGATCAGCTTGCACCGACCATATCTCTTACGGAGTTTCAGGCATCGTGGGGATACAATGTTTGCGAAGAGTAGAGAAGCTTGTATAGAAAGCTCTGTTGCGGAAATTCAACTGAGAACGGCGTTGGAGGGTTCAGACCCGTTGGACAGATTCAAGTGGATGACTGTGAGTAGGGATAGGGCGAGCGGCGAGCTGCGGCGTTCAACCCAAACGAGGAATGCCAGACGAATCACGCTGATGATTCTTTTTCCACCCTTGAAGGTGGCATCTGGTTTCAACACTGCCACTATTCTCGGTTGCTTGTGTATCTTTCCCATGCGGGGAGATGGTGACTTTGATCAGCGGAGCGTGCTACAGTTATTGGAAAAGTACGTCTCGATTCAAGAAAAGACGCTCCGAAGAGATGAGCGACTAGAGGACGAATTAAGAGTCTTGCGAATGATGCTCCAGCGAGCCAAGATCAACATGTCGATACCGAAATTCAATCACAGAGCGAGACACTCCTCAGCAGTTGAACCAACCCCCATCACGATCTCTAGAGGTCTAGATCCTCAGCTGGGCAACGCAAGGGTTACGACTGATCGCAAGTGTACGCCAATTTTCTCCTTCTGCCTTCCTCGACCAGATCTTTCAGTGACCTCAACGACGACGCACAACCACATCTCTTCACGTTCAAGCCAAACCGACCAAACCTTAGCACCAGCTTTCCAGCCCGACACTCAAGACGATCCAGCGTTATCCCCGCTGCGGCCGCATGATCCATCGTCCTCCGTCCCTAGCACAAGTGGACAAATGACAGGCAGTCCCCAAGTCACTCCACTTACGGACATCTGGGACTTGGGAGCAGAGCAATACCCTCTCGATGCGGAAGCTTGGCTCAATCTCTTCGCTCAATACCCTCAACATGATCAGAGCTCGGATTTGTTCTTTGGTCTCATGGGCATGGGAACCACGACAACAGAGGAAGGATGGATGCAGCACGGCCAGCAGGATCCTGATCCGCAGAGTCAGGCGGACGTTCCGGTGTGTACTGCGAGTAACGAGCGCCGATTTGGAGGGATTCCTGCGTTTGGTCTGGAGTCTGGGGCCGGTGGCTCGAGGAGCAGCTGCGCTTCGAGGCCAGCGACGAGATGAGTGATCAGAGATAGACACAAGTGGTCCGTTGAACCATTGCCGAGACCACAGCATCTTGTGTGGAAGAGCGTGTGTGTGTGCATGTGTAGCCACACACATCCCCGCAAAATTAGCACATTGTCACCATGGACCTTGATCATCTGAAATGCCATATACATTTTTTTTTGGGAGAATTGCTCGAAATTGGTCTGCACCGGAGAAAAGGGGAGTTTGCGTGTCCGTGGTTGAAAAGGTGATGAGAAGCATAGGTCGACCGGCTTCGAAAGAGATGTTGCGGTGGCAGAAGTTGAAATGATGGGGTATATCATCCAATCCGACCGACTAGTTTGTATGATTCCCCGCAGTAAAGCAGCTTTGACTCCCCTTTCAATCCCTCTTTGTCTCTCTCTCTCTCTCTCTCTCTCTCTACTGCTGCTTGCAATCTGGGTTCGCCGCGGCCGCATCAGCATCACCGACCTGGATATCGAAATCACTTGATCAGCGTCAGCCACACAGAAGCAGGCAGAAAAGCCCGGAAGATCACTCACCTCGTCGTCATCCTCATCGTCGTCCTCATCGTCCTCGTCAAACTCTTCCAGATCCTCGTCCTCGTAGTCCTCCTCGTACCTCAGAGCCTTGCCCGTGAAGTAATCAATGGCGCGCGGAATGATCTTCTCCTTGAACTCTTCTCCGAGCTGGTAATCTGTCTCGAGTCTCGCGTCCAGCTCTTCCAGCTCATCCTCGTCAACATCTTCTGATTCGAGAGTCTCAGGTGTAGGTGGTTGGGGAGGTTTGAAAAAGTTGAAGAAGGAATCAGTTGGCACGACTTTGCGGACGACACGGGTGCGGCCGGTGCCTGGACAGAACGCGTCAGACGAGGTCCGGTCCACAGAGGCCTCTAACCCACTCTTGTTCCTCTGCTTCTTGATCTCGACCTTTTTGGTGAGATCCTTGTCTTCCTTCCACTTGATATCGTATCCGATAGCTTTGTCGTAGACAAAGTCTCCGCCGTATCCGACTTTCTCCTGAGAAGCGTGTGAGATCGACATGAGATTGGAGGGCAAGGTAGCTCACCTGGTAGTAATAAGTCTTCGTGAGCTCAGTGTCGCTGAAGAAGTCATTGGGACCGAAAGTGAAGTGGATCTTAAATCCGGGTTGGCCGTTGCTTTTTTCGTCAGACAAGTATGATAGCCGGACGTCGAGGAGAACTTTGAGTACCTGAAGTCGACAGTCAGCACTCTGCGCAGGCGCCTACCGGCGGTGAAACCCACCTCCTCATCTCTGTCGGTGATGGTCTCAGAGATCGGGACGTGGTTCTTCAATGCTGTCAACCAGAATTCTGGAACTCCCTGAACGTTCTCATCGCCTTCTGCCTTCTTGCCATCTTCATCGAGGTTCTCAATCTTGGCTCCTTCTTCCTCTTCATCTTCGTCCTCGCTGTCCTCGTCTGACTTTTTGCCGGCCTCGACCTCTTCGTCTGTGGGCTCAACTTTACCGGTGATGATGGCTAATCGTCGGTCGTAGAGGGGAGTGTACTTCTCGAGGAACTGCCAGCCAATGTCAGGGATCACGTTTCTAGCCAAGAATGTAGGCTCAACTGACCTTCTTTTCAAGATCCAAGATGGCCAATTGAAATTCGCTCTCAATCTTAGAGTGCTCAACTTGAACACCCTTCAATCCATCGATCCTGCGCCTGACACTGGCAGGGAGGGATTCGATGTAGCCCGATGATCGGCCAATGAGCTCGTCAAACTTGGCTTGCGCGAGAGCGAGAAGGGCGGGATTCTGGTCAAGTATCAGCGACTCGCGTCCTGCCATGGAGGACTATCAAGCACGAGGAGCAGGAAGCGGAGACCGAAAAGTCACACCGCCTCCGCAGGCTTGGACACATGAGGCCGGCGAGAACTCTCGCAGAACACTGGACCATAAAGGACCCTCTGGTCTCAATATGAAATTTCCAGAACAAACGTTTTGTTCAAAGAGAAAAAAATGTATAATAACCAAACCCCCCCGACTCACCTTGGCGAGAAGACTGGCAGGGTTCACTCCACTGACGTCCTCTTCCGCGCCGTCTTCCTCCTCATTCTCCCCGATATCCTCAACTTGAGGTCTACCAAGATTGGCAGGTCTGTTGGACAGGACTGTCGTGTCGAGGGGAGTGTTCTGAGGAGTAGGTGCGACGTCTGTAGACGAAGCGGGTCGATTGATCTGTTGAGACTGAGACATGATGGATGGATGGGAAGTGTATCACGCGTCTCTGATGAGTGTATTCGTCCTCGAGAGAGCTGACCTGTCAAGGGCAATATAAGAAGGAGAGAGAGATAGAGAGTGAGGATGGGTGGTGGTGGCGAGAGATAGAAGGGGGAGCGCGCGTTGTAACCTGACCTGGAAATTTTTGATTCCGTTCGCGTCGGAGGGGAGCTAATGGGGGCGAGTGAGTGAGTGAGAGTGAAGTTGAATTACGCCGAAATGTGGCACTTGGGAGCTTTGCGAGGCGGAATCATGATGGATGACGATCGAGGGCTTGGGGCGGATCGCTATTCTACTTCTCCTCTTTCGTCCATCGCCATTACTCTGCGATCATGACCTCTAATAGCAATGGCGAGTCTCATCTCGCTATCGATTGCCATAAGCTCGACTTCAGCTGGAATCAAGACTCAGAGCTTGTACTGGAAGGTGTCGATCTGAATTTGGGGAAAGGATCGAGGTGCTTGTTGATTGGAGCGAATGGTGGTGAGTAGGAGATTGAGCACGCACAGAATAATGTTTCACCGCTGACTGGTATGGGACAGCCGGTAAATCGACGCTTCTTCGAATTCTGGCTGGGAAACGATTGACGAAAACGAGAGCGTGCAAGATTCTTGGTCAGGATGTGTTCATGAACCCTCCGAATGTGAGTGGGCCATCTCTCAGGTGGCAGAGGGGCAAGGCGCGCCAGGCAATCCAGCTGATCCTCATGCGATCTAGGGAGTCGTCTACCTAGGTACAGAGTGGTCTACGAACCCTGTTGTCAGGAGCGACATTGTCGTCTCTGAATTCCTAGATTCAGTTGGAGGATACAGGCACAAGGAAAGGAGAGACAGGCTCTTATCCATTCTGGATGTCGACTTGGATTGGTGAGCGGCTATGACGTGCAAAACATATTGTTTCTGACTTGGCGTTTAGGCATATGCATCAAGTGAGCCTTGCTTGGGCCGCGATTGCATGGCGATCTCGGCGGAATGCTAACGTCGGAGCCAGATCTCAGATGGAGAGCGACGCCGGGTCCAACTCTGCATGGGGCTTATGACAGAATGGGATGTTCTTCTTTTGGACGAAGTAGGCTCCTGGTCTTGATCGGCTTTCTCGTTGACTTACTAACCCCAATGCAAGGTGACCGTCGATCTGGACGTTCTTGTCCGATCCGACTTGATCAACTTTCTGATCCAAGAGACAGAGACGAGAGGAGCAACCATAGTCTGTGAGTGGGCAGTGGTTACTCGCTTCCGTGATACACTCGCAATCGAGATAAGATAACCTCTGGTCCGTTGCGCTGATACGTACTTCTGCCAGACGCAACTCATATCTTTGACGGTCTATCGTCCTTCCCAACGCATATCTGCCACCTCCAACTCGGTCGTACGCCTCGACCGTTGCATGTCTGGGAAGCCACTTCTGGCGTCGAAGATCTGTTCAAGCTCGCTTTGCAATGGACGAGAGAGGACAGAGATCTTCGGAGGATCAAGGAAAAGGAAACGGGTCGCGTTCGAGGCCCTAAGAAGGCTGACGAGGTGAGTGTGCTGCAGAGATTCGCTGCGGCTTCATTTGATTCCTCGCCTACCTCTTCATATGTGCGCTGGCATCGGTGCTTACTTTCTTCCAAAAGACGAAAGACGCCAAAATGTTCTTCGAAAAGTACGACTACTCGCACTGATGGAGAATATTCCATCGTCTCATTCTCCGACGTGGTTGATTGAAATCAAACAATGGGCTTTCCCCAAGTCCAACCAAATGGCATACTAGAGCATAGAAGACGGGCGACGAGATCTCAACGATCTGCTCCAGTTGCTCGCATTTTAGACATCCCGCACCGCTGTAATTTTCAACAAAACATCATCTTTCAACGAGCATCAACTGCATTCTTTCCGTTCGACATTTTCTTGCACAGCATCAACTGCATATAAACACCAACAGCATCAACTGCACACGATTGTATATCCTCGTATCAGCCTCTCACGGCTTGTTTGTCTTTCATATATCCATCACTTATCCATCTATGCATGCTCTAGGCCACCACTGAAACGCTCGTTGCGCTGTCTAAGACGCGGAGCGCAAGCGAACACGCGCCCGAACATGAAGCGATGCCGTTCTACTTTATGGGCCGGATCCGCCTAATCTGTCTTCGTCTCTGTGCCGTGGCACTGTCCCAGAGTCTTCAACAGAGCCGTGGAGTCCATTCTGACTACTGCTTTCTCGAAATCTAATGAACTTGGAAGAGGCAGATCTCGCACATGTAATTACAATACACCAGATGGTGTACGTGACCAAATTGCCTCCCCATGTCGGACCTGTCGACAACAATTCTATGTAGGTCCCAAGCCTTCGATCGAGCCTCTCCTGAGCGCCAGCGCCCCGTACAGCAACACGAGGAGAGGTTGGCGTCCCACGCAAGCTGTTTGACGCCTCTCGGTACCTCAAATTTGGGTACCTGGCTGAATTTTCGAGACCCCCTCCCATTTCTTCATTCGTTCGTGCAAGAGAAACACATGAATGGGAGATGGATGCAACAGACCCGTCTGCGTACACTCGATCTCACTAGTACCGGGAGGACTCAAATGCAAGCTGATGGAAGATGACATCAGAGCTGTAGCACTGCTAATCTGTCGGCCGCTATGGATATTATAGTCTCTGACACCGTTGCCGTATCCGCGATTGGTTGTACCATCCATCCATCTGAGGACGCGATTGATTTTCCTTTGAGTTGCTCGCGTCCACATTAAAATAAAGAAAAAATTCAGACGGTGTTGACAGACCAGACTCGCAGACCCTGGAGTACCTACATGATAGATGCGACATGTATCCGTTTGACTCCACTTGTAAGCAGTCAGAACAGGGTCCGCTCCATCCAACAGTACACTGAATGATGAAAATTTAGGGAACAGTGAATGGCATAAAGAATACCGTCCATTGAGGTGTATGGATCCACTGAAAAATAACAAAAAAAGGTAAAACAACAAACCAAATCTTCCGGGGTGAGAGGCAGAGGATGGGGGGGCGCAGGGGCGGCGCTTCTAAACATGCCTGTATGTCCATTGGGCTGGGATATTGAGATTGTAACGGACAGAGAGAGAGAGAGAGAGTGTGTGTGTGTGTGTGTGAGCGCGAAGCTTTTGAAGGCTTGTAAAAGTGTAGCAACAGGACAGCAGGAGCGCATGTTTAGAGTCGTCTCTCAATTTTCAACGTCATTTCAGCCTCCTCTCTCTCTCTCTCTCTCTCGGCTCTATTCGTAGGAGAGGTATCCATCTCAAAGACATCTCGAATCTGAATTCAACACAAACTCTTTGCATTCGACTCACTCTATCAACACATACACACACAGAGATTCAATCCTTTTGTCATTCTCTACCCCTCCCCAACTTCACTCATTTGTTGGAGAGAGAGAGAGAGAATATCAGGGAAGGTGATTTGGACGATCACCTCTAAAAATAACAGCAGACTCCCTTGTATCTCTATCCCCTGTTGTTCCCCCCTTTCCCCCCTCCCTCTAGCTTCCGCTGCAGTGTTCAACTTGCCGCTGTAGTTACCATTCTCTCGAGGTATCATCTCGCCCAAGTTGCGTTGCCGCCTTTCTCTCATCCCGTCAAACAATCCCGAAATCCCCATATTCTACAAACTTTAACCTATCATTGGTCGACCCGGCACTTGAGGAAGCGATCAAAGGGTGTACACCACGGTCAATCTGGGACCTTGACGAACAAAACAAGCTCTAACAAGACTCTCTGTGGAGAATCAACCATCGAGTCCAACTCTCGACCTTGATTCTGCCCCCACATCCCCCCTTGAATCCCACCCGACAGCCGTTGAATGACACTGTAGAAAGGGTACCCATTTTCAACTCGTTTCCAATTCTATTCACCGCACTACCAACACTCTCATTGCAACGCACTCGTCATACCCATCATCATGGCTACACGAGTGAGTGCCCCCAAAGGCATACAAACAGACAGTTCGCTGACGATAATGTTCCTCTCTTGATGTTTTGATTTTTCATGGATATTTTGAATCCGTCTGTATCCATTCAAACATTCAACCCCATTCATCATTCAACTCTCTCTCTCTCTCTTGACGCTTGACTCTCATCATCTCCCTCTCTTCCTCTCTCACATCCACGACCCTTCCCTAATCACCTTGTCCCCCTCCTCCATTCCTACCCTTCTCCCTCATGACCATGCGTCGTCACCTTCCTCGGAATGCGACCCAATCACAGGGACCTCACACTCGACGAGCGAGTCGCACACGAGCAAATGACGAAAACGCCATGCCTTCACAGACATTGAGGGCAAAGGCTTCCATGTCGCATCTCGGTCCAGCTCAAAAGTCAAACGCTCTCAATGCGTCTTCTGCCCCACTGAAAAAGACAGCTGCGGCAACTACTGCCACCGGCGTCAAGGCTGGAGCCAAGCGGACTGCTTTGGGTGGAGTCGTTTCCAACGCTCAAAAGGAGGATCAAGAGGACGATGGCAAGAAGCCAGGTGAGCGAGAATGACTCAATAAGCAGGTCCACGCTGACAGATTCATCAGTCAAAGTAAAGGCTGAACCACGCGCTCCCCTCCAATCCAGAACGAATGACACCAACATTGCTCAGACTCGACCTATCGCCCCTGTTCCTCACCGGTCCAAACCCGTCACTGTCCTTGCCTCCAACTTCGAGGCCTCACGTATCAAGTCTGAAGATGATGTCTCAGAGATGGATGTAGACAATCGTCGCACTGATGACTTGTCTACGGCGATGCCTCTAGAGGTCAAGTTGGATGCTGGAGAGAGTGAAGTCGAGGATGTCTCCGAGGGCGAAGAGGAAGATGAAGAGGAGGAAGACGATGAAGATTGGCTCAGAGCGACTGATGAAGAGGTCATTGCGGCTCAGGAGCAATTGGCACTGGTGCGAAGCACGTTCAAGGACGATATCGACATGTTCGACACCACTATGGTGGCTGAATACGCCGATGAAATCTTTGCACACATGGAGAACCTGGAAGAACAGGTCTTGCCTAATCCTCGGTACATGGACTTTCAGACAGAGATCGAGTGGTATGTAGCGACTCATTTATCTCACGAGTGCCTGCTGACACCCTCCCTTCGCAGGACCATGCGAACGACTTTGATCGACTGGCTTCTCCAAGTCCACCTTCGATACCACATGCTCCCTGAGACTCTATGGATCGCGGTCAACCTCGTCGATCGATTCTTGTCCGTCAGAGTCGTCTCTCTTGTCAAGCTGCAGCTGGTCGGCGTCACGGCCATGTTCATTGCGGCAAAGTACGAGGAGATCTTGGCGCCAAGGTAGGTCGCAAAACACATGTCCACCCGCTTACATCTACAGCGTGGACGAGTTCGTCTACATGACTGAGAATGGCTACACGAAGGACGAGATCCTAAAGGGTGAACGAATCATTCTCCAAACACTCGACTTCACCGTTTCTTCCTACTGCTCTCCTTACTCTTGGGTCCGACGCATCTCCAAAGCAGACGACTACGATATTCAGACTCGGACGTTATCGAAATTTCTGATGGAGGTCACTCTGTTGGACCACCGCTTCTTGAGATGCAAACCCAGCATGATCGCTGCTATTGGCATGTATCTTGCGAGAAAGATGCTAGGCGGAGATTGGGTGAGTCATCTGGTTTAAGCGAGGGTCTCTCAGACTCACCCCTTGCTCTCAGAACGAGGCGTTCATCTACTACTCCAACTTCACCGAAGCGCAGCTCATTCCTGGAGCGGCCTTGCTTTGCGAAAGGCTGGTCGAGCCTGACTTTGAGTCGGTGTACGTGTACAAAAAGTACTCGAACAAAAAGTTCCTGCGCGCCTCAACCTTTGCACGAGATTGGGCACAGAACAACACCACAGCATTCTAGGTTCTTGGTGAGTATTTGGTGACGAGACTGGAACGCGGCTGATCTCGTGCGAAGGTTCTAGTATCCTCTCTCATATGGACATTTCGATGGAGCTCAGCTTCTTCGCTCCTCTCCCCTCCTACCTGCACCGAGTCAATCGCATTTTGACTCGCCCCGCGTGAATATCAGCATTGTGTGGAATAAAAACACCAAGTTCCCTCTCCCTCGCCCTCTCGTCTATCCATTATAATAACCAAACACTTGGGGTGCGACATTGGTTGATCGGAACCGACCGACCGACACATCATTCTGATGAGCCTTTGTACGATCCCAACAATAACGAAAGTCACGACCAATTTCCACAAAGTCTCTCATCCCCTCTGCTCCCTCCCCGCTTCGTAACGACCCAAATCATACCTGCCATACCCTGTGGCCTCGAAGACACGCGAAGCCTCCTTTTTCTTCCTATTCCTGCATCCCGGTGGTCTCTTGCATGATTTCCTTCTTTCTCTCCCCTCGCTGCGACTGTAAAACAACCCTCTCACCCTTTCTATCTTGGTGTGCGGCGACAAAGGGGCCGGCGGCGCTTGAGGCATAAACTCCCGAGTTTGGTTACCTCAGTATAGACTTTCGCATCCCTCGTGTCTTTGTACTTCTCGAGGAGGCAGTCTTTCTCATACCGTCCTCCTGTCTCATGCATTTTACCTCTGGTTTTGAACAGAGTGTCAGTGCCAAGCCAAAGACTGTCCGCTGTGCTGATCAAAGGCAAAAAGGATGCATTATGATCATTCCTATGGAAGGTCTGCACCACTCTGACCGCAGAAATTTCGTCAAGCAGACATCTCTTTCGGTGTCAGGAGTGAGGCAGGTCCTTCAGGATGTCGGGGACCGACAGGCGCTTCCACTACTCCACCATTCCTGACGACATCGCCATTGGTGTTCACCACGCCGCCCAGTTGCTTCATCTCCAAAGCATCGCCATTCGACTGCCGTCCAATAGTTCCATTGACATTCTCGACTTTTGCCTGAATGCCCCTCTTTGTATTCCCGCCTCGTCGCTTTGTTCCCTTGAAAATGTCCTTCAAGACTTCTTGAACGTCTGTATTCTGACCAATTGGTTTCTTTTTCGGCGTCGTCTCGTCGACTGATCGATTCCCGGCCGTCGAAACGATGGAAGGAGGAGCTGATCCGTTGATCGAGTCGTTCCTTATTCTGCTTGCTGCTGCTGCTGCTCCTCCACCACCATCACCTAAGGCTTCTCGCAAATCTGAAACGTCGATCGTCCGTGAAGCTGTACGTTGACCGACAGAGTGGTACGAATTATTGTTCAGCGACATGATGACAGAAGCGACGTCAAAATGGTGGGTATCATCCGCAGTATATCGCCCTATCGACGAAAATCGCTCGACCGAATCCTTTAGCGCGGATTCGACAGACCACCGAACTGTGAAGTTTTTGGTGAGGGATGATGCGTCCTTCTGAGTCGTCTGAAGGACCAAAGGAGACGACGTCAAGGCGGATACCAACATCTCAGGATCCATGAAAGGGAGTGAAGATGCTGATGACTCGCCCTCTTTCATATTAGGCACGAATTGGACAGGCTGATCCGGTGGTGGAAGGATTCCAGGTGGTGGCGCAACTGCACTAGGCACTTCGAACGGTTCAGCAAGTGTGTTAATTGCCTGAACATTGACGAGTCAGTATCAATCCTTTGACGAGACATGCCAATCCACCACCACCCTCACCTTGTCTGAATTCTCGATGACTTGACCGATACCCCACTTTTGACCGATGAGTCTCCAGACGGCCCCTATGACCTCCTTGATGGATCGCTTCCGCTCAAACACCCAAGCTCCTTGTCGTCCATCACCAGATCGTCTGACCAGCTCGACGCTCGCATCTCGATCGAGAGCCAAAAGCATCGGCACGCTCGTCAGGAGGACGGCAGAAGGCACAGCGTCAATGAGGGCTTCCAAGATCTGTATGATGGCTGTAAAGTCGTATGGCGTGGCAACGTTATCGAATGACCCCACGACGAGTGTGGAGTTCAATCGGGTCAACGGCAATGAGACCCGTCGATGGAGTCGCTTGCAAGGTGGGGTCATGCCTCCGTTGGATTTTCGAGGTGGCGTTGAGCGGCCTTCGACCAAACTCGACTTTCGTGGTGTCGCTTGACCTGGGCCGGTGGACTGGCGAGGCGTAGGCACTGGAGTGGGTTCCTGCAGGTTGAATGATACGCCTTTTTCGAGAGATTTGCCACGCTCAATTGGGACGGGTGTGGTGCTGACAGGGGGAGCGAGAACAACATCTTTTGCTGGGACGAGAGGGCTCGCATTGACCTTTGCTATCGGTGTCGGAGCGAGCACTTCGCCATTGGCAGTGTCTGAGCCTACCAGAGGCGAAGGGATTTCAGGTGATTCCGCGCCGGGCGTAGCTGGCGTGGTTCCTGGACCTAGGCACGAAGACATGGCGAGGGTGTAGATAGCGGCATTGAGGGCATTGCAGAATCGTTTGACATAGATTTGCTCTGGTCTACCAGGCCGTGAGGGATTGCTAGGAGGCACGTCGCCATCTACACCTTTTGAGGATAGTTTCGGCTCACGGGGTAGTTCGTTTTTGATAAACAGCAGGAGAGCTCGAGCGTAAGCTGATCGTACAGGATACGTCGCTTCGCATAGTAGTGGGACAGTCTCTTGCCAGACCTGTGGCGAGATGAGATTCCGCCTGCCTGTCCGTGTGGGAAGGCTATGTTCCATTGTCGACGCGGGTGCTTTCCCTTTATCCTTCTCAGGGCTTGCATGCGTGTCCACGGAAGGGGTCTCGGGAGGATGAGCAGTAGCTTTCGCTTCGAGTTCGTCTGCCCGGATGGCCGTCGATAACAAGCCCATGATGCAGTGAATCAAGACCCGCAAGATCTCCGGTCGAGCCTTGTCATTAACGTCTAATTCTGTCATTCGTACGGCGATCTCCTCGACGACATCGTTTATTTGATCAGCATAGTAAATGTGAGTTCCGAGCGATGCGCTACATTGCACAAGGGCAGGCAAGAGAGCATCCTGGGGATCAATCCTGACCCGACGTGAGATGAGCGAGATGAAGCTGTTGGTCATTTCCACCACTCCTAGACCGACCAATGAAGTCGAGCTGCTGAGAATGCTGGTGATCATAGCGACCAAGGTCGTGTGCTTCGTTGTCAATGGAGCGTCGGGAACTTTGGCAAGGATCTCAACCAATCGAGTGGGTACCACGAATCGGTACTGTAACGACATGAGAGCTGCCAATCGTTCTGCCAACCAGCAGGATCTTTCGACGTCTTGCCATTGAGCCAAGTCGAGGTAGTTCGCAATGGCGTCCAAGACGTACGTCGCCTGAGGGACTTGACAATTCCGTATGAGGGCGGCGAGAGATCGCAAGGCGGCGGACAAGACATCCGTCTGACTGGGACCTTTTTGACCCGGAATGTGGGCCGACAGAGAAGGCGCTCGACGGTTCTGAACAGGTCGCCGAGCGGAAAATTCGCTGAAGAAGGGCGAGGGTGATGAATCGACTTCTATACGGGCAGATTCAACTTGAAGCGAAGACAGGGACCCTTGAAACAGGTTTGTACACAGAGCGGGGACAATGATACCGACTTGAGGTGGGAATTCCGACATTGGCGTGGAGAACAAGGCGTGGGACGATGCAGCGCCGTGGAGAGCTGCCAGACCAATGAGGCGAGTTCGATTCTCTTGCTCCGAGTCGGATTCCTCAGCCTCGCCATTGGAAGTCTGGGTGGGAGGAGCTGCGGCAGATGTAGAACCCGAGCCTATTCTTGCCGTTGCAAACGCAGCGAATTTTTGCAACACGCTCAAGTACATCTTCAGGGTCGAGTCCTCCATTCCTCTACCTCCATCGGTAAAGGTCGTGTAAGCTGTAAAACAAGATGCAGCTCTCCCAATCACTTCTAGATCCGGCCCTCCCTTTTGGTATACTCTGACATCGAGAGAGATGTCGATAATCCGGATAATGGATCGGGAGAAGAGATGAAGATCACGGTGACATTCAGTGATGAGTGTGCGAAGGATGGCTAGGGAAATCAAGAGGGAGCTGTGCGGTTCAAGACGTGTTGGGGAAGGGAGAAGCGAGTAGTCAACGCCTGAGCAGCTCAATTCCTGAGCACCTCACTCACGCTCTACTCTTCGCGTAACCCGCCGTACTCTTTCCAGCCTCCTTGACCACCCTCTTCTCCAACTCGTCCCCGACTTTGGCCAAACGAGATGACTGATTCGTACATCGGTACGTCAACTTGGACAGATCTGAGGACAGCGGTTTGAAATCCGGTCCAGCGGTCAGGATCGCTTTGGAGGGAGGATAACAATCTCGGACCAATTGAGCTTCTTGAAGCGTTCCAAAGCAGTTGCATGACATGGTGCAGTGGCGTCGAGGGTTCGAGAAAGTGGTCAAAGCAATGGTTTGGATGCGCCAAATGGATGATTCCAGATCCAATGTTTGTAGTGCTGATAAACACGGAGGGATAACTACCGGATCCTTCGCGGTATACACAAGCAGCGCTGTCTCCAGGACTTGTCGTATCTGATGGAGGCCAGCGTTTGGTGCCGGATTCAGTGAGGGAGGGAATTCGCTTTCGGACCGTGTTCTCGCGAGTCAACTGTCTCGGGACTGTCCGCTGAATTCTTTTATCGAAGGATGACGGCAAGACAGGTCCAGTCAATGCAAGGGTTGCAAGCTTTCCCTCGATCTTCCAAAATTGATAGTCAGTGTTGGAAAAGAGGCTCGATGCTATGAGTCAAGCCAAGATCCACTGTCGAGACGAAGATGATGACAATGAAAGGGGGATAGGCGATCTGATGGGATGGGATGGATAGGGCGCGTTTTTCCATAATTCGGTTTGGCGGCCGAGAGTCAGAGAGCTACGAACCACAAGATAAATCGTGCATGTAGGGCCGGCCAGGTGGTTCAAGTAAAGGCGCGAGAGGGGTGGAGAACAATGAGCGAACCTTGAGGTATTCGTACCTGCCCCAATTGCAGCGATTGACGCAAGCGAGCATGTACGAGGCCTAAACGACTTTAGTCCTCGGCCTTCATGGCGTGCCACATTTACGAACCGTGTCAAGATGGGTACTCTTCGCTGTCACAACCGTGATGCCGCACACGTGCCATACCCTTTACTTGGTGCTCGCAACAAGTGCCAGACCCCAGGCTGGCTACCTGACCTCATACCAGTCAAGCTCCAAGTCAATGCGGTCAGGCCACAATGTCACCTCGGCTCAATGTGGCACCCTGGCCTACCCACCCGTACCAGTCGCGAATGAGTGATGACACCACCTGTTCCGTAGCTTGGGATACCACACTGCGATGCGAGCTGATAACCCACTGAGAGACTTAGATACATGCATAAGAATGTTTTCCGGGACGTAAATGTCATGTGTACGAAGTGCGAACAGACCAAAAAAAGGTGAGTATGGAGGAGAATGTCGCATGACCTCTATACAGGTCGAACGAACCTGGACAGGGCAAGAAGTAGGTTGCACGGGTCTAGGGACCCGGGGAAAAAGAGTAACAACAGCGAAGGTAATCAAAGCAGATCTACACCCCGGTCTTCCGGCCTCCGATCATATCAAGGCCATGGATTGCAACATATTTTTCACAATCGTATCTTGGGTCGCCTGTACAAAGTCAGCAAGACGCACAGCCAGCTGTCCCCACCGCAAGGATCACGCGAATGTTCTCTTGATCGACAGCTGTCGTGGTGTGGATGTACACTTCCCTGTTGGGGTTGCGGTTCAAGCTCCGGAACTGCAGAGGTCGAGGTCAGTTGTCAGATGTCGGGAAAGGCATAGATGGACTAGCCTTGTTCTTGAAGAACTCGACGGCATCGTTCGCACTGCCAGGTTTGCTGTCGTCCACCGTCAGCTGTGCAGATATACCCCTCAGGATGACGCTGTACTCACCCTGGGAAGTCGGGGAAGTACGGTAAGATTTGTTGATCTTTTTTGATAATTTTGGACGCCAATAGATCCCACTTGTTGGCAAAGAGAATGATGTTGGTCTTGGTGAACCCTGGCACTCAGTGTTTGAGCATTCATCCATGCCAGATTCTAGGGTCAAACACTCACACTGCGAGTTGACAATAGATTCCCAAAGTATCAACGCTTCCATCATGCCGTTCGAGCCTGACTGCGTCAGACTGCCACATATGCTAGCGAATAAGGCCGGCGCTCACTCGTATCTTCTATGATACCCGCATTGTAATCCGCCAGCGAGAAGATGAAGATGATAGCCGTGACGTCCTCGAAGCAGCTGGCCCATTTCCGCCTCTCAGATCTGGGGTTCAAGGCATGAGCGCCGCGTCGAGCAAAGGACAGGGGAACGCACCGTTGCCCACCGACGTCCAAAACTCTCATCCGGATGTCTTTGAGATTGAACCACGTTTCACTGATACCTGTCGTCTTGGCTCGGACACTGGTCACCTGTATCAGCCTTTCAAAGGCTCAGAATTCAGACTAGAACCCACCGCAAAACATCATCATCACTTGGTTTATAGTCGGGTTCAAAGAGCTTCTCCAACTTGCCCTCGGCGTAGAAACTGAAGACAGACATGAGGAGACATCCAGGAGGCAGAACGTTCGCTCACTAAGGGATATTCTCCTGTAGAGCAAACTCATGTGCTCGAGCGTAACACGCTTGGACTTGCTCGTCACTCCACAAAGCTCTCAAGGCTTCCAGGTAACGGGCAGGGAAAGGCTCGCCGGTGTTGATCGCAGGTTCTTGATCGACAAACGAGACGTACTTTCGATTCGCAGGTGAGATGGCCATGGATAACTCGTCCATCGTATCGATGATCGCTCGCATACCTCCAACGACATTGGTGAAGACGATTTTGCGATAATCTTCAATTTCAGCCGGGGAGAATGGTTGGTTATGGATATATCTCATCTTTTTTGATGGGAATGGACTCAGTCAGATCAACTCTACCTGATTGACACAACGACACACTCACCTGCTTCAAGACTGTAGACTTGCCGGACGCGCCTGCTCCAAGGATCAAAAGCTTGACCTCTTTCGCGAGCTTTTTCTCATCTTCTCTCAATGCCCTATCAATCTCTCTTGACCTAGCATCGGCGGCGGGGTCAGCGTTTGACGGAGAAGAGGTACAGGCACCCATTGTGAGCGGCGAAAGATGAGTGGGGACAAGATCACTGGTGAATAACCTTGATGGTGGGCGGGGAGTGAAGAAAGGTGGCGATGGGTCCGTCAAAGTCGATAGATAGCTCTGGTGAGGGACAGCTGAATGATGTAAACTATCACTCGAAGGATGTGTTCTGTGACTCAGAGAGAGAGAGAGTGAGACGAAAGTTTGCTGAGACTCCAAAGGACGGTAAGAATGGGGATCAGCCTCTCGAGGCAGTCCTTTGAGAGAGAAACAGAGAGAGCGAGAGACCGTATGTGATCCCCGAATGCCAACCGAGTACCAACGGACGACCAACTGAAGTCTAGAGCTGATCTCAATTCCAACGTATCTAAGGGTTACTCGAGTTTGTGTGTCTCCGCTCCCTTGAACAGCCCTTGAGGTCCAGCGCTTGGGTCACTCTTACTGTTTTGGATGTGGGACTTGGTGAACAGATGCTGAAGTGCGAGCGAGTGAGCGGAATTGGGAAAGGATGCAAAAGGACCGTGAGCGAGGAAGGCAAAGGATGATGGGCTCTGGTGATGGAGGGTTCGTGCGAGGGGGATTGCTTGCTGGAATACTGATGCGAAAAGAAGAGGGTCAATGAGATGATCGTTCAGAGCGCCGTTCTCAGCGTGCCGTGCTGAGGCTTCGTCAATCTTGGCCTGGCTCCTCGCTCTTTATCGCAATCTAAATCCCCATTGTCACCCAAACCCTTGCAAACAGGTCTCAGGAGGGGTTCCCCTTAAGGCCGCCCCGAAAGTAGGAAGGTTGGTTGTCAAGAAGACACTCGGGCCCAACTCACCAACCAAGCTATGCGACTCTTTATCTCCAAGTCAGCCTTGAGAAGTTGACACGGTTAGTTGGATACAGGACTCCTATCTCTCTGAACAACTTTGCATGCACTTGACAACATACTGGTCGCAGGTGGTGGGCAGCACGAGAGAGCATCATCCTCCTTGGCGAGAGAACAATAAGAGCCTACTTCAGGAACACACGGAAGCTTATTATTTCAGAGGTGGAGGTTCCAAATGATTGATGTGGCGGGGGTCAAGTATGATAGACACCGACTGCCGTTCAGACATTACATGGTGTGGAGAGACAGAGAGAGAGAGACAACGCCTATAGACCATCGTACAACGAGAGTCTACACTGAGAACAACTGAGGAGGAGACAACTTGAAAGGATAGATACAATGGGGGAACAAGCTGGAGGCTAAAACTTGATATGTGCCGATACTTGGATCTTGGTGTTAGACAACCAGATCCCCACACCCACGGCGACGATGGCAGCGCCAATCCGCCATCTCCAATTGGGTCGTCGTCGTTTGGGAGGTACCTCATCTTCTGGAGGCGCTGATGGTCGATTTGTCGGCTCAGGGATCCCCGTGGGCTCACTGATGATCATCGGCGTGGTCCAGATCCCAAAGAGACCATTCCAAATATCTCCAAACGTCTTCCAAATGAGGGACGTGCGTATGGTCGATGATCTTGCGCCGGAGACCTTGCCGATAGGCGCAGAAGAGATCGGGAAAAGCGGTGGTGGGGAACAATTTGCCCGTTTGACTCGCCTGTCTTTGACTGGTCGAGCGCGAGACAAGGCTCCTCGAGTCGATCGATGGTGATCGTCTCTCTCACGCCGCTGGATGTTCGCTGCGATCCTCCGAGATAGACCAGCTTCCCATTCGCCGCCTCCAGACGCTCGTGCCACAGTCGGCATAGGCGGATGACTGTCAAAATGGGAGGACGTGCCTGAATGCGGCTGAGATTGGTAACCAGAATCAGCTGATGTGATGCTGGCTTCGAGGGACGAAGCAGGATCAGAAGACATCATGAAGGCTCGACGGGCGAGGAAGGTGTCGATGGACTGGGTTTCGACGGCTGGGAGATTCTCCAAGAGCTCTTGAAGATCTTGTGCATAGCGTTCCGCCCGATTGAGATCGCCCGTGGTCGATGCTGCGAAATAAGATGAAGCTAGATGAGACCCGGGCATCGGTGTAGGATCGTCAAGCGAGGAGGGCGAGGCAGCAGGATCGTGGGGGCCCTCGGACGGCCGCGAGGTCTCGGGTATATTTTGCGCCAGGTGACGGACCGGCGCAATGCTGGAGAGCGATTGAGGAATAGGATCTAATGGCATGTCAATAGTGATCGACTGAGACCAGAGTCACACTCACCGGGACCTAGGTTGAGGATCAAATGCACCCATAGGGCTCGCCTCGAGTGCTCGGAGATCATTCGCCTGACCGAACCTTCGCTTCCCTTGGGAGGGTGGGGATGCAACAACCTGGACAGCGCACTGTAAGACGCGTGGATGGTCTTTCGAATCTGAGCGCTTAGTCAGCCTAAATCTCCCACGGGTTGACACTGCACGAACCTGCTCTACGCTCGAGGCAATCGTCAAGCTCAGAACGACCTTGTCGTTCTTGACGATCCCGATTCCGCCCTTGTCCAGATGCACGATCTGAACGCGATTCTCCAACACCCTAATGACTTCTCTAGCGAGCTCCACCTCGCCTAGAAGTACAACTTTGATCATGTTGGTCTCTCCATGCCAGCTCGCCAGACTGAGATGCAGACTGGAGGATGGAAGACTCAGCATGGGAATGACTAATTCCTCGGATCGATGTCCTAGATGTTCGCCTCCTTGTAGTAGCGATTCAGCTGAAGAGTCCCTGTAATGCGGTGGGATGCGCGAATGGACCGCGTCGGAAAATTCGCGATTAATGGAAGGACCTGAGATACCGCTGATCGGGGATGAAGTCCTGGATAAGGAGCTCATGGAGCCGACGTAGGACGGTAGACTTGTAAAGCTTGCAGGGGATGACGGTTCACTAGGTAGGTCACGACCAGTGTCCTGATTTGACAGTGTACGATGAAATAGTTCTTCTTCTTCTTCTTCTTCTTCTTCTTCTTCGTCATCCTTATCTCCGTCAGCTGTATGATGATTGTATCGCCAGACGGAAGCAGGGTAGGAAGGATCAGGCGAAGGTTGAGTCATTGGATACTGACAAGCAGATATCAACGATGCGAGACCTTGACCTTGACCCGTCGCTGTGGATGACGATGTCGATAAAGATAATGGATGAAGCGTTTCATCAGGACTCGAAGGACCCCACATGATGCCAGATCCAATATGAGCTATGCGGCCGTTCACTGGGATAGGTGCTGATGGCGATATTTGGTTCTCAGTCGATGATTGACCAGGTGCTCGACGTGGAGAAGATGACGAGGTGTCGAATGGATCAGGTAAGAGGGGGGACGGTGCCAGAGATACGGGCGTAGTATCCATTTCCTCAGTCAGTTCACGCTGCTGATCATCACGAGTACGAGTAGTGGTCGACAGCCTGTCCTCGTCCATTCCTCCTCCACTCATGACGTCCAGGTCTAATCCACCTTGATCCTCCCTCGACGAGCTTATCGCCGAGAACGAAGCGTGATCGCTGTCATCAGATGAACGGTTCAACACGGCTTCGCGTGTCGAAGAGCCTTCCATTGCCCCTCCATGGTCTCCCTCCACTGCAGGACTCCAAGTGACGCTCCCATTCAAGCTTCTCACTCCAAAGGTGCTATCAGAGCCTGGAGGTGGAGGTGAGATCTCGCGTTGAGCAGCAGCGGCCGCCGCTTGATCTCCCGTCCTGCGTCTCGATCGACCCATTGTGGTGAACATGGCGTCAGAGTGACTGAATGGGTTCGGTCTTAGTCCCCCAATCGTCTCGTCTGGTCTGATCTAGTGAGACCACACACAATGTTGACAAAGGACGATGTAATGGAGATGTCAGCCTGGTATACATGTGCCGGGTGGCAATCGTCGTCGCTATGGAAAATCAGCCGAGAGTGGGAATGGGCCAGACGCGCGGCGGCTCTTGCAGAAAGTGGGGAGAAAATCACGTGGTGGAGGGGGTCTGGCGCAAAGTAGTGTACGTGCTGCAGCATCGGAATAGGAGCCCCTAAGGGTGTCATGCATATGAAGTGGGAGAGGAGATAGTCGAGTAGACTATTATTAGAGGATGGACCTGGAGCTAAGCAATAGCGAATATCCAGGCCGGGAAATTAACGAAACACCATCTCTACTTCTGTGCTAGACGTGTGCACCAACCAGACAGGTCCCCCCCCCTTCCCGACCTTCCCTTGTCACACCGCCACTCGCCTCACTCGGCCTTCTGTCTCTTGACAGACTTTGACGAAGGCTCCTCAATCTCGTCATCTTCATCGTCGGATCGCTCATCCTTGACCGTGTCGGAAAAGACGGCACTGCGTGTCATGCGTCAGTCTGGAGTGAGCAATCCTTGGTCATCTGCGATGCGCTCACCGGGCGAGGATACGCAGGATGAGGAAGTACCAGAATAGATTGATGAATTGGAGCAGAAGAATAGGCGTGAAGATTTGCCATTTCATCCTGAGCCAAACGTCAGTAGAAGCTCAAGGAGGCCGGCCAAAGGCAATACTCACCAGGGAGGCATCCATTTGTCGTTGAGAGGATCAAACACCTGTCTCTCGCTTGCACTATGACCGTGTAAGAGGCATGCACAGATTGGCTCAAAGCAGTAACTTACGGGATGAGATGGAATTGACTGTATACCGACCAGAGTATTTTGATGTTGAGGTAGTGTCGGAAATACCTGCCTTGAGGTCAGCTTCGCCCATCTGGTCATGTCCGAATCACTCACGTCCAAACCAAGACGAAGAATGCAAATACCGGTATAGACGCGGTCTCGTTGACATAGTTTGTACACTTCGCAAGCTTACTAGGGTTTCAGGACTCACAACCTCGACGCATTGTCTTAGAAGCTCACCGCTAAGAAAATATCGCTGACGTCCATAGTGACATAAATGGCGTTACCGATATGCGTTAGCTGTCGAGGTATTAGCCCATGATTCGGAAGTCTGAGGAGGACTCACGTAGATAGTGTAAGACCAGCCGATGAGCCATAGTGTGACAATGTGCTGTAATGACCATTAGCATTTGATTCGTCTAGCTCATCAGATCAGACCGACATGTGCAACGAGCTCTTTGAAGTCCTTTCGGGGCTTTTCGATACGGGCCACCAGCACTGAAGTTCAAGTCAGTCTCATCGGAGGAACACAGTCTGAATGATTTACAGAGCAGTTGTTGGACCCAGTAAGCGGCCTGATGTCGTCGTCAGCCGAGTGCTCGAGCTTGAGCATCATTGTGCCTCACCTGCAGCAGGTAGTACGCCTTTAACTCATAGGTCATTGATTTGTGTGGGTATTCGAGCCAAAAATGTTCAGTCTGGTACCCTGAAGAGAAGTCAGAGAGGAGTGTAGAAGCTCTGATCCATACAATACGTCGGAAGACCCTTCATGACGTACTGCATCCGTCGTCAATGGCTATCCGTGCTGTCGATGCATCATGCCACTCACTACTCCTATGGTTCCCATGATGCCGAAATATACGATAGCGTATCCCTCTGCAGACAGGTCAGCTCCGCCTCATTGTGGGAAATCATAGACATGAACTGACGCTCTGTGAATCGCATGATCTTTGACCGCTTGACCCGCAATGCCTTTGCAATGACTGGCAAGATGAGGACACACCAGAATTGACGGACGCTGACGGTGAGTGAGCCTCATCGCGACCTCTTGAGCCGGGCAATAGACTCACAAAGACCAAGTGATGATGTGCTGAGCCACGAAGACAAAGTCTGCCCATGATTTTCTAGCCATTCCGTTTGGCAAGAGTCCTTGCGGGAAGAGGAAGTATGACATGGGGTTGGGGTATGTGTGTTGAGCATCCAAGTTCAAGTACGAGAATGGGTTCCAATGGTGTCCAGAAGGATGTGAACGGATGAATGACAAAGGGTTGAAAGGTGTCTTTGAGGTTGTGTCCAATCGAGTCAACATGACTTCGATAGCTGCCCATAGTGCAAATTCGGCTGCAAGGATTTTGAACGAGGAGGCTGAGCGAGCGCGCGGGTTGATCAGTGCTGACGGGCTTGAATATGGTTACAGCCATTTCTTACCCGGTACAAGCATCCATCTGCCAGTCTTGATATCGTTCCAGAATCCTTTCGAGGCATAACTGAAGGACGAAGACCCTGCCTTTCGACGGGGTTTTCCCGCTGGAAGAGGCTTGACTTCTTCATTGGTCGGTGTGAGGGGTCTATCAACGGGTGTCAGTGGAGAAGATCCAACAAGGATGTGAGGTTTCTTTCGCTCAGTGTCAAAGGCCTCAACTCACTTGTCTCCTTGCTGGTTCAATGGAACTCGTCTAAATACCACAAAGTATTATGAGCGAGAGACACTAAGACGCTCTCCCTCTCACCTCAATGCTTGAGTGATACTCGAGCTTCGCCGCCTATTATCCGGTCTAGTGGCCATGCTGAAAAAGACCGAGGCTTGAATAAGAAGGAGAATCAGTCCCCAAGTCTCCACTCGTCCTCTATAAATACGCCCGCCAGCTGAGGGTCAAGCAGCAAGGATGGATGAGATCTGAGTGAACAAAACATCATTTGAATAACCGTCCTGGAAACCCCCGAAATGGGATGATGACGTAATGGAAGGCCGTCGGGCACGGTATCTTTTATTCCGCTCTCGCTCCTCGAAATCATCTACACGGTATACTCGAGACCGGTTGTCCTATGAGACGAAACAGCTGGACTGATTGACTGACTGACTGACACGTATGGCGGATGGCGAGCAGGGGAGCAGGTAGCCGCAGCAGTAGGAGCAGCAGCACTAGCAGCCTGAGCCACGAGCATGATGAAGCAAATCAAGAGGCCGCCGTCGAAATCGAGGCTGAGGGAGACGAGGCGCACGATGATCCACTCAACATCTATGATACTGGTCTCTCAAACTTATTTTCCATCCCTCCCATAGCATTTTCAACCACATCGCCTACATCGCTATACATATACGGACCCCCACCTGCAGCACGTACACAGACGCCTATAAGGCTGCGTGTGCCTACGCCCGGCGCTAGTGTGTTTAACAAGCTTCAAGCCAATCATGTTTGGCTTTCTGCGTTATACCTCGCGGATCAAATCACGACTGGAGAGGTTCAGCTCGGCTCGAGGGTCCTGGAACTGGGTGCAGGGGCCGGATTGCCAGGTATAGCTGCTTGTTTACTGGGTTGTGACGTTCTCTCCACCGATTGGGGAGATGAGGATATCCTGGCGTGTCTGGAAAGCAATTTCAACAGGAATTGCGAAACAAAATCCGCTGGTCATTGGGCGGCAATGTCACATGAATGGGGCAGTGATCCGATAAAACTGCTGGCCTTTGGCTCACACCCAAGCGGTGAAGACAAAGCCGTGTCCAACATAGGTTCACATGACCCCAAGCCCAAACGCTTCGACACCCTCCTTCTCGCCGATACCCTTTGGGTCAGCTCGGCCCACTCTGTCCTTCTTGACTCGATCCAAGCGCTTCTCGCCCCGAAAGGTATGGCTCATATCGCCGCTGGACTACATACTGGCCGATGGCCGGTGGAGTCGTTCATAAAGCAAGCAGAGGAGAGAGGAGCCCATATCGAGAGGGTCCGTGAGGTCAGGTGGGCAGGTGCTGGTCAGTGGGAGGTGATGGACCAGGCAGACGAGTCAGTGATGTCCGCAGGCTCCGGAGAAGAGCGGGGCGTGGTGATCTACCTCAAGCTTACATGGAGCGGCATCTGCGGCAGCGCGTGAGCGGTCGAGCCGACGTGGGTGTCGGCTTCGCCCTTGCCTCGGCCTGATTTCGCATCTGCAGAGACAAGATCCATGCATGCTCTCGCGTCTGGCAAAGACGGCTGGATGACAACTAGTATACCTCATTACCAGCCATGGACCTGCCATAGCTCGCTGAATATCTTCTCCCAGGTAATGCGTCGTCACCCTGGAACCGTCGACTCTGCCTCAAGGGAGCGGTCCTCGTCATACTCTGTCTTGGTCCCAGGGTCGAAATAGTGGAACTCGATAAAGTAGGCTGCAAATAGTAACTCGACAGGTCCTTTTCGTCCTGTCCTTCAACGACCGATGATCGCGGACCAACTCGATTGATGGATCGTCTGGATTGTCCAATAGGTCCGACTGATCTCGTGTATCCATCGGCCTCTTCGTCAATCATTCCCCCAGCTTTACCACGAGCGTCACTTTGGATTGCGGCAAATAGCGTATCTCTTAGATTCGATGCCCATGTACCTGCCCTGGATGGAGATTCCGACTCGGTATATTTGATACTGCTGATGAGGGTATCACTTCTCCGACCGGGTCGAAGATCGATGATCGTATCGGATGGTGAAGAGTATGCGGAGGGCAAGTATTCTCGGGCTTCAGGGGCAGAAAAGTTTGGAACGCTCAACCGGGAAGAAGAAGCACGACTGGGAAGTGTCCGGAGTTCTGAATGATCATCAGACACATCTGCGAATCCTTCCTCTGTGAATCAAAATCAGCAAAGGAGCACATGTCGTCTTTGTTCAACTCACCGTCGACGGTCTTCATCCTCGACATGCCATCATGCCCTCTAGGAGCCGCTGCAGATCGATTCGCCCAACTCAAGATGGTCGATCGTCGATCCAGGTCACCCGGGGACAGGTTTCGAATTTCCAAAGGACCCGTACTGGCATAACGACCAGCTTGATCCACTACGGACTGATCGTCTTGCATAGGTTGGAGGTTTCTCATGGCCGGTGTGAGAGGGACATTCCACAACATGCCATCTTGACCTTGCATGATCTGGCCGTCTGATCCATGGATCTCGCTTTCACTCCTTACATTGCCGATATCATGCAGGGCGGGGAATCCCTCTGCGTCACCCGTATGGAGGAATTTTGAGTTCTCCGGAAAGCTGGCGAGCATAGTTGAACGTCTATGTACCCCTCCATCCTTCTCGGAAAAGGCATTCGGGATAACACCACCGGGACCCATGCCTACGCCTGCCATCCCGGGTCCACTGATAGTGGACCCGTTCATACTGATTCCTCCGAAACCAAGACCGATCCCCGAACTGGCTCTTCGGCTCAAACTCGTACTTCGGGAATGTGAATGAAACGAGTACACCACGTCCGAAAGACCATCATCCGCATCTCGTTTGCGTCTACCACCACATGGAGGACAACCACAAGCTGACCGTCGAAAGATCCACGAAAGTGATGTCGCGACGACGGAAAGGACGATCAACGATCCCAGGACACAGACGACCACAAAGAGCGCGGAATCGGTGAATGGTTTGGCGGAGCTGTTAGCGGTCGAAGCTGCGGATGCAGAAGCCGCAGCGGACGCAGAGGCGGAGCTTGTCGAGCTTGTCGAGAGGCTCGAGGAGGAAGAGATTGACGAGGAGCTGGACATTGAGGCAGTCATCGAGCTGGAAGGAATCAAGGATGTGATGGAGGTCGAGGTTGTGTCGACAGAAAGCGAAGTGGAGACTGTGACGGAGGGTGATGCCTCGCTTGGAGACATGGTGGCGCTGCCTTGGGTCTCGGTGTCCGTCTGCAGCTGTGTTGTAGGCGCATCGGTGGATGGACTAGTGGCAGGTTGAGTCGCCTGAGGTGATTCTTGAGTCGTTGCCGGTGTGTTCTGAGCGACAGGCTGGGCATTGTTCATTCCCTTTTGAACCGCGTTCTGAGGACCAGACTGTGGCTGAGCGTTGTTGGGCGGCTGCTGCTGCTGCAGAGGCGAAGCAGGGGGATCATCATCACTGACGATCGACGCTTGACCATTTTGCCCAAAGACCAGTGGGTTTGTGAATTGTTGAGGGGGATTGGAGATGGCTGTAGCGTCTAAGAAAGATTGAGGAGGAGACATCATGATACGTTTCGAGAGAGTCGAAAAGCGCCTGCGCTTAGGTCGAGGTCGGCAAGACCGTTTAGGTCGGACAGTGGTCGAGTCGGACATTATACTTGATGGGGGCTGTGCGACCCGCGCTGAGCCGTCCTGAGGCTTGTAGAGGGTATATCTAACCACCGTCCAGCGGGTGCACTGCCTATAGTTGACAAAAGGCAGATCAGAGGTAGAATGTACAACGTTGAAGAGCAGAGCGTCAATTTTCTATCCCAATCATGGACCCTCTGATTCCAAAGTCCATGCTCAGCATGTACGAAGTGGGTATATCAAAAGGGAGCATCTTGCTTGCGCCTGTCATACGTTTGTTCTAAACGCAGGAATGGACGCATCAGATTGAGACACATGGGGCTTGGTGAAACCTGCAAGACGTTTCCGGAGCGGTTGTATGTCTCACTCCGACCAATGGATGGGTGGGAGCTCCGATTGGGAACCTCAGGCCAGCTTCTCAATGCGCAGAGATCGCGGAAGCAGTCAATGAGATCGGTTCGCGCGAGCATCGCTGCTTGCGGAACAGTTAACCAGTGTATACTTTATACATTCGTCCGTAATTGACGCATAAAACAAGGGCGGCGTCGTGTATGGCCGCATTTCAAAGTGCCTTTGCTTGACGCTCCTCCTTCGTCTCAGACATCCGATTCATTGAGCTCCGAAGCTCTCTTGACGACGTCGTTCTAGTCAAACCACAAGCGTCAGCTCAACTATCTCCACGGAATTGAACGGACGGATGCATTCCGATCGCTCGCTCGACTTACTCCGCTTCGCTCAATGACGACCGCTGGATCCTCTTTCGAAGCGTTCTTGGCGATGGTGTTTCCCTTATTGGAAGTCACCTCGGCTTTGCCAGACGTCTTGATTTCGCCGACGGTTCCACCTGAGAAAAGGGAGAAAGAGCGAACATGTTAGCTAGATCTAGGGCCGAAAAAGACGCGCCGCCGTAATAGCTGGGTGGAGATGGGACGAGGGAGGTGTTTGTGCGAAAGCGAGGGCCAAATGAAGAATTGTGAGACATGCAAGCTCAACTCACTGGGTTGTCCACTGCCCCAGTTCCAGGAGACCTTGTCTCCCTAGATGGAAGGAGCGGTTATCAGCTCAGTCACACATAGTGGGTGGCAGGCGACCCGCCAGCCCGAAAAGTGGTGATTCACCTCTGAGATTCCAGCAGCTTCCTGAGGCATGTTGTCAAAGTATGTGATGCTTGAATGAAACGATCTGAAGAACGATCTACGCAGATGCTGTCAGTTGTCAATACCACACTCTTTATATATGTATATCTATGCCGGTGACTCTCATATTGACGCCCCCGCCCCCCCCCGCGCTCGCAGTGATGTCAGATCTTATCGATACGCCGATCGATCGGATTCCAACAGAAAATGATTAAATTTTTTCAAATCATTATCATCATCATTCATTGTCACGATCTCTCTCCCCTCTTGTCCGATCTGGGGTAGTACGGCTTTGCATGCATTACCAACCTACTCGGGGTGGATGTCTCATGGACAGATGCTACACTCGCCGGGGAAGCGCTCATGGAGCACGAGCATGACACCCTCGCTAGAAGAGACTAGGCTGGATCTGATCTGGGGATCTGCTGAGGGTCGCTTTCTGTCACTCGGTGCTAAGGTAGCCAGGGAAGACTCAATATATACAATGCATACTGGCGTCCAGTGAGGTCCGTTGACCCAGCCAAGGCTCTTTTTGCCGCCCTGCTGTTCCCCACGTCCTTGTAAAATAAAGTGAAGTCGTCTAAGTCTAACGTGTCCGTCCTCCTCTCTCAATCGAAATGCCCTCTCTTATTGAGCTACCGCAAACGCCACGACAGATGCGTCAGAGTGCGAGAGAGACACCTTGAGCGTCTTGCCTCCAGCTGCAGAAGCGGCATCACCGTGCAATTGAACCTGTATTTCCGACGTTAGTCATCGCACATATGCTGAAGCGGCTCTTTGACTCACACTTGGTCCCGCTTGGCCCGCGACAATCTCAATGTCTTTCATACTCGCTCCAGCGCCTTTGGAAGCCACACCGAGAGCTTTGAAAACTGCCTCCTTTGCGGCCCATCGGCCAGCAAATGAAGCATTCGGGTCAGGCGCAGCGTTACAGTATTTGATTTCTTCATCTGTAAAGTTGCGTGATCTGAATGTTTCGGAAGTCGGGACGCTCGAGATGAGCTCAGTGTCGACGCCGACTCCAGCGATATCTCCACCTGCTTGAGCGAAGATTGTCTTGAGAGTCGACGCGTTGGCGGATTGGAGCGGGACAGTGGAGGGCAATTTGCCCTGGAATGCAAACGAGTGCTTGGAGGTCTCTGAAGCGCGAGCCAATGGGTTGAGTAAAACTTTCGACTCGAGATCAGCTCCGTAGGGAGGCCCATCCTTGATTTGGACGAGGTTGTTCAGGACCATCATGTTGGACATGCGAGCATAGGTGCCAAGTTCTCGAAGCGCTCTTCGCTCGACATAGGTGGACAACTCGTGAGGTTCAAGCGAGGCAAAGAGGTATCGTGGGTGCACGATAGCAGCTTGACCTCCGACTTGACCGAAACCAAACGAGGTGAGGAGACCACACTCCAATCTGACATATTGTATCGGTTTGGAGGGGTAGAACAAGTGAGGGAAGGCTCGGAGCTCTTCGGCAATGTTATCGGCATTATGGTTTCCAGGGACCAAAGCGTTGGTCAATGTCTGAATCATACCGTTGAATTGCCATGCAGCGGCACCGCCCTTGGGATGACCAGTCAAAGATTTTTGAGCAATGACAGGTACAGCGTTTCCGGGTGCTCGTCCGAGTTGCTGGAATTGTTGGTTGTAAACTCCCGACTCGTTCTTGTCGTTTGCCTTCGTAGACGTTCCGTGACAGCTGATCACCCCGACAGAGTCGGCATCAAGACCCCAAACAGCGAGGGCTCGACGGAGAGGTGCGATGGTGGGATCGCTGCCTTGAAGCATACCGTACGTGGCAAGAGCTTCCTTCTCCTGGCGGCGGGCATCTTCCTCAAGATAGCTGACGCGACTCTTGAACCAATCGTCTCCGTCTGATCCCTTCTTAGCCTCCATCTCAGACCGCAATAGTTCGTGTTCGTTCTCAAGCCACTGACTGATCTGTCGTCGACGGAAAGCGAGCTGTCGGGCACGATATTTGACGTCGAGGAGCAATGGGGCATGCTTAGGAGTGACTTCACGTGCGGTGGAGAGAACTCCTTGACCTGGAGCAGGCACAGATCGACCAGCCTTGTCCGTGTGAGTGGAAGTGAAGGCGACGATGCTTTGAATGTTGACACCGAGCTCGAGAGCAGTCTTGGCAGACATCAGAATGTGGACACCACATCCTTGAGCTTCCATGAATCCGGATCGAGTACTGGTCATAGGTCGAGACATTTCGTTGGGCTCTCGTCCCATGGCAAATTCAGTCTCGGCGTTGGAGGTGGCTTTCATATTGGCAAACTCGAATGAGCCTTCCTCGGAGAAGTCATCGAATCCACCACAGACCATGAGTTTGGCCTTGCCAGACATGATCGAGTCGCATCCAATTTCAATAGATTGAAGAGCGGTAGCACAGGCTCCAACGGGAATTTTGACTGGTCCGCTGGCGGACAAGAGCAAGAGATTGACCCATCCAGCGACAGTGTTGATGAAGCTTCGGAGAGTCAGCGTAGAAGACGCCAATTTGGCTCGACTCACGTCTCCTGAAGAATATCCTTCTGAACATCCTTCTCCTCGCGCCTGTCCTTGAACATGGCACTGAGAGATCTCATACCTCCCATACCTGATCCAAGAGCCGTACCGACCTCTGATGGGTGAATGTATTTGTACAGCTCGTAAGGATCAGTCACACCTGACATGATGAGCGCCTCCATAGTGGCAACGAGCGCCCACAGAGCGGTCCTGTAGACAGTCAGCTAGACGCCGAGTCGGATCCACTCACCGGTCGACCTGAGCAATAATATCGTCCGGGATACCGTATCGCTTGGCATCCCATCCGGTTGGGATCTGACCCGCGACGACTCGATCAAACTTGATCGACTTGGGAATAAACACTCGAGCGCCCTTCTTGAACTTGGCCTTCCATTCGCCAGACTCGGCAAGCCAAATGTCGACCTTGTCACCTTGCTCTCGCTTGAAACGCCCTGCGTCTTCAGCAGAGACCTCGAGCGGTTCGAGATCGTGGTTGAGCTCGATCTCCTGATGGAAGACTTTGCGTTCAGGGTCGTATCCGCCAAATAGCTCGGGCTCTGGGAGGTCGTTAGCCGAGTCCCTTCTGAGGAGCACTCACCGATGATTCGGATACCCGAATGCGCCATAATATCCTTTTCATACCTCGGTCGAACATCCTTGTCGTCAACAGGGTCGCCGGACTTGGCGTCAACCCATCCCACGTAGGTCTGACCATTCTTGAGCTTGCCATCAAAGTACTTGATGAAGCCCATCATCCAGGCCATTTCGATACATCCTTCAATGGTGAACTCTCCCTTGGATTCCATCTCCCATCGAGTTCTTGAACTTCCCCAAGGTCCAACTTCCGCAAAACCGGTACACACAATGACCTTGTCGAGGTCGATGAGACCACGAAGGTGAGACAGTTCAGCAAGAACATCTGGCGATTCAATCTTGGGATAGCTGTACTGGAAGTTTGCCCGGGGGGCGATCATGACTTTCTGGTGCAGTCGTTCGGCGGCATCACCGTTGGTGACACGGAAATCGGCGTTGCCGTCTAGAGTTATGGCTTTTCGGAGATCGGCCACGCGGTTGAGATCGAGACGAACGCCTGCGAGAACCTCGCCAAGGCCAGCAACTCGGTCCATGCCTCCGTTAAGATCAGCCCAAATAGGTTCAATCTGTGTGATGTCGAATAGCAGAGGGTGCATTAGACCGAGAATGTTGAAAGCCATTTCCTTGGCCGAGAAAGTCCTGACACCGAGTTTCTCAAGACCCTCGGCAACGGTGTTGGTGGCGCTCATGAGACCGGTACCTCGCGTCCATCCAATGACAGCGCCGGCGACACAGAGGTACTCCCCCCAGGATTCGGCTCCCCATCTGTTGAACAAGGTTTCCAGGGCGAGCTTGGACTCGGAGTAAAGACCATCATTGCCCATGGTTCCGTGGTTGGGAGAGAGAGGGAGGACGATCTGAGTGGGGCGAGTGACGAAGTGACGAGCTGCCTTTTTGGTCTTAACAGCACCCATGAGTCGGAGCAGGTTGGTAAGCATGAGTCGATGCGCGAGTTCAGACTTGTCGTCAATGCCGTCAATCTCTCGACCGTTCTCGGGCAAGGCGGCGAATGGAATGATGTAGTCGAGATCGATCTGGAGGGTGGAGTAGATGTAGTCGACCAAAGCTTCAACATCCTGTTTGGATGCACCGTTGAAGGGGACGACAATGAGCTTGGAGCCCTTGGAGCCGAGTTCGTGGAATATGTTCTTGTAGTAGTCCACAGCGGCTCGGCTGTACCTCGAGGTGGTGACGATACAGGTCGCACCTCCAGACAAGAGGCCACTGAGGATCTCAACACCGATACTGCCTTTTCCGACACCGGTCAAGAGGGCTGCCTTCTTGGCGAATGTCACACCGGAGGTGGCGATCTCAGTCAGGACGTCGAGGTCTGGAAGGTGGAGCATTAGGGCTGATCACTGATATGGATGGGTATTTGACTCACAAATATTGGTCAACTTTGGCGAGTATGACCAGCTGGTTCCCGTTTTTCGCTTCAAGTGCAAGAACGGCAGGTGAGTCTCCTCTACTTCTGTCCTGTCTTCGACGTTCGGTCGAAGGAACTGAGATGAGCTTCGACGTTGCTTTGTTCCCTTTGCACGGGCAACGGCGACGTTCTCGAAAGCGGCGGTAGTGGGAGAAATGGCGGAATCGGAATGACCCAGAGATTTGATAACCTCGCCATACATGGACTTGATGGCGGCTTTCTGGGCGGGAGTGATGGAGGGTTGAGAGTTGACGAGCTCCCAGAGTTTGTCGATATCTGATTGAACTTTGTCGAGGTTGACAGCGGGTTCGACGATTCCTCCTGAAGCCATTTCCTTGACGTAGCTCTCCAACTTGCGGACATTCTGACGCAGGACTTCAGAGTAGACAATGTCTCCTTTGGCTGAAACTTCGGTATGGGGAGCAGTGGGAAGAGCGACATCTCGGTAGACGGGTGGTCTGTCGACTACTTCTTTGCCTGGGAGAGTGGGTGTTAGCGAGAGTGAGCTGCGGGAGCAGCAGGCGGAGGAGGATGAGGAGGATGAGGAGGCGGAGGAGGATGAGGAGGATGAGGAGGCGGAGGAGGATGAGGTAGAGGATGAGGATGATGAGAATGATGAGGATGAGGATGATGAGAATGATGAGGATGATGAGAATGATGAGGATGAGGATGATGAGAATGATGAGGATGAGGATGATGAGAATGATGAGGATGAGGATGAGGATGAGGATGATAAGGATGATGAGAATGGAGGAAGGGCGGCCAGAGGACGACTCACAATTGTCGAGGAGGATCTGACCAAATTTCTTGGCTTTCTCATAGGTTGGCCCTTTGCTTGGGTCCACAGAATCGATATGGTATTTCATGTACCTAGAGACCCAAGCTTGTCAGCATTCCCCAAAGCTATCTTTCAATCACAAGCGAGGCTCACTCTATGAGAGCGGGATCCGCTCTGTTCATCTAGTAAGAAGGGGGCATGAGTGAAAATGTTCTATGCCTGACCAAACGTTGCCCACTCACAATGGCAATACATCTCGACGTGAGTTCACGCCTGACGATACTCTCTTGGTCTAATCCTTGGGTTGCCATGTTGGAAAGGCTAGGCGAGGCGAAGCCAGCGCGGTGGCTCGGGAAAGGGGCAGCTTGTTGAAGCGCAGGAGAATGGGTCGTGATTGAGTGTGTCGCAGCAGAGAGAGGGGTAGGTTGATACAGGACTGCAGAATAGAGCGATACGATAAAGAGAGTGGCTCAATCAACGTTCAAAGCACCTTGAGGGCCAGCAGCAGGCAGCAACACATAACGTTGGGGTAAAAATCAACCGTGGGGGCAATATGCAGCTAAAAAAGGGCCACGTGACATTTAACCGGGGCTTCTTCGGATCTGCGCCGAGAAAGCCGAACATTGATAGAATCCATGATTATTTTTGATTCCGTCCGTTCGCCCCCAATGTATTTTTTTTTTAGCCGACGTTGCGAACAACTCTGGGGGGGGAGAGTGAGTGAACAAGCGCGCCATATACCCCAACTGCTGCTGCTGCTGTTGCTGCTTGCTTGGTGCATCCCATCCCACTCCTCTTATCAGTCCTGAAGACGCTCTTGTAACATCTATTAGACCTTATACGAAGCCACACGCAGACACACAGCTGCTCTTTCCATCTTCTGGGGGCACTGAACCTTTCCTCCCAGTGCCGCCCCGAGCTGGTCTAGCTCAACCACCACCACCTCCTTCCCTATCCACCATGGGTTCCACAGCGACCCCAACTAGACCCTTGGTCCTCCACTCTCTTGCCGCTAGGATCTCCATCCCCGTCCCCGCTGAACCACTCTCAGCTTGGGTCGAGTCAGAGGTCCTCGCGCAAGATTTCCACGACTCTCGCGTCGGGTTGGACGAAGAACCCGCACCACCCGTCGAAGAATCGGAAGACAATGGACCTGTCACGACCCCGCCTTCCAACGAGCCTCAGGTCCTCCTTCTCGCTCGATTCTTGTCATTCGTCGCAGACAGATTGACCGCCTCTCCCAATGCGGAGCTCGCAGAAGTCATTCGAGCCGCTTACAAGCGATTCAACGACTTGTTCTTGTCTTCCATCAACATTCACTCCTTGGTCCAGTCTTTCGAGCCGGAGGCCAGGGCAGAGGTCTTGACAGCGTACTACAAAGCGTTTGCAGCTGCAAGAAACGTCCTCGGCTCAAGTCAGATCCCCATCGCTCATCCTTCCGCTCTGTTGGAAGCTGCGCAAAAGGGACAGGCAGAGCTTTACGCATTGTTCGGAGGCCAAGGTGTCAACGAGGTGAGCAGGAATATCATCTCAGGAACATCTGACATCGTGCTGATATCCTTCTCACAGACCTACTTCAACGAGCTTCAATCGCTCTACAACACTTACAAACCATTCCTCCTTACCCTCCTTGTCGACATTACCCGTAATGTTCTCCTACCGCTTGCAGCCAAGGCCGAGAGCGATGGCTACACTTACTACTCGCAAGGTCTTGACCTCGTCTCATGGCTCGAAGGTACCTCACCACGACCTTCTGTCGACTACCTTGGCTCCATTCCACTCTCCCTTCCGCTCATCGGTGTCACTCAGCTCGCTCAATACGTCGTCTCCTGCCGAATCACCGATGTTTCACCGGGACAGATGAGGTCGTTGTTCAAAGGAGCTACAGGGCATAGTCAGGGAGTCGTCTCTGCCGTCGCCGTCGCAGCTTCTAGCCATTGGGAGAGCTTGGCGGAGAACATCCAAAAGGCCGTCCGACTCTTGTTCTTCCTCGGTCTCAGAGGTCAGGAGGGCTTTCCCCTCCTCTCCATTGAGCCTCAGCTGGTAGCCGATGCAGTTGCCAACAACGAGGGCGTGCCATCACCCATGTTGTCCATCAACGGTCTGAGTCGAAAAGCCCTTGAAGGCCACCTCAAAAAGGTCAACGAGCACCTCCCTTCAAATTCCAAGGTTGGCATTTCGCTTTACAACGCATCAACCATTCACGTCGTCACTGGACCCGCAAGAGCTCTGTACGGTCTCGCTACTGCTTTGAGGAAAGTCATGGCGCCTCCAGGTCTGGACCAGAGCAAGACTCCATACTCTAAGCGTAAAGCCGTCTTCAACATGCGATTCTTGCCCGTCAATGTCCCTTACCACAGTCACTATCTGGAGGGACAGACGCAGAAGCTCATGGGAGAGGACCTGAAGAACGAGGAACTGTGGAGTGCCAAGGACCTTCCCATGGCAATCTACAACACCGAGACGGGTGAGTTGGTCTAAATCGATGCCGTCGTCATGCTGACATCCCCAGGTGTTGACCTTCGAGACCTGTCCACATCCTTGACAGCCTCCCTCTGCGACCAGATCTTCACTTCACCCATCCACTGGGTCAAGGCATGCAACTTCCCTTCCGCCGCTACCCATGCGGTCGACTTTGGCCCAGGTGGCAACAGCGGTATCGGCCCATTGACAGGCCGAGCTCTGGAAGGCCGCGGAGTTCGAGTGGTGATCGTTGGTGAAAAGGGCAAAGCTGCTGCCGAGTTCTACGATGCGAACAATATCAGGCGAGAATCTGTGTGGGCCAAAGAGTGGCAACCGAGATTGGTCAAGACTGCGTGAGTGTGTTGTGACCGACAGAATGCTGAAGCCGCACATAGTGATGGCAAAGTCCACATTGACACCCCCTTCTCCCGCCTGTTGGGCAAACCTCCTATCATGGTCGCTGGTATGACTCCCTCTACCGTGAAACACGACCTTGTTTCTGCCACTTTGGCTGCTGGATACCACATCGAATTGGCCGGTGGAGGTCACTACAATGCCAAAGCTCTTCGAGCCAAGGTCGCCGAGATTCAGAAGCACGTCCAACCTGGTGTCGGACTCACGCTCAACGCCTTGTACATCAACCAGCGGCAATTCAGCTTCCAACTCCCTCTCTGGCAAGAACTTCGTCGTGAAGGTCTCCCCATCGAGGGGTTCTGTGTCGCTGCGGGAATCCCAAGTTCGGAAAAGGCCACGGAGATCATCTCTGGCCTCAAATCTGTCGGCATCAAGCACGTCGCTTTCAAACCAGGTTCCGTCGAAGGCATCCGACAAGTCGTCAACATTGCCGCTGCCAACCCTGACTTCCCCATCATTCTCCAATGGACTGGAGGACGAGCTGGAGGTCATCACAGTTGTGAAGACATGCACCAGCCCATCATTTCCACCTATGCTGCCATCAGACAACACCGCAACATTTCGCTCATTGCTGGTTCTGGCTTTGGAGGAGCAGACGACCTCTGGCCTTACATTTCTGGTGACTGGGCTGTCGATCTTTACGGTTTGCAACCCATGCCGTTCGATGGTGGTCTCTACGGATCTCGAGTCATGGTTGCGAAGGAGGCTGCTACAAGTCCTTCGGTCAAGCAGCTCATTGTTGATGCCCCCGGTGTGGACGATGCCCAGTGGGAAGGTACCTACGACAAACCCACCGGAGGTATCCTGACTGTCCGATCTGAGCTTGGTGAACCCATTCACAAGGTCGCCACTCGAGGTGTCAAGCTCTGGCGAGAATTCGATGACACTGTCTTCGCCCAGCCTCGTGAGAAGCGAGCTGCTTGGCTCGAAGCCAAGAAGGACTATGTCATTGAGCGACTGAACAAGGATTTCAGCAAGCCTTGGTTTGCCCAGAAGGCCGACGGTACCGTCGCTCAAGATATCAACGAGATGACATACGAGGAAGTCACTCGACGAATGGTGCGACTCATGTACGTCGCCAAGCAGTCTCGATGGATCGATGTGTCCCTCCGAAACCTCGTCGGCGATTGGCTGAGACGAGTGGAAGAGCGATTCGCCGGTATCGATGGTATCCGAACGAAGGAATCTCTCATCCAGAGTTTCTCCTCACTCGAAAACCCCGCACCGACCCTTGATGCCTTTTTCCAGCACTACCCTCGTGGCAAGACACAGCTCGTCGCTGCAGAGGACAAGGCCTACTTCCTCAACATTTGCCAACGACCGGGCCAGAAGCCCGCGCCATTCATCCCTGTCCTCGATGGCAACTTTGAAGTCTGGTTCAAGAAAGACTCTCTTTGGGCCGCCGAAGATATCGATGCGGTCTTTGATGCCGACCCACAGAGAGTCTGCATTCTTCAAGGACCCATGGCTGCCAAATGGTCCACCGTGGTCGATGAGCCCATCAAGGACTTGCTCGGCAACATTGAAGGACTGCTCGCGCGCAAGATTCTCGCTAGGTACTATGACAACGACGAGAGCAAGGTTCCCGTCATAGACTACATTGGTGCTCGACCAGCTACCTCTCGATCCAATCTGGTACAGGAATCCACTCAAGGCGATATCCGCACCCTCAAAGTCAACGATCCTGTTCCACAACTTGAGGCATGGGTCGAGACCCTCGCTGGACCTAGTGTCAGCTGGCTCCGCGCCGCTTTGACCACTGTCAACGTTGTCCGAGGCTCTGGATACATCAGCAACCCTCTCAAGCGAGTCTTTGCTCCTCGTGCCGGACAGACTGTCGAGATCAAGAGCGCCAAGGGTCAAGCCGTCTCCGTTACACTGTACGGAGCCGCGCGATCATTCGGGGTCCACCCTCACGATTTCAAGGCCGTCGAAATGACATACGACGCAGCCAGCCGCAAGATCAGCCTCACCCTGAACGAAGAACGACGGGGCGTTTCCGTGCCACTCTACTTCCAATTCATTTACAAGCCAGAAATGGGCTATGCGCCGATTCACGAAGTCCAAGAAGGTCGAAACACGGCCATCAAAGACTTTTACTGGCGTCTGTGGTTCGGTGATAACGAGAAGATGCCTAGTCTGGCGCTCGACACCACCTTTACGGGACCCGAGACACCTATCGACGCTGCCACCGTTCAGCGGTTCTGCGATGTCGTCGGCAATCAAAGTGAGAGCTTCAAGCAAATCAGAAATGACAAGGTCATGGCGCCCATGGACTTTGCCATTGTTCTTGGCTGGCAGGTGAGACCGCGCCAAGGTTTGTGATTGTTTGTCGCTGACATTTCCCTTCAGTCCATCATGAAGGCCATTTTCCCCGCTGAAATTGACGGTGACTTGCTCAACCTTGTTCATCTCTCCAACGGATTCCGAATGGTCGATGGTGTCGCTCCTCTCCGTGCGGGTGACGTCTGCTCCGCCGAGGCACGAGTCGTCTCGGTCATCAACAGTGACAGCGGGAAGACTGTCAAGGTTCGTGGATTTGTCCTCCGCAAGGGTGAACCCGTCATCGAAGTCACTTCATCCTTCCTCTACCGAGGTCGATTCACCGACTTTGAAAACACCTTCGAGACCATCGACGAAGCGGATTACGTCGTCGAGATGGACAAGGCTACCTCGGTCGGCGTCCTTCAGTCGAAGGAGTGGTTCGAGTGGGAGGACCCGTCCGTTGCTTTGGATGTCGGCAGCGTCTTGACCTTCAAGACTAAGAGTGAGCTCCGATTCCGCGACAAGGCATCGTACAGCTCGGTCCGAGTTTCTGGAGCCGCTTTCGTCAGAAGCAGTACCAAGCAACTCGTCCAGGTCGCTACCATTGATTATGAGGCGCACAATTCGTTCGGCAATCCTGTGGTTGAATACCTCAAACGACAAGGTAAAGCCGTTGGCCTGCCCATTCCTCTTGAGACAGGCGGTTACTCGCTCATCACCAACCCTGCATCGGCGACGTACACCACGCCCTCAACCAATGAGCCATACTCCAAGGTTTCTGGAGACTTCAACCCTATCCACGTCAACCCATACTTCTCCGACTTTGCCTCTCTGCCTGGAACCATCACTCACGGTATGTGGAACAGTGCAGCCGTGCGCAAGTACCTCGAGTCCACAGTTGCAGACAACCATCCCGAGCGAGTCGAGTCTTACGAAGTTGGCTTCGTCGGTATGGTTCTTCCTGGCGATCAGATCCAGGTCAAACTCACCCACGTTGCTATGCGAGACGGCAAAAAGGTCATCAAGGTCGAAGCATTCAATCAAACTGGCATCAAGGTCATTGACGGTACCGCCGAAGTCAGGCAACCTCCCATGGCCTACGTCTTCACCGGTCAAGGATCTCAAGAAGTCGGCATGGGTATGGAACTGTACAACAGTTCGCCCGTTGCCCGAGCAGTCTGGGACGCTGCCGACGCTCATTTGACCTCGGTCTATGGATTCTCCATTGTCGATATTGTCAAGAACAATCCCAAAGAACTCACCATTCACTTTGGTGGTATCAAGGGTCAAGCCATTCGACAACGGTACATGGACTTGACGTATGACACTGTCGATGACAATGGCAATATCAAGACTCTCCCTCTGTTTGCCGACATTGATCTCTACACGACCAGCTATACCTTCTCTCACCCTCAAGGTCTGCTCTTCGCCACCCAGTACACTCAGATTGCCTTGGTCGTCACTGAGAAAGCCACATTCGATGACATGAAGGCCCGAGGACTGATTGACAACAGTGCTGCATTCGCCGGTCACTCGCTCGGAGAGTACTCTGCCTTGGCCGCCATTGCCGATGTCCTGCCCATCTCCAGTTTGGCTGATGTCGTCTTCTTCCGTGGAATCACCATGCAACGGGCGGTCCAACGAGATGCCGAAGGCAAGAGTCAGTACGCCATGATGGCTGCCAATCCCTCTCGAGTTGGAAAGACATTCTCCGAAGAAGCGCTTCGTGAAATTGTCGATGCCATCAGCAAGCAGAAGTCCATCCTGCTTCAGATCGTCAACTTGAATGTCGCAAACCAGCAATACGTCTGTGCGGGTGAACTGAGAGCTTTGGCGACGTTGACAAACGTCTTGAACATGCTCAAGATTCAGAAGCTGGATCTCGAGAAATTGTCCAAGATGATGAGTGTCGAAGAGCTCAAGGAAAAGCTTGCGGAGATCATCGATGGATGTTGGGACATGGCTCTTGAGAAGGAGGCCAAGGACGGCGCCGTCGTCCTCGAGCGTGGCTTCGCTACGATTCCTCTTCCGGGTATCGACGTGCCATTCCACTCGAGGTATCTATGGCCTGGTGTTTTGTCGTTCCGAAACTACCTGTACAAGAAGATTGACCCAACTCAACTCAACCCTGACAGGCTGGAGGGCAAGTATATTCCAAACTTGATGTGAGTCGACCTCACCGCGGAAGATTGCACTTGCTGATGCCTTTGTCAGTGCCACTCCCTTCGAAGTCTCCAAAGCATACGTCCAAACCATCTACGACCAGACTGCTTCGCCTAGAATGGAAAAGATCCTCAAGAGCTGGGAAGCTGAAGGCTGGGACACTGCTGCTAAGCGACAGCGATTGGCTTACAACATCTTGACCGAGTGTCTTGCTTATCAGTGAGTTGTTCTCTCTCCTTCAGACTCGAACTCACCCACCTAGATTCGCCTCGCCCGTCCGATGGATCGAGACTCAGGATGTACTATTCACACAAGCCAAATTCGAGCGCCTCATTGAAGTTGGACCGAGCCCGGTTCTTGCTGGTATGGCCACTCGAACCCTCAAAGCGAAATACGAGGCTCAGGATGGTGCAATCTCTCTCCGTCGAGAAATCTACTGCGCCGCCAAAAACCAGAAAGAGGTGTACTACGCCTTTGAGGACGAGGTCGAGGAGGCTCCTGCTGTTGCTGCAGCATCGGAGTCAGCACCCAAGGCTGCCGCGCCTGTTGTGGCTGCTCCTGCCGCGGTGGCTGTTGCCGCTCCTGCACCTTCCGCAGGCCCTGCTGCAGCAGTCGAGGACGTCCCGCCCAAGGCTGTCGACACTGTTCGATTCATTGTGGCCCAAAAGCTCAAGAAACCTGCCAGTGAGATTCCATTGAGCAAGTCGCTCAAGGAGTTGTCCGGTGGAAAGTCGACATTGCAAAACGAAATCCTTGGTGATCTCCAGGTTGAATTTGCTTCGGCACCTGAAAAGGCCGAGGATCTCCCCCTCGACGAACTGGGTGCTGCCCTGAATGTCGGATACACTGGTCTTGGCAAGCACGCCATGGCGCTCACCAACCGAATGGCTGCGTCCAAATTCCCTGGAGGATTCAATATTTCCGCCGCGCGAGCCCATCTCAACAAGCAGTGGGGTCTTGGACCGCTCCGTACCGACTCTGCTCTCTTCTTTGGAGTCATCTCTGAACCGCCCAAGCGTCTCGGTTCCGAAGCAGAGGCCAAGGCTTTCCTCGATGCCTTGGTACAAAGTTACGCAAGTTACGCCGGATTCAGTCTCTCCACGCCTGGCGTTGGAGGTGCCGGAGGTGGAGCAGCCAGCGGAGGAGCCGTCATGAACTCTGAAGAGTTTGACAAGTTTGTCCTGAAGCAGGCTGAGCAGGCCGAAAGGGAGATTGAGCTTTTGTCAAGATACCTCGGCAAGGACCACAGAGCTGGAGACAAGCGAGCGGATGAAGGCAAAGTCCAATCGGATGAATTGCAAGCCAAGTTGGACGCTATCAAGGCGGAACATGGAGACACGTACATTGATGGTATTGCTCCGGTTTTCTCTGCTCTCAAAGCGAGAACATTCGATTCGAGCTGGTGAGTACAATGTCTGGCTCGCGACTGTTCCGAGCTGAAAAAAACTGCGTTTTTCCAGGAACTGGGCCCGACAGTCGTCTCTGCAGTTGTTCTACGATATTATTCACGGTGAATTGGACCCCAGCACAGTTTTCAACGATGAGCCGTGAGTATTGAAATGTCCGACCCGCTCGTCAGTAGGCTGATCCCCTCGCTCAGACGATACCGACCCAATGTCGGAGGTGTATAAGTACGAGTCTCTCCGCGTCAAAGAGGTGCTCGGTAGGACGATACGGCTGGTAATGGAGCATTCCAGCATAGATGAGGATTGGTATCTCAAGGAAACGGCAAAACGAATACGAGAGTTGCTTTCCCTTCAATTTGTGCATCATAGACCCAATAATTATACCCTTCTTCTCCTTCTTCCTTCTCGTTGGCTATATAGTAGAATGATACCAAATGAGGTTCTGGAACAACCAGAAGATCAACTTCCTATGCATTGATCATGATGATCAGATAACAGCGTATCGAATGAATGGGCTGTGCTGGCTGGAATACCATCATCGGCTCCGCTCCGCGTTGTCGCGCAATTGAAAATGCTTGGTCATTAGCTGATTCCCAATATCGCTACATACCTTGTTCGTTCCTGCGTGTGCTTTCAGAGTCATCAAGATGGACACGGAGGGAGCGTCCGGGGGATCCTCCAGGACCCATTTGAATCCCGGCGAGTCAGCATCACGGACGACAGACTCCCTTGCCGCCGGTTCAACCTCATTTCAGGATGTCGACCAGTCCGCTCCTAACTTACCGCATGAGCAAATCGTATCATCTGGCTCTGGGTCTGGAGCAGATCCATCTGCTCAGGCTGAGAGCTCAAGTGTACACACCCAGGTCGAAGTGTATGGGCCTGCACTGACGCCTGCAAGTACAACGCCGTCAGGTAAGCTCCTTCATCTCCATCTCCGTCGCCATCATCATCATCTTCCTCCTCGCCATTCGCCGCCGCCTCGACGTACATCTATGCCCTGCGGAGCATGACTCATTGAAGTGAAATGATCACCATTTCATTTGCCGGCCTACTGGAGGGGAAGTCAGAAGAACCGAGCTGATATCATGAATTTATACCCCGGACAGACCTCGACCCGGCATATTTTGAACCGACCTTGTCCGATGTTCAAGCGCACCACGCCAGCGTCCTTGCACGCTCTCATCGTCTAAACGAAGCGCCCCTCTTGACTGCCAAGTTTCGAGATGCAGACAAAGCAGAGAAAGAGAAGAAGAAAGCGGAAAAGTGGCCAACTGTGAGTCTGTCAAAACACGATGTGCAAGAGAAAGCAAGCGTCACGCACCAACTGACTCTGTTGTTGTCATCAGACTACGATCAGGATCAAGTTCTCAGATGGTACGATGATTCAGCGTACTTTCCCCTCTAGCAGCCCGTACGTCTATTTCACCTGATCCTCTCCACCTATGTCTCCCTCTGACTCAGAGATTTTCCCTCTGCGTAGTATTCAGCCAGTGTACGAATTCGTCAGGACATCCCTGGATCCATCAGCGTCAACCAAACCGTTCGTCCTCTGTGAGTCCTGCATTGTTCGTCCCCTAGTCGGCTATGACATCCACTGATACTCCCCTTCATTCCTTCCCAGGGCAACCTCCACGCTTTCATTATCCTGAACATCCCATTCCTGCCAAAAAAGAGAACCCTCACAAGGCACACATCATCGCCCCCGCCTCTTATGGCAATATCAAAGGTGGCCCGACACAGGGTCTCCAGGGTGGAACGGGTGGGAAAGAGTCTCTGTCACACTTGGGTTTGGTCCCACAGAGCGTGTTGCTCATCAAATGGACAGAGGACAAAATGAACGGTGAGTGACAGGGATGATCCAGTCATATGGGGCTGATCATGCTCGCCCATGTTTTAGCGAGCGGCTACAAGGCTCCCCTTCGATCTGATCTGCTGGAAAAAATCGTTCCATTACCGCCGGCTCAGCCGAAAGAGGAGATGTCCACCAAACCGTCGCCAGCGAGTGCCTCTGCCACTGGTGCTGGGAACAGCACCGGCGAGAAGAAGATACCCAAGTGGCTGCAAAAAGGGTTATTAAAGAAGAAGTAGAAGAATCCTGGTAGATCCAGTTCGGTCTTTTCATGTTGTACTCATACGCATGCACTTTACGTCAATGCTCGTTCACTTTGAATTCATGTCGAAGTATCTGTCGCATTTCAGCCTGGTCGGCGCTTCACACTCACAAAAAAGGTAATCATCCACCATGCTCAAGTACCCCTCCATCAATCCACCAACCATGCCGATCACCGGGATTCGTTCCACAGCACTGACCACACGCATGATCTTTGGTCGTGTCCAGCCGATCCATACTGGCCCAGTGAGCAACGCCCGCATAGCCAGACGTCTGTCCTGCTGAGCGTAGTGCTCTGCCAAGAGCAGCGAGGGCTGCTCCAATGCAGAATCCGTAGGTTTGAGTCGGAGTCGACGGGCCAGGAGGGCGAGAAGCAGGGGGATAAGATACGGCGTCGTCCATGACGATAGGCTAGGAAGTGAAGATGGACGATACTGTGTTTGTCGCTGGGGGCATGAGCTACAGCGAGACTCCGTTTCGCTCACCGAGGCTCGCATCAGGAGAGCCATATGGACCCATACCAGAGATACTTGGATCAACTCTGATGTTAAATATCCAGCCGAGTCAAAGCTTGGTACCAGGCTCGAAGGATCAGGCAAGTGCGACTCGGGTAGGGATGAGGAGAGATGTAAAAGGTGCGATCGTAATGGAGCATGAGGTGGAAGTTGAGAAACGGCCGGGACATTGCTGACATTGCTGGAGGGACTGTTCGCAAAGTTCAAAGCGGTCGCTCCCGAGGACGAGCCTGATTTTCTGAGGACGGATTCAGGCAATGAGAATATATCATACTCTCTCATGGGTGCAGGGGTCGCCAAGACTGGTCGTTTGGTGATCCCCATGATGATGAGCTTCAGCAACATTCTACGAGGTGGATATAATCAGTCCCCAGCGTGTCTCATGTCATTGTATTTTTGCTCACTTGACGCTCTCGAGTCCGAGTAAGACTCTCCATCGCCGTCTGTCCGACCTCTTCTTTGACAACATCTCGACGAGAAGCTGGACGTACTGGATCGTCACTAGTATTCGGGACGCTTTGCGGTACGTCGGAGAGTTTCCAGTCCAATAACGAGTATATCTCGAATGATCAGAAAGTGGAGGCAGGACAGGGGCGATTCGTGGAGGTCTCGAAGTCGACGCAACGGGTACAGGGGACGTTTGAGCTGTGGTGGTATGCTCGACTGGTGGGCGCTCTTCGAACGGATGCGGTGGGTGGGACAACGAAGGATCCAGATGCTTTGAGAGGAGAGTGTCATGGTAGCCCGAGACGATGTTCAAAAGGGCGTACACTGGGCGAGAGCTCGTCAGCGTACGCCTCACAAGCTCATAACCTATGTCAGACACTAGAATCCGGGCTACTCGCAAGACCGTTAAGAGGGGCACTGCTCGACTTACATCCTTCGCTGGCCACTTCGGCGTCTTCGAATCGACCCGGTAAGAACCAAGTAACGTTCCTAAGACCCGATTCGATCGACTGAATCGCGGAAAGGTTGGAAAGCAAGAGACTCTCATACTGCTCGACGAGAGAGGATGGCATCGTGCTGGTGCACTCGATGTGTCACCTAGATATTGATGTGGGATGAAGAGAACCATACCATCTGTCCCGGTTATCTTGAGCATCTCGATTTGACCGATGATCAACCGAAATACCATTTGCTGAAATTTCTCCATACCTTTTGCACCTCCCCACCTCTTGATGATCAGACGATTGGGATCCCGTTCATCATGCCAAAGTCGACAGATAAGGGCAAACAAAAGGCGTCGTCTGGCCCCCCTCAGACCTCATCGTCCATTGATGAAATCTTCGCTTCATCCTCTACATCCTCTCGAGTATCACCAGGCAATACGACGGCGGGCAGAGCATCGAGGACTGTAGATGCATCTGGGTCATCGAAGACAGGTACGATTTTGACGGGCTCGGAAACGTCAAAGAAGAAGAAGAAGAAGCAGTTGAAGAAGGTTGACGGAAAAGGAGGAGCCGACGGCCATGGCACTGGCAGTGAATCGAGCAGTGCCGTCAAGATGGCTGAGCTGGCAGATAGCTCAAAGGTTGAGACGGTGGTGGATCCTTCTTCAGTTGTCAAGGAGGCGAACACGATGGAGAAGCAAGGGAAGAAGAAACGGAGTCAAGCAGCCACTGAGGAGGATGAGGTATTCAGAGATAGCAGAGGTACCAGTAAGTCTTCGGCTCAGGAGGAAACACCAGATACTTAGCATCTGCAGGGCGTAAAACTGAGGAAGGCTTTCTAATCTACAAGGAAGCGGAGCTTGGAATCGATCCAGAAGCTGGAGGTGAGTGCCATGAGCCATCAAAAGGCTGTGGATGTTGACGTACTGCTTGCTCTTCAGGAACACCGCTTTGCCCTTTCGATTGCGACTGTTGCTTCTAAGTTCTAAAAAAACGACTTTGCAGTCCTGCGCACCGCTGCATGATATGCTTTGTTTCAGCTTCGGCATAGCCCTTTGCCCACATAAACCACTCGTCGCCCTACAGGCAACAGTTATGGATTGCGTCACGAACAGTTCTGGTCATACCCTGGCCAATCTCTCAAGCTAGGATCAAAGCCAAGGCGTCAGATAGGGCTCCTCGCTGCCGACTGATGCCAGCTCTGTGTATAGTGGAGGTATACTTCCTAGTGTACATTTGCGCACAGATGCAATCGTCATGTATCGTACGACAAGCCGATCCACTTCGTGTATCACCGATATCAAACCCGTCGTTATCTGATTCCCTGAATCATTGCCTCAGATGTTTTCGATCACCCACATCATCCACCCCATTCAGTCACATGTCAGATCCCTATCGCTGCCACCATTTCTTCTTCCTCGTTCCTTCCTGTGCTCCCACGGCCAAACGCATAACCTTCGCTTCATTGTCATCCCCTGTATCCCTGTATCCCACGACCACTTTGCCGCTCCCACTGTTGATCAGAATTTTGCTGTGTTCTCCTCTCGTGTGATGGGCATAGCCTGCCATGACTTGATCTAATATGTCGCTTTCTTCTCTTGCGCTCTCGGGGACGTATTGCTCGATCCCCGACATTGCGCGAAGCTCGGCGGACGTGGCCTTTTTGGGGTCTTTTCTCATCTCTGTCGGCGTCACAAAGGTCGTGTAGAAATTGCCGTAGGGTTTTGCAATGGGTGCTAAGGAGGGCTCAAAATTGTGCAGGAATTGAGGTCTGGTTTCTGGCGTTGAAACATGTAGGGCTCCCCAATAATTCTCCGGCCTGCGGGATCGTCAGAGATCTAGCGTGTCATCATCGCCTCACAGTAATACCAAGACATCTCCTGTCTTGGTCTCTATCTTTAGGTCAATCTGACGATTTGGCTCAATTTCGATCTGGTCGAGATCAGCCAAGTCAAGCCTCACACTTGCTACCACTTACCACGTCCAGCTTGATACCTCCATGTCTGCTCTCCACCTCGATTCTTGCTCTCTGGCGGCCCTTGTCGTTGCCCCATTCTCGATTTCCAGCATCGACAATTCCCACTCCCACTTCGATGCCGCCATCCTGACTGACGAATCGACCATCGGGCTTGATGACCCAGTCTTTCGCCAGCTTGGCTAGTCCGTCGATCGGCGCACCAATCGTCTGATTGTATCTCGTCTTTGGGCCGGCAGAGAGACCAGATAACGCTACATTGGTGATGTTGGTGACCTGTTGCGGAATCTTGATGGTCTGATTGCGGAGCGAGGGGTCAATGAAATGCGTAGACCATATGGGTGTACGATCAGTCGATCGTAGCATGACATTCTCTTCCGCTGGGGGTCGACGTTTTCGTATGACAGGAGGGGTCGGCGTCGTGGATTCGGGCTCTTCAGTTCGGAGAGGGATATCTGGTGCACCATTCGGTCGCCCTAGAGTACCGGCAGATGAACCGGTGCCATTCGACTGCTCAGTCTGAACGTGCAGCGGTGGGGGCGGGCGATGACCATGGTTGACCTTTGTGAGTCTAGATGGTCCAGCTACAGAGCTTGGTCCGGCAGATCCAATCGGGCCCTCGAATCGAGATGCATTGCCACGTCTAGGCGGCAAATTCGGTGGAGGCGCAGATAGTTGGGCATAAGCGTTTTGAGCACTGGGAGCAGTGAGTGAGCCTGGTATTTGAGGTTTGTAGTCGGGTCTGTCGTCAGACATGATCATGTTCAAGTCAAGTTGGGAGCGGGAGAATGAGGTATGCCCGGGGGGTTTGTGGTTATCGCCGAAAATAATGATCAGCATGTGATTTTCCTTTCGGACATGACGCAGATGAGATTTATAGTACGTACTCCCATGGAGGCAATTCCTGATATCATGGTCAGCGATTGAGCAGCGAGAGAAGCAGACTGCGACGGGCAGCGACGACAGGTCACGACTGTGAGGCTGAATGAGACACAGGGCGAGTATGTGCCTATCACGGGAGGGCAGTCATGAGGCGATCATGAAGCCGAGGGGAACATAATTTGAAGCCATGCTCTTTCCAGACCGACTCACCGGTGGAGGAACATTTGTTGGAACGCGTGGTAGATTTCGCTGATCCCGATGCCAATTACCCTCTGGGACAGCCTCGTATGCCATGCCTGGGCTTTGGAAATCGTGTACATCCGACATGCTCTGTCCGCGCCTCACGTGAGACGGCCTTCGAGCAGGTTCTCCATTCAGAGGATGTCTCTGACCTGGTCTAGGCGGAGGTGTTGGGGGAACAGGATCAAGACTCGTGCCATTGCCGCCCGCGGACACGGGGAGAGCACCAGATGCCGGAGAAGGATATGCATTGAAAGGAAGCGCTCCAGGCGTCAACGAATGGCCCGCTCCGACACCCGCTTGATTGACATAGGATGGATCCGACTTGTCGAACACGAGATGAGGATTATCTCCAGGTTTCAGGTGATGTGACAGTGTAGAGGGGGAAGAAGGTCCTGGTGTTTCGTAAGACGTACCAGAGTATGTTGAAGGCGGAGCTGAGTAGTTTTGAGATGATTGAGTGTACCCAGAAGTTGAAGATGGGGTTGTAGAAATGGCAGCGTGGTATGCCGAGGACAATGCCTCTCGATCGATATAGAGGGGTGTATAATCTGCCATGCTCACTGATCGAGGGCGAGAATTTGATCGCATAGGCATGGATCGTGGAGGCGCGCCATAGCTCGCAGTGATGGCCATGGTGCAGGGAATTGAGCAGTGGTGACCGGTCCGGGGGGTTTGATCATGCACTGAGGTGGCGGCAGACTGGATGAAGGAAAGATGACACAGGTCATCCAGGATTGTATCTGCAACGGACTCTCGTAGGCAGAGTCAATCACGAGACTTGAGATCCAAGCGGCAAGATGAGGCTCAGAGACTGGATGAACAGCAGATGGTCGAGGTACAACGGAGGATGTGGGTGAGGAATGATAGAAATCCTTTCTTGACGTCACGACGTGCAATTCAAAAGTTTCGGACATGCGCGCCAGCTCGTGCAGTCCAAAGGATTGGAATCGCATACAAGCCAGAATCTTGGCAGCAGATACTGGAAACGGAGTCGGTGCGTGAGGTCGTCCCATCGCATGACAGCATGAACGCATCATCTGTGGCTGACCGGCCAACGAAGCTTCATCCGTGGGGTTATTTCCAAAGCATGGAACCCATCCTTCCTCACCTCACCTTGACACTGAGAACCCGCCTGCATATGTACCTGGATATTACTTTAAGGTCGTTGACCCGATGGCCAATCTCAGCTAGCCCACATCGTCTCCAGCTCTCTAACAATCGCCCTCTGCCCCGTGGACTAATAAGCTAGCCTTGCGTCCACCTTGACTTCCCACCTAACGTCCAAGCTGCTCCGAAACCATGGCACCAAGGTAGGTGTACAGATCGTTGATGAAATCTATGATGAGGAATGACCAGAGGATCAAGTGGAGTATGAAAGCCATGACATAAGCGTGAACACCGGACATGGTCCATCTTCCTCTGGCTGGATCTCCAACGATGATCCGTGGTTGATGGGCGTCCAAGAGCTCGGGACCTTCTTCTATGTATTCACTAGCAGCAATAGTCCTCGCACTGGCGGTGGAAGTGGATGTTGATGTAGCATTGGCGGAAGTAGCGTAGGCTTTGCGGGTCACAAGGGTAAGAGGGGAGGAGCTGGACTTGCAATGGAGAGCGGAGAGAGTCGGAGACGTGCGTGGAAGGGCACATGGGGTTTGCAATTGAGAGGGGAAGCAGAGGGTACTGGCCATCCGAATGCATGGCTGCCGGAGAGATGAGGTGGATGCGGGCAGAGGTGCTCGCAAGAGGACACTTGTGCGAGAGGTGAAGACCTCTTTGGAAATGGCTAACCTCACACCGCGGGAAAGTGTCGCCATTCTGCAAGATGCGTAAGCTTATAATTCGGGACAGATATCGTTTCCACGAGCTCACTTGATGTCGGAACCCCTTCGCCTGCTTGACTTAGCCGCAGAAGATCGTCAAGAGGAGCAGCAGTAGTGGTGATCCGATGAAGGAGCAGCGACAGTAGCAGCAGAGAGGCGGCGTTTTCTTCGAGTGTGGCACATGGCCAAGTGGTCACGTGACTTGTCATTCACGCTGCACCGCGATTTGACACTTAAATAACCCATGGATTCTATATACTGACCGTGTCAACGTCGAGAACAGCTCAGGGAGGAAGGAGGCAGGGCGAGTCTATATGTTGCGACTGTGACCATTGAGGAGGGATAGAGCAGAGGCATACTAGGGATTGAAGATGGCTCAGAAGTGAACGCAACCTGTCACTACCATCATCATCAACAACAACCACAACACCACTACTACTACTCTGTGGCGCGAATTGCAACTCACCAGGCTCTAAACAAGGGAAGCCAAGCAAAATTCCAAGACAAAGAACGCTGGATCCCCCAGCAAGCAAGTGCATTCGATCAACCTTCCTCGACATTGGAGGTCCACTTAAGCTCAGCACGGTGGGGGGGAAGCAGATACAAACTCTATCTCATCATGTCGCGCCGGTCACCACTCTCTCTCGCCTCGCTATTGATGATCCCTGCCATTCAGACTTCCATCCTGTCTTCTCTTCCACTTCATGTATCAGCCTACATCCCAGCTGTAGCGGTCAACGACACGACAGCGCTCAATATGACGGACCTATCGACCATTTCAATAGCTTGGACAGATCCCCCAGGTGTTTATTCAGGCTCAGTGTAGGTCATCAATCACAATCCGCAAAGACGTCTAGCCATGACACCCGCTGACATGTTGGCTCGACCAGGTCATATCAATTGCAAGCTGATGTTTCGACTGGCGGCACGACTTCTGGCGCCCTGGTACATTTCTCAGAAAGTACAATGGGACCGAATCGAACCACCACGACTCCTTGGATAGCATATGTCAGTTGTGATAAGAACGAGACCGGCGACTCGATGGAATGGGGTTCGTCATAATTCGCTCACTAGGATCGGAGGTTGACCTTGTATCTTTCTCAGACATCTTCACCCTCGCCAGGGACCGCGGTGCCGTGTCGGCAGTGAGTCTTCTTGATCCCTATCATTGATTGGCCCCATCTTATCCATCATCTCTCAGTTACTGTACACTTCGACATCCCAATCGTGTCTTCTAAATCAGGACTACATTCAGAATTTCGAAAAGCCTTTGGACGTGTTCGCAACGGAGACAGTCCAAGTCGCGAGGTGAGCTCCCGTGCAAATTGGAAGAGTTCCAACGCTCACACCGAGCGCAGGGTTATCGATAACCAATGGACACATACCAACAACTCGTTCTACTGGTTCAACGGGACATTATTAAACATCAGGTCCGTCTATTCTCGTTCTGAATCCAACTAGGATCAGCTCACGCTTGTTCTCAGTGGGACAGCAGTCAACGAATCTCTCGCAGGAAATAGCCCCGAGCACCGGACGTATCTTATCGGCACTCTGACCGCACGCAATTCTACTGGGCAAGCCCAACCTACTGAGATTCCGAATCCTCAACCGTCGGCCAGCAGTCCCAGCGGCGGTGGTCCACCTGGATCAATGATCGCTTTGTACGTCATTCTAGGTATCATCTCCATCGGCTTTCTCCTCATGCTCTTTCTCGGAGCGAGACGAGCTCTACGACACCCGGAACGATATGGCCGACGCGAGGCTTCAGATGAGCAAGGGCCTCAGACGGCGGCTAGAGGATTGGCGCAGGCCATTTTGGATACGTTTCCAATCATCAAATTCGGTCAGACGCCTGGAGCAAACGGTGCCATGCGTCGAAAATCGCTCTCTTCCGAAGCGTACCCCATGCAGCTTACTTTACCAATGTACGGCAATACCGATCGTGGTGCGGAGGGTGATAGCGTCGCTGTCAAATCGGTGTTCTCAGATGACGATTCTGTGTCGTTACAAGGGCCGTCTGGCCGTGAATCAATGGCTGGAGAAGACGAGTCCAATGTCCACGTTGCCGGAAGCATGGTGTCAAGTCATGGGCCCATGAGACATTCACGATCAAGATCAATCCTCACTCCCGAGGGATCACGGCGAACCTCAAAATTGGACTTGCATCAACCCCACGGGTATGCTGGCGAGCCGAGAGAATCTGGAGATGATGCTAGACCGGTTCGGGCGAGTCATGGGAGCGCGCCAGTGGACGCGACGGATGAAGCAATGTTAGATCAGTGTCCCATCTGTTTGGTCGACTTTGAAGAGGGGGATGATCTCAGAGTGTTGCCGTGTGAAGCGGAACACGTTTACCATCAGGGTTGCATCGATCCATGGTGAGTAACTCATGGCGTTTCAATTTAGAGGAGTTGAACCTGATTTGCATCTCAGGCTGCTTCTAGTTTCTGCCAGCTGCCCCCTGTGTCGCAAGGGTGAGTTGCCAAATTGCATCATCTGTAGTGAATAGTTCGCTAATAATCGAATCAGACTTCAACCAACCTCTGACATCTTCGCCTCCCGCAACGACTGAGACACCTCAGCCTCATACCCCTCCTTCCGCTTCTTCTGCTAATTCGTCGGGCCCACCAACCCAGTCTGGATTCGCCAAATATTTGGCCTTTATGCGCAGAGAAAGAGGTCCATTCAGTGCGAATCACGGATCCAACGACAGTGCTCGGCCTTCCCCTTCCTCGACCTCGCGTCGATCACGCGCGAACACGACTGCGACGATAGATCCAGGTGTGGGGCCTGGAAGGAGGAGAGAAGCTGACCAGACGGGACCTGGAGGTTACTAAGGATGGGACAGCCGGGAGGAGTGAGCGAAAAGTGTATCGCTAGAAAAATTTACACATAGGTAGACTGGGTTCTGTGGGTCATCCAGCTCGTATTGTTGTCATGCATCTTCTTAGATCTCTCGGGAGAAGGAGGGGACCTGAGAGACAAGGTGCGAATGGTCTCAGAAAGTCACTCAATACTTGTACATTGATCAAATTTCCTCTAAACGCCAGCCTCACGGCCTCCATGTCCAGGACCCGGCCGACAACAAAGTCCTAGCTGACCCAAACCATCAGGACCGCAGACTAAACGTCTGCCAGTCGCTCTACCTTGGAGCACTCGGTCTATCCATCCCACAATCTTCTTCTACCCATCCTACTTCTTCCCACTAAAGAAGGATGAACTACGTTCGATCTTCTTAAAGTAATCGCTCGTGACTGCTTGACCAGCGGCTAAGTTGAATATCACTTCTCCAGCTGAAAAGTAGGAGTCGGCTATGGATTTGAAGGATGAATCGGGGATCTTATCCGTCGCAGGGCTGTAGGTCGTGCGGGGTCAAGGAGGGCGCATCAAGGCGTAACGCGGAGAGATGGGTGATAGCCCAAATGCAAGAGGAAAAGGTCAATCAGACGGCCGCGGAGGAGAGAGAGAGAGCAAATGGCGCCAAGAAGTGTGAAGATGTCCCGTATCAATCGCATCGTGGGAGATGGCGCCATCATCGGGTTTCGCAAGACAAAAAGAAGGGATACGCAAGGATTGAGAACCGGACGTTAGCGCTGATTGCGGCGACTGGAGGGGCAGCTTTAGGATCCCGCAGCGGGTTCACGCGACTCGGAGGTGCTCGCCTCGACGTGATCCGAAACAGAGTCAACGTGGACATTGACTTACCCGAATCCGGTAGACTTCTTGACACCCGCAATGACTGCTGATATGGCCAGAGCGTCGAACGTGTAGTGCATGAGTCGACCGAGGACCATGATGTCTTGAGTGTTGTGGTGGCTAGTTCGTGATTACGAGAAGCCTGCGGAGTCGAGATATATGAACAGCGAGCACGAAGTGGGGGGAGGGGGTCGTAAGAGGTCCAGAAGCTTCGACTGGTCTTTCAAAGATATGTTTTTGCTGAACCAGATCGCTACGTGACGGATATGAGAGTGGATGGAATGGACGCTATGATGTATTTGGTCCGGCAGCGAATTGTTCTTGTCCCGAGTGGCAGATTGACGAAATGACCACGGCACATCCAATTCACGGCAATGCCCCTTCTGGGGAACTGTCAAATAGTCCAGCATACATTGCCAGCTGCACTAGCTCTTGTCTCTCCCCTCCACCCACTTTCTCACTACTTTGCGACCCTGCGATAAGATCCAGGCTCTTCGCCATCGCGCTTCTCTCCCCGGTATAGCCTTTTCCCACACGACGTGAACCGCTTCCCTCGGTTCATCGCGCCGTGACTTGGGGCCACGCGCAGCTCCTGCATCTCTCAATGGACCTAGTCCCCAGTCATGCCATAGTCTCATGATTGTGCCTGCGCAGGACCAAATATCGTCCCATTCTACGTCGAATAATATCCACCAGTCCTTAGGCAGTGGTATGCGTAAAAGACGAGTACTGAGTAAAATGGATGCGCAGGCCAGGGTGTGAGGCTGATGTATCGCATAGAGAGGCGTCAGGAGCCTAGAGACAGACCGCATCAGCTAAGACCAGAGATGCATGATCCGCGGACACGTACGCGTCATTCAGAATGCTCCAGCAAGTTTGAGCAACATCTGGCTCGAAGACCAAGTCGAGAATCTTGCAGTAGTTGATAACATGACTATACGGCAGGTCCACCTGAGAACGTCATCTGGTTGGCTATCTGATGCAAAAAGGGCGCTTCTAAGAGGTCTCACCTGCATATTGAACCCCAAACGCTTGAGAATCTGCATCTCAGACCCGACAATCACGTCCTTCCCTACGAAACAAACAGTTGGGCTGCGATCCAAGATCGCCCAGAACGCACTCACAGTCCCAGAACACCTCATCGTGAAAGCCAGGAACTTCGAATCTGAACCCCTTCCAGATCCCATCCTGATCCTCGGCCTTGTCCTTGCCTTTCGCCGTACTTTGTCCATTGCCCAATCCGATCCGCCATGGCTCCGGCTCGTCACCCCACGGCTTGGAGGCGCTCTTGGAGGAAGACGCTGTGGATGGCGAGGCGAGCGGTTGATCCGCATGTAATGAAAGGAGATGATTGATGCGGGCGACGAGAAAGATGTATGTGTTTATGAGGTCTCGGAGTCGTACGGGCGTTTCGTTGAGCTTCGAGGAGAGGTACAGCGCAGAGATAGAGATGTCCTAGCATTAATGTCAGAACTTGTTTCATTCACAGACTGATTGTTTCTCCGCCTCACGTTGACGCCGAACGAGAGCATGGAGCTGACATAGTAGAACCGATTGAGAAGCACTTGAGCAGTCGCGATAGTGCTCTGAGGCCTGCGCGAACCAAGTCAGCGAGCTCAGCGGCAGCATCAAGCAGTGCTCACAGCTCCAACATGATTCCTGCCTCTTGTATCATCATGCATCCTACGACCCTCAGATCCGCTTCGACATCGCTGGGCAGCCCATCCTTCTGAGACGGCGTGGTCAGGATTTGAGCGAGGGTCGCGAGCGGATGAGGAGGCTGCGCCATGATCTCGGTATACCTTGCTCGAGCCTTTGAGCCGATCTAATGTCGACACTCCTCCGCCTCCTCCTCACTGTCCTTGGACTATTGCTCACTGCTTTGAGAGCTGTCGACACTGTTTGGGATTAAATGTTGGAAAAATAATACGCTAGAAATTTTGGCTGTACCAAGTGACGTTCTGTGAGGAACAATGAGACGAGTAATCAGACATTTTCATTCTCTTTCATTCTTGTAAATCTCCTGTATCTTGGACAATCCTCGGAGCTCTGCATCTTAGACAGAAGCTGATCCGGTACACGATACAAACGCTTGCAGAACATACCAAGAGATAGTACAGACTTGACTCTAGCATGTCTGACGATTGGGGTGAGCTTCTGCTTGGCTTTCGTTTCGAACACACGCTCACTCATGCGTCACCTTAGACATCGATGAGGAACCCGTCAAGTCGGGATCCTCGACTCCAGCTCCAGCAGCAGTAGCACCTAAAGTCGTAGCGAAGACTAAATGGCAGGGTGAAGATGAGGACGATGAGGAGGTGGGTTCGAGCTACGCGGAGAGAACCTTTCCCGCGCGACGGGCGTTCAGCATCCGTTTACAATCATCTGTATGCTGACAGAGCACACAGGACGACTGGGATGCGTCCGAGGACGAAAAGCCGAAAGCTTCAGCTCCGACTACTGCCGCCGCGCCAGTCAAGAAGAAGATGACCTTGAAGCAGAAATTGGCTGAAAAGGAGCGCTTGGCAAACTCACCAGTGAGTCATTAGGCTGTCCAGGATGAAGGCAAAGCTCATAAGCTCATGTTACCCACTCTAGAAGGTGAATGGAGATGATGACTTGATTGATACGACCACTGAACAAGATCGGAGACGGATGGCAAGGGAGAGAGAATTAGCAGCGGATATGGCAGTTGCGGAGGATCTTATGGGAGGAGCAAGCATAGAGGACAGTAAGTTTTGTCTTTCTCGTCTCTGGCAATGTCACGGAACCACTGACGCGTCATCACAGCCAAAGAGATGCTGCAGAAGATCCTCACGTCCAACCCTTCTTCTAAAGATGAATTTGTCGAATTATCTCAACAAATCATGACTCTCATCTTGTCTCGACACGCTTCCAACCCTCTCTATCCTATATTCGCCGAACAGTTTGCCAAGGACTTTTGTGAACCTCTGACAGCGGTACAGATCCGCAAAGTCGGCAGTGGACTATCGACATTGAGCAATACGAAGCAGCAGGAGGAGAGGGACAAGGCGAATGGCAAGAAAAAGGTGGGTCTCCTCTCCCTACGTGGAAGAGTCTTGGCTGAAGAGTGTCTTCTTTAGCCCACCAGCAAACCTAAGCTTGGGGTCGTCAAGAGTATTGCCAAGGTCGACACTGACGCCTACGACGATGTCCTGGACGACGATGATTTCATGTAGAGCCTAATATCCAGCATTTTGAGCCCACCTGCTAGTGTCGTTGGGCATTGGTCTACCTCTAGCATGTATATCATCTATGGAACCGCTGTGATTGATGCATACGGCGTCCCTTCTGAACATTGTTAGCGAATCATGATTTTGCCACTGAATGATCTCCGTGTTATCGGTGCGGAGAGTGGATTTTAGCCGAGACTCGAAGATCATGTATGTCCTATACCATTGTCATCTCGGTCGATCAACGTCAAGTTCGCATGAGAGCACAACTTACTTAAGAATGGTGCTCAGTATATCATCTAGACGCCTGAGTGAGCTCTGAGCATTATAGGCCATGAAGTGGCTGCTGAAGTTTTATGATAGTGAAAGAGCTCAAGGAGATTGAGACAAAGGGGACACCGCCAGGGATACAGCTCCTCAAGGCAGATGATATGGAGACTTGGATCTTCCTCATTTCTGTCCTGGGTGACGAGACCGTCTATAAAGTGAGTAGATCTCAACTCTAGTCGGGGCCAGCGATGCCTTACCTCATCATTGAGTCAAGACTCTCCGAACCCTTTCAGACTTATCTAAGACCTTTGAACAGCAAGAGGGTTCCTCGAGAAGTCATATCGTGCCGGTACTGACTTCTCACTCTCACAGGGCGAAACCTTTGCTCTCAAGCTGAAGTTTGAACCTGGTTATCCGATAGACTATCCACAGGTCAGTCGCAACCGACAATGCCTGCAAATGCCATCCTCCAAGACAAGGCCTCGGCTCATGCTGTATCTAACTCGCAGGTCACATTCCTTTCGGATGACCAATATCAACCTCCTCTACATCCTCATGTCTACTCTAATGGCCATATTTGCGCTTCAATACTGGGTACGTGTGCGAATGGTCATAGAATATCGATGCTGACATCCTCTTATAGGTTCAGAATGGTCGCCAGGTGAGCTCTGAATCTTGGCAGTCGCTCCTGGCGAAGCGGTGTTCAGCTGTGTCTGCAGTGCTCACTGCTCTCTCTATCTGTATAACGATCCAATCCATGCTCGCTTCATGTAAGAAGAAAGAGAGGTAAGTGGTCCTCTGCATCCCGGCACTGCTGACTTGTGCTAGACCGCCAGGGAATGACAGATACGTTCGCTCCGCTCCCCTCAATCCCAAGCTTACTCGTTGGGCCTATGAGGACGATGTGAGCAGGCACAATCGACTCGTCGAGTACCATCCACTGATTGATCCGTCGCAGACCGTCTGAGAGTTCATTACAGCCCAAAACCTTGTCAGAATCGATTAGCTCCATTCATGTAGTCCCACGACCTCTCACGACTACCGCTACCTCTCCACTATGTATGACCTCGTTCTTGTACGAAGGCTATAGATCCTTATGTATTATTGATGAACTTGGCAGAGAGCGACGATCAGGCTCTCGGGATACGATACAGTGCATGTCATAATCATCCTCTACCAGTAGCCAAGCTCCCTAGTCTCGCCAGAGAATCCTCGGATATTTCAGCTGAAGGAAGCGCGTCAGCTCATGACATGGCTATGATCCAGCGATTTCAATGGACGAGAAGACCCCCTCGCCGACCAGGATCCAAATTCATACGAATTCGTGTCGTCAGATTCCGACACCCACCCGGGGTCAAAGCGAGCTCAAGTGAATCCCGCGTCCTTCGAACGATTCTCTAGCGACTCACCCTCCTCTATAGCGTCGGATTGAGCGACCTATGAGCCGGAGCATCAGTACATATCTACATGCAATTCCAGCTGTCGACGCACAATTTTCAACACGGCCTTCTTTGAAGACTCTTGAAGCTCTCCAGCGATGATAAGCTCGTCCAGTATCTGCGTGCGTGATCACATCAGTAAGGATGGTAGAATGAGGGGGAGAAGACTGACCGCATAAGCCTTCTGAAAGTTAAAAATGAGATCCAGTTCGCAGACATTCCCAAAGTACCGGTCCAGAACCTCGACATAGCGATGTATGACCTCGAGCGTGATGAGCTCATTATCGCCCGGAGAGACTGCGCAGATGAAGAAGAGTGAGGCGTAGCGGCGGTAGATGACCTTGGTATCTGGGGGAGAAAAGAGGTGTGAGCCATAAGCGTTCAAAGCGATGGTATGTATGCCAGTCCCAGGCAGATCAGCGGCTCAGAAAGCCGTTGCCGGGCTTTTGAAAAGGGCGCATAGAGCCCATGCCCCATCTGGTGTCTGCAAGCTCTGACCCACCTTTGTACTCTAAGAAGTTGCACATCCTCGTCCGACGAGCCAACACCAATTGCGTGACATCCTTCACGATTTTCGCTTTGCTTTTCGGCGGCAGAGTCTGGAACCACTTCGCGAGTCGTACTTTGCCTGAGTGTTGCAAGGATTAGATCAACCAGTCACAAAGCGGAGAGATCACAAGTGAAGGATCCGAAGAGAGTGAGGACGCGAATGAAGATGAGGGAGACAAGGAGTCAGCTCAGATACGACACGACCCGTCAGGGCCGCCAGCTCACCCTGACGCGAAACCAGCATGATATAGTTCATCATCTTGCCGGACGCGTTCTCGTTCGTCTAGATGCTTGGACGGCAATTGTGAAGGCGCGATGCGACCCCTTCGTGGCTAGGTATTGATGTGGATGGTTGGTGAAGCAAAGAACAGGGAAGGACCTGAATTTGGGTGCGAGGTGGAGGTGTTCCGGATGAAATGCCCAATTTCATGCGAGATAGATACTTTAGTCAGTCTTCAGCAACTGGTCAGCCGTATGAAGCCGGTCTCGGGCAGTTCATAGCAAAGCGGGCCCGGAAGGATATATGTCCTGTACGGGACGGCTTCCACACGACGACACGCTCCGCTATGGAAGCCGAATCAAGTAAGGGTCATTTCAGAAATCAACGATTGCCCCACTGAACCACAGAATCACAGACCCAGGTAACCACGCTGTAGCGGAGCTCAGGAGTTTGATGTCTAGAGAGACAGCCAAGGCTAAGCTTAGACGGTTAGCCGTGAGTCAAGTCCTTCGATTCAGAATCTTCGACCGATGTGCGTCACCTAGCTGAGCTTCGATGTCAGACTTGCCAAGGACAGCAAATCCAATTCAATCCTATCTGCCCATCGACCACCCTCACCCAATGCAAGAGCGTTCGCTTAAACTGTACAAAGGTTGGCAAAATTTCGCGTATGAGATCATGAGCTGCGACTGAAGCTCGACAGGCACACTACGAGCCCATCATACGACCCTGGACAGATATCTCTTTGGGCTACTGCTCGTGAGTCTGAATGCCTCTTCAACCGAGCTTAGGTCTGACGTTTCTGGGCATAAGATACCTTAATCTATGCTATGGCGAGCCAATGTTCACCAAAAACCCCTCTCTCGGAGACGGAAGTGCGCCAAGAGGAGGTACCAAGGAATGCAGGTGGGCCTGATGACCTATATCCATCCGTGTTGACATTTACACTTACCAACCAGATACATGCATTTCCACGTTGTGCCGTCCGATCGGGAGCAGACCGAGGTCACCTCCACTCCTTACAACGCTCCACTACCCCTCGCAGTCCGTCGCCGTTTGCTGGCTGACCAGTCTGGAGATCTGACGGAGGCTGCCCTTCGGGCCCAGTGGATCAATTGCGACATTCGATCGTTTGACTATTCTGTTCTTGGACAGTGAGTCTGAGCTTGCTCGTTTCGCGGGGGATCGACTGATGAGATCTGCGCAGGTTCCAGGTCATAGTAGCTGATCCACCGTGGGTGAGTTACGACTCAGCAAGAAGGTCATGATCGAGCTTTGCTCATCCTCTTGACCCTACCGCCAACAGGACATACACATGTCGGCGAGTCCTATTCCCCCTTGAATCATCAATGCCTGGCTGAATTATACCTCAACAGCTCCCATATGGTACTATGACAGACGATGAGATGCGCCGAATGCCCCTCTCATCTCTCCAGCCAGACTGGGGTATCCTCTGTCTCTGGGTCACAGGTCGAGCAATGGAACTGGGCCGAGAATTATTCTCTGTGTGGGGCTACAAGCGGGTCGACGAGCTTGTATGGGTCAAGATCAATCAGCTCCAGAGGCTTATTAGGACTGGACGGACGGGTCACTGGCTGAAGTGAGCGCCGCTTCCGTCCGAAACTGACCCTGCTCGCAGTCATACGTGTGAACACCTATTGATCGCTGTCAAGCTGCCTAGTGATCATCCTCGGGACGCTCCTATCCCTTGGGATACGGATCATCGTCTCAGGGCTCTTCGAAGAGGAATAGACACCGATGTTGTCGTAGCTGAAGTCAGGTGAGTCCCCCGCTAACTACTCACAAGATCAGCGGATACTGAAGGCACCTCAGAGAGACTAGCCGGAAGCCTGATGAGGTTTATGGAGTAATCGAGCGGTGAGTATGGCACGTACTGTCCCATCCAAACTGCTGAGATTCTCCAGACTTGCGCCACACGGTCGGAAGCTAGGTACGGAAGAGGGACTTTAGAAACGGTATATTGATTCCGTTTTCAGAGCTCTTTGGCAGGAGACATAACATTCGGCCGGGGTGAGTGTTCACTCTGCTCCCTTGCTCCGAGATTGACTTTATGTGCGTAGCTGGTTGACGCTAGGTAATCAGCGTGAGTCGGAAAATATTCGGCTGCTTCGGACTCGAGGCTGATCTAGCTCTTTATCAGTCGGGGACACCACGGTCACAGAGCAAGATCTGCATGATCGGCTTAGAGACAAGTAAGCGATTCTGAAATTTAGATCATCACCGTTGACCTGGATCAATTTACAGATACCCTCAACTACCCATCATATTGGCCGACTAAGGTACAATCAATGTGCATACAACGAATGGAACATGCCTTCTACAAGATTTGTGATATGCTTATAACATACAAATGTGCTTTGTATTAATGACGATGTATCAATCATGATATTGCCATGCCTTTCAGAGGCTTCTCAAGCCCATCTATCTGGCTCGCTGACTTGGAGACATCCCGACGCAGCCGCTCATACTTTGGTATCATGCGCTGCCCGTCTGGAAGCACAGAAGTCTCGTCTTGCGATTGTTTCTGTCGGATACCAGTCAGAGACTGCATCACCGGTGGATTGTTGAACTCACCAAAGCCGATCTATCCAACCCAGCCTCGAGGCCCTGCAGCAAAGCACAAGCTTTCTGCGACCAAATCAGAGATCAGGCTCGTGAGGCGTCTGCTTGACTCACGCAAATCGTGTTCGATGACATGTACCCGCATCGAGCGCATGATTCTGTGCACTGTCAGATCCTGTGGCTGTCATAGCGATTCGAGCTCACGAAGAGGCTTCATCCCCTTTACGACAGCTTGTTCAAGCTTGAACGTCTCGCCAGAATGGATGATATCAATGATAGCGCTGGGTCGGATAGCTTCCAGGTCTTTCAGAAACACCCTAGCATGCCCACGATACGCTGTGTTCCGATGGGTTAAGCTGACTTCATGCTTTTGGATGGTTTAGGCTCACCATCCGGTGAGTAGATACACTCGGTGGAGAAGTATGTCAATTTCTTGAAGTAGGCATACCTGTTTGCGATAACGATGAGCTTCCTCAAAGACGAACCGGCGAAGCTCACATGACAATCTCCTTTTCGTAGGCATACTTGAAAGGCTTTGATCGTCTCATTGTATCTTCCGATCGAGTAGTGACGGCGGTACATCTGCCAAGACGAGCGATATCACCGCGCATGACTGAAGGAGGGTGTCCTCAGCTATGAATACCAACGGTGGTGCAGGTATCCAGGCAGAAATATGCCATGAGTCCCACTCACTATTCATCAGGACCGTTTCCGCGATGTCGTCGGCATTATGACCGGTGACGATATGATCAATGTCCAACTGTGCTGCCCCTCGATCCAATGCTTGCCGTCTGAAAACACCACAAAATGTACCTGTAGGCATGTAAGCTAGTACGCCAACACGAGCGCTGCCGGTTACTACGCACAGTTGTTCTTCTTCCCCACCTGCTGAACAATACGATCCATAGTCCATCCATACAACTCATCATATGATAAGATCTTCAAAGGGAGTCCGTACTCGACTTGATTCTGCTTGACGGTCTGAGAGAGGAGCACTCAGCTAGGTACGACATTAATCGCAGATCAAGTTCACCTCGAGGGAGTCATCGCGATACCCAGTGATGCCTTCATCGATGGAGAGCAGAAAAAGATCCAGACCATAGTCGTATCGCTGATTCAAGAGACTCAGGACGTGAGCCAGAACTGTCGAGTCTGCCATTGCTATCAGTCACAACGAGTCGCATGGGGAGAGCCGCTTACGCACCCTTCCCTCCACTGGCCCCGATGGCTACCCTCTCACCACGCTTGAAAATCCCTTGTCCATCATCCCCCTGTATGATGGTATTGTGGACTTCAGTCTCAAATACGGTGAAAAAGCATTCTTTGCAAACTTGCTGCCCTGTCTTTGGACGCTTTACGAGCGCTCTTGCTGTCTCACACAGTGAGCATGGCGTAGGAGGCATGATCCTGCCAGCTAGTGATAGCTTGATGAGACCGGACATTGACCAAAATATTTTGCAGGCGGCATGCTACAAACGGGCGGCATACGCCGCCGTTGTTCGTTCGCGCGGGTGGCAAATTGAGAATGCATATGTATTGTGGCTATGCAGGAAGCGAGGCAAATATGTAGCGTACACAAGCGCTCAGACAGTGTCATTCCGTCCTGAACCCACGGAGGGTGGACCTGCGTAATCAGGCGCACCACAAGTCACTGTGAGGCCGTAATGCTCGCCCGTTTGCCCCCCAAGGTAATCGGCCCTATTGAAAATATAGATTGCGTGATGGAGTCCGCCAGTCAGAGTTCCGGCAATAGAGCACTATGGATACGAGCTGTCAGCAATCACTTCGAGGGTCTGGTCGAGCTTCCATGGACTTACATGAGGCTTCGCATCGATCGCTTCGATGTACAGGTCGAATTCGGTTCCATCGTAAACACAATCAGGCTTAACAACATAGATGTAATTCACGCCGTTGACAAGGATACCTCCATAATTCTCCTCGGAGACCATGTTCCCTACTGCTAGCGTACAATTCTCATGTGCCAAAGCGACTGTGGCGAACGAGCCGAGAAGGAGAATCAGAGCGTTCGAGATGGAAATCATGCTGTTACTTGCTGGCAGGTGCGAGGAAAAGCAGCAAGAGATAAGACTTCATGTCCCTATTTATCTTGTGTGTTTTCAGATGCCAGCAATCTCCTCCCCCTTGAGATCCCCCCTCGCCTTCACCTCCTTTGTAAAAACAGACTCATCTCCATGAAATCCCGAGTGGGGTCGGGAGATGAGATTACAATGAGATCAAAGGAGGTCAACGGAGAGGATGGCGGGACAAGTCACAGATGTCGGTCGCCAGGGAGAGATTGCACTTGATTAGATTTGTGTAGGCTTAGGTGCTTGTGTCATTAACGGTCCACAAAATAGTACAGAATCAAAGGCTCGATCATGCTGTGAGGGAACGGAACCAAACATTCGGATCCGAAAGCCCCGGAGCTCACCGTAAGAGATGGACTTGGGAGTTCATCATCAATCTGCAAATGTGTTGTCTATGAGCTACCCAGCTTGACACTCTGTCCAAGAAGGTTGCTATCCATGTAAGGGGGGCCTTGAGCCGGATAGGTCTGTCCCTGACACATGCAGGCCAAATGCGACCTGCCTCACTATCGGATATTCGGCGAATCATTAACCCGCAGTAACCGGAGTCCCGCTTCGACGTCATTCATTCCTTGAACTCGAAATAGATAACTGCCTCTTCTGCCTGAAGCAATGCTTTATTAGTCTCCGACCTCGGCATGTTCATTGTACGCTAAGCTTTTGGACACGGGGGAATTCCACCCCCTCTCCTTATGAGCTTCCGTCATGTGTTCGGAAGATATATCGGTGCCCTCCCATGCAGCGGGTGAAGTGTCGTGCTTAAACATCATCTTGCTCAGTTTTCCATTCACTGACCGCCAGGGATGAGGCTCGTTATATCGTACATTCGAGCGCTGCTGATCGGTGCTGTTGCATGCGCAGCAGCTTCAAGCCAAGTACCTTTTAAGACTTTCACACCTTCAGATGAACTCAAATCGACCAATTTGACCGACCTGGTCCAGTGGGATGGCTATTCGCTTTTCGTTAAAGGCCAAAGGATCTTCATTTACAGCGGGGAATTCCACGGTAGGTCGATCGAACGCTTCGTCTGAGATCGCTCAGCCTCACGCCTCTAGCCTTCCGACTCATCGTACCTGATCTTTGGCTCGATGTATTTCAGCGGATCAAAGCCCTCGGTTTCAATGCGATCTCCACCTATACTTTCTGGGGAATGGTCAATCCCTCAGAAGGCGTCTTCGATTACGATGATTTTCGAGATCTTGGACCGTTCCTAGACGCAGCCAATCAAGCTGGGCTCTTTGTCGTTGTAAGACCTGGACCGTACATTGTGAGCCCATCAAGGATTGAGCTTTTCTGAGCCCGTCAGAACGCGGAAGTCTCGGCTGGAGGCTTCCCTGGTTGGGTCACCGCCCTACCGAATTTCGTTGCGCGAACGGACAATGGACCATACACCGAAGCTTACACGCCCTATTGGAGCGGAATCGGCGATGTAATTGCAAAATACCAGATTACACAAGGAGGTCCAGTTATTGGCGTACAGATTGAGAACGGCAGGTCGGACGCCTGTGCTAGACCCACTAACTCGTCGCAGAAATCAGCAATGCCAACTTGACGTATATTGAAAACCTCGAGAAGCTCATGCGGGACGCCGGTATCGTCGTTCCCTTCACCTTCAATGATGTGAGCAATGAGAACGATAGATTTTTACTGAAAGGCAAGGTCTCCGTCGGCGGATATGAGCTGGTTTTCCCTCCAGGAAACGTCGACATTGGTACATAGGGATATAAGCGCCAGTGTAGCTAACAATGGCTCAGCGGGGGTCGATAGCTACCCTCAGAATTCGGACTGTGCATACCCTGAGCTATGGGCACCTGTCGGAACCTATTATCGTCCAGTGGGTAATCGTATATATCACTGCTGACTGCAGTACCTCATCAATTCGTCGGGGGTGGAAGGAGAGCCATTCTATATCCCAGAATTTCAAGCCGGCTGGATACCGACCTTGAGCACTGGAGGCTACCCTAACTGCTTCGGACTCTTTGGATCGGCCTTTGAAAGGGTCTTCTATCTGAACAATTTGGCTCAAGGTGAGAACGAACCCAAGTAGCAGGGATTGACCGCGAGGCATCAAAATGCAAAGCATTTATATGGTCTATGGAGGCACGAACTTTGGGCACACTGCGTTCCCGCGTGAGCCGGTAAACCAGAGTGAAGCTCATTCTTACATTCAGCTGGACTCACGTCTTACGACTACTGGGCACCAATCAGCGAGGATCGATCCTTCCCGGACAAGTACTACGAGCTCAAGGTATGCACCTTGACTTATCTTGGCTCATCGGTCACAGCTCATCAGCCATTTCATTCGATCCTCGCGAGATCTGCCAAAGACTTGGATCACAGCATCCAGCAATGATACGTTCACCTCTGCTCCAGGTGAAATTCAGGTAGACGCTCTCGTCAATCCCGACAGTCACGCTGGGTTCTGGGTAGTCCGCCATGCGAATTCAAGCACAATGGCTGTCACGTCCTTCACTCTCGATACAGTCGACTGGCAGGGCAATGCCACTTTACCTGTCACCTTGAATGGGAGGGTGAGCGACAATCTCTACAGCAGCAATGCTGACGAACGAGGATTCCCGAGTGGTCGTCACCAATTACTGTTGGGGAGCCTCTTGCATCTCTCACTCATCATCTGCCATCCTGACTTCGACTACAATGGGCGATGTGGACTACTTGATTGTCTATGGTGCGCCTGATCAGCCATACCAGATCGCATTCCCAGACACACACTGCGTCATCAATCAGACCACTGGCTCGACTCAAGTCTCTTCGAGCGTCAGCCAAGGTCGAACCGTCATGACTTACAATTTGACTGCCGGTGATCATAGCATCGTCCAAGTGACCGGCGGTACGCGTACGGTCATGATACACATTCTCGATACGATGGTAGCCAACTTTGCTTGGGAGACATTGGTTGTAGGAACAGGAGACTATGGTAGTCATTACCTCATTGGAAGCAACGAGACCGTTCTGATATTTGGACCGTAAGCTGGCCTAGTCGCTTCTAAGCTGACGGAAGATACTTCATGCGATGGGCCTGGTCAGACGGCAACACTCTGAATCTTCAGGGAGATGTCAATGGTACAGACACCGTCGTCTTTGCCTGCGACCCCAAATATACCGCCTTCACTTGGAACGATGTGACTGTCACGCCTAACAGGACTAGCGACACGACTTGGTCCGTGAGCATTCCAGGTCCTGCTTCGACCCCGGTTGCCCCAAATATCAGCAGCTGGGTTTGGAAGGACTCTCTGCCTGAGATCGAGTATGGATACGATGACTCAGACTGGACCGTCTGCAATTTGACTTCCACAACCAATAAAAATCAGCCTTACTTTAACGGCAAGTATATATTGTACGGGCAGGAGTATGGCTTCTCAGTCGGCGCCACGCTATATCGAGGAACATTCTCAGGAGGTTCATGGGCTGGGCTTGAGCTTTCCGTTTCCGCTGGATATTTTGGAGCAGCTGCTATTTGGGTGAGGCCTGATCCGCCTGCGCCTGAGCTCACACCCCAGGTGAACGGAAAATACACAACGTCTGCGTTTGTGCCGGGTGACGGAAACAACGAGAGTGGGTCGCTTCCTAAGCAGCGCTGATGACTCAGATGTCAATGTGACTGTGAATTTTGACAGTGTCTCCCTCAGCGACGGAACCAACTACATTGTAAGTCTGCTCAAGCGACTGAGCTGAAGTGCAGACCGTCGTCATCGCAAACACCGGACTGGAGGAGGATGGTGGGGAGGATACTCAGTCTCCTCGGGGCATTCGTGGCTATGAACTCATGGCCTCTGGTTCTCAGTCATCAGATGGATCGGAGATGGCTTGGAAGATGCAAGGAAATCAAGGTGGAAACGTCAACTTCCCCGACAAGGTCAGGACTATCTACAATGTCGGCGGGTTCTTCGGCGAGAGACAAGGCTGGTATCTCCCAGGATTCAACGGTTCCGACTGGTCAATGGGTGGACCGAGTGGGGAAGGCAATGGATCCCTAACTGCACCCGGTGTCAGGTTCTACAAGGCTTCAGTGAACGTGGATTACCCTGAAGGACTTGATATTCATTATAGGTCAGCCAGATACATGGCTAGGTCGTTGACAACGCAGTTTCAAGTTCCCAAATATCACTGGAGACTACCGAGCTCAACTTTTCGTCAATGGCTGGCAATTTGGACGGAGGTTTGGTGACATTTCTCGTGAGTTCCAGGCGGCCGGCCGCCGCGAGGCTTTGACTGAGAATTTCAGCCACGCAATTGATCTTCCCTGTGCCGCCCGGAGTGCTCGTTCAGGGTACGAACGAGCTCGCGATGTCTCTCTTTGCTTTCAATGATACCCAGTCCGCATTCTCTATCGGAGGACAGCTGGAGCTCGTTGTGGATCCTAGCGTGACGACGAGCGTCCTCAGTCTTTCGAATATCACTATCAACTCGCCGACCTACGACGAGGTTTATGGCGGGTCTGCTTGAGACGTGTCAGAAGATCGAGATCCATGATCTATAATCAAATGTCTTGAGAGATCGTCCGTAGCAACTGATGCGCGGCCAGCCTAAAAAAGAATGCATGATGAATTTGCTGGGATGACCTCTGACCGAAGAGCCACTCCGAGCTGCCACACTCGCGACGCGTAAACGAATTCCCCAAAGACGGCCGGCCAAAAGCCAGCCAGCGTCAGTGGGAGACATAGTCTCTCATGTGCTATACCCAAAGCATTTGACATCATGCACAACACTGCTGCTGTCGATGTCTGAGAGAGCAGAACCCCGGCTCTCACCAGGCGGATCAGAAAGCTGATGCATCGCAGTCACGTCATCACGCATCCTTCCTCATCACCTGACTTTCGTACTTTCTGACTGCCGCACACAGTCCAGTCCAGTACCCGATGCAATGGACAGCAGCGCTTGGGGATATGATCTCGATACTCAGCGCCCATGCTCTCTCTCTTCGGGCCCCATTCGAGGATGTCCCAAGGATGGCAAGGCGCATAGATGTGTGTGAGTGTGTGGTCCCACTGACAACTTCACTTCGCACAGGCCACCACCACCCACCACCTCATGGTCCCTTTGAGACGGGACCTTAAAATCCCAAACAGGTATCCTGACACATCTCTCTATTCTCCATTGAAACGCGTTCTTCATGGATGGACTCAGCAGCTTCTTCTTCTTCTTCTCGAGAACGGTGATAGCGCTACGAGGTGGATCTTCGACTGACAGACTTTGCCAAAAGCCATACTGCCGGATACCCTTACGATTCGCACACTCAAACATTCCTCCCGCCATCAGGCACGAGCTACCTACCGTGTCCAAATCATACTGCTAGGCTCACATCTCACCAAGTGCCCGAATACACCGCCTGCTCACACCCTCAATTAATCGCTTCATCATCAATATTTAGGCGTGCTCAGGTCAGATCGACCGTCAAAGCACCACCAGATGATCCCGGCGCCAAACGAGGACGGGAGCGCTTCCAGCGGTTCCCTTGGTCTTGTTCATCCTTCTCTGCCCCCTAAGCCCATCGCGACCGCTCAATCTACGAGGTCGGTGTCCTATGAAGATGCAGTATCGAGATCATGGATCAGCGATACTCCCCCTCGTTTCGACTCGACACCTTGGTCCTTTTTTCCGATCTCTCAAACTCCGTCAGCCTCCCTGATGAACAAGGATGCTTCCCACAATGTACCAACCGGTTTTTCATATACTGGCAATCGGGGCCGCAAGGGAGGACGCTCAGTCAATGACATTCCAAGGAGATCGAAGCGGACCGGAGGGCCACCTAAAGCAATTCTCGGAGGCGTAGGAGGGAAAACTTTCGACGAGATGATGGTGGAGAAAGCGAACGGCAAGACCCAAGCCAGGCGCTCGAGTCCAGGACTCGTGCACGTCGGCTCACAGGATAGGCTCGACAAGCCTTCAGCGGGATACACCGATATTTCCGGTGTGAGAGTGTCGAGTGACACAGCCGCTGAACCGTTGCGCCTAACAACGGATTACAATGGGACTGTATCGGAAAGAGCCAGAAGAAATAAACTTGTTTCGAACCGTCGCAAGGGGTCAGTTGCATCAACTACGGATTCAGAGGAGGGCTCGTCAGCCAAGTATGCGACCAAGGACACCCAGCAACTCGTCCATGCTGCCAATTCAGACGCCACTCCATCATGGCGAGGAAAGGAGGTCCTGGTCCGTCTTCCAAGAGAGGTAAGTGTCGGCTATAAGACAGCAAGCTGACTGTCGCCAGGATGGATGGGTTAGTCTCTTCTCCCGCGCTGAGGAAGTCAAAAGTCGGCGTGAATCGGCCGAAGGAGAGAACAAATTGCGCCAGGTGGAGAAGGCAGTAGATCAGGAATCTACCAGTGCCTCAACTCTTCTAGTCCCCTCACAACAATCCTCTGTTGAAACTGGCACCGGTGAAATGCCTCGCCATGAGGTTATTTCGAAGGGAAGATTCGGAAACAGTGCCTATCTCAAGCGGTCGCTCGGTGGAATCTTGAAAGAAGGGACCTTGAAGACAACACCGTCAAGGACGCAGCGCCGGGCTGTTTCGGACCTCTTCCCAGCCCAAAATATGGAACCAGACGAACCTGAAAAGCTTGGCAGTCTGGAGGACACGACTGCTTCAGGCAATGGCCAGCAGACGTCTCCTACCTTCCAAGGATCCCATTTTGAAGACATCTCGCTCTCGTCCATGACCACTAGCAGAGACGGGCCGACGGATAGGGCGGGTAGAGTCCAGCTCAGCGACGGAGAGCGAACACCCCGACTGATTGGCAAACCTGAGAGCCTCATAGGAGAGGCAGGCTCCCAATCCCTAACTTACAACAGTGATTTGCTTACGATCATCCCTGCGAAGCCTCGAAGGAGGGGAACTCTTGACCTGCAATTATCCGAAAAGGTCTCATCGCCGGCTAGGGACGGTTCAACCTCTCAACATGAGGCTCACCATCAGGATTCAAAGCAGTCTGGCGGCTTGCACACCTCCGCAGCAGCATATCATTCTAGTCCTTTGGGGAAAGATTTGTCAGCACACCCGCTCCATCCCTCCTCTGCAGGAACTTCAACGGAGGCAACTCGGGAGCCGGCCGGCGAACAGAAGCAGATCATCAGTTTGAGAGCCAACGCACCGATTTGGGCGCCTATGGCCCAGTCTCGATCCATCTCAGTCGGATCATCCAAAACTTCCGGGCTGTCCGACCTAGAATCGGATGGAGGCAATTCTATCGGAACGAGCGAGACAGATATTCTGTCGCCCATCAAGCAGCCTACACTCATACCTCCACCAAAGCTCAGACCCACTGCCGACCCATTTGTGCCTGTATTCGCCACCGAGACGAACATGGTCTCAACCGCTCACCCAGTAGAAGCATCGAAGCGCCTAGTGTACGGATCCGAAGGGGATACGACTGACAATCCTGTAAGCCTTCGACCTCTTGTGACTGCCTTTGCTCCTGCCTATGCAAGCGGGGACTACAGACAGAGGGAGGGAGGCCAAGCACGACTACTTGGTTCTTCTGGCGCTGAAGGCAATGGCAGACTCGTTCCCGACACCTTCCGGTTCGTGCCCAAATTACGCCCGACGGCGGCTGCCTTCACGCCTTCGAGCTTTGGGCAAAAGCAATCGGCCGTTGTGGATTCGCAGATTTCGCCGGCAGCAACCTCAAGCCAAAGATCATTGGCCAGGAGCAGTTGTACGGGTGCAACGTCTCCTCGAAAGGATTCCCCAAACGAGGATCGCCCTGTCCATCCGCAAGACTCACCCGCAGCACTGGTGCATCAGCTATACGCAACAAATCCTGAACTGGAAGAGATTCTCATCAGGACTGGACCCGGCTCGGTCATGGACGGAGGGGATAGCGTTGACCTTAGCGGCCTTTTCTTCCGTACCCCACAGAAGTCGCCAGAAATGGAGGCCGTCGAGTTAGTGGATGAAGTCAAGCGACAATCGGATGAGGTCGGAAGTGCAGATTCTGGATCACGCGAAGTGAGTTCATTCATGCCCTCGATCCGTCCCATGCAGGACCTGACAGATGTTCCAGATAACGCGTCGAGGGAGACTGCATGGTGCCCACAGATCAAGCTCGGAGAGATCTCACGAGAACTCCTACTTACCGCTTGCAATCGCCACGATGCCCCGCAATGCGGCAGATTTCGAGGTGACTCAGATCCCAGTTCATCGATCTCAGCCGGTCGCTTCGCCTCTTATCTCCGCGCGGACGTCGGAGGCTGGCCCAGCTTGGCAACTTGCTCGTGATGCGCGCTCTGCTGATTGCTTGCCAAAGCCGTCTCTTCCCACAAATGCTAAGAGCCAGATGCATTCTCGCATCGAGCCCAAAGAAGATGGTGCTGTATCTACCGGTGCCTCTGTTACCTCAAATTGGCCTCTGGCAGTTTCGCCTCACGAGCGTCGCCGGACCAGCGTCGCCACGTCTATTGGCAATGACACTTTTGAAACCGCAGAAGGAAGCCCTTTGCTCCCCTCTCGCTCCATATCGCGCGCTACTGTCGTGCCAGAAATGCGTGACTCCCCTTCTGATATGACTCCGTTCGAGCAGCCTGCCCCTGACACCTATGCCCGCAATCCATCACCTCGGCCTTCAATACTGATCAACGGCAAAGGCAAAGATCGACAATTCAGGGAGTGGATCTTCCCTCTTCATGGCCCGAGACCCTCAATCTCTCGTAGACACACGGCACCGACGGACTTGCCACTGAAGGTCTCGGATCAGCATCATGATGAGACTCTAGGTCCAGCAATAGCCTCGACTTCTTTTGACGAACGAATAGAGACCTTATGGAACCACACAGCTCCTCGCAGGGCAATATCCCCAGCATCCGACCCGGGCGTTCTGGGAACGGGCGAAGATACTGCATACCCTTCATCAAGCAGAGAAAGAGAAGCATCCATCGAATTCCCGATGAGGACGCCGAACAAGGTTCTGAGGGTGATCAACGAGGTTGATCATCACCCAATCGGAGCTTTACATCTTCCAGCCACAACAGACAAGTCAGATCCTGAGCGTGTCGAGGTGATGATGGGTGACTGCCCTCGGTGCCAGGTCCCGCCATCACGCGCAGGCGACGAGTCGGTGGGACTGCTAGCTGATCGTGAGGAGGCAATGCCGGAGGAAGGCTGTCATGCCCTCAACAACCTGTCCGCAGTGCCCCAAGGTCTTAACGATGACCTTTTCGATGCTGTTGCAAGAACGCAACTGCCGCCGAGTCTCATGGTTGAGACGAGCGAGGCATCCGCCGCTGCCCAACGTCAACACGATTACGAAGCTCAGGAGATGTTTCAGGCCATGCTCACTGGACAGCATACGATGCTTGAGAAGCTTGCCGAGCTCACCATCAGCAGAGACGAGCTGCTTCTTGTCGTGGAGACTGTACGTCTGGAGCAAGCACAGCTCAAGCATCTTGTTGCAAAACATGCCTCTACCGAGAAAGAGATTGCCGCCCTCAAATCACAACTAGAGGCCTTGCAATCACGGAACGAGGAGCTCGTAACGGCACGTGCGGAGGCTGCAAGCGAAGCGGGAATCCATCAGTCCCGACTTGAGGATGCGAGGCAAGATTGCAATGCCTTACGGGCAGATATGGCACACCAATTGAGCAAGCTAGAGAGTAGCGAGGCGAGAGGTCGGGACCAACGAGCGGAGAACGATGCTTTGCTATCTGACAAACTGGCTGCGGAGCGCGAAAGGGATGCGTTGGGCAAGACTCTGCTGGAAACCCGAGAAGAATTAAGGGAGGTGGCTAATCAGCTGCGCGTCTCGCAGGAGACTACAGAGACTGTGAGTTAGAACGCTAACACGGAGTGGTATTAACTAAACATTGCACAGGTAACGGAAGAACTCACCTCCCTTCAGCGACAAATGAGCGAAAAGGATAAGGCCGTCGCCGACAGTCGAGACGCCGAGCTGGTAGGCCTGCGAAAGCTCACTGAGGACCTACACGAGTCGCTGGCCGCCAAGGTGTCTGCAGTAGCGGAAAGTATCGAAGCCAGCACTGGCAACGGCAAACGTAGCCTGCTAGAAGACGAAAACCTTAATCTACATTCACAGCTGCAAGATCTTCAGACCCGAGTGAGTCAATTGGGACAGGACTGCCGGGGCTAAGCAGGTTCCAGCTGGACGGTGCAATCGACGCAAAACTTGCATTGCAAGTGACCTCGGCGAAGAGCTCGGCAGAATCGGAAGCGAAGCAGCAAATCTTGGATCAGTGTCTCGCAGACGAGGTGAGGAAGGGGTCCCTGGCTGAAGAACGTGTGAAGGCGTTGGAGGGGTCACTGGAAGAATCTAGGCGCGAGCTTGCCGAGGCCAGGAATGTCGCGACGGAACGACAGACCTGGAATCGAATGTCAGAGGCAAGTACATAATGCTTCATCCAGGCTGATTCCTCTTTATTGACCCGAAGCGCGTAGATCCGCCTTCAATCTCTTCATCAAGAGGCTGTGTATTGGCGACAATTCGCACTCGAAGCTGATCGACGAAAATACAAGATTTACATGGCTTCGAAACCATTCCAAAACTCCCCGCCAGATGCTCAGCTCCAAACTCCTGTGGACAAAGGTTCTGGCCCAGAACCGGAAACACCGACTCAGCAACGAAAAGCCGGGGGCCTTGCCTTGAGCCAAGGCATGTCCAGCGCTCTGGATGTGACGCAGACACCTCAGCAAGGCGAGGGACGGTGGTACGGACTGGCTGCTTGAGTATTGGAGAAAAAGCTCTCGTTGGTGACCGAAATGCCCATTCACGAATAATGACCTAGAACGACATGCCACGAATTGCTTGTGTTTAGGACCCCTTTGATGCCCATTGTTATGCATTGAATTATATGTCGATGCGAAACGGAAACCGACAAGACTCGACAAAGTATGATGCTGACCAATGACGTGAACCGGCCGCAGCTTTATTAAAGCAAGGCATCGTGACTCTTGCCTTCGGCCACTAGCCTCGTCCACTCTGCTCGCCACCCGTCCATCTTTGCTTTCATTCCCGGTTGATGCAGGATCTTTCGTATCCACCTCATAAACGCGTCTTCGTCTTCCGCGACAAAGTACGAGCTAAGCAACGACAATATGGATTCGAATGTAGCCCGAGTGTCGGAGAGCAGATCTGCATGAATAGTCAGTCGGGGCAAGCGAAGAGCGTTGACCGACCTTTGAATGCCCAGAGGATGGCGATTGACACGATGACGATGACGTCTCGCCCATCCATCATTAAAGCGTCCCATATACGGAGCTGCTGGGAGAATGGAACTGTATTCACGAAGAGTGTAATGTACCACTTTGTACCCCAGGCAGATGAGCTGATCATGTTGCGTTGCTGGCTTGGTAGTCAGCCCCGGTAGAAACCCCGATCGGACCACTCACAAAGGATTTGTAGACATCAGGCATGAGGTATTCCATTAATCTCTCCTGGACATAGAACGACTCAAGGAGACCCGGGAACCCAGGCGCAAAGATCGAGTGCATCCCGTAGACGTCATGGAGGCGAACGAGAATGGCGTAAACGCGCTGAATCGTATCAGACAAAGTTCCCAAATCCCATGTCCCCGGTGACTCACCTCGGGATCAAAGTAACACAACAATGTCGCTGCTATTGGACCCATACCCTGACAATAGCCACAGGTGTCACAGAGTAGCGAAAAGGAATGTAGGACGTGAAAGAGAGATCTCTGACCAGACCCATAGCGAGTGACGAAGAGTGTGTGCCCGGAGATCGTGCGCGGAACATCAAGATCGATCTGGACGTCGTGGATAGAGGGCAGGTCAATGTTGTGCTGAGGTCCAAGAGAGTCAGCGCTGCCCAAAAAGAGAGTAGAAGCTTCGCCCACTCGATACTCGTCAGCTAAGACTTCTGAGGGGACTGTTGCCCTCCCCTTGCCTTTCCATTTCCGTGTGTTGTCCTCTACTAAGGTCCACCAAGCGGCCATACGCCATCGATCCGGGATGCCCTTGTACACTCGTCCAGGTAACTACGCCAATTGTCAGAAAAACAATCTCAATGCAACTACGAGCCCACCTTGGACCCCTGACCATCCTTCCTCCACTCCCAAGTTTGAATATTGCCACCTTGATCTCTCTTCGAGACCCTCATCATCTGCATCCATTTCCCAACACGTTCGTCTTCTTTCCTTCGGAATCGCTGGCCTTCTTCGTTCTCTGGGCGTGGGCTCGGCGGGGGCCTTGGACCTGGAGCATCGTCGGTCGAAGGTCCGAACGAAGGAGGGGGAGGTTGAACCTTTGTGCCTGGAGGTATGGACGACTTTGAGGGAAGTTTTGGAATCTTTCGGAGTGGAGCAGCTGGGATGAGAGCTATACGAGATTCAGATCGATTGCGTAAAGGCTCGTCCATGAAGCCATATCTTCAATTGACTGTCAGCGTACTATCAGATTCAATATGGGAATGTAACTGACCTGTCAAGACTGCTAAGAAATTGCCTCTCGCTTTGTCCAAAATTGCCGCCTCTCACAGGCATATCGATCGTCACCCGCTTCGCAGCGTTTGGCCCGCCTCTGGTGCGTTCCACACCTGGATCCCAGCCATCTCCATGAACGCCCTCTGCGTCCAGGCGAGCATCTAAGGTGCCCGAGATGAGTGGCTGCATCGGCGGAGTTTGTCGTGACTCACATGTAGATCTAACGTGAAACGATTCGTTCTCTTCCCCAGGATATTGTGAGGATCCGGAGAATGACACAAGACTGGTGTTTGCAGAGGTCGTACCTACACTCGTTGCACTGCCCGTACTCGCACTCAAAGGTTTCAGCCTCGACATGCCGAGCTGGCCCCGGCTGGAGCTGGGTGTTACGCTGAGACTGGTACTCGATGAAGCTGTTTGGTTCGACTCGCGACCCCTGACTGGTCTGGGCCTCTGCGGTACAGACTTATCTGGGGTCAGAGTGATGGGCGGCGTAGGAGGATGTGAGCCATTCGTTTGAGATTCGGATAAGAGTTGAGATTCTCGTGTGCCATGGTCAGAGGTTGCGAGCATTGTAAATACTCCTTCCCAGGACGCAGGTGAGTCCGGAGCCTGGCCTCCGTTGGTTCCACCATCGTCGTCCAATACCTCCACACCTTGCTGCTCGTTCGTGGAAGTTCTGAGAGGAGTCTGAAGAAAAGATTGAGGCGGGCCTCCATTCCCATTGCCATTTGATGTCAAGTCACTCTCTGAGATCCGAGATCGTCCTACAGAGCCAGGTCCATGCTCCTCCGGCGCATCGTCGAAAGCCGATGAAGAGCTCTGCCAGGAGGCTCGATTAGATCCATACAGGTCGAAAATTCCCTCTGCCATGTTTGCGCTATCTACTCTTGACTCTCTGCCTCTTCCAGCACCTCCGGCTTGATTGAGGTGGTTCACTTTGAGCAGATTTGATTTTGCGCTTGCCGAAGTATCGATGGGCGGCGCGAGCGAGACTTCTCTTCGTGGACGAGAGAAGTTGATTGGGTCATGACCACTCTGTACAGATGGACCAGGATCATACGGATCACTCATCCTGCTCGGCGGAGAGCACAGTTGAGGATGCTGGTGAGATCGAGGCACGAAACACGGTCAAAAGGACTACAAAACGTCACTTGCCGCCATTATTTAACCGAAGCGTGGCGTCGAGCTGGCTATTGGAGCATGGATATGCTTTCCGCTCGCAAGCAATGTACAGCACATGTACATGCTACAAGATGATGCACGCTAAGCTTTGAACAATCAATTGGCAGAGCGTTATGACGCCAGACTCCTCCAACCGACCTCTGGACCCTGCTTGCCTTCTTCCTTTCTGATGAGCTCGTGTGGTGGTATGAATTTACTGTCTCGCAGCGTTCCCTCGTCTTCTCCATCTGCCTCATCATCCTCGTCTGCATCGTCTGCGAGGCTCTCGAATACTGCTCCAGGGTCAAGCTTGAACGAAGTGGCCTGTTCCCTTTCTCTGGAGACAGACGCTGATCGGACGATGGAGCCCTTGGCACGTTGTGGTGACCTACTCGATCGGCCAGGATTCGAAGGTGACAAACCGAGCGCATTCGTCTTGCTGATTCCCATCTCTCGCATAGCGACTCGTAGAGGTGGTACCAGGATACCCTCGCGATCTGTGAGACTTGTTTTCCGCTCTCTCGGCGGCAACTCGCCCTGTCGCCGACGTGAGGGGTTCAAGGCAATGGCCACCGGCATCGAGGTGGCAAGCTGACTGATGCTATTATCCGACATGTCATCATCGTTAGCCGAATATTCAGTTGGCCGTCGAATCGAATCGAACATCGATGTCCCCCGCTCCAGATGCCGTTTCCAAGCACTACGATGAGAAGGCGCATCTGCGGCAAATGTCCGGGACAAATTAGCTTCAACCATGTTGCGGGTCCTTGAAAAGGTGCGCGGTGGCTGCGGAGGTGTGGCCGAGACGAGATCATCCGGGTCATCTTGAGGCGCAGAGTCGTCCATATCAAAGTCAAAGACGTAGTCTAGGGTGGATCAGCAGAAGTTTCCTCCGTACCTCACCATCCGCATCCCTTTCGGCAGCCTCTTCTTCTTCCTCAATCTCAAAGACCTCGTCGTCTCGTATGAGCTGTTCAACCTTTGGGTCCTCAAATTTGACAGCTTTTTCTTTGCCCTTGCCCTTTGGAGTCGATTTGTCATCCACTGATGTTTGAGCCTTACTTGGCATACGAGGTGTCGAACCCTGCGTACTGACATCGGGTATATCGAGCATTTCGCGACCCTTTGCCCTGAGACTTCGTCCGCTCTCTTCGTCGATCCAGCTATCCTTGCCTTCCGCCTCTTCATTCTGGGCCTCGTCATACTCCGTTTCGACATAGCGATCCTCCATGCTCATTCCGACTTTGCTCGGTCCGCGAGACGCCATGGCCTCATCCAGGACCGAGAAGACATGCGACATGGCGACGGCTCGAGCATCAGAACCCTTACTATACGTTTTGGAGACGCTGGCAAGTGAGTCGTCGACCGCGTCTGCTACTGGAGCGGGCGGAGTTGCAGCGTATGGATTCGCAGACAGCGAGGCGGATAGGAGAGAAGCTCCAGCGGGATAAGCAGGATTCCGAGCGGCTTCCATCAGAATAGGATTGCTAGGAGTCTGACCGTGTGATTGAGCGGAGAGCGGAGTAGCGGATTTGAAAGACGAGCTACGTCCGGTCCTGGAATCACGACGCTCCTGTCCAAGTGTCTGCGGCGTAGGCGCATCAAGGCTCTTCCTTCGCTCTGGATCTTCAGCCGCTCCAGGTCCAGCCTGATATTTCCCCCAAAGCAGTTCAACTTCCTTCCTGACTTTCTCCTGCGCATTCATCATCTCCCTCGACTTGCTATGGATGTATTCCCTGACCTCGTGCTCAAGTTCATCATGTTTGCGACGAAGGTGGACTACCGCCTTGTCACACAGATCTCTGAGGTGAGGATGTGACGGGATGAAAGGTGGTGGAAGGAAGAACGGATCTGGGACGGGTGGTATGAGGTATTGGGAGGCTTCGGCGTTGGAAGAGACGGGAGCGTAGATGGCGGGGAAATTCGTCTGCGGCGGTCTGCCAAAATTGGAGGAGGTACTCGAGGTCAGGGCAATGCGTAGTTCGGAGAAGGGCAGCCTGTCAAGTCGATCGTTCTCGTCATCAATTAGATCCTTGCCCCACTTCGAGACCTTCAGCTTTAATCAAAGATGAGAAATGAGACCCACTCGTATGCCAGAGGCAAGATCTATCGTGACCCATTCACTAGCAACTGGGGCATCGAACCTCTCCTTCCCAGCTGCCAGGTAGAGGGGGGTCCCGCAAGCCCAGCATTTTCTCCAACATGGAGATAAAGTATCGCTTGAAGGCTTTGAACTAACTCCGGTAGAGTTTCGCCGCTCCTGCTTCAAGTCATCCTGATCCCAAGCTACGTAGGATGCGAGTTTCTAGAGTGCCTATCAGGAAACCTGCATAGACAAGATGACGCATTGAAAGGGACTCACGCTCGTCTCTCCCTCCTCGCCGATCCATATCTGATATCTTGACGATGAGCCCGAGTCATGCTTGGAAGGTACGAGACGTTCCAAAGGAGCTCGACCTTCTACTCTGACATTCAGACAGGAGCAAGTGAATTCAAAGGGTTGAGAATTGGTAGGAAGAGGAGCTTCAGCATCTGGCCGAGGTCCACCAGATACTTCCTCCCCCCGCGACATTCTTGTGACCTTCGATATGGGATGCTGCCAGACCGATTATCAAGCCTCAGGGTACTGCAATGACTGGACAAACGGACGATTGGGGGGATGTCTGGACGAGAGGTGTGAACGAGGTCCCAAGATTCAATTCCGGACCCGGTCGGATTACGGAAAATCAATGCGGCAATACCCGGAAACAAATTGGACACCGAGGACTGGTCTTGAAGCAGCTGTAGACATCTGAACGAGAGAGTACAAGTACACGGACAAAGACCCAGGAAGAGCATAGACTGGCAGGTTCCAAGCTCGCAAAGAAAGACGTGAATGCATGCACCATTTTTTTTGAGGCGTGAATAGCAGACAAAGCTGAGGGGAAAAGAGGAAAAGCGACTTGCCTGCTCTCAATCTTTGACTCCATTCCTCGACCATCGAGAGATCGACCTGGAGTGAGAGCGTGAGAACAAGCCACAATGAAGGGAGAAACAGGGAACGGAAGTATTCTGACTCGAAAGGCAAGAAACCCTGTACTGCAAGCAGGAGCCCAGAAGGTTGATCAACGCCATATCTTCGGTGTTTAGAGATCTGTGAAAATAGTAGCAGGTCGATCACATGTGAGCCTTGAACAACGCTTCAGAGATGAAAGTCGCTTGAAGTTGTCGTCCACCAAAGAATCGTCCTCCCAGACCTTTTGCAGCTGCTTTCGCGTCTCCAAGGTTTTCGAACTCGAGGTACACATCTCCCTGAGCAACCATGTTAGCGGTAGTCCAGCGGTCTCACAGTGACGACTCACTGCAGACATCTTGTCGACCTTGATTCGCCTGAGCTTGCCATATTTAGATTCTACTTCACCCTTGACATCCTCTGCGAGGTCCAGGTCCCAGTTGCGTTCAGTTTCTCTGCGATCTCGTGAGCTAGGGTGTCGAGGACAGGATTGCAGCAAAAGCTCACTCTTCAGGATTGAACATGTTGCTGACAGACAGGAAGAGAGTGGGATTGGAAGAGGATGACTTGCTTCTGGAGACAGAGTCAGAGACGAGGCCATACAAATCAAGGAGTCGGACTCACGGAGCAGGTGTCGAAGACTTTGGAGCAGACAACGATAAATTGACATTCGGTTCTGTCCTGGCAAGCTTGAACATGAGCTGTTGACGTTGCGTGGCATCAAGTCTCGTAGTGTAGCCAGAATCCTCAATTTGCTCCGCGACGTAGGCTCTCTCTTGAACGCTTTGAACGCGGACTGGCGAGCATGAGTATCAGACCCCTCATTGGACACATTGCACTTACTCGTCCGACCCGCAAGCTCGAATCCGTTCATCGCATCGAGCGCCATCTGTGCTGAGCGGAGGTCCTTGAATTGTACATAGGCCGTGCCCTTACTCTCACCCGACTGCAAACAATCGTAAGCAGTGGCGCGTAGCTACGGTGTAGAACTCACAAAGCTGTAATGCAGGTCTACGAATTCAATCTCTCCGAAAGCTTCAAAGACTTGGCCCAGGTCATCCGAAGACAAGCTCGTAGCGAGGTTCGAAACGAACAATCTGTGATAGGGTATAGAAGCATCTTTGTGCGCATCGACTTCAACACCGTGTGGGACTCTCAAACCAGTGCTCAACGGTGGGAATGATTGTTGGTAGGTCGTGGCTGGTCTAGGCACATCGCGAGAAGCGGCAAGACTGAGTGATGTAAGCGATATCTCTTTGCAGGCAACGGCTATATCTCACCTGGTCGCCGTAACTCCTGCAGCGAGAGCGGCCGCAACTTGACCCTGCCGGTTTCGTTCTGCTTCAGTGAGTTGGATGCTGATAGGAATTCCCATGACAACGGTGCCGGAAAGCTAAGCAGTGATCAGCGAAAATCAATGCTGCCGAAAGGGCGAACTCACTGCGAGAGCCCTATTCACAAGCTCAACGGCATCCAGCTCGACATACGCGATACTGCAGTTATCAGCTTCTCTATTCTCACCTCTCACACACCCTTTAGATCGTCGAGAGACTCTATCAGTGACAACGCGAGCGTCTCGTACGGATCCTCTACCCAATTTGTCCTCGAAGAACATGCCCAAGTCTCGGGAAGTCAACCTCGCGGCGAGTTGAGAGACAAAGACAGAACGAGATTCGGAATCTACTTCGTCCAGGAGCTGATTGACGGGATCCTTGGGAGGTGGAGGAGATCTAGGTGGGGGCGGAGCATCGTAAGAAGGAGAATGCCCTCGTCTGGGAGGTGAACGAGGTCGATCTCGAGGAGAGAAGGGAGGCCTTCCATTAGACCCTTGACGCGTTCTGCGTTCTCTTTCTCTTTCGCGATCCATCTGGATGCACATGCGTCAGCACTAGATCAACTCACCGGGGACGCGAAGCTCACCTCCGCAAAGCGCTCGTCACGAGCTCGAGCAGCCTCTCGTCTCTCTTCTTGCATCTCCCTGTCCCTCTTTTCCCTCTCAGCCTCCTTCTCTTCCCTGGTCATTTCTCGAACTGCCAAGGAAGGTCTTTCTCGATCGACATCTCGCGACCGATGGGATCGATGAGACCGGTGAGACTCTCTAGACCTATCTCGCTCCCGGTAACGTGAGTCTCTGCGCTCCTCATCTCGCCCATGACGGTCCCGGGGTTCTCGATCGTCTTCTCTTCGACTGCTGTGTCGATGTCCTCTTTCGTCACCATTCTCTCTCGCCTCTTCCCTCTCTCTGCGTCGTCGACGCCTTTCTTCCCTTTCTTCTTCCGTCTCGTCCTCATGGTGATGCCTCCGTTTCCTCTCTGTCCTCTCGTCGTCTTGATCCACATCTCTATCATCGTCCCTGTGACGATGACGGTGTCGTCTTTCTCCGTTGTAGTGCGCTTCTTCCTCGGCATTCTCATGTCTTCTATGTCTGTGTCGTGAAGATCTTTCTCGGTCCTCTACCTCGTCATCTCGACTTCGTTTGTCGCGTCTCCTTGGAAGCGCAGAGTCAGCTCTGGACATGGCGAACCTTGCCAATGTTCGGACACTCACGAAGTTAGCTCTGGGGTCCTGTCCCTCCCATGATCATTCCCGTTGGATGGTGGTGGAGTGTCTGACATGACGCTCATACGTCTCAATTGTCTTGACTCGATGTCGACAGCTGTGACCGGTCCAAGTCAAGAAGAGGTATTACTTAGCGAAAAAAAGATGAAATGTTCATTCGGGTGAGGACGGAAGCAAATTCTAGGAGGGCGTGCTTGTGGCACCCTTGCTGGACGTAGAGCTTCAAGGGCAGAGCGTCTGGCTGGGCCGAGACATACTAGGCAAGGTCGATGATCGATGAACATAGCATCAGCTGAGAGGCTTGGATCAGAGCAGCTTCTCCAGAATGCCAGTGTCAAGTAATCAGAGTATCGCTGAATCAAATGATGCTCAAATGAATATATATATATCGCCACTTGAACCCCGGATTTTTCCCCGCTGACACGGCCGACGTCAAATCATCCCGAATCATCGCTATCTGATAGCCTGTCACGGGCTGGCTGTCTATTCACATCGCTACTCTCTGACTGTGTCTGGATTTCAACAGCGAGCATCCCCATACTGGGAGCTTGGAAAGGTATAAAGTGTCCTGGACACAACGCACCATCCGACTCGACCGACGTGGGTGACAACGTGCGACGTGTGGTCCCAATCTATAACGCAAATGCGATGCTGCAGAATCTATATTCTCCCAAGCTAGACTACACGCCATAAGATTCAGCAAATATGCCTGGAAATGGTGTCGAGGATGATTCTGAGCCCTCCCTATCGATATCCGAGCTTAAGTCGAGGTTCGAGAGGCTCTCGGGAGGGCAAAGCGTATCCAACAAGGGCGGGCCGACGAATCCAGGTCAGAGAATTCGTCAGGGCATGTCTGGCGTGCGGCCTGCTGAGGGTGGAGCAGAAAAGGTCATAGAGGTGAGTCAAGGAGCTAGGTGTCCGCTTCATTTGCTCCTTCATTCAACCTCAATTGGCGCTGATTGTTCCACTCGTTCCAGACACCTTCTTCTGAAGCAAGCAATGTCGCTGATTCGGCATCTCAGAGCAGCTCCCGTACACAGCCTGCGAAACCTGTCAAGCCCAAGCCCATGGTGCCGTCGAAGACTTCGATCGTTCGGCCGTCAACTATTCCATCAGCAGATTTGATTGACTTTGCCCGAGGAGATTCTGCGCAATTGGAACTCTCGAGCGCTGGCGATGAACCCAAGTCTGCAAGGAGGTCTGCCCTAATACCACCGGTGTCGAAAGCCACGACGCAGATTCTCAGCGCTCAAAGCAGTCGCACGGTCTCGCCGGTACCTTCGCCCGCTGCTGCAACTGATGACTCGGATCAGAAAGCACCGTCCGTCAGACTTATGAAGGAGAAACTCGTAGCGATTGATGGCGCAGGGCGCAGCGAACAGACTAATACCAGGGACAATATGCGAGGCAGTACACCACCGGGAGAGGTGGTCCGAGTGGGACTCAGCGACCCCAATCCTTCCGATTCCCCCGGCGGTTCCACGCAGATTCCGCCGCGAGCCTCGCCCATACCACCTCCTCAGCCAAGTAGATCAACTAAGCCAAGCAGGCCGGTCTCACCTCAACCTCTGCTGGTTTCAACCTCATCAGACTTGCTGTCTTCTTCTCCTGCGTCTCTTGCTTCTCCTCTTCAGTCTATTTCCCGAAAGCCATCCACCACCGGACCCACGTCCGTATCCTCTGGCCCGCCACCTATACCACCTAACAGGCCTAGCTCATCGACTTCGACGGACGAAGTAGCTCCTTCTGCCTCCCGCTCCACTTCAGAAGATACTTCGACCCCTCCTCGACTACCTTCTCGCTCGCGAACGCAGACAATGACCAAGCTTCAAGCAAACAAAGCTCCGCCGCTGCCTACCCGCGCTCCGACATTGGAGATGCCGAGCCTTCAAGCTCCTCGTCTACCTCCAACTTCCAAATCTCTGCCTGTTCCCAGCGTTTCGTCCAATACCGGATCATTCAATGCTCACAGCCGAGCAATGCCTCCAACTCCTCCATCTGATGACTACGTACCGCCTCCGCCTCCAACGCGAAGCCTGAACCCGTCTTCGCAGTCGAGTATAGCGAGAAAACCGAGTAGGCGAGAGACGATGACTTTGATCGACTATGGTGCATCCTCCGAAGAAGAAGAGGAAGCTGGTCCGGCTACAGCTATGGCACAATCAACACTGGCCAAAAGGGCGATGGATGAGCTGCCTGACACTACACACGCAAACAAGCGCGCTCCTGGTTTCAGTCCAGACGTGCATCTCCGTCATCCTCATCAGATCAACTCCTTCGCGGTCTTTGGCCGATTCGTATGTACCGGCGCGCATCACGTCAGAGTCTACGACACACAGATGTCTGAGCGGCCAATTTTTGTGGTTGATTTGAGAGACACTGGTTTGGAATTCAGGATCAAAGATCCGAAAGTCACCGCCATGTGTTTTCGACCAACCCTGGAACGTATGGATCAAGGCCGATACTTGCTATGCGGGACCAAGGACGGCCATTTGTGGTGCTTGGACGTCATGACAGGTGAAGTGACGGATTCTCGCTCTTGGGTGCATGGCGCTGCCATAAGTCATATTTTCCGGCACAAGAATTGGATATTGACCCTGGATGAGATGGGCAAAATGCACATTTACCAAGTGACACAGGATGATGATCCCTCCAAGATCCCCAATCAAGTTCGGACGGCCCGTGTAGGTGACAAATTCACTTTTGCTAGGGTTCTCTCTGGCCGTTTATGGACTGGTGGAGCGCCGGCAACGAGGTCGACTACGAACGCATCGACGGCGAAAGGGCCCACAATCCGCGTATACGACCCTTGCATTGAAGGTGCCATGCCTCCGCCTCGGTCTGCTCAAACCACTGAATGGTGTGGTGCGGTGACTAGTGGCGCAACCTGCCCATTTGACCCTGACAAGGTCTATCTCGGTCACGAAGGAGGTTTCATATCCATCTGGTCGGCCGCGGATGTCACCTGCCAACAGGTCTTAAAGGTGTCCTCGACGGACATTCTAGCACTTGAAGGCGTAGGCGGTAGACTTTGGTTCGGAACACGCAAGGGCCAGATCAATGTCTGCAATGTTTCGGAAGTACCTTGGGAGACAACCAACATTTGGACCGCACACTTTGATTCGCCCATATACCATTTGGCTTTTGATCCCTGGTCAATTGAAAATTCTGGACGTTTCGCGGTCTACTCTACGACTCGGGACTCTGTACGCGCTTGGGACGGTTTGCTATCCGTCGAATGGATCGATAAGCAGATGGACCTTCGTCAGCCGGAATATTGTACTTTCCGGGATGTGAAGGCTTTGATCTGCACCTGGAATATCGACAGTGCGAGACCTCAGGATCTGAGCGGTTCAGAGGCTAACTCGTCCTTTTTCGATGAACTATTCGGATCCATCGACAAACCAGACATTATTGTATTTGGATTCCAAGAGGTCATACCTCTTACCGACAAAAAGTTGACGGCTAAAACCCTCCTGTTCGGGAACAAGAAAGATGTGGGGGCGTCTAACGACAAAGTCTCGGTCGCTTATCGAATGTGGACGGACAAGTTCACTCAGGTCCTGAGGATGGTGTATCCTGATCAACAGTATATCAAAGTCCAATCAGAAAGTCTGGTTGGCTTGTTGACTTGCGTGTTTGTCAAGGCCGATGAGAGGAATGCTCTCCGAGACGTGCAGATTTGCACGGTAAAGCGGTGAGCGACCGCGTCATGCCCTTTAGGCACGTTGCTGATTATGTGCAGAGGTATAGGCGGTATCTACGGCAACAAGGTGAGCCGACTGAGCGGCTGCGACGCAGCAATGGCTAAGCTGAGACATCTTCAGGGTGCCATTATAGCCAGGATGATAATGGACGACACCTCGCTCTGTTTTGTCAATGTCCATCTCGCCGCGGGTCAGTCAGCAAAGGCCTCGCGGAATGCAGACATCGTTGGAATCATGGAGGAAAGAGCGATATTCCCCTTATCGGAAGACGGGGAGGCTGGCATGGCCTTTGAGCATGGTGGTGACGGTACAGCGATTCTTGACCATGAGATTGTGGTTCTCAATGGTGATCTTAACGTGAGCTCAATAGGACAGATGAGTGATCTGGTGATGAAGAAGCTCACGATATGTAGTACCGGATCGATCAGCGTCGCGAGACCGTTCTACAGAGCGTAGCCGCCAACGACCTGTCTTTCCTCCTTGAGAACGATCAGCTCAACAAGGAGATGCGCTTCAACCGATCGTTCCGATTGCGGACGTTTACCGAAATGCCCATCAATTTCGCTCCCACGTACAAGTATAATCCACACAGTCAAGACTATGATTCTTCAGAAAAGAATCGAATCCCAGCATGGTGTGATCGCGTTCTATACACTTCGAACCCCAGGATCAAGGCGCTCTCTTACAGACGGTACGAGCCTACGGTATCGGATCACCGGCCTGTATCTGCCGGATTGCAGTTTACTCTGAAAAGAGTCGATGGTGATTTGATGACCGAGGTCAGACGGGACGTCGGAGCTCAATGGGCGAAGAAGGAGATGGAAATGTTGCAGAAAATGGCGGATGTGTTTGCCAGTTTATGGTAGGCGGTTCTGATGCGCGCAAGTTGATGTGTTCATCTCATATTTGCATCTGCAATCAATGTCACTCAGATCTTGCATAGATACATACTCTGGCTGCTGCACAGACGAGAAATACATTCTTTTCCTTCGTTGTTCCTGCTTCACTATCGCGAGAGGCTGGAAAAGCAGGCGTAAAACTGGCCGACACAGGGAATTGAGACTCGAAATATACTTCAAAGCTTGAGCAGGAGCAATCAACGAGTAGTTGGTATTTCTCTACCGAGCTCGATATTCGCAGTTGGCAGTCTGTTTCCAGTCGAAGAGCCATCCAAGTCTGAAGATTGGGCATCCATTTGGCCTCTAGCCCCGACTTCACCTGGCGCGACACTTGAATGATCGTTCTGTCCAAGCTGGAATGCCGCCGCATGTGGCGTTCCTCGTCCGACACCTTCTGCTGGCAGACTCTCCAGGGTAATCATGAGGTAGTGATGAAGCAGCTCTGCCTCTCTGTTGGGTCGGGAGTCAGTTTTGTCCCAGCTGACTACCCTGACAGAGGCGGACATACCCCTTTGCGCCTATCCAGTCCTTGTCAAAGTCGAACCTGATCGATCCGGATTTAGGGAAATCATGGTGACTCTTGCCAATCGGTTCAAGCATAGGATGAACAAGGGTGAGGAAGTGAGAGTTGATCTGAAGAGTATGCGCTGTCAGAGCGAACAGGGATGGAGATGGTCTAAAACGGTCACACTGACAGGCACGGTGACCCAACTGCCTTCTCCCTTCTTACCTCCTCCCAAGACCACTTTGGACTTGTCCACGCTTCTGAGGTCCACTACGACCGCGCCGAGTCTGTCACCCTTGATCATACCGGGCCATTCGGTCTCCGCATTGGCATTGGCGTTGGTGGCTCCTAGTTGATTTGCCTCGGCCGTAGGCATCTGCTGACCTCTTCCGTTCTGGTCGAGAATTCTATCATCCACAGCTGTCGATGTCATAGAGTAGACATTTGACGATGCGTCGCACGTTCCACTGGCTCCGTGACTGATTTCAGCGCTATCGTGAGCTCCAGGGGGCTCTGTATCAACGTGGTCCTGAGGTAGAGCCTGAGGATCGGATTTCGGCGAACCTTTCTTAAACAAGTTCTTGAACTTGGTCGTGAGAGATTCATCAGCGTCGGCGTTAGCCTTTCGATTGTGTCCCTCGTTCGCTCCACCCGGCATAGATGTCTTGGCCTTTGAAGCTGTTGCCGAGTGTGCAGGCATGGCTTGGGAGAGAGGTTGAGGCGCAACGGTCAAGAGTGGGTTGGGAGGTTGAGACAAAGGCAAGAGGATGAGGTGGGTCTGAAGACACGTTAGCATCTCCATCGACGGCTTTTCTCGGGTGTTAACTTGCATCGTTGGTGCCTGCCTGGACCCTCCAGAACCACCTGCCTGTGACTTCATCCTTGCCACCTGCGGCACTACCGCCACTCAATTTGGACGCTTCGATACTCTTCCTCCTCTCATCAGCCGAGGTGGATACGACGGCTTCGCCAAACGAGGTCTTTCGCCTGTTCCCAGATATGACTCTTCGAAGTGCATTCCCATCATCAGGTTCTTGACTTGCGCCTGAGAATCGACGGGATCGATCCACCGGCGTGGGAGTAATGTTGATCGTAGCGAGGCAGGGGTAGAGATTCTTTGGCGGTGGGGTAGTCGATCCAGCTTTGAACTCCATGATGAGGTCCTTGAGTTCAGAACTTGAAGTGGTGGCAAGAACTCGTCCAGCTGGACGGCTATTCGGGGATGCAGGGGTCTCTTATACTATGCGAGGGAGAGAGACACCGGTTTCCTTGGCTCCAGGCGTGAGTCCCCTGAGCCGCTAACCCCTAACATTGCATACAATCGCACGGATTACAGATCCAAGCAATGTGAAAAAGGTACCACCAGTCAAGACCTACGGAGCATCTGTCCACCCTCCTCGCTCTCTTCCTCCCTATCCCTCGTAGCCCTAACCAAGGTTCATATGTCATACTATGTATCCCAAAGTTTAGCCACTCGAGTAGCGTTCATTGCAAGTGGACCTTCCGGGTAGTCGATCGTAACCGGACCACGAGCCAAAAAATTACGTACAGACCTTGGATGACCGGAGATCCGTCAGATCTCCACTTCGATCGCGGAAAAATGTTGAGATTCCACCAGCCTCGAGCTGAAATTCCGATCTCTGTGCAATCGCCAATGGCATGCCACCAGGATCGACTGGGTTGAGGTCAGCCCTGCTGTTAAGGAGAGCCGCTATCAGTGCCACACAGCTCGACTTCTTGATACCATGGGCTGCGAATGCTCGGCCTCGATTCGAGTCCTACAGCACGGGAGCCGGTGACTCTTTGAAAGAATGTCAAGAGCCAGTGGCCGGACCATCAAATGATCGTGCTGCTTTGAATCACGAAGCTGCAGAGACTGAGCCGAAAGGCGCATCTGCCGATTCATCCAGGTCCGTGGAGACTCAGCCTTTGGATATACCAGATGGCACTGCTTCTGAGGAATCGCCCCGAAGCCGAGGACGTAGAAGAATAAGACTATCAGAGGAGGTAGCTTCATTGTCAACCTCATTACAAGGTGTGTATCCAGCCTCTGTATGATAGTGCGTAGTAACTGACGACGCTGTTAAGTGCTCCTTGAGCCATGGGATATCAATCCTCAGATGCTTCCCGGTATTCGACTACCCCTGCCGACATCAACACCACCTACTCCGGTCTCACCTGAAAGCTCTGTTGAGCCCATACCGGTCTCCCGTATACAGCCGCGTCGTCCTTGGGCCGATATCATTGCGGAGTCCCTTGAGGAAGCAAGACGCTTTCGCGAAGCCCAGGCACTTCGCGACCTCAGCACCCGTAGTCTGGAACGCTACAAATCACATGCGAGCGGACCTCCTTATTACACAGTAGAAGAGATGGACCGATTACAACGACAAGATGAGCAAGCCGACTCCATTCAGAATCTCCACCCTGAGCGAACTGTACCCCTCACTCAGGCGAACGCAGCCCGATCATTTGTCAAGCATCATCTCCTTCGCACATCGCCACCTCCCCCATCTACACTCCTCGATCATCTTCGAGTTCGGCGTGAATTATTCACCGCTCAAAATGCTAAGATCCTGCTTCGTTACGCCGCTCGGGTCAACGACCACAAGACGTATTCCGAAGTGCGTCGAGCGTTGTTGGTCCTTCAGCAGGCTGGACATCGTCGAAGGTGGCCAAGACTGGCTACTTCACATCGTCTTGGTGGCTCGAGACGGTCTTATATCATGAGGAAAATCATCAGACTCCTGACCAGAGGAGCTAGGGGCGACGGCGCTGCCGTCTCTGAAATTGATCATGCGGATGTGGACAAGGCGGTGGAAAAGATCGATGCAGAGTTGTCCAAGACTGAAGGCGATCCCGACGGTATAGACTATCCCCAGCGAAGGGTCTCGAAATACTGGTACTTCTGTCCTCACCCGTGGGCCGAAAGCTCGATCCCGGTCGTTGATACCCCAATTGCTCGACCGGACGTCCTGGAAATTCTCGGAACTCTACATTATCGGCTACTGACGGGAGATGTTGTAAGACCGACACCTGCACCAACTTTCTCAGGTCCTATAGGGAAGGATCTCATTAGATCAACTCGCAAAGGGCATCGAAACGAGACTTCTTCTGTAGCCACTAGCTCCGAGAACGCTGATTTCAAGACCTCTCCGCCATCCATCCTCCACTACGCAGATATTTGGTTCTCCCAGCCCGATTACGACAGTCCTTTCCTCAAGTCAGTCCAACGAGTGGTTGACGCCTGCGCTGCTGCCGGAAAGCAACAACAGGGCACACGTCAATATCTCTTGATGGTTCTGCACCTATACATAATCTACGCCAATCGAGTGGATGCCTGGCGTCAGCCCCATGACATACCTCCCGGCTGTTCAACGATCCTATATGACAAGCTGTCGCGTCGGTACCCTGAGGTCTTGGCTCTTGAAGAGTACAGTAGACTGTATGGGAGGTTCAAACCCTCACGCCAAACTCTCCACCTATTGTTATTGAGGGTCTTGTTCGGTGGCCCAATTCTTCGCTTTCCGCTCAACCCGGCAGACATACCCCCGCTGAATAAGCGCATGACCAGTGCTGATCCGCCTATCGAGCTCCCCTATCGTGTTCCTGACCGTCCTGATCCGACCGATGCACCTCGGCTTATCGCCGACGCTCGGACCATACTGAAAGTCTTCGAATCTCGATGGCGTATCTGGGCAGGTCCAGAAACTATAAATCGAATGACTTCGTATGCTCTTCAAGTGAACGATGAGCAATTTGCCAAAGAATGCTGGGATGATTGGTGGCATGAGATGTCTCGTGTCACTGCAAGGGAATCTCGATGGGAAGGAGATCATCCCAGATGGGACCATCGATCCAAGCATAGCAATTCTTGGAAGAGAATGTGTCACGCATTGGAGAAGCGAGGTTGGATCCAAGCACTGCGAAGCAAGAAGATTGACTTCAAGGATCCATCCATTGGTTTGGATCTAGAACTTCATGACGAGGACGTGTTTCCCGAGTTTGGAGCACGCTTGGATGACACCCCATCGATATCATCTCGTCCACCGCAGATACACCCAGATATCCACCGAGGTGAGGACGTTGATGGGACAGTGTGGATCGGGTTTGCAGACTGCAAACCTAGATATAGATGGACAGGGACGCAGACAGGTGCTCATGATGTGGCGGCGCAAGAGATGAGTGGCATGAGTCCGGATAACTCGAACGTGGTGGACCTTGAGCAAGCACCTTTGTACATTGATCCAAACACAGAGCTCTCTGCTCTTGTTGTACAGTAGTCAAGCATGCATGCATCACTCATGATCAGCACTAGTCCTTGTCCACGGGATTCCAAGTCACTGCTCCATCTGCACCCATGTCTAACGAGTCTAAAGCATCCATGTCCTCCTTGTCGAGGTTAAAGTCGTAGACTTGAGCATTCGATCGGATTCGAGAAGGCGTCACGGATTTCGGAATGACAACGTAGCTGCGAGAGGTGTGCTCAGCCCATTGCCTTGATGCTCGAAGGGAGTTGAACGGCTCACCCCTTCTGCAGACTCCATCTGATCAAGACTTGCGCTTGATCCTTTCCGTGCTTTTTACAAATGCTCAACAGTTTAGGTTCCTGGAATCGTTCCTTGTGCGCTTGAACCAATGGCGTGTAGGCTTCCACTGCGATACCTTTTTTCTGACAATATGCCACTGTCGGTCTCTGTTGGCACCACGGATGAAGTTCGATTTGGTTGATAACGGGAACTGGTTCAGGTAGGTTTTCGAGCTGTTTAGCCCCGCTAAGCAGGGTATAAGCACGACGTCTCGGCTGCCCGGAAACAGTGATACTGCTTACAAGTTCGACACTCCAATGTCTTTGATCCAACCTTCTTTCTGAGCTTTCGCCAAAGCGGCCCAGTTGTTCCCTCTTCCTTCATCTCCTCCCCACGGCGCATGAATTAGCATCAAATCGATGTAAGGCTTGCTCCCATTGGCTCCTTCAGAGGAAGGGTCAATCTTCGGTAGAGAACTCTTCAAGTCCTGATAAACGTCCTCTGTGGTCCTGATCTTGTGATTCGGGTTGTATTTTGTCGTAATGAAGACCTCGGATCGAGGAACACCGCTTTCAATCACTGCTTTGCCGACCACTATGAAAAGGTGGATATGAGCTCCGACGGCAACATGTCAGCCTATGTAATGTTTCGCTCACGCTCTTCGTTCCGGTACATTTGGGCACTGTCAACTATCGACGGTCGGAGCTCAGCAATGTCTCGAGGCTGAATATGACCAAATATCCACTCACCATGCCTGTAGTCTGCCTTCAAAGCTTCCTTGACAGCTTCAAAGCATTCCTCTCCTCGAGACTGATACACTCCCAGCCCGAATCGAGGGATGGTATTGCCGCTCAACAATTTGAACGTGCTCTTGATGGTGAGCTGACTCATATCTTCAGACATGTCGAGGTAGCCTTGAGGTGACACAGGAGATGCTATTTTATTGAAAACACAGACAGAGTTGAATGCAGAAAGGACCAAGGTTAATGGAGCTGGTCATCATCGATTACAGTCGAAAGGTGGAGGTCACCATTTGCTCCGGATACCCGGCCTCCGCTTCACTCCTCGGAATCAGCGTGACCGAGGCAGCAGGCGCCTGAAGGTGTTGTGGCAGAATCTCTGTGTACCTGTCTCAGAGCTGACACTAACTATCTCGACTGTAAGGCTTCCAGGGGTGAGTATTCCCGAGGGGCGTCTTCGGTATATGCGACAAGTGGACTCAAAAGCCCGGTGCTCGTCACGGAACGCTAGATCCACACACCTAATAGATAGGTTGCTCCTCAGGACAGCTGTTCTACATAACTCAGCTAGGTTTCCAGCGAATGCATCTTACTTGATCATTTCGAGTCTATGAGAATACAACCGATGATGCTACGAGCCCACTTAATATGATTACGATCCACCCAGGATGATGAAGCCTGACGCCGACTCATTGGCCCCGGCACACTTACGACCTCCGACTCAGCCCTGCTCTAGCTCGTATGTCTGCCAAAGAGCCGGGACGCGGCTTGTGATACTGGTGAGCCGAGCTAAGTGAGGTCACTAGCAGTGATTTAGTCGTGTGGGTGGGGCGTATCTGTCTCCCTGCCTCTCCATCTGACTGGCACTGGCGAGGGAGGTCTGACGCTTGCTGTATTGCTTCAGATGGGATCAATGACGTCCCCTGTGGCGGATATACATGAGGAAGTGGTTGACGCGGTTGGAATCTGGACGGAATGCCATGCAGGATGGATACCATGTAGGAAGGATTGCTATTAGCTGTGAAGGGTCTGAGGATCGGGGACAGCTGAATGTGCTGCCTTCGATATGAGCTGGGTCGGAAGGGTGGACAGCGAGTGGTGTAGGGAAAGTATGTCACATGATGCTGGGCACATGCCGAGGGTGATGCGAGAAGGGGTGGTGGTCTGAGCAGTGGACAAAAGTCAACAGAATGTCATCGAGATTTGACCGAGACCCAGCTCACCCTGAGGGTTGAACCGAAAGAGCTGGACTCTTCGGCCTCTCCGCCGGCCTCAACCTACTTCTGAGCAGCTCTTCTGCCGAGGGACACTCCATGGCTAATGATCGGTCCCTCTTGAAAGGCATCGGGAGGTCAAGTGATGCCATTGATGGGAGTGTGATACGAGTCGCGGCGTTTCGTCGAGTCGATCGGTGAGGAGGCATGATCGGTCGTCGAGGGTCCTTTCAGATCAGCTAGACATGTCGGGCTGAAGTGAGAGGTTTCAGGATGGGCATAGGTGTTGAGATGTCAGAGGGAGGTGGTGGTAGATGCAAGTGATGGAGAAAGTCCCGATGACAAGGGTTAGACCCACCCTTTTATCCACCTTCAACAGGACAGACCGTGCTGAGTTCAAACGAGAGACATGTGCATCGATTGCCATAGATGGCTTGGCGACTGTTGGTTCCCAACCAACAAGGCACGAAAGGCTGGTCCTCGGTATACATCTCGCAATCCAACACCTTTGATCGGATACCTCCGTGACCATCGACCTTCTAGAACCGAACATCGTGTGAGCTGTGAATTCAAAGAGGAGATTAGGCTTTGATGCCAGCGACAATTCCTTTGATCCAACGCCATCCAACGTTGCATCCATCATTCCATGGCTTCTGTGCCGCTTGATCTAGTGTAAGACGTGCCGAGACTGACAGAAGGGGGTCCCTCAAAGGTATATTAGCATGTCAGCAATAGGTCAGCAGACCCATCGCAGTGGGTTCGCTGCTGGATGTCATCTAGTAGGTTAAGGAGCACTGCAATGTGGTTCAGCTGATTGGCATGGCGGCGTAACGTCCTTGAAGGCTCGCCGTTGGAGAGTGACCTCCGGGTGAATGTCGGATCATTTCTTCGCTTGATGTCGTGTTCGAGGTGTCCAGGCACCGCTAGCACGGGGTTTAGATGGGAGTTGATGGGACCTGAGATCGGACGCAACCTCTACCTCTCAAAGGACGTGTAATGTGTTTGGTCGGTCGGCCGAGATGCTGAATGAGATTTGAGTCGGTACAGTATATATCGATAGCGTACCAGTATTACCCCCATCTGCCGAAGACATGTTCAGCTACCATGTTGTTCCAACGTCGCATGGCATCGGGGTTCTAGCCGACGTCTTCGCTGCGACGTGTTACGTAAGGATGACGTCATTTCGATCGACGCGGGAGATATCAGATCGGTGATGAGATTCTCGGGACATGAGCCTTGGAACCAGCTTTCTATGCTGCTGCTGCTGCTGCGTCGAGCTGGACTACTAAGGATCCATAGACAGGCTCCTCAACGCACCATGTCGACGTTCATTCACCTTCACACCCTCGATCTCCGAGTACACGACTCACCCTCCCTTTTCATCTCACACGACCCGTCGTCCAACCTATCGAACCAGGTCAACCATTTCCTCCCGGTGTACATTTTTGATGAACGCGCTCTGGACGTTTCGCACCTTCCTGAGGGTTCCAAGCCTTTCTCACCTCGGATCCGACCATCCGAGGACGGCAGACCCAATGGCGCTCAGCAGACTCGTGCTGCGCCAACATCACGAGTCGCTCAATTCCATCGAACCTCGCCTCATCGACTGTGGAACCTGCTCGAAGCGGTCTATGGGTTAAGAGATACCTATAGAAGGTCAGGAGGCGATCTGCTGATCGGATATGGGCGTCCGGAGATCTTGATCCCTCAGTTGATCAAAACTCTCGGGGAAGATCACGTCGCTGGAGTATGGGCTCAAAAGGAGTACACGTTGGAAGAATCCAACATGTTGAAAAATCTTCGAAAGTCTTTACCTGGGAAAGTCAAGCTTCAGCTGAACGACTCCAAGACCTTGATCCCTTCGAAACATTTACCGTTCGATCCCGCTAAACAGACTCCCGACGTCTACACTGCCTTTCGAAAACGGGTTGAAGGGATGGGCCTGACACTCGGAGACAACGAGATGCTCGTCCCGCCCGTTCTCACGGCCCGATGGTCACCTTCCAAGATATTCAACGACGTTAGAGTCAGCGTCGGCAAGAAGCGAGTCAACTTGAAATCTTTCCCCGACATCAAGCTGGAAGGAAAAGGTTGGATCAGGTCTGGATCAGAGTACGATTCCATGCAGGCAATGTATTCTGCGTTGGTGAAACCATTGCTGGATCATCCACCTCTTGCGGGATGGTCTAGTGTTGTCAAGAGTTCCGACGAGCCACCTGACTTTCATCCTGAATCTGCCTTACCGTCCGAAGGAGGGAGCGAGGCGTCCGCTTTGACTAGGCTGGAAGATTACGTGGGGCACGATCCAAAGTCTGAGGAGAAGGACGGGGAGAACGACAATGACACTGATAGGCGGGATAGCGTCTGGCTGGGAGGCGCCAAGGCCAAAACATACAAGGACACACGAAACGGTTTGGTTGGGGAAGCTTTCAGTACCAAGTTTGCTGGATTCCTCGCTCTGGGCACTCTGAGCGCTCGAGAGGCTGGATGGAGAGTAGGAGAGCTGTTGCAAAGGGTCGGTAAGGATGCCAAAGTGAGAGGAAACGTGTACTGTGGGTATCTCTTATCCTTCCGCGGCGCTTTAAGTGCTGATAACTGGTAGGGATTCTCTTCGAGCTTCTCTGGCGAGACTATTTCCAATTCACCACCCTACGATACAACCACAAACCGTCATCCCTGTTTGACATTGATGGATTCGCAGCGTCTATGCAAGACTCTCATGAACACGAACGACCAGATCCAAATGACTGGCATAAACCAAACTGGGACGATCCAAATGATCCTGCTCGAAGGTGGTGTGAGGGCAAGACGGGCGTACCGTTCATCGATGCGCCGATGATCGAGCTGAGGGAGACCGGATACATGAGCAATAGGAGCCGACAGAACGTCGCGAGCTTCCTCACTAAGGACCTGTGAGTGTCTCAAAGGGACTCGGGCATGGGAGCTGAGTCAGTCAGGTACGTCGATTGGCGGATAGGGGCGGAGTTCTTCGAAATGCATCTGATAGACTACGATACTTGTTCAAAGTGAGTCAAACGTCAGTGCTGCTGTCAACGCTGATTAATGTTTTCCGTAGTTGGGGGAACTGGTGAGCCCGTTGAATTGCATCTATCGTACAGCTGACATGCTTTGTACCACATCAAGGCAATACCAAGGTCAGGCGGGAATCGAATCACTTTAAGTCTGCGATTCTGCTGACACTGCCTATCCAGCTGGCGTCGGTAACGACCCTCGAGCATCCCGTCAATTCAACCCCATCAAGCAGGCGCATGACTACGATGCAGATTCAGAATACGTCAAACTTTGGCTACCGCAGCTTGAAGGTCTCCCAGATGATATCATACAGACTCCATGGTGTGAGTTGGGCACGCTGCAAGCACAGAGAGGGTCGCTGATTCCCGACCCAGTGAGCAACAAACAAATCAAAGATTACCCCTCTAAACCGATCGTCGAGAATCCTCAATGGAAGAAGTTCTATCACAAGACGCCTGGGAAGCATAGCAAGAACAAAGGCAACGGTGGAAATGGCGGAAGGGGTGGTGGCGGTACTTACAGGGGAAGGAGTCGAGGGACCGGGACAGGCAGGTACGGAGAGGCGCACAGGGGTCCAAACCAGTGAGCTGAGGATTTTAGACACGTGCAGCAGCGAAGAAGCATTGAATGCATTGATTTTATTATGTCTTGAGTCACAATGTATGCCATGGTTACTTGCCAGACAAGAGTTTTTGCATATCTACCTTTTCCCCGTTTGACGTGAGCAATGCCTCAATGAGAGCGACGTCCCAAAGCATGTGTCTTGGGTTGCCCCTGCTCTCCTTTTCGTCGACTTGTTGCCCATCTTTGAGTGCAGCGATAGCCCGAGCAAAGTATGCACATTCTTCTCTGACTCCGACTCGCTTGCCTTCTTCCGTGAAAGGCTTGACGTTTGTCCCCTTCCCAGGCTGAACCTCTAGCTTCCAGTTGCCTGCGACCATCTGCAATCTGACAGTTCCATTGAGGCAATTGACGATGATGCCCTTGGGAGGCTTGGAGTCGAGATCGGCAATGGCGAACGAAAAGACGATCGTGCCCGTCGAAGATGATCGACCAATGCCTCCTGGAATTTCGTCCCGACCCCTGATACCTTTCAATTTGGATGCTGGACCGTGAGCTTCGGTCTCTGTTGAAGGAGATAGAGCGATGGCTTGGACGATATCGTGCGGTGGGATGTGGTTTCGATGGAGGTTGGCGCTCGAGATAATTTGTTCGGGAGGGTTAGGGAGCACCAGTCGAATTAGAGCGGCATCGTGGACTCCTCCATCGAGCAGGAAGCCTATAATTAGGGGTCAGTCTGTGTCAGAGGCGACGATAAACCCAGGAAATGGCCCGACTCCTCCTCCTCGCAATGCAGACGCTGATCTCTCTCGATCTGACACTCACCTCCCTGATAATCTGGGATTGTCCTCCATTCGGTTGCGTGATACATAGAAGCATCCTCAATGTAGCCGTGGGCTTCCATTGACCAGTATAACACGGGGCCAAGAGCGGGATCTCTGACCTTCTCAGCGGCCTTGTGTACCATTGGCTCGTGGTCAACATCTGGAAGACGGGAGATATCATCAGCGGGGTTGAAGGGAATACAATCAGGATCGCCATGCTCTCACCTTCTGCGACTCTCCAGATCAAACCTTTAGGCTTGTAAGTCTTCTCGTACTCGTCGACCAGCTCCCTCGCTGCGGCTACATCTGTCCCGATGGGCTTCTCACTGAGGACATGTTTTCCAGCTTTGAGACACTTGAACACCAAGTCCATTTGGGTGCGGATAGGCAAGACAAGCATGACACCCTGAATTTCCTTGTCGTTGAGAACCGTTTCGAGTCCGTCGTCCCCGAACGTAAGCCTTGGCGATACGCTGCCTCCTGATTTCTCTTTGGCGGCATCGACCAGCTTCTGGGCTGACGATTCGGATCTGGACCAGACAGTGTGGAGGTTGATGTGCTTGTTTTCGGGCGTCAAGAGATTGGGGAGGTAGGCGTGAAGGGCGAACAGGCCTGAGCCCAGAATCGCAATGTTCACGGTGGAGGTCATGGAAGATATTTCTCGGTCCAGAGCGGTTTTTGGGGGCTAGGATGATACGCAGGGATGAGATGAGGAAGAGAGCGATAGAGTTGGAATGGGTGGAGATGACATCCGAAAGGGTCACCTGAAGGTGGAGGTTTTCGGACATGCCGAATGACATTCAGCCGTCTATAGCCGGTACATGCATTCTGATGCTCACAAACAGACAACCGCTGTGAACGAGGAAGTGTAGGGAATCCGAAGCCTGTGAGGCACACCTGAGCAATAGCATGTGTCCTGGGTCTCGTACAGCTGGACTTCGTGATCAGGCGATGTATCTTGTACAGAGCACTATAAATGAGTTCGAGCATGACTCGTCCCGCATCAACACTTCCCAGTTACAACATGAAGCAAGTGATACCCCCGCCTGCTACTCTCGAAAAAATGAATTTCGCCTCCTCAATGAGCCCTCTGAGTGAGCCAGGCAAGAACAATATCAAGATTGTGTTTCGTCTTGTTACTGGTCGAATAACACTGAGGGACAGGGAAGTCAGGAGCAGATCTGTATGGGTACTCAGGCAGACAGTAGACTCACAGACACTGCCCTGCCTCTTATCTCGCTCAATCTCATCTCCTTTATAAGAGCATCTACACTGATGGCTTCTGGCAAGTCGTTCTTATTGGCCAAGACCAATAATGGAACGGTAGCGAGGGCGGGAAGGGCGATGAGAGCGTGGAGCTCGGACGTGGCGGTAGGTATGGATTTGGACTGAGGTTGGGTCAGCGAGCCTCGAGAGAGATGGAGTGTGTAGATAATGAAGTGAAGACGAGGAGCCTTTTGGCGGGTGGACTGCGGAGAGAGTATACGACAAATGATCGAAAGGAAAGCAGTCTGGGCTGGTGGTCGCCCCGAGCACTCCGAGGATTTTGAAGCATGTTTTGGCAGTATATCCGGCACTCACATCAGCTGCATCAACGACGTATCTGCTCAACGTCAGTGCTCAGGGTCCCAAAAACGCTCACAGTCCCGGCCTCACTCACATGATCGCATCTGCGCCTCTGCAATACCGGTCCCACATCCCTCTGAACTTTGGCTGACCCTAAGATCCCGGTGATGAGTGATGCTGGCCACAGAAGGCTCGTTGTACCCGATACCACTCACAGCTACATCCCACACTTTCATCGTAACATTCCCTTTCCTCACTGTCCTCATGTTGAACGCCACGGTCGGAACGACATCTTCTGACCATTGATCCGAACCGAGGACGTTGACTAGGCTGAAGGGGAGGCATCAATATCGCGCGATCTCTTCGCGAAAGCGTTCTCTGTAAGCTTACGATGTCTTGCCACTTGCCTGGTAGATCGTCAGTATACCCTTCCTCCCAAGGCCGAACTCGCTCGGAGACTCACCTGCAAGCCGACGATTGTGACTTCTAAATGCTTTGCGAAGAACAATGACCGGAGCCAATTGAGAAGCCCTGAAAAGAGGTACGCCATGATGTGACCGTGCGAGATGTATCTATGTCCCTGTGATTCGAGCTCGAGAACCTGTGCTTGTCGTCTGTGATGCCCCACTCTTATTATACCTGTTGATTGAACGATTTGTCCAGTGTAGATTGAGAGACTGTGGTCGCCTGCGCCGCCGCCTTTGGCGTCATCGAGCACTGAGAAATTTGATTCCGTCCCCGGATCCGGGCACCCGACAATGTCACGAAATGCTGAGCAGATTGAGGCCATTATTATTGTCCACATACTACATGTTGACGGGGCGAGCTTGATGCTGAAAGACCGAGACAGACAAGCACTGACAAGATGATGCTGTCTCGGTTCGTCTGTCCGAGACAGCCTCTCGCTCGGTCCGTGCTGCTGCGCGCTCGGTCGTACTCAGATCGACCTGGAAAATTCAACATTCTCTTTTGTGGAACAGACGATTTTTCAGTAGCGTCGTTGAAAGCTGTTCTGGCGGAGAAGGGTGGGTGTTTCGATTTAAATCCGTTAGAATACAATGTAGGATGTCGCTGACTTGGCCGGCGACCGACCCTCTCAGACCTCTGGAACCAAGTTCACATCGTGACTCCGCCAGAACAGAAGCATGGTAGACGAGGCTCGCAAATCTTCGTCCGTGAGTTGCGGAATCAAGCGAGGGATGTCAGACCAAGACTGAGGCTCTCACAGCACCATTGATGACGTTCGCCAAAGAGAACGGCCTCCCATCGTCTATCTACACGAAACCTGAAACCTCTCAGAATACCGACCTGTCCCGCGGTAAATTGCGCGGATTTACTCTCCGTCAAGACTTGTTGAACAGTAAGAAATCCAGCGGGTCTTTTCTCCGTCAAGACCGGTTGAACAGTAATACATCCAGTCCATCATCATTCTCAGAGCCAGAAGCAGAGCCAACTGAATCTTCATCACCCTCAGCATCCCCAAGCACATCGGAATATTTCTCCGCCCTGCCTTCATGGTGCCTATCTCCTCATGCCAACAACCTCATCATCACCTCTTCGTTCGGGCACATCCTACCCGACAGTTTCCTTCGACCATTCCCTACAAAACATCGCCTGAATGTCCATCCATCCCTCTTACCGAAATACAGAGGAGCCGCACCAATCCAATGGGCAATCGCGAACGGCGATAGGGAGACTGGTGTCACGGTGCAATCATTAGCGGAAAGGATGCAGGGTGTAGATACGGGCGAGATCCTTGGTCAGGTCAAAGACATTGTGAGTCATTTGACTGCCAGGCTGAGCAAGCAGGATCACTGATACATCATCGTTCAGCCTATCGCGATGAATGCGAAGTATCAGGATATGTACGATACGTTGGCCGTAGAGGGTGGACGTGTTCTCGCCGACGTTTTGCGAGACATACATGAGAACAAGGTGGGTGAGAGACATAGCACAGGGTGCCAGAGCTTATTCGGCATAGGAAACGCGGATACCTCAGAGCGAGATTGACATCGAAGAGGATGGTCAGACACCGCCACGCTTCGCTCCAAAGGTCACGCCCGAAATGGCTCGCATCACTTGGCGATCGCAAAGCGCATTGACTATTGATAGGCTGCACCGAGGTATAGGTCACCAAGTGAGCTAGTGTGCAGAACAAACGGTCAAATCTGACAACTGTCTCTAGTTCCCTGTCTGGGGCTCGCATGAAGGTATTCGAATACAATTCTTGGACCCAGTTTGTATTCCCCTGGAATCCGTCCCGTTAGCCCTGCGGAAACATCCTCGACGACAAGATTACAATCCTGGAAAAGCATGGCTAGATCTTTCCCCATCGTCAAATGGATCTCGGATGATCATAGCGTGTGTTTCCCACGGGATCGATTTGTATACCAACCCGTGGATCACGACCAGAGCACAGGGAAACAGCTGGTTAGAAGTCCGTACTGTTAAACCCTCCGGTAGTCGAGTAATGAGCGTCAGAGACTTTTGGAACGGTCTAAAACAATGGGAGAGGACTCGAAACTCGATGAAGTTTAAGCACGTAAGTAACGTTAGAGATCCGTTCATCAGCATTCGAGATGTAAACGGGAGATTGCCGGATTTAAATGCGCCAATACCACAGGCGAAGGTGTCTACGCGTCTTCCCAGCGGGAAGTGGTATACTGGTGGTAGGATTCTTGAAGAAGAAAGGCATTTTGACAGGCGTGGCTGGTTAGCGTAGTGTAATCATAAGCATTGTACAATATCTAGAACTCATTCACCTTTTGCATCATTCATCGCGATCTGTCCCGGATGGATGATACAGGCGTTAACCGAATGCCGCTTCCGAAGATGGCAGGTCGATCTGAAAATTCCGGTACGTACCTGTGTTCTCTTCGTTGCCTGCAAGCGCGACGATGAGCTTTATCACGGCGGCAGCTGGGCCAAGTCGGGTTACGCGAGCTCACACTTTGGTGACATTTCGTAGAGCTTCTCATAGTGAGCTTCAGCACCCCTTTTGTCACACTATCATAGCCTCACACGCGACCCAGATCAGTCGGGACCCAAATTGGCGTTTGCGTTCGACATTGTAAGGCTGCACTCCGAACTGCGAGACAGAGTCTGACTGACTTTCCAGGATGGAGTCTTGAAGCAAGGTAGCCATGTCTTGCCGCAGGCCAAACGAGCTCTACAGCGACTCTCAGGCGTGGGACCGGAGATCTCAGAATCCGGCATGTGGGTCGCTGTCTTTGGAAATTCACCCTGATCAGCGCTGAAATGGGTTCAGCGTTCCGTTCCTGTTGATGACCAATGGTGGAGGCGTCACTGAGGCTCAAAGATTAGCTTCATTGTCTAAAGACTTTGAGATCGACGTGAGCTCTATTGATGATCCGGTCGGTCAAGTGGTCAAAAGCTGACAATGAAACAGCTCGCAGAGAATCAGTTGGTCCAATCTCACACTTCGCTACGGGACTATGTTGGAAAGTACAGGGACGAACCTGTACTGGTAATCGGCGGAGTGGGAGATGCCGGACGTAGGATTGCAGAATCGTGAGGCTCTCATCGGCAAACTGCCCAGACCGTCTCCAATGTTGATTGATACTGACTTTTGATCAGATACGGCCTACGGCAAGCTTATATCTTGCAAGACCTCGTGGCGTGGAGACAGTCCGTGTGGGATCGATACGTGCTGACGGATGAGGAGAAGAGTTTTGTCAAGGTGAAGAAAGCCTCTTAGTTTCTAAGATCCCTCTGCTGAGCAGCGAGCAGCGCGATATCGATTTCTCCAACGTGCCTCTTCAAGCGATTTTCGTCATTCATGACAATGGCCTCGACTGGGCTCTCGCCATACAGGTCATCACTGAGCTCCTGACGAGTGATCATGGGAGAATGGGCACTGAAAGATATCGAGATAAGGGAGTCTCTGACGGGAAGGAGATTCATCTGGTCCTCACAAACCCAGATATCATCTGGAGCAAGTGTGTCATCAAGGGGATGACCCCTCTGTCACCTACCGGGCTAATCGCTCCTTCAGTGAATACACTTTACCTCGCTTCGGTATGGGTGCCTTCAGGCTGGCACTCGAGGCGGTATATAAGGTTGACATACCTCTCACAGACACCCGGGACGGATCAGGCGCTGACATTCCCTCAGGATAAGACCGGCTGCCCTCTCCCATACGAGCAATTCGGAAAACCTCATACCGCCACATATGAATTCGCAGAAAAGATGCTCAGAAGGCATCTGGAGTCGCGCGGGGAGGACCCAGATCAGCCTCTCTCAGTGTAGGTCATCTGTCAAACTGCTTCATGGACATCGCTGAGAGCCACCACCCCGGTCTTGCAGCTACATGGTTGGTGATAACCCAGAATCAGGTATGGGGCCTCTCGAGTGGCACCTTCCTCGCTCGTGCTGAATAATGGTACAGATATAGCAGGAGCCAACGCCCATGGATGGTCATCGATGCTTGTGCGAACGGGAGTTTTCCGAGGCGGTCAACCCAAATATCAGCCCACTCAGATCGTAGATGATGTAGAGCAAGCTATAGACTGGGCGATTGAGCGAGAATCCAGCAGATGAAATATCTATCTACTTGTCAATTTAATGATTATTTTATCCCAAAAACGCCGACTGTCCGCCCGAAGGAACGGTTCCGAATTCTTTGAACGGAGGAGGCACAGCGAACAGCCAGCGACGATTATAGTCACTCCGTCAGCGTTGACCTGGGTGATCTTGAAGCTTGGTGCCGGTGGAATCTTTGGAGGAGCTGAAGTCAAGTGAATGCTGCTCGCACCATGTCCAACATTCCAAAACACCGTCAGCTTCCGGACAAGGAGAACAGACTGTTCAAGGAGTTGCTAGTAAGTCTGATGAGATGGTGATTTGACGTTTCGTCTGATTGATGCATCGTCCTTCAGACTCAGTACGAATACAAGCAATATAAGAAAGGCTTGAAAGCTGCAGACACTATATTGAAGAAGTTTCCTAATCATGGTGGTGCGTCATATGCACGGGTGCTCCAGCTCGATCACTGATCTTGTCCTCGCAGAAACCATTGCTTTGAAAGCATTGACGCTTCATTCCTCCTTGCCTTTCCCAATGACCGTAGCCGGTTTGACGAAACAGGAGGAGGCTGAATCTTTGGCTAGACTGGCGGTCAAGAAGGATATCACGAGTCATATCACCTGGCATGTGTTGGGTATACTGGCCAAGACGAGAAAGGACTGGGATGAGGCGACAAGGGCATTCGCAATGGCGAGGAAGCAGGACAGTGTGAGTGAACCAAGTTGAGGATGATGAGTGCCCAAGCTGACGGCCCCTTGTTCAGGAGAACATCCCCCTTATGCGGGATTCCATCGCTCTGTACCTTCACACTCGACAATTCTCTCAGGCCGTGGCAGCTAGACATCAGCATTTACTCCTTCGTCCAACTCTTAGATCCTCATGGACGAGCCTGATCATCGCTCATCATCTCAATGGCGACATGACTGAAGGGATCGAAGTGTACGATCAGTATCTCGGGATCGTGAAGAACGACGGAGCGACATCTTCCGAAAAGGCACAATTGTTGATGCACATCATTACCATGTGTATGGAAGCGGGTCAATGGGACGATGCACTCAGGCGGCTTGAGAACGGACTAAAGGACGGAGTCCTGAGCACGAGAGGCCAGGTTACTCAGCTGAAAGGTAGGGGCATGTGATATGCCCATGGAGCGTCTCTGCTGACTCGCTCGTTTTAGCCGAGATTCTCATGCAGCTTGGACGGGAGTCTGAGTCCGAGGATGTCTGGAGAGCATTGATCGAGCAGAATCCAGATAATCTGAGCTATTATGATGGGTTCCTACGCACGAAGGGATACGAAATCAGTCAGTCCAGCTTCAATCGAGATTCCCTTCTCTGACTTTTGCAAAATCAGGAAAATCTGTTACCCTCGACTCGACTAGCAAGATCGTTTCCCTACTCAACTCATTCGCAGAGAGCTACCCTAAAGCTTTGGCTCCCAGGCGGATGTGTCTCGATATTGCACGTGGAGACGAATTCCGTGATCTGGCCCGGGCGTATCTGGTCAACGGACTGGAGAAGGCCATCCCATCATTATTTGTCGATGTCAAGGGACTGTATGTCGATCTAGAGAGAATGAAGATTGTCGGAGAGATTGTGGAGGACCTCATACAGACATTGGAGAAAGACGCTGGACTCCACGATGACGGCAAGTGATTGTCTATTCTGGGGGAGGTCACCAACACTTACCGTTCGCTTTGATCAGATTCAAAAGCTCCACCCACTGCTTTGCTGTGGGCCTATTACTTCCTCGCTTTGCATCTCGCCCACCCAGCTCATCCAAACCCGTCCTATGATAGATCGTTGCAGCTATTATCAACTGCGTTGAAGCACACTCCCACACTACCTGAGATCTACATGGCCGAGGCGATGGTACGCAAGCGAGCGGGTGATATTTTGGGAGCAGCCAAAGCTATGGAAGAGGCTAGATTACTGGATGGGCAGGATAGATTCCTTAATTGCAAGGCTGCCAAGTATTGGTTGCGCGTTGGGGAGGTCGCCAAGGCTGAAGAGTTGACCGCAATGTTCACCAAGGTCAGTTGTGAAAGCCCTGGAGGTCCTGGAGTTGTTCGTTGACGTTTTCTTCGCGAGCAGAAAGACATCGCTACATCTCAAGATCTGACTGACTTGCAATGCCTCTGGTTCTTGCAGGAAGAGGGAGACAGCTACAGGGCGAATGGCAATTTGGGAATGGCCCTAAAGCGGTATCAATCTCTTGCGACGGTGAGCCCAATCGGATCGCCATGGTCATGTGTCTGACGGTCATCATTAGACATTCCAGGACTACGAGGATGATCAGTACGACTTCCATACCTATTGTCTGCGCCGCATGACTTTCTCAGCATATTACTCGTATGTCATGCCCGTGGGAACTTGCTCACGCAAATAGATTAATGAAGTACGAAGATCAACTCAGATCGCATCCTGCATATTTCAAAGCATCCCTAGCAGCCATCAACATTTACACTAGATTACATGATGACCCGAGTCTGAAGGAGGAGAAACTGAGTGAGTCTGGGGATGCCCTATCTGAGTTCCTCAGCTAATCGTGTACAGCTGCAGAGGAAGAGGCAGAGAGAAAGAAGGCGGCCAAAAAGGCTCAAAAGGCGGAGCAGAAGGCTCGTAAAGGTGAGCTTTCGCTGATGAGATAATTACACACGCTGACAGTGTCGCAGCGGCCGCAGCAACGGGGGAAGGCAAGAAGGAAGACCAGCCTGTTCCCGACGAAGATCCTCAGGGATCCAAGCTGCTGAAGACGGAGACACCGCTCGACGAGGCTTTGAAATTGTGGAAGCCGCTGGAACTGTTGGCCTCGAGTCGTATAGAGACTTGGACGACTGGATATCAGATATATATCAGGAAGAGTGAGAAGATATGGGTTGGAGAAGCTGCCGCAAGCTAATGTCTGATTCCTGGCAGAGCTGTACCTCGCTGCGTTCAAATGCCTTTTACAGGCGCACGACATCGATCCACGAGACCCTAATCTGCACTGGGAAATCATCCACTTCAAGCAGACTGGTGAGTCTGCCACCATTATTCGTGACGCTCGACCTGACCTTGTCCCCAGTATCTGCTGTTCCCGATCTAGCAGAGCCAGTCAAGATGACAACCGACCAACTCCTCCCGTCCCTGATTCCCTCCGACGCCGATCTCGCTGCATACAATGCCAATCTCCTGTCTCAGCATTCATCTTCCCCAGCTCATATCCTAGGCGCCGCTAAGGGACTCTCTGAACTCGATACCACTCGACCTATCCCTAGCTCTTCGCTACAGGCCATCGAGTCGACACTAAGTCGCTTGGCAGCGCACGATGTGCCTCCATCCGTCGCCATCATGTCATCTGCCTTGAAATTGATGAAAGAGCTCGGTGCGCCGATATCCTCGATTGATTCTCTGAGAGATACTTACAAATCTCGCGTTCCCCTCGCTTCGGTCTTTGAGAGTGACGAGGAGCTGAAGAGACGTCGAAGAGAGGCCCTGGAAGGAGAAGAGGTGGCCAACGGAGTCAAGCCTGATCTATGAGCTCGAGTGGGAGGCATGATCATTTGACCAATTAGCATCTGGACACCTTGCATTGGACATCTGTGGCATGCATTGTGCACATCAACTTGGCATTTATGCAAATGAGATATGCGGACGAAGTCTGATACAGGTTGATTCGACATCAAGAACCATGGGCATCACGTTGATTCTATTCTGAATCCACCCACTCGATAGATCCTGCAATGGCCACGGTCGACGGCAGTTTGCCGGGACTGGGTGACAAAACGGTGTACTTTTTCCTGAGGGTATCGATGGCCGTGCTGACGATACAGTATCAGCTTGATGCGTTGGCATTATACGACGGAACACCGAGATCAGCACTCACATGACGACGAACCCGAGCGTTTCGCGGTACCCGATCTCTTCAAGGTAAGGCACCTCGTCCTCGTCCTCTTCATCATCCTCGTCCCCGTCACCTTCACCCTCATGCTCCTTCTCCGCTAGAGCGGCCCCCGGGTCCCCAGAAATGTCTTTCGTCTGTCCCTGATCCTGAACGTCTGTCTCTGACTTGATTTCGGTATGTTCCTTCGCAGCCCCTTCATCCTGCGCCTTGTCTGCTGCTTCAGAAATCTCGGCTTCCACAGCCCCCTCTGCTGTCTCTTCGCTCGGACCTTCCACTTTCTCCACTTTCACTTGACCCGCTCCCTCAGGCTCGTCTTTGACCATTGTGGCGGTACCAAGACCCTTGTCCTTCTTCTTGATCCGATCTCCAGGTCGGATAGCTACAACGGCCAGAACGCAGTTCAAAAGCCTGGTGATCTGTGCTGGACCCGCAGGATCCACTCTTGTCAATCTTGTTGGCGACAGGATCCTACTGGAACCCAGTGGCAAGGCCGTGCTCGGGGCAGCATTTTCTGGGCAACGTCATCAATCATTTTACAGTGTCCTCTCGTCCAAACTCACCTTCGCCGACTCGGAGGATCGTCAGTGTCTCCCAGCCTATTTGAAAGCTGTATGGGATCAGATTGCCTTCTCTTGCTACCATTCGCCCGCTGAGGTTCTCAATCTCCTTGGGTAATGATGGCTCTCCGTAAAAGTAAGATCGGACCTGAGCAGCAGCGACGATTTGCCTATTTGCATCGTCCAAATCCACGGTCCCGCTTGATCTTGGCAGCCTTATGACGCGGACATTTGGAAACAAGCGAGTCAGGTCGATCGTCAACTTCTCATGACCGATGACTGCGATCGTATCGACTACAGTCTCGTTAGACCACCGAGGATTCCAACAACAAAATGAAGCAAAACTCACTCTCAAGCTGCTCAACAGCATCCGCTACTAGGCTGTACTTTGCCTTTGGATTATCCTTCCTGGTGCCAAGCAAGGCATTTGTGAAAGCGCTGGGGGTGTCCACGAAGAGACCCGATGCGAGGGCTACGGTCAAATGAGTAAGGTAATGCCTCGATTTGCAAAACATCATCGAGGAACTGACCCGTCGGATCTTTTGCGCATCTCTCTTTCCACCGCTCTCCTATTCCCGCCACGAGCTTTTTCCACAGGTCGACACCCTTGTTACTTGGCTCTGGATGACCATACCACCATCCGAGGGTTGGCACGTCTGCGCCTAGCGTGTTGGCGGGTACTGAGGTAGGCGGGGAGCCGAGAGGATGGGCTAGATGATGTGTCGGGATAGGATGAGAAGGTGTGGAGAGAGATAACGAGCCAGGTATGAGATTAGCAGGCTGCAGGAGGAATGATCAGGATTGAGAACGTTTGTCATTTAGATGCGCACTCACGCTAGAGGGATCTAACGAGATAACGCCAGGTGTCCAGCTCATTCCAGTGCCCAATGCCATGTTGACTAGATTCTTGACTACCGTCGTCTTGCCTGACGATGGAGGCCCAAGAATCATGATCGCAGGCCCCCGGCTAGGTCCATCATTTGGGGATTGATGGGAGGATGATGCATGACCATTGGATAGTTGCCGACGAGCAAGTATTCGTATCCGTTCAAGGGCTAGATGAAGGGCAACAAGGGAAGATTGAGAAGTCGAGCTGGATGAGTAATTGGATGCGGGAGGTGTCGAGACTGTGAACGCGGGAGCAAGAGCGAATTTGTCAGCAGAAGGCTTGAAATAATGCATAGACGTAGCAAGTCTACCTTGTAGTTTAGTCGGTTGAGCAGCATAGATGGATGCTTTGAGGTTCCGATGCAATGGATACCACGTCGTTGGAGGTATCTCTTCCGAATTGATGTATACTGAATCAGGGGATAAAGTCTGAAGTCAAGGTATAACCAGGTCAGTAGAGTAAGCGTGAATGGATGCACGGGTGAGATGGGTCGAAGCGTTGTGGATAATACCGATCACTAGCTAGTCGAAGGAACTTCCGAGTCAAGACATCCTACACTATTCCACCCCTTCCAGTCCCTCCCAACCCCCCCTCTATATCATGATCAGAAACTCACTCGAACTGCAATGTTTTCGTCCGCTTCCAGCTCAAATCTCCACTCGGATTCAGCCTCCAAGTCAACCACATGCTGCTCAGGAGACTCTGACATGGCTCGTCCGCAGCGCTTGGCCTGCTTGCGCTCGAGTGCTGCAGACACGCAGTAGAAGATGGGCGTGGAGAAGCCCAAAGAAAGAGTTGTTCTAACGATCCAGGAGAGTGTTTTGCTTGCGTAATCATTTGATCGGCGATTTCTCCGGAGCCCCACAAGAAATGTATCGTGTTGTTGCCCAAAAATCGTACTGGTTACTGCTGTACGTTCTCAATACACGCATGCTCTGAGTGGATCTTGTCGAGCAGGCATCGTACACCACCTTCTTCCTCATCTTGTAGACTTCCAGTAGCTCACAATTATCTTCAAATCTCAGATTAACGATTATCCCGAGCGCCCAGATTTCCAAACGGTATGCCCGGTATGGACGGTCCCTCGCCTTCCCCAAGTACAATGCCTCCACCGGCTTCTGGGGGAAGCAAAAGGCCACGAAACTCCAATGTCGCAACATCTGGAGCTGGGCCTTCGCGTGTCAAGAGGAGAAAGGCTGAAGGCGCGAATGATACGGACTCAGTAACGGACGGTCGGACCCGCCCGGCGAATAGTGGATCTGGGCCGAGTAAAGGGAAGGAGGACGAGTGGGATGGAGAGCCCGGAGAGATCGTGACTAAGGTAAGACCAACGATTTCTCACCTATCGATAGCTGATGTCGTGTTAGATCGACTTTAACAACCTGCCTGTGGAAACATTATACAAATATCTCCAAGCTCATGATCTGTTACCAAGATTCGAGCCCTCTCCTTGGTCAGAAGAACCTTGCATTCCTCGTGAGTGACACCGCGTCCCACGGGAGATTGCGACTGACAATGATCAATCAGCCAACTCGCTGTACTCCGCTGCTCCTCTGGCAGCCGCTCAGGGCGAAGGATCCCCTTCGAAAGAGCGGCCGAGCTCTCCTACGCCCTCCGTGAAGCTCGCCACGGCCGAGGCGACGCCGGCTCCCGGTTCTGATCAGGTCGAACCTGGTCAGGGCACCAATGGTCCAGATCCATTACCTCCTCCTGAAGGTTTAGGAACAGCCGACGGACAAGCTGAAGAGGGTAATGTAGAGCCAACCGATGAAAACATGGATGAGAACGTTCCGGCACCTCCCACTACTCGATCTAAAACACTTCCCATGCGTAGACCACCTACACCCCCGCCAAGGTCCCCATCTCCGGTGGATGTAAAACGAGGAGTCATCACTTTGTCGGATGTGGAGGCTGCACGTGCCGTCCTGGCCGAGAAAGCCAACGCTCACTGGATAAAGGGTCTTGGCGGTGGACAAAACAAGGAAGGGGAAACCATCGTCAACTTTCTGTATAAATTAAAAGCTGGACCTAGTGAGTGTATGACTCCTGGCACAAGACATTGTTGACCAGAATAGCCCGTCTGCTGAGAGTCTACAATCCTTGGCCAGCAACATGAAAGCTGGCTCTCGTAACAAGCTATCCACTTTACGATCTGCCAGTCGAGACGGCATCGGTCTGCATAGGGGGATCATACGGGGGAGATGAATTCTTGTGGCTCATTTCAGGAATCCACGGTCGTTCTTGGACACTAAGGTACCCGGGTTTGCTGCTCATGAGCTCCGATTTTATCTAATCTGAGCGGTGATTGAGCTAAGGATTTCCGTCGTCGAGCCAGTCTGATTAGGGACGAACTCGGTCCGGCCTCCAAGTTTTTGAGTGACCCATTGATATTCGCTCTCCGTTGGTAGCTCGAATTGACCGAAAGCGGCCGTTCCTCCGCCGGCGGTCTCCTTCAGAGCTGTCCATTTTACCTCCGGCGCATCAATTCGGAAAGGATGTAGCCGCACCGGGTCCCCGCTCGCTGTGAGTGCTTGACCCAAGTCATCAATCGATTTCTTGCAGAACCGCCATCCATTCGTGCCTTCCTGGCTGCAACCAGATTGGCACGATTTCAAAATTGTGGCACAGATCGAACTGAATCCCTTCACATCGGCATCCGTATCATTGTGTTGACCACGAACCGGGAAGACATAGAAGTCATGCCCGGTTCGTCTGTTCACGTCCGCTGACAGGACGCCATAGCAGAGTGTGTTAGGATCATCTTTACGAAGTTGGTCCGTTGCGATATCGTTTGCGTGCCCTACCGAGACGAGCCTTGGAGCAAGGCGAACCGTACTCGTACTCGTGCCACGTCTGATCGTGACTTCGTCCTCACTATAGATGAAATCATTGATGTGCTCACCAGCGTACTTGATCGCCAATTGCGAAGTCTGTCGGTTAATCTCTTCTTTCCGTCCACTGCACCATTCTTCGAGTTCCTTGAGCTGCTGCCCACTGAGGTGCCTGCAGTCATCCAACTCGGGATTTAAATCGCAAACGTTCGTACCTCGAGCTGTGGAGCCATATTCTACCAAGATGGTGAGGTGTTCAGGGGGCAGAGGGCTGGTGTGTGTAGCGATACTCATGTTGAATAGCAAGTGTTGAGCGATGGCTTTACGAGCACTTTGTACCGAAGGTGACCTTATATGATGACTGACGATGGCCTTCCCGCCTTCATGGACGACGCCAACTCCGTGGGCCAGTGTCCTTTGTCAGTCAGCGAAACTCCCACGGCCAAAGAAGCGGTTACCCAAGGCCATTCACTTCCTTTCATTGGGATACGCAGCGACACTGCCCACTACCAGAAGTGCGTCCGACGTCACACAATGGGCCCACGCAAGCTGACATGAGATAGGGCGTCAGCTCCGTTATGTTAACGGAAGGCGCTGTCGATCCTAGATGCACTCCCTTCACATGGCTCAGTACCACTCGCAAGTGCTGCATGCATCTTGCGGTTCAGACCTATCCAGGCTTTCAACCTTTGTCATCTGACGGATGCCACGAGTTATCAAAGGTAATGATCTGAGACCAGGAGCTCAGTATTGTGCCCGCCGCCATCCCAGCCCAGAAGTCTTACAGGGGACACGGTGGGATTTCGGGCTTCTCTGCAGAGGCAGAGCTCAGGTAGCCAGCTTGGGGGCTTGGATAGCTCCGACGCGCGACTCCCTCCTTTCTTGCGAAGTGGGAACCGAGACCAGACAGACTGCTGAGCCATGAGCATGTCATCAACATTTCACTCTGTCTACACAGGTTTCCTGCCATCCAGCGGTATCCCCCTTTGGCGAGCTGTCTTTCCTCCGTTGCGACTACACGTGAGACACGTTACAGCTCTCGTGGCCCTCAGCTGAACATGATGGGATCGGCACAATATCGAGGTGCCACAAAACTGAATCCTGAACCCGATTAAATCCGATGACCTTGTTTTGGCTAGCATTTGCTCCGTTGCCTTCTACCTCCATCCATGAGCGTGAGGTTGTCAGATAGGAGCCGGCATCGACATGCCTGCTCTGTCACCTTCCAAGAGCAATGCGCCGTTCTCGGATAGGTTTCCATTCGACATTGAGAAACGCATTCTATTTCACGCCTTGGCACTTCCTCCTTTCTATCCGTCGAAAGAAGTCACCGATGCCGAGTTCACTACCCTGGCATTGGCCGCTCAGACTGGACGTGCAAGGAAAGCCGGTAGGATCAAGGCTAGGCTGGAGACCCAACGTGCTGCACTGAGCTGCATGACTGTATGCAAGGCTTGGAAGGCGAGTTGTGATCGTATCATTGGCTAATGACCGATTTCAGGGTGAAGCGACCAAATACCTTTATATTGAGCCATACTTGACGTCTGACAACCTGTATGCGTTTTCTCGAACTCTGCGGCGAGGGGACAAACGATGGTCAGATATCAACATTCACCCCGCCTCGACGCCGGGAAGATGGGTCAGGACACTGGACTTGACGTGCCTGCATCAAGGGGAAGCCACGCTACATTCCACCATTCTCGCCAAGAGTTGCGCCACCGTCTTCCCTCTGATACCAAATCTTCAGCATCTCAGTCTTCCTGCTGGTCTTTCCGCTTCAACATTGCACGACATCTCAGAGGCGGCCTTCGCCTCAAAACTTGTCTCGTTGTTGGGACTCGAGGTCGACTACGAATGGCAACAGGATCCCGAAGGTCGTCCAACATCATCTGCCTCAGAGCTGCTGCTATCTATGCCGAATCTTGAGCTGCTCGGGCTGTGTGGACCAGGCAACATTCTGGCGGAAGCACAGCCCTTGGATGTCGGGAATCTCATTCCACATCTATCACTGCGCAGGCTGCACACTTTACTCCTGCAGGGCGTGTTGACCGGTCCGGTGCTGGCTTCGTTGATCGAAACGGATTTGCCATCTCTAACCCGACTCCACATCACATCATTCTGGCAGTATCCCTCCGATCTCACTGAAACGTTCCAACAGACCCACGGAAGTTCTGTCAAATGCTTGTCATACATGCCTATACGTCAAACAGAGAGGCCATCAACGTCGCCTGAACCAACATTCGTGTGGCACCCAAATGTAACCCATATAGGTTTCGCTACAGCTTGTTGCGAGATCCTAACCCAAGGTCCACAAACAGGTCTGTCCCACCTGAGATTGTCGAAACCTGGTCCGGCGGGGAACGAGACTGGAGATACCGAAGCGGTTCTTGCGTGCCTGTCAAAGGCGAAATCCCATGGGATATCCCTCATCACCATGGATGGCCTCCGATGGGTCAAGCTCAACCTTGGCGAGAAGGCCATGTCGACGGGATATTCTGGGCAGATGCGCGTATGGGCGGAGAAGCTAAGAGCAGTGGGTATCACGATGCTCGATATGGACGGTCGGTCATACCCCTCCACGTTCATTGCTGGCGTGGGCCATGGATTGGGCCCCTTCAGAGATGGAAGTCGTCGGAGGCGACCAAGCGAAGGACAAGGTACTCGAGTCCGACCGGAGAAGTTGTACGAGGACGGAGCCTAGTGAAGGGGAGATGCTGCCCTAGTATCGTCGGAATATCATTTGTTGTCGGCTTGAAATCTTGTTTATCGCGTTGTATCCCAATGTATTCAAAAACTCCGCTCACATGCTTTTACCAGCTCAAACAAGATCGACCGAGTCGGGGAACCAGCCAAATCTTGCGAAATTCACTCGCTCGCCATTCGTGCCCCTCATGCGTTCCACTTCCACCCCATCTTCCTCCAGTGCAGCTTTCTGCCGCGCGACAGCTTGACCCTCATCGCCACGGGGAGAAATCTGACCAGTCGAGGATATGACACGCTGTACAGAAATCGATGACTCAGACGGAATCTCACGGCTCGTAGACGATCACTCACAAACCATGGGACGGTGCTGCCCGCGGGCAGATCTCTCAGTGCATTGCCAACGTGTCTGGAATATCGCGGGTAACCAGCCAGTTTTGCAATATGACCTGGAGGAGAATATGAGGCCAGGCCAGGTCTCGATCGAGGAGATGCGTATTTACTCACCATAAGATGTGACATGACCCGGGGGAATCATCCTCACTATCTCGTAAGTTTTTGCGTGTAGATCTGCGATGCTACCCATGTCCAGTAGTGCTGCTCAAAGAGTATCCGTAGGAATGTCCTTGGGAACTACCATACTCTGTTAGAGCCCGGAGAATGCCACAAACTCCGTCCCCGATACATGCGGGTCCCCACATACTCGCCACCTTGTTTCAAGTCTAACCCGTTAAGCTCGACTTGTATACTTGTGCAGTTCGAGCTTAGCATACTCATGCATGGAACGCAATATCAGCGGCGAGTGGACGAGACTGCCTCTATTGACATAGTGAGCCGATCGTCGTCGTGACTGTCGACGGATGGCAATCTGACCAGCTCCTACCGTCTGCCTTGAAATTTCCCGCGCTCGGTCTGCTGACACTTGACCATTCAGAATATCAAAGCTCAAGACCCGAGGTCTGCCGTCACGTGGAACGTATCTCGGCTCTCAGAGCCTCTACTCCTACTCCACCTCCATACTTGTACTCCCCTGCATCCCCGACATGGAATGGTGACAACCGCTTGGTGGATTCGACTGGGAACGAGGCTGCTAAGAAACGCCTGTGGTCAGAGACTCCCAACCGCGAGAGATAAGGCGTTATGGAGAGGGAAGAGGAGGGCCCGTCACGTCGGCTCGTGAGGAAGACTGACATCAGCGTTGACGGTGTCGAAAACAACGATGACCGGCCTGAGGGCATGGCTCTCGCCGAGAGTGCTGGGTTGCGAGACCTATCAGTCGTTCCGACCCTGTTTCCCGCCCAAATCGCAAACCTGATCACTACTCTCGCTACATCCGCCCGATTGTCTTTACGACTCTCTGCCTTCTTTATCGAGGCCATCCTTGAGACGTCGCAGATGTCCACTCGATTATCTCTTGGGTATACACGCCGTTTACTAGTGACTGCCATATCATCCGCTCGAAGAGTCTATCTCATGTCAAATGCGGCGTTCGACGGCGACCTGCTCGGTGTACTTGGATTCGGGGATGATAAAGCCGTCTCTCCAACCACCACCGACACTTTCCTGCAAGTCCTCGATAAGTATACCAATCTCGGGATTTATATCATCCACCATACTTTCACCCTGGCCGAACTATTTGCCATGTCAGGATTTTACCTCACCGCCAATGCTGTTCAATCAGCTCACTTTGCCGCACAAGAATCTGTAGCCTTGTTCGATAGTCTCTTTGGGTCTAACGAATCTTCGCGAGCTCTGTCCTCCATTATCACCCTCGTCAGGACAGAGTTGCTGGAAGACGAGCGCTTCAAAGCCAAGGAGAAGGGCAAAATTGCGAGTCTCACCGCTCTCACGAAGGCTTTGACAGCATTTGCTTGTCTTCAATCTGCAACTTGGAAACGTACCGAGGCAAAGCTCAAGACCAAAGTGTAAGCTGCTCCTTCGTATGTAAGGCTGATCCTACGGCAGTCTGTATGATTGCACTGTCGCGGAAAACAGTGTTCAGCGAACCCATGACCGACAAACAAGCCCAAAGCTGGAAGTGACACGCCCAAATTTTAGTCCGGCCTCATCAAGCTCGAGCTCAGGCTCGGCCATGGAGGAAGTTGACCGACAGCTGGATGTCCCAGTCGCGGAAGCCAAGGCTCGTATCTTTGAAGACGATGAGAACGCTCGATTGCTTCACGCTGGTGGAACGATTGAGATTACCGATGAGTATTCGGAGTCCACCACAGTGACCCACACGTTCACCGTCAAGGATCTCGAAGCGATGGGAGTAACAATTGGCAATAGCCACAAGAGGGCGCGAAGCTCTCCCGCTACTTCTTCGCCTTGTCCAACCGGCATCAAGACGATAGAGAGCGCAGAGGATGACGATGATGAATGGGTCGATTTTCTTCGCGATGCTCAGCTGGAGGGAAGTGGTATCCCGTCCGTACCGAACGAGTCTAGTTCAACGGGGACCCGGGCGTACCGGGATACTCTTGAACATTCATCAGCCAGTTCTGAGAGGATTCAATTCGTCCTGAAGACGATGACAAGTAAACTCCTCTCTCGGAAAAGGAATATGCGAACAGAGCCAGGCAGCAATATACAAGGTTCTCCAGCTGGCCGACAACACCGACCGAGTGTTACGTCCATTGCTTGGTCGCCACAGTCGACGTTGCCAGAATCGAGCTCTAGCAGTATACATACGCGGAGTAGTGAGAGCACACCGGGTACACTGTTGGACTCATCATCTCAAGCTGGAGCCGAGCTCGCGACTCCAGTCAAGAGGATAATGTCGAGAGCAAAGTCAGCTTTCCGTCCCTTAAACAGTCGCAAGCGAGTATCAAGACCCAGCAGTCCCGTGGATCCAGAAAGGGAGGTGGAGCTTTCACACAGACGCCGGAGTGAAGACTTCGCCCACACTCGATCTCTTGCCAGTCCAACGGATCTGCCAAGCTCATTACCCCCTAGTTCCAGTCGCAATGACCCATTCAATAGATTGAAAGGCGCAAGAGACTCCAAAAAGGTTGTGAAGGAATCTGTGGAATCCGTCTCGAATCGAACGCAGACTGCAGTATCAAGTAGGACTCCTCGACAAGCATCCGCCAGAGACCCTGGACAGGTCTCTCTTCATGACCAGCTGTATCGAAATCTACATCGGTACATGCGGTTCGCTAGTGCCGCATACGGGGTGCGTCTATCGTGATTAACCCAAAGGCATGCTAAACCTCGCTCTACAGCAAAACTTCTTGCGGATCTTTGGAATGGGAGATGCCGAATACAACTTTCCTACTACCGGACAGCATCACGCCAATAGCTGGTCTTTTGTGGGTGACAACGATTCAGGTCAAGGCGATGCTCACGATCTTAACTCAGGCCCAGCACACAAAAATCCCCATCGACAGCCTTTTGTTATCCTCCTACGCTGAGACGACTCCTCTGAGTAGTCAAAAGGCTCCCCCTCTAATCCACTACGTGGCAGTTGATCACGAGCGTAAAGCCGTGGTTTTGTGAGCCATGGCGCAGGATGTTGAGCGATATTGACTCTCATCAGAACTTGTCGTGGCACGCTGGGCCTATCAGATGTCCTGATAGACCTCACGTGCGATTATTGTCCGATCAAAGTCAGTGGTGCGGATACTCACGGGGAATATTATGTCCACTCGGGCATGTATCAGTCCGCGCTTGGTCTCACCGCTCGGGGCAGCAGGGTCCATCAAGTCTTGGTCCAGGCATTAGAGCAGAATCCCACCTACGGTCTCGTCTTGACCGGACATTCTCTAGGTGGCGGCGTTGCTGCGCTCCTGGCCATAGCATGTGCTACACCAGCAGCCGAGTACGTCGCCTCCACCTCGACTCAATCCAGTGGACATGCAGAAATTACAACTCCTTTCGTGACCTCTGCGGAGTCTGGCTTGCCTGCTGGTCGACCGATACAATGTTATGCGTTTGGAACTCCTGCGGTCGCTTCGCTGGACTTGGCGAAGTGGGCTCGAGGCTTGATCGTCTCGGTCGTGCATGGCTCCGATGTTGTACCGACGCTGAGTCTAGGTGTCTTGCGGGATCTCAAGAATGTGGCATTAACACTCTTCGAGGAAGGACTAGTAGCTGAGGAGATTGTCGGTCGGGTGAGGATGAAAGCATCAAGTTGAAAGACTTCGACTGATTGTGACCAATCAGGTGATCGGGGTGTACCAGCGGAAGTTTGCGTTCCAGCGCGATGAGACTGGTGTCGTCTCTCTCCCCGCCAGCAACGACCAAGCCTTGTCAGACTGGACCATGTCGTTGATCAAGACCATGAGAGCGGATATGGATAATGATAAGCTTTATCCGCCGGGCAACGTGTACCTCATAGTGCGTTTACATCGTCGGGGCTCCGGCTCACTACAACTCAGGAGTATTTCGATGTTTGTCAGACGATCCATGAGCGCTCGACTGATACGTCGACCGGTCAGAGCGTCTCCGAGAGGAAGGCCCGAAGAGTCGTGAGCTGATTACGAAAGACGTCGGGGTTGACACTGGCCAGATTTTGCGACATTGTGAATCAGTACAAGAGCGATTCAGAGAACGTCAGTACCTTGTTCTATAATGGTCACGAGCTGATTACTCTGTAGCCTTATTCACGAAGACCATGTTGAACGATCATCTGCCATTGCATTACGAAAGATCGACACAGCTTCTGGCTGATGGCTTGAAAAATACAAAGTAGTTTATGACCGACCTGTCTTCAAAGATCGAGCATAGTATAGACCTGCGAAGCGTTGTATGGTTGATAAGCTCGCTGACGAGTATTATAATGCATGTATAGCTTGTCTGACTGTACTTCTCAATGGTTCCCTGCGTTGTAAGACCCATTTGTACCATACGGGGCCTCAGCTTGTCTCTGCCGACGCAGTCTCTCAGGCAGGGGCAAGAGTTCTCCGGACTCCGAGATGATGCCGACTGGGTCCATCTCTGCGATGACCGCTTGGTTCGCCGGATTATTCTTCATGAGATTCCTCACAGCGAAGAGAGCGTGCTCTCGAAGATCTGTGTCTGTCAGCGAGGCCGAATGCATCCAATGCGGATACCTACATGGGTTGGACTCATCGACTTCTGTCATTGACAATAGCAGCTGGACTCCTTCGTACTGCCTAACTTGATTGCCAACAGTTGTGTCATCGAAAGAGAGAATACCGATGAGGCGAGCGAGGTTGCGTTTGATATTAGAGACTGGTCGAAGCTCGTCTGGCAGTGATGCAGCTGTTTGTGCCTGAGCTGGCTTGACTCGTGGCAGAAAACTGTCCAACTGTCGCAGAAGATCTGCGCGGGAGCCGGGCGTGAGACACTACGGTCAAGACTGCGCGCACTCACTGATCAGCGAGCCGATGACACCTTGCTCGCTATCCTTCATCTGTATGACAATAGCATCTACCGCCGCTATGGGAGCCTCGTTGCTGTCTTTTCGTTCTTGCGATTTTAGACCCACACTGCTCAGCGCCTCTGCGACCAATATCAGTCCTTCAAAGACTTTGGGCAGTCGCGCGTCATCTTGGCCAGATTGCATAGAGATTAATGCGTACCGAGCCAAGTCTCTGAAAGATCTGACGAGGAATGTGAGGGATGTTTGAGGCGATGGATTCGTAAAGAGAAAAGCTGACCGAGAGGCTAGATCAGCATCGATCAACTTCAGCAGCGTCCCTTGGGACGGAGTCATCGGCTCTGTGGTGTCTGACAACAAGTCGTAGAGCTGCCCAGTCGAGTCATTCCGCAGAAAATGGGCAAAGATACTGTTACCAAGGGCGAATCGAGAGTCCTCCATATCGTGCCAAGCGTCCATGCGTCCCAAAATCTTGGAGAGCCATGATCGACCCTCCAATGTCAATACTTTCTCCTGTCGACCACGAGAATTTCGGAGCAAGTTGTCCAACATGCGCAAAGTTGATTCGATGACTTTGGTATCCTGAGAATCGAGCAGTCGGACGACATTGTCGTCCTCCCGAGCTCCTGAGAGGTACGTAGAAAGTGATTTGTTGGTGAAGTCGTTGGACTGATCATTGGCTGATATGGGTGATATGAGATTGGAGAGCAGTTGAGCCATGATTGCTTGTAGGGTGAAAAATCGCGAATCTTCAATCCTGGTGAAGGTCGTGATGTTGAAGATGATTCTCCGTACGCATGGCTCGTGGTTAAGTGCCTGATATTGATGATCTTGAATACCAGCAATAAGATTTCTCTCAAACTTCGCGAGGGCAGTGGCGAGCTGGATGCCTGCAAGCTCGACGGCGGGGTCATCGTTGGCTCTAGGAGCTAAGCCGCGCTCTATGACCGTCCAAAAGTGCCCGAGACGGGTCCAGAAGTCGTCCACCTCTGCGCTCAGGGTATCTGCTGCTTCTCGCCTTTGATCCAGATTGAGAGCCAACCATCTCGCCTGTCCATCCAAAACGGCAGACACAGAGTGACACCTGTCTTCAGATCCAATCACATCCTCTGGAGAGGTTTCCAGAGCCCTCTTCAGTGCCTCAGCGTCCATGACCAGGCATGTTGTCTTTGTGCTGATAGAGCAGCCATAGATCGACCAGCCCGGCCGGCTTTCGTTGATCTTTTTCGGAACTCCATTACGGCATTAGTGACGGAACACGAGCGAGAATAAACGTTTGCTATCTCTACGTTCGTATCGAGCACTTACGGCCATGAATTGAAGCGACCGCCTTGTGTATAGTCCACATTCATTGAAAGACCATACGACCTGTTGGAGTCCGAAAGTACATCTCAAAATGAATCCTCCCAAATCTCCATCTGGGTCACGGTTCCAAGTGGACCGACGTCCACCATCACCTTCAGGATTGCGGTTCCAATCCACTGACGAACCGAAAGGGCCAGTGGTGGTACTTGGAGTCTGCGCCATGGACATCAAGGCGAGGAGTAAAGCAATGCGGGAGATCTTGACACGGCTTGTGGAGCTAGAAGCTGGCGGCGTGGACGTCAAGATCTTCGGAGACCCGGTTATATTGGAAGAAGGTGAATACATTGCAGAGTATTAAGGGATGGTACCTCTAATACCAATTAGACATCAACCACTGGCCACCGGTAGATGTTCTCATCTCCTTCTTCTCGACAGACTTCCCACTTCCCAAGGCATTAGCTTACACGCAACTTCCCAATCGTACACCTCCGATATCCATCAATTCTCTTGCAATGCAGTCTCTTTTATGGGATAGACGGTTGGTGCTGGCTATCTTGGATCACATAGGAGTGCCAACACCCAAACGGGCTGAAGTATCACGGGATGGTGGGCCGCATGTTGATGAGTCGCTCCGCATGCGAGTTAGGACAGATCTGGGCTTGGTATTGCCCGGACAGACTGCCAGAGACGAACATGGCTGGGCAGATGTAGTGATCCCTGAACGATGGAAAGGCAAGATGAAGAAAGACCCTGTACCTCGAGGCAAAGAGGTCATCTTAAGGGATGACGGAGATGCCATCATCATCGACGGGCACGTGATTGAGAAACCTTTTGTTGAGAAACCAGTCGATGGAGAGGACCACAATGTGTACATTTACTACAGGGGAGGCGGTGGTCGTCGCCTATTCAGAAAGGTGGGCATTCTCGGTCAGATGGCTAGGGTCGGGCTGACAGCTGGTAAGGTCGGCAACAAGTCAAGCGAGTACGATCCAGGACTTGTTCATCCCCGAACTATAGGATCATACATCTACGAAGAATTTATCAATGTGGACAATGGTGCGTGAAGCTCCCACTTCCATAGATCTAAGTCTATCGCAGCCGAGGACATCAAAGTCTACACCGTCGGACCCAATTTCTCGCACGCTGAGACGAGAAAGTCACCCACAGTCGACGGACTCGTCCGCCGCAATGCCGACGGGAAAGAGACGAGGTTTATCACGAAACTCAGTAACGAAGAGACAAGTTACGCCAGGGACGTGGTCGATGCCTTTGGGCAGAGAGTATGTGGATTTGATCTGTTACGATGTCAGGACGGGACGCGGAGCATGGTCATCGATGTCAATGGATGGAGCTTCGTCAAGGGCAATCAGGTGAGTCGGAGCCAGCTCACATGGCGACAGCTAATATCATTGGTAGGCATATTATGACAAGGCGGCGGAGATTCTTTCGCAGGTCTGCCAGGTCGCTCGGGAGCGCAAATTAACGGCTCTTAAACCTGGTGCTTCGGTTTTGCCTCTTCCTGATGCATCCGCCATCGGGTCCATATATAGTACTCTGCGGGCAACGGTCACAGGTATGTGTCTACCTCCGGTGGCTTGAGCTGTGTTTTGATCTTTCACAGTGCTACGACACGCCGATCGGACGCCGAAGATGAAGATCAAGGTCAGAAAAACTGGACTACAATGCTCCAGGTATAAAGCTCACAGAAGTTGCAGTTCTCTTTCCCGGCTTCCGAGCCTTGGGCACGACCATTCTTGTGTCTGTTGCGTGGCCATCGAGAGGAGATCATCCTAAGAGACCCTCGTCAACTCCAATTTATCCTTGCTGCAGCAGAGGAGTCGTCCAAATTGCCAGGCGTCACTCCTGAGATTCTGACAAAGCTGGCCCAGCTCAAGGAGGCTCTGCAAAAGAAGATCGATTTGCCTGGTACAAAGGCGCAGCTTAAACCCAGCTTTGAGAAGAAGAAGGGCGCAAAGACCCATGATGATGAGCCGAAGAAGGAGAAAAAGAAGAAGGCTGCGGGCTCCGACGACGAGGACGAGTTGACGGAAACGGAGAGGAGTCAAAAGGTGGAGAACTGGCTCCGAGGCGGACCTCCACAGCCAAAGACATTGGACCGTGGCGATGGGTTCTCCACTCTGGGGGGCACGTCCACATCACCCGGCAGTACAATCGATCTTGGCGATGACAAGCCCAGGACGCCGGCTGGAAATGAGGCGATGTATGCTTCCCATATCCCAGAGGGGTTGGAGAAAATGCAGCTTGTTGTCAAATGGGGAGGAGAAAGCACGCACTCATCGCGTTATCAAGCTAGAGATCTTGGAGATGCTTTCAAGAAGGTAAGTAGTGTGCCTACGAGATGATCCTCGCTGATCAAGGTACCTCAGGACATTATGATCATGAGTGAGCTTGCGGGAGTGGGTCTCCTGCCACTGGCCCTGACCATCTATCCCAGACAAAGACGTCTTGAACAATGTCAAAATCTATACCTCATCAGAAAGACGAGTCATTGTGGGTCGCAGATGAGACTGGAAGTCGTACTGAGCATGACTTAACAGAATACTGCCCAAATATTTGCACACGCGCTGCTTGGCGTAGAGGGTGGAAGCTCTACAGCTTCCAATTCATCTCAATATGCCGGATCGCCATCTTTACACCCTACAGCTATCGTCAATGGCGGAACCGCTGCGTCCCCTCCAAGCATCGCTGGACTGCCTCCAACTTCAAATCTACTCGTCCCTGATCCTTGTCCCTCTATTAGCCACCTGATTGTGCGCAGAGATCTGCTGGACGACAACAATGCTGGCAAGGAGAAGATGAACGAGGCTAAGAAACAACTCAAGGTATTACTGCGTCCGGGGGAGAGTGAAAGGCGTCCTGATCTCGCCTGGCCAAAATCTTTCAAGCGAGAGCCAGTGCAGGTTGTCACGGTGAGAGAAAGGTCCAGATCCGCAAATTGCTCTGCTAATGACTATCTTGCAGGAGGTGATAGAGCAACTGACCGAGCTTCGGGCGATAATGCGAAGAAATTACGAGAACGGAAACGTCGACAAAATCCCGCAGACCAGATGGTGCTCTGGTGACAGTCCCTGGCTGTTTAGAGAACGATGGGAGAAGATCTTTGAGGACTGGGTCGGAGTCAAGCAAGAAAAATTCGACCCTTCCCGCGTCTCCGAGCTATACGACAGCGTAGGTGGACTGTTTTGTACCTATGACTCACTGCGCGTAGATGAAATACGATGCTCTGCATAACAGGGCCTTCTTCTTCGCAGTCTTTGACCCCAGGGGCGTTGGACTCGGCTCAAAGCCTGGCGTTGAATCGGCTGATAGACGTGAGGGAAATCCTGACCATCATCATACAATGCTGAATTGCGCAGGGCTGCACGACTTGTACGGCTTGGCCAAGGCTCTGTTCGACTTGGTCGGCCCCCAAGAGTATGGATACGACGCCCAAGCAAAGGAGGAGATTGCTGTTCTGACCAGCTTGCCGCTTCTGCGGAAAGTTTGGGGCGATCTGAACGAAGCAATGACGACGGGCAAGTCGCTTGCATGCTTCTATTTCACGTGAGTCTCTGAGGAAGCAGGCGCAGAGGTCTGACGACTTGTTGCAGCAAAGAGTCACACATCACTACCTTTGTGAACCTGCTGCTCGCTTCTGGACTTCCCCTTGGACCTGTTCGAATACCCGAGCTTGATTATTGCTCCCACTGCACCATTGAATTGTGGGAAAAGTCCGCCATGGGTGGCCACAAGGACTTTTCCGTCCGGCTCTCGATAAGCGAAGGCGCTCATTCACCTGCTGTTTTGGATTCTAGTGTCGATGCGGTAAGCAATGCCCCAAAATGGGATGCGAACCCAACTGATCTCCGGGTTGTAGCGACACAGTCTGACAGTCCAGCCGAGAAAGAAGCTCAGTTCGCATGTAGAGTATGAGTTAGCCAGGCAATGCTTTTCCAAACACTTTGACAAAGGCCTGTCCTTCTCGACGACCCCGTTAGAGGTGAGCTGATATATGTTTGGTTATATGATAGCTGAATTTTGCTTCAGGGCGATGCTGTCTATCTCAAAAAGGCGGTCCAGGATGAGTCTGTCCTGCCGCTGAACCTGAATCGTACTGGCGAGGAGACACCCCGACTAGCGAGTTCTGCGGGAAGTGAAAGAGGTCATTCGCAGCATCCTAGTGGGCACAGTGATAGTGGATGGTAGTCCTAGTCAGCTCAAAAAGCTCACGCGGCATGCTTCATGCTTAATGTAGCAGATGACTTCTTCATGACGTGTTGCTCCGTAATTCCCGGGAATTGAAAAGACCGGAAATGACGGAATCGAGGTGGACTACACCATCGAATTGTCTTGAATTGCGTGAGCTCTTCGACATCTACCTCAGTGTGTATACTTTCCGCGTCTCCCGACTCCCGTGTGTTCGTATCATTGTCATCATGCCAGTCATCTCCAAGGGAAATCTCGTTCTCGTTACCGGTGCTAGTGGATTTGTCGGATCGTGAGTGTGCGAGCGATCTTCCAAACGGTGCCGATTCCAGTCGGGTCGGTCCCTGTGATTCTACTTTGGAAGCATTGTTCTTCGGGCGATTAGCTTTTAAATGCTGTTCTATAGCCTTTGACATAGGACCCTTTCTCTGCTGACGCCGGCATCTCAGCCACGTTTCCCAGCACTTCCTGAAAGGGGGGTTCAAGGTTCGCGGCACCGTTCGATCAGAATCTAAGGGTGAATACCTGAAGAAGTTATTCAAGAACGACGGAGACTTTGACTATGTCATTGTGGACGACATTGCCAAGGTGTGTATCGCATCAGGCCACGAATCAGCTTGGCTCACAGCTTTACCCCAGGATGGAGCCTTCGACGAGGCAGTCAAGGGAGTTGATGCTGTTGCACACACTGCCAGTCCATTCTACGTTACCAACATTAAATCTACGGATGAACTCATTCAGCCAGCTTTGCACGGTACGACTGGGATTTTGAAGTCTATCCAGAAGAATAAGTACGTTCACAATCTGCTCTCTGTTGAGCTACGCTAAAAATGCAAGTATAGCCCCGATGTCAAGCGAGTGGTTGTCACCTCAAGTGTCAGTGCTATCATGTGTGTTGCGAGCAAGAAAGCGCCCTACACGTGAGTATCACATAAAGACATTGAGCCTGCGCTCATTCATGCTCTTTGCCGATAGATACACCGAGAAGGACTGGAACGTAGACAGTGTCGGCATCGTCGAGGAGAAAGGTGTTGACGCTCCGGGATTGCACATCTACAACGCTTCTAAGACCCTTGCCGAGCGCAGTCTTTGGGGTGCGTTGAGTCTCTGAGCAAATCAAAGGCAAAAAGAACGATACTGATCTCATTGTAGACTTTGTGGAGAAGAACAAGCCCAATTGGGAGGCCGTCACCATTAACCCACCGGTCATTTTCGGTGAAATCATTCACGAGTGTCCCACTCCAGAGAAGCTCAACACCTCTGTCGGTAAGTGCCTAGAAGTATGAGACATCGTCAAAGCATCTGAATCCGTGCACTAGCCCGAGTCTATGAGTGGGCAGCCGGAAAGAAGACAGAAAAGGATCTCCCAGCGGCAGGCGGAAATTGGGTCGACGTCCACAATGGTGTGTCCTTTGGAAAAGAATGAAGCGCTGACCAGGAACAGTCGCTGAGGGACATGTCTTGGCCCTCACGAAGCCTGACGCCGCTGGTGAGAGGTTCATTGTCGGTAATGGCCCCTTCGCGGGCCAGGACATTTGTGATGTGAGTCGCGTTTGACAGCCTCTGCGGCACGTCATCTCATATCTTAAACGATAGGTCATTCACAAACGATTCCCCGACCTCAAAGACGTTCCAGTCGGCAAGCCAGGAACACACGACGAGATCACCAAAGATGCAAATGTCTTCGATGGTTCCAAGGCACACAAGGAGCTCGGCATTCAGTATGTGTCTTTGGAGGACAGTGTCTACCAGACCGTGAAGAGCGTCAGAGAGCGCTTCCATTTCTAGGCGGGCGATAGTCTACAATGAAACGTCAAATAATGAAACTCGACGCATGGACAGATTTGCGCCGCTGATCCAGACTTACCATGCGATGCGCGACACTCAACGTGATCTACATTCTGCATTCATCAGAGTCACGTTAGTGATAATTTTCAGCTTCCGGGAGAGATCCATTACTCGCGTCCGGACTGCTAAGGGATTTGGACTCGCCACGCCTCCCCGCTGGACGAGGCCTTCTGCAATGACTCCTGAAACATGCTTGTGGACGCATCCTTTGACCCATGGACCTCCACTTCCCTGCTTTGCCATCGCCTAGGGCAGTGGAAGTTCAGGAAGCCTCAATCGGGATATCTTCTTGTGATGCTGAAACGCTTTTCATCTCGGTGACCTTTGTTGTCGAGTGCAAGAATCCACACGATGGAGGCGAGCCAGAAAACGTGAAGGATGGCAGGGTGTAATAACGGGGCCAATCCCTCTTCCTTCAAAACCAATACCCGCAACTTTCTCCTCCCTCACTTCCACAATCGCTTTGCGCTTCTCGAATTCGGACCAAATAACCCAAGGACGAATCTACCGTCCAAATGCAGGATCCACGAGCCACGTCCGATGGGACTCTACCAAATGCTGCTATTGCGGAATGGCGTTTCAAAATGTCTGAGTCAGTAGCTGTGACTGACATGGACATTCAGACGGACATCCCGGCTACTTTGAGTTTCTGGGACAATGCTCAGACGAAGCAAAAGGTGTGTAAGCTGCACAGCTTCTCCGATTACAAGAAGCCTTGGTTCAAGCAGTTCCCCAAAACCAATGGCGAGAAAGGCTCGGCTACCACCCTTTCTCCGTGTCTAGGAAGCGGGGAAGGGCTTAGTGTTGAGTCCATCGTGGATCTCTCCAAGGGCTTCAAGAATGACGGCACCCTCGTGTCGTTCAGCCAGCATCCCACCACTACTGATGCGGTCACCCCAACAGAAAATTGCCTGACGTTTACCTTACAACCGACGGGAAAATCTAACACAGTGATCACTCTCAAGGATCTCAAGGATCTACAGAAGGGATTCACGAACACCGCTGGGTATCGAAAAAAACAATCGATCTGGGATAACTGCAAATCCACCCGGCTGGCTGCAATTCGACTCCAGGGTGCACAGACTGCCAGATCAGTCTTTGTGTCTGACCATCGGTGCTGCAGCGTGCCTCTTGAGGGATACGACTTGATTTTTTGCAACAGAGGGCTTACCATCGCAGAGCTTCTCAGTGGACCATGGTTCGACACGAATGCTACACAAGGTCAACGAGTGTCTACCGCTAGAAAGCGCTCCAATCGACACCGTCGATGAGCAGACGGATACTGAACAAGGCTCAATCGTAGTTGGCCACTTGCAGGGATCCCAAGGAGTCTAGATGCCCTACGCCATCCGCCGCTCAATATTCAATGAGATTCCTTTTCACCATCCATATATAAGAAACATATGCATGAAAGTACATGCGAAGCTATCAGTGTCCTGCGTCATGAGCTGCTCCACTAATTTGTAAGGCCAAATGCTAATAGCAAGCGCAAGGGCTCTGGCCTTGTAGCCTTGTAGCTCAGAGGGTCTTGCAGCATACCGAGAACGATCACCTAAAATGTGCCACTTTCGACTGACCCATTTTGCTTATTTTGCTTCCGCCTCATGAACACCAGAGGAGGGGGTTCTTCGTTCGATAACATACTACGTTGGACACCGTACGCAAAGATGGTGTCTCTAATCAGGACCCTCAGGAATTTCAGGAGAGCAGGTGTAAGAGAATGGTGGAAGCAGATGTGGTAAGTTGACGGTTATTGCTCTCGTGTCCTGCAGGGCTCTAGTCCGGATCTTAAAGTAGAGATGGAGAGAGCTGGCGTCCTCTAGACAGCCTTCTTCGATGGAGGCCTCTCTGGTGCAGCCGGAATCAGCGATTCTATCCCTGCAACGGAAGGGAGCTCGAGATCACCAGACTAACTTTGGACTTCAGGAGCATTGGTGATGCCAAATACGGTAGATTAGTTGGATCTGATCAATTCGGTAATCGATTCTACGAAAACCTTGATGCGTCTCAAGAGATACCAGGTGGGTCTCACGTCGAATGACATCCAAGGGCACGACTGCGTCTATCGCGACTCTGTTCTGTATTGCCGCGATGCCATGTGATGATCTCGTTGATACTGAGTCCTTTCAGGACGTCATCGATGGGTCGACTTTAAACAATCCGTCGAGAATGCTTCGCAGATTCCACCCGAATGGCATTCATGGTTGAATCATATTCGCAAAGACCCGCCGACCGAGGATCCTATCGTTCAAGCTTCTACTCCACCTTGGAAGACGGTGAGTCGGGTCGACATGGGTGTTTTTTCTTCCTTCTTCAACAAGAGCTGATGGACCTTTGATCAGGAATATCATGAAAACTTGACCGGAACTCGAGGAAGATATATCACTTATTCTACAACGGCTCCCAAGACCCAAGCTTGGCAACCTCAGGTCAGACCACGAGGACAAGCCAAGCGAGAAGCTTAAGTGCAAGGAAATGGAAATGGAACATGTCTCATGCATGGTGTAGGATTATGTGTTCAAGGCAGGGCCGATGCCGAAGCGTTTTGGTTCTCTTTTTCTGCGACTGACATGGCGTGCGATACATGACGCGATGAACGGCCTTCATCGTGACCGAGGAGAACGGGCCAAAAATGAAACGACTCGGCGTGCTTCCGCATCAACTGATCACACACGATACTCTGCGCTCTATGTTCTATGTTCTATGCGGCTCAGTAACTCCTACGACGACGGTCCCCAATTACTACCCAGATTCGCACTCCCCCTGCGGTTCTCAGTCTGAGCAATTGACCTTCGTTCTCCGTCTTCTTTCATGCTTCCTTCTCTAGACATGGCGAAGCTCCCAGCCAACCCGCCATTGCTATCGTCTTGTCCATCGCTGATTCGGAAGCCGTTCATGTCGGCATCCAAATCCTCTCGATCTTGCTGATTCATCTTACGCATGGCAGCTTCTCCGAGTTCCGCAAAAGATGCACCGCACATGCACTTTTTGGATGTAGAGGGCGCTGAGAACGGTGCGTCGATGTCGATCTCAGACGCAGACAGGTCGTCGTTGCTGGTGTCTGGGTCATTGAATCATCAGCAAAGGAAGAAACTTGGGCTGGAACGACCACTTACAAGTTGGAAGGCTCAAAGCTGCCACTGTACAGGTACACTGAGGACGCATCAGCATCAGAGTGACGACGTTCATATGTGCATGTTTCTGCTTACCGATGGCACCATCACGGGCATTCTGTACGACATCATACGTAGCTCTCCGGGACCTTTGATGGGCATACCTGCCACGCTCTCCCCTTGTATGGAGTAGAAAACTTGGATCGCGAGTTCGTGCTTGACTCTTATGGGTGTGATGGTACTGCGAGGTCGGGCTGATCAGGCTTCGCACTCGATGAAAGGGACTATCTGCTCACCCATAGTACGTTGACGGTCTGACTTTCTCATGGTTTGGTACACGCACGACTGCTCGATTGCGCCAGCCAAGGGTAGCGGGGATCGTGGCACTGTTCGGTCCCGCGGTCGAGCTGGAGGCTGTAGCTCCAGCAGGACCGTCTCCTGTCACTTCGGGTCCCCGCCACAGAGCTTCGACAGTATGAGGTGGGCATCTCTCGCCTCCCTTGTGAGGTCTGCCGATTTGATACAGGACAAAGTTTCTTGCAGGCTCAGCTATGAAAGGCTCGTCGTTGGGAGTGCGCGGTGAGATGACGGTATATGATTGGTTCAAGAGGAGACGAAGGAAGAAAATGGTCGCTTTAGGTGATGGAGAGGGAATAGTAATGGAAAACAGCATGACGGCGGAGACGGAGAACTAACCGACGTGAGTGTAAGGGATTGGAGCTTATGACGTTGAACCTACCGAATCAGAGGTTATGCCAATCCGCCAGCTGCCCAAGCCGTGGACGAATCCCTCCTTCCGAACATCAAGAACGGTCACACCGTCCACGTTGTTCGGATTCGCGTGGACGGCGACAGCTCGGCTGGACTGCAAATCCCCCTTGAGCCATCCCTGCTTTTCAGACTTTTGTCCCGAGTCGCTCCCTGCGAATGACAAGATGGATCGAGTATCCCCTCTCGAGGTCGTCCGTTGGATATCGGAGGATTGGGAACGATGATAGAGTCCCGTCAGAGACGGAGACCCGTCTCCCATGGCGATGGCGGAACCTTCTGACACGGACGCATCCTCAAAGTACTCAGTCGACGCCGGAGACAGGGATTGAAGCACACCCCGAGGGGAGGCGAGTCTAGGTGGTGTTCCAGATCCAGATATGGAGTTACCTCGTGAACGATTTTGCGAAGCAGATCCTCGCCTAGACCTGGGGTCTTGCTGTTGCTCCATGGCCAATTTATCCGATCTGGCAATAACGGCCTCGAAATCCTCTTTGAATGGAATATCATCTTTGATCGTTGGTGGTTCTGAACCGCGACGGAAGATGGAGCCGAAATGTGAGGTCGCTCCTATGCCCTCCACCCGAGCAGTGAGCATGTACGAGATACGTGCGTTCTCATGATAATCTGTGGTTGCCAGCGTGGCTGGCAGGAGAAGTGTAAAAGTGAACCTGGGACGCGTCAATCGCTCTCGGCGTCTGGCTGACCTACGTCTGGGAGCCCTTCTCCAACCATATACCTTCTGCGTCACCTCCGAGCACTTCGACTCCACGCTCAAAAATTCCGTCCTCTTCCCATCCTCGAGCCGGACCCATCCATAATTTACAGACGCTTTGGATACCAATACTGATCGCTTGACACCTCTTACGGTCTTTCATGATGACTTCCAGGCTTCCACTGAGAACGGTATCCTCCCTAGGTGGCTCTGTCGCTTGACTTCCCGCTTCCAAAGGATGCAACTCGAGCATTTGAGGTGGTCTGACAAAGACGACGCCCCATGCAGGAATATGTATTTTCAACGTACCAGCCGAGCTGACACCTGATGGAGAGGATGATCGGAGGTATATTGGAGGAGGAACTTTAGGGGTCGTGTCAGGCGAGAACATTGAATTGCTCGGAGACGGTGCTCTGTCGAGAGAAGAATGAGCGTATGATGGAGGAGTATGAATACCAGACGATGAGGATGATCTTTGCATCAATGGGGGCGGAGCCCTTTCAGCTGTTGGATGAGGGATAGATGCTCGGGTACGTCCCCGAGATGTTGAAGGACTTGGGGAGGGTGACCTTGAGAAACGCGGCGTCGGGAAAGATGCCCGACGAGGTGTCGGAGCCGAGAGTTGGTGAACGATGGAATTGGATGTACTGGTTGGCGAGTCATGTGAAGTGGATGAAGAGTCAGGATCAGGACCGCGCTCTCTAGGTTCTTCTGACGGCGCAAGGTTGAGTAGTCCCAAAATGGATGATGACGAATTGTCGTCGGAAGTCTGTCGGTGGTTCATGCTTGAAGATGTCTCTCCCGGCTCTTTGACTTGAAGGAGAATCTCGGTCGTTCAGGGCAGGAACCACAATGTGTATGTGTGTACAGCCCCGGTATCGGCTGGATAGAGTTTTGTCACGGAATCTGTCGTGTGCCTTGTGTCCCCCGTAATTATCTCCACAATTCCAAAGGGGAATCGATACAAGCTACCACGGGGCTAGCCTAGGGCCAAGCACCCAGCCCGTCTATATTTGGATGCCAATGTACCTTATCGCGTGACGAGACCGAGAAAGAGGGCGAGTGAGTCCAATGTATCGCTTTACTGCCACCACGGATCTGTCACGATTCAAGTCGATGCTGTGGGGCCAAGCTTCGAGTGTATCCGAGATCCCCAAACGGATGTCTTCCTCCTCTGATGCTATGCTGAGCACGAAATAGAACCTCTCTCACACGCTTTCGTCAGCGATGGTATGTGATTTGCAGTGGAACAGTATTCCGAGAGGCGGACTTTTACGGGTCAACCGGGTAGTTCTGCCCGGCGTATTTCCGTAGCGGAGGCAAGGGGGGCTATTTCGAGCCACCAGAGGGTGATCTGAGAGAGAGCAGGCCAGGTCGAGAGAAGGTGTGGAGGGATGCTGGTCTAGAACAAGACGGTATCGAGTGGGACACGTCTGCGTCTCTCTCTGTCTCCTTTTTGGGGGCGGTTGATTTTTTTAAACTCGAAATGAGCTTCGGGTCCGACAATGAAAGTCAAATGCAGCGGACTCATTCGCCAGCCAATCTATATCTATATCTCCGCGATAGACTTGGCAATGCTAGATACAGATCGCTCAGATACTCTACCGGTCTACTCAGATAGCAGCTTTGACAGCAGCGTCCATCTCCTCCTTGAGCTTCTTCCTCTCTTCCGCAACGGGATCATCCACATCCGCAATGACATCTTCTTCTATCCATTTGTACTCTGTGTTGGGGAATTTGACTTTGGCAGCAGCTGCTTGATCAACGAACCAGAAGACTAGACCGGGACTATCCCAAGACGACGAAGTAAGTTTCAAGTCCAGTGTATTCAGGGGGGGGGATCGGACTCACGATGCCGGTCTAACTCTCGAGCAAGGAAGGCCCTCCTCAGGGGTATCCAGGATCTGAGACAGCATGTCCTGCTTGCCTTCTCCCGTGGCCACAAAGGCGCAACGTTGGGCATGGTTCAAGACGGGATAGCTGATGACATTTTAGCAATGTACACTTGGCCATGCTCCACTCACGTAAAGGTGATGCGCCTACTGGGAGGCTTGGGTGAGTCCAAGACCTCTGCCACCCATCTGTCACCCTCTGACAAGACCTCGTGATTGGGGAAAAGGGAGCACGTATGTCCATCAGGTCCCATACCCAGTAAAATGAGGTCAAACGTCGGATATCGAGCCGTGTTGGCACCCGCAAAAGTCGCCACTAACTGCTTTTCGTAATCGTCTGCAATGTCCACAGCCTCATTCTCGCTCTTATCCTTGTCACTGGGTTCCGCAGTAGGATCCGTACGAGTCGAGTCAAGGAAGAGTTCGGTGTTGATGGTGTGGATTTGTTCCCTCTTGATAGGGACCCCTTCGAGGAATGCCTTGGAACAAGCCAGGTAATTTGAATCGGGATGATCCAAGGGAACGATACGTTCATCCGCAAAGAATACCTGCCATTTGCTCCATTCGATTCCTTCCAGCGAAGTTAAAGGTTTGAGATTGTTAGGCAAGGAGCCTCCAGAGAGCGCGATAGTGAATTGACCCCTTTTGGCAATGGCGTCGGTCTGTGCCTTCAGGATGAAGTTGGCGAGGGAGGATTGCAGTTGAGAGGGGTCAGTGAACGTGTACAGGACAGGCGGAGCGGCTGAGGATGGCATGATGTCGTGCTGGGTCGAGCTGAAATCAAAGCTGCCGCTGGTGGTACTGGTGGTGGTGTTGGTGTCAAAGAAAGATCTCGAAACTAGTGGCTGACGAGATCCAGGTTGGATGCGGCCTGCGTCACTGATGTACGAGGGCTTGGCTTGGCTGATCTGGCGGTGATGTGGGAGGGTTGAGAGATGACAAGGTTGCAGAGTCTGCTAAACAGGAAGACTGTCCTCTATTGGTCGTCTGATAAGTTGTGGATGTACAAGTCTCAACGCCCGCCTCTCTCCTCTGCTCTGCTCTCCCTTTCGCCAAAATGTTCGAGCAAAGGGTCGGCCATTTTTGATATTGTTGCATTAGGAAACTCGCCCGAACAGTCAACCCGTCAGTTACGTCATCTTTCCACTCTAGGTCCAAAAAAGGGTATCATACACGCTTAGGCTGTAGCTACTACCGCACTCGACAGAAGAAGCGAAGAGAGAGAGAGAGAGAGAGAGTGGGCGGTGGAGAGCAGCAGCAGCGAGATAGTTGTTCATACAGCGACCCCAGCTGGGATTCAGTGTGCTCTTCATGTGAGCCACGTATAGCTAGCCGCTGTGGGGTCTCGTCAGGAGCACGTGACCAGCCAGAAAGTGCCACATTCAGCCATAACCCCGAGATGTCCGGTGTTGGCGATGCACGGTGGCCCCATTTGATTCCGCTTTTGATTCCTTGGTGCTGCGTGGCTTCCCCTGCTTTTTCCATTTGTCGGTCGGTTCCCCTCGTAGGTCCATTTTTATTTTGGATGGATGATATAGACCAGCACGCGTCCGAGGCAATACAGGATTTAAGTGGGTGACGAGAGAGTCACTCCAGTCGTCCTCTTGCTCTAGTTCTTAGGGAATCCGGCCCCAAAGTCTCAGCGCTCGCCGTCGGTTGCTGGCGAAACCTTCATCATGTCCACACCGCGTATATCCTTTCGGGTGCCAACGCCTTCTTCTTCTGCTGATGCCAACGAAGATGTGGCTTCTGGATCAGGTGTCATCACTCAGGATATAGCGACCGCTCCAGGGAAAGATAGAGAGAGGGATCCAGTCTATGGAGGAGAATTGACAAATCTTGGACCAGGAGAGGAAGGAAGTATGGCCGTAGATGGATCAGGACCAGGTGAGCACTGTCAGCAGTGAATGTATCCTTTATTTTAAACCACTGTTTTCAGCACCTGGCTCTGAGCCCGTTCAGATACCTCCGAAAGCACCCTCGATAGATCCGCCGCCGACCATCCCTGGAGGATCTTCCACTCCAGCAGCGACCGGTGCCGCAGAACCATCTCAAGCTGACCTTCACGCGCTCGCTACGACCTACCTCGCTTCTCAGACTCATCCATTGGTCATTCCATCCTATTCATCATGGTTCAGCATGTCAACCATTCACCCGATAGAACGAAGGAGTTTACCCGAATTCTTCAGTCATCGAAACAGGAGTAAAACACCGGCCATCTATAAGGATTACAGGGATTTCATGATCAACACCTACCGCTTGAATCCTGGCGAATACTTGACAGTCACGGCTTGCAGGCGTAATCTGGCGGGAGATGTGGGAGCTATCATGAGAGTCCATGCGTTCCTTGAACAGTGGGGATTGATAAATTATCAGGTGGGTCAAATCTTGAGTGATGGGCGAGAGTCATTACTCACAACTCGCGCAAAAGGTCGATCCCGATAGTCGTCCAGCTGCACTAGGACCACCCTTCACTGGCCATTTCCGAGTCACTCTGGACACGCCTCGAGGTTTGTCAAATCTGGTTCACCCCGGGAGCAAACCTGGCAGTGGATCTCTCGCTGCGACTGCTCAAGCCAATGGCATCTCTCCCCATCCGACCAATCTTGATCTCCGCAAGTCCATCTATCACTCGAGTTCCAAGTCAACTCGACCAGTCTCCACAGAAGAAGCGACAAAGATTGCCGACTCTGCGGCTGCGTCGACCAATGGGGAAGCTGCCAAGCCTTTGTCCTTCTCATGCGAGACGTGCGGAACTGACTGTACTCGAATGCGATACCATTCGCTGAAAGATGGAGAGTACACTGTTTGTCCATCTTGTTTCGTCTCGGGTCGGTTTCCCAGCTCAATGTACTCTGGGGATTTCGTCCGATTGGAAGAGGACATTTTCAAGCATGCTTCCTCGGGTGCCGGATCCGAATGGACGGATCAGGAGCTACTACTTCTCCTCGAAGCGATCGAGATGTACGATGACGACTGGTCAAAAGTGTCTTTACACGTCGGGACGAGGTCAAAAGAGCAGTGTATCGCCAAATTCCTTCAGATACCTATCGAGGATCAATATCTTACCGCGGACAAGGCGGCGGATCTCGGACCGCTCAGGTATCAGGCTGGCATCAATGGCGTCCCCTTTGAAAGTGCCGAGAATCCCGTCATGTCAGTGGTGACTTTCCTGGCCAACGCCGTCGGACCCGCCGTCGCGGCGGCCGCAGCCCAGAGTGCTCTGGGTGAATTGGCAAATGTAGGACTGAAGCGTAAACGAGTCAACAAATCAGATGGAGAGATCAAAGCAGAGAAGGACGGTTTGGAGGAGAATGGTACAAATGGAGATGAAGCCGGCGTCGAGGCCATCCAAGTGGATGGGGAGGATGAGGACGATCAAGATCGAGTGGGTGGTGTGGAAAATGGCGATGGTGGACACGTGAATGGCGACTCGCAAACAGAAGTCCCGACTCGAGCGTCCGTCGAACGAGCCGCTTCGATTGCTCTGGGCGCAGCGGCTGCCAAAGCGGCAGCTTTGGCCCGACACGAAGATGCAAGGTTGACACAACTAGTCAACCGTCTCGTGGCTGCTCAGGTGAAGAAGATTGAATTGAAATTGTCAATGTTTGAACGGATGGAGGAAATGTTAGAAGAGGAGAAACGAAAGGTCGAGCTGAGTCGACAAGATTTGTTCAAGCAAAAAGTAGACCTTCAAAGACAATTGAACGTTGTGGAAGGTCTGGTGAAGAGAGCAAAAGAGCAAGCTGCAGCTGCGACGACTACGACCCCAGCGCCAGCGCCTGGAGAGTCTGGTGGATCCTCATCGCAACCTGTTGCTGAGACAGAGGTCAAAGCCGTCAAGGATGCTCTTGGAGGTAGCTTTGCCGATCAAGCTATGCAGGTGGACGGGGCCACAGCGCCATCACGGACGGAAGAAGGATACGGACTCGCTCAGATATAGCTGGGACCCTAGCGGCAGCCAAAGCGAGCGAGATCTGCCGAAAAGAGATCAAAACGTTGGTGCTCTGTGTATATAGACTGTTATGTACGAGTACCGTCGGTCACTTTATGCATGAAGTCGAGACGAGATGCTGTAAGGGCAAATCCCGAACTTCAGGACCGCTCCATTGAGCACTATAATTCATCTCGCGCCATGGCTTGTTCGCCCATCGCAGTCACAGAGGCTATCGGTGTCGCTATAAATTCCGAGACTTTTGATACGCTTGACGCTGCATCGCTTAACAGCGTTGTGCTCCTAAGCGACGATGCAGCAGAGACAGCGCTCTTTACCTTCTCGAATTTGGCCTGGCCAACATTTTTGACCTGGCTTGCCGACGCTCGACCGCCTAAACCAGTACCCATCTTGACCAATTTCAAACTTCCACCTACCCACCATCCTACTCCACCCACGACTTTATCCAAGACTCGCCGTTTGATGACCCATCCGACAACCATCAAGAAGAATAGGAATGCACCTAGGATCAAGAGTCGATCGTACCAGTCTGCCTTTTCGATAGCTTTGACCAATTGAGAAGAAGTGGTAAGGAGGGAAGTGTAATTATCGTAGAGGGTTTGGGTGAGACGGAGAGTCTGCGTAGACGAGTCTGTGCGCGAGTTGAGCGAGCGTCAGCGATGACAAGGCACAAGGGTAAGTGCCTTTTCTCCGTGATGCGAACGGTGCGATGCTGAATAGCAATGATAGTAGGTCTCAAGGCAGAGATGAAGAGCACATTACACAGAGCACGAGCAATATCAATCACTTACCCAACGTTTGAACGGCCAGAACACTCCTCTCCAGCTCAGCCTGCATAAGCATTGTCGTCCTTCTCAACGCATCTGTGACTTCATTCGTCTTGGTCTGCAGAGCGTCGTCCCTGAGGCGGGACATCAAGTCCGATCCAAACAGTAGTAGGAGGGCCACTACTCACCCCATATCACTCCGCTTGGGATCCCTCTGACGGCCTCTGGCGGCCTCATCATATTCGGATCTACTCGCTCCCGCTCCCTCGGTACCTTCATTCAAACCCGAGGATCGAGTTGTGGTCTTATCGAAAGAGCTCGAGCTGTTCAATTCATGTCGCTTAGATTTCGACATGGATGTTATGGCTGTTTTGGATGAGAGCAGCGTCTCGCGGTACGCTATACGAAGTCTAGACCCGTTGGATCAGTGCGCCTGACCTATGACCTCCGTGTGGCCTTGCTCTTCACTCACTCTGCCAGTTCTGCGTCCGCCATGTCTATCTTGCTGAGCACCTGTTCCCGTTCAGAAGGCTTGAGCTGGGATTCGGCTAATTCTCGTGCCATCTGGAGAGAAGACGTCAGAAAGACTGTTCAGGTTGATATAAAGGATCGTTGGTGATGGTGCCAGCCTGCCTGCTACTAGCAGTAGACTGGAACCTTTGGCAATGTCAAGACTCAAGAGACTCCCATCTCACCTCGAGATTGGCCCTTGCTCTCTCTAGATCCGCTTTCATTTCGCCCACTAGCTCCGTCCACATTCCCAATGTTCGACATGATCTCAACCTATCCAGCTGAAAGGTCCTGATGTCATGTAGCCTCCGGGTTGCACCCGCGAGATACGTCTGAGAGATATTTGGCTGTATCGAGGTATTTGAAGACGTGGATGCTGTGGCGTTGGTGCTCATGGTGTTGAATGGTAAGAACGCCTGGGGATGGCGTCTTGAAAGAAGGTGTTGTCCGGAATAGTAGAGCCTATTTGAGTCAAGGCGTCTGAGCGTTCACTGTCACGCGATGACTTTGCAGTTGTGTATCACAATATGGGAAGCCGCGAAAGATGATCAATGACGAAAAGCAAGACTCGGCATTTCAGCTGGATCTCGGAAGGCTTTTCCGACTGAAGAGCGGGGGGTGGTCCAACTTGCTCAGTTTTTGCACCGTACATGCGGTAGATCGTCGATTGAGCTCAAATCTCGTCCAATGAGGGACTTTCCTAACCAACGCATGCCAGGGAATGATGCAATGAGGTGTCATGATATGCTATACAAAATAAAATGGCCGTGCAATGCAATGCACTGCGTCCCCCTCTCGACCCAGCGTCGAGAAATGACTCGTGTGTGTCCGTTCCCTCGCCCTGACTCTCTTTCACCTTTGCCTCATCGTCCATCGCTCGGAAGAAGCGGAGTACTGCGCATGTAATTTGGAACCCATGTACGATCAGAACAGTTTGCCTTTGTCCAAACTGGGTCCGGCGAAATCTATACTCGGGGCTGGTTTCGGTAACATTTCCGAGCTGTAAGATTCGTCAACATTACTCGTCGCCCCCGTGCAAGCTGAACAAGACTATCTGCTCAGCGCTGTGAGCTTGAAGAGTTGGATAATAAAGATTGGGGCCTCGCTCGTGATGTTGGGTCGCAGGGGAAGATGGTCTATGTTCCCTCGTTGAATCTTGTCGACTTACAGCTTGGCTCCTTTTTTCAAGAACGTCCATCTGAAGGAGGGGCGGAGGGAAAGTACGTCAGACTGTATGCCCGTTGGCTCCGACCTGCCGTCCTCAACTCACCTGATGACTAACGGATCTCTCCGTAATTGCTCGCCAATCTTGCTGATCATGGCTGGAGATGTATCAAACGTCATGAGAAAGTGGCTATAAGTGGCATCAGTAACAAGTCTGAAGGCAATCGCGTGTCGTCAAGTTCCAGACGAGGTCGACGTATTCTAAGACGGGGGGCTGTACCCCTCCAGAGTCATTGGGAGGGATACAGCGGACTTGAAAGACAAAATGGTTTGGGAAAATGGTTTCATTGGACGGACGAGATTACTCACTCTCCTCTGTGATGCCATGAATGATGTCTCCTCACGCGCGTCGGTAACGTTGCTCCAATTCCCATATTCTTGAGATCTCTTATCACTCCTCCTTGAGCGTGGATCTGTTTACTGACACCTTCTATCAATTGACGGAGGTTGGTCTGAAGACCGGGTGGTCAGTCTGTGGATTTTTGATAGCTCTTTGAAGTGTCTGATAACGAGCGGAACAAGGGAAGGTGGGGGCTTGAAGGAGCGCGTGACTCACTGGTGAGGCGGGATTGTGCGCGCTGATGCAGAACAGCTCATACAGTACCATGGTGTCGATATGATTGAATGAAGGGTTAGGAGAGTGAGGCACTTGAGTACTTCCGGATCCTCTGAGAATCTGGGATAAAATGCGAAAACTAGTGGACCTGAAATAATTTCAGACTTGGAAATGCTTGACTCTGGATGCTCTCAATGCCCTCTTAGAGGAGCGAGCCCCGATGAATCCTGAATGTGTATGCATGATTTGCAGATCGACAAACTCTCCTCTCGCATGTCGTCCCCGAGTCTGTATGACAGGCGAACAGAAGAGCTCCCCTCGGTCAAAGTCGAAAACCTCAGTTAAGGGCTCGAACAAAGACTTGGGTATAAGCGTGCGACTGCTCCTATTTTTGCCCCTCTTGTCCTCCTGTCCTACGTCTTCCGAGCCTCCATTCTAGAAAAGGGCATGTACAATCTGTGAATACCATGAATCGGCTACACAGACCACGCCTAGAAGAGACGTTGAGGCTTGCCCATCGTCGACTTGATGTGGAGCGAAGCGACGTTTTGCCACTGCTTCTTGAGCAAAGAGATCAAAAAGTTGATGGCGAGCATGGTGTTTTGGACGATCTGGTCCTCTCCCATGTTGACGTGTCCGATGGCGACACCGAGGCAAAGAACCTTCTTCAACTGGAACTTGATGGTGGATTTGACCTCGTTGATCTTTCGGGCCAAGTCCTCAGAGTGAGAGACGGGGGTGGGGAACTTTCCAGCCTTGGAGAGACCGGGTCCGAGAAGACTGGGAAGGTGTCAGCTCGGACTTTTAGACGTGCCAGCTGACTCGCCGAGGAATCTGCTTGATCAAAGCTTCAGACGCAAGGAAAGCATCGTACTTCTGGGCAAGCTTCTTGACGAGCTTCTTGTTCTGTGGCAAGGTCAGAAACCAATCTCAAATTTTAATAATCTCTTTAGCTCACCTTGTTGAGCTTCTTCAAGTCTTCAACAGTCATGAAGGGGAGCTCTTCGTCGAGCTGCTTGGCACTGGAATGGAAGAAATGAGCTGGACTCTCGAGGAAGGAACAAAAAACGGTCAGAACTTACCGGTCAACGTCCATGGCATCGGCGAGAATGCAGAGCTGCATTCGGGGTCGAGGAACGTGAGGGAGCTTGACGGTACCAGACTGGCCACGCAGAGATCAGCATTGAGCGAGCTGCTAGAATGCTGCGGCTGGCTGGCGCTCGCTCGCTCGCTTGCAGACTCACGAATCGCTTGTCTCTCTGAGGGTCATAGTTTTTCAATCCGACTTGGAGCTCGACGGTCTCGATAAAGTTTCTCTTCTTTCCACCAGCCTCCTTCCAGGTCTCCTCTCCAGATTGAGCGAGAAGGACCTTGACGGAGGATCGCACGCTAGACGCCGCAAGCTTGGACATTGTGGCGGGAGGTAGTAAGTGATTGAGGTTAAACTTGAAGGTTGGAGAAGGAGCTTCGGGATGATCGAAAATGGTTTTGAAATTTGGGTAAGGTCCGGGGATTTTCGGCGTTATCAAGCCGGAAAGACGATGTGGCACTTTTTGGGTCAGCCGAAATGCTGCTCGACGGATCATTTGATATCGATACATGCAGAGACACGAGCAACGATCGATCATCTTGGAAAGGCATTAACGACGGGACACATCGAAGATCACAGACCGGAAAAGCTCAATTGCGCTAGTCGATACTTTGAAGTCGCGCTTTCTCATCGGCGGCGATCGCCCGCATTCCATTCCATTCCTACCCCATTCCCCTCCTCCGCCATGGCTTCCGCCCGATTGACCAATCCCTATCTGCGGTTTCACGAGCTGGCCAGACAGACTGTGAAACCAAAACGAAAGCCGGGGACCTTTTTGAAGGAGAATCTTCGCAGAGCTCCCAAAGCTCCGGATCAAATCAAAGCGTTCAGTCCATCGATTCTTCCCTTTGAGCCCCCTAAACCTGGAAACGAGTATCATGAACAACGAACATTTGCCTGGAAGCAGCGACGCATGTGGACGCCGAATTATAGAGATCATGCGCTTCCAGTCAGAATCTTCGGTGGAGATCAGAGTCTGAGGGAGAGGATGATGTTGACTGCCCCTATGAAATTGAGAATAGAGGATGTCGATGCGATCGAGAAAGCTGGTGGTTTGGAGGCATTCTTGGTGAGCGGACGGACGAGGACTGATACAAGCTCCAATAGATGAAAGCTAATGTCATGTCCCTCATTAGATTCACACACGGTCTCACGAGCTATCTGAGCATGGAAAGCTACTGCGGCATAACTTGTTTCAAGAGTTGAACAGGATGCGCGAGACTGGATTGTGGTATGCCGGTCCATCGTCAAAGTCAGATCCCTGGATACCGATGAAATCGGTCGTTGAAGCTGCAGACACTACGACTGCCATCACCGCCGCTGGGTCATCGACAGCCACCCCGCGTATCACTCCACCGAAGTCTCTGTCCCGTGCCGTACTTGACAAGAGACGTCTGGCGACAATGATCGAACCACCGAAATTGACAGCCGAAATACCATTGAACGGAGCGCCCAAACCGGCCATCCCATCGTCTCAGAGTGCTTGTCAAGCGCTTGTGGCACATTCATCCAGCCAAGGCAAGATCTCGTCTTCACAAGAGATTTCGGAAAATTTGCAAAATCCATCGCAAAAGACAGCGGCGCCCAAGGCCGCCGTTTTCAGAAAGGTGTTTGGATTGACTAGTGCGGAGAAGAGGATGGCGGAGAGAGCTTTACAAGCAAAGCGGAGCAATAGTGAGGGATTGGAACCACCGCCGGCAGCCACGCATCAGTCACCGCAGGCCTCAGTCTAGGTGTACAACATGCCGCGTCCAGGGAGGCGGGCAGGAACGAGGACGACCATGTCAATCGCCTTCAACTCGTAAGGCCGTTCGTAGCATTCACTGCATTTGCATATATGGTATATTCATCCGCCTTGTCACATCTGAATACAGGCTCAAACGACAGGTCTCTTCATACCACAAAGTTTATATCATCAAGACAGGGTAAGGTATACACTAAGGGGTATCACAACAAGCAGGTCATGGTCCATCCAAGGCATGCGCAGTTCAATGTCCGAATACGCCAGCTGTTAGGATTCCTGCCAATAGAGTCATCCCACTGTGAACAATGTTACACGCTGCTCCGCTTTGCCCAGCGGATCCTGCTGAACTAGCAGGGGAGCCTGCTGAGCCGCTGGGCCGTGCTTCAGAAGTGGCACTTGAGATAGAAGAGATGGTGGTCGGGGCCTGGAGGGGGTTAAAGAGAACGCTATCGATCAGCTGGGAGGAAGAGTCAGCACGAGGAAACAGCGGTCATTGCTCCGGTATTATGGTGCAAGGTGCGCGATCAATGACACTCACGTGCATGACTCCATTCTCCAGCGGAATATCAGACCTCAAGACTGTCGCTGAGACACCTTGACTGGTCTTCACTGTGGTTCCATTCTCCGCATGCGTGACTGTGAGATTCACGCCCGATTGCGCGCGTATAGTGTATGAATGGCTCGCGGCCTGGCCATTCCAGAATCCAGAGAAGAGCGAGAAGGAGGTGGTGTACTGGGAAACCAAAACAAATCAGGACCGAAAGAGAGATATTACGCTGACCACTCACATGATCCTTCAGTGCAGTCTGAGCCATCGCTGGGTTGCTCACCAGGGCCGCTTGGACATGACTCGTGAAGGCATCGTCTACGGGGACGAAGACTGTGAAGCCTTCCTTTGTCAGTCCGTTAAGAGCGTTAGGGCCAAATCCAGCTTGGACAGCTGCTGCGAACGCCTTAGTGCCGTTGACCGATCGCGAAGAGGTTGGCAGAGTGAGAGCGGCGGAGAGTTTAGGAGGATACGGGAGTACCTAACAAGCACCATCGGCGCATCAGCACGGTCCGACGGTGCGTCTTACGAACGCCTCAACTCACCGTATTGATTGGCAAGACTTTCAGATTGGTGATTCCCGCCCAATCCAGATTCAACGGTGCTTTCCAAGTCGTCCCGTTGCCTACTGCCAATCTCACGGCCACGTTCCCTCCATCTCCCTGCTGTAGTATCATGGCTGCCGTAGCGGTACTGTCAACTGTCGAATTGAGATGATTTTTGATGTTCAACAGAGTGGAAGCGATGGCATGGTCGGGGCTCTGAGGCAAGTTGATGTACGTCCAGTCCTGTTCCAATGTGTGGAACTCGATCAAGTCGACCAGCTCTTGCTCGCTCAATGAGTTGAAAGGAGGGGATATCCCGGCCTTGTTGAACGCTTCATCGGTAGGTGCCAGTAGAGTGTTGACATTGTTTGATTCATGTAGCGATTCGAGATAGGTGTATCCCGTTTCCTTCTCTGATAGAGCTGCAATGTACTGTTCGAATATCGTCAGACCGCTGTCGTAAGCTGAGTCAATGACGGAGAGAAGGTATGTCGCGAGGTCATTGTCGTCGCATTCGAGGTCGTCGGCTTGTGCTGGAACCAGAGGAGCAAGTAGAGGCAGAAGGAGTGTGAATGCCCTGATTGAGACCAACATGATGAAGATAGTCCGGCAGAGACCGAGCTCGTAGAAAGGCTCCTAGATTGGTTTTTTGTTGACCAATTTTTAATGTTTGAGATATCCCTATATCTGCCGTTGCAGAGTCCAATGAGCGTGAGGTGACAAAAGGAGAGTGTGTGATCCTTGACTATGGGAAGTGAGGAATCGAGGAGATGAGAGCAGGTATTGAGGATCAGCTCAGAAGCACAATGAGAGCAAAAGGGGGAAAAGAGGAAATGAGTCTGACAGTGGAAAAGAAGCGGGGTAGACCCAACAACATCAGCTCAGTCAACCCCCCCTCCGCCTCACTCGCTGCATGAAACGGGAGTCTGGCTCACACTCCTTTGAAGCCTACTCGCCCCTCTCTCTCCACAACATACACTATCTTCATCATCCTTTGTCCTCTGTCTGGCTAGATATCGCTCAATGGCTTGGAGCTGAAGGACGGTGAGATGCAATGAACGCGACAGGATAGTCTTGGCGTTGATTGTTAAGAGGTCAGTGCAAATCATGAGCGTCAGTGAAAAGTGTTGGGACAGCGTCTGACAGGTTGATTCCTTATTGTCATGCTGAAGATGTTGCGAGACAGTCGTCGACCAGGTTTGCTCGTTGTAATGGGGCGGAGGACGACCCTTACATTGCATACCAAAATTCAGCCTGCCTGTAGAGAATGTGGCACAGATATTGAGATTGAAGTGGCAGAATCCCTTGACCCCTTGATGCCTACAATTCATATCTCTTGCATCCCTTGTCAGGCCAATTCGGTGAACAGTGGCCGGCAGTGGATGAGGTCTAATACCATGAAAAGAGCAACTTTCTCCGACTTCTTCATTTCAAAAGCCGTCATGAGGCGCGAGGCTGCTGGAGCCAAAGCGTATATAACCCCTCGGTAAGCAGATACTTTTGCAGTACTCGTTCGCCCCTAGACATCCCGAGCCCCTTTTTCTTTCTCGCAGCGACAACATGGAAGATGCGTGGACGAGAACCCCCACTTCACTCGGGGACAGCCTTAAAGGAGATCATGAAAGGTCTGGGGTATCCTTCACCTCCCGTCAGACTCTACACATATCCGGAGTCAGGTGAAGAAAACGGCCTCCCTGATCAGATCGAACTCACTAGGCATACTAAACAAGTGCCTGAAGGGTTTGAGAGCGATTGGGATAGAGCACTGACATTGCTGGATAGCTTTGGTTCTGAGAGGGGCTGGGATTCCCGGAATGAGTCTCATCAGGAGGCTCTCTTGAAGGCAATTGCAGCAGAAATGGTTGGTTCAAAGCCTACAGAGCTTCTCTTCAATCAACGAGACGGAACAATCACCACGAGATCCGTTTCGGACCGGAGCGAGGCTCTTTATGAATGGCCGAAACACAGGCCAGGAACTCCCGGTCTCGTCTCGGTGAGGCTATCCACGGTGGGCAGATTGACGTTCGCCCAAGTCTTCGATTCGTACTTGAAGGGAAAAAAACTGCGCATCGATGACCTCAGCGTACAGGATTCGCAAGACTCCCTGCGGCGTACCGTTTCCATCAAGATCAAACCTATGCAGACCCAAGGAGAAGGTGAAGCGACAATGACTGCTGGTCATGCGGAGGATTTGAACGCCTTTGCCGGACTCTTGAGCTATGCCCCTGACGACAGTCGCGTGCACAGCGGGCTGCGTCTGGCCACGGAGACCGCAAGCATCGACGTGGCGGCTTGTCTGAGATTCAAGCGAGATCGAGTTCTGCACACGGAAAATGATGAACTCATACCGACAACGTTAGAACGTGTTGTGCCCTTTTTGCAACTGGTCTTGACAACAGATCCTAACGAAGAAGTGATGGAGATCCTCAATCAATCAGGCGGCTCTCAAGAATAATCCGGACGTTGAAAAAGTATTCACATATCAGGCATAGAATCTCGTACTGGCGATGTGTTTCCCGCATTTAGATCTGACATGCCGACTCGTATGCAATCGTGCTGGCTACATACACAGCCACCTCGTGTTCTCGCAAATCATGTACTCTGCTCTTCTCTCACGTTTCTTTCACTCCGCCTCACTCTGCTCCACCTTCCTCCAACTCTGACAACAATGCCAACCACATTTTCTTCGACACCAAACCCCGGAACACTCCTCTTGAATCGGTGACGAGCAATTGCCTGGCACCGAGTTTGACGAACAACTGTTGCACCAGTTCGAGAGGAGAATGGATCTGGACGGTGATCGGGGCCTGGGGAAAAGAAGTGATCAGCCATGATAACTCATCTTGCGATTCCCAGATTTGGCTCACCCGATCAATGTAGCGTGAAATATCGTATGGATTATGCCTCGGATCAGTGTATGATTCGGCAAAGCTGAAGATGGACATGACGCTGCTTCGAGGACCACGATTTGAATCTTCAGGCATGAGGTTGAGGTTGGCATCGGGTTCGTCGGCCAAAAGCGCTGAGAAACGATGCGATGAGGTAAAGATCGACAAGAACGACGAGCTTCGCCACACTCACCCAGTGCATGCTCCAATTCATTCATCCCGAGGAATCCGACAATTCGAAGCGCTGTGAACGCCCGACCGTCATTCTCGACGTGTTCCTTGACAAGCACCGGAAATCCAGTATCTTCCATCCCCAGTCGGACGAGTTCGAGCAATTTCCCAGTCAATGATCTGACAGTGTGAAGTTTATCGGCTCGAAGGTATGGGACATCCGTATCGGCTACATCGAGCACTTGGCGCTTGCCCCAGAGGTACTCGCCTTTGGAATCGAGATACGGCAGCTGATTCAAGCTATGTCTATCGTTAGCGAAACGCTGATACTTGAGGATAAGGGCCACGTCACTCACTCGATAACCAGATCATAGATTCCCTTCTTCTCCAATCCATCCGCCACGGTCTTGGCAACCAGTACACCCAACATGACAGGGACAACATAATTCAGCGTGTTTGTCAGTTCCAGTACGATGACGGCCAGCGAGACTGTCGTCCGCGTGACACCTGCAAGCGTGGCGGCAGCGCCGATCTACATGTGGGGTGTAACAGTCACCATCTATCCAGCGATCGCTCTGAAAACTCTCACCATCGCATAGAGCCCGGGCACAATGCACGCCTCGTCCTTGCAGATCTCGAATATGCCCCAAGAAGGGTAAGAGAACTCGACGTACTCCATCGCCAGTCCAACGATACGGCCAAAGCAGGCGCCGACTGCTAGCGAGGGGATAAAGATTCCAGCTGCAGGTGAGTCGTCAGCCAATGTCTTTGGCCCGGCTTTCAAGGCTTTCTGACAACATCACGGCACTAACCTGGCAGTTTGATACCAAAGGTGATGATGGTCAAGCATCCCTTGATGATCAATGCGGAGCCCAAGGTCCAGATCACACTCGCTATTTCGTGCGGGTGATCTACGCATAACGGGCTAGAAGAGCCAGGATGGCATTCCGCGAACAGCTGTGGGAAGCTCAGCGCCCGTACGTGCGTAGCCGGTCAGGAGCCGACTTACACTCGCAACTAGCTCTGTCCCGCCCATTCGACAGTACGGGTTCAAGAATGAGACGACAGTGGTGAGCGCAGTGACCTGAAGCCCGGCGTCGATATAGAGGATCTAGAACCGTCAGTGCTCACCAAAGCCACTTCGATGATGGGATGATATCGGACCCAAGTCCCTTGGCGGATATGCTTGCTCCACAGGATATTGAGACGTGAGAAGAAGGCACCGTACACGCCCTGTGATGTTTTGATCAGCCACATGTCAGTCGCCTGTGAACTGACTCACGCCAAAGACTCCGAGGAGGACGAAAATGATATACTCCCAGTAATGGTACTGCTTCGTGTATGTCACTGCGAACTGCAGACGAGTCAGATTGACGAGTACGACGTCAAACTCACCAATACAAGCGATCCGTTTCCGAATGGATTCAGCGATTTGAGTGTGATGGCTGCTACCGCAGCACACCAAAAGCTCCTCCACATGACTTTCGGTGGGAAGTAGTACGAGACTTCTTCGAGAGAGAATAAGACGCCGCCAATAGGGGCACCGAATGCGACCTAGATGCTGTCAATCGAGGCAAAGTGAGTCACTTGATTCACGTACAGCTACTCCAGCAGCACACGCTGCTGATAGTATTTCACGCCGCTTGGCTAAAGTCCCCATCAGTGATGATGCTCTTGGAAGGCTCTTTGCTCAGACCGACCTTCGTTGCACTCAAACTTGATGAATAGTCTTGAGACAATGTTTCCGACACATGAGCTGATATGCACAAGTGGGCCCTCCTTGCCTAGGACAGTTAGTGAGCAGGGATCCGCCTATCACGCAACACAGCAACGTACCCAAAGATAGTCCTGAAGCGACTGACAAGGCCAGTCCGACACTCTTCGTGAGCAATGTCCATCCGCCCAAATAACCATGAATGACGAACCCTGAGGACGAGGTCAGCTAGATCGTTCCCTGCAGTCCTGGTATTGCGCAAGGGACGTACCTGATAGGATCGTCTTGATCTCCGGTATACCACTCCCCGCAGCATAGTACATGACCTTTCGAGGGGGTTCAGACGGTTCAATATGTTCCGAAGTGTCAAGAGTACTAGTAGACGACAAGAGCGGTTGTCGTTCCGTCCCGTCTTGCGCAGCGTTCGAACCGCTACTGGATTGTTTCATGGTTTGACTCTTGAGGGTTGGATCGGGAGGCGAAGGGAGCAGGAAGGTGGAATCCTTCGAGGTCGTATGGGCTGATGAGGAGAGATAGATAGTCATAGTAGATGCGAGTGTGGCGAGTAGTAACTTGAGGCGAGAATAGTCAGTCCTGCCGTCAAATTTCTGGAGGTTAAAGAATAGAACCCACCGCCACGGTAGCATAGGCTAGGAACTCTGGTCCTCCCCAGATCCAGGTAGATTCTGCATCACCTTTATTCTTGGGTTCAAAGAATTGACCCCACTCGACCCAATCTTCGCACTTTTCCTCTTCGCTACCGGGCAGACGACGGTGATGAGGCGTACAGCAGAATCGCCTAGGTGAGCCCCAGGACGAAGCGCAGTAGCCTTCTTTGAGGTCAAACAGAGCCATTTCAGTCCGGATGATCCAAAAGGCGATAACGGCGGAGAGGATCCCTGCGCCATTCGGTGAGCAGGTACGTCCGCGCTAATATGCTCTTAGAAGCACTCACCTATGATAGTGACCACCAGCCATCCTTGGAAACGATCCCAGCCATTGACAATAGCTCCTCGCCATGATTTGTGGGCATTGGTTCGAAGACGCCGCACGCGGGACGATTCTTTGACCTATATTGAGGATCAGTCGACTGATGGAGGCTGAATGCGAAGAAGGACTCACAGCATCGTGGATCCAATCGATAGTGACGAAGGAGCTGTGTCAATGTCAGCGAATCTGAGAGTCACTTAGGAAAGCGACCCACGCACCTATACCACACTCTCGTTCCATTCGCACTGAGTCCACCATCATCAATGACGTCCCCTGCCTCGCCCGGATCGTGACCCATGACGTCGCCCGCATCGTACTCTTCAGGCCTACCAACTGACAATCCAACTGCACTGGCGGTCTTCCTCAATGTTCTGAAAACTGAATTGGCAGGCGATCCCTGCATGCGATGACTGTGAGGTGTGCTCGGAGCCAGATCAGTGGTCTGAACAGACAATGTTCGACGATGTAAGCCTGAAGCGGCACTCGTACTGGCAGACAAAAACGACGTGTTGATAGCTCGATTGCCTGTCGATGCGTGATCCTTCCAATGACCGTGATCGTTCCTTCCCCTGCGCTTCCCATGAAGATGGTGTTGTCGTCTATCGTAAGTCTCGTGATTCTCATTATAGTATCCGTGATGACCTGCTGCGTCCTTGAATCTCGGAGTGGTAGTAGAACTAGGCTGAGAATAGTATGCTTCATGCGATGGGATTGTCATCTGACCAGGACTTCGAGTCCTATTGACGCTTCCCAGCGTGTGTTGATGAGCAGTGTTGGAAGGACCAACCGGAGTCGAGGTTGATATCCTTCGAGGCGATGCCAAGGCGCTGTCCTTGGCTTTTGATAGATTCAGACTATTGGACCCTCCCGAGGGTGTGATCGAGAGAACTTCATTTGGTTCTGGGTTACCTAGACTAAAACCAGCCAGAAGAGGGTTTTGATGCGTTGCACCGTACCCCTCTATAGGCGTTGATAATGTCCTTCCAGGTCCAATGGTTGTGCTACTTCCAGCACCGTAAGAAGTCACAGATACCCGACGACCAGAATCCAGCGTACTGGATCGCTGAGCCATACGAGGGCTAGAACCGGCCGAATCGATCGATCTCAGTCCCATGTTCGTCGTGCCCGTAGTGGATCTAGGTGTCCGACCGCCAGTCCCTCCCTGACCAGCAGCTATGGAGGAACGTGATTGTCGTCGATGAGCCGTGGTACCTCCATTGTCCTCCTCGTCTGTCGTTTCAATGGTACTGGATGGAGGACGTGACATGGTGATACTTGCGCTGGGTGATAACGGCTCATGAGATGGAGCAGATTGGAAAGAGGATGGGTTGGGAAAGTAAGTGATGGGAGATGCAGGTAGACTGAAACGAGGTCGAGAGGGCAGGGGAAATCAGGGCAGCGTCAGCGTCGGAACATCTATTGATGGGTGAATGTGGACAAAGCGTGTTATTAGAGAGTTGATGCGGGGATCTTGCACGTCGCCTCGAGTGCACGCGCATAACTCGATCTAACTCGTCGTTGAGCACACACCCACACACAGACTCGTCTCGTCCGCATCTGATCCCCGCATCCCTTTGTCCCCTTTGATGCCAGCACAATAAGCAAATCGCTCTCACCTTGGGCCTCCACTGTCTATACTCTGACGTCTGGAATGCATCTTCTTGCCTGTACTACCTATCGCACTCCCGCTCGTCGTCCCGGGTTGATGGAATTGTCTCAATGAACTGACAGAAGGAGGTCTACCGGGTCGATAAGAGGAGGAAACGGATCGACTCGTCTTGCCTCCTTGGGCGGCTGCTGCTGCTGATCCTCCTCCTCCAGAACTCGAGGACGCGTGAGGATGATCGCCGGCCGCCGAGCCGATGCGATGATTATTGTTTCCTGGCGCAGGGATCTCCCTTTGATCAGTATTGGATCGATCCATTGGAGGCGAGAGAGGAAGCGCGACCTCGATAGGTCGTGTGAATGCGTGCTCTGATGTCCCTCAGGTGATCATTGAATCATGTGACAGCTTGGCTTTTGACATTCCCCCCCCCGCCGCCGCCTCCTGCTCTTCCGCTCACATTGCCCCATTAATCGTGACGTCTTTTCTGTTCCGTCATTTCGGGTCATCCGACCAATGTCTACGGGTATGTTCGTCCACCTTAAAAGCTCTGCAGATATGATCAGATGGTTCACACGAAGAGATGCATGACAAGAACGATAGGAGCCCTAGAAATGAGATGGATGCTCTCATACCGTGCGCGAGAGTTTCACCTGGGGGGAACTGCTGAGAAACGGAATGACGGCCCGAAGAGACGATTTACATGGGAAGATGCTACAATTAGGGTAGGTGAGGTCGGGTGATGCCGTTTGAGAAGGTGGATGCGTACAATTCTTGATGCCTCGTTGTCTGTCGTGAGCCTCGAATAGTCGTATACGGCCTGAGGGTTAAACATCGGCAGCAACCAGAGAGAAGAAGGATAGGATTCTGGATAGATTGGATTCGAGGTGTTTGAATCTTGAATGCCATCGCAACGGAACCATGACATCGACAGTAGGAATGTGAACATGTGATCGGACTGAGGAACGGAGTCAGTGACGATCTCCACGAGTCATTCGACATGCCTCACCCTCCCTCTGCTAAACCATAGCCACAACGACGCCTTCGCGCCACCTCCAAGCGTGTCCCGGTCGTCGCCTGGAAAACCTCAGGACGACTTTGCTTTCCCTCCTCCCACAGCAGGCGCAGGATTTGACGGATACCTTGCTTGCAAGCTTTTGAAGTGCCTGTACATCATATAAGAGGTCGGGAACAACAGCAGAAACGCAGCGAGACAGATTATCTGTTTCCATTCGTCACTTAGTGGGATATCCACCCGGGGTCCACTACGCGACATGGTTGGGAGTGACTCTCGAAAATTGCACCCGTCTCTTGCCACACTATCGTAGTCTTCGCTGTTGCTGTGATCGCTTTTGGTACGTGTTAGGGGATGAGCCTATACAGCTGTCACGTCCCCCGCCGAAAGAGGCGCTTGACCCCAAGTCTTTTCCCACGGTTGCGCAACATAGGCGGTGATCGGCTCGGAAGTTGAACCCAAGCTTGGAAATTGCTGACTACATACACTCTCTTCACTTTCCCTTTCTGCTCCTACGGCGAAGATCTTATAGCAGTAGAAACGGTCTAAGACGACCATCGTATCTCTTGAATATAGGATCAGGAGCTGACTCTGGATAAAGCAGCCTGTCTGCTCTACTGTGTCCCGCTAGTCGGGCCCACGTTGATCAGCCAATTACAATTCAGCTCGAGGTCAGCTATCCTGTCCTCCGACTTGCTCCGTCCGTTCTGAAGAGGACAACTCACGACCTGGACCGGATCTCAATCATTCCTGAAGGCAGACCATCATGGCTCGGTCACGATCAACGGCGGTCTTCCGATCATTGACCATATCTCAACCTTTGTCAAGACATCCCACCATTCACCGATCCTTCTCCATCACGCCTATCGCCGCTGCAGGCAAATCGTCCAAGTCTTTCTCCTCTTCCTCAATGGAATTGAGCCTTTCTCATCCTTCGTCTTCCCGACAATCACATAGCATTGCTCAACCTGCCGACCCGGCAGCATACGAAAACTCGACCGCACCACCGTACATTTCGCCTGCTGCCCCCTTGTCCCACTCCGATCGATCGCCTACGCGCCCTGTAAAGCCTCCTCCGATGACCGCTGGTTCATCATCGCCATCAACAGCAGCCTCCCCCGCGAGGTCTGACTCCACTCATACGTCTATACCTATTGAAATGCTCTCGTCCTCATCCGATATCAAGGGCAAAGGCAAGGCTTTCACTGCTCCGCCAAGAGGATCACGTGGTAGTGCATTGAAGGCTCAGAAGAGCGCCATTACCATGGTGAGTGGAAAGAGCGAAACAATCAAGGAGTTCATAGCTGATGATTTCTGTATTCTCATTACTCTACGTTACCCTGTCCTTTTGCTCGACCCCGCTTCTGGCACTCGCCCTCGCCCCTCACCCGTTCAGACCCCCTCCGCCATCGACCATCTCCGGAGTCTCATTGCCTCCCCTACCGAGCCGAAACTCCTACGCATAGGCGTCAAATCTCGAGGTTGCGCCGGTATGGCCTATCATCTAGATTATGTCTCTCCACCTGGAGGCAAATTTGACGAAGTTGTTGAGCAGGACGGTGTACGCGTCTTGATAGATAGCAAAGCGTTGTTCAGTATCATCGGGAGTAGGATGGATTGGAGAGATAATAGGTTGAGCGCGGGATTCGTCTTTGACAAGTGAGAGCGGGAGGGTATTTGACGTCCGCATGATCATCTGAGACTGACTTTGCTCGTCGCTTCTCAGCCCCAACGTCGTTGACACATGTGGATGTGGAGAAAGTTGTGAGTCACACTAACTCTCGACACAAAGTCTGGGTCCAAGCTAACACCCGTCAGTCAACATCAGATAGCCCTAGGAGGCCTTATTCGCTTTTCTCTCCCCTCTATGTGTCTCTGTGCATTTACCATGTATGAATATATCAATGTTCCCCGACTATCACGTCGGCGAGGCTCAGTGGTCACTTGGACGCCACTCGGATCACTCTCGAATATACTTATAGCCATACTTAGTCACAAGCCACCCGGCAATTGTTCAGCAGCATCAGGTAGTCGCAGCGAGAGCAGCCCAAGCCACGTGCTATTCATTTTCTACTTTTTAGGTGCTATGGTGCTCTAAACAAAATTGACTGACGTCATAAGATGTCGCTGGAACCTGATCGCCTGGTAGAATGACGATGATGATGATGATGATGATGATGCATGATGACAGAGAGAGAGAGAGAGAGAGAAACAGGCGTGGCGGGGTGGAAAAAGAACGAGAGAACGTTGCAGAGGGGTTATTATTATAATAAGAAGTACCTACCAGGCGGCTTTCTTTCCTTCAGAACCCCATCTTCACCACTCACTTGTTATTTCATCGAGCTCAGCGTTCTTGAAACAGCGAGCTCCAAAGAGACAGACTCCTATAAACTCTTATCCCTCCCACCCTTCGTAACAACATCCATTCGTGAGTAGCTCTTGGCGGGCTGGCGCGCGGGCCATCCTTCAGTCCCTTCCTTCCTTTCCCCCAGCGTCTACCCTCTTATGACGCACCACCCCCCCGGTCTTTCTCCCTTTGTTCAGCTTTTTTGATTGTTGGCTGACATGTAGAAACCTATATAATAGACCATGAGTGGTGTCAGTTCTACCACTCAAGAGATTCGAGAGAATCCATCCAAGATGGCCGTCACAAGCCCAATGTCAGGTAAAGAGATGGAAGAGGACATCCAGAGAAAGATGAAGCTCTGGGGTGTTATCCAAGCCTTTGGACAGGGGTGAGTGGTGTGATGGGCTCAAAAGAAGCGCGGGGGAACTTTTGGGGATCGCTGACCAAGTTGAAAGACGATTGCCCACCAACCGTCAGATGGACTCTGCGCTCGAATATGCCGTTGAACACTCGCCCGTCGAGGTCGACAAGCTCTCTCAGGAGGGCAAGGTGTTGATCGATGACACTAGGTGAGAGACGAGCCATCTCGCGAGGAAGGTAAACGAACGTCGCTGACTCTGTTCGTGCCCCTCTTCAGAGACATTATCGAAACTCTCCGAACCATGGTCCAGGAGAAGAATGCCGATGAACTATTCCAGAACGCAGTTTGGAACTCTTACGCTGGTGATCCCTCGCGAGCCAAGCAAGACGGAGTCGTCCCCGTCAGCAAAGAAGACGCCAAGAAGGATGTCGACCAAGGTGAATCGGCGAAGCCATCCCCTCAGCTGCCCTTCGCTCTCTTTCTCTCCCTCTCGCTCTCGCTAACCAGTTTCTTTAGCCGCCGCCCACCTCCGTGTCCTGATCACCCTCTTCATCACCAACTCTGAATTCCGAAAACTCGCCAGTGACTTTGGAATCATCGGACGAGACGTCTTCGCTACTGCCGCTTCAAAGGTCGCAGATACCGCTCGACCGGACCAAGAACAGCTCGACCAAGTTGACCAGGAAGCTCCCTCCAAGCAATGGGTCGGACCCGATGGCAAAAAGCTCGGAACCCAGGACACTCCTGAATTGCAGCTTAAGAACCCTGCCGGCGATGGTGAGGTCAGATACAACCCCAAGGATGCTCCTAGCGATGCCAAGTGAGTACCACCTTCTCCCGTGTGCTTGGGACCTCAAGCTGACGGGACCCCTCAGAATCACTGGTCCCGACGGCCAACAAATGAGCGCTGGAGAAGCCTATCAGAAGGCTCAGGATGCCAAGGAGCAAGCCAAATCTCAGGCTCAAGACGCCGCCAACCAGGCCTCTGCCAACAAGGACTCTCTCCTTGACCAGGCGAAATCACACGCCTCGGATGTCGCCTCACAGCGTGACCCCAACGCTTCGCTCTCGACCCAGAAGGAGCAGCTCAAGAATGCCGCCTCCAACAAGGCCGACCAAGCTTCCAACCAGGCAGATGCGAACACTCCCGACCGTGATGAGGTCGAGGGTCAAGCCAGGAACAAGATGCAGCAACTCAAGGAGAAGATTCCCGAGGAGCACCGTCAAAAGGTCCGTGACACCATCGACACGACCAAGGACATTCTCACCGATGCCATGCCCGAGGAGAGACGAGAGCAATTCATCTACCGTTTGAAGAAGGTGAGATGGAAACATGTCATCTCATTACTGACATTCTAGGTCGTTGTCGAGTGCCAGGAGCACAAGGACTACATGGAGGCCATGACTTGGCTTTTGGACACCCTGGAGAACTATCAGGGTCACGCTCAACACGTTGCCAACAAGGGCGCCGATGCCGCCGACGGTCTCAAGACTGACGCCGGAATCGCCACTGCCACCAGCCAGTTCCGGACGCTTCTCGAGCGATTTGCCAATGGCAAGTCGATGTCTGGCATGACCGATGCCTTGGACCAAATCTACACCGATGCCAAGGAAGACGACTCGCTCCGCGGGTGGTTCACCAAGCTCAACGACTTCACTCACCGAGCGTTGCTCGAGCCCGGTTGGATTCTTGACGACGAGTGCAACCGAGAAGCCTCCCAGCTCCAGGAATCTGGCAAGGAGTTCTTCACCGAGAAATACAAGGGACACCAAGAGAAACTCTTCAACGAGATCCAAGCCTGGTTCACCGCTTTGGCCGAGGACCCACTCAACCAGCGATTGGGAGACGACGTCAAGCGACTCACCAAGGACTTGTTGTTCAACTCGGAGGGCAACCTCACATTCAAGCCTAAATTGTGGAATGACATTAGGCACACTATTCTCCCTACTCTGATCAAGCAGATTGGTGAGCGGCCCGCGACCAAATACCGAGAAGAAATATGAGCTAAATATGACCCACAGGATACGTTCCCATTCCCCGAGCAGAGTACTCGGATGACAAGATTGACCTAGTCATCGAGAGTGAGCCGAGTCGAGCTAAAGTCCGTTCGGCGCTGACATGCCTCAGACCTTGTCCTCTCTGGACCCAATCTCTTCCCGAACGTTGTCGAGCTGGAGGCCCACAACCGATTCAAGTTCAGCCCCTACTCCAACATCAACAAAACTCTTGATGTCCACCACCACCGATTCCGAGCTGGTCTCAGCCAGATCCAGGCTGATATCCGAGACGTTTCCTTTGCATTCAGTGAGTGGCCTCTCATCCACGCTGGATCACAGCTGACGCTGCGCAGAGCGCAAATCTGGATGGCCTCGTCTGTCCGACCACGGTCTCGCCGATGTTGTCATTGCCGGCCGAGGTATCTCTATCGACATTGAGGTCGAGTCCGTCGAGAACAGACGGGACAGTGTGTTCAAGGTGAGTGTGGGCACGGATGGGTCCTGGCGCCAGTCTGACCCAAGTCACAGGTCAACCACGTCAACGTCGAGCTCGACACCCTCAAGTTCTCCATCCGAGACTCCAAGCACGACTTGCTGTACAAGGTGAGCGAGCACAGGGCTTTTCCTGCGATCGAATTGCAGTCTGACGTCTCGGTTTAGTTCATCAAGGGTATCGCCACTGGGGTCATCAAGAAGGCCATCACTGTCGCTGTCCAATCGGCCATCAAATCTGCTCTGGAGCACGCCGACGATCAATTGGTCGAGGTCCGAAACACTATGGAGCGGGCCAAGCGATCCGACGAGACGACCCGAACTCAGGCTCTCAAGGACTTGTACGCGAGAAAGAAGCAACACGCTCAAGATGCTGCGGAGCGTGCGGATCAGAAGACAGGCACGTTCAAGATTGTGACTGACCGAGACGACATGGTGAGTGTGGTTGAGCAGCGATCATGACGGCATTCCTGACCTCGGCGTCTGTGCCCTTTAGATCAACCCCAACATGACTCACGACCCTAAAAAGTCGTCTGCTCAACGAATGTTCAAGGTTGAGGATATGGCTGCCTCTGGTGACGAGTGGCGATCACCCGCTTTCGATCTTTTGGACAAGAAGCACCCTGCTGTCACTGGTGAGAACCATCCCGAGGCTACTCCGGGAATGGGACACAAGGACGTTCAGTCTTCCGCTGTCGCTGCTGCTCGAGGTGAACAAGTCGGTGTGCCAAAGGACGGAGCTTCATCCGTCGCTGGATCCACAACGGCTGCTGGATCCATGGACTTGGGACCGAGAGTCAACTAAAGAGGACGGCGCCTGGAAGGGTTATTTGTTTGACGGTTTCTCATGCTCGTACCATGTGTTGAATACTCGAGCTGTATAATATAGGATTATGGAATGATTCATTGAAGCTAGCTACAGGGCCAGAGCCATTGTTTACACTGTAAACTTGTAGGCCGCGTTCGAGGTCTGCATTTTTTGGCCCATGCGATGCATCGAGTAGCTTTGAGCAGTTGAGCGGGTTTGTTCGATGTCGAAGGCGACTTTTCCGGGCACCATATCAAATCCTGTAATTGAATCAGCCGTTGAGAAAACTTGTGATGCTGCTGCAAAGGCAAGGGATATACGATGTCATCAACGAGGAAAATCATCCTATAGTGCTCGATCGTCTCGTGTCTCGTGTATGAACTGTGTCTGGCATGAGATAAGGAATCGTACATCAGTGGGTCTTGTTTCATCCGAGCCTATACACAAAAAGGCCCCCCGTTCTTTCTTTTCTTCTTCTAATACGTCTGCTTGCCCTTTGTCTCGTAAGGTAGAAGAGCTGAACAAGGAGTCAATCGTCAGCCCAGAAACTATGGTTGATCCCGAGGCCCTCGAAAGACAACAAAGACAACTCACCAATGGCAATGGCTGATACCCAAGCACCACCCGCTCCGAGCCACAAGACACCGGGAGAAGAGGATCCATGGTAGACGTGTGTCGTGGCGATCGGTGCAATCTGAAGAGGGGGAGGGGGGGGAGGGGAAAGAAAGGTCAGTGAAAGGAATTTGGGACCAGAACAAAAAAAAGGTGGACGGATGAAACTCACGATACCTGCGATTCTGCCCAACGTCGACAACATACCCGCTGCTGATCCTCTGAATGGAGCGGGGAAAGCTTCAGGTGTAAAACCATACAGGAGAGCATTATAGAGCGATTGGAACCAGTATCTGGAAGTAGCGAGAGACAATTAGAGGGGGAAACAAATGTCAGCTACAGAGGCCTCTGATGCGTGGCGCTGGGCTGGGCGGCGGGGAGGGACGAACTCACTCCATGGCGTTGAAACCTATATTCGCAGGAAGCGAATTGACGACTTGATATAATGCCATGGAGACACCCATGAGCAAGGCTGAGATGACCATTGCCCATTTTCGTCCGAGTCTCGGAATTTCCATGAGAGCAGCTGCGAGGATAGGTGCGGTGACTCCGGGGAGGTCTAGGAGACTGAGATCAGCTTTAATCGATCGAGGCAGGTCCCCAGAGTTGAAAGCTCACAGATCCACACGTAAGACCTGTAGGTGTCGTCGATGGATTGAGACGTGTTGACACCTTTTGCTCGAAGGATGAGTGGCAAAAAGTAGCCTGCAATGTTGAAAGCCCAGAAATCCGCCATATACCTGAATGGCGAACGAGTCAGCTTAACGACCACGGGAATCAGCCCCTTCGTCCCACTCACGCCACGGCCATGACGACAAAGAGGTATTGATACACTTTTGTAGCGAAGAGACCTCTCAAATGTCCAAAGATCCTAAAGAATGAGCCGACCGCGACCTGTTTCGCATGCGTGCCCGTGGGAACCGGTTGAGGGTCAGCTCCGAGAGGCACGGTCGAAGTGTTGGTCATGCGTTGGCTTTCTTCGAATTCTAGAGCGTGGAAATCTTCCAATGTCAACCTCGGGGGAGGAACCTTGTTAAATTTGGCAACGCTGTAGAGGATATCCAAAGCATGCGCATCGTGACCCTTGGATAAGAGGAATTTGGGTGATTCTCTAAAGTGGAAAGCGACGAATCGGAGCGCAAAGATGAACAAGGTGATGGCGCCGAGGGTGATCATGGTGTATCGCCATCCCATGTTGTTAGATCGATGACAGCACGCGGGGGGGTCTGAAGGCAGACAAGGGCAAGAATATTTCGGAATCAGACCGTAAGAGATGACGGAGGCGACGACCACGCCGATAGGTTGGAAAGTTGACAATGCAGCGAGCAGGAACCGTCTGTTTTTGGGCAGAAACTCCAATGTGATGGTAGCGTCGATGGGAATGTTTCCACCGACTCCGAAACCGATCATACAGTAGAAGAAGCAGATGGCGGCGTAGTTTGACGGAGCGGCAAAGAGGAATCCAAAGATGGAAGCGATGAGACAGGTAATGTTGAAACACCATCGTCTTCCGACGATATCGACGAGTAGACCCCAAGTGAAAGCCCCGACCGTGAGCCCTACGTTGAAGGCTGTGGACAAGTCACCGACGTGATTATCATCGACGTCAAGTTCTTGTATGATGGCTGATCCGACGAGACCACCCGCTTGAGCCCAGCACAGATCGAGGAAATAACCGAATCCACAGAGAAAAAAGATACACCACTGGTACCTTCCCATGCCCATCGCATCGAGTTCTCGATTGATCAAGACGGATTTCTTCTCGTACAGGGAGAGTTCGATAAAACTTCTGGATCCAGGGATAGAATCCGATTCGACCGATCCAGCGAGTTCATCCGCTTTCGATTGGTATTCTGCTCCTTTGCCTTCTGGCAAGTTTGTATAGTCGATCGGTTGTTCAGTCACGGCGACACCATCTTTCTCCTTTCCACCACCACCACCACCACCACCACCACCCGATTGGGTCGGTGATGGACTTAGAGCCTGCTTTGTCTTACCCAACATGCTGAATGGGGCCAAGGGGATGAGGATGGTAAAACTAGATCGACGTGAATGTGATTCTTCCAAATCTTCCGATGTGTGAATATCGAGTAATGGAACCGCTTCGAGTTCTGCAGCGCTGTGATTATCCAACGGGAGGGAAGTAGGGGATCGATTAGCTCCTAGAGAGTTTCGACCTGGATGGAGATAATTGTTGTTGTTGTTGTTGAGGTGGTTGTCACTGCTTGAGGATGCGTTTAATGCCCTACCGTCTTCTTCCTCTTCGTTTAATTTTTTGACCCAAGCAGGGACTGGATCGATATGAGATAGAGGGAGATGATGGGGTAGCGTGAAGAAATGGGTGATCTCAAAGAGAGTGGTATAAGGTCGAGATGGGTCCAGCCAGGATGGCAATCGACGTGATGGAGGAATCTTGACGAGTGATAGAGGTGACCTCGGGCAAGGAGGTCGGTAAGAGCGAAAAGCGAAAAGGGGGATGGGGGGGAGGGGTAATAAATATATCTCGTGTGCTGCACCCTCGATCGCGCAAAGAGGTGGGTGTGTGGGTGACCTCGTGTGGTCTCTAACCCCGAAACGCTCCTCTGCTTCTGTGCTCTTGCCTCCTTCTTTGGATCGTTGCTGACAACGCTCTCTCTCTCTCTCTCTGTCCAGGCTCTGGGTCTCTGCTGTCGCCCCCCTCCTTCTTGATTTTCGTGACTGACCTTTTGGAAGAGAAGACTTTTGAATGAAATTTCCCGATGGGTCGAGTGGACACAGATCGGATGGAGATTAAATGAAAATGACGCCCCCCTGGAATGTAGCGACAGCGGTAGCAGCAGCAGCAGCAGCAGTTTGTCGGGATCAACAGTCTTACAACAACAACAGCAAGAAAGAGATGACAGCCTGCGCTGACTGGAATGTCGTTCACACGTTGACCGGTCCCCGACATTCAGAGATTCGTTCGTTCGTTGCTCGTTGTTGACAGCTATATAGCAATGTACTAGTTCACGTGAAGTTGGACTTGTTGCAGCCCGTTCTCGATCTTTGATCCTTCAGGCGAGCATCGAAGATGACGTCGGTGGGTGGTGGGATCTAGTGGGAAGCCATGGCGGAAGAGCGGAGGATGGTGGCGGATTTGATTAAGCATATCTTTTTTGGGTGGTTAGATGACTGATTCCCGCAAAAAATGAAGAAGAAGAAGAAGGTAAAAGACGAGAAAACCTCGCTGTGTGAGCAGCAGAGCAGCAGAGCAGAACAAGACTTTTCTAAGCGGCGACAAGGGTGGGATCCTAAGTGTGTACACACCATGGGATGGGGGACACCCCTGTGGCAATGTGGCGGCGGAGGCGGCGACGGCGGCGGCGAGAGCTGTGTGGCACTTCGGACATTCCGACAAGGCGTCGTTTCACCAGTCATCATCATCATCAGCAGCAGCAGCAGCGGCAGACCACGATCATCGGGGATATATAATCACACGAGTCCTCGAAATACATGCTGGGCTGGGCATTGTGGTGATGATCACCCTGTTCATTCTTCCTGATTAATCACATCGCGCTTTGACCATTTACATCTATGCTGTCGGATGATCAAATTTAGGTCCAGGTGCAGGTGGACCAGGTGCAGTCGTCTTGGCCGCTGTGGTGGAGGATTTGATCATCTCAGTGGGGACTGCGTGGGATTGGGACAACAACAGGTATGACGACTCACGTGGCGATCCCACTGTCAAGTGAGATAAGGATTGATTCACATTATCCATATTGACCGGTTGGGCCTTTCTCGCATCAGAGCTCGATTTCATAGGCGTAGCGATGGAGGCGTGATCCTTGGAAGGTGAACGATCTCCGAATATCCATTGACGTAGTGCCGATTCCATCTCCAAAGGATCTTTAGGTAGACTAATGGAGCATGTCAGGGTTTTTTTTTGCCCACCACCGTATTTTTAACCCCACCTGTCCACACCTATACTTGGCATCCACTTGTCCCCTTCGACGTGCTTGAAAAACCTCGGGGCAGGAGGTGATTCTCCTTTCGCTTCGCGTTGTCTGACCAGCTCCCGTTGACGGTCCTCTACCGCCGTCTTGGCAGCTGTGGCTCCGTGCATATCAGCAGCTTTGATCGCGTCGGTGAGCTTGGTCCAGAGCCTAAGGAACGAGTGCGTCAGGAAGTGTGTGGTAGACACGAGGGGTGGCCGTGCACGACGCTTGAATGCTCAGACACATTCGTCCAGAATTGGACCATGTATCGGCCACTCGACTCACCGCCTCGATTCGTATTCTTCCTGCTCGGCCTCTGGCAAGACACTCTTTGGAACGACCCTGGTCTTTGACGGATCGAACAGGACTCGTTTATGACTCGACTTCTTCTCCTGATAGTAAATGGTATCACTCCAATGTCCAGAAACCTCTCCACAAGACGAATCGTCGACCCGAACGGCACCGTGAATGCTGTTGTACCCGCCAGATATCCAGCCCTGGGTAGTCGCTCGTCAATCAAAAGGTTCTCGCCCTCCCTGCGTGCCCAACTTGACGTAGGTAGCACCCACCTTGGCTTTGAAGTCCACATCACAGTGATAATCTGTATTCTCGCACGTGATAGTTGACACATCACATAATTCCAAAGTCATCTTGCCGAACAAGATCCCCCGAGCATACGTGTTTGGCATCTGTAAACAAATCAGGGTTGGAAGCAAGATTCACGACACGTTTTGAGAACGTACCGTAATGACATAGTCTCCATCCTCTGGCTTGTTCAACAAGCGTATTCTGTCTTCCCCTTCCATGATCGTAGCTGCAGAGTTGCCTAGAAATTTTGATTTCGGCTTGAGTTCACCCGTCACCATGAGTCCGTTCTTGGGGCTACAGTAGAAGAACGCAGAGACGGGCTGAGCGCCTGTGTCAGCACACAATTATTCCTACGGGCTTTTTGGCTCACCGGATGATGCGACACCTGCTCGGCGACGTAGAATCCTTCCGTCCCATCTTCATAGATGTAGCTGCACCGGAAAAATTCGCCGAGGACGGGGTTGTATCTGCAAGGTATGAGCGGAACTAACCCGATACCATGCTCGAGAGGCTTACGGCTTCTTAACGCTGAGGATAAAATCTTAGTCAGCTCGGTCTCTAGCATCGCCCCGTTCGCGCGGCGTTGCATTCTCACTCACCCCTTTGGCTTGATATGCCATCCGGAAAGGTAGAATGTCATGACACGTATGAACCTCTCCTTCTCATCTTTCTCATCACCGGCGCTACACACAGAGAAAGAGAGAGAGAGAGAGGTAAGTTCACTTCACCGACGCTGAAGGAGTCATTTGCACTTGCCCAAATATCAGTTCTGGATGCGAGAAGAAATCTGTAATTCTTTCCAGGAGGGATCTCGGTTCGAGAACAAACGTAGGCAGGGCAATCTTGCTGAGATCCATGCCTGGGCGTACTGAGGGGGTGTGTCAGCGAAAGAAGTACAGTGTGAAGAGATGGGGAGATGGGCATAGAGTGACTAGATGCAGGGGGTGCCGAGGTGACGTGGTGGTCTTTCAAACCATATATGAGATAGATGACTCGCTGACTATGGGCCACGGTGGCCGGTCGTCTCCTGGCCATTGTAGACCCCTCTTTTGTGATGGTCTGCGCCGGAATGCAAGACCGCCCAGCTCATACTTCGGCCGGATGTCATCGAGTCCAAAGAGACTCACATTGCTGAACAATCGCCATGAGCACGTTTCCTTGATCCTTGTCTAAATTCGTGGTATCATGACCATCTCCCGCAACGCTTCCGCTCTCACTCGGAGCAGCAGATGCAGCATCATTCAATGTTGATCCTGCATCGGACTTGCTCCGGGATTTGGACCTCGCTAGCGAGTCCATACTGTTACTGAGGAGACCCATAGTGTTGTGTGGAGGCAGGCGGGGAAAGAAATAGGGTGTGACCTGGGGTTGGTCGTCGAAGGTCTATTCGATAGTAAGTAAGGGGGTGAAAGATTTGTATCGAGGGGATCCGGGGCCGCAGAGCTTCTAAGACACGCTAAGAGGAGGCAAGGTCGAATTTTGCTCTACACTGTTTCTGGAGGTTTGATGGCTCGGACTGAACAACTGCTTCGGCGTGTGTCCTACGGACGCGGCTAAAAGTAATCCTGTGAGTTCTTGGCCGAGCCGAAAGTCCAGCACCGGAGTCGAAGATGAAAGCGAGCGGTCTCTGAGGTGCAACAAAGTCTGTGACACTGTCCTATGGTGCTCTATTTCCGGTAAAAGGACAGGAAGCCCTCCCTCGTTGTCGTCCTGAGTCTTTGGACGACACCAGCTGTAGCCAAAATCGTGTTGTATGGAGATTGGAAAGGCGGCGCAGAAAATGACGAGGCCATGCCCCGGGTGCAGCATTGCATTGATTACATAATTCATTGACGTCAGCGCGAAAAAAGAACCTCCTAGCTCTCACTCATTAAGGGGGATTGACAGAGCAGCATTCACGATCGAACTTCGACGATAATTTACATAGATCCCTTTTTCATTCTTCATCCCAAAGAACTGCTCGCTCCCTCTCTTCAACGTTGATCATCTTCAACCTCAGGATGTTATCCAGTACACTCCGATCGACCACCGGAAGGACTCTGTCTCGCCAGCTTGTCAACCTCAAGCCTGGTTCAAAGGCTTCCAACAACCGACACTATGCGACATTTCAACCTTACACTCCACCTCCCAACACATCCGCCAGGTCCATCATCTTATTTGGACTCGGTGTAGCGGGTCTGGGAGCAGGTGCCTATTACTTTTCTCAACAGGGAAGAGGCGTCATCATCAAGTATTTACCACCTTATGATCTACCTTCGTCTCCGGATCACAGTGTATTGGCCAAAGGCAGTTTGAAGGAACCAGGTATACATTCGAGAAGTGGTGAGTTTTGGCGCACTGCAGTGACGGGAGGGTAGATACACGAATGAAGGCTCTCTCTCTCTCTCTTTCGCTGACGCTCTGCTCTCTCGCTCTTCGCTCCTTCCCATATAGGCCCATCCGAAGCTGCCAAATCCGTTCATCCAGTCCTCAAGCAATCTTCCGAATCTGCTCCTGCTCAAGCTCCTTCCGCAATGAAGGAAAAGCTTGCCGAGGCTTCGGATCCATCTGAAGGTGCTTTCAACGAAGAGACCGGAGAGATCAATTGGGATTGTCCGGTGAGTCTTGCGAGTCGAGACCATTTTTGGTCATGGTCGTCGTCGCTTCTCGAGTCACCATCTCCCGAGGATGGCTGTGAAACATGTCAGCAAGACTGGAGATCAATGGATGACTCCACGGCATCTATTTGCTCTTTGGCGATGATGATGCTCCAGGGGACAAGTCCCCCATCATTTTCAGTTCCTCGCGTCTCAATATCCAATCCTCTTCGTCCCCGCACGCTTTGTGGCTGACGCTCTTGCCCTGTATCTTAGTGTCTCGGTGGAATGGCCGATGGACCCTGCGGCGAAGATTTCAAAGCTGCCTTCTCATGCTTTGTCTTTAGCGAAGCTGAACCAAAAGGAATGGACTGTGTCGAAAAGTTTAAAGCCATGCAGGATTGTTTCAGGGAACATCCGGATGTCTATGGAGAGGGTGAGTGGGCTGTTGTCAGCAAGAGAGAGAGCGATTGCGTTGGTGTCATGTCTCCATTACGCTCTTTCCTTCTTCTTCGTCTGTCCTTCCTCTCCGACGACGCAAGGCTTGCGCGCCTCTATCGTGCTTCATAGTGGACAGTCTACTGACGCCCGATCTCACCAGTAGAGATCGAAGATGACGACGATACGCCCGCGAGTTCCTCTAAATCTTCTGCTCCTTCCTCCAAGGACGATGACTCACCTGCCCACCCTATCCCTGGAAACCCCGTGGGTGATACTCGGACGCCAAGACAGAGAGAACAAGGACTTCCGGGCGTTCCCAAGGATACTCCACCTGAGAATTCACCAGTGCACAGTGCCACGCCGAACAACTCGCCAAAGAAGGGTCCAAAGCATATTGAAAAGTAGGCGATCACCCTCAAGCGAGCGAGTGCGAGCAGTTTCTGGTGAAGACTCCAGAAGTTTTTTGAGTGGTAGGGAAGAGGAACGAGTGGTTTAAGAAGGTGCCGTGGAGACTGGCTTTTGAGTTGATACAGGCATATTGTGGGGGAATGGGACATCAGATTAGTCTGTCTTGGTCTAGAGAGGGGGATAGAAAGAATATAGGTCAGGTTAGAAAAGCAGTAGCAAGGCAAAGAAGGCAATGGCAGAACATTGAAAGCATGCACATAGGTATAAGGGGGTTGTTCACTTAGTATTGGACTCAAACACGAAAGGAACAAGACGAATCCGATCATGGCGTGAGAGTCCCCGACGCATTGTTTGGACGACCTCCCATCCATTGTGCGGAGGTGAGTGACAGTACCCATCGTCAGAAACGTGGCATCAGATCGACCGGCTGTGCCTAGGACCGTCGACCACTGATGGCCTGATTTGTACACACACACAAAGCGAGTGATACATGCCAAATGATAGCCAGAGATGTATACAATGTCAGTCGATCATGAGGAGAATGAGAAAGGTTTTGACTGACAGGTATATGATCACGATACGTCATGATTCTACACGGGATGATGATGCTAATGTACAAGACCGCGACGAGATTCGGAAAAAACACTTCGACCTGGATGGACAAGTCCCTCTACTTGCCCATGTCGAACCACTCGTCAAGGTCCTCCAAATCCACCGCTCGACTGGAGATATAACCTTCTTTATCCTCCACATAGGCGCATATGTCACGCTGGACAGTGCTGAAGATACATCTTCCATCGGCCAGACAGAAAGATAGGCGATAAGACTTGACGGCCGCTTGCATGCCTTTACACGCCATCGTGGTGATCTGCGTGCGAGCGAGCGCGTGTGGGTTGAGGGGGGGGAGATATAGAGAGAGAGAGAGAGAGAGAGAGAGAGAGAGAGAGAGAGAGAGAGAGAGAGAGAGAGAGAGAGAGAGAGTAAGCAATCATTTCTGGGATTCTTCCATTGGAGTATATATACTACTGTGCACTCACCTCGTGCCTGTCCTGTCCGCGGAATTTGCAAGTCCCAGTCGTCGTCCAAACTTCCACGTCGTCCGAATCGTCGCCACCTCGTTCCAACGCAGAGGAACGACTCGACCCAGCGCCAGAATGTTCGTCCTCCATCTCATCTTCTTTCCGCCTCGGACGACGACACACTTGCTCCAATTGTATGTTGGCAACGTGTCGCCGTTTCGCCCATCTGGCAGTGCGTTCAGAGAGGTAGAAAGCGTACCTTGAATTACCAGATACAGCCGGGGCGATCGTGCACTGTGAACATGTTATAAGCTTTATAGCCCTGAAATGAGGTTGGGTACTCGCAATTGGTGGGGATCCAAACCATCGATTCGGTCCAGGAGGGGCATCCACGAGCTCGAGTCAAAGTCAGCGCCGAGCTCGGTAATCTCTGCACCATGACGGCCCACCTGGCAATTCCCGACGAGCTTGTACCACCAACAATTATTCTCTCCCGTGTTCCCATACCGCCCTCTAAAGTTCATCCAGTGTCCTTTTCCTTCGTGATTTACTTTGGTCCGATTCTCATGGCTATTCCAATATTGAAACGGTATGACGGAGCCTTTGGTATCCCAGATTGGACCAGCGTCGTCACAAATGTCCACAAGTTTGATATAGTTGAGTAGCTGAGAGTCGCATCAGTAACAGAGCAACAATTACAGACAGTCATGGCGCGGGTTACAAACGGTGAGGGTGAGAGATCTTGGCTCACCGGTGCCAATTCGTGGTTTCCAGGAGTCGGCCAAATGCCATGTGATCCCGCTGCGATGTAGCCTACAGGTCTTCCATCTTCCTTCTCTACATCCTTCCATCTCAAGGTTCCTGAGACAGTTGGTCCACCGCTGTGCGCATGGTAATCGACAGATTCCGCCGTACCATTGATTGTCCTCATACGGATATGTTCCCAGTCCCCTACATGGTTCCCAATGACACCGAAAGGGCCTGCAAACTTGCCAAAGTTATAAGGGTAGTAGGTCCAATACCAGAGGTCCTGATGCATACGTCAGCACACGAGTCTGGCGCTACCCCCGCTTCGAGCATGCGGTGAGAAGGAGTTGGAGTCGGACACCGAGGGACGGCTCACCACTACGCCTCTGCCTTGATCCACCCAGAACCCATAAATGTCCTCCTTTACTCTCCCTCTGCCATCCCCTCCGTCCTCCATTCCTCCGTCCTGACCGGCAGGACCGAGCAGATATTCAGCAGAGGGTTCGATGAATGGTTGAGGATTATGAGGTTCAGGGATGGAGAGGAAGTAGTCTTGACCACGACGAGGGAGGGAGTCGAGATTGGACAAGGTGAGGTTATTGGGGTTCTGACAGATGTAATATCAGTACTTAGAGCTTTTTGAGTGTGCCACAACGCCAAGCGAGTACTCACGAGATAGTGCTTTGACCCGTTGACCGTGGCCTGAATGGCAAGCAGTCGTCAGCATGCTCAATGAAGAGCTAGAAACTTGACCAGCTCACATAGGTAAAATGAGGTAACATGTATTCTACCGAGCTTGGAAAGTACGCTTCGGCGATTCTGTCGGGGTGAAGTGAAGGGGTCAGCCAACCTCCGCTCCCTTTCGAGACCTGGACCGTGACCTCAAGCACTCACGAGAGTTTCAATACAGGAGCGTACTTGTCAAGCAGGGCGATCATCGCCTCGTGACCTTGATCATGCTTGAGATCGTCAGATATCAGCTTGTCCTGAAGAAGATCCCCAGATGAGGCATCGAAGCTATGCTGAAATGTCAAGCCTGAGTATCCTCTCGTAGGTGATGCCGAGGTCAACGAAAGGAGGACAAGCGAGTCCAAGATGAGTGATAGCTGGGGGACCTTGAACAAGGGCTCAGCGAACTACCTACGGCGTTTCTATGGAGGCGGACATGCTCACCATCATCTTGAACAACTACTGTGTTGCAAGTCCATGTATGCAGCGATGTTTGACACTCATCCACTATGCCGTAGGCGGGGGCAGTTGACTGACTGAATTCGATGATGATGCTGTCGTTATCTTGGAACACGTTTTGCCGCCTCAAAACTCTAATTTCCCATTAACCGATGCCCGTCGGGGAACAAACATTTGGGTATGGCAGTGCCACTGTCTACTCGATTTACTCAGAGCCAAAGCGCCAAGTGTTCGCCTACACAGTGTAACATCTCCAAACACCAGGTACATGATGCCCATACGATAGTAAAAAGATCATACCGCACCGAAACAGACGCGAGATCAATTCTGGACACCCCACAGCTATGTAGCGACCGAAAGCTGGGAATCTCACCCTGCCCATCTGCACCTGGGAGGTCCTTTTGAAGGTCTTCTGGTGGGTTTGCCGCTGGAGAGGGGGAACATGACTTGTCCAGCGATCTCAGAGCTTGCTGACCGAGCCTATCCTCGACCTTTCGCTTTCTCCAGGCGTTTTCCAGGAAACTGCGATGACGATGATGATGATCCTCCTCTCTCTCGATGATCCTCTCAACATTATCACGTCCGGACAGATATCACAAGCGGCACGTTCCTGGCTTGCTGTGAGGTTAAAACATCAGTATGTGAGTCTCGGATGAGGGATGTCGGATGCGGAATGTCGAGCACGTTAGCCTTCGGCCTCTCTCTACCGGATGGGCGAGTCTCAGCGCCGCACTACACGATCACTGCAGTCGAAAAATGTAACAACATACAGTATCATAAAGCCGAGACCACATGCTACACGTCTAAACACTCGTACTGCTCAGCTCAAATGGGCATTCGACATTACTGATCTGAGTCTGTGAGAACGGATGAGTGACCAGACCAATGATGGACATCCGGAGCTCGAGTTGCAGCATGAGGCCTGTAACACGGTCAAGGGGCAAGTCGTGGTTGAGAGGCAACGCTTCACTCACCAGTTCTATTTGTACCTGGCCAAATATGCCCACACGCGTTGTACATATTGTTCCCTGGCAGAGTGTGAGCTATAGGAGGTGAAAGTGCCGGGCAACTCACACGTCGGATCTGAGCTGTTCAAGGCAGAATAGGAGAACTCCACTGGGAGAACCACAGGGGCATTTTGTTGCCGTGGAATCACATGATTGCCATAGTTGCCAGTCGCGATGACCTCGGAAGTGGAAAGGTCATATAACGTAGCTTCGATGTTGGAAAAGTGGACGGGGAGGTAAGAAGGGGTGGAGTCGGCTGCACGAACGGTTTCAGCTGAAAATATCACGATGGATTGATTGGCTATCAGCTCACCAAAGAGGTTTAAATTACCCGCAAAGGAGAAGTTTGTCGGCGTCCGACTGAATGCAATGGTACCATTGTTGACGGTGAACGGTTCCGTGACGTAAAAAGTGAAACTCGGTGCTCGGGGAATAGTGATAAATAGGATGATGGCAAGGCTGAGACGAGCTGTCAGACTCAGGGGACCTCGGGTGTACATGGTTTTGGCAGAGACTCACGCAACGAAAAAGAAGAAGAGCACAAAGACAAGCGTCTTGCGTGTCAACCATCGTGCACCGCACAGCCCCTTTTGATCTCGTGTCCAGGATCGCCAAGCTGCTGTGCGCTTCTCTTTACGAACCTCTGATTGACCTCGGCGCGACATGTCGTGCAATTCGCCTCGTTGCCATCTGGCAAACTCGTCAGAGATAGCGACTCTTCGCGCTGTGAAACCGGACATACTCCGCTCCTAATACTGGCACAGATACCAGCTCCTCCTTTGACCTGGCGTCATTGATCGATGGCGTTGGAAGGTCCAGGTGACTGGATATCGGCCGATAGCTAAAGGCAATGAGCAATGACAGCGCGTAGCACCTCGGATCCCAACTCACCTTTCTGAATCATCTGCAGCCTTCCTAGGACTGTACCTCTCACTCCATCTCGGTCCATCACCGTCGAAATCCGCCCTCACATCAAAGTTTTTATCCCCATCGTCCAGGTATTCTTCTCTGCCTCCCAATGTCTGATCCCTGTATCCTCGCTCAAAAGTCGAGAAGTCATACGACTTGGATGCCCTCGATCCTAGAGAATAGGATGATCCAGGACGTGGAGGCGCAATGTCATAAGTATGTCGCTCTCTCACTTGCTCATGATACCAATCGGGAGGCGGTGCCATTTTGTATCCTGGAGAAGCGACGTCGGCGTAGGGTTGCAGATTGTGTCGAGAGCACCATTGAGAATAGGCTGAGACTGGTCGAAGGGGCCGAGAATTGTCACTGGACTCGAATGATGACATGGTGCGGTGTGTATGTGGTGGTGTTTCGAGCACCTAGATGGAAGAGTGTTGGACGATCCGCGTCCTGCTTGGCACGTGTAGCGAGGAGAGCGAACGGGATCCTGTGATGATAAGGTAAAGATGTCCAATCCCAGAAAAGAGATGAAGAGGACGATGCTTTCGAGTCTGTGTCTTACGATGGATGATGAACCGGTGTAAAAAGCTACAAGGGCGATGCGAAAAAACGAAAGTAATGTGTTTTTTCCCTTCTTTTTCACCACGATGCCCCCTGTACTTTCAAGCGTCAGTCGTGATGCGGGGCAAGACCGGGTGGGGGGCTGCGCAAAGCATACACAGCGGCAGAAGAAGGAGAGAGGGGGATAGATAGTTGAGCGTCGAATCAGGAGAGATAGATATGATGCCCGTTCAGGCGTCGAAAGAATACCATTCCCATCTTGTAATAATAATAAACCTTCGCGCTAATCCGCCCAGCCCCTTTCTCTCTCTCAGGGCGATGGTGTGGGGCTCCATGTGTTTCAGCATGTCACGTGGTGATCCTGATTAGCTTCTGCCACATCGATGCTAATGCCGACCAGAGGGGGGATTCTAATGGGGATTTGGATTAAAATGCCGAAAGTGGCAAATTGAAGCCCATAAACAACAACCAGAGACCTAACCGCCGCCGCCTTTCCTATTCTTTTCTTTTCTTCCCCCTCTTCCTAATACAACCCACCACCTGGGAATTACTTCCTAATAACCACCTATTCTTCACACAGTACTTCATAGACGATTATAATCCACCACCAATGGACTCGATCTACCCGTTCCAGGCTATGGGACAGCACCTCCAGAATGCTGGTGAGTCGTCCAAAGGAAAGGGTGTGCGTGAAGAGGGGCGTGCTGTTGGGTCGCAAGGTCATCCTTCGCAACGCAACTGCATCTGACACGCCTCACAACCACCCCAATCCGCCATGCTGCTGCTGACTTTGGTCCTCCTACCAGTCGCAGAGCTGCCACACCAGATGCCACAAACGACCTATGCTGGTCCATCATGGGAAGAGATGGAAGCGAAACGGCAAGAGGTGAGTTTGGGGGCCATGGAAGAGCGATAAGAGTCCAAACCTTGACACGCCACTCTTCCTTGTTTCTTCCATTCAACCAGATGATCACCTCGTTCAAAGATATTGCAGCGGCCATGACTCGCTGTGTGGCGATTATCGAAGATTACACTCGACTTACGCCCTCGAGTCTCGCTCTGGACAATACGGCCGATCAATTCAATCTCGGAACGGGCGCTGCTCAGGCTCTCACGGCTCCTCCGATCTCTACCAAAGTCAGTCGGAAAGTCGATGCGGACGGAGTGAAAATCAAGAAGAAAAAGGAGAAGAAACCCAAAGATCCAAACGCACCTAAACGCCCACCTTCAGCGTACCTCTTGTTCCAAAACGATCAGCGCGAGGGAATCAAGAGCACTCGACCTGATATGGCCTATAAGGACATCCTCTCAGAGGTGTCAGAGAGGTGGAAAAACTTGACGCCAGAGCAGAAAAAGGTGAGAGTGCCTCATGGCCCTTTCATCCTCAAAAGCCTTTTAACACTGAATGCCACACACCTCTCAGTACTACGATGACGCGTACAACAATGCCAATGAAGAGTATCGCAGAGCCGATGAGGCGTACAAAGCGGGCGGAGGCATCCCCGTAGCTGCAGCTCTAGCGGCTGCCGACTCAGATTCGGACTCTGAAGACTCGGACGACGTGAGTGGCAGCAACTATAAAGAGCGTCCCAGAGCTTCGGTTTGACTTGCTTCCTTGGCAGTCCGACGCCGCACCCAAGCTAAAAGCACCACCTTTGATTGCTGCCCCGCCTACTCTCCTCGCCGCTACGGATTCTAGCAAAAAGGACAAGAAGCGTAAGAATAAGGAAGAGGCGATCATGCCAATCATTCAGACGGATGCGGATAAGAAGGTGAGCAGTGGAGGTCATCAGGTCATGCAAAAGGCCTCACTGAACGACCACTCTACAGAAGAAGAAGAAGAGCGGCAAGGAGTAGAAAGAATAATGTTCCTACAGACAGTTTGAGAGCGTGTTCGCGAAAGCATCCTGTGCGATTCTCCAGAAGCGAACAGCGATCATCTTCGCCGTGACAGTTAGATCTGTTACAGTTTCTGGGCCCTTTTGAAGCCATGTCCCTTACATGTAAATACGAATGTATCGTCGCTTATGGTGTGGACATCTACAAAAGACAGCGACGCCTTACGTAATTCACGCCATGTACAGCCATTCGCCTCCGCACCGGAAAATGTAAGAGGGGGGCGATGCTGGAATTCTATCTTGTCCATCTGTATACATCACCTACCACGAGCCTTGACGGCCTCGAAGCACCATTCACAACCTGCAGTGCGATAACCGTCAGTGACGTATAAAGGATATCTCTTTTTGCACCGGGAGCTGGGATCTGAACGGATCGCTACTCAAAAACACCCAAACCTAGGCCTGTCCGCTCACGGCTGCGACCGGATTGGCAAAGCCTTTGAGAGCGAGCGGCGGGTATTCGATTCCGATAGATTTTTGATCCAAACTTTGTGAGGCGATCAATCTGGTGTTATATAGGACGAACTCGTTCCAACTATCTGTGAAAGGGTCCGAGAAGGCAGCTCATCATTTGGCCCGTACTGCTACTGCTAGTCATCGACCTTGGAGCTGGAGTATCCGACCTTTTATACAGTCTCACCCCCCCTTCACTGCGGTTTCCGGTGTCCACACCACCGATTCCTATTCTTGGAATTTGGGGGTCGCACTTGATCCAGTGGTCGCTAAGCATCCCTCTGGAGTGACCCCAAATATTGACACAACCATCGACAACACAACCTTCTCTCACTTGGTCACGAGTCACCACCTAAAAGCACCATCATCATGGGCGTCCGATTCCGCAATGCTACGCCAGGGACGCTCCTCATGCTCGCCGTGACTGGTCTTCTGGCTGTAGTGTCTTTCAACACGCCCTTGTTAAAGTCACTTTACTTTCTTCACGCGACGTATAGCTCTGGAGAATACAGTGGTCAAATGTACCTTGGCACCATGGGATATTGCTTGGATTACCAAGGGACCCAGACTTGTGAGGGTCCAACCATAGGCTACGAGTTCAGTGAGTGGAGACTTCATCCGGGTCATCATTATTTGTCGCTCATGCAAAACCAGATCCCAATGAGCTTTTTGGTATCTCCCTCTTCGACATCCCTACAACCATCACCAAATACCTCACTTACACCCTCGTACTCCATCTCGTGGCTCTCGCCGCTGCCGCCGGGTCATTCGTCTTTGGTCTCCTATCACATATCGGGACCATGGGTGTCTGGTGTTTCCCAACTTGCCTAGCATCCATCGCATCGTCCACTGCGCTCATTGCACTCGTGTTCGATCTTGTGATCTTCTACATCGCCAAAGCGAGAATTGACGATGTCAACGGCGCCAGTGCAAACATCGGTATCTGTGTCTGGCTCGTCCTCGCAGCTTGGTTATTGGCAGGGTTTGGTGGTTGCGCCTTTGGACTCGGAAATTGTTGTCTGTCTCGTCGGAACAATCGAAATTCTGGAGATCCAAAGATGGATTATTATTCCAACTCGTTCAATCGGTCTGACGATATGCGTCTTCAGGCGTTAAGAGACGAACAATTGCGCAAGAAGGAACAGGGTCTACCGAGCTTCCAAGAGTTGGAGCGGACGCCGTTGACTGGGACGGGTGGAAACGATGCAGAGGACAAATATCTGTACGAAGAGCAACCTATCCCTCGATCTCGATCCACTGGGTCTGGCTTGGCCAGAGACGGTAGTGTGCTGCAGGGCGTAGGGTTGGGCTACGGTAGACGAATGCCTGGAGGAGCGGGAGCCGCTGAAGCCTACCCTCAAGGAACGTTTGGGAATGGTTATGGCGGCTACGAAACGTTGCAGCAACCTCCTAGCTTGGCGAGAAGAATATCCAACTCATCCGGCGTGACTGCTGGGAACGCTGGAGTCGGCGCTGGAGGTCAAGGTGTGGAGGCACCGGAAGTGCCTCAGAATCAAAGTGGAGGATATGGAGGCTACTATGGGCAGAATCATAATTGTGAGCATGGCAGACATCCCGGCTTTATGACCTTTATGACCTATCTGACGCTCCTGCAACGAAGACTACGAGACTTATAACGATCCGTACCAGCAAAGGCCTCAGCAAGGATCCTACGAGTATGGTCATGATGGATACAATCCCAATGGACAGCAACAACAGTATGATCAGCATTACGGCACTGCTTCCAACAACCCTCATGATCCAAATCACTCCTCCTACGACCGCAATGTTCAAGGCTATGAACCCCAGTATGGAACTGCCATGACTGGGTCCACGATGGAAATGCCAATGCCGAGTCCGAAACACGCGTCGTCCAATTCAAACACTCTCGCAGCAGGTGCTGCTGGCGGCGGGCGATACGTATCAAATCCAGGTTCTAGCGAATCCCACTATCCAGACGTTGGACCTTCCGTCTCACATGCCGCAGATCCATACGGAGGCTACGATGATGGACTCGGCGCGATTGGTATGGCCGCGACCTCTCCGAGTTTGAACAATCCTCATCAATCGTATGATCGAGCCGGGCCAAGCAGAGGTGGTAGCGGTGGAGCAGCGTACGATAACCCGCAGATTCAGGTTCCTCAACCTCAACATTTGACTTCTTCTTCCCAAAGTCAAAACAACATTCTTCATTCACCGGTATCTCCCGGACCCGTAGGACCGGGACATTATGGTCCAAACGATTACAGAACTCAAGACCATGAGAGCGATGATGCTGGGGACGTAGACGCTATGGGCAACAGACCACCGTCGTACGGTCAGATCGCAGGTGCCCCGAATACGAGTTGGAATACAACGTCGAGAAATGAAAAGTCCGGATATAGGTGATCTTGGTGGCGGGCAATGCGATGGAGCATCTTGAGAATCAGAATGCAGCCCGGTCTGCGGGGATTGTTGTAGGTCTCAATTTGTAACACCTTGGTAGTCTGCAGACCGGCGGAAGGATGGAGGGAATCTTTAAGTGGGCTTTTGGTTTGTATGCTGCCACTGAAGGGAGGCCTTGTGTCCAGGCTCGTACTGCCATGTATAAAGTGATGTCGGCACGATCTGCAGAAGAAGGCTTGTATGAATAGACTCAAGACTCTACAGCGGCGCATACACGGGATTCTGAAAGTTGGAATGATTCATGCCTGGGTATCTTGTCCTGTCAAAGAAAAGGAATGGGTCAAGGAAACCATGTGGCAAAATAGGAGCCATCGAATGCCCCAAGTCGCCGCCAGTCTTCCATTCTTGTACGAAGACCTTCCGTCTCCATTCCCCTTGCTCACGCTGTCCTGATCCCATGATCCCCTCCCGCCTCCAGACAAGATCGGATTCAAAACGCCTTCAACGCCTCACAGTCATCCACTACTGTCCTCAGTCTATCCCTCCAAAAATGTTCACACCATTCTTTTTATACTAATTATTCTCCATTGGCGTACAGCCTCGTCCACTCCTTAGCCTGAGCGATAGCTGCCTTTTCATCCTCTTTCCAATTCTGAGCGACATCGTTGGCGAGTGGGTCGTCAGGGTTCGGCGCGCCGAGCAGAGCTTGGATGGAGAGTCTGGATGAATGTCAGAGCTGGTCACAGGGCTAAACGAGTTCAAGGTGCATGATCATGGAGAGGATTGGACTCGGGGCTCGTAGACAAACTCACAATACTGTCCTGATTTGCAATGCTGGAGACCACTTGTCTTTCAGAATATCCAAACAAATTCGACCGAGCTTGTCAATGTTTGGGTGACTAGAGAGAAGCAGTCAATTCATCGTGTGATGACTGATACGAGCACGCAAGCTACTCACTAAATTCGCGTGAGGAATCTCACTTTGGGAGGGTTCATAGGGTACTCATCAGGTAAGAAAAGCTCAAGTTTGAACACGCCGCCTGACGGTAGGTACAGTCAGCTTCTGTCTCGGGAACAGGGTACAGGGATTGAGGTAGGGGACGAGAATGGAGGAGGCACAATGATTAGGAGAGTGACAGTCTCGCTCCCTTCGCAATCCGAATCGGCTCGCCATAAAACAACTCACCTTCGTATGGCGATTGATCGGGTCCAGCAACGGTCACATCGAAATGACGAAGATTATCGTTGTTGGGAGCCGCAGAAATGCCAGGAGGTGCATCCGACATGAGACGTTCGGTCTCCTAGAAGCACAAAGTGAAAGCATATGAGCATTAGAGCGGACAATGGCCAACGGTCGACGAGAAGGAGTGATTGAGATGCAGCAGGACAGTGAACATGTTGAATAGTGCGTGTGTGATTTGGATTTGTCATTCAGGCGTAGGAAAGATCAGTGGGCGATGATACAGACCGTCAGCTAGATCTCGAGACGGGAAGAGAGAGGGCACAACCTCACCTTGAGGATACGTTTGGGAAGAGCTGCCATGGTGATGAGAGGTTGTCAGAGGCTGAAAGGGGAGAAGATGAGATGGACACGAGGTCGATGAGTCGCTTGAGGTGTGCGGATTCAGCGATCTACAATTGGGGGCGAGGCTTGAACGAAGAGCCTAGACCTTGACTGTGAGAAACAGCTGTATGATCTGCTGAGTGATGGAGCGGGGTAGCTCGTGCTGATGCTTTCCGAGCAAGTTGACGAGTGGTAATGTGTTATGGCGTCAAAACGTCGACGTTGCGGCGAAAGGCAGGAAGGGGATTGTGACCTCATACTCGATTCCGAATTTATTAATGCCTCCGTAATTGACATTAGAATTTAGGCAGATCCCATTAGAAAATCACTCAGGAACCACAGCAATGCATATCCGTATTATACGATATGATGGTAACGGATGATTGAACCTCGAGACACGGAATTCCAGCCTCTCTCTACAGCTACACGGATGATGCAGATGAAGTAGATCCAAGCGGCAGGCTTGAGGGGGCAGTCCACTGATATCGGTTATCCCCGAGCTCTTCGTGAAAGCTGAGTCGACAGAAGCATCGTCGTTAGCCATGATGAACGGCTTCAACAATCAGCTCACTTCATGTACACACGGGATAGATCTCCCTGCTCGCCTTGATACTGCTTGAGACTTTCCAATCGATGACTGACTTGCATGGCGAACGGATGACGTTGAGCATAGAGCAGAATGGCGGTGCTATGAGCTGCGTGTGAGAAGACCATGGTTGACGAAGATTACAGCACCCACCGGAGCGTCTGGGAGTCTGTGTAGAATGCCGACGCAGCGCCCAGATCTCCCGCCTTCAAAGCCGCATCGTTGAATTGCGCAAGAACTCTGGCACAGCTGAACCAGCTCATCATGCAGGATACAGGAAGCAGTGTGACTGTGAAGGGAGTCAAAGGAGTTGTAAAGTGTGAACCGACTCACGATCAAAGCTCGACCCAAGCACTACAGGGAAAGCGTCAATGATTGGCAGGACTGCAAAGAAGGGCTGTAGCACCCACGATCATGGACGATTGTCACGATGTCATTGATGGCACCCAAAGCTGCGAGAGGCAATGGCGACCTATAGTTGTCCTGAATCACAGGTTCCGCTAGCTGAGCGTAAAGCCTAAAAGTACGACGTCAGCTTCCGAGGGCCGGGCGCATCCTCAGTCACAGACGAACGCATGTGTGCACAGAATGGCTGCCAACATGTCGACATCCATATCTTTCCCGATGTCAGGTCGACGACGGCTCGCCGGGAAGCTGGCCGAAGGGCCTCGATTTTTGCTTCCAGCTCGATTCGTACAGGGTGTGACATGTACCGACTGTGCAGTTCATCAAGCTCGGTGATGTTGGCGATCCACGGTGATGGCTCACCTGAATGTGTGCGAGTCTCTGGCGTATTCCCTGACGCAAGTTGCGATCTCCTGTGCCAGCCTGGAGGCTTTGACAGTCAGGGTTAGACTCTGTGTCTAGTCAGCTCCGATCTGACACTCAGTATGACACCTACATCGAGCATGTGTGCTGGATCTAGCATATGGACCATCAGTTATATGACAATCTTTTCACATGTCTGCTCACGCGCAGTGTAGAAGTCTGGTGAGCTAGACTGGATCAATTGTCATCTCGAAGAATATGAGCTTACCGAAACGTCTGCGTTCCCACCAGCAAGGAAGCTTCAAACCCTCGGTCAAAGATCTCCTGCTTGACCGGCAATTCTAGCGTGATCTCATCGGCATGCAACGACTGAGAGGCTCACATCAATCACGAGATTCGTTTCACGAAAAAACCACTCACACTTGGCCAATTTCCAGTTATGTTCATGTTCTCAGTCTCGATATAAGCGCACCTGATCTGATGAGCCAGGCTTCTAGAGCTGGAGTCAATCTTGCGGATTCACCAAAACGTTCGGTCCATCTCGGCTCGCTCCAGAGGCGAGGGATTTGGCGGTAGTACTCGGCCAGAATATCGATTGAAGCAGTCTGTTGGAACGTCTAAGGGATATGAGCCCCAACTCGGGCTGAAGGCTGACGCCACGCCCAGACGCACTACGAGTCTCGTTCATCTGCAGAGCTACGGCCAACCGCATACACGCTCCAAGTTCTTGCCACATGGCAAAAGCTCTGCTCATGGTATAAGTGAGGCTGTGGTGGCTATACCAGAGTGACACACCTCGGTAGCAAAGTATCCACATGAGTAATGATTACGAGAGCTGCCTCGAGTCAGTCTCCAGATCGAGCCTCGAGACCCACTCTGCAAGCATTGAACTAATCGATCGCCTATCTCAAGCTGTTCGGCCACTCGTTCAAGCGCTCTTTTTCTGTACCAAGCTTGGAACACAGGAGTCACTTCTTTGCCTTCCAAGTCGTTCGGCGATGACAGGAACGGAAGCATGCCATTGGATCCTCTTGATGACTCTCCGCCCCTCAGCCTGAGCGGCGTGAACGCTGCGGTCCGAAGCGTGGAACCGGGGATGAACGGAGCGGCGGCAACGATCATGGCGTGCAAGAGGGATTGTGACTAGGTAAGCTGAGGTCAATATGAGAATGAGGGGGACAAATACGACCAGGCTTACGGGGAAATGAGGACTTGTGGGTGGTAGATGTAATCTGGCCATAAAGGTGGCTTTGTGGATCATCTTGTTGACGGTAGGTACCTTGCGGAAGAAGATCTCGGCGCAGAACTGTGAGAGAATTGAGCCGCATGATCCGAGTCTCTTATGACTCACTTCGACGGTCTGAAGGCTGGGGAGGTCAGGTGGCCAACTGAGAAACCTCATCAATCTTTCGATTCGACGTTCTCAGCCAAGGCCGACTCACTCTGGCCAGAACAAGTCATCCGCAGACGCAGCAGAGGTCCGGTCACCAGTGCTCATCTGAGCCAGGCTATCTTCTTCAGGGTCGTCATATGTTGTCCCTCTTGATCTCTTTCTCGCAGCTTGGGCTTGGTCATGGTCCGACGAATGAATTGATCCACTCCGACTTGAAGAAGCTTGGGCCGGATCCCCGGGAGCAGGTTGATCATATGTGCAGTTGACGCTCAATGTTCTTCTCATCGGATTTCGACAAGGTGTACATAAAGGCCGTAACCCGTCACATTTCTGATGCTCCACGTATCAGATTCGAGCCCATTTCATCTGCGCGTCATGTTCTCACCCTCTTGGCTTTGCTAAATCAGGAGGGCGGGACTCAGCATCGGTCCTACCGGCTGGAATGATGAGCAGACTCACCGACATTGATGACAGGCTGCATTCCTAGCCATCACAACATGGCTCGCTGCTCCTCGATCACCCTGCATATCTGCTCGTCGACGTCGGATGGCCTAGATACACCATAAACAATGCCTTTGAAGGTATTCAACGCCGAGACCCGGACATTACGCGGAGATCCAGGGCATCTCCGCTATCTCTTAGATTTTTGGGATCTATTTTTGTGGTCCACTTGTATGGATGACATTCTGATCGGACTGTATTCCAGCCTTTCGACACAAAGTAGATTGTCCAAGTCCCAGACACAATGGTAAGTGAACGATACAGAATTACAGATAAGAGCAGTGTGCTGAATTCGTTCTCAAAAATCAGGGCAAAGCAAAGAAGACGAGGCAATTTGCCGCCGTCAAGCGAATGATTAAACCCAGTGATCCGAGATTGTAGGTTGAGAGCTAGTCGGAGTAGCACAGCTGACCTGACAACTCGCAGGAAAGAGAATGTTGAAAAGGCGGCTAAGAAGGCAGAAAAGGAGAAACAGCTGGAAGAGAAGAAGAGGATGTGAGCAAACATCTATCTAAAGCTTACGAGCTATCAAGCTGATGGTGGTTCTTTCTCCTCTGCTCTTTGTCTGCAATGTAGACCTCAAGTATCAGCGGCCATGTTCTTAGCGCATAACAAGGATCTTGGACCACCATTCAGAGTACTCGTCGATACGAACTTTATCAACTTTTCGATTCAGAACAAAATTGAGCTGGTGCAAGGGATGATGGATTGTCTCATGGCGAAGTGTGCGTTGGGCCCGCGGGATCCCAAATTGCTCTAGCGCTGAACGATTGCTTTGGCAGGCATACCTGTCATCACGGATTGCGTATTGGCAGAGTTGGAAAAGCTTGGACCAAAGTATAGATTGGCCTTGCGTATAGCGAAGGACCCTAGATTTGAGCGATTACATTGTGATCGTGAGCTCCCGCATGTCTGATCCTGCCTCTCAGCTCATGCCCAATACTAGATTCAGGGACATACGCAGATGACTGCCTTGTTCAGCGGGTCTCCTTACACCGATGTTATGTCGTAGCCACCGTCAGTCTCTCCACGTCTCTACCGCAGTCCTGGATTCATACTGACCTTAGGACCTAGTGCGATCGAGATCTCAGACGGCGGATACGGAAAGTGCCAGGCATACCCCTGATGTATGTTGTTAAGCACAGATATCAAATAGAGAGATTACCAGAGTGGGTCACAAGTCTGCAATCATTATCAGAGCTTCGGTACTGACGGTCTCACAGTGCTGGCTCATCATTCCACTGAGGAGGATTGAACCGCCGCGTCCTCAACTGTTGTATACACACTACTTGTAAATGCATACACGCTACACTGCAGGCTTCAGGACAATACAACAGAATACAGGCATGGCAACGGCGGGCAAAAGTCAACTCTGTGACCGCAAGCAATTTCAAAATCCCTCCTGACTCGATCAGCTATTGTCGAGTTGAGACAACTTACGGCCAAGATGTCACTGATGAACCCTTTACCACGCAGGAGAGATTCTTTGATCTTGGCCTTTCCTCTGGACATCGACTCGTCCGCCTCAGTCTTGACCTCAGCGAGGGCATGAAGATTCAGAGCACCACTGGGCAATTCGTATATCCAGCCTTGTCTCGACATCAACTTCAAAAAGTCCTTCAACAGCGTGTTTGTTTCCAGAGTAGACCGAGATCCAAAAATGACGAGCTTCCGTTTCGCTCGGGTGAAGGACACGTTGATACGACGCCAGTCCTTCAAGAGATCTCCAATCTAGCATTCAGCAGAGATACCACCCTCGAATTACATTGCCATCCTTATTTGACCGTACCAGGGATATCAAGATACACTCCTTATCTCTCCCTTGACTCTTGTCCGCCGTCATAATCTCAACGCGAGGCAGCTCCGAAAAGAGACCCGTCAAAAGTTTGATCTGCTGTCGATATGGCGTAATGACGGCAATATCATTCTCCTTTACACCGCAGCCAATCAGTGCCGAGGCGAGCTGGGGGCGAGTGAGCGCGATCCGCCTGACAGGCGTGGACTTCTCACCTGACAAACAAGGTTCGCCTCTACTTCATTTTGAACCAGAGAACCAACCTTGGAATCCAATGCAGGCACGTTGTCGGTATCGACAAAGACGGCTTTGACCCTAGTGAGGGGTGTCAGAGCCCGGCCCAGCGGACAGCACCAAACTTACTGATCATCAAGTAGATCCCGGATCCAGCAAGACCCTGGCCCATGACTCTTCGGAAACACAGCCGCACAGTCCAGTTCGCGTGCCAAGGTCAAGCTCTGGCGTGCGACTGCCTCGGAGCCACATTTCAACCGCCCTTCGTAAATGAGCTCGTTGGATAGCATCATGATATCCTCGCTCATTCTATACTGATACGAGAGGTCCGTGACAGCGGACGGATGTGCCTCCGAGAGCAGTTTGAAGAGCGAGGTATCGAGGCCCCCTCGCCGGGCTTCTGCATTTTTGACCTGTTACAGCGTCGGCTATGCGTATCATTCGGAGAGGCTTTACCACTTACAATTGGTGGTAGCTGGAAGTGATCGCCCACGAGGATGAAAGTATCTGCCATTCGGAGCGGACCAAGACAAGTTGGAAGGGTAATTTGCGATGCCTCGTCAACGATACAATAGTCGAACCGTCGGCGGAAGAACAAAGGGCTGAGGACGATGAGCGATGACGATATCATCGAGAGATAAGGCTCACTGATCTACAGCCAGGCACGTGGCTGCTACCACTGGCGGGCCCATCAGGCGAGCCTCGAACTGTGGCATACTGGTGGAAGATTCCATCGCCTCCAAGGTCAAATGCTGCACGTCCGGATGTACCTTTTGATGCGTATCAGCTGCCTGTCACCTCGAATCCGCAACACTCACCTTGTCAATGTTACCCAATCGAAGTATATCAAACTCAGCGTTGAGCAACTTCATGAGAATCGTGTCGACTGCAGAGTGCGTATAGCTCGACAACAAGACAGTCTTGCCGCGATCCACCAAAGCCTTGATGATCTCTGCAATGGTGCTTGTCTTCCCCGTCCCAGGCATACCAAGGATCAAAGCATAATCCTTGGCACTGAGAGCCTGACTCATGGCACGCGCTTGATCTTCATTGAGGGAGGCGGGAATCTCGTGGGGTTGGGGCACACGGGCGGGTTCAAAGATTGGCGGAGCCAGATCCACAACTTGCCTTCTAAGATTTTCAGCTACGCCAGCAAAGAACAATTGAACGAGATTCGCCCTCATGCGCATGATGCCGGAAGCCATCTCGTCCTTGTCGATCCTGAATTCCACTTGATCACCATGCTGCGCGTGATTCTTATGTCTGGTCCTGGCCAGTAGGGCGGCAGTATCGATGACATAGGTAACGCCAATACTGATACTTTCTGGTGTCAAGTCCGTGACGAAACCTCTGGACAAGCATAGGAGATCTGGCTCGATAGATAGAGAGACTGGATCTCCTCTGGCGATATGTCCGGAGAGCAAAGATCCTTGCTGGGTGTTCGATGTGGCGCGAACAAACTTGTAAGTGTGACGATGGATCTTGGCTAGGGATTTGCCTAGATCGTTAGAATACGCGGAGATGACCATCCTGCTGAAGCATCTAAGGGAAATCTAATCAGCTGCTGGAGGGCCCGAGCTCCAGGAGCTCACCTTCCGGTCTTCTCCCTCTTCTTCGCGGTCATGGTCCAGAGCTGCGACCTGAATCTGCCAATGTCTTGCTCCTCAATTGTCAGCAGAGTCTCCCATTTTTTGAAGAATTGTACGTGTGCTTCCGAAAGATGACCAGTCTTCTCCTCGAACAATTCATTGATAGGATCATCTGCCGATGATGGGGCCGAAGGCTCAGTCTGGAACAATCATCAGCCCTTCCTGGCAGGCTTGCGACTGCGCGTACCTTCCGATACAGCATACAAGTATCGACGGCGTAGCATGTTCGGCACTCTTTCGGATGGTCAATCGTTGGAGGAAGGAAAGCTGTATCTTCTATCTCGGTGTCGTATGAGTACTGTGTCCCGAGCTCGGCTTCTGTAGTCCGCTGCTTCGCGAGATAATTGGCCAGATCATTCCTGGTCATGATCAATGCGGTTATCTCATTCGCCTTTGCCTCCACTCTTAGGAACGAATCAAGCTGAGAGTAGTATAGGAGACCAGCCGGTACAGGGACGTCTAGATAAATCAGCTGCGCTGTAGGCTGCCAAGCTCACTATATCGATCTTCCATGAGCAACGTGTACAACATTGTCTGCGCTCGATGCGCCATGACACCAACCGATCTGCCCGTTTTGATCTCTAACGGCGCGACATGGATTTGGCCATCATCCTTGGTATCGGATTGCTGGATCACACATTGAACAGAGGCATCTACCTTCCCCTTGAGACCCCATTTAGGTGACCAGATGTCCTCTTCGACATCGTGCAATCCACTGATAGCGAGTGTGTGAGGAGCGTCACCAGGATTAGCATGCAACTGGCCCAAAGGCTGAAGAGAAGGTCAGAATTATCGGTCAAGTAGACTCACAATTTTGGGCGAGGGGCCAATCCAGCGATTCGCAAACCTCGAAAATTCTTCTCCAGCTTTCGCGCCCACTTCGAGCCGCACATCCTCCCAGCCAAGGTCTGCTCCCCAAATATCCAACTTGGTCGATTCCTTATTCAGCTCATCATTGAGCCTCTGACGTGTCGCTTCGACCGAGAAATCTTGCTCGCTCATCGCGCGTTGTAGGAGAGTATGCAGCAGCGTTCCATATAGCATGCTCTTGCTTGATGGACCAGAAGGTTTGACCATGGATTGCAAGATTGGCCGTCGGGGACACGGCATGGCATTGGCGATGGATGTCATGGTCAGCATGAGATCAGGATGATGGATAATGAAAGATCGCGAGTCCTTGAGCGTCAAGACGATGATGCTATTCGCTTTGTCCAATTGATCAGAGATAATGTTGATAGTATCACCTGGCCGTGATTAGTATTGTTCCATGGATTAGGACACTCACCAGAGGAGATGCGTAGATCAGACCACCTGTCTTTCAGGTGGATGATCCGGAGTTGCTCGTCAGGTAGCATTCTGACCACGAGGGTCTGCTGTCATCAGCCATTACACAACCATGAAGCACTGACCTTTCCCGATAAGTGACTCGGGCCGGTATACTCGTCGTCCGCGGAGTGAAGCAAGGCTTCTTCCGAACGTAATCCATTATACACTGACTGAACAATACATCTGACCCAGGATGTTGGGCGGTAGCCCTCGGGTGCCGATGGAACTGTCGGATGAGAGATGGGATACCTCTGCTGCTGGAAAATTCAGTACAGTAGCGACACTAGGGAGGCTCGCGCTGACCTCAGCGAGCCCTTCTAGCAATTTTTGCTCATCTACAGCGAACAGATCGCCGACGTCGAAATCCAGATCATCGAAGAAGTCCTCATCAGGATCAGTCTTGAGGACCAGAGGCTTGATGTCAACGACAGGTTCCGGACCAAGCTCCAAATTTGGCTCCCTTTTGACAATGATATCTCGTTGAGGTGACTGTGGCTCGTGCTTGACGATTACAGGTTTTGGGGTGATATGCTGCTGTCGGACAGATAATTTGACGGGCGACAGGGGAAGGCGAGGGATGCGCTTCGGCTTTGTTGGCGTCTGAGATGATACAAGAGCTTGAGACTTCTGCGACGGCGTCATATCGAAGTCGTCGAAGAGGGACGAGTCTAATCCTGCCATCAGGTCATCCATTAAAGCTTGTTCAGCCAAGGTAGTCTTGAAATTCGGAACCTCAGCTCTGCTTTTGCCTTTCTCGAGTTTGCTTTGGATCGACTGGGAGTTGTCATTACGCTCAATCTTGACCTTGGGGCCGTTTTCCTTGCCTGGGTTCTTCTTGCTAGAACTGAGCCGGGCCCGCTTGATAGTCCGACCTTGTTCGTGCACAACCACCCCTGGTCGTTTCTCCTCTTGCGAATGGCGCATTACAGCCATCACCTTGGGCGCCGCGGTCAAGCCACTCTGTCGCTTCATGTCGAATTCCTTGGACTGACCATGCCCCAGTATCAATTTCCAGCAAGCTGCCTTAGACCTTCCATGACCGTTATGGTTTGGTGGTCAAAATCAAGAAACACCTCGACATTGAAAAGTCACACGCGACGCCGACGGAAGCAAATTTCACCTTCGCGTTTCCGATTTAGCGGCAATGCTTCATTCCCATTGTTGTTGAGGGCAGTTGATGAGGTGACCTTGGTGGAACACGAGCGAGGACACTGGAGAAGGGGGATCCGTCAAGATGAGTCTGTCCGCTCGACAAGAGCAGATGGCTCTTGTGGCATTCTTCAACTCTTTCAAGCTCTCTAGGCGAATAACCACCTTTGATCAATTGGCAGATGGAAAGGCTCTGATGGAGGTATGTGAGAGGGCATCTCCTAGCGCTGGCCGCGACTGACCAAGCCCGACTCAGGTCATGAGCACAGTGTTAGAGCGACAGCTCGCTCTGCTCAGCGTAGATCGCTGACCATGCCCACAGGGACAGCACCCACTTCAAAAGTATCAATTCCAGGGCTACCGGAGCTGTCAACAGTCCCGACAATTGGGTGCTGAAGATGAATACTTTGTGCGTATCTCCACGGAATTTGAGAATGACCTGACGTCAAGTCTGACAGAAAACGGTTGCATCGGCTCTTGCTGTCTTATCGCCTGCCTTCTCCTCATCCATCCTCCCTATCGCTCTCTACACTCCCCGAGCCAGCATTCTCCGCTATAGCCAAATCCCCGAACTCGCCGGAGGGACGGAATGGGCTCGTCCAGCTATCACGCATGTGTCTATCTGTATCCGTTTGGGCCCCCGGAAACGAAAAGGTCATATCGAAGATCCAAGCGCTAGGAGAAGGTCACATGGCCTCTCTGATGAAGAGTATTGAGGGTGTGAGTCGGGCGAGCAATTAGAGATTCGTTCGGTGAGCTGAAACCCTAAGCTTAGATCATGGAGACATTCCCTGATGGCGAAACGGAAGATCGTACAGCTGCTGAAGAACACGAGCGAGCGCCAACGTATGTCTAAGATCACCAGTGACCGCCTGACGCTTCTTACTAACGATACGTAGACCGCCGATAGCTTCGGACTCACAAGTGGCGACAGACACGCTATTACAAGAGAATGATGATCTTCGCGCGCGCTGCGAGCAAATGATGCAGCAGGTGGAGGCACTCTCCAATTCCTTGGTATGAGTCACACTTGACTCGATGTCGTCCCGCTGAGGCATCTTGCAGGACGAGATGAGGACGGAACGAGATGACGCACTTTCGAGATCTAGACCCGACGCCTCTCAGGCTGGAGCAGGACTGCGAAACAGCCAGATGTCATCGTCTCAAGTGGACTCTCTTCGCAACGACTTGTGAGTGAGAAATCTCAGTCTATCGGGGCTAAACCCATCGCACTCAGAGCTAGGGCAGAGGAACATTTAGCAGTAACGGAAGCCGACCTTGAGAAGCAGACGAGAACGGTGACAGAGTTGGAGCGGACAGTGAGGTCACAAAGCGTCCTCTCCAGTATAGGTGCTCATGACATCCAGGTTGAGAATCTCAAGGCTAGAGCCGCAGAAGCTGCTCGTCTGAAAGACCAACTAGACGAGTCAGTCATTCTACTGAGGGATGATCTGACCAGAATTCAGGCATCGCCACACTGCTGAAAAGTTGCGCAAGAGCGAAAATGTGGTCGAGAAGTACAAGAAGAAATTAGATGAATCGGCTGGGTTAAGGAGGGACATGAGAGTGCGTATCCGATGAGTCGGTATACTGAACATCATAGGTGCTCGAGGAAGAGAACGCCACCCTCGTGAATCGAAATAATGCTCTGGAAGCCGAATCTCAGCGCGCGGGATCATCCAGCACGCTGGCAGATATCTACAAATCTCAGTTGGAGGCCTCGGAGTCTAGAGTCCGAGAGCAGGACGAAAAGGTAAGAAGGAGGCATTACTCGCTGAGGCTGGCTCACCTAGGCAGATAAACGAACTTTCGGTTCAGCTGGAGAGTAACCGTGCAGAACTAGTTGAACTAGAGGAAGCCCATGCTCGGGACCGCGAAGAGTTGCAACTCCATCAAGAACGCGCGAGAGAGCTTGAGCTTGGAGCATTTCCCATGCGGCGTGATGGGTCCAGGGGTACACTGTTGGACGAGGCTGGGAACACGACTTTGGATGAGGAAATCGGAGCAGTGGACGTGGACACGCCGGGCGAAACCAAGACAGAGTGCGTCTACGTATCTCATTGCTCTAAGCGGAGGTACTAACGAGTCCAGCTTGAGGTTAAGGATTAAGGCTCTGGAACGGCAGATCGAAGAACAACGGCCTACCGAGACTGATAGCGCAAAGCTGTCGGCGATCAAGCAGCTGTTGGCGGACGCCAATAAGTCCCGAAACCGATATCAAGCAGAGTACCTGGAAGAGCACCGGTCAGCTCTGCGTCTTCAAGCGACTTTGGACAAGATTAGGTCTGCTCCTGGCGGAGACGCCGCGCAGAGTGTGATGGCCTTGAGAGAGAGGCTGGACGAACTGAGTAGTGAGAAGGACACATTGCTCAGGGATGCGCAAGCAGCCGCTGTGGAGCGGGAAGAGACGGACAAGAAGCTCCGCGCAGTATTGACAGATTGTGCGTACATCTTCAACTTGTTCTTCCGGCTGACCTTCACTAGTGAGTCTGGTCGATAAAGACAAGCAGGAGCAATTACGAGGTGAGTCTCAGAGCTCGAGATGAGCTCATGCATGCCAAGCTCTGCGCGAGAGCGTCTCTTCAGAAGCTGGGGAATCAGATGCACAGGTGTTGGCCCTCAGAGATCAGGTATCAAGCCTCAGAGAGAAGGAGAAGACTCATTTAGAGGAAATTAACCGGCTCTTGTCTGACAAGATCGACCTCCAATCTGCTGGTATCTCGCAACGCGAGAAAGCGTTGGATCGCGAGAAGGAGTTCAGGTGAATCTATCTCATCTTCCCTTCCCTTCAGATGAGGGTGTCTGATCCGCCGCAGTGATATCCGGGCTGCGCTAGCCTCAAGTGAAGTCTCATCAGAGGTCCGACAGAAAATCACAGCAATCCATGATCGCAATGCCCGTCTCGACGAGGAAGTAAGAAGGCTCTCGGCGAAGCTGGAGAAGGCGGAAAACGTGAGCGGGGCAGAAAGTTTGACCTAGGTGCTAATATTGCTTGCAGGATCCTCTGATGTCCCCCACGAGCGGAGTGAAGGTGAGCATCACATACATTCTGCGTTACCGATCCTCAAATGTTGCAGAGCCCGTTCAGCGAAGACGGAAGAGGGGACTCCCAAACCAAGATAGATGTCTTGAAGGAGAAGTTACAGCGGGCGAGGGTTTGTTCTGCAAATTTCATTGAGGGACCCCGGCTGATACCTCTTGAAGCATACCAATGCCGCTCTGGAAAGGCGTTATCGCCTGGAACAGCAGCTCATGCTTTCCGCGTGGCACGAGCTCGGCGCCCGAACAGTCAGAGATCATATCACGGCTGCGGGAGTGCGCAGAGTTGCTTCCAAACCTACGCCGACGAGCTGGCTTGGGAGGCAACGGAAGCATGTGAGTTGAAAGGGGGGCGATATGGACTGATTTGGTATAGCAAGAGGATGCGTCATTCGTAAGTCGATGATGCGACAGAAGAGGTCAGATTGTTGACACCGGGCTAGACACGTATATGATTCCTTGTCGGATAGTATTCTGCAATCTTGTTGTCATCTTCTTCAGCGGAATCTGGGCGACCACTCATGAAGACTGCAGATTGAGTTGCGAACCTTTCGCAGCATCACCTCCCGGCCGATCACCGTCCTTTGAGACCCCGTTTCAGCTCTCCTTTGATTCGCCTTACAGAGATGATCCTCGCGTATGTTCTTCACTTGAACTGTCCCTCTAGTTCACAGCGATTGATCCAAGCGCACCTGAATATGCCCTCCGAAAACGGCGAAGCTCGTCGTTCGAGCTCAAGATCAAGAAGTTCATCAAGTGGGGCTAGAATGCGATCTCAAGACAGTGGTGCTGCCAAAGCAGCGAAACAAGCCAAAAAAGCTGTATCGGAAGTTACGGACACCGCTGGCAAAGTAAGCAAAGCGGTTGGCGATGCTGTTGGCGGGGCCGTCGATGCATTAGGAGGTGTAAGTGGTGCCATATCGGCCAAGAGCTAAACAGTATGTAGTGGGGTCAGCTGGACCGACATGTGAGCTTGTGGACACATCGTGTTTGCGAGCGAGCTGATAGGGGTCGTGTAGATCCGGCATTACAACCCTACTTTCTACGAGTTCGCTGCGAGCTCTTTCCTGAAGCGTTTCGGCGCCACGAGCAAAGCGTCAAAATTCCTCTTGCTCCTCGTGGCACTGGGCGTGATCCAGTCGTGAGTCAATGCAGAGCGATTCCTGTTTCAGCTGATCTATTCATTGCGTGCAGGACTCTTCCTCTGTTCGCTTGGCCTCTGGATTACTTTGCCCGGCTATTGTCATTTGTCTTCCTCTTCAATACTGGACATGACCTTCTCAAGAAGGGTTGGGGCTCAGGATCCGACACCGACGCCATGAAAGTCAAGTCATTTCTCACACTTTACCTCTTGGTCTCATTACTCGAGATGGTTCCAATGTTCCTCTTCGATACGACGTACCATTTCGGAGCCTTGTGGACGTTCCTATTGCCCATGGCGTTGTTCATTACGCCTAATAAATCTAATCCCAAGGAGACACTAGCTGTATGGATTGCCGACTCTATCTTTGCGCAGGTCTCGAATGTACTGGATAGTGTGGTGCCAGATGGTTTCGTGGTGAGCTTTCTACCATGAGGGGAAGTTGAACCATACTGACGATTGTTCAGGGATCGGACCAAACCACTGCCTTTCTATCTGCTGGTATCTTGGCACTCTTACTGTGAGCTCCGACGTCTAGCCTAGATGCACCAATTGAAGGTTGACTCATCCAGCTGGGCCGGGATCCTCGGCTCGACAGGATCGTATATTGTGGTCTTTGTCGTGCTTATGGGCGCTACAACTCATCATGTTGGGAAAGAGTACATCTCAGCGAAAGACTCCTCATCAGGATTCAGCAAACAAATGACAATCTGGCATAATCTTATGGCTATCTGGCTTTGGCGATACTTGGTTTCAGCTGTTGAAGGGTTGCATATACCCGGAGTGATATCTGTTCTCGGGTGGATCCAGTACCATCTGCCGACTTATTTCCTGTGGATGACAGCTATCTTCTTCGGCATGTTGTTGACTCAAAAAACTGCTTCTTCCAGCAAGGTGAGTGGGGAACTCCGGAACCAAGGGGCAGATGTTCACGAGGGATATCTTACAGCGCGCCGATACATGGTACGCCAAATGGTTCACTCGAAAATCCTCCCCGCGAAACTCACCTGCCGAGGGATCCGCTGAGTCTGCCTCTGGAAAGTCTAGGTCTAGCTCGCGTCCATCATCCTCGAGTAGGGATGGACAACGCTCACGATCATCTTCGGAGAAGCGAAAGTAATCCTCCCACCTCTTGTAGCCTCCCAATGCCACACAACCTACATACTCCAAAATTGCCACATTGAGCCATTTGCGGAGATGTCCGCCGTGTATTCCAATTGGGAATGCTGCAGCAGACTCTTTGCGAACTCTTTGGTTTGCTTCTTTGAATCTCCACTTTGGTTCGCCTTCTCACGGCCTCGACCACAAGGTCCTGACTTGAAGTCTCCTCGTACTGTTCATACTTGCCGAGATCTTTCGGGTTCATTCCAAAGCCCGATTCGTGGACTGGATCGTCCACGACCACACATCTGCCCATCATCCACTCATTGAAGGCTGCTTCCGCTGTTGTATCTAGATCCCTTTCTAGACGTCAGATCTCGACTGTGGAGGACGCGGAGGAATTTGACCTCTTACCTCTATCTTATAATCGACCACACGAGGAGCAGGGGAGCATCAAGCTTGGCGAAGAAGCGGATCAGACGCTTATCTGGACCTGGCGGTCGGAACGTTTAGCCAGAAGAGGAGATAGGATGAAATTTGGGTAAGTGTATCGTCGAGGCCGGTGGAGGCAAAGGTCGTATAACAGCCTTGCGGGACAAACGTTGGGATACATTCCGACGAAGCGCTTCAGCAGCCGAGGCGCCGCGCCTTTCCTTGAATCTTGAGAGTGTGGAACGATGGACTGATCACATTGCAGTACCCTCTTGGAGCTCAACAGCAACATTGAATGGTGGAATTACTATGTCGAGTGAGCACATCCATATCTCAGGTGCCTGGATCAGAGCTGACATGCACAGCTATGATGCTTTGAAGAAGCTATTTCCATCCACACCACTTGATCCGTCGTACCTTGCAACTCAGAGTCGTGAATCATCCTCCCTCCTCCCAACTGCCAGGCAACGAAGTACTGGCAAATGGGCTTCTCCAGAGGATTTCAGAAAGGCTTTGGACTCAGAAAGGGAGAAAGTGGAGACGTTCTACAGATCCAAGGAGGCAGAGTTCGTTCGCGCTGTGGAGCTGCTCGAGGAAGAGATTGCCGCCTTGGAGTATCGAGATCTCGGCGCGGACGATGTGATCAAAGAGGTTGATGAGGAGGACGAGGAAGGTCCGGAGGACGACGATGATGTCGAAGCTAGGGGAGAATCTGATCAACTCATCTCACCACGGTATCGCCGGACATCTGCTCGACCTCGATTCAAACCACGGGCGAGTCTGTTTGGCCGATTCACTAGCCCTTTCAAAGCTCGTCGCTCAGCGAATCTTTCAACTCACGAGACCGATATTCTCGAAGCCTCCGTTGGCAGGCAATCTCGTCTGGCCCCTCCCGGACACGGAATGACTGCCTCGGTATCCACTTTAGGTGCGGGAGAACCAGTGTCGCCAAGTCTACAAGGCAGTAGGACAATGCCGAAACGTCGAGCTCCTTCTTCTGATCATGATTCCGCCGAGGATCGAATGTTAGCTGCGGAAAGAAGAACGTCGATGTCTTCCAACTCGTCTCATGAACGTGACATTTGGACCACTCGAACTCATCTGTCGCTCGGACTGGTGGAAATGGACCCAGATATGGTACCCGACTTTGCACGCCATACTTTGGCCTCTACAGAGAATAGGGAGAATGGAGAGGCTCATGAGGATAACGAAGAGCATCCCGTCTTCGTTTGGACCGCGAGTCATGATCGTGCAACTGTGCTTCGCATTGGATTCAAGAAGCGAATCAGTGCTGTTTGGTTGGACGTTTACTCGCTCAAGCAGTATGTGGATCTGAACCTGACGGCGTTTGAGAAGATCCTGAAAAAGTGAGTGCCAATGACATTTATGCGACTCCATCCTGACGTATTCATAGATATGACAAGAACACCAACTCCAAGGTGAGCTAAGACATCTTTTCGAGTTATTCAAGCTCAGCTAGTTTCTAGCTCAAGAAGGAGTATGTCTCTCAAGAAGTCCTCCAGTCATACCCTTGGCAATCGTCGACTCGTGAGAGCCTCGACACACTCCTCGCCAGAATTCTCTTCCTCTACCGTCGAGTCGCTGTGGCCGGCGATGAAGACCTGGCCAAAGAGCAGCTGCGTTCTCAGCTCAGAGAGAAAGTCGTAGTGGACAGGGAGACTGTCTGGTCACAGATGGTTTCTGGTCGTCGAGAAGGCATTTTCAGATCAGTCGAGCAGGACGTCGACCATCCGGCATTTGGATCAGCAAACGTTGAGAAGAAGCATTCTATTTTGACGACGAAGAGTCTCATCTTTGCTTTCGCCCTTGCGGTCTTGATCGGGATCGTCCTCATACAGCCCTTCCCGAGTATCCCGGAAAGTAATTGCTTGGCCATGCTTGTATTCTGTACGATTCTCTGGGCCACCGAGGTGAGCCGATTGTCCAGAAGATCTATTCGACAGCTGACCGTATCAGGCCATTCCCTTGTTTGTGACTTCTCTGGCCGTTCCATTGCTTGTTGTCTTTTTGCGTGTTCTGAAGGATACCAGCGGCGAGACTGGAGCGCGGATGACGGCTGCAAATGCGACCAAGTGAGTTACGCGATCCAGACAGTTGAGACATACAGCTGAACCCAGCAGATACATTTTCTCCCAGATGTTCTCGCCAACCATCATGCTCCTGATTGGAGGGTTCACCATTGCCGCCGTTCTTTCCAAAACCCGACTGGATGTCATGACTGCCACTCGAGTCCTCAACGCAGCTGGTACCAAACCGAGCGTGGTGCTGTTAGTTTTGATGTTCGTAGCGACATTCGCCAGTATGTGGATATCCAACGTCGCTGCGCCGACGTTATGTTACGCTCTTGTCAAGCCGATCCTGGAAGAGCTACATCCAAAGTCAAACTTTTCAAAATGTCTCATTATCGCCATTGCTTTAGCTTCCAACATTGGAGGTCAAGCTTCACCAATCTCTTCGCCTCAAAATCTCATTGCTCTTGGATCTATGAGTCCTCCCCTATCCTGGATCGAATGGTTTGCCATCTCCATACCCGTCGCGGGAAGCTCTGTCGTTGCTATCTGGGCGTTCCTGCACGTCAACTACAAGTGGGAAACCGATCTCGTCATTCCAAAGATGAGAAAGAACACCGACTCCCTGAGCAAGACGCACTACTTTGTCCTGTTCATCAGTGGCTTGACCATTGCCCTCTGGTGCGCCGAGAAGAGCATGGAGGGAGTAGTAGGTGATATGGGAGTGATAGCAATCATTCCGCTGTTGGCTTTCTTCGGAACCGGTATCTTGTCAAAGGTTGGTCCTTAGTCTCGTCTTCCCCTTGCCTATGCAATACTGACGAGCGGTGCCTCACAGGAAGACTTCCATTCGTTCCATTGGTCCATTGTGTTCCTCGCCATGGGAGGTATCGCCCTCGGCAAAGCCACACTTTCTTCGGGATTGCTGGACGATTTGGACCGCGTCTTGGAAAAGCTGGTAGAGGGTATGGGCTTGTACTCTATCTTGATCATCTTTTCCATCATCGCTTTGGTCATTGCCACTTTGTGAGCCTCTGCCTTTTCGATTGTGTGATGCTGATTTTCTCTTGAACAGTATCTCTCATACTATTGCTGCGGTGCTTCTAGTGCCAATAGCAACGAGGATCGGGGACTCGCTGAACGAGCCTCATCCCAGATTGTTGATCATGGTGAGAGCTCAGCGCAACGTTGTTGAGTAATCCCGCTGAGATCGTCGCTCATTAGGCAACCGCCTTGATCTGTTCCGCTGGTATGGGTCTGCCGGTCTCTGGCTTTCCGAATATGACGGCGTGAGTGTCTGCTCTGGGCAAGGGCTATCCAGCTGTGGGGGTGTAGGACTCATTGGTACCCGCAGGATCACCCAAGAGAATAAATTGGGCCAGCGGTTCATTGGCGCAAGCGATTTCTTGAAGAATGGTATCCCGGCGTCAATCTTGACGGGGTTTGTGAGTGCCAGGGTTGCCTGCATTGCAAAGTCTAACAGGCTATAGATCATCGTCACCGTTGGCTATGCCATCATGAGGGGCTTGGGGTGAGCTGCTTGTGCATCAAGTCTGACATTGGCTGACACCCGTCGTCCTCTTTAGTCTGTAGCCCCGGTGCATTGTTTCCTACGAGGATCTATTGGGCACTGAGGAGTGGCGTGTCATACCGGTGTCATATAGAAGTTACACATATGTCTCTCTCATGCATAAGCGAGGTCTACGACCCCACTGGTAATCATCATCCAAGTCTCCAACCATTTCACCCTGCTCTCTTGCTCTTGCTTTGAGACTGGACGAGTGTCCGAGCGAGGCTCCGCCTCCAAGACTTCATCCACGGCCGAGGCGATCTGACATGGATGTATGCCCCATGCTATTTGACCAGTGGATGGATGTTCAGTCTGTTGAATGAGTGGGAAGGGAGAGTGAGGATCAAGTAAGAGGACGTCGAGTCGAGTTTCGTCCTCGTTATCGCCCACGGGAAGAGGTTGGATCTGAGCGTTAGGACGGAGGATAGCAGTGGCGATGAGCGAGGTGAGCGACAGTGGCGCGCCATCTGGAAAGTGGAGGGTTCCAGCTTCAATGTTTGATGACAGTGACAGTGACGACGGACGACGGACGACTCACTCGAATCCCAAGCTCGGATCAAAAGCTGAGGAACGCGATATGTTCGAGAATAGACGATATGCTGTTCGATCTCTATCTTTTCTCTCTTGTTGGTCATCACCGCGGGTGGGTCATGTCTATCGCTTCGGGTCGAGCCAGCAGTCTTCCTTATCAAGTGCCGATGTTCACTCGGATCCTCATCTTCCTCTTCGTTCTCTGAATCGTCATTTCCCTCCAGAGGAGATTCATCATCATGATCCTCGTTGTCATTGTCATGAGTGAATTTGCTCGAGTTGATCATTTCAACGTATCGTGTCATTCGTCTGCAAAGGTACCCATGATGTCGTACTCCCTGTAACAGCGTGTCATATCTCTTTCGCTGTGCAAAAGACTGAGTGACGAACCTTTTTTGGATGCTCTTGCCACCTCCAACCCCTGTTCGTCCTTGATGGACCGGGGTCTGCACTCCCATGACCTTTGTATCGCTCAATGAAAGCTTTTGCAGCCAACTCGAAATCCTCATGGGTCTCAAATGAGACTGAGACCGAATCGCCAAAGCCTCGCTCGTCGTCACCTGCACCTCGTCAGCGCCGACTCAATTCGGAGGAAAGTTAAACAAATGCATGCGTGGGATGAGTATGCAGATCTTTTGAAGTCGTCTCCAAGGCAAAGCAAGTGTTGCCAGATCATTTCACTAACTTTTGGCATCGTCCCTTTCTTTCTTGTCGTTCTCTCCGGCATCGTCTCCGTCCTCCGTTTCATCGTTGGTCTGCGTCTGCTCGCTGGAGCCTTCACCATTTTGATCGACGCTCATTTCTTCGATTTCGGCCATCTTGGCCGTTGGACTGCCCATGATGGTGTGTCCAACTACCATTCGCTTGCCTCCTACGCGGACGGAATCGTGTTGTTCATCCGCAGGTATCGAGACAGGCTCAGCGACCAGCGCTCCATCATTGAATTGGATCAGGAGACCATCGTGTGGTCCACCTTCGGTCGGAGGACCAAGCTGAACGGGTCGTTGACCTTCCACTCCCTAAATGAATCAGTCCGAGTTATCCCTGGGTTGGCCAGAGACACCCACAGACGTCCGCCGAGAAAGAGCACCTAGAGCGTGGATCGTGGACCTGTGGCGCTCGATAATCCCCCCTACGACATCTTCAGCTCTTCGGAGGAGGAGGCTAGGGAAGAAGGGACTCACGCATGACAGCGCCGGTGCCGGCTCGCTTGGCGATCTTGCGTGATCGATTGTCTTGGTACCGATCGGTTTCATCTACCTGACAATGTCAGTTTTTCACAATCTAAACTTCTCACGATTTCCTCTCCAATAATCCTACGGTATAGGTCAGTTTGTGTGTGACTTCAGCCGGTGGCAACAACTCACTCCTCGATCAGGTCCTCCACTGCAACCGCAGAGTCAGAAAAGGCACCAACCTTGATCGACGGTGCCACTCACAACTAACAATACCCAGCGCTCCGCCACGTCCTCCCGGCGTCTCACTGATGAGCAGAAGATGCGCTCGACCGGTTTGGAAATAATCGAGAGCCTGGAAGCAGTTGATAGTGGGTTTGGCCTCGGGCAGAGGTAATAGATTGAATTTAGATACAGGCCACTGGTCCTCGGGATTGTATGTGATGAGCTGAAGCGGTCAGCTCATCCTCTTTCCGGACAATGGAGGCCTACCCGTTTGACAAGAAGCATGCCTGTGAAGTTGTACTTCTGGCCTGGCTCGTGAATGGGAATTCTGGAGAAACCTGAAAGGAGAATCTGATCTACAGTCTCATGGTCCAGTACTTTATCCGAGGGCAGGGTGAGACAATCTTTGATGGGCGTCATGATTTCTTGAACGTGTTTCTCGTTGAGCGACAATACACCATTGAGAATACCAATCTAGTATGATGTCAGAAAATGCTCGGGCAGTTTGTCTGTACTGACCTCGTCGTCACGAAGAGGCTCTTCACCTTCACGGTGAAATTGCAAGAAGCTCTTGAGTTCCGCCTTCTTATACCTGTCATGAGGTCAGAATTGGACACATTTACGAATCTGAATGAGCTCACGTATGACCCTCTTCGTGACCTAGAACATAATCGAGCAGTTTTGCGATCGGGTAGGCGATAGGGAAGAAGAGAATCATAAGGGCAAATACGAATGGAGCGCACGCTCCACCGATCCGTAGACCATATCGTACACAGACCTTTGAAAATGTGAGCTGTAGTCATCGTCAATGCATTTGGAAGCTCACCGCCTGGGGAATGATTTCGCCGAAGATGACAATCATAGTCGTAGAGACGATGACCGCGGCGAGACCACCGCCGAGCACATCGTCCAGGAAGATTGGAAGAGATTCATTGACGATCTGATGGGACTTTCAGCTCTCCTCCTCTCCAAACCGGACGAAATCGACTTGCGACATTTCCCAGCAACAGCACCACCAAAACCCAATGCCTCCCTCTGGCCAAGAGTCTCAAGACTTTGGACGCTGCTTTTCTCTCCTTTGCATCGTCAGAAGAGGTAGACAAGACTCTCAGATTCAGATCATCAGACCCCATCAAAGCGAGAGTCAATCTATGAAGTCAACGCTCGTCCTGCCTTGGTGACGTATGACCTGCACCAAGGGTAAACTCACCCTGCAAAGACACCCCCCAGGAGGACCAAGGCGACACTCAGACCCAGCTTCCACCAGAACGCAGGACTGTCAGGTGGATCCTCAGGTTCGATCGGTTTATCTTCATCCGCAGCCATCATCATCACCATCGCACTTGAACTCAACCATCCTGCAGACTTGGCAAACGATTGACCTGCCGGTCGAGCCAGAGATATAGGTAGAGATAGGAGTCTGGAGATAGAGAGGATCAGAGGGATGGTGGAGATACCTCGTCGCTGTCTGATCAGAGCCATCGTTGTGCTCTTTATCTCTCAGAGCAGGACACTTTGGTCGACGTGGTTCTGGTTCGACGATTGGAGAACGTCGATGTCATTTTTGGCCCAGAAAAGGTTCCAGGCGCTGGAGCCGGTAAAAAGATGCTTAAAAATGTATTACGTCATCTTCAAAGGTCTCCAAGCCCGGACCTACGGGCGAAGATGATCCGAGCGCGACTGATCTTTTTGTTTTCAATTTGTTTTGGCTGTTCTCTTCGAAGTGAAATGATTTGATCATGTTCATCTTTCATGACATGCTCACAAACGATACCGGCTTCAGCTAAATGGCGGAAAGGTCCTTCGTTCGTGTAGCTTGCTGAGTTATACTCAGTATCCCTGCTCTCACGTCATGTCGTCCTGCAACCCTGAACCATCCCTGCCCTTCTCTCTCCCCGTAACTCACCTCACCATCGCTGCTGCTGCTGCAAGCGGGCCTGATAGACCACAGCTCAGACTAAAGATTGCCCCTCGTCTACTCATGAATCGTCCGCCCCTTTCTCTGAAGCTGAATGGCGGTCACTTGGAAGAGCTGATCGACGTGGTCCTGCCCATCGGTGGCAGAGTGAAGGTGGCAGTGAAGATAGACGAGAAGGGCTTGGGTCTGCTGCAGACCCCAGACATGAATGACGAGTTCCAGAATCTAGTGTTAGATATCGTGAGGGATACACTCATATGTGTGGGTTTCTCCATGGTACTTCATTTCACAGCTCATCGAAGGACCAGAATGGTACATATATCGGCTTACTGGACATTCCTCATGGCAGTACCGACACGGCTTCAATCTCATCTTACCCTGTTCCTCCCTCCTCGAGCCTTTCACTTTCCCTGTCCGCCGCTCAACCCACATGCTCACCGCTTAACTCTCATCTCATATCTCAAGGTCGTCTTGTGGCTTACTTGTCAGATCTCGACCTAGGGTTCCAATGGGTGCTCCCCTCAAAGAAGAAGAAGACAGGCTCAGAAGGACCAGTGGGAGAACCTCTCGATGGTTCAAGGGCCAGCAGTAGGAAGCTCCAATGGTCACAGTCGCATCTGCCTCGCGCAAGAGAAAACGAAGGGCAGGTTGTGGCCGCAGCATTTGCGGAGCATGAACTTGGTACAATGCCGCCAAGCTCGCTGAATTCATTCAAGGGTTGCCTATTGCCCTTTTGCTATCCTTGGACCACAGCTGACTTTAGCGCAGACTCAGCACTCGACAAACTATCTCTGCCTTCTTGGGCGTTAGATCAGATCCGTCGCGGGCTTGAGAGAGTCATGCGTCAATATATGATCAGGTACGATGACTGTCTGATGCCACAAGAGTTCAAGCTCTGACAAGGGGATCAGGCGTTTCCCCTTGGTCTTCGATGCACAACTTCAAAAGGTTAGTCTGACTCCATGCGTTGCGAATTGTTGACTCTGCACAGCACGCCTCTGCCTTCCAGATCCACCGCTCCATCCCGGACTCAGTGGAGAGATTCCTCAGAACGTCTCGCGCGCATGATGCCACGCTCTCCTCTGATGGGCAGAAAATGCTTAACAGGATCCAGGATAGTGGAAATTCGTCCGCTCGGGCAACACTCGCAGCCAGGTTCAGCGTGTCGTCGAAGAAGAGGCCTGAAATCGCAACGGGAGGTGATGAAACGCTGAAGAAGAAACGTCATAGATTGGTCCAGGAGACGCAAGCGGTTCTGTTCGAGGAACGAGAGGACGAAGTAGAAGAGTATTTCAAGCAGCTCCAAGGTGGACCCAACGAAGAGCAACGATCTTCGCCCTTCAGGAGCATGTCCCAACCTGCACAAATTGATCAGCTTAACGAGGTCTCGAGGCTGGAGGCTGGACTGGTACTAGCTCAAGCCTTTGCAAAGATTGGTCGTGTAACATGGGAGGAGGCTCGGAAAGGGAGGAATCGAATTGCGTTGAGTCGTCTCAAGGTCGACTTGGCCGTTTATCGCAAAACTCTAGCTGACAGGTGTAGTTTGCTGCTAGCAAGCTGACTGCCCCTGGGGAAGAACTCTCTCGCGACGCTGTCAGCAAAGACGAGATCGCAAAGATACCGAGTGTTGAATCAGCAGAATCGACACATGGCAGTCTCCGCCGACATCCTCAGAATGCGTTCTCGGCGTCTGCCATCTCAACTCGAGTCAACGACAACCGTAACCCTCCTGCATCTTTCCCTTACACAAGAGAAGAAGGAGCAGCCGACTCAGAAGACGACATTATAGAGTTGGATACGATCTACACCTCTGAAGACGATATGATCATGTCAGAATCCGGAGACGACGAGATCATTCTGTCCGATACTGATGACGGTGAAGATGAGATCTTCTTGTCTGATGGCGAGTCGCCGATCTATGAAGAAGACCAGAAGATAGAGGAAGATCCTTTAGCATGGGCTTTCAACGTACCTTCCCAGTCATCCGATTCCGGACCCTCATCTGAGACAACTGCCAATTCGAGTCAGTCGTTAACACGAATCAAGGATGCCGGGTTCTCCCGGTCCTCTTCCTGGCCTCGAGTAGCGAATGCAAATGTAGGAATACTTTCACAAGTGGCGGATGTCAGTCATTCCGCCATGCCATTGGATATGGACGAAGAGGATTATGTGATGGATGACGAGAATGATGAAGACGATGCCATCCTCTTTAGCTCAATGCCGAGTCCACACGCCAAGGCCGCCAGCGATCCCTTGGTTGCGGGGCAATGGGACTGGGCAGCGGGGACTTGCGGCACCGATCCCATTGTCATGTAACAAAGTATGAATACAACAGCCCTAGTCATTGCACCTCTCTACATGGCTACAACACGCCAGTCGAGCTCATCACTTTCTGACGGTTGGCAGCTATACAGACGCGGAACGAGGCACCGCCACTTCAGCGTCGCAGGGCCGTTTTTGCCGGGTGAATATCCTGCACAGCGCTGAGCGAGCGGAGGGTAGAGTAAGACTAATCATGTCCTCGTGACCATTCTCTACTGCTCTGAGACACTGTTGGAGGAGACGGCAGCTCATGAGCTATTCTCATTGATCATGCAAAGTTGATATATAGTTAAAGTATTCAGTGTTCATGATGACGATAGAGTACGTAACCTTTTCTTTTGTGTGTTGCCACCGACCCTTGACGTTTCAAAAAAATCCTGGGTGCGGGAAGATCACGTTCATCGCCTCTCTGTTGGGGGCGGCCGGGGGGAGGCAGCAGCGACAGCAGCGAATCTCGTGATTCCATCGTGGTAGACCTTGGAACTGTCTTGAGTCGCAGCTCAGTCCATCAAATCCCGTCTGGATGCTGGTCGACGACGTCTATACTGAGGCGACAGCAAGCAGTCTGGGGGGCTCATTGAACAGGTTCTCTCCGGGACAGATCGAGTGAATTCTCCATCAAGACCCAGGAGGAAAAAAGCCATCAATTGCTCAGCGACCGTGACGGGTCATTTCTAGCCTGTACGTTCCATCAGTCCTCTCAGAGGGAAAACAGCATCAGATACGCTGTGACCAATATGTCCTGCTCCATCATTCCATGATTGATTTTGTCGTCAAGACGGACGCCAGGACACACCAGTCCAGAGCCAAGACGCTCAGAGCAATCCTTGCACAAAGGGTCCCTGTCGTGCCGTAAAACGTTGGAAGTCAAAGAGACATTCCATTCACTCCCTTCATTCCATCTCACTCCATCTTTTTGTCTGATTACTCATTCCCCCCCGGTGCATGTGCTCACTTCTGTCCAACTAGTCTGGCACGATGGGCCTTCTAAAACGTTTCAAGCAATCGACACTCGCCTCAGGTTCTGGTTCGTCGTCCCAATCGACCTCTTGGCAACAGACTCCATCCGACCAAATTTCCAAAGAGAGATCGACATCCACTTCATCCTCACTTCAACTCGATCCGCCGCTCAAGCCGCCTAAGTTTGGTACTGCCTCCAGTAGCCGATCCATAGATCGTCTGGCCAAGCCTGACAGGCCGGAATTACCACTCTCTGGCGCGTCGAGTCACAGTCTCGCTTCGAAAGGATCGACCAGTCGATGGAGAGTCCGGAGAAGATCACAGAAGGAAAGTGAATTGGTCCCTGGTCCAGCTTATAATGAGCTGTATGGCGGTCATGGAGACTACGGAGAAACAGTAGGGACGAGCTTACCCCTCTCTCGAGATGATCGGCAGATGAACGCTTCTGGATCATCAAATCGGACCTACGTCGACACTCCCCCTGCGTCTGCGCCTTCCAGTCCAGTCAAACAAAAATTGCGTCCACGGTCCCAGGAGTATCTGCAGGAAGGAGGTATTCTCGGTCGACTCAATTTTGAAATGGGTTCGAGTCACCTGGGATTGGATCAGACCCGAGCTGGTGGATTGAATTCATGGTTGACTCCGTTGGATCAAGGCTCAAAGGAGCACGAAGATGAAGCATTCGTCATCGTTGAATCGCCTCCCGCAGAACCCTCTAGTAGGCCGAGTGACGAAGTTGAAGTGTTAGACTCGGGTGAAAAGAAACAGAAATTCTGGAAAGGAATAGGGAGGAACAGGCGGTCGTCTGGAGCTCAAAGCGAGCTGGAGGAGGAGGGTCTGATAGCCGTGAGTGCCTGGTTACAGAGTCGATACATTGAGCTGATCGTAAGCAGGAGGTCTCGCCCACACCCAAGCGAGCTTCCCTGCCTCCGGTCGAAATGACATCCCAAGTTCAACAAGGACCACCCGTAGAGCTGCAACATCCACGTCCACAGAACCTTCGACGACCATCCTCCTCATTTTTCCCAACCACTTTCAAGAGGTCAGTATCACGGGCGTCCCTCAACCAAGATCTGGAGACACTCACTTCCGCCATCGATGATGGATCCTTCCGACTCACTTCCTTCCGACACGTCTCTGGTACTGCGGATATCCCTCGACAGGAATCAGAGAAGACCTTGGACCAATCCTCTGACAAGATCCGATCTCCCCCGCAGTCGGCCGCCCCACTCACGTCGCCGTCAAGTGCCATTCATCCGCCCAGCGCGTATTTCAATTCTCTTCCACGTCCGAAAATGGCAGGATCTAGACCTCCTAGCGTCGCGGGGTCCGTCACTAGCTTGGACGAAATGATCAGCTCCTCCCCAAAGATCAGTGCGGCTGCTTTCCGACGAGGAGCCAGACGACCAAGCGAGAGTATCTTGCCCAACATTGAGCCCGTATCGAATGATAAGACAGTAGAGGAAGACGATGACGATCGTCCTTTGGCGATGATGAAGAGAGCTGGCGTCAAGAGCACTTCAGTTCCGCCGATCACAAGAGGTGGTGACGCTGGACCCAATGCGACGCGTGACAAAGACGAAGTTGGTCCATCTCAACTTGACATCGAGAAGCCGCCTGGCTCAGCCAGACTGTCACCATCTCCATCGAGCACGATACCTCATCGAGAAACAGCCTCTCCCAGTGCTAGCATCGCCATGATCAAGACTGCAGAAAAGGCTGGTTCCAGCTCCGCAACGCCCACCAAGGCTTTCTTTGTGAAAAGTGCAACGACCACCAGAACGGATCGTCTTTCGGCCGGACCGTCAATGGCCACCCACTCCCGACCCCCGTCCTTCGCATCGCCGGCACCTAGCAAATCGACGACTCCTCAGCCTATTGATGAGCCTGAGATTCTGCTATCTCCACTTGACATTGAACAGATTGAGCAGACCTTGGCTCCGCCGCTTATTTCGCCTGGGCACAATCGACCCCAAGCTGTGTTACCACTGCAGCCTCGCGTCAGTCGATGGACGCCGAGTCCTTCTCCTTCTCCTTCTTCTCAACATGCATCGCGGTCCTCACCTCCTCCTGTTGCTCCACTTGTTCTCCCTCAGGCTGGCGATACCACTCCATCCTCTGCCGATCTGCCATTACCTCCTGACCTGATGCCGGATACGCCTCCTCCGATCGGTGAAGCCTCCGCTCAACCCGGACCTGAATCGCCGGCCTCTACTCTGCGTCGCCGTGCGCTGTCGTTGGGCGTTTTCGAAGAGCCGCTGCGCGTCATTTCCGGATTTTGGAACACTTCACCACCTGTCACTGCTGTAGCAACTCAGAGTGCTCCATTGGATAGTGGTCCACAATCGGCTTCGAGTCGTAGCAACGATGCTGACGCGTTGGAGTCTTGGGTCGTCTCATCATCACTCCTGCTCGGCGATGATCAGAACGGTGATCGTGCCCCAAGCCGGATGACACTATTCGATGCCTCCGCTTCGTCCGACTCTTCCAGTCGAGATCCTAAACGGTCATTGGCCACCTCCGATGCTCGATCTAATACTCTTGGATCTCGACCCTCGCTCAGTGATATCAACACCAATATCATACGCCCTTCACCAAACCTGAGATCACCGAGATCAGCGATCGATCTCGCTTCGCCCACGAGTACGGGCACAATCGTGACCGCCACCCCTCTCGTCTCAAGCTTCCGAGGGCCGCCAGTCGTTGAACAGAAGCATCAAGGCTTTTCTCATGGCCGGGGCGCGCCCGTCAAGAACAAGGGCGCATGGTCATCTAGCGAATCTGAACAGTCAGAGTCAGAAACTGAGAGCCCCAGTCCCAGTCCCAGCCCGGGCCCGCCGATCAAGTCTCGCGTATCGTTCCGCCGAGTCCCTCAAGGTCCGAGGAAACCTTCAATCTCGAGACCCGGTTCCTCGCTGAAACCGATCAAAAGCAATATGCGTCGTGTGACCTCTCCTGACAAGGTCGAGCGTCGAAGCGCTTTGAGAGATCGTCGACTTTCCGCTCAGAGTAATTCGCTCCGGAAGGACCATGATTCTGACTCCAGCGCCGATGAAGCCCTCTCCAAATTCAAGGATCGAGTCTCTGATTCTCGCACGTCACAGAACAGAGATTCTCCAGCACGATCCACAGTAACTTTACCTACTTCTTCTTCGCTACAGATCGACAAACGTTCTTTACCGTCTTCCATACCGACCTTGCAATCTGCTCGATTTACTGGTCAGTCTGCCGTCGTTGGTGATCATCCCGCCGCTAGCTTCACCCCTGACCATCAACCGATGCGACCGTCGTTCAGCCGAACTGCCACTAGTCCGGAATCGAGCCTGTCAGGCAGAACAAGCGAAGGATTGGGTCAGACTCTGGTGACGCCGCGGAGTGAGGCGTATCCCCCGAGCCTCGAGCCGGACCATTCGATACCTGGTGCAGACGGAAGAAAGCGCCACGTTTCGAGCCCCTCTGCGCCTTGGGCAGGGATGCCCATGCATGCGCCGGTGGTGCACCCGCCACCACCGTTCCCGACTGACCCCAACGCCTTGATGTAAGTGTATCAGATGCTCATTTCTGTTCTCCTCGGCTCGGCTGATGCGATCGCAGAGCAATGAAGCAAGCTTGGCAAGCGCATTTTATGGCTGCTGCGTATCGCGCTTCGGAGGAAGAATGGGAGCGAGCTTCGACCGTCGGAGGTGGAGACAATCAGGCTCACCATCAGCCATCGACATTCGGACACTGGCGTCCGCCGCCATCGATGAACGCCTCGTTCCCTACGATGCCTCAGTTGATGCCTGCTCTCCCTCTTCCACCCCATGGTATTCCCTATGGCTATCCTTTGCCTATGGGACCGCACCCACTCCCACCTGCACCTCTTGAAATGCCTTATCCTCATCCCCCACACGGCATGTCTTTCCCTCATTACCCTCTCCCTCTTCCTCCCGCTCCTACATCCGACTTGGCAGGATACCAGTTCAGACCAGGAAGTCAATCTGTCTACGGGCTGAACGTTGGACCGCCCGTTCATTCGCCTAGCACTGGCGTATACGCTCCACACCAGTACTATCAAACACCTGGTCCTCCGCCTTCTTCCCACGATCGACATTCTGCCCATGTCAGGTCCAACAGTGCCCAAGTTCAATTCGAAGATGCTCCCACGCCTCGAAAAGCCAAAAGATCGACCTTACAATATGCGAATTGAGCCCTTTTGTTTCTCTCATTGCATTCCCACGCCCCGACGACATAGACATTTCTTTACGAATCCCATGCCATGACACCACGATTAATCCTGCCTCAGCTTTCATCGCATGTGCTTGTATACCACCATTTACCCCCTCACTAGGGGGTTTGCCTTCCGACTTGGCATCTCTATACATTATCATCCTCCATATGTTTCATCAAATAAGCCTGTATGCATGTGCAGAAAGTCTGCGTCTGGACATCCTATCGTTGTCGTCTTGCCGCTGAGTAGGGGCAACCTCAAGGGCAATATTAACTCTTCGCTTCCCTCAAGGATTGTGTCCCTCTTGATCAGCACCGCTACAGAGCCACATCATGTACACCAACCATTACTGTATGGATGTTCACTTCTTCACACGCGATAGATAGGTCAGGAGACATACATCGGCGAAGTTAGACTCGGAAAACATCGAAGTGTGACTTTTTTGCAACAATGCATTAGAGGGTCATCATCCGGTCGTCTCGTGAGATTGGGTGTCTGGAACGGAATGATAAAGAATGACAGATTACAACGGTTTGACTCATTGCACAGCGGAATCAAGTGATGTAGACAATCTCCCTCAAAGCTCGATCAGCAATGCCTCCTCCTTTGGCTGTTCTTGCAGAGCTGCGCTCGGCGCATCTGGAAAGACGGCGGAAGGAGCCGAGGGGAACGAGTTGACGCTGTACGTATGAGGCGGAGCAGTCTGAGCAGGATGTTGCTGTTGCTGTTGCTGCTGCTGTTGCTGCTGTTGCTGCTGTGGGTAGTGAAATGCCTTTTGATTATGCTGTTGCTCGTATTGGTATGACTGAGCTTGTTGCGGCTGAATCTGAGCTTGATAAGCCCCTTCAGAGGTCGCCGCGACGGGTGGTAATGGGGCGTGATTGGTCTGTGTGGGAGAGCTAGCTTGGGGGTGAGAGGGGAGCACCGTATGGACGCTAGCGATGGGCGAGGTCGGATGGGAAGTCTGGTCGACTGGCGGGGGGGCCGAAAGGATCATCGGAGGGGATGTATTATAAACCTCCGTGGGGGTCATTTGAGGCGCTGATTCTGCATGGAAAGAGCGGTACGACTCTGACCGCTGTGGCTGCGATGGTGCTGACCATCGTTGAGCAGCAGGAGGCTGAGGGGCGTTGATCGCTGCACTAGGCCGATACTGATCGTATTGGTAGGATTGTTGAGGTGGATGATAGTTTTGCGATGGTGCGGGTTCTGGGCTGGTCATGTTCGGCATGGAGGGATAAAGGGAAGGTCCGTTCCTGCTTGACTCGGCTTGGGGAGGTACGTAAGAAGGGTAGGGAGATGCGTGACCGTTCATCTGTGGGTGGTAGGCTTGAGGCGGGTTGTAAGAAGGGTAATACGGTGCGGTGTATTGCCGATGCTGTGCTTCTTGATATCGTTTGGCAGAATATGCTTGTTGCCCATCCAATATTTGACCATATAAAGTGACGGCTTGAGATAATTTGTCTTGCATCTCCGCGAGCATTTCTGACGAGCTAGTTCAGCACTTTGCGTGCAGGAGATGCGGAACTCACGCTGCTTCGTCATCTTTTCCTCGGCATTGCGCTGTAGCTTCCCACTCAGAGCATGAGCTTGTTGTGCCAAGACATGACCATGCGGGAAGCGATGCAAATCCCTCTCGCCATACGCCGTCATCTGATCCATGGTGTTAGAGAAAGTTAGTATGGTCTCCGTCTCCCGAGCAGAAAGATCAAATGTCGGTAATGGCTGTCGCAAATTTGAGCTTTACCAAGAGCTTCAGGCCGATCAGGCTCACTTTGAAATCGGGCTCCTCTGCCCCTTCTGGTGCGCTTGGACGTTCCTTCTCCATCTCCCGCAGACTGGCTTCGATCGCCAGTCTTAGCTCCTCATCATCATCCTCCACTGTGCCAGGTTTCGCCGCGAGAGGAGGCTCAGAACCGACGAAGGCACGGCCCTGAGGCTGGGATTCCTGGAGCGAGAGCTCAATCGCCCGTTGCAGATCTGCATCAAAGTCTTTCCTCGTTCTTGGTGTTCTGCCAGGAACGGCCGGCGGAGGGCTGGGGACAGTCAACCATTTTCCGATTCAGGAGCATGAAGTAATCTCACCCATTCGGAGCGTCCACCTTGCCATTCTTAAGATAACACGCCTCGCATACTCTGACAGGCTCCTTGAATCCAAACTTTGGCAATGGCATAGTCCGACTACTGCAGGCCTGATCGTACACCAAACCGCAATTCCTGCAATGGTGTTTGCGGTTCGTAAATGTGAAAGCTGAACGACAGCGCATGCAGACGTCCGAGTCTATCCAGGCAGGTGCAGTCGTGGTGTCGAGGAGATGAGATGAGGTTTGAGATGGAGGAGGAGGGAAAGGTTTGCCTAGTGCTCGTTAGCTTGACCTTGAGCGATTTCCATGTCCGCTCTGTCGTGCATGAACTCACCTGAGGATTTGAGTTCACGGTACACATCAACCAAAAAGCCTAGCTCTCGCTTTGATTCAAAAGCCAGAGCCCAAGCTTGGAAATGCTTCAGAGCCATCTGCTTGACCTCGGCGTTGGTTATCTGCATGATCGGATGAGCTCAATTTAACCCAGACAAGGATTAGGAAGCTCACTGGTGAGCGTATCAAGCCCGACATCTCATCTACAAACTCCTTGCTTGCTATCTCAGCTAGAAAATGATCTCCACCATTCTTGATGCAGGTATCTATCAGCTGTAGGCTGAGTCAGCAAGAGGCCTTGTCAAGCTGACCATGAAGCGGGAAGACCGACTCACCCCTATGGCATACATCTTCACCCTCTGATTCTGATCCGCCACTCTCCTCTTCAGACTTTGCATCGCAGGTTTGGGCTGTACGGCCTTTGAGCGGATCATATCGGTAATCTCGAGATTGAGGGCAATGTCTTCAGATTGCGGATAAGGGAGATTGAGAGACGAGCATGCTTTTTCTGATTCCCATCCGTCAGCATGATGCCCACGAAATTTAATGATCACTCCGGGCGGAAGAACAAAGGTCTTCCTCATCATCAGTTGAACAGCACAGAAGCCCAAGACGGGTACCAGATAGCAAAGGAGCAACGATGTGGAAGACACCGAACGAACAGGATAAGGCGAACGGGGAGATTTTGCACTCACCTACAAGCTCCTCATATTGTGTGTTGGTCGCAGAGCCCCAGAACCACGACATCTTTGCTGATGACTTTGCTCGACCAACGTCCGGCGGCGAGGGACACACGACAGTGATGTAATGCTAAGCGATCGAGCGAGGTTGAGCAACGGACTCCAGGGTGTGTAGATACGGCTGAGACCACCCAGTTTCTACAAATCACCTATCCTTATCTTCAGGTAGCTGACACTTGATGTTCGCACGAGAATGTTGATCTATACAGTGACTAATGGTATGAACCCACAGACAATGATGCAAGTGTGTCAGATCGACCCCGGGATCCGCATATACGCAAGTGCCACACAGTCGGAATTTCGGAGTTATAGAAATCGCCACTCGAGCCATTGTTTTCCCCCCGCCTGGCTGCTCACCACCACCTCCTCTGTCTGTTCCTCTCTTTATTCGGAGGGCCCATTCCTATCACTGTCTCTCTCTAATCACTCCAGGTTGGAGGAGCAGCGACTGGTACACGGGGGCCAAGAATCATTCTCCTCTCTATCCGAGAGTGAGCAAAACGCAAGTGGACGCGGAGAAAAAAAATCGACGAGAAGGGACGATCGAGTGGACTATCGAGTTGGTCGCGACGAGGCAGTCATTGCTTTGCAGATCCAATCATCCGTTCAGACTCCTCCGGTATCCCTTTCCTTCTCAACCCTCTCATACTCTTCTTACGACTCGATACATTCTGGAGTACGGGAATTTTTGCATATTCACAGCACAAGGATCTAGAAGGAAGACGTCTGGGAAATCAAAGTCTCATTCGCCGTTTAGAGGGAATCCCACTTGTCAGGCTCGAATCGACGCGCTTAACCGCCGTCCACTGACCACCCATCCCATTCATTTGGAGTTGGATTCAGTCGTGTATTTTACGTGTAATCAGAAGTGTCAGACACTTCGTGTAAGAGAAGATTAGGAACGGGCATCGGATTCAAGGAGGAGATCGTTCCGGACTTGGTTTAAAGCTGCTCAGGGATCGTACGACTCGCTCGTCAATCGCCTCAAAATGACAATCACATTTCCTTACTCCTCTGCGCCGGTTAGGCAAATCAGGGAGATCCAATTTGGAGTGATGAGTCCAGAGGAGATTGTGAGTGCTATCTCCCTCTCAACCGTTACCATGCATGCAAACGACAGGTGGATTTCGCACGGTCGGGTCGAGTGCTAGAAATCGAGGATCTTCCCGTTCATCCAGTGTTCATGTCTTTTCGGACACTGGCTGACACTCATTTTAGAAAGCCTTCTCCGTAGCCAAGATCGAGCATCCTGAGGTCATGGACGAAACTGGCAGGCAGAAAGTCGGGGGCCTGATGGATCCCAAGATGGGCAGTATGTCCCTTGACTGGCGTTAGCCCTGCTTGTGATTCGCTTACGCGCAATTGTCTAGCCATCGACCGAAACTTTAAGTGTCAGACTTGTCTCGAGGGCATGGCAGAATGTCCAGGTCATTTCGGTCACATTGAACTGGCTCATCCTGTCTTTCACGCTGGCTTCATGGTCAAAGTGAAGAAGATATTGGAGTGCATCTGTTCTGACTGTGGAAAATTGAGAGTTGACCTGGTGGGTGTTGAGTCTAAACTTCTGGTGAGAGCCAGAGGTTGAACTCGCTGCAGCGCGATCCTTTGGTTGCTTCGATTGTCCGAAGAGTCAAAGCGCAACATCGTCTTAAGGCTATCTGGCCATTGGCTTCAAAGAAGCGTATCTGCGAGCCAGACGTGTTGGAGGATGAGAACGGGAATCCGCTTGATGAGGAGCAAGCAGGTCCTAGTACAGTCAAAGGACACGGAGGTTGTGGTCATGAGCAACCCATGTGGAGGAAGGAAGGTTTGAAGCTGTTCGCTGTGTCAAAACAACAGGCATCGGAGAAGGAAGAGGCGAGTCCAGTCTGTAGTCTCGTCAGTCGTCATTGACCCCCTACGCAGCAGGAGTCCAGCGAGCCGGAAAAGAAGATTGTCACTCCAGCGGAGATTCACAAGCTGTTGCAAAAGATTCCCGCGGAGGATCTTCAGATCATGGGTCTCAATGCCGAATACGCTCGTCCGGATTGGATGATCTTGACTGTCCTGCCTGTTCCTCCCGCCGCGGTTCGACCTTCCATCTCTGTGGATGGAGGCGCCATGCGGTCTGAGGATGATCTGACATACAAGCTGTCTCAGATACTCAAATCCAGTGCCTCTGTACGACGTCTAGAAGGGGAAGGAGTGCCCCAATCCGTCATCAGCGAACACTTTGACCTGCTCCAGTATCATGTTGCCACTTATATGGACAACGACATTGCTGGACTCCCACAGGACACTCAAAAGTCTGGTCGACCGGTCAAAGCTATTCGAGCGAGACTGAAGGGCAAGGAGGGGCGGTTGAGAGGCAACTTGATGGGAAAACGTGTAGACTTTTCAGCTCGAACCGTTATCACTGGAGACCCAAACCTGCAGCTTGATCAAGTTGGAGTGCCCAAGAGCGTTGCGATGACTTTGACCTATCCGGAAAGAGGTCAGTCGACAATCTTTGACGCCTGACCAGTCAATGATGATACTGATATTGCTCAGTCACACCGTACAATATCGGATACCTCCAGCAATTGGTCCAAAATGGCCCGGCGACGTATCCTGGGGCTCGATACTACGTGAAGGATACCGGAGAAAGGATAGACTTGAAATACCGAAAGTCCAATGAGCCGATCAGTCTGCAGTTTGGCTGGATAGTGGAGAGACATTTGAAAGACGGAGAGTGAGTCGCAAAGGCCTCCAGGTATGCGAAAGCTCATCCTTTGCAGCTATGTTCTGTTCAACCGACAACCATCATTGCACAAAATGTCAATGATGAGTCATCGAATAAAGCTCATGAATTACTCCAGTGGGTGTACGAAAGCTCACGCGTGTGCTGACTCGTGCAGCCTTCCGTCTCAACCTCTCCGTCACTTCACCTTACAACGCTGACTTTGACGGTGATGAAATGAACTTGCAGTATGTCGTCACAGCTGTCGCAACGAGTCGATCGTTGACACGTGAACAGCGTACCTCAGAGCGAGGAAACGCGTGCAGAGCTCAGTCAGATCGCTTGGGTCCCGCGTCAGGTAAGTTCATAAGCCAACGACGACACTGATCCCTCAAAGATCATTTCACCACAAGCCAACAAACCCGTCATGGGTATCGTCCAAGACACTCTGTGCGGTATTCGTAAATTCACCCTGCGTGACAATTTCTGCGATTGGAAGACGGTTCAGAACATTCTCCTCTGGTTACCCGGTTGGGACGGTACAATACCACAGCCTGCGATTCTCAAGCCAACACCGATGTGGACAGGAAAGCAGTTGCTGTCGATGTGTATACCCAAGGGTGTCAATATCGTCTTCAAAAATAATGAGAAGCCTTCACCGATCGATGTGACGGACGAGAATGTCTTGATCGATGATGGAGAGGTCATCCACGGTACCATCGTGAAGAACCTTGCGGGTAGTGCAAACAATGGTCTGGTTCACGTTATTTTCCGACAGTTCGGACACATTGCCGCTCGAGACTTCTTTTCCGCTGTTCAACGTGTGGTCAACTTCTGGCTTCTTCATTACGGATTCAGTGTCGGAATCGGTGACACGATTGTCGACAAAGCTACCATGGCCGCCATCACAAATCGAATGGTGCAGGCCAAGGAGGCGGTACAGAAGTTGATCGAGCGTGCTGAACTCAATGGAATGAAACCTCAGCCAGGAATGACGATCAGAGAGACATTGGAGGCTTCCATCGCCAACGAGCTGAACAAGGCTCGTGATTGGACGGGTAAAACTGCCCAGGATAATCTCAAAGCGGATAACAATGTCAAACAAATGGTCGTCTCTGGTGCGAAGGGATCTTTTATCAACATTTCCCAGATGACTGGTGTGGTGGGACAACAGTTCGTCGAAGGAAAGCGAATCAATTTCGGTTTCAAACACCGTACACTGCCTCACTTTTCAAAAGACGACTATGGTCCGGAATCCAGAGGCTTCGTTGAGAACTCGTATCTGCGAGGCTTGACACCGCAGGAATTCTGGTTCCACGCCATGGGAGGTCGTGAAGGATTGATTGACACTGCAGTAAAGACCGCAGAGACGGGATACATTCAACGCCGATTGGTTAAAGCCATGGAGGATCTAAAGGTCGGATACGATGGGACAGTCCGAAACTCAAACGGAGACGTTATCCAGTTCTTGTACGGTGAAGATGGAATGGACGGTGCCGCTATGGAACGACAGGTGAGCCAAATGTATCCTTTACCCGAACCTTTCTTACCGTCTCTAGGCTCTCGACATCATGCGTCTCTCGCATCGTCGATTCGAGCAAGAGTACAGGATCGATGTCATTGGCGCGAGTGGTGGTTTCGCACCGGGAACACTACAAGCCGGCATCGATTCCTCCTCTGCTTCGTTGCAGAAGCTGCTGGACGCCGAGTATGAGCAGTTGCTCCTCGACAGAACCATGCTCCGTGACGAAATCTTCCCTGATGGCAACCCATCTCATGCCTTGCCCGCGAATATCCAGCGTATCATTCAAAATGCACAACAAGTCTTCAAGATTGACAAGCGTGTCCCTAGCGATCTCGATCCGGCCTACTTGATTGAACAGCGTTCTGCGCTTGCCTCCAGGCTGGTCGTAGTGAGAGGTGATGATCCTCTCAGTCTGCGCACGCAATACGAGGCGACACTCCTCTTCAATATTCTCCTTCGATCTCGTCTGGCTACAAGACGTATCCTGGAGAAAGACCATTTGACCCGAAATGCCTTTGACTGGGTCGTTGGAGAAATCGAGCAGACTTTTAATCGCGCGGTTTGCGACCCGGCCGAGATGGTTGGCACGCTTGCGGCGCAGTCGATCGGAGAACCGGCAACTCAGATGACACTCAACACATTCCATTATGCTGGTGTTGCGAGTAAATCGGTTACTGGTGGTGTGCCCCGTCTGAAGGAGATTATCAACGTCGCCGTCAATATTCGAACTCCGGCGTTGAACGTATATCTTCATCCAGAGTATTCCCGCACTGAAGAGGACGCGCATCAAATCTCTCGAAAGCTCACGTATACTCGTCTCCGAGATATTACGGCGTCCGTAGAGATCTTTTACGATCCCAAGCTCGACTCGACGGACATTGAAGAGGACAAAGACTTTGTCGACGCCTTCTTCGCCATTCCCGACGAAGACATTCGGCTCGAGCTCCATTCCCCATGGCTCTTGCGTCTTGAACTGGACCGAGCGAAGGTACTTGAGGGAGGCTACGAAATGTCTCAAGTCGTCAACGCCATTGCCGAGACTGTCGGCAAAGACGTCTTTGTGATCCACTCTGAAGATAACGCGGAAAAGCTGGTCATTCGTATCCGAGTCGTGTCCGAGAACAAGGACGAGGAGGTTTCCAGCGACGAGGACATGTTTTTGAGACGGATCGAAGGGACTCTGCTCGACTCTGTCGAACTTGGTGGTATCGATGGGATTCAACGAGTCTTCATTTCTGAAGGCAAAAAGGTTGTCCTGTCCCAGCAGGGCGAATATGATCAAGCCAAGGAGTGGTTCCTCGAAACCGATGGAATCAATCTCAAAGCCGTACTCGCTGTGGATGGTGTCGATGCTGTTCGAACCTACTCGAACAACTGTTATGAGTGTTTCCAGACGCTGGGTATTGAAGCTGGTCGAAATGCTCTATTTAAGGAGCTGAACGGTGTTATCGAGATGGGTGGATCCTCGGTCAACTACCGACATTTGGCACTCTTATGTGACCTCATGTGTAACAAGGGTCAGCTCATGTCGATCACTCGTCACGGTATCAACCGGACGGATGCTGGAGCGCTATCCCGTTGCTCCTTTGAGGAGACAGTCGAGATCTTGCTTGAAGCAGCGGCAGTCGGAGATGTGGATGACTGTCGAGGAGTAGCTGAGAATGTCCTTTTGGGACAGATGGCTCCCATGGGAACGGGAGCCTTCGATGTTTCACTCGATATGAACATGCTCAAGGACGTCATCGTGGATCATCGTCTACCCGTGCAAAATATGTTGGCAGCGGGTCTCATCGGTGGTATGACGCCTGGAGGAGCCATGACGCCGTATGATAATTTTTCGCCAATGTGGACTGGCCAGGATGGACGAGTCGAGTCTGCGGCCTTCTCGCCCATTCAGACGTCGAACAACGAGGAAGGCGGAAACTTTGCGTATATGGGATACGGAACATCGCCGATGCAAGGTGGCATGTCACCTGGAGCGGGATACTCTCCTTCTTCTCCTGCAGGGTATTCTCCAACTTCGCCATTTGCAGTCACCTCTCCCGCATACTCTCCAACGTCGCCGTTCCAGGGTGCAGGCGCTGCGTCGCCTTGGGTTCCCAGAGGTGGATATGGGGCAACCAGTCCAGCCTATTCTCCATCCTCTCCTCAGTATTCGCCTTCGTCGCCCCAGTTCTCACCCACTTCACCGTCATTCTCCCCTGCATCACCAACGTATTCTCCAACTTCGCCAGCAAATGGTGCTGCTTCGCGATCTCGAGCGTCACCTTACTCTCCGGCATCTCCAGCGTACAGTCCTACATCGCCTTTGGCAGGTGCGACGTCGCCGCAATACAGTCCCACGTCACCACAATACAGTCCAACTTCTCCACGGTATTCGCCTGCGAGTCCTGCCTTCTCACCCACGAGTCCGGTCTACAGCCCGACGAGTCCAGCGCCGTTCCAAGCTACCTCGCCAAAGTATTCACCTACGAGTCCCACTTACTCACCTGCGAGTCCGGCATTCTCTCCCACGAGTCCCACGTACTCCCCGGCAAGTCCAGCTTACAGTCCCACTTCTCCGGCCTATTCTCCCGCGTCTCCGGCATATAGTCCCGCTTCGCCAAGTGCGAACGGCAAAGCCCCGAACGGGAATGCACAGGGATCGCGGCAGAGGAATGGATGGGGAGCTGGAGGGTCGGGCTATAACGCGTCGCCCAGCTGGAAGACGTGATCTGTTTCGTGATTCTCGTACACTCTATTCGTTGGTGAAATACGTCGATCCACTCTATCTAGTATCATAGTGGCCCTGGGCAACTATCTCGCGACGCATGTATCGCATGTCTTCCTGACCTCTTTTTGAAGCAAATGTTCCATGCAGGCAATAATAGCTACAGGCTAATCTGTACAACATGACTGATACAACAAGAGTCTACGATTTCGACTTTGGTTCGAAGAAGCGCTTGATCCCTTCTGGCCTCGACTTACTCCCGGTCTTCGAAGGCTTGGGAAGACGAGCAGGACTAGGCCCGTTTTGAAGTTCGAGAGCGAAATGGTAGTCCTCATGCTCTTGAATCTGCTCCTTCAGATTCCCCGAATCCTCTCCCTTGATGACTGTTTTGCAACGCGGACATTTCCATCCGTTGTCAGGTAAATCTATCGAGTCATCGACGATCTCGATGATATCTTCTGGCTTTCTCGCATTATCGTGCTTGAACCCACTGTTTATCGACGGACTTGCATCTGGATCAGTCGGCCGGGCGAGAAACGAATCGAGTGCGGTTTTTCGTTTGCCAGTGTGAAGTGTAGGTAATCTTGGCTTTTTTGGGGAAGGTTCAGTCGGTACGTGAACGCCTCGAGATGTAGGTGAAGTGGATCGCTTGACTGTGGCCCCCGTAGCTGTCGCGGTGGCTGCTTTGGCGTTGTTATTGGGATTGAAGAAATTCTCGATCCCCTTTTGACCATCCTCCAATCTTTCGAGGCCGGAAAATGCAAGAGCAATCTATATATCGTCAAAGACATCGACAGTAAGCATGACTGACATTGTTGAGCTTCATGTTGCCCTTATTCATAGGCTGTGTAACCTCATCCCAAAGCTTACGAGCATATTTGAGGATATATTCTGTGGAAAGGTTGCGGGTGAAGGGGAATGCAGTTTGTCGTGATTTTGAAGCCTCGATGCCTTGAGATGTGTGAGATCGAGAACCTCTTGTATCTCTCACCTGTGCGATGCGACAGGACAAGGGTCTTTGGCCAGAGGCCCGGAGAAATGTCCCTTGCATCCCGCAGTCGTACATTCAGTTCGCCCGCCAAAACTTGAAGCCAGTGATGGCCTTGCTCTGGGGTGGTGACACTGGGCCGAACATTTTTGGAAGCCAGCATTGACTTCGTAGCGACCCGTGCCGTGACTGCGACCGTCAGTCAAACAAGAGATCAAACGGTAATTCACCCTCAGAATGGTCGATGCCTCTGAGAATATTGTACACCCATATACTCTCTTCACCAAATCGTTTCTGCATATCCTCTAGCGGGACCGTTCTGAGACCCTTCAGCATCACCAGCTCCCTGACGAAGGGAGAACGCACAGCATGTCGCCGACAGTTTTGGCACCAAACTCTGTAGCCATTGCACTGCCAAGCTTGCCACCCAGAAAACGTATCTTGACTGTGTCAGACACGGCATTCGATCCGTACTCACATCTGTGAAGTCCATATCTCGAAGGAAAGCGGGAGTCGCTGCGGCACGGAGCACAGTCTGGTTATTTGGCTTCTTCCACGCTGAACATAGCTGTAAAGGTCAGCCCAATCTCAGGGACGCTAACAACCTTCGCCATGGCCTTGTTATGTGCTATTCCCTGATATTGTCAGCATCAAAATTTTAGAGCTCCACCTACAGCTGAGCAAGTGTAATGTAGTCTCTTATGCACCTCCGAGCGGAGCTCTCCCATCAAGTCTGCACCGACGCACAGCGCCCAGTCCTCCCAGTCAGGCCTCTCACAACTCTTATCAGCTGCTAGTGCCCCATCTTCGGCGCCTTTTTCACCCTCGCCATGGATAGGGAAGACATTCCCTGCGTTCGTCCAGTCAATCGGCGGTGGCGGCGGCAGAGGTGAATCGAGACCGCTTGGCGCATCCTCAGGTACGTTCTTGAGGTGAGGGAATCGGTCCAGTAGACGTTCAGCGACCATCAGCGATAGGTCGAGGAACGCTTCATCAATTGACGCTTTTTCTGCAGACTGGAGCTCAGTCGCCAAAATCAACTTGATTTGTGAATGGCGTACCTATCTCGCCCTTGGGAATCATCTCCTTGAATATGGCAAGAATTTTGAGCGACTCTCGTCGATATGGGTCCAAGCTAACTTTGTGGGTCCTCGGGTCCGCTTCGCCCCAGTAACCCGCTTCGGCCTCTCCATTCCGATACGTTGCGACGTGTTGTACATGTAAATGAGGACACATCTTCTTTGCTTCGTCGATTGTGTTGAATCTGATTCAAGAATGCGTGAGTGTTACCAGTCGATGGAAGCTACACGAACGCACCTCTTTATACCATACTTCCTGGCCGGGTAGTTGACAGCAATTATCGACTGCCATTGTGCACATATCAACGGTATATCATCTGGAAGACCTAGCCGGACCTGTTCGAACTCTGATTGAATGAGCTTCTCTGCAAACGCGCCCAGGCCGTCTAGGGACTTACGAGCGTAAGCAGCATCGATGTCACAGTGAGCAATGACCCTCAGAGGGTTCCTGCGGAAGCGCTAAGCCTCCGTCCATCCTGGTCTGGCTGAGTACTCACGATACTGTCATTGATTGGTGATTGAGCAGATGTCTAGCCCGGTCAGCGTTGTGAGGCTACGATGAGCTGACCTATATGTGACTGGACCGCCTGTCGATCCCTCGGACCTCTTCGAAGGTCCAGCGAGGAAGTCCATGATGACATTGCAGGCCCAAGGAGAAGAGTTGTATGGATCAAAATATCTCAATGCGCACCTGGTATTTCAGCTGCACTTCGGTAAACAGTCGATCTCCGCTCTATGAAGATGCACTTGTGCTCATATTGCATGCTACCCTGTCATAATGCGAAAATCATCCTCATGCTCTTATATCTGGTGTATATGCCTTGAGCCGGCCAACGTTCTAAGGAAACTTCTCCTTCAGTCCAAACAAGTAACCTCGAAACCATTACAACATGTTGATCGGTCCCGTCTCCTAGAGACAAGTCCAACCGCCTTGATCATTCGTCAATTCCAATCTTCTAGCCGTCAAATGAGGTATGGTATGCTGCAGCCAAGTCGCTCTTCGTAACTCATCCCAGCGCCCTACGTGTATGCTCTGTCGATGTCCACGTCTACGTCACCAAGATTAGCGACCATAATGGTGTTTGCCCCCGGACCAACTCACCTCAGGGATGGATCAAGTTCGCCATGAGAATCAAGATATGGCATCGCTTGGAAGCATCCAGAGCCCGCGTAGAGGTACAAAATGACCCATCGCTTGATGTCGACAAACATGCCCACGGCGGCTCCGCACCTGTTGATGCGTGATCAGATGACGGGTACGCACGGTTGATGACTCACTCTCTCATATGAAGATTACACTCTCCCTGCTCACCCTCCGCACAGCAGTCTCCGCCAAGACAGACAAAAGCGCCGCAAAAGAGACAGACCGCTGGGAAGCTCGGTTTAGTGTTGCACTTCTCACACCTGAGATCAGTGAACAGTAGAATCATCCGCTCCCAATTGACTGGAAGTCGATACAGTTCGTAGGTGCCTGGGAATTCGAGGGGAGGTACATATCGACCCTGCATGGACCACTGAGTAAGCCAGCGCGATACGATGGGCGCTTCGGTCGAATTGGGCTTTGGGAGCGTGTCTTTGGGATGCGAAATGCAAAGGAGTGCCATGAGCCGGTTGTACTCGCATGCGTTTGTGAGGCTATCGGCACCATGTGGATCAGGGTAGGTGCCGGTGACAGAATAGTAGATGATGGCGGCCCTGCGGAGGAAAGGTAGGGTATGAGCGTATAGCAGCTTGGCCAGCATCTCGTCGGTGAAGAGTGACAGCACCGCTTCGCTGTCGTTGAACGGACCAGTACTGCGGAAGACGCCGTGCATGATGTTCCGGAAGTCGGCAAAGATTGACATGGCGTCCTCTCGCTCTGGCTCCTCGGGAGCAGGCGTTCGAGGCTGAGGATCCGTTTTGGGAACAAGGACACGTCGGGCGTAGATCGAGAGACCGAGCATAACTCGTGTGAGATTCGCATAATAAGCCATGACGATCACCGGATGGAGGAGATCGGGGGCTATGGCAGCAGTCTCGACAACCATTCCGAGGGGATTGCGGAGAAGAAGAGGTGAAGGAAGGGTACTTGCTCGGTACCAATCAGGCAAGAAACGCGCAAAGATTCCGACTCGGAGAGCTGTGCGATCATAATTCGGCCCAAAGAAAAGATCCAGTTCAAGTTGTAGCACGCCGACGAGTTTCTTGATGAGCTTCATGCTCATGTCGGGCACCTGCTCAGCTACACTGAGTGCGCCTTCCGCTCGAGCGAGACCTCGTTGGGTGATCTCAGAGATGGCAATTGTGTATGCCACAACATCGTCTGGAAGGTACATGCTTGACTTTTTGCCTCGGATTCGTGTAGATTGGTCTGAGAGAGGTCTGAGCAGATTCCGCATTCGCTCGATCATTCTCGAGATAGGTCGCATGACCTGACGCCGATGAACGGGATCCAAGGTATTGAGCGAGAAGTTGCAATCCGTAAACCAAGGCGTCAATTCTCCAGTCTCGATGTGGTGGTCCCAAATACGAGCAGAATCGGACACCCGGATCAGCCCCTCCTCAGAGACGCTGCGAATTTTCTCCGATAGCGTGGGGAGCTTGCCTTGACGGTTGAACGCGGATTTAAAAGGCGTCTGCGTCGTATCGAGGGGTATAAGAATATTGCCAAGGGATTTGCACAAGGGACACATATACTCCATTCGAACGGCATTTTCAGGATGATGCCGGCCGACTTGCTGAGTGTGCCGCCATCTAGTAGCCTCAAAGTAAGTCCCGATACACGTCTCGTGCATGACGTGATTGCAGGCCGAAATGTAGGCGCCAAATCGATAGTGAGTTGATGGGTATCCGTCAGTCTCTATCGGTTCGCCGGTACTGTCCAGCCCGAACCGAGTATGTCGAGTCGCATTGTCCAGGCAGACCGGCGTGGCGAGAGACTCTTCGAGCCAATCGCGATCGTGGAAGACGTCCCGGAGAACCCGGCTCGGCTGCATTAGCGCGAGCATACCTCCAGGACGCTGATGCGTGACATCATCTTGGCAGACGATGCACTGACCATAGGACTCCTCCTCTTCCTTGACCTCGTCCATTATGTCTTCCTCGTCGTCGTCTTCCTCCATGAGGGAAGCAAAGTCCGCTTGTTTCTTGGCAAATTCGGCCATGATAGCCTTCTGACGAGCAGCAGCAGCAGCACGAACCTGAGCTTTGCTCTCTTCCGGATCCTGAACGAGCTTGCTCGCCTCGAGAGATTCACGGTACTCGGCGGTGTATGTCTCGGGAAGGCGTTCAACGATGGCCTTGAGTACGTAGTCGAGTTTCGGTCTAAACGCTTTGAAAACCTCGCTCGTCTGCATGAACCAGAACTTCTGGAACAAGCTCATTGACTGACTTTTTGGTTGGATATGAACAGACCTTTCTGCAAACTCTTTCGGCGCCACTGATATAATGATCATGGAAAGGTGCAAGGCAAGGTCCAGAAGGTTGTCGAGCTGAGGAGCTTCATTCTTCGCGGCCTCCAGACCCGGCCAGTTGGTTTGATCTGCCATGTACATGCAGTGTGCGACGACCCAATAAACGATGTCAGTCCCCGCGTTATTGCTGAGAAAAGCGCCGAGATTAGACATAGGCTGGCCAGGTGGGGGAAACTCGAGGGGAAGTGGCATGAGAAGTGGCTCGGTGGTCTGATCAGACTTCTTCGCTCGCTCAACCAATTTCGCTGTGGCTGTGCGCTGCTCGTTGCGGGTGTAGTGACGCCAGTAGGGGTCGACCTCGGCATAGCATTCTTCCTTGAGCGTGTAAGCACCGTTGGCCGTCATAGTCGGTCGATGAAAGTCGGACACTGAGCGAAGCACGTTCAGGATACTTCGTCGCTCTGCGCAGCGCTCAGGAAGCTTTTTCAGCAGCTCAGCATAGCTGAGCTTGCCAAGCGCGAGTTGGTGAATGATGTGCTTGCGCGTTACCCGTGTCTGATCCCATTGACAGACCGAGGTAGTCTCTGTGACGATGTGAATGACGAGGAGTACAAAGTCCTCCATGATGGCGATGACTTGCTTGGGATCCATCTCGCTTTCGTTCCAATGACGAGCCTGTGTAATGGGGTCACGGAACCAGGGTACTAGTCCGAAGCGGTCAATGACTGCGACGAAAAATTTGTAAGGGTCCAAGATACAGAGGCAGAATTGCAGGAGGAAGAAATCCTGATCCACAGTAGCTTCTCTGACGTTCATCTCGCGATAGTGGTGATATTGACCGCGCATGGCGACGCCGTTCTTCTTCCACATGTCTGCACGAATCTGAGAAAGGACGACGTGCACTGCAGAGTGAGCCTTGCGTTACAAGAGACGACTCACTTTGTAGCGGCCATTCGAGGATGAGAAGCTTGATCTTTTCACTGTCTCCGGCGCCCGGAATCTGCAGTGCGCGTTTGAAGATGTCCGGGAACGATACACCGTTTGCCAAGCCGCCGTCAGAAGCTATAGCGAACATCAATGACTTGATCATCTCAGCAATGGCGAGGTGGAAATAGTGGTGGAAAGTAAAAGCCTTGATGGTTGCAACGTTGATGTCGATGACATCGAATTGCGTACCAGCGTCGAGAACGCCGATCAATCTGTGAGCCACGGGTGGTGTCCATATCTCTGGATCGAGCCTATCAGTAAGAAGGAGCATATCACTACGGATCGTTTTGATGGCTCGGTGAATGGTTGCTAGGGTGACGTCCACTTCTGCGTGCCTGAAGCATTCGCCAAATTCACGACAGCATTTCGATAGCTCTGCAAGGATCGCAAAAGATCTGGGCCACTCGACTTCATACTCCACGTGTTCGTCCAATACCCGGTGCTGTGGCTGGAGTCCGACAAAGAGGTGCAGGAGAGTGAAGACTCGATCGGTCATGAAGGGACTGGCGACTATCACCATTTGCGTGAGAGGATGTCGAAAGAGAATTCGAACATGGCCAAAGATGGTCATGGCCTTCTTGCCTCGGAAGGCAGGAGTAGTGGTATCAAGTCGCGGTACCTCGAAAGATGCGGGCAGGATCAGAGATTTGCCGTTTCCGCTGTACCAAGACTCGGCGACATCCAATACCGTCTCGAACAAACCGACGTGAACAGAGGCGTTCGCGGCAGCTATAGCGTGTCCGAAGACCATGTAAGCGATACTGAAGATCAGGTTGGTGTCCAGCTCTCGATCATGAAACAGGTAGTGCTCGAACATGGCGACGTAGTTAGCACCGAAACGACACGCCAATTGCCTTTTGCCGTGCCGGTCAGTTCCATAAATGGCCGAATAGATCTGTCGCATGTCCCACTTGGCTCGCCGCCACAGCCTCACGTCAAGGCGCATCATCCAGTCTAAACGGGTCGGCTCATTCCCGAATACGTGCTCCCGACGCGGCAAACGGCACAGGTCCGGCGTGACAAGGAGATCCTGAAGGTCAGGAGCAAGAGGTGCACCGCGATGTTGGTCTTTGCTCAAGCGCGGTTCTGCGAATGCTCGAGCTACAAGACGCCTGAACAAGTTTGGGTCACCAGCGATGGTAGCGCAACACATGTCGGAAAGCCACCCAATGATGACCTTGACGACTTCTTCTTTGAATGTGTCGCCGGCCAGCCGAAGGGTGACACCTAGGTCGATTTGCTGAAACATTGATGCGGTGTGAAAGGCGAGAAGAGCGTTGGGAGTGACAAGAACGCATTTTCGTCCATACGTATCGGCTTCTCTAGCCATGTACGAAGCCGCGTTCCAGGGTAGGCCGAGGGCATCTCGAATCTGCCGCGTGACTTCCTTCATAACGTGTTTTTCATCGGCCCACAAGATAACACTCCAAGGTCCTGCTGAACGACGATCAATAGGCTCTCCAGTTGGGAAATTGCTGGAGCTCGACATCATTTCCTTCAGATCCTTTGGGAGATCGGAATAGGTGGAAGGGAGAGGTGAATGCTGCATGGTGTTGATGATGAATTCGAGGCAGATAACAATGGTCGTGTAGAGGTCACTAAGAAGCGCAGCCGGAACTTTTGCAGCGGTGATGAAGCCAAGAGGAGGGTCTATAGCTTCTTCGTCAGGTGGAAGGGGAGGGTGATCCTCGCAGCCGTTGTTGGCACCCTCGAGCCAAGCACTCGAATCGCCACAATCACAGGCGGCTGCAAAGGAGAATGACTGTCCGAAAAGAATCTCGTGTCCCTCGTGATCAGATGCGCTGAAGCAGTCGACGCATAAGACACACGAAGCGTCGGCTGCGCAAGTCCTGTTCGCCCATCAGCTCATGGATCGACATCCGCAAACCGTGACTCACTTGCACGAATAAGTCCTATCGAATCGATGCAGTATCTTGCCACAGCTCTTGCCACGAGAGGGTGGACTAGTCTTCTCCACCTTCGATTGAGCCTCACTCAGCTTCCAGCCTCTCTCCAGACCATCCTCGCCAAGCCATAACCAATCGGACATGCTCTTACTGCCCGGCATTCCAGCTGCATCTTCAGGTGCCATATCAAAGAAGGGTACCCATTCCGGTTTGCGCCAGACGGTCTGAAACAACTGCCGTAGAACAGTAGCGTGGGCGGTGGATGTGAAGCGACCGTGACGAGAGTAATGAGAGTAATTGATGAGATCGTGTAGGATACGATGTGGGTGTGACGGCTCAGTCGGGATCGGCAGAGTGGTAAATGCTGGTAATCGTGGGTCTCTCGGAAGAGGTTGGTTCGTACCCCAGGGCGAGCTGGATGCTGGAGAAATTCCAGGGTTCCATGGTGGCCCACTCCATGGATCTTGATATGGAGCTTCCTGAGCGTCCATCTCGCGATGGTCGAGGGTCGAGGGAAGAGTGAGTGTACAAGAGATGGGTCAGAGGGAGACAAAGGTTACATATGGACCGCGGGCCGCGCGTGAATGATGTCACGTGGCAAGGTACTTGCAAATGGCTGCAGTCACATTTCATCGAATAGTTAGTTCTGCTGTCATACCTTCATACGACATACACTATAGCAGGCACGATGTCGGGAAGACCATCGACGAGCTCAACGACACATACGCAGCTGGTTGCGCCAACAGTGCCAGCCGCCGTTCACGCTCTCGCTTCACCTCCTCCTACCTTGATAGACTCCCAACTCCCCGCCTACCTCGTTCCTGAAATACTGAGATGTCTCGAAGAATCAACGCTGCATGTTATCAGGAAAAGGCGGAGAGAGGAGGATGAGCTCAGGGCTGAAGGTTTAATACCGAGGGATAATGGGAAGGGTAAAGCCCCGGAGGAGGAGAAGAGGTTGTTGGATGTTGAATTGGCCAAGAAGGTCGAGCGGATGGGGTTAATGGTGGGAGGATACGTTGCGGAAAAGTAAGAATCTACTGTATAGGATATGCTGACTCTATAGACTAACACTTGCTCGACCCCCGCTGCCATCACATCTCGACATCATCAAATTCATCTGCAAAGATCTATTCCTTTTCGTCTACGCGAAGCAGATAGACAATCTACGGACAAATCATCGTGTGAGTCTTTCAGCCACTCTCCGCTCTACGCTGGTCCTGACAGATATTCAGGGCGTATTTGTTCTCCAGTCACATGCTTTCCCTCCGCTGGTTCCCCTGTCCAGTCATCGTGGCCCGGCAGCTGATCTCGAAGCGGCCAAACAGGCAAGCGAAATCGTCACGACAGCATACCTGACTCTTTCACAGCACCTATTGTTTCCCCAGGCCCTCATACAGGGAGCTCTTGCGCGATTAGGCATGCCAGCTACGGTCACCGCAGAGACGTCGGGTCTACCTCAGTGTACATTTCAGATAAGGACCGTGCCAAAATCGGCAGTCACCAGTTCTGCCACTACCCCCGCGATGCCCGGATCCGCCCAACCTTCTTGAATTGGGAAATGCATGTGCTGTATCATTGTGAATGGTCATCCAAGGCGTTTCTTGTCATGATCACTATCTAGCGTCTGCCTCCTCCATTGATCTGCTTTCGTGTATCGTCGAACCGTTTGACAATGACTTGACATTGAGTTACCGCGCATAGCTGCCTCGATTTACCCTTGAGATCGTCGTTGAACAGTTGCAGACCCGCAGCGCGTTCGACAGCTTGGACAGGTGCTATAAAAGTTCGAAGATCCGTTTCGTCAGGGATCTCCTTGTTAGGCAAAATGAATGCCCCCATGGCTAGCTCTTTGATCGTGTTGGGGGATGTAATGGCCTTGTCTGACGATGAGGGCTTCTGGGGATACGAGAAGTCGGGACGGGACGCAAGTATGACCTTGGCGAAGTGTGTGGGGACGGCGATGGAAGGCGGCTCGCCAATGACTTCGTACGTGACTCGGTATTTGCCGTCAGGATGTCGAGTCGGAAGGTAAAGGGGAACACTGAAATCAATTGCTTTTCCTGGCGATAAAACTTACGTGAAGACGTAGACATCTTCAAAATTTGACGTCAGGCGTCGACAAAAGTCTTCAAGGTATGCCCAGTCTACAGCTTGAGCCTCGATCTACCGGGACCACTCACAATGCCTGTTGAAACCATCCCCAACCTGAGGAGCAATGTTGGACAGGTAGAAAGTCTCATCCATGGCTTTCTGAGAAATTTTGGCGTCCGCGGCAGGCACCCTATATGTCAGAGAGCCTTCACACGGGAAACATACATATGTCCACGATCATATCCACTTCTCAAGTCTGTTCAGAATTCAGCATGATTATTGAGCTCGTCTTCGATCAGCTCACAATCCTGCAGCTTGGCCCTGAAAATCTCTGGAATACCCTCATCCTCCATAAAGACACTTTTTGACCGATCAGCCTTCGGCGCGGGCAGTGTATCCGCCGCTCTAGCGTCTTCAAGCGGGACAGGTTTCGCTCCAGGAGCATTCTTTGGCGGCGTGCGGGCTAGCGACGCCGCAGTGAGATGTTCAGCAGTCTGTTACCATCAGCTCAGGCACGTTTTCAGCTCGGGACCTACCCATGCTGGATGTCTCAATTTCCGGTCATAAGCAGCGGTATATGCTGTCCTTTTGATGATATCTGGAACGGGACCTACCCCCATGAGACGAGGCGCTCTTTTGCATGACTAACCTGGAAAGCCTCCTTGCAGGATAGCTGGACCCGCAGGCGTTGGAATTGGTAATTTGGATCGATCACCCACTTGCTCTGGCGGAGGTGGAGGTAGTTGCGGGACGTCACTTGGGCGTTGACGACGAGGAATCAAGCTACCAGTTCCGATTCCAACGGCGAGACCTGCTGCGAAGAGCAGAGAAGGTCCAAGTGTTGGCATGTTGAGGTGAAGGTCGGAAACAAGCTGTCTGACAGAATTCTAACATTTTTGTACGTTTCGGAATGTAATTCCGAGGCAGCCTCGATCTGAATGCCTAAAGGCGTAGTGTATCTCGATAGTGTCCAGTGATCCCACCTGAAGATACCATTGTGGGAGATTGTATAGTCCAGCTAGACTACAGTCGTGAATGTTCCAGGACCAGCTTTGCTTACCGTGAGAGTAGATTTCGAAAAGAGTTTGACCGTTGATATAGTTTGTTGTTCCTCCCCAAATGCTCGAGACCGATTGGCCCAGTGGGTAAGTTGCACCATTGTCTTCTTTGAGGACTTAATGCTGATCGTCTTGTAGTAAGGCGTCTGACTACGACTTTCACGTAATCAGGAGATCGTGGTTTCGATCACCACATCGGTCTATGAGGTTACCACTTTTTTTTTATATGCCTCAATTGCGTTTCTTCCTTTCTTTTTCTGGGCTCGCCCTCTGGCCGATCGAATGGGGTCACAACCGCGACCTATTGACACATGAATGAGCAAGGCTATCCATACATACAGAGATCGAGCATCTCTGAACTAAGCCCAGGGATGATACACATTGCGCACTGCATGCAGATAGACATCATCAGTCCGAGTGCCACTAATCACTTCGCCACCACCCGTGTTTCAACGCGTTCATTGGTTTTGATACCTTGATTGATTAATGGCTCGACCTCTGTTATCATAGTGGACCATCGAACCAGGCGTTGGACACACAGCGATGGTGAGCAACGATATCTCTCTGCGAGCTGTCTGATATGTGCTCTCAGGCGACAAAAGCCAGCTCCCTTGGTCTAGGCCATGCCTCGTCGTCTCTCAAGAAACCCAGTCATGATCGACGAGAACCATCAGGAGGGGCCTTTACGATGTTTACACCGTCTCAAGTCAAGCAATTCAAGGAGGCCTTCAACATGATTGACCAAGATGGAGATGGCAGAGTCACAGAATCCGATCTTAAAATCATGCTTTCAAACCTTGGCAAGTCGTCCTGACCTGCCCTTCGTCCCGTCCAACTGGGAGTTGACCTCTCCACACAGGCCAGACCCCGACTTCTAAATTGCTCAATGATCTCCTTAACAGTCGAGAGGATACGAGATCCGGAGTCAACTTCACTCAATTCTTATCGATGATGGGAGAGCATCTGCTTGAACTCGATCATGAGCAGGAAATCGTCGATGCATTTGCGTGCTTTGACGAAGGGGATAAGGGTGTTGTTCAAGTATCAGAAATGAGGAAATGGTTGGGCGAGCTTGGCGACAGAATGGAGGATTGGGAGGTGAGTCGGTCAACGTGGGTAGGACGATCTGACTGCGCACAGATTGAGAGATTGTTCTCCGGGCAGTTTACAGATCGTCAAGGCAGATTCAACTATACAGAGTTTGCCAAAGTCCTTCGAGTCAATGACGGAGAGCCAGAACGGGATGACAAGCTGGCAGTCTAAAGATGACCTAATGACACCCCTGTACGACCTATGACGACTACATGCATCTTCATCTGGACCAAAGCTGCACGGCCTGAGCGAGACTCTCAGAGGTCCATCTCGATCCTCGACCACACACGCGCACTATATCCCACTGACCCGAGATGCTTGAAGCGTAATTATTTGCGACTACTCTTACTCTGAATGCCACGTCTGGTCCGTCCTCTCGTCCGACCCGTGTCTTGAGCTCTTCCAGCAGAGGCCAATCCGGTACGCGATGCGTCGTGATCCATCTTGCCAAACCAGTCCCGTCTTCTGGCCAGACACCTTGTCTGAAATACTCTTCGGATCCCTCGACTTCCGAAATTGTCAGACGTCGCTCAAGCGTAGCGATAAAGCTGGCTCGTATCAACGAGAACTTTCGGTCACCCGCCGAAATCGCGTAAAACTTCTCCTGCACTGCGTAGAATGACTTGATCATGGCCAGCTGGTTCAACACCTCGGGCGAAGTATTCGTAAGCATGTTGAATAGTTCCAAATATACTGTCAGGACTATGGGCTTGTCCAGACTGACGCATTCGAGTAAGACAGCCCTCACGAATGCGTCGAGCTGTGTCGCGCCACAGAAGTGTTTCGCCAGTGTGATCAAGACGGGATCTCCCGAATGAGCAATCATCAAGGCTAGCACCTCGTCCGGTTCAATCATATGTGGCGCAGCAGGTGAAATGAGATCGTAATGTAGATCAAATCCAGTCATCGACCCAGCCTTGACGAAAATACTTCGATTGCCTTTTGAATCAGAATTATAGTCCAGAAATCCAGCTTTACGTTTGACCTTTATGGTCCTCGTTTTGATCAATGAGTCCTTATTCACCGGATCTTGCAGATCGTACACGATCGGCCAGTAACGAGGCGAATCTACCTCAACAGACCGTATAGTGTCCAAAGGTGCGATCAAAGTCGGAGAGATGAGGCTCTGCGTCTGTGCACGGGATCCAGTATCCATTCGGATCTTGACTGGTAGGTAGACCGTCTCACGCGTATTGACGTCCTTTGCAACGAGACATCGAGGCTCCACGGCAAGCGCCCACAAATGACGAAAGGCCTGAGGGTATGAATTGTTATCGCCTGGCGAGGCTGAGAACCGAGGGAAAAAGGCAATGGCCATGGCAGCAATGGCGAGATTCGAATTACCCAAAGTGTAATGACCTCGTCCAAGAAAGAGGATGCCACACGCCATGTGCATGGCCATATGGGTACCGTAGGTGACCCCTGCTCCTTCCTGACCATGTGAGATACGCAATCTCCGGAGGACGTTGAGCTCTCCAGTCCCTGACATGACGACACTGAGGGCGATAGTGACAATATTGAGACCTTGCCTAGCCGCTGTCCTTCTGATATTACCCTCGTACGTCATGGATTGACCAGAAGCTGCCTTGCTAAGAACACTGAAGAAGAACATGAGGTTGCTGTGGGCCAGTTCTGTGGCTGTGCCGGCGTATTTGAGTCCAATGGCCAGACAAGCGCCTGAGACAATATTGAGGTACGCAAGCTCAGTGTTAAGCTCCAGCTGAGACGTCTTTTTGTGATCCCTATGCTTGATGAAGGATGGTAGTTGACTCTCAATCCAGGCCAAGGAGGGCTGAATATCGTTCCACATGATCAATGCTCGAGCAAATGTGCGAAGCAAGAGTGCGTCCGGCCGAACGTGCTCGAGCGCAAACGCAGTGTTGGGGATCTCCAGCACGTCAGCAACATCCTGGCGACCGGTTTTGAGATACATGAGACCGAGGGCAAGCGTGGCACCTGGGGCCGTCAACGTAGTGTCGATAGCACTTTTCCGACCATCTAAAGCCTGGGAATCGCCAGTGATACATCCTTGAAGTTGCGACAACATGCGCCGATCCACTTCACTTGATGCTTGTCCACCACGACCGAGCATGATCAGACCGAATGCCATGCTTGCGGAAAACGAATAAGCCTCTTGCTGCTCGCCAAAGCCCTCGACCCCTGGTAAATCTCTACGACCGATCTCGGACAGTGCAACTTCGGCCATGCGAAGATTTTTGCGTCCAGCGTAGACGAGCCCAAGACCCACGAGCGCGGAAGACTGGATGATCCCAGAAGCGTTGAGATCCATAGACCCCAATGGCAACAAGGCATGTGTGTGCAACGATAATACCTTGGTGAGGAGTAGATCTTCGCTCCCGGCATAGGAAGCTGAGAGGCCTAGCAAGAGACCCACACTGGTAAAGTCGTGCCTTGGCTCTAGGTGAGGGAATGCGTGGTAAGTCATGAGCGACCTGAGGTGACCAGTTAAGCCTAGACCAAGCAGGAAGCCACCGTGTTCCGGATTGAGATTATGAGGCCGATTGAGAACGATCCATGATGAATCCACGCCTTGGCAGTCGGGCGAGATGGATAGAGCGGCGGATACGCCATTGTGGAAGCAGGGCCAATCTGCGTTCTCAGCGTTGATCTGTGCTCGAAGAGTTGTCTTGGCAGGAAGAATCTTTATTGACAGCTCGATCAAGGGAATGTCCCAGACATCTGTGATCACCGCTGTCCGAGTCCCATACTCAAAGATACCTTGACCAACCGGCACGGCCAGTGTACGATTGGCAATTGTGTTGACGACGCCCTGGTGATATTGGACGATCTCTTGGTCGCTGACTAGGTCAGCTAAAGTTGACACGAGCACTTGCCTTGCATTCTTTGGCTCCTGCACTGCAATGGTTCGGAGACGCGTCGTTTGCATGATCCTCTCGACCTCTTGGAGTCGACGGTCAGATCCAAAGCGGGCGTAGGGCAATGATGACTTCTGTCCCCGGATTTTGAGACTCTCATTGACACTCTTGTAGATGTCTCGAATGGTTGGGATCTCCTCCGGACCCTGCGCCAATCAGTGTGGTTGTCTGTAATGTGACTCACTTCTGGTACGGGATTGTTTCCGGCACAGTCCGGCGAAACTTGAGCAGCCAGGTCCGCTCGGCCGATGAAACTGTACACTTTGGCTGACAGGCCTTTGACAGGTGCAGCTTGACACAGCCGCATCATCTCCAGAATAGGTAAGGATACGCCGGGCGTGAGGCTGAGAACCCAGTCGAGATCCAAAACCTGATCAACGATGAACTGGATGCAAGCCGTCGCACGGGCACCGGCAGATAAGGCTGATCCGTTGATCTCATCTGGCTCGGGCCCGAGACGTTCGTATATGGCAATGATCTGAGCTGACAGAGCACATGGCTCCACAACGCCAAATTCGGTAGCATGCGTCGTGGTGAGGTTGCGGATCGAGGGAAATGGTTTGAGTGGAGTGGTCAGCCGACGCGAAAGATAGGCAAGGATGTCCGGCGGAGAATCAAATACGCTGGGAAAGGGGCGTGGGGAGATGGAGTCTACGTGTCAGTGTCAGTTGTGCCTCTGAAGTTGCAAATACCTTGGAGGTGTGCAGTGCCATTTGGTACCAGGCGTTTCCAATAGTCCCACCAATGTCTTTGTCCGATCGCAGCGGTAAGCCGGATCAAAAACTGCCCTACTTGACTGAAGTCGCGATGATTTGCCGACCTAAGGCGTTGTTCTTGCGCCACGAGATGGAGGGCGATGATTATCCCGGGGATATTTACAGATGATTCATTATCGATTCGATCGGGCTGTAATGGCTTATCGCTGCTTTTCGCCAGCTTGGCTACCAAACGACGGATGATGGGGTCCGAAGAAGAGCACGAGGTTTCCAAGAACATTCGACGTCTTGATCCGCTGCTCTTCGGACGTCGGCTTCCAAGAAAGTCCAAGACGGCCGCTTCGAAAACATGCCAGAGCTCTGAGCTGTCTCCTCTCAGATGGGCGCTCAGCGCTTGCGCTCCCATCAGTACGCGACATTTGAGGTCAAAGACCTGCGTAGCGTCCAGAACCCAAGCAAGCGATTCAAGGCACTGACGAACCAGTCGATTCTTCAAAACAAAGTCGACTGATAAGCGAATCTCTTCTCCATCCGCAAGGACCAGTGTGAACCGACCTCGAACAGGGTTTCGCAAGCCAACGGGGACGGTAGATGGGGACGTCGTTGCCATCGAGTCATTCTCCTCCAATTGCATACTGAGACTCTGCACGAGTTTCGTCGGCGGCTCGTCCTTTTCGATCGCTATTGGGGGAATGGCTAAGGGCAAATCGTGACCGTCAGATGTAACAATACGCAAACCTCCATCTGCAATCATGAGAGTATCTATTACGTTAGATCGAGTGGATCGGACTGGTATGGCACTGCTGCAGGGGAGCGATTTGAGAGGGAAGACATGCCAGCGGGAATTTGAGGATGGCTGATCCGCCCGGAAGACATGGAGAGTGGACTTTGTGATGATGTTGATATTGGTTGTTGAGGAGCAAATGTTGTCCGTGATGAAGACGCGGGTCGTACGAGGGTCTATAATCCTAGCTCTATGTCAGTCATCAACTTCTTACACTTGAGTCGAGTCTCTCTCACTCTGGAGGTTTCCAGGCCCATATTCTCTCCAGTACCATCTCGCTCCGCACAACATCATCTTCTCTGTCTATACCCATCAACATGGTAGTGTCTCTGAGCTCTCTCTCTCCAATGATATGCAAGGAAGCTCCAGCATCCCCTTTTCCAGCATCGGGATCTTCTCGCATGAAACTCGAAGCGCCACTTTGCCGTCTCACATTCCCCAAGTCTCCAATCGCACCGGTACTTGATGGCAAGCGGTCCAAGCCACCCTGAAATTCTCTTGACCTTGCTTTGCCCTTCGATCTCGTGGTCACATTTGAAGGCTTCTGGCTGGGAAAAGTTTGGGATTCTAAAGCCGCTTGCAGGTCTCCAGTGCTTGACACGGGGAGTCCATCTATAGCTGCAGCTTTGGAGAGTCTGAATGAGCGTCTGGTCCTGTCGGACGGATCGACAGACATCTCGCTTCCAGATGGTGCGCCCGAGCTGGAAACGTGTCTGTCCCCATTGGTCGAGAACCCCGATGTGTTTCGATGTAAACTTGGTCTCATTCGTCCTATACCGAGCTCGACAGAAGGAGTACCCTGTTTGAGGATATCTTCCGGTCGCATCGTTCTAGGTGTCATAGCGGCGGAAGGTGGAGGCGCAGTTTGAGTCGGTTCAATTGGAACAATTGTCCGCTGATAGAAGACGACTTCGGAGGATGAAGCGTCGACAATGATGACGAAGGGGTATGGATAGGGATCCGAGCACGAGAAGATCACCGATGCGTTCTCGTTGATTGGCTCGTCAGAACCAACAATCTTGCCATCCCTGACACGGGCTTCGACAACGACTTTGGCTTCTTCTAGTGGATCGAGGATGGTGTATAAACGAGGCAAGTCTTCAACACCCTCTATGTCCGTGATATCGGCGAGGGCAGAAACCATTCCGACTCCACTTGATCGCCTCGCTCGCTTAGCTGCGAAGGTATCTGGCAGACTCTCGGTCCATGAGGTGCTCCTCCTCTTCCTCAACATCCTCTCCAGCAACACTCCGCCTTGTGATCGAGGCAGTGCAACGGCATGGGAGACGGTCATGGGGAGATGAAATGTCTTGACTTCTCCCGAAGGGTAATACACAACACCCATGTTTGTTGATAGAATCGTGACGGTCCGAACCAGGCCAGACGACGAGGATGAAGATGAGCAGGAGGAAGAGGAAGAAGAAGAGGAAGTAGAAGAGCCAGAAGATCCCCAGATGGCATGTTGAGATGAATGGAATGGTCCAAATGTCGTGTCAGAGAACGCCATATCCTTCTGCCGATTCGGGGCCGCATCCCGACCTGTCTCTGGTCGAGGAAACCAGACAAATCCCGCCCAGAGAATCTCATCTTCTGCACTGACCTGCTCCAGGGTCCACTGCCGATAAAATTCTCCACCACGACTCCATACTACTCGATGGCCCCACCAAGCAAGTTCCTCTTCGCCTTCAGACTCAGCAACATCACGATCCGAGGTTAGGGTTGGTATTGCCTGTACGAGTCTATGCAGTGTTTTCTTCGATGATCCGTGCCCTTGATCTCTGGCGTACAGAAGAGATCCAATGGAAGTAGCTGGACCGATGAGTGAGGCCGACAGCATAGTCGTAGGTGCTGTCGAGCCTCAGCTCGAATGATAGAAACGTAGAGGTGGAAATGGACTTTGGGTTGTTCAAAGTCAAAAACCGGTGGACGCGAATTCCGTCGCGTGGCACTGCCATCAGAGAGCACAAAGTACTGTATACTGCTATGCTCACTGACTGACTGCTCCATGGTGATCCGCTCTGGGTCTGTGTATAGGGTGCTGGTCATCCTCCCTTTCTCTTGGCTGTCATCATTCAAGACCATCCTCGGTTACTCTGAAACGCAGAGCAGACATTCACGAATCATTCTCAAATCCTCGCGAGAGTCAGCCAAATGGGTGAGACTCAAGCCTTACATGCATCGCCTGCTTTGTTGTATATCATAATGCTGAACATTGTCGAATGACGACTCGAGCAGGTGGGAAGCTCGTCCCAGCAAACGTAGATCGACGGACAGACGACGATGCCCCGAGTGAGATCTCTACTGACAATGTGCATGCCAGCGAAGTTGTGGCGGTCGGAATCTTTATTTGATCAATGGGATCTATACATGATTGCATCTGGCAAGGTTCTCGACTTGTTTGTGCGTTGATACTGCAACTTGGCACCTTCTTCGCAGGATCCCAAGGTGTACACTCATGCGATCCAGAAAAATAGCATATGCGCAGCCGAGATGCGTCCGATCTTATCGGCTAATCGGTCATGGACACAGATCCCATACGAAGATCTCAGATCGGATGTCGATTCGCTGATCCAAGGGATCTGTTCGGAAAAAAACCTGAGATTCAAATACTCGTCGCCCTCTTACTCACTCACTTGACACCTCATGACCGTCTCAACCATCATCAGAAATGGCCACTGTATCGCTAGAAACGTTGAACTGGATAGAAAGCATTCGCTCAAAGTACGGAGTCCCCGGTCTGAGTTTTGGTGTCGTCAAGGGGATCTCCAGCAAAGATGAGACTGGATCTAGCCTATCGTCAAATGCAAGATGGGAGCATTCCATCCATGGGTTTGGCACACGCAACGTTCAAGGTGACCCATACAATGAACAGGTGCGCCGCGCCGCCCGGGTGCCAGATTGAAATGCGGTCTGACCCGAAATCATAGACTGTCTGCGCGATTGGCTCCTGCAGCAAAGTGTTCTCATATCTCGTTGTTGCGCTTCTGATCCATGATGGAACCAAACTGCCCAATGGTGAACCCTTGAAATGGGAGACGAGAGTCAAAGATGCTCTTGGGGACGCTTGGGAGATGAAGGACCAGTACGCGACGGAGCATTGCACACTGCATGATCTGAGTGGTATGAAGATTGGACTGGGACCTCATCCCTATGGCAGAACGTGAGCTGGACGAGCGCAATCATATTCTGATGCTCACTTGACTGACACTCTCTACCATCTAGCCATACTACTGCTGAAAGCTATGACGACCAGCTCCGCCTCATTCGTCATTTGACCATGTCTGCAGAACTTCGACAACGATTTCAATATGACTCCATATGTCCCCTGGCTCTCGCCGGGATCGCTGAACTCATCACCGGCAAGCCGTATCACACTCTGGTCGAGGAGATGATCTTCGAACCACTTGGCATGCAGAGCTCGTTCTGTGATAACAAGAAAGCCAGAGACACGCACAAAATCTCCGAAGGGTTCTTTCGACGGGGTGGCTCTCCCCAGAAGTCTGGAGTGGAAAAGACAGGCGAACCAGTTTCTGTGGGCTGGTGGACAAAGGATGAAGGTTATTGGATGGTGCCGATGGGAGGAATTGCATCCACAGCTAAAGACATGGTATATGACAGTCATCTCCTACAATTGCAGCTAATCAGATTACAAAGCTCCTCTTTCTGCAAGAACTTATGGAAGCAAAGCATCTCTCAGCGGGAATCCTCGAAACACCTGCAGAAGGTCAAGGCGTCCTATGGGGTCCATACAATGCCATGCTAAAGTTAGATCAAAACACTCCTGGCCTGTATGGTCGTGGGCAAGCGATCACCTCGTACCGTGGGCACCCGGTCGAATGGCATAGTGGAAATATGCCAGGTCAAATAGCCACCATGATCAGAATTCCAGGTCAGAAGCTTGGTCTCTTCATCGGTGTCAACGACGGTACCAGGACTGGGGCAGCTCTCATGTTCGCTACCCGGAATAGAATCCTGGACGAGTTGCTAGGTCTCGGAATAACTGGACGAGAAGACTACGAGAGCAAATTCCTCACGCCAGTGTGGCAACCTGCACCTCCGATCTCGCCTCCTCTGCCGAGTGAGGAATCTGCTCGTCAAGCTTTGAAAGAGCTATATCCCGGGACTTATGCGCACGGGGCTTATAAGACCTGGCAGCCTTATCCATTCGATCCTAAAGTTCCCGAATCTCAAGCAATGATTGACGCAGCTAGGCTCGCAGGACACACCCACGAGTTTGATACACACTGCATAGTCTCGAAATCTACATCATTCTGGCTATCTCACATCTTGTTCCGACCTCTGGTCAATCCTGTCAATGGTATCTGCACGTTTGACTGGTTCGCCTTCCAAGTGTATCCCGTGAGCAATGGAAAAGAGGGATGGAAAGACGACGAGTTTGTGGCTTCTGTACGAAGCAAAGGTCGTGGCGTTTGGTCAGAAAAGGGTATAGGCATGTTTGAAGGATTCTGGGATATCATTCCATCTTCGCAGAAACCACTGCCTACGGACTGGCACAATGGTGTGGACAAGGAAGCGAGCGCAGAAGTCTGGATGAGAAAGGAGAGCTAGACCATCATGTATTGTCTGTTCTGAGATGCTATGACTCGATTGTACTATGCTAGGCGAGAAGAAAGCATACATGATCACAAATCGACTTGTATTTGGATTCAGGACGAAGCAAAGAAAAAGCATAGGTGAAATGATATGAGAAGCGGTTCAGAAGGGAGAGTCAGTCATTGCCAATGACTTGCCTAGGCTTCATCCACAAAGTCAAACTCCTCCCTCTCTCTATTGCGCTCGGCAACACTCTCGGTCGTGGTCGTCACATTGTCGACATCGAAGAAGCTGGACGCGTCCGATTCAGAGATGGAAATAACACTGTCCTTGTCGTCGTCGTCGTCCGTCATCGAGGCGCTTGATCGAGCTTCAGACTCCGGTCGTTGACTTGCCGCTTGGCTCGAGTCTGGTCCCGGTGCCACGTCAGCAAATGCCGACGCGAACAGTGGCGTCCCGCTGCTGATGAACGATGATTGAGGGTCACTTCTCGCTTCTCGCGGTGCGACAGTCTCTGTCGAGGGCATGATGACGGTTGACGAGTGCATAGAGGTGAGCGTGGACTTGATGCCTTCCACAATCAGTCTGCGGGCCGTCAGTTCTCCACACGCTTTGGATCCTCGTCAACTCACCTCAGCCTCAACGGCTGACCGTATGAGACTCCATGCTCATCCTCGAATCGCCAGTACTCCAAAATCTCATGTCCAGGCATGTCGGGTACCCGAAGGCCATGAATCGAGACTTCCATCTCTTCATCGTTCACAATGTCATTCTTCTTCAATACCACATTGACGTTGTCGCATGCTTCGCCACATAGGCCCTCAGACTTGAGCACCAGCTTGAGCCTTTCAAAATTGAATTCGGATCCAGATGCAAAGTGCTTCAATCGCCAAGTCTTGGTGAATTCGGCACCGGCGGGCAGAGTGGAGCCAGGTCCGATCGTTGTGTGTCGGACCCAAGAGCAAATGTCCAGGGGTGTAACGGCAAGGGCGCTTGGCGAGGCCTCGGGGGCAGCTGGGCAGACAGCAAGGAAGGGGGTCGTCTCGAAAGCCTTCGCGGACTCGGCCTGTGCCTCCTCAGAAATGTCCATGGGCTCATCGATTGTGGCAACAGCCTCCGTCCGGGATTCATCCTTGAGGAGCTCAGTCTGAACTGAAGCCTCGACCTCAACTTTTGGCTCGACGGCTTCTGCCATGTGCACGACCTCGAGCTGCTCAGTGAGCTTTTCGACGTCCAAAGACTTTTGGACCTGTGCCATCTCAGTGGAAAGAGCGGCGAAGAATCCAGACTCCATGTCGCACATCATGGTCTGAGGTATGGGCTTGGCGGCGTCGATGACATAGCTACCGGGGAGTTTTGGCTCTTCGGTCTCGATCTTGATCAGAGGCTCTGCAACGGATGAAGCAGGAAGTTTGACCCGAGCATGCTGGAAGTTCTCGAAAGCACGGGCGGCTCGTCGGGTGGGGATTACCTCCAGAGTCTCCAGAGTCGTCTTGGCATCGATACGGAGAGGAACCTTGGTTTTGAGCATCGGGTGGGTCTCTGGATGAACAGGAAATGGGGAGCATTCGCACTTCTCGCAGAGATCATAGTCGGGACAGTCGGGGTGCATGCACTTGTACCTTGCACCGCGGATCTGCTTATCGCAACCTGAGGGTGATCAGTTGATAAATCGCCCCCTTCTAGCTCACCATCACAAATGATGTGTGGATGCTTGACGTTGTTCTTCATGTCCTCGGCCTCACTGGTGATGTAGTCGGCTCCCTTGTAAAGCTTGACGAACGAGTGTCCAGGGTGGGTTTCGTTCATCGTTGCAGAGCAGGAGTCACAGCAGTCCCAATCAGGGCAATTGAGACACTTCCACCTCGTCCCAATGATGCTCTGCGAACAAAGGTCGCAAGAGGCAGGATGACGAGCTCTGGAGTTCTGGACGGTTCCAGAAAGCTTGATCCGGTCTTCTAGACCGCGATGGAGCATGGCTCGGAAGGTGTGGTTTGGCGGATGCAGATCACCCGTGTGGAGCAATGGCAGACACGATCCACAAAGATCGTAGTCTGGGCATTGCTCACACTTGTAGCGCATACCTCGGATTCCGGTCCAACAACCATCGCACGAGATGTGCTTGTGTCGGAATCCGCCCTTGCCAAGTCCATTGCAAGGACGAGGAGCAGGTCCCGACTCGGTCGAGGGGCTTGTCTGGGTTTGCACATCAGTCTGCGAGTTGACAAAGGCGCCGGGAACAACGGGGTCTACTTCTTGAGCAGGCTTCGCTTGATCCGCGGATGCTGGCGCAGACAAGACGGAAGGAGCGCCATCGAAGGTGTTTGCCAGCTGATTGGAAAAATTGGCAAGGAAACCATCAAGATAAGTTCTGAGCTCGTGGATGGGAGCCAAGGGAGAACCGTGAGCAGGGGCATTGACGACATCTGTCACGCGACGGACAAAGTCGTTGATGCCGTCTTGAGGTCGTCGCACGTGACTGTCCGATTCACCGTGCGAGTGACATGGGACATAGGGTCCGAATCGAGGGTGACCATGTCGGCGTCCTCCATGATGCTGGTGGCCACGAGCATGATGGTGTCGAGGTCGGAGGACATCTTCCAAAGGAGGGAAGTGTGAGCCGGGCTCAGGATCTTCTGCAGCTCGCCAGACGGCAAATTCTTCGAGAGTCTGCTGGGTTCGAGAAGCCTCCTCCTTGCTTTCATCCTGGATAAAGTGGTTCATTGAAGTGCCGAGGAATGGACCGTCAAGCTCGGCTCGGATCGAGTCGCATTCCTTCATGTACGAGGTGAAATTCTTCTCGATAACGTCGATGGCTTGTTTCTTGTCTCGGACCCGGTCTCCCCAGAAAGCGACCCCCAGTCGATCATTCTCCCGTTCGCAGGAAGCGAGCTTGGACTCGAGAGCGGAGAGAAGTGATTGGCGTTGCGAGAGGTCCTCTTGCATCTTGGCAATGGGTACTTGAAGGTTATCCAAAGTGGAAAGAAGGGTCTGACCTCGATGGAAACAATGGATCGTTTTGAGTCGCGGATCAGAGGTCAAAAGGACGGTAAGTGCTAAAGCCGGTGCCGGGAGATTGGCGTGTTTGAACGGGAGCTGTGCAGCCTCGTATCTGGAAGACGATAGCCAGGCATAGGACAAAGGAAGGTGGTGCGTTGTAGTGGGCAGGGACATCACATGAATGAGATGTTATGTGTAGCGGTAAAGAGAAAGAAACGAGAAGAATCAGCGTAGTTCTCAGCGGGAAGCTTTGGTCACGACAGGCTGACTCACTCGGAAGCATCACAGATATGTTGCTTGAACATGATTCTCGCCTCTTCGCTATCATTTGGGTAGATCGTCACATTGACCCAATAGGTATGGGTGATAGAGGGTAGGTTGAAGCTGGAACGCAGCTGAAGAAGTGTGTCAGCGTGAACTCGCCTTGGGCCGTTGGGATCTGTGATAAGCCGGGGCGACTTCCGCGATGTGATGATGAGCGCCAGGCGGGTCAACGTACCTTTTGCTGAACCTCCCAGTAGAGCGGGAACTTGGAGCCATCAAAGACCAATCGCCTCGTCTCATCCTTCAACGTAGCCTTGATGACGAACATCGCTGGTCGAGAATGTACGATCCCAGATGCTGTGAGGTGGCGGCGGATGATTCAGAGTGGGGGAGGGAATGGCTGAATCAGGAGCGATTCAATATCTCCAGTGAGTCGATTGATGATCAGCTAGTCCAGTGTCTATATCGATGCTTAGATGACCCTCTGTAGCCCTCACCGTCGGCGTCTACGTGGAATGAACGAGAACACTTGACGAGCTAAAGAGAGTCAAGTCAGATAGGGCCAGATGGCGACACGCAACCTCTCCCTGCCGTTCCGGGACTGGTATCTGGGATTTTTGATCCCGCTTTTTACGTAAAGCTCTTGAACCCTGAGTGTGGCAGTCCGGGCCTCCTGACTCGTGGCAGATTTGGAAAGTGGGGGGGATCTGTTGGGAGGTCATTGATGCAGTATGGGACTGGAACAGCAAAGAGAGTCGAGTGGAAGGCCACTTGGAAAGACAGACAGGAGAAGACGTGATCTGTACCTGTGCCGTGGTTGCTATCGCGACCCACCCTGAAGAAGTTTGGCGGCTACTGCTATTCACATAGACTCAGCTGTGGCAAGGCCTCGCCCTGGCCATAAGGGAGCCCGACTCCATGTTGGTCTGCTGTATGAATCCAACAAGCTCTCATCACATTCTTCCCTTGCCCAATACCTAGCTGCACCATTCTCCATGATGGTCATCAAGCTGATCCTTGTACTGTGTAGTGTCATGTCGCCGCTAATACCTAGTGGACACCTGAATGAGTTACCCAAAGTGGTAATAAATTGACCCCCAAAGTGGTCGGGTGGTCACCCGACACACACTCTCCTTCTGGTCCCCCCGTTGTACTCGCTCAATTTGCCTCTTTCTCCAACCCTATTCTATTCCATTCCATCGCTCTAGCAGCTGTGACCAGCAGCAGCGGCGGCGGAACGACTTCTTCTGCGACCAACACTACCCCTATCCTTCCCAACTCTTAGACATACCTAGACAGACTCGTTCTCGGTCACTCTCGCTCTTGCTCGTTGACGAAGACCCAAGACCATCAACTCTTTAGACAGTTTACAAACCCGGCAGATTTCTGGAACCTTGTTGTATCAACTCGTCAAACCCTCTGTTGGTCTGAACGACTCAGTGGGAAAGCGCTCCAAGTCAAATTCTCTTGAATTTGGCCTGGTCTTGTCTGGTCAAGAAGGAACATACCCTTTGAGGGTCCCGGCTTTTCATTGACTTTGCCCCGCATTCCTCGTCCTCTTGCCATCAACACACCATTTCCAGCTGATCCATGACATCACAATCACCTGCATCACCTTCTGAGCTACCTACATTCCGTCCCTCTCCAGCTAGAGCTACGACCATGGCTACTCCTATTCCTAGTCATACCTCGAGCAAGATTCGGGCCACATCCCAACCTGCTGGAGAAAGAATACCAGCGAGACCAGGTTCAGGCAATTCGATTGAGACTGGCAGAGGGAGTCCAGGTGGAATCTATGGAGTCATTGGAGGAAGCAGGACACCCATGAAAGCTGGTGGTAATGGTAACGGAACGCATTTGGGAAATGGGACTGCAACCAGAGCCAATAGCTTTTCAGCGGCGGAGATGAGACTACCAAAGGTCAGTCGCTTTTGTCGATTGACATCACCAGGCGCTGAGCAGACATTACAGAATGCTTCACTCTCACGCACTTTGTCAAGTCACCAGGAAGAGCATTTCGCTCGATCTCGATCCGCTTCTCCCTTTCCTACATTCTCACCCGCATCTTCACCCTCTGCGTCCTCTCCCGCCATCAACGCGTCCGCTGCGAAGCCACATGCTCCCGAGAGATCAGCATCCCCACCTCGACCGTTCTCGCGGTCCCGGTCTCAATCGCTTGCCATCGGAGTCGCGGGCATGTCTGGGCTGGATAACCGTGGTGGAGCCTTTGCGAGAGAGTACGACCCGTCACCTTGGAAAGCGGAACCAGTGGAAGAAAGCAACATGTCTCCATTTACCCGTGGCATGCCATATTTGGGCGGATTGCCTGGAGGCGCAGAGCTGTCAAAGTTTCGAGCAGCTCATGGAGGCCCGACTCGCGGTTTCAGTTTGGGAGCTTGGGGCACTTCAGCACCCGAATACCCTTCGGCGAACCCCAAGGCGGCCGGTGCGACTGGACATGCTGCATTAGCGGCGGGAACAAATTCTCGTCAACAGGCTTATTCGACCATTATTGGTGGCTTTGAAAGCGTCAATCCACCCCAAGCTGGCGCGAAATCAGGCACATCCTCCCGTCGTCATTCGGTGTCGATCGTTGGAGGTCCACAGGGACGGAGAGATATCTTTGCCGATCTAGGCATGACCTCACCTACCCGAGGTCTCGGTCCTCTTGGATTTAGCGATGAAGAGCTGCTGCCGGAACGTTTGGGAAATGCTCTCAGTCTTGAAATTGACGAGCATCGCAAGCGAGGCGTCGAAATCGAAGTAGGGAAGGAAGGCGCAAGAGGACGAGATATCCCTCGACCTTCCCCAGCAACCGCTACGGCGCATTTTGATCCTCTTGGAGAGGATTCGAGAATCCGTAACTTCCCTCAAACTATCGGTGGACTGGATCATTTCGCTTCCTCCCCTCGTGGGCGATCCAGTGGAGTGGAGGATAAGCAGGGAGAGCGGGCAGCTTCGAGAGACAGCAAGGATTCGTCCAGTCGCTCACGATACCATCTCGAGACTCCAAGCAGTGTGCGTCCGATTGGAACGGCACCTACTGGCAATTTGAGAGGCATCAATATATCCTCGAGTCCTCCTCAGCGAGGAAGGGACATAGAAGTCCGAAGAAACGATATACTCGGCCCGATTGGAAGTCCTCCCGGACCGACTGGACCTCTCGATCCCCGCATGTACCAACAACACGTCTATGGTGGCCGACAAATGGGGGATGTCAACGCGTATTCCGGACCACTGCCTCCTTCAATGGGACCTAATTCACCGCTAAATCAGACATTCCCTCGTCCGAATTCGTTCGGCTACGGTCAACGACCGCCTCTGCCACCGATGGGTGCGGGAGGATTCGGACCGGGGATGGGACCTATGATGGCTCCGAACGGACCGCCTGGAACATATGGCATGTCTCCACAACAGCCTTATTCACCGAATGCACCGACCAATTACTCCTACTTTTCCGGCCCCCCTGCACCGAGCTCTCCCACGCAACCTCATTCGCCATCATTCTCCCAACTGACGCTGTCGGATCTGGGTAAAGGCACGCCCCTCAATTCGCTGCCGCCGAACACACCCCTGTACATTGTGGCTTTTAAAGCGGATCGACGGGACGTGTATTATTGTCCGGACCCTACGCTTTTGATATCAAATGGCGACAGGGTCATTGTAGAAGCTGATCGCGGCTCGGATCTCGGAGCAGTCATCTACGACCAATTGACTCCGATGGACGTTCGAGAATGGCAAGAAAAGCAAGCCACTGCTGCTTTGCTTTCAGGCGCGAACCAACATCAACCGCCGGGCATGGCTGCAATGGCAGGAGCAACCCAAGGGTCAAACGCACCTCGAGCGGGAGGAAGTGGCGAATTGGCGGGTGCTGATCTGGCCACTTTGCTGGCTGGCGTGGGGGCACAGGTCGATCCGTCAGTCGGTCTAGGAGCACAAGGTCGAGGGCCGCTTGCCAAGGAAATCATGCCGAAGAGAATTTTCACCAAGAGTGCTCAAGGCCCGGAAGAACAAGCGTGAGTCACAAGCTCATATGATTCAGACGAAGGCTGATTCGTTCATCAGTCGTATGATGGAAAAGATGAAGGACGAGTATGAAGCCATGATGATATGCAGGGAGAAGGTTGCCCAGCGCGGCCTGCCCATGCAGATCGTGGATGCAGAATACCAATGGTGAGTCCATTGGCATTTGTCGGTCGGTTCTTACCCTCTCCATCAGGGATCGTCGCAAGTTGACTTTCTACTTCAAAGCCGACAAGCGGATCGATTTCAGGGATCTGACAAAGGAGAATTTCAGAGTGTTCAAGGTACGTTCAACGAGATTTCTCAGCTTCTTTTGCTTTCTGGCCATCTCGCTGATCACGAGTCGTCACGTAGTCCCGGATCTGGATGTCGATGGTGCCCAAAGACGGTGAGCCGGGCGCGCAGCTTGCGTCGACCTTGGCCGGAGCTGACCCACGTATCAGATCCTCGCGGGCAGTAGACAAGTTCAGCCAACTAATTTCATAGTGTACAAATAGCAAGGATCTCGAGAGTGAAGCAAACGAAATAACGAAACGGAGTCTTGAAAGCAGCAGTGGGATTCTACAGTGGGGAGGGCAAATGAGAGATTATAATAACATGGCCGATAGGGGAGGAGGATCTCGTACAGACAGACTTATTTGAGAGGATGAGGATCTATGTAAGATTAGCGCGATGGAACGGCAGACTGCTCGCTGCTGCTACCTCGTCAGTGAGTCAATGATGTGTGTCGATGCATGCCATCAGTCCCGGTTGTGTGGTGGAGTCCCCAACTTGGGCTCTTGGCGGAAAGCGAGTCCTTGGCGTTTTCCGCACCTTTTGAACATACATCGCCTCTGGTCTGTCATTCTACCAAAACCCCCCGGTCTCTCGACCATATCTCACACGATTAATCAAACCTCAATCCCACTCATCATGCCTCCATTCCCATTCCCTCTCCCAACAACCAGTCTCATATCGTACGCTAACCTTCTTCACGATACATCCCTGTCGTTTACGGCCGAGTTGGCAGAGGCTACATCCGCTCGAACAACACTACAGCTCGCTCTGAAAGCATTAGACGAAAATAACCCCAGCGCCAGTGCCTTGTCAGTGGTGGATGTGAGTGCAATCTCAGCGAGCTAATCAGGCAGCTGATGCCCTTCTGTCAGGCGGTACAGGGCTATCTGCCTTATCTTCAATCCATCATTCATTCTCTCGACTCGGATCTTCTCTTGCCCAAATCCGAACTCTCATTCACCTGGACACCGAGTCTGACCTCTTACCCACTCAAGACTCCAGCTTTGACCCTCCCTTCCATTCACGCCGAGCATCTCTTCGTGCTCCTTGTCTATGCCCTTTCACTTTCAAACTATGCCAATTCCATCCTCCGCTCACTACCAGTCTTTGAATCTATACAAGATTCCAAAGGCAAGTCTAAAGCTGGAGGTGCTGCTCAAAGTGTCGTGGGACGACTCACAGCCGAGGACGAAAAGAAGATCACGGTGGGCCTTGGAAGAGCAGTAGATCTTCTTTGTCAAGCGAGTGGGATAGCGACCTATGTCGCGGATAAGATATGCCCAGTGTTCGAGGGAGCCAAAAAAGGTGCGGGGAGGAATGGCAAGCTCAAATGGCCCGTCGAAACGGGTGCGGAGGCTTTCAGAGGTCTTGCCATGTCAGTGAAACGTCTGTGTATGTTTCGCTCGTCGACTGACTGACAATCTCTTCAGGGTGTTCCTCGCCGACGCACACGTCACTGCGATACGTAAACTCCTCTTACCCGTTCTAACCCACTCTCTCTTCTCCCCACCTGGTCCTCCTCTGCCGTCCAATCATCCCTCACCATCTCTCTTGGCTAAGCTATACCTCCATACTGCTTCCCTATACGAGTCCGCCAGGGCATTTTTCAAGGTCCGAGGGGGTGAATCCTCATCTAATCGCAAGCTGTTCAGCCGGGACAAGAAAACTGGCGATACGGAACCACACGATACGACCGAGGGCGACCCAATTCCGGAGCTTCAGAGGTACCTGCGTAAAGAGTCCCTGTTGGCTTCTGCTCTCGCTCGGAAATGGTTAGGGGTTGATGCTGGCGAGAACTCGAAGGAGCCCCAGACTGGGGAGGCCTTGGCTTGGGTGAAGGACGCTCAGAGTCGCTTGGAGGAGTTAGAGGATTCAGCGGTGAGGGAGAAGATGAAAGGCTTCAGTCTTAGCAGAGGAGGTGACAAGAAGAAGGAAGCGAGAAAGGCTAGAAAGGGTCGTGTGGAGAGAGAGCTGGAGGACGTCAGGGCATGGATAGCAAGCTATCAGGCGTTGAACGACAAGGTAAGTGATGAGACCTTATATATAAGCAGTCTGCTCATACACCTGCAGGTCTCATTTCAACCTGTCCCGCCATCGTCTTCCCTGGTCGTTCCGTCAGGGAGGCAAGTCTTTAATGCCAAAACGTTTGTGCCTCCTCCGAACAAGTTTGGGTCAACGTTCAAAGTGCCATTGGATGGATCGACACCAGATTCGGAAGGAGCACAGAATGCCAGTCCCACCGAGGCTTACGCTGGTCAGGGCAACTACTTCTGAAAAATCTCGCATTGTCCTACCTCAAGCACATCTTCCACGCTACGCCTTAAATGTCCTTGAAAGTGAAACCATCGTCCGGACTACGCCGTAGAACCTCGTCTGCCGATGACTCCCTCTGGCAACGGCTCCATCATCCAGACAAGAAGTTCACCTTCACTCCGCCTCCGCATCTCTCCGCCCAGCGCACAGACCATTCGCCTAGCTTCATCCACGGCCTCTTCTAGCGGTTCAATATCCTTTGCTGAATTGATAGGTCCACCATAGTCCATATCGCAGGCTGTATTGGCCAGGGCATCGTTGAGAAAATCCATCCGGAGAGTAAGCTCGTGGATCCATTGGGTCCGGGCAGTCTCGAGTTGGTGTTCACCGAACGCTAGTGGTAAGATCAGGTCCAATGGTGCTCAATGGACTCACGAGACAAGTCTGTTTGAAGCTCTCGGATCAACATGGCGGAATGCATTGTTGTATTCGTGTGAAGTATATCTGAAGTTTTGGCCTGAATGAAGAGATAGGTGGCGATCTCGAGCAGTTCAATGCAGAGAGCGTTAGACTATCAGCTTCATGTCCTGAGCTATATACCCCGACGCTCCACCTTGCATCTCGGGGACTCCGGACCCTTTACCTTTGGATAGTGATCGGCATAGTAGAATGCGGAAAGGAAGTCCTCGGGGTCTCAATCGAAAAGGACGGATGTAGCACGGTTGGGCAGGTGACATGTCCAAATGTCTCAACCATGTTTCATTTTCTTGAAACGCAACCGGACTCTGGGAATGTCATTTGCGTCATGAGATGCATATCCCCCTCATGCATGGATCAAGCTTGGTGCCTGCCAGACGGGTAATATCTGTCTCCGTCTCCACCCTGGACGTGTTTCTCCTGCATCTTACCGAGTCCTCAAATTGGGAATGGACTGCGATTGATGATTCACTCTGAGACCTTGAGGACGAGTTTGGCGTAGCCTTGCTGATGAGTACCGTGCTCTGCTCACCCAGAATACTAGGCCAGACGCATGCAAAACTACTTGGAAAGACATGATGGTCGTTTTGCTTTTCGACGGTACGATGAGGCGATGTCGTCTGCGACAATGGGCCACCGAGGTGTATCACCATGACTATGGATTCCAGAAGTTGCTAGTTGACCCGCATCATCCCAGCGCTTCAATATCTGTTTCTGGTACAAGGTTCAGGACCCTTGGCTCGCGGAATCGGTAATACGTTGGATTAGACTTGATGATGATACCAGGATGATCCACATAGAGTACCTCAGTCTCGCCAACATCCTTGAACACCCATTCATACCAAGTAGACCAGTTGTCCTCTTCGTTGCCTTCCTGGTCGAACCTGGCCATGAAAACCCAATTGCCACCATTTCGAAGTGTCGGACACACCTTCTTGTACAACCTAGCCAAAACAATGATCGCTTTCAGCGCGAGTCGTTCCGAGGCGCCAAGGTCTTCAGGCTCCTGAGAGAAGACTGATAAACTGACCAAAGGTCCAATGCGTGACAGGTGTTTGAGACCGGAGAGACCAGAGATAAGAGGGCTATCTGTGTTGAGAGCATACCGACGCGAGGCATACGTCAGAGATAGTTGACCGGTGTTCCCATTGGAGACCATGATCTCTGGCCATAGATGGACATCTCTGGCTGTATTGAAGACTAAATACGTCAGGTTTGGGCACTGTCTGGCGATCACATCAAAGGTATTTTGAACCTGTCTTGATATGACATCGAGTCTAAGGTTGAGATTGCACTGTAGAGGGACAGACAGCCACGTAACGCTGTTGAGTGTATGTTGCTCCATGTCGTCTGAATCAGGACGTGAGATAGCCTCGCCGCCACCGGGGACGAGAAACGACCGGGAGTATGGATAGTCGATTTTGAGCTCCGACAGCGGAGGTGCACTGGACAGTATCCACTTCTTGATACATATATTGCATGGCATCCTCGGACCATGGAGTTCCAGTCTCGCGAGCTTTTGAAGCCGCGCATTGTTTTCATCTGCAGACTTGTGGACAGTGTTATCGCTGGCCAATCGCTGTGAGAGATCGTTGGACGGGAACTGTTGTTCAAACATACCAACGACTCGGTCGTGGCTGATGATGAGCTCCTCCAGCTCAGGCATGTGTCGTGCAATCTCCTGAATGACAATAGATCTGCATCGAGCTACGGTGCCATCCTTCGATTCCATGAAACAGACTTCTAGTCTCCGCACGCGCGGTGCTAGTGTCAGAGGTAACAACTGCTGCCAAGGTATTGCTTCTTCCGCCAGTCCGAGTATCATCAAGCAAGAGATACGCGGGAATTTGACGGCTTGTCGGATCCGCCTACAAGTTGCAGAGAACGCCAAGATGGAGTGCGTTGGTCCTAGACGTCCGTTGCGACGAAATTCAGAATAGCAAATCTGGATCGTGTCTTCGCCCTCCAGTAACTCAAGAGCGATTCGCTGGATGATCTCGGATGGGAGTCGGTCCAGCCTTCTGATCTCCTTCCGGCGCTGTTGAGCATCGGCCCCACCAGAAACAGGTAGAAAGGAAGAGCTCGACATGTTCAGTCCGCCGTCACCCAAAAAGCTACCAGCTAGTGAAATCAGCGCCAGTTATTGGAGAGATATTCTTTCTCAGGAATGCTCCGGGTCACCGGTTAACCGAACACTAGGTACATTGGGTGATGTGGCACTGGGCACGTGGAATGTGGCGTGTGAGGTGGCGTGGAGGTTGTAAATGCCAGCTTGCGAGGTATGCCCAGGCTCTCCTGCACCTCCGCTCGACTGAAGGTCACGAGAACCCTCTTTTCATACCGAGTGCTTCCAACAGAAGCCACCTGACAAGTCGCTCCTTTGTCATTCGGGGTCTTGCCCAAAGACGGAGAGCCCTAAACCACGGTATAAAGGCGGCGAGAAGTAGCCCTTTCCTAGACCCACTTCCGTCTCGTTGGAGAACAGCTCATAGACTTGAGACGAACACATTGAACCGGAAATGCCCAGTCCAAAGTCGGAAATTGACGCTTCTGCTGTCCTCGTTGCTGATCCAGCTTCTGATGATGATGATTTTGTCAAGGTGTCACGATCACAACGTACAGACACATTCGGAAGTGAAGTCACCGATGGCTTTCAAGTTCACGAAGCGGGAGATCTCCTGCATTCGGGATTGGTGCAGACAGGTGAGTCAGATACTTTGAGCGGCTTCTTACAGTCTAATGTTCAGCGACGGCAGATTTGCTCAACTCCAAGACAACAACCCACCCAACGTTTATAGAGGCACTGGAGAAGGCTGATGCAAACACCGTCAGCAATTGGTGGTACCATGAGCGCGACAATTTCCCTCTGGATGAAGGTAGTACGGTGTATCCCAGTGCTGACATCGCGAATGGCCGTTTCGCGCTCATCAATCTTCGAGGTATACTGATGGATGATAATGAAGAGCGCGATGCGAGCGTGACGGCAGACAACCAGGCAAAGTATGACTCGATCAGAGAGGAACTTGAAGCGGGTACATACAAGCACCGTGAGCAGGCTCGGCGCTATAGGCAGAAACGGGTGTCTCAATAACTCTTCCACGCAGACTATGCCGCGAGCCAGAAGACAGGTCAAGCCAGTAGCGCGCCAGGTGGGAACGCTTGAGGCGGCTCAGTGTGGGACGGAGATGGGAGCCGCCTATTGTACTTAGAGCGCTCTCTTATCCATTGCACAGGATGTGGTGAACGCGCGAAGCATGCACGAAGTGATGGGGCATTGCCTCTTTTTACCAAATCAATCCAGAATTTTCAGAGGGGGAGATGTCCCAGCCTGCTCTCTGATGGCTCTCGTGCAGAGTAGATCTTGATACGGGTCACCTGATTGAGTGGCGACTCTCACAGATTCGCCTCGACGAAGTCATCCTGATGCAAAGGACGTCTGTACTGTGTCAGTCCGCCGAACCCCCGCGTAAGCACAGAGGGGAAATGCATCACTCTCAACAGTGATCCCACCTTTGCCTGTCACTCGCATTCGGTTGTGAGCGCATTAGTAAAGGGAAGTCAGCTGTATGGTAGGGCTAAACGTCGATATCGTTAAATATCCATAAAGCGAGCGGCATATCTCAAGGTCTCAGCACTGACCCTCCGCGTCACGCGTTTACAGCAGTTCCTACACAGTTCATCAGAAGATGACTCGGCGATCAGCGAAACAAAATCCATCAACAGTACTCAACCAACCTCGTTCGTCATTTGCTCAGCACTGCCTGCCTCACACACCGAGTCAAGGCAAAGAAGTCATCAGTCAGTTGCTTCCCTCTGCATTGCCCGGAGAAGCCAGACGGGATGTGGACATCCATTGAAGTTGTCGACGGGCATAGTGGCGCGTTAGGTGGCGACAAATCGCAGCAAAGTCCTTCGAATCGATACGGCCTTCGCAAGTGGCGAACTGTCCCCAAGATTTACAGTCCAGGTAGCCATCCATTGATCTCACCCGCGCCCACTTTTGTCAGTCTGAAAAATCAATGGAATAGACAGTCCGAACTCATTGTGTGTTTCGCAACTTATATACGAATGACTTTTGTTAGCGGATCATTGACTTCTTCTCTTTGGTCAGAGCGACTCTTGTTCACGACCAAAAGATAAAAGGACATCATCCCTCGCTGTCAACTTCCCGCCACACTTGCGCAATGCCTAAGCCAAACGCGTCCGATGAACGGAACAGTGTCGCAGACTCAGTTGAGTCCATCGATCCGGCGATCGACTACATCGAGCCTGATAGTCGTTCAAGCACCTTCGGAAGCGATATGAACGAGGATGGTTTCGTCAATCTTTCAGCGAATTCTGGACAGCTGGTCACGTCAACGGCGATCGATTTCGGTGAGTCTGCGTAGCTCGCACCACGCTGAAAGGAATCACAGTGTTGAAAGATCTCTTCACCTGCGACTTTTCGCAGTTCACCGCCACTCTCGAAGGCGCCAATGTTGATACTGTTGACGAATGGTGGTATGAAGCATTTCCACTGTTTTCGGAAGATGCAAAAGACACTTCATTTGTCGGGAATGACCAAGCTCACGGCCGATATATCATGCTGTCGCTCAGAAGCACTATGACGAATGGCGCCGAGAAGAAGTATAGGGAGGCAGCGTCAAACAAATACCAGTCTGTCAAGGACGAGCTTGAGAAGGGCACATACGAACGTCGTGAGGGCTTGTCCTGACTGGGGATCATCATATGTTGACTGACTGACTGGCTCGTACAGCCGCTACTATGGGATACGGATCAGTGAATGATAGCGAGAGCACGGCCATGAAGACTGAGCCTAGGAAGAGGGAACAATGAGAGCGGTCAGGTACGCTCGCGGCTCTCTTTTGCTCGTGAAATTAGCGGACCGCTTTGTCTACCCAAGGAGTACTGTAGGTCAGATTGCACCCAACGTGGACGTAGAGGCTCGACGAGAATAGATAGGTAGTGGAGAGAGTGTGCAACCATGGATAGACTGCAGTGCGCTATTCGGCGACATCTTACTCCGCTGTGACCGACGGACCAGCCCTACCTCTCCCCTTGCTGCCTCGACCACGAGCTCCGCCACGACCTCTTCCTCCTCTCCCACCTCCACGACCAAGTCCGGTAACGTCGAGGACCCCGTTCTGGCTCCTTGGGCTGGTAGGGAGAGCTGCGGTATGACGGACAGGGCTTTTGACGACGTGCTGTGGTGGGCGGATGTGTTGAGACCCATGACCGGAGATGCGAGCGGTTTGTTGGGCTGCCAGTACCCTGGCTTGACCCATCAAGAGACTCTGAAGCTTGCCTTGATGGGCCATTTTTGCAGGTTGCTGAGGCGCAGGTCTGACTCCTTTGGCGGCATCGCCATAACGTATCTGCCCATTATGCGGATGGTGGTTCCTAGCGGGATTTCGAGCGCTACCGATAGGACCGTTACCATTAGTAGGGGCTTGATGCCTGGCAGCGATGGCTGGATGGTAATTCTGCATCTGCACAGCGGGCTGAGGTCCAAATCGAGGCTTGAACGGTGCATTCTGGCCGACTGGGGTGGGCGCAGAGTTCGCGCCGACAGAGAATTGGGGTCGAGTGAGGTTCAGGCAGGAAGTGAAAGGCACAGTCGATCCCCGATACTCAGAGCACCTGTATGATGTCAGAATGATTCTTTCGTGATAGACCAAGTTGCTCACCTTCCGTTGAGGGTTTCTCCGCCCATAAAAGGCACATCCCAAACCACATCAATATCTCGATTGCCAATGCCGACGACGACACCCTTCAGAGCCAAAGGCACTCCACCGGCAGCGGCGTCCACAACCATGATGACACGGTCCCCAAGCTGGAAGATCTGTCCTTGCAGACGATATGCAGCATGAGCCGGTTTGAGCACGGCTTGCCTGGGAATACCCTTGACTACTGCGCGTTTGATGTCCCCTGGAGTCTTCTGGGCCCGACAAGTATCCGCAAACTGTTCAATGAGGTGGACGGTTTCCTGGGAGACTCGTCAGCTCCACGCTCCCGTCCAAAACCAGCAGCAAGTACCTTTTCGAGTTGTTCCGCGAAAAGGGACACGGGCTCAAGATCGACGAGGCCTTCCTGTTTTAACCAGGCACGCATGGACTTGATGACCTTGTCTGGATCTTCAGACGTAGGGCAGAGCTCAGTCGCCGTTACAATGTCTACGAATTGTGTAAGTAGTGCATGTGTCCCCGCGCTACCGAGCACTCACCTCCGCTTCGGTTATCTAGATTCTGGAAGGGCCCGGGGAATGCAGCCTGGAGCAGATCAGCACGGAGATCTCATGCCTTATGTTTGACCTACTCTGTACTTCTCAAGAGCTTGTGCGGCCAGTTCAGAATACTCCCAGCCTCTATCATTGCGTCGTGTATAGCCAAGCACTTTCATACCCTTGCTCTCGAATTTGAGTGATAATCCGATGTTGGTTTTTGATCCATCATCAAGCATGACCAATAAGGTTGATGTGATTCTGGATAGAGCGAGTGCGGAGATACCGAGGCGTCTCGTGAGGGTTGGGGCAGGATGGTACCGACTTGTTGGACGGGTCATCACCAGTCGAGAGAATTCTGCGTTTTCCCGAGTCTCGGAAGGGAAGTACTAGGAGGGAGGTTCAGCTACGAGGTGGCCTGACGGGAGACATGCACTCACTGCTAGGCCGATATCCATGGAGGTCGAGGTGGTGCTCACGACTTGGCCCGCAGTGCCGTAGGCCATGCTGCCCATGAAGATCACCTTTTCGCCGTTCGGGAACTCCTCAGCCATGGGCGGCGCATCCTTTTCCTGTAGAGGATTTAGCCTTCTCCCTGCAGACGAAGGGTTATAATTCACCAGATATCTCTCATCCTCAAAAGTGACATGGGAAACGGCCAGCTGGTATGCCTGGGTGATTTCCTTCTCAGGACCCTCGTAGTCCTTAACGAGAGCTCCAGTATCAAGTCGTTTCAATCCTGACATAAAATCAGTTCCTGACTGTGACGGAGAATTGCACAACATACCCTTGAGTGGTCGGACATGCAGGATAATATCCACATTTCCGATAATCACACCGAAGCGCTTGCTATAGTGATGCTCCACATGGTCCGCAGCCTTCTTCCAGGAAATCGCCTGGAATGGATTATGATGTGTCGCCACCACTTTGGGAGACTTTCCGGTCAACTGCTTCGGCTCATACTTGTAGGTATCATCAGAGACGGCAACTACCAATCCTTCCTGCAGGTACGGCCAAGAGTGGTAAGTCTTCTTTCCGACGAGTTGGTTCGCAATGTCTCCGGTCTTGTCTCTATCTTGATGATCCAAAGTGATGATCATGGATTGATTGCGGCTGTCTGATTGGAAGACATTGACCGCATGGAACCCTAAAGTCCCGTGATGAGGGATAGTGTGAAGCGATGGGAAGCCTGCAAGAGCAGATGCTCCCAGATGAACCCCGTCAAGAAGACCCAGAATGAGATCAACGCCATCTGTCAAGGTCGGTAGATGGAAAGGCTGCTGCTTGCAGTGTGAGACGACGATGTCGGGGAAAAAGCCAGGGAGCGATGAAGGGTAGGTTGTCTCAATGTCTTCGTCCCAAAAGAACAGAGTGCTCAAGACCCCTCCTTTGTTTCTCTCCTTCTCTTCCGACGTCAGCCGGGCATCGCGAGCTGCATGAGTATCTCAGCTCCAGGTCTTGGCTTTGTGTAGTCTTTCGCACTCACGCGCCATGGCCTTCAACAGCCGCGCCTGGTCAATGAACGGGATCTTCACGACTGCCTCCCAGTCTTGCTTTTTGCCGTTCATGTCCAAGGCGAAATCTTGAGGGTAGAAATCGATAATAGGTGACGTTTCTTCAGTCATCAGATCCTGGGACGGATTAGCGACATTGCCGTTAGCCGTTCTGACCTACCCTATAAGCGCTCGGGACGTGCTCTTTACTCTCTTCGGGTAGAACTCCCATCAATTGCTGGAAAGGCGTAAACGGCTTCCCGTAATCGAAGTCAAATTTGTATTCGGCGATTCCCTTGAGATCTGCATGGAGTCAGAATCGCACGATGGATTGCCCCCCACCGGTGATCTTGGGCGAGAAATGGTACTTGTAGAACCAGCTCCAGCTAGGTACCCCCTTGTAATAGTAGTTAAGGATCCACTGGAGACCCTCGACGTAGCAGAAGAGGATCTCGTGAAGGTTTCGGGGATCATCATAGTTGATTTCGAGTTTCTCCTGCAGGGTCGTCAGCATAGAGCGGGTGGGGTATTTTCAAGCTCAAGCTGACCTTATAGTAAGTCCTCTTCCACTCAGTCATCTTTTCCTTGAGCTTTTCTTCGTAGCTCTCTTCGAAGTCATCCACGACGTTCTCTACCACCTTGGCCTTGTCGTATTTCTGAAACACTCTTTGGACGGCCAAATCACCCTCCGAATCGTCCTCGCTGGACCACTCGTCTGCGTCTTCTCCATCGTCTTCCGCATCTTGATCTGCCTCTGCATTTGCTTCTTCACCCACATCCCCATCCCCATCTTCACTGACACCTTCCATGTCAAACGTTAGCGCAACCAGAGATTGCCCATAATCGTCCACTTCGTCCCAGGTCGTGTGCAGGTGTAAAGAATCCGCAAGCTCTTGCAAGAATCGACGGTCACGCGCCGAAAATGTGTTGACAAAGGTACAGCGGTCGTTAGACGTCGGTTTCGATTGGTGTTTTGTTACAAATGATCTGATCTTGTTCAGGAGCTTTTGTTGATCCTTAGTGATGACTGGGTAAGGCGTGAGCTCCTGGCCTGACCTGAGCCTGCTACAGGCAGCTCACCAATCTTCCCCTTCTTTCTTGCCTTCTCCATCGCGTCGATTTCCTTCTGCTGTTTGCCCTTGTACCAATTCTGATCGGCAAACTCTTCCTCAAAGTTCTCGACTTCGAATCTTGCAAGTTCATCGAGCATCAACTGAAGTCGCGGTAGCGATATGGTCCCGTGCTCGTTCAGATAGCCTCCTACCCCATAGTTAGTACAAAACCCTGGTGGTGCATTGAGAGCTCACCGGCTTTCGGCATGACCTGTTTATAGATCGTCCAGATTCTTTCCAAAGCACCTTCATTGATGTGCAAGTCTGGTAGATGAGGGAGGAAATCGTTGCCCACAAAGATGCCCATGAGGATAAAATCGTCAATGATGCGCTCAAGATCGTATTCGAACGGAATCTGGGTTGCGAGGGAGGAGAACTCGAGATCAATGTATTCCCTTAGTAATGATAGGTGGAGCAAGTAGAAGTTAGTGTGTGCGAGGCTAGTGGAAAGCGATAAGCACAACCTTGCCACAAAAGTGATAGCTCACCCTGTTGACTTCTTCGTCTTTCTGCCAAACGTGACTTCCTCTCGCAAGAGGCAAAAGTGGGGGTCATGACTCAATAAACCAAGCATGATCAAATCGGCGTCGAGGCCGTAAAGACAGTGTCGTGTGTTAGGGTTGCTAATGTCGTATCAGTACGCCGACCACACCTGTAACATCAGGGGACCCACTAATCCGGCTGAGCTTTCGTCAACCGTATGAATTCTTGGATCTTGTGCTCTCCTTCTCCTGGTACCTATTTCGAGGTTAGACTCGAATGCCATACCGAGTAGCCAACTTACATCGTGTCCACTGAGGATGATGTTCACACCTCTCCACTCTGCATCCTCAGATATACGCTTTGTCACATAGTATTTCAAGTGAGCCGACAAACGAGCCATGAACGGCGTTCCTGTGCACCTATATCAGCCAAGCTCGATTGGCGCAAGACTTGATCACCCACCAGGTGTGATACAGTTTGAGTCAAATGCCTTGTCCCCTGGCAATATTTCACCTCGTCTTTCAGCTTCTGCCCTCTTCTCTTTCGCATCTCTAGCGGTCCTGAACCGCCTGCTTCGCTGCTGATTCATCTTAGCTCTCGGAGCTACGCCATCAATGGCCATGAAGAACGTCTTCTTCGGCTTGATCTTTGTGAACAAGTGATCTATATAGGCAAATATCGCCAAGATCATCTGTTCTTCAGTGATTCGGAAATGCACATCGTTTTCTGACGATGGAGGGTGGGAACAATTGTGAATGATCCCGTTCTTGAGGGGCATGTCAGCGGTCGACTCGACACAAAGCCTAACGCACCATGTCAAGGCTAGGGAATGACAATGTCAGCGGAAGGATGTTATGACTCTCATATATACTCACTATAGATTGTCAAAGGTTGGGATTGAGTTCGGAGTAATCAGTTGAGAGGTAAGAGGATACCTCTCTGAGACCCATCGGAAGAACTGTTGTGCTTATTAGATTCGAATTGGATAGCAGGCTAGCATGACTCGCCTTGGGGATACCTGGTTGACAACGCCATCAGTCACCTTCCACACTAGCAGAAATACGTCCAACTCACCCATGATGGGAATTTAGCTCTAGACTACGAGTTATGGATCTCTCCTATCTGTACAAGTAGACTGGGTGACGTCCACGCGATTGTCGAGACGTTGTGAGATGTGAGGGTAGTCTCGATGGTTTGAACGCGGATCGAGCGCAACCTCTAATGAACCGTAAGCGGCAAATTACGTAAACAATTACATCCTTCAAAAGTCCATCAATTGCTGATCAGTCTTGTAGGTTTTTGGACACACGGCATCGTAGTTGTATCATCAACATGGACAGCTCGAGCACATCTGAGGCAGGACCCTCTCAGTCCTCAACGAGCTTTGAGAGATGGCGAAGTGCCTTTGCCGCCATTGCTGGTCCATCCTCGACCCCCGAATCAGAAGAGGACAGGATGAGATTACAAGATGAGAAGGATTACAACAAGTGCGAAAAGTGGAAGATGGATCTAATGCGCAAGAGTGAATAAGGATAAGAGCACCGCTGCGTGAAACGTATGCTAATTACTTCAGGCCCGATGATCACGTTTATGTTGAAGCAATTGGACCTCGCTGGCTGCTCCTTCTCACCAAGTAACATTCAATGTTACGCTTGTCCACCGACGACATCTGGTGGTTTCTCTTCGGAGCTTGGTATTCTATTGTGTCAGAATCAGCTGTTTGGCAAAAAGCATCTGGAAGATACGCTGGCGCATGAGATGATCCATGCTTTCGATCACTGTCGGTTCAAGATGGATCCAGAGAATTTGAGGCATCACGCATGCACAGAGGTGGGTCTGCATATTGCTGCTGCCGCTCTGCAATGGGACGGGGGGGCTGAGATCTTCTGGTAGATCCGAGCGGCTAGCTTGTCTGGAGAGTGTAACTGGGCAAGAGAATTCTTCTATAGGGGGCATTATTGGAATAGGGCGACAGTGGGAAAGCATCACCAGGTCTGTTCCTTGAGGCGAGATTCACGAATCGCTGCTGAGATGGTCCTACAGGAATGCGTCAAGAGGAGAGCGGCGACATCTGTCTCATCTAATCCTGCTTGTCCTTCTCGTGCAGAAGCAGACAAGGCCGTCAATGAGGTATTCGAGAGCTGTTTCAAGGATACACGACCATTTGACGAGGTGTGTGTGTCGATTTTCGAAAGCGATGGGATCAGGCCATGGGCTGACTAGCTATAGATATACTAGCGTGTCACCTTACACTCATTCATCTCAGATATTTGACAGACTGCAAGCCGCTTGTCATCTCCTGCATCACAAAGTCACCTATCATATACATGTACCACCATGCATCTGGCACTCAGCACACCCAGGATCTAGTATTCCACTTCAACATCACCGTCTTCTCCGGTGATCTTGCCAGCTTCTCTCTCTTTCTCATCCTGACCCTCTTCGACCTGCATCTCCATCCTCTCACTACGATCCCTTATCTCACTATCTCTCCGCCTCGACCTTCCCAGCTCATCCACATCATCGTCCTCGTCCGCTCCATTTCGACTCTGCCTCCGATGTCTGTCCTCCGGTCTGACCTTACTCTTGAGGTCGGCAAGCTTTGTGGACAGCTCCTGTATGCGTTCCCTGTTATTCTTGACTCGCTCGGCTGTTTCCTCCTTTTCTTTCACCAAAGCCGTCGCCTCACTTTCAATGAGTTCGTCAATCTTGGCGATTCGAGACTCCAGCTCATCCTCCTGTTCCGGCAGCAGGACTTTTGGTAGCTATCAAGGCACGCCGTCAACTCAACACCAATAGGAAAGCTGCAAGCGATGGCAGCTTCGGGTTGCTCACGAAATAGAGCGGCTTCAGTTGATTTGGCTGAGGTGGCTCCCTCGACGGACCTTGATTGAGCGGTATGGGCGCAGGATCCAATAGTCCACCTTCAAAGATCAAAGGAGCAGCTAGCGGTGAAGAAGTGTAAAGGTAGCGAGAAGTCGGACGCAGAGTTTTGTGTCTAGCCGTCATCTGCTTAGTGGTCAGGTATCATACAGCGCATCGCAAATGTGTCCAACTCACAGCAATGCCCTTGTGTCTCAGTACATATTCCGCTGAATCCGTAGCTATCCTCAAGGTTTTCAATTCCTTCTCCGTCTCTGCGATCTCGTGATGTAATGTTGATTCTGTCCTGATCTTCGCCTGAATGCGCTCAGAGACTTGCTCTCGTCGCTTCGCCTGGGAGCCTGTGTCAGCCCTCCACGAGTTCATGTGTGTCCAGATAGAGCATCATTCTATGCCGGCCTACCCACCGCCTCGGAAGTGCGACTCGACTTGTCCTCCTTCTTGAACTGTTGAAGTGTTCCTAGCAAGTTACCGAATAATCGCTTGGACCGAGCTTTGTCTTCGACTTTGGCGTCTGCACGCATTCTCCTGCCATAAGGTATCAGTCAGAGCTCCTTGTCGTAGGTGACGGCCCGCGCGAGATTTGACTCCGGTCCACTTACTTCGCAGGAGCCTCTTCTGCCTCTGGAGATCGAGACTCCATACTTCTGCGTCTGCCAGCCGCGGGTCTGCGGGTTGATGAGCGGTCTCCTTTCCCACAGATGAATTTCGAAGAGCTTGACTGACCTTTCTGGTGATCTCGACATTGCTGCTCCTCTCTTACCCTTATCCGTATCGTACGCAGCCTTGAAAGCTTGAACGTCTATGGAATGATGATGGCAGTTGAGATCAATCAAAGTCGGTCGGAAATTCAAGGTCGGAAACAGAATATCATTAGGTAAGCAAATCACACCTGTGATGAAAAGTACAGCCCAAATGCTCGTATATTCAACTGGGTAGCCAGCGAGCAACAGGTCGACTTGAGACCAACGAGCTCTGTATGCCTCGTCCGACTTCCCTAGTCAGCCGTCTCGGCTCAGCTGGGAAACTTGTGCAATCGCCAAATGCCACTCATCGTCCCCTTCGGCTCCCAGGACAACGACATGCTTCAACATTCCAATCTGCTCCTAGACGGTTCCTCTCTACGACATTGATCGTGGGTGGATCTGTTGCGCTCATAGCGTATTATTATGACTCGAGGTCATTGTTGCATGAGCATGTCATTATGCCTGTAATGAGGCTGTTTGACCCGGAGACCGGACATCGCTTAGCGGTGAGGCTGCTGAGCGGACCTAAATGGACCAGGCCGAGGGACAGAGGTGTGGATGGGCCAGAACTGAAAACAGAGGTGGATAACTAGGCTGTTGCCATCGACCTCAGCTAATCTGTCTTGATTAGCTATTCGGCCTACCTCTGGTCAACCCTGTGGGAATCGCAGCAGGATTTGACAAGGACGCTCAAGCTATCGACGGACTGTTCGATCTTGGATTTGGATACGTCGAGATTGGCAGTGTGACGCCCGAACCACAGGTGGGCCTGTATAAAGGGTCAATGCTGACTGGGCATAGCCGGGTAATCCTGAACCTCGGTTCTTCCGTCTGTCAGAAGACCAAGCTGCCATCAACAGATATGGCTTCAATTCTTTGGGACACGGTCACGCGCTTGGCAAATTACGGGCTCGAGTCTATGCTTTTGCTCGATCGAATCCCTCATATTTCCCTTCGTCTCACTCCTCAAGCTCATCTATTCCTCTTCCTCCTTCTGATCTACCCCGGTCTCTTCGTCCAGGACATATTCTCGCCGTTAATCTCGGCAAGAACAAGACATCCGCGGCGGACTCGAATGAAGATTACATCAAGGGGGTCAAGATGCTTGGACCATATGCGGACGTCTTGGTGATCAATGTGTCGAGTCCAAACACTCCTGGACTGAGAGCATTACAGGGTCGTCAAGTCTTGGAGAGACTTCTGAAAGACGTGGTGGAGGAGCGGAACAAGATCAAGGACGAAAGGGGTCTACCAAAAGTCGCCGTGAAAGTCGCTTGTGATCTTGGTGAAGAGGAACTTGGGGATGTCGCACTGGCTGTCCGAAGGACAGGAATCGATGGTATCATTGTCAGTAATACAACCATTAGAAGAGAGGGTCTAGGTTTGCGCTCCTGTGAGTCAAGACTCCATGATCATCATATCGCGTGAACTCGGCTGAGGAGCGTCTCCAAAGCCAACCAATCGCAGATCGGAGGTCTTTCAGGCAAACCTCTTTTCCCGTATGCCCTCGAAGCCGTCACCACATTACGCTCTCTCCTGCCTCCCGAGATCCCCATCATCGGTTGTGGTGGGATCTCAACGGGTGCTGATGCCGTGAAGATGGCTCAAGCAGGAGCATCCATAGTACAAATATACACTTCCTTTGGTTTCAGAGGAGTCGGAACGCCAAGACTCCTGAAAGATGAGATCAGCGCAAAGCTCAGCGAGGGATCTTCCAAGGGTTGGCATGACCTGGTTGAAAGCAGGACGAGATCGACCACTTGGGTAGATCCTTTAAAATCTGGGCTGGAAACGCTAAAAAGGGAAGCCCAAGGTCTTGGAGAGATGTTGAGGAGGATGAACGAAGAGGACGATACGAGAAGATTGATGAAGGAGGCGGAAGCTGCTCTGAGTGAATCATCAAAGGTCGCCGAGGCTCAGCTTGTGACTGAAGAGGCGGAAGGAGGGCCGACTCCCGCATCTGACACTCAAGCAAAGCTTCTGGAGGAGGAGCAAAACACTGAGCCTTTACCAGTCGACGGACCCATTCTTGTATTGACCGACGGATCGGCAGCGGACAGGCCAGCTGAAGCTACATCAGAGGACCCAGAGATGCCCCCGCTGTCCGAGAATCTCGAGGGACGCGATGGAGAAGCTGAACACTGGCGGAACACGGTAACGAGCGGGGACCGTCGATTAGTGTAAGAAGGAGTCGATCATCGTAGGCAATGCATCATCAACACTGCATCACATTCAATCCTCTAGTCTGGCGATCCTGCGGATCAGGTGACACTATCAGAACTCAGAAGACACGTCCAACGCCTCTGCACTCCCAGCATTGGCCGTCGTCAAAGCCAAAAAATGAGGTTTCCCTCCCATTGCCGCCGCACCGCCAGCACAGCCTGGTTTGAAATGTTCAGCGATTTGATCTTGCGCCGACTCATTTGCTCACCTTCCACCGATCCTTGGATCTCCAGCCTGCAATACGATCGCACCGGGAGGCGGGGTCATCGTATGTGAAGGATACAGGTGAGGCTGAGGAGGATGCATCATCAGGTTTCCTTGGCCTGGTCCCGGATGACCTTGCCAGCTTCCAGGTGGCGGAGCATGCTGATGGGTTGGAACTGAATGGCCAGGATACGTGTTCCACTTGTTTGGAGAAGGAGGAGGCGCAGCACCGCCATACATGGAACCTGGTCCAGCAGGTTGATGATTTGGCAAGGGTCTCTGAAAGTTGTCCGCAGCTGAAGATGCCCCAGGACCCGAAGATACTGAATAGGAGTGCGCCAGGGCGGACGTGTAGTGCTTGCCGTACTTGCGCCAATCGGCTTCGTGTGGATTGCGTGGATCGTTGGCTTTGTAACCTGTATTATAACATTTGGTGCAGAAATGACCTTTGGGATAGACGAGCATCATGCCATTGTGTAACAAGGGTCGACCAGGGGTAGGTACATCTGTCGGCGTCAGATCTGATCCTGGTCTACTGGATGATCCAGCACCGCCGGAACTCGAAGGATGTGAAGGTGGTGAAGGTGGACGAGAGCTATGAGTCGAAGGACCAGCATAGCCACCAGAGGATTTGCCCGGAGGTGGACCAGCCGGAGCCTCGAATCGCTCGGAAACAGGATAAGAGCTGGTGCCTTGTGATGACTGGAATTGATCCGCAAATGGGCTTTCGAACCCAGTCGCATGTGGGGGTCTTCTCCCATAACCCTCTCCGACTCCCGTTACGTGGTGAGCTATCCCACTGCCTGTCCCGACAGCTTGTAGTCTTTCAGGTAAAGGCGGTGGACCTGAGAAGTCCATTCGACTTGGACCAGCGTCCAGGACGGCATCACTCGCTCCACCAGACACGACGGAATGATATGCTGGAGGTGGTTCTTCATCTAATACCGCTTGGTCCACAGAGTCTTGGCGGGCGGCCTGTCTATTAGTCGAGCTTCCTATTGGGTGGCGAGGCGGTGGTGGAGGACCCGCTGGAGGAGCGAAGGACATGCTCTTCAACGTGAGATGCTTGATACAGGATAGTATCAGTGAGTAATCCTCAAATGTCTGTAAAGTGGTGGTCAGAAGCGATGACCATCAACGGGATATCGCAGCTTGGCAGTTTATCAACTTTCGCTGACCGGCATCGCATTTTCCGTGGCCCGAAGGTTGAGGTAACAATAATGACGCAAGCCCGAGACCGACCTTCACAGCCCAGCAACGGATGGAATGGATACTCTCTACATGATCACAGCAAACGCAACCTCCTACAAACGCCAATGATAGCCACCTCATTGTCAACACTGAGCATTGCCGCACAAAGCCCTAAGCCTCCGACTTGCGCTTCTTCTTCTTCTCCTTCTTGCTGTCTCCCTCAACTCCTCCGGCAGCCTCCGTAGCAGCCTTCTCAGCTTTCCGCTTCTCCTTCTTCTCCTTCTTTCTCCTCTTTCTCTCGGCTTCGTCCTCGACCTCGATCCCATCGTCATCAGCATCCTCAGACTTGCGCTTCTTGTCCTTCTTATCCTTCTTATCCTTCTTCTCCTTTTTCTTCTCCTTCTTGGACGACTTATCCTTGGATGGTGTCGGTAGAGGTGTGTGACCAGCAGCAATCTTTGCCAGTTCAGGATCCATCGCAGATTTGTTCTTCCGTGCGGATTCCTGATCTTTCTCGACTTGCTTCACGGCCTGTTCTCGGTGTCAACTGATGAAGGCGGGGGACGCGCCTCGCAGACCCACCTCTGATATCTCCACCTCGTCAACCTCGCCATCTTCATCATCGTCATCATCCTCATCGTCTCCTAGATCATTCGCCAGAGCCGTCAGAGCTTTCTGGATGGCATCAGAGTTTTTGGACACGGGTGCTCCAGTCTGAAAAAAGGGATTAGTCATGGGCTGATATCTGTCGCTCCGACTCACCTCGAAGAACGCTAATCTCTCTTCGACCTGTGCTCTCAAAGCCTCCCCGAACTTATTCGTCGGAACGTCTGTCCTTGTTCAGTATCCTTTTGATCCAGATGTAGGCTTTTCCTCACCGGTGAAGCAGTCTATACGGCAAGCAATCGAGCACTTGTTCGCCAAGAATCTTGAAATCCGTCCCTTGTGTTTCGCTCCTGCTCGACCGATGAAAGTTGAATGGTAGATAAGACCGTACTGCGGTGCGTGAGAATGTGATCATTGAGCCGAGAGCCAAAGAAACTCACTTTTGGTGTGTTTCCTTTTGTTTTCAGGGCGCGGAAAAGAGCCTTCTCAGCTCCCAGGATCTGAACGGTGGACGCGGGGTATTTGGCGAGATTTGTTAGAGATCCACTACAGAAGCTGATCAGTTTTTCATCCAGGGAAGGCATCACTGAATCTCACGCGTGGCTGATCAATCTCGCAGCGATAGTCTCGCCGATAAGAGCTGAAAGATTTGGGGCCACCACGTTCATCTTCTCCACAAGATACCGCCTGAGGCTCTTTCTGTATTCTGCAAGCTTGACCACTCGTTCGGCAAAGGTTGAAATGTTGAGCAGGTCGATTTCGGAGATGTCACTCCCCATAGATGCTCGAGCAGCATCCAAGACATTCTTCGCTCGAGTCTCGTCATCGTCTAGAATCTCCTGTAATGTCTCGAGGGAGTCCTCGGACAAGGTGGATTTGTCTCCGATTTGAACGGCGAGCATGGCGTATTGATGAGCATCGGGAACAAGCTTGTATAGCTCTGGAAAGTGCCATCCGTACCATTCTCTCACTCGCATGGAGAACGTATTGAGATCTTTGTCGAGTTGGTCAGAGAGAGAAATAGCTTGTATGATCATGTTGTCACTTCGGTTTACGTTGAACTGAAAGCAAAGCATGAGCTTGACAGATTCTCGAAACAGCAAGACTGCCTACCTTGACCTTTCCTCTGGAGTATGAATGACCCAAACCAAGCTGCGCCACCGTGACATCGCCCTTCTGCATCCCGCCCTTGACCAACATTTTCTCCTGGTGCAATCTGATTCCCCGGATCAATTCCAGACTCCTATCAGACGCATCACAGATGATCCCTAGTTCACTCTGAATAGCGCCTGCCAGTCCACGTTCACTGACACCGAGCAGGACTTTACTGCTGGATTTGTTTCCCTTTCCTGAAGATGGGACGACGAGGTTGAGCAGATTTTTCAAATGGTCGTTCAGGACTCCTTCGGAGACATCGTTGGCATTCTCCAAAGCTTGAGCGGCCGAGGTGAAAGGAAGGAAAGAGGCGAGGGTGATCATCCGGGAAAAGACGTTGTAGTCGTTGACTGCATCTTGCATGGCTTTGGTCCTGGCGCCAATCTCCTCTTGCATGGAAACGGTGAACAGGGCATAGCCTGAAGCTCCTTCGAAGAGGACGTGTGTGAGTGAGCCGGACATGGTGACACTGCGAGCTGGTCCAGTAGAGAGGTGGGCGATCTGATGGTCCCAGGCTGTCTTCTTGACTCTGAGACGAGACTGAGAATGGATCGCAAGATGGACAACGCTGAGCCTCTGATGGATGATGGATGGCCTTCCGAGATGCAAGTCCTGTGGATCTTCTGAAATTATTTTTCGTGCATGACGTGGACTTAATTGCTTGATGTGATAAACAAAATCCGCCTCCCCCCTCCACTCGACAGGTCCATCACTTTGCTGCGTCGAGTCGTGCTCTGAGCGACATCCTTATCTTGCACTGTTCAGCTTGCATCTGTGTCATTCTAACCTTGTCACCCCACAGCTTTCATCTTGAATACCCCTGAAAGCTTGATTGACCATGGATCAAGCTAGGCCCAAACCACTGCCTCCAGTTACTATACACTTTGTATGTCATGTCAAAACCGTGTAGATATACATTGATCAACTCACTTCACAGTTAGGTACTTCAGCAGGTGTGTGAAAATGAGGCCTGTGGAGAGTGAAGCTTAAGATGTCATGATGACAGAGTCTCCACAGGTAGCGGTCCGACATCAGGGCGGAACTGCTCTTCTCTCGCAGTCCATTTTTCGAACGAGATATGGCGTGAGTTTCCGAGTTGATCTGTGGTCGCTGCTCATGATTGATAGTGTTTGACGCTGCCGACGGCTCTCTGAACAGACTAGTGCAGGTACCGCTCCGACCTACAAGCATCACTCGAATCTTCATCACTCATTTGCACGGGGACCACGTACTCGGTCTCGTCGCAATCTTGGTAGCGGCTTTATATCCGCCCGATGGGCCTTCAGTGACTGCTGGGTCTTCCATACCTCAGGTCGGTGAGAGATTCCCTTGCGGCGTTTCTTATAGCTGACCACCTTTCAGGTACCCAAAGGTCGGCCCAAGGTCGATATCTATGGTCCTCGTGGAGTGCGAAAACTCGTTCGAACCTCACTGGAAATCACCCGCCCATCCATCATCGATTCTAAAGAGTGGTTCGCAGTTCATGAACTGTTGTTGCCTACAGAAGAGTCGTCAGTCCCGACCAGCCAAGATGATCTGCTTGGCAACGAGGTCGCAGGACGCGACTTGTATCCGGATGAACAAGGCGTTTGGAGGTGTATTGTCCCAGAGGGTTCTAGAAATGCAGGGAAAGGCTGGGCAGTCCACGCCGGTCCGATAGAGCATCGTGGTGAGTCATACCAAGGAATCTAGAGCTCCGAGTATTGAAGCTCCCAAGTCCCTTCCCTAGGCTTCATATTACAAGAGCCCACACCTCGACTCCCTTTGGACACTGCCGCTCTGATTCCACTTCTCCAGTCGAACGCCACCGCACTAGCAGAACAGGACCCCCCAATACGCCACCCTCTCAGTCTGCTTTCCTATCTCACTTCTGTCCCTCCACCACAACCCTTCAGTCTCCCCTCCGGCGAGATACTTCATCCTCCAGACCCGTCCGGCGTATCTCCACGGAAGATTGTCATCTTTGGAGACTGTACAGGCGGTACGAAGAACGCGGCTTTCCGCGAAATGTGCCATGAACCGAGTCTCCTCATTCATGAATGTACGAGGGCTGCTGTACCTGATTATATTCAACCTAGCAAGAAGATGAAAGGTGTAGGATCAGACAGGGATGCTCTGAGGAGCTTGGAGGTAGATAAGCGTCGGCACGCCCAGGAGAAGGCCTTGCTTAGGGGTCACTCATCACCGATAGAAGTCGGCGAGTTTGCTCGCGAGATTCAACCAAAGCGATTGATCCTGAATCATTTCTCTGTCATGTGGGTCATATCTCTGGGATTTCATTGCCGCTGACACGCTTGATTTCAGGCTCAAATCCCCACATTACGCCTCGACTCAGCCTTTTCCACCCATTCTCTCCCCGCAAGCTTCCGCAAAGCAATCCGGCGACAGTGCTGGCCCAACACGCACAGCTGAGGAGCAGCTCACAGCTACGGAACTCCAAGCTCGCTTGTCAATGCAATCTATCGCTGATCAAGTCGGCGAGGTGTGGCTGGATCAGGAGCAAGCCGGACTGTCAGGATCAGCCACCGGCCTTGCGGAGACTGCTACGCAGATGATCGTCCCTGCCCGTGACTTTATGGCGATAACATTTGGGTCTCACGAACTTTCGCATGCCGAATCTGAGCAGATCCAGACCCATATGGCTGATGTGGCTTCCGTGATGCGTCAATGGAAGGACGAGGGCAGGATAAAACTTGGTCGAGGAGCTGACGAGCGATGGTTGACTCGCTGAGATCAAAACTCGTGCTCATGCATGACTTGGCAGAGCATATCGCGACCAAGATTCAGTCTCCATCACCTCTTCTCCGTTTGGTGATCTGCTCTTCTTTGACTGAGGTTGTGGTCTTGCTCTGCTGGTAGCGAATCAAGTAAAGTCTTCGAGCTTCTGATTGTACACTCACCTTGCGTTTCGGTGTCTCCGATTTCTTCTCCACGGTATCTACAGCCTCCTTCCTCAGCACAGGTTGCATTTCCTCGGTATTTGATGACAGAGAAGTCAGCGCACTGTCGTCCTAGACATGACATGTCAGCCAGGCGCTCAATGGATGCCGGGTCTCTGCATACTGATCCCTCTCGATCCTTCCTTGGACGAGGTATCTTAGGTTTGATGTCGACGCCCTCTGGCATCTTCTGTAATTCTCGCACTAGGGCAGTCGTCCTACCACCAATCTCGATGAAGTCCAAAGTCGCGGGTTTGCCATCGGGCTAAGTCATAGATCGTCAACAAAGGGGACAGTTTAAGATTAAAGTCACACTGCGTATTCACCAATGCTAGGAAGGTCCTATTCTTCGGCACAATGTCCACTGGATCCTCATCACTGTCCAATGCTTCTTGTATGGCGATCGCCTTCTTCTTTCCGTTGGCTTGCTTGGCTCCTTTCTTCCACCTCCATCTACAGCGGATTAGTGAGCTGCAGTCTGGACTGAAGCGCAAGGTAGAGCTGACCTGAAGAGCCAGTCCTCTGGGAATTTCTTGTGCTCTGCGTTAACATCCACTGCTTTCTGCGGGACCTCCCTGATCTGTCGATGGAGGCTCTCGATCTGATCGTCATTCAAGGAGGGAACTGGACAAGCAGGGTGCAGCCTGGCTTGGTACAGAATTCTATCGGGGTCATAAGCGAGGAAGCTAAACCGCATCGTCTTCCTCTCACTCATCAGCGACCCACTGCAAATACATATCTATCAGCAGAATCACACGTATCACTCTCGCCACCTACGTTGCCTACACCAGCACTGAAGCTTTGATCCATGATCATCCCTTTGACAGTTCCCCTCTTTTTCTTCAATAGTTCGCGAAACTCTTCGATAGTGGGGTAGCTAAGAACAGGATCGAATCCGAGCTTCGAGACTGGTGGGTGCTGTTCAACAGGCTGAGGTACGAGACGTAGTCGGCCGAGTCGTCTTGCTGAATATATCTTCAGCGCGCATCAATCAACATAGTAAAAGTAATAACGTACAGTCTGTGAATGCCAATTCCCGGGGCTCATCGGATACTGAACCCTGTTGCGGCTCCAGCTCCATGATACTGGGGGCAAGGGTGAGTTCACAGTTCAGACTGGACAATGCAAAACATATACAATTTGTTATACTACATTCATCAATCAGTCAGCCTCATCCTCGTTCATGCTGGCGCTTTCACTCACCTTTGGCGGCCAGATATTCCTTCTCTCTTTCGGACGCCTGACATACCAAGACGGTGTCTCGCCTTTCAGCTAGTGCTCTCAATACAATACAAACCCATCATCGATTCAACAACTCACCATGACCATCCCATTCATACCGAAATGCATGACTGGTAATCTGCCTTCTCCAGTCAAGGTCAACCAGAATCTTGGAGGTAGCCTCAGCGTCGCAAATGTACATAGAAAAGAGGCTACCTACATTTTACCTTTCCGGCGACAGCCTGTGATGGTTCTCCCGGTCACCTCGTCTCCCTGGCAGTCAATCACTCATCAGCTGGAGCGTCGGAATGTCAAGCAAAGAGACCAGGCGACACACAAATTCCTGATGCGTCACGCCAGAATACACCAATTTATCTTCCACCGTCTTCATCTTTGTGATGCGATAGCCTCTACATGCCGCTTCGATAAGCTTTCGAGTTCGTTCGACCTCTGACGACACCCTCAGTTCTATGCAGCTTATTCAACTTACCTGGGAGCTCAGGCATGGCACCGAGAGCCTTGGTTGATGGCTGGTGAATGCGTTGTAAGCAAGTCCTGGATGATCCTTTCGTCCGTTTCTTCGGCGACCAGAACTCCGAAACGTCATCGGCTTAAATCCGTTCAGGCGGGGATAAACCCTGGTGTGATCTCATCATCAGAAAGACCTATAGTGACCTTCTCTTGCTGTGTAGCGACGCGTCTACTACTGTCTGAAAGAGGTCACAGCGGTTTTCATGCATTTTCTCTTTGACAGTGTTTATAGCCTCTTAAAGCCTCCGTACTTCTTTCCCTTCGAGGCCAAGCTCTGTCTTACACGGCGCGCTCCGATTCCACCTAAGCCTGGGGATATCCGTTGAACTTGATGTAGCCGACCTGAGGTGTCCAGTCAGTTCACGCCCCTCATTTTGCCCCTCTGGTGGTAATGAAGCCCTTCGTGTCACAGACACCTACCGTTTGAACAAGCCCAGAGTTGGGCATGTGGTCTGGAAGAGCTCTGGGATCCATTCCAAAGATGGCAGTAGGGAATCCGTGATCGAATGGTGAAGCTTCGTCAAGTTTCTTCAATTGCTCCGGAGTCAGAGTCACTTCGAGAGCCTGAGGGAAAAGATCAGATCCAGTGAAGGCATTCTGTCAAGCATGGAGTGCCCCTTACCTTGATGTTGGTTTGGAGCTGCTCGACCGACGTGCCTCCAATGATCGGCCAGCAGTCTGTCATATTCTGACGACACCAAGCCAAAGCGACTGTTGTGAGCCGTGCGCGTCAGTACTAACTGGTTGCAGACAATGGGGCGACGCTCACCATGAGCCAGCTGGACATCTCCCCCAATCTCCTTAGCAACTTCTTGAAGCGCTTCGACGACCTTGACTTGTTTCTCGGTGGGCTGAGTACCGCCACGGACGGAGGCTCGCTTTTTGAGCTCCTCCGGAGGATAGAATTTGCCTTGACCAAGCACACCCCAAGGTGCTGCGAAATGATCAGCTCTTGACCGATGTGAGCCCGCGCACCAATGGACATGTTATTGTTCCGACACATGGGGATGACATCACGTTCCATGTCTCGAACGCTGAGGTTCCACAGGCCTTGGCTGGAGGGGTGTTAACTCGATGAGAGATAGTGCTAGCACAGACGGCTCACTAGATGACGAATTGGGCCATGCCATGAGCCCTGGCGTATTCGTTGGCCTGCGAGACGATCCAGGCTGGTTGTTGGTTAATAATGGGTTCTCGGACACTTTTGGGACGGACCCACCTGGAGTGTCCGAGACACCCAGATACAACACCTTTCCGCTTCTCACGAGGTCATTTAGGGCTTGCATGAGTTCTGGGATGCTTGTCGAGTGATCCCACCAGTGGACATAAAGCAAGTCGATATAGGTTGTGCGCAGTTTCTTCAACGACCTCTCGACGGAGAGTCTCATGCTCTTCGCCCCATTTCCTTGGTAGTTGATGTTGATTCCTGGGTGGACACCAGCAGCTCGATCCATGTAGTATGTAGTGTACTTGCTATGGGAAGGGGCAAGTGTCAGGTCCAAGACATAGCAGGGCAGAGATGAAAGTGTTGCTGATACGCACGTAGCGAGGACTATCTCATCCCTGATACCTCTCTTCTCCATCCATTCTCCGATGATATGCTCAGACTGCTCATCTGGACAGCAACCCAGGCATCAGCTCTGGAGACGATCATTAGATATGGGGTCAATCACCTTGGTAGTTGTTGGCAGTATCAATGAAGTTTCCTCCAGCTTCATAAAAAGCGTCCAAGAGCTTCTCGGACTCAGCCTGTCCAAGACCTTTTCCACCCATATAGCCAGTCCACTGGTCACCAAGACTCATTGCGCCAAGAGCCAGCGGTGAAACGCGGATCGAAGCCGAAGGGGATAGAAGTCGATATGTCCCGAGAGCTGTTTTCGGCTTGGGGGCCGCGGGGAACATCTCGACCCAGGCTACGCCATGTATCAGCAGCGGCCATTGAGCGATTGCTTGGTTGTCGACCTACAGGTCCGGCTATCCGCTCCTTGTGGCTTGTAGTCCGCCGATGAAGCCTCATTGTAGGTCTTGTCTTGACTCATACTGTCGATTCAGATTTGAAGTGGGAGAAGCAAGCAGGAATGTTTAGAAGTCTGAACGGAAGACACGTCAAGCCGTTACGGTCAGCTTTTTATCCTTCGCATGACCGCTGCCGAGTTTCCAAAAGGTGTGTATGGAGATTTGGTGGAGGAGAGAAATATGTGGAGGGCAAGTCATACTGGATAGTGGAGGAGCCACACTGGCAGTGGAGGTTACGCCATCACGGTGGTGGTGCACGGCCTACTGCAGAATGCAGCTCGTCGGACTCACCCAATTGTTGAAAGTGGAGGCTTGACTGAGAGTTCGAAAGGTTCAGAAATGTGGAGTCAGGCGTTAAAGACAGGTTGAACCGAGAGGCTGTTCATGACGTTGGGTGCTGCTGCCTTGCATACGCCTCCGTCATTTCCGGTGATTTTCATTAAATTGAAAATATAGGTAGGTGGAGGGGCACAGGACTCTCTATTCTTCTGTGTCTTTGGTGAGAACTACGTGTCGGATCGCAGCTACGGTCGATGCTCCTCCTTCTCCAAATATCGATCCGCCTCGATCTTGCCTTGCTCCACGTTAACCCAGAGTAAGGGCGGAATGGACAGCAACATCATGATCAACAAGAGAAACCAGGCGTAATCGAATCGACCCGTCGATTGGGTGATGGCGGCGACCATGAGAGGGCCAAAAAACGAAGCAGATCGGTCCGCAATGGCATATAGTGAGAAGAAGGAAGTCTCGCGACCCTGAGCAGAATCATGAGCTTGTCAGTTGAGCTACAGCGTAAAGGAAGAAAGGGCGTACCTTGGGGATCAACTCCGCCCAGAGCGCTCTTGCGTAACTGTAGTATCCTCCGAAGCCCTGCAGGACAGGTCGACCCGGCGTCAGTGCATGCTCAAGATGAGTGCATCATTCAATCCCGCTGCGCTCACCACGCCGACCAGGGCCACTGTCCCAAAGACTGCGTTTCTGCTCTTGTAGCCCCAATGCGGATTCAGGAGTGTGGAGCTACCCATCAGGAGTTGAATTCCGGCTATGAATGTGCAAACCAGCAAGATCTGTTTGGTGGTGATACGGGTATACGCCTGTACATGAGGCATGAGAGTACTCGAGACGGCTCCAGCGGACATGGCTATGAGCGCAATGGTGGTTACGTCGGCTGGTGTGAAAGCGAGCTGATCTGTCGATTGAAGGATGAGTACCAAAGGCATCGTATGGCAGACTTTGAATCAAGGAAAGTGTCAGTCTTGTAACGGGCTTGGCCGTTGATTCTCTGACACTCACCATCGCTTGCTAAGACCCAATTCAGCATCGCGAAGCGCAGATTTGACATTTCTCCCAGGCTCTTGAACAGTCGCAATAATGCTGTTGTCGAACGAAGAGGTTTTTGAGTGACAGGATCGCTATCCTCATAGCCAACACCATGGGGATCTTTGACGATGGGATCACGAGCTGGAAGCAGGATCATGGCAGGGAGTCCAGTTAAGCATGTCCAGAGACCTGTCACTGCGAAACAGGTGACCATGCTGACTCCCGCTTCCAAGGCTTTTCTAAACACAAATTGACAGACAATGGAACCAATTAGGCCTATCGCGAACGCGGTGCTGGACAATCTCGAGATTCTAAGGGAGATGCCTGGTGGACTGGAGCGAAGGAGTGGCCGTCTCTCCTCGTCTGCCGCTCGGGCATGATCAGGGACTCCAGGATCACGGTTGGCTATGTCCATCGTCGAAGGGAGTATAGTACTTGAGACAGATTCTTCAGTCCGTCTGGCCAAAACTCCGAGGTAGCCATTGAAACATGTCGATGTCATGACGTTGAAGGATATGCTCAGAATCATGATGACAGCAGTCAGTAGCGGCAGAGCTGCAAATGGCTCCTGTGGGAAGAAGTAGTATCCCACAGATGAGATGGTTGCTCCTAGGACAGACGCTATGAGTAGCCCTTTTCGCCAGTATGCTGTGTGAACCGAAGACGCAACATCAGCCTCTCTCTTTCTCTTTGTAGTCCGAAGCCATTAGCTGGAGACTCACGTCTGTCCGCCACCGACCCAACCGAGAGCAGCATGATGAGGGTGAAAATGACAGCGGCCGATTTAACGTACATCCTGTCATTTCCTCAGGTCAGTCTGAGCGACATAGTGAAAAGCACTCGACGCACGCGAATGAGTTCGCGTTGGTCCATAGGCCTAGGATCTTAGCCTCACATACAGCGTTGTCATGCGGAGCTGCTCGGAAACAGGGAACGACATGATCGGGAGTCCAATACCCCACTTTACGAGCGCTATCTGTAATAGCCATCGCTTGTCAGCTTCGCGTGCGGTGGCGACCAGGCCATGATCGTTCACCTTTAAGCAAGAGGGGAAGAAGAATACCCTGTGAACACGCTTCGCATCAGCCAGATCCCCCTTGACCAGCTTAAAGGGCATGGAGTGGTCGACGAGAGCTCACCAGCGAGATCGTCAGAAACGTCTCTATGGCTATCGAGATCAAATACCAAGCCAGGACTTGGGTTTTATGAGACGCTGTCCACATCTTCAAAGCCATGAATCGGAAAGGTAAGATGACAACGTCTATCAATGACTGTGCGATTGTTATATCTTTGGATCCCTACAGTCATAGATCTCCATCTGATCGGGGATCCGGGCAATTCCAGATCTGGAAAGTCAGGGCTTTCGAAAAAAGAACAAAGACCCAAAATGCAATAGGGTTGTCTTCCTGCGCTTCTACGTTGGAGTCAGTCCCGCTATGCTGCTTCATCTGCATATATATCATACCTACATCAGAAGGATCCTATGCCAGGATATACCATAGATAAGGGGATGAATAGAGTACATGCGAATTTGCAGCTTCGATGACAGTCTTCTTGCCATTGAAGATATGCGTAACGACGTCCCGCACGGCTCAAACGTAACTCGACGGATCTGTGAATCAACGCCTCCGTCTGCTAGTCTTATCTTCAACGATGATCGGACGGAAAGCAGCTACGTTCCAATAGCACTATGAGAACAATCTAAACCTCGACCGTACACAGTCAAGCGACCCGACTGGACCAATCTATAGACGCTGGGGTTGCTCGGTCACTCAGCACTAGAACGATTCTGACAAAAGATGTGGTGGTGGTGGGCCTTTTTGATCTACCTTTGAAACATCTTCTCATGGGGTTCTCATCCATAATTATTCAGAATGGACGTGAGCACCATGCATCTGCGACGAGATATGTATCACAATCAAAGTAGCAGCCACAGAGAAAAGCCTCGGGAATTGTAAGGCCGGGCCGCCGATCCATGCCCTGCCGTATTCCACTAACGGCCGTGAACAGCCGAGTTGTGTGTACGCAGCGCAGTCTACGCAGATACTAGGTGATGGACTACACATAACAAGGATCTCGTTGCAGGTGTCCTGATATAGGGAACAATAGTAGCCCCTTATCGTATACTGGAATCTTCGTGCCAATATCCAGATTCCTACGCGTTAGATCCATCTGGGGAGAATACAAATCGCTAACATACATTCACAGGATCTATCATGCACAAGAAGGATTCACGAAATAAGCAGAGGGATACGAGAGAGGGCCCAAGTCCACGTTCAAGTGTCCATTTGTCGTTACATGAGATGAGCCTAAAACATGGTCTGAAGCGCCTCGCCTTCAGCCTTGATCGTCCCGAACTTGGGCGGAGCGAGCTGCACGCGCAAGGTTGCGTCAGTTCTGGTCCAATGCAGGAGAACAGTCTGCCTCACCCCGTGATTCTTGCCGAATGTAAATCCGACCCAATTGTTCCTATCTCCACTTCCCTTCTCTTCCACAGCCTCGACATCTCGTTGTTTTTTGAATACTTCGGCGTATTTGGCCATGTCCTCAGGCGAAGAGAACGAGTCGAAGTATCCGACGTCCGTCTCGCCATCGAGAACGGGGACGAACGGTGCAGGAAGCGATCGGAGGGAGCCGAAGGGGATGTCTTGGAAGAATGGAAGGGTTTGAACTTCGGCGAGGGTCGTTACTCGGTCCTTGGGATGGGCAATGAGTCTGCGTCATTGTCAGACACTATGCGCACTCGGTTCCCCGATCTCTCCTGCTTACCGAGTGACAGCATCCCATGCAGTATCTGTCAGGTTGAAAATGAGATCCTCTGGGCGATCGTAAACAGGTCGACGAAGAACCTTGTGCCAATTTTTGAGGTTCGCCCAAGTCTCTTCTGGAGTCTGTCCAGAGAACGGCGGGAAGCCCTGATGAATTTCATCAGCGGACTTCGGGTCGTATGGCGCAGGAAAAACCTACACAGAGGAATTCGAACAGAATGCAGCCTAATGACCAGTAGTCCGCGGAGAATGTGTATGTCTTGCCTCGCAATACCTCCGGAGGCATGTAGTCTGGAGAACCGACGACCGAATCCGCGTAACGAGGTTCAGCCATTCGCATACTTCGATACGCGGTCCTTCGATCCAATGTGCTCCGGATGATGAGATCTTCATCTTTGACTTGATCGAGCTGAGCAAGAGGGTGAGCTGGACTCTCTTACGAAGCTGCAGATGTACACACCTTGTGCCTCATCGATTCAATCTTCTGTGGGTTGAGCGCACCGGCTGCCAGACCAAAGTCGGTCAATTTGACGTGTCCCGTTCCATCAACAAGGAAGTTCTATGAAGAGGAATCAGTGGGATTTTCACGGTGGCTGGCCCGCCACAACTAACCTCTGGCTTCAAGTCACGATGAATGTATCCAAGCTTGTGCAACTCATTAACTCCGGCGAACATCTCAGCTGCGTAGAACCTAGCATGCTCCTCCTTGAGCACCCCCGAGTTGTTTAGCAGAGTCCTGAAGTCTCCTCCCGGGACGTATTCCTTGTCGGATGTCAGCCATGACTTCCAGGAGCGGCAGACTGCTCACCATTGCAAGATAGACATGCTCCTTATCTTGGAACGCATACAGCAACCGGACCAACCAAGGTGTCTTGACGGCACACAAGATATCTCTCTCTACCAACACATGCTTGACCTCGTCCATCTTGGCCAAAGTTCCCTTTCGCATCTTCTTCAACGCGCAAATCTCATTCGTGTCTGCCTTTCGAGCGAGGAAGACGGATCCATATCCTCCTTGACCGACCTGAGCAATGATTCGGAATTGCTCGACACGGAGCTTGGTTCGTCGTTTGCGAAGAAGAACACGTTCGCGACCGTTGTACGAGGCGAGCTCCTTTGAATACTCTTCACCAGTTACCTGGGCGATCGTTCAGGTGACGAATCGAGATTGCATGCTCACCTTGCGTTCAGACGTATCCGCTTTGAACGTGTCGAGTCGCTTCTTGCGGTTGGCAATGTAGCCAAGGAGGTCGACTGAGTGGTCGTTAGGGTCTGACAACATACGTAGAGCGTTGTATCTCACAGTAGTAGTCCAAGAAATCTTATACACAGCATTAGCGAACGGTCCCTAGCCATCGCTGTCGTGCTCACAAATTTGCGCGACAGTCGTCTTTCGCTTAACTTCTGCACTCTCCAAGATCTCCTTCTCCCACATTTGCAATCCTCGCTCCTTCTCCGTTCGAGGTTCATGTCTCGCCTGCGTCTTCATATGCACGTCGTCCAGTCCTGCAGCACCATGTCGATGAGGGGCCAACTGGTTGCCGTTGGTGACTTGGACCCGGGAGGGAGGAGCGGTGATGTTGGATAATTGTTTGAGCATGGCTGGATTGATCGTATTCTTTAGCGTTTGCATATGAATGTCTCCGTCATCCGCTACTGTCGATTTGTGAGGTGCCGAAGTCTGAAGGGGGACCTGGTAATGAGCGTTGTGATGGTGAGGTGCGACGAGGTATTGAGCGGGGTTGGAAGTCTGCTCGACCTTGGAGTTGACCTTGACCGGAGTCGTAGGTTGGCTGGCTTGTTGAGTCTGAGCGAATAGGAATGAAAGATAGCTTGATCGTTCAGAGGAAACAGCAGCAGCCGCAGCCGGTGCAGTAGCAGTGGTCCGAGCCGCCGAGGATGAAACGTTTTCCTTACTCGCAGTAGTGATTTTGCCCTTTGGTGTGGAGGAGATGACTGGGATTTTTGAAGGCGAAGGAGCGGAGATGTTCAACTTGGACGGAGCTGCAGACGTCGACTTTGATTTGACATGAGATGAGCGAGAGGAAGAAGAGGAAGGGCTGGATGAACTGTCGTTGGATTGGCCGGTGGTTGTTTTCAACACGCGGGAAAGCATTTTTGTTATTTTCGCGTGTTATTAGGGTTTTTTGGGCTGATCTTTTAGGTGCACACTAGGCTGGGGATGTGATGCTGCGTCTTGGGATTGATGAGATGAGATCGAGGCAGATCACAAGATGGAGAGAGAAAGATGTTGGTAGTGAGGATGAGAGTCGAAGTTGAGAGAGATATGCCTCTGTGTTGATATAATAATAATCATTGCGAGGCGTTGAAAGGCATCGTCCAGCCCCTCGCCGCCGCCGCCGCTGCTTCTCTCGCGACTGACTTTCCAACCCGAGGGGATATATCACATTATTGAATTTGAAGCCATTAGGATACAATTTTGTAATATCCATTAGAACTCGTGCCTAATCAACTCATGGGACGCGGTCAAAGACGGAGACGCGAACCAAACAACATATATCATTGTTGAACATTCAATCTGTACCTTGATCCACTCATCGCACTTGAATACAACATCGACCTACCTGCAACCATGCTAGCCAGCTCATACATGGCGCCCCCGCGTAAGATCTCCCTTCAATCACTCTTAGAAGGTTCCACAAGCGGATCATCCAGTAGTCCAAATGTTGACCTCGCATGGGAACCATTCCAATCGACCGTCGAGTTGTTCCTCAAGGCTGTGAGTGAATAAAAAAGGCTCTTCCCGTCTTGCTCGTACTCACTCTTACTAGATAGACGGCTACGTGCACAATGCAAAGACGGAGATCGTCATTCGCGCCAAGGGTCATTCAGACTCTGTCAAGATTCTCAAATCAAACAAGGAGGAAATGGAGAGGAGGATTCAAGCAGAGAGGGAGAAGGAGAGAGAGATGTTGTCTGGTGAGAAGAAAGGGGATGATGAGAGACCGAAGCAGTTGCTGATGTGAACCCCCGCGCAGAACTCGAAAGCGAACGTCAGATCGTAGCAGATCTCAATTCGTCCCTCTCTCATCTTCAACGGTCCCTGGCCAAAGTCAGGGAAGAATCAGCCATGATCGAGTCTGACTTGGCCGCCGTGAAGAAGGAAGTATCCAAGCATGAGTCCGATCAGGAGAGGCAGAAGTCCACCTTGCAAGATATGAAGGCGAGGGACGAAGTAGAACTTCAAGGACTGGAAGAGGCTATTGGGCTCAAAGTGGATGGTGTAAGAGGTGAATCTCATTGCTGTTTGAGCCTCCCGTGACCAAGCCGTATCTGACGAGGGTGATCCAGATGGTGTCATACTCATGAGGTTCACGTTGCTCGATCCTGCTGAACCTGGTCGAGAATTCTCCCTCCTCTTGGATGTTTCGGGTACAGATTACGCAGGTGAGACAGTACCCTTGCTCCTCTGATACTCAACCTGACCCACGATTCCGCTCGCAGTACCAAATTGCTCGCCGACATTGTCCGCACTTCCTGAAGTCGTCCGTCAACTCAATACGGACAGAAACATTGTCGATTTCATCCGCAAAGGTGAGCCAAAAAGACGAACAAACACAAAACCCACGAAAACCCTTGCGCATCCAATCTAACTCGCTACCCAGTCCGCAAAGCCTTCAGAGCTACCGTTCCGGAACGACCTGCCCCAACTAGTCAATTTGACAACCTGCCTGGCTCGGCCATGCGTACGCCGGCTCACCGCAGAGGCCTGTCTCATGGCGGAGAAGCTGCAGCAGCGTGATACCTTGCTGGTGTTCATACGCAAACCCGATCTTCAATCGGCTTTGTTCTCCCCTGTAGCTTGTAAAATTTACAGAACGATGATGCATTGCGTTGTGCTACAAAGTATGTCATTGCAAACCGAGTGTGAAAGCAGATTTGAGCGTAAGCGCATCGTTGAAGCTTGATTCGGGAATTGTCAGTGCACAGACCCGGATGTCTGTGTTGACAGGTGACGTGAGAAACAGACCTTGAAGAAGTCAGTCGGTCACATTTACAGCTTCAAGCTTTGATGCCAATATTGTTCGCCTGAATAGTCTCGGCAGTCTTCAGTTGAGAGTTGTCATGGGGCGGCGCCTCAGTCTTCATGGCAGGGGGATTGTGAGTTGTTCGAATCTGTGACATTACCATCAGCATCGCTGTCTTCTGATCCGGCCGCTAAGTATTCACGACATACCGGCATCTCGGCGAGTGGATCGCTAGGCAAGTCTTGACGCGCTGTGGACGTGTCTATTCCGGTTCCTTGATTCAGGACGATGTCAATGTCCATGCCGTCCTTCGAGCTTATTCCAAGAACCATTAGCGAGGCTGATCAAGCCGAATCCTCAGAGGCGGACTCACCACCCTTCGACCTGTTCATCATTTTCCTCTACATCATCCAGATCAACCTTCATCAATTCCCCGGCGTCAATCTCGTCAACAGATCCGTCCAGGAGATCATCACCCGACACTTCGTTGATCTCTCCTAGCGCCTTTTTGGCCAAGATCGAGCTTGGTGAAAAAGGTGGAGGTGAGACTTCTGGTCCTGGACCTGGATCCCTCCGCACGCTTCCGTCACCTCTTTCTTTGGATCGCCCTCGGCTCTCTCCTTCTTCCACGACGAGTTTGATGCTCCCACCAGCTGATCGGATCTGTGATGTCGAATCGATGGAACCGAGTTCACTCTGAGGGCCTTCCAAGCCATTATTGCCGTTGCTCGGACTCGTATCCGTGTCCGTGTCCGTGTCCGTGTCCGTTTCCGTATCCATATCATCGTCCTGTAGTTCCGCCTCGTCATCCGTCGTGACTATCCCACCCGCATCTCCCATCTGTCTCTGTCCCCAACCACAATGCACATACGCTTCAAAGGCTTCTTTGACCCTCTCGCAGTACGCATTCAACCTCTCCGCGCCGATCCGTTCGCAAGCTACGCGTCGGACTCTACACGCATGCCGATGAATGCGTTCGACTTGACCTGCACCCTGTTGAATCGGATGAAGAGGGTGAGACAGGCAGTGGATCTCAGACATGACGAGGAGTTCTAGAAAGTGACGGTCCTGCGAGCCGGGTTTCCGAGCTGATGAACAACGATTCATATGACGCACTATGATTTGAACTCACCAGAGCAGGGTACCATCCTCGACCTTGTCGGAGCGGTGCTTCAGTCTTTTCCCATTTTTCCCACCTGTACAAGGTCAGCAAACGATTCCTCACTAGTCTTGAAATCGCTCACATCTTCGCATCTGGCAAGACTTCCTACCGTCATGCTCATCAGCTTCAATCCACGGTCTGTCACGGTCCAGCTCACACTCATTACGGCCTGTTTCCTCACCTCCTCTTCGTATTCCGAGTCGTACATGGCTCTCGACAGACCAAACAGACAAACAGCAAGACTATCGTCAACGCCAGAGGGTTCAGTACCAGTCTTTTCTCTCGGTGGCGATCGGTTTTGTGAGGCAGACTTGTTGTTCGTAGCTTTGTGTAAGAGTGGCGTCTGTCGTTTGAAAGGGCGTACGCTCTTCGAATCTTTCATCAGTACCGAAGAGAGGAGCCAAAGGGGCCAGTGTGTCGAGATTCGAACAAGGCCCGTTCTCTCCGATTAGCTCCCCAGCAACACGCTTTTGGTGCTCTGGCTACTCTCGGGCTGGTCTGGGAAATGTCTTATTTTTTCTGGGTACGTGCGATGACCAAGGCTAGAGATCTGCCCTGCGTGAGCAAGACTGTGGAAGCATCAGCGCACTAACCTTCACTTGTCTGATAAGGATCGGCGATGAGCGCAGATACTCATCAAGGCTTAGGGTCCTGGATGGAGATCGAGCTTGGACCGAGATCGAGCTTGGACCTCGATCTCCACCTAATCCCCTCTCCGCTTAAAACCACTCACCGGTCTCAAACACGTCCACGATTGAGTGACCGATCGACACAGAGGTGTAAATCGCCAAATAGGCCTGATGAGACACAGTGCCGATGGGATTTGTCAGAGAATACGACCACAGGGATGATCAGTGAGTAGAATAACGGTGAGATACGGTAAGCGCACAAAAGGTTGAAAGCGATCAAGGAGACCGTACACGAAAAGAGGCAATAAGAATGGTAAGCTTTGGGCGCAATCCAATGGGGTGGAGCAAGGGGTTTAGAAGTCAAAGGTAGGTAGCTAAGCAGGTGAATGGATGTGTGAGTGACGGCGGGAGGCGGCGTTGCTTAGTCAGAGGGAGGAGGTTAGAGGCATGATAAGATTACGTGTAGGTATGGCTGCCAATCGACTGAGAGAGTGTGTGTGTAGATACGAGAAGGGCAAAGAGAAAGGGAAAGAGTAGGGGCGGGGATGGTTTTGAACGGCTTTTATATAGTCGACTGTGTGACGAAACCTGTGACCCCTGCATGTAAAGGGTTTTAAGAAGGAAGGAAGTATTGAGAAGGGTGGAGACTGTAACGAATGTTCTGACCGTTGCAGAGTCGAAGCAGAGTCTTCCAACAAGGGAGGAGCAACGAGGTTCATCGGTCACATCCTGTAGAGTCCAGGCTCGGGTCCATCAATGCCGCGGTCGAACAGTTAGCAGAAGGGGGTCAATGGTGAAAGGATGGCATGAAAGATGGGAGGAGGGGTCGAGACGAAAGGAATTGACAAGGTCTCGAGCTGGAGTGAGAGCTTGTGTATCCCTCGGGAAACATTGTGAATCGTGCCATTCCGACCGGCTCACTCTGCCATCAGTTCCATGGCCAATGATTGGCGAGGGATTTTTCCGGTTGTAGCAATGCGCATCGCCACCTGCATAGGCGATCCGATGGACTTCTTCCCGCTCCCGATGAGAGAGGCTCGATACATTCCCCAAGATCCCAGCAGGAGCTACCCCTCAAAGTATTCGATGTCTCCATCAAAGTTGACTTTCCCCTTCTTGATCTTCTCGCCTTTGGCCCGCAAGAGATCTTCCACAGTTTTGAGCTTGCCTTCTTCCGTGCTCTCCTGCAGCACATAGTGATTAGTCATCTTCCATCTGAAACACCGGTGTGGACTTTGACTCACCTTGAACCAGCCAATATGATCCGCTATCAGATGCCTGCAGACTCATGAGCTCCAAAAAAAGAAAACAAGGGCGGGTCCGAAGCGAGACAGTTCAACTCACCTCGCTTTACATTCTGGACATTGCACCAGGACCAAGCCCCGCTCATAGCTTCTCCTTGCGAATTCGTGCGTAGACCGATGTCCGCAGTCATCATGTGTACATGTAAATGTCATCTGGCTATAAAGAGGGTCGAGATCAGAACTCATTGATCGATCGTGAAGATAGCAGACGGACGGACTCACAGACGAGGTTGAATCTGACCAATCGGTTGAGATTTGACACCTGGCTCTGGGGCTGCTATACCTGGAATGGGATCTGATGAGGAAGCGTTCCATCTCCGATGTGCAATGGATCCAAGTAAGCCATGACGCTCATACGGCAGCTCGAGCCGTCTTTGAAGTGGACATTTTGATGCTCGCAATGTCGATAATGGTCGGTGGAAAGCGATAGAGGACCTGGAGGACGAGGCGATTGGCTGGATGGGAAGAGAGTGACTGAGACATCGGATAGGTCGAGCAAAAGATGCCATTCTGAATGATGATAGATTGACCAGATGTTGGTTATCCCGAGAACTGCTTGACTGTACTGGACTTCGCCCTGAGATGCAGGTCACAAGCAAAACTGAGTACAGATTCGGTCAGTTCCCGATCTCGCGGACGTTATGGTTCACGTTCCAAAATTTTGCTTCCGTGATTTTCTTCGATCGAAGATTCGAGCAGCAAAGAGCTCAAATCCCAAAAGTCAGATACGATCCATCACACGGAACTCGATTCAATCCAAGAAGAGCCTAGGGACAGAGGACATCGAGCCATGCATCCTCAATTGGCAGCTCCTTATAGGCAATTAGGTGAGTGAGATCAGCTCGATCCGAAATTTTGAATTCGAGGCCATGAAGAAGACGTGTGCTGAGGGCATCACTCACTAGCTTGCGGAGAGTTCATTCAAGCTCTTGAAGCATGTCATGCCAAGGGTATGCTGTATAGGTTCTCAGGTGCATGTAATGGCGAGAAAGAGCTTCTAGTGCGATGCTTACACGCAGAGGTGTGTCAATGCTGTCAACGTGTTGAGAAAGGGTATCCTCACTGATGATCATGGTTTAGCGTATGGGTAGAGCTGCAAAGAATCGCGAGGAATCAATAGACAAGAATAAAAAGAAATATGATGCCTGGGCCAGACGGAAAGCAGAATTGAGCGAGATAAATGATGTCGGAGAAGTCAGAGCATAAGGAGTGGGATGTGGAAGGGCGCGGATTAGATGAGGAGGTGATCCTCCTTCTGCATATCAAAGGAGGAGCAGACGGACGGTTCAGGGAAACTGGCGTTACCGGATAACTTTTGTTGTATGTACCTTCTACTCGCTCGCATCACACTACTCGAGTCTCTTGCATGGTCTCCATTAAAGAAGGACTGAGTAGATGAACACACTGATTCATCTCATGACTTTTATTCTTCACAGCTAGGAACTCTAAAGAACGCCGCAGGCGGAAGCAGGAGATCCAACGAGCCAGTCGAGAATCAGCAATCCGACTTGCCTTTCTACGAAATGCTGCCGACATGTTCGCAGCTTGACCATCAAGCTAGCGCCGCTCGCGATGCCCACTGTCGTCTTTCTGGAAAAGAGTTCACCAGAACGTCAATATAAAGCCAATGATCCCCAAAGACAAAAAGTTCAAGATTGGAAGATGACCCGGTAAATTGCGATTGAGAATAGACTTTGATTCCAACGTACTCAGTTCATTCGTCCCTCCAGGGCACACTTTCGGGCCTTGATGTTCTGCAAGTAACAAGACACGAGGCAGGCCATTGGTAATGGGTAAATTGAGATCACCGTCCTGATCGGTCGTCATGCTGTCGCAGGAGACGGCATCCACTACGTGCGCTGAGGGAGGGAAAGAAGTCGATTTCGATGGTAGAACCAAAGCAGTGGATCCACTCGACCCACGATTCGAGAGAACCGAAACCAGAGATCCTTTGACAATGAGGATCTCGTTGTCTGACAAGGCAGATACGCTCATCTGGGTGATGGTGAGCGTGGCATGTTGGACTATGATCCCACCTGAGTCGTGTAGAAAGAGGAAGACGCTGCGCCAGCCGCTGATCTAGCAGCGTTCAAAGACTTGAAGAAGCCATACATGTCCTAAAGGATTGGTTGAGCTCCACTTGAGTGAGAGAAGCACTCGAAGCTTACAGTGTCAGTCTTGTAGCCGGCAGGCCAGAAGGGCTCCCGGTTATCGGGATCATTGCCACCATTGAATCCAGCCCTGCGAATGTCAAAACGGATCCTCAGATGCGTTAACTCACTCGCTACCATCTTGGAAGGGGGAGTCGTCAGCGAGATACTCCCTGGTAAGATGGGCGAGACTCACAATAGACGATAGGGATTCCGTCACCGATCAGCGCATAGGCTTCGGCATTCTTTCGTAGCTGAATCACGGATTCAGTCCAAGGGCTTAAGGATCGTGCGGCGCATCTCTTACCGACGTATCCTGTGTGTAACTTTCGAACCTCGGGTTGTCCTGATTGTTCAGGAATACTCCAGATAATGTGGGATCGACAAAATTATCCTTGACTTGCGCGATTCCACTGACCAGATCATCCATGCTTCCATCGGAACCCTGAAATGCCTTGACCAGAGGGTCATAGATCGGGTAATTGAGAGGATTGACTTTTCCTTCCTTCTGATACGCCCCGACGTACTTTGCATCCCCGTTCCAGACCTCTCCGACGGAATAGACTCCAGCGGCTTGAGTGAATCCTGGCCAAAATGCCATATCTACATGCTTGACCGTGTCGATCCGTAGCGCGTCGATGGAATAATTTGAAACGAGTTTAGGGACCCAATCGTACCAGTAGTCAATGACATGCTGGGATTCTGTATTGAGATCGGGAAGAGCCACTTCACTATCGCCAAGCCAACAATCCTCAACGTTTGTCTGATTGTTGTAGTCCTTGACCCAGCAGAAGGAGTGATAGTCGCTGTGTTTGGAGAACGGACCATAGGCGGGATTGGGGACGAAGCCCGAGCTTGAGGTAGCTGCGACGTGATTGATAACGATATCAACCATGAGATACATCCCTCGATCGTGTAATGCCTTTGAGAGACTCTTGAGTTCGTCTGCCGTACCAAAGTGATCGTTCAAATTGTCTGGATTCAATGTCCAATACCCATGATACGCTTCTCCATATTGTGTCATGCCCCCTATATTCTCGACCACAGGAGAGATCCAAATGGTGTCGAATCCCATGCCTTGGATGTAGTCGAGTTCAGAGATGATTCCGGTATACGTACCCCCGCAATAGAGTCCTGACGGAGCGGTACCGCATGAGGAGGTCGTTCCGTTAGGCAAGGCGAATCGATCCGTTATGAGTTGATAGATTGATCGAGGGCGCATGTCAGCGTCGGACAGAGCGAAGGTCAGAGGAAAGAGGAGGGAAAGGGGGAGGAGGAACCCAGTTGCAGGAGGGAACCTCATATCGCCAGAATGAATGAGCGTCGGTAGATGCGAAGTTACACAGATGGACAACGGGAAATACGTTGGAGAGTCGAAAGAATTGACGGTCGATATGGACCAAGAAGAACAAGAGCAGAGACGGCCTGCGTCGGAGCTGACAAGTCGCTCTGTTTGACGACTCCAAAAGAAGGGAGGATGAACAAAGGATGAGGATCTGTCCGCGGCTTTGCAGTCTGAGAGTATATCAATGTCAGCGGATGGGGCCTGGAAGGCTCTTTGACATCAGGAGAGGAGTCCCAGTGATTGATCCTTGGCATTCTGTCAAGTCATCTCCTGTACTCGCGATTGAAACATCACTCGAGGCTCAACCGCCCCGTGATGATGATAGACTAGTATCGAAGGATACTTTCGAAAGGAGCTACAGCCGGTGAAACGACCGTACAGGGCAGACTCACTCAGATGGTCAGGCGTTTGATCGGCTCTGAAGGTGCGAGTGGATCTTCCGACGTGCGATCAGACTGCGAAACGTTGGTGCTGGCCCCTAATAATCGGTTGATTGATTGATTGATTGATTGATTGATTGATTGATTGATTGATTGATTGATTGATTGATTGATTGATTGATAGATTGGATCGGCGATGGTGACTAGGGTAGGTCAGACCAAGCCATGAGCAAAGCCGGCCGAACCCGCTGACTCTGTAGGATAAGCATCTTTCGTCGTGAGCAAGCCACAACAATACATGTCCCCGGAAGTCAGTGTGGTTGTTAGGTCATTCATCCAGGAGCCAAAGCTCATGAGTGCAAAAAGGTGATTCCGAGGATCAACCAGGCTGGCTGACCGCTGCTTTCCGAGAAGAGTCTTCGGGCTCGTGCTCCCGCTGATCGTAACCCTCTCTCTTTGATACTATCCCTGTGTTCTCTCGCCTTCAAATACATTGAGCTAGTCCCGCAGTGTTGAGAAGCCTCGTCCATGGGTCAGCATGGCTGGCTCAACCCGGGGCCAAGGACTTTGTTTTCCTCGAAGTTTTTGATTTTATTAATACGGCACACGCACACTTCAGAAATCCGAAACCGCGGAGACCTTGAACACTCGGCCGCATGGTCTGCTGATGATGCATCACATGCAATCCAATACGACTGGACGGGCAATTGCTCCGGACGTTATTCTACGATCTCCTGTTGGGTGATGCTGCACCATTGGTGTGATTCTCTTGTCCTTCTAACAGCAGATTATGGACACTCGACGGTGTCATAACAGAGGAAGCGGTCGAAAAGTCATACTCTGCACGGATGAGATCGTGGAATTTACGATAAGCATCGACGATGCTGTTCTGAAGGGGGGGCTTCAGCCCCCTCATCGAGTATGTTCTCAGGACCGAAGCCGTCAACTCACATAAGTCGGAGGGAGGAGGACTTTGACCGTCTCTTCATCTTGAAGATACAACATCAACTTTGCTTTCCATTCATTCACCCTCGTCCTGAGGTTGTTCTTGAACGTCTTGTGAGCTTTTTGGACCTCTTCTGGCGTCGCGAAGACTTGAGAAGACAGATCAGACGTGGTGGATGATCGAGAGGATAGGTAGACAGTACACCCTTCGAGGAAATTGGTAAGAGGTGCCGTCGCGTCTGCTGTACAGATCTGAATGAGATCTTCACATGCGAGTTTGAGGGTCTGGTCCACGTCCTGATTAGGCGGGTTAAATCAGCGGAGAATCTCAGCAAGTGTGTCCGACGCACCGTTTTAGCATCGGGTAAGGCTTCTCCTGATCGGATGATTGCCCCTCGTCCGTAGCCAAGCATGGTCCCAGCCGTGTCCAAGAGCGATCGCAGAAAGTCTGGGATTTCAGACCATTATTCACGCACACAGACCTGATTACAGCTGTCGACTCACCTGAAATACCCCTCCAGTCCCTATGTCTGTCCCTTCTGCCTAACTCCAGACCTCCGGTCATCTCCTTCAAGATTAAGAGATGTCTAACCAGGAACAACTTTGCATCGATGGGCAATGTCTTGTCGTTCTTCTTCGCCGCAAGGTGTTCTGAGGCGCTCGAAAGGGATCTTCGACAATTGACAACTGCTTCTTGGGCCAAATCTTCGAAAACTGACCCCTGTCCTGAGTGTTAGAGTGGCGTACCTGAGGGTAAAGTCTAGATGTACTGACCTCAACGTAGGTATACAGACATGAAAGAATCCACAATGTACTTCGCAATGTCGGATACCAAGTGTCCTGTACTGATGTTGGAGGAAGAGATAGGAACGCAGGTTCGTCATCATCGTCTGGGTCAAGCGAGATTGAAAGTTGCCTCTGTCCAATTTTGGCTTTCTGGCCTACATCAAGACTCGTCAGTGCGATGCGAGACTGATCAGAAGAGCCCGCTTGACTCACTCGCAACCTTGGCAGGGTAATCTAAATCTTCGTCCTTCGGGGCGTAGAGTTCGACGTCCGCACGGAGCATTGCCTGAGCTCGGAAAGCCAATCGGGTCTGAGCGTCTTGAAGCACCATCCGAAGCAACACCTCAATATGCAGCCGAGCAAGAGGTTTCCGGCGATTCTCTCGTTTTGTCAAGTTACTTCCACCGTCTGCGGGAGTAGCCATAAGTCCAGTCCCACTGTACCCTCTCAAAGAACCCGTTCGACCTTGTCGAGTCGTGAATGATTCGTCAGGGCCAAAGAAGTAGTCTCCACCTCCGCCACCTCGTTCTGGCGTCTCTGTAAACGGACTCGTTGATGGACTGAAGATCACTTCATCTGGATCCTCATCGGCTGGGTACGACGCCACATCCTTGACCATGAGAGCTTGGAGAACGGTACACACTCCACATAGAGTCTCGAGCGATGGTTCGTGAAGGATTCGCGGTCGGATATGGTCGTAGAGGTAATCGCACAGGCTTTCGAGGAAGCCACTGAGATTTATTGGTGAGCATGCTGGCCAAAATTCCACCGAAAAGTCTCTCACTATAGCGCTGGCTCTCCCGAGAGGAAGAAATGCTTGTAGAGATTAAATTCGTCTTGACATGCGCTCTTCAGATAGCTGCATCCAGCTCGCGTCTGGCGGATATGAGCACAGCGTCAAGTCAAACATCATCTCAGACGCACCAGATCCACCAAGTCGTATCCATCTGGATCCATCCTCCCGATCTCCTGAGCCACTCGGGGGCCCACCAAGCTCTGTCTGGCGGATACCCAGGCGGAATGACATTCTGCCAAGAGGGAATTCAATTCGTCAGGGTTTAAAGACGCTCGGTACTCCAATTCCGCCACTAAGGGTCGGAGCGATGGTGACAAGGAGGTGAATTTGGTGTAGATCAAAGCCTGAATCGCGGTCTCGGAGAGGGACTGTGCATCCTCGCAAGTCAGCCAACTGACAGGAGCTTGGAGACGTGACTCGCCTTGTCGTTCATCCGCTTGTTTACTTCTAGACTGATATTCCTGATGGTGTTCACAAAGTGTATACGGATCAAGGCCATACTTCGGGTCATACACTGTTGATACCGGATAAGAAAGAGTTCCGAGTCTTTGAAATCGCGCTGGGTCATCTTGCGTCAGACAGGGTACAGTGCCGTATGAGAGCCACTCACATGCTCTCCGAGATACCCTAGACATTCTTCCAGACGTTTGACCATGGGCAGAAAGTTTTCAGATAAGACGAGATCTGCATCCGGTGTATTGAGTGTCCGTTGAGCAGTGTCGAGAAAGGTGAAGAAAGTCAATCGATGAGCAAGTTGAGAGGTGTGTGTCAGTAGATGGGTCTGAATGGGGCATCAGCAGCTTATCTTTCATGAGCGCCTGGAGCCAAGGCCTCACCTGCTCTTCCAGCAGATCTTCACATGCTCCTCTCAAACTCTCACTCCGTTCTTCTACATACGCCAGGAACTTGAGCATCTCACCCACTTCTACTTCTCCCCCTTGAAGTACTTCGATCAAATCATCACACTTTTCCCTCAAGGCCGTCACTTCAGCCAAATGATCTCTATATAGACTATCCTGTTCGTGTTCCGTGAACAACGTCAAGGCTGAGAAGTGATCGTGAAACTGTTGTGGCGTAGCTATGGCCATGGGGTGAAGTGGATCCGGTAAGAAATGATTACTGGATTGACCCGGGACAGGCGTACCGACATTCGAGCGGAGAGTCGATGATGCCGTCGACATCGCTGGCGACTGAGGTCGACGAGGTGACGAAGGAGGGAGCAAGTCGGCGATACGCGAAGGTCTAGGTGCTATAGGTGATGCTCTTGCAGCTCCTTGAGCAGAGCTCTCCGCGGCAGGCATATCCGAGAACTGAGTGCAACATGAGCTCGTTGTGCCAGTACAAACTGGATCATATCAGCTGACCTTTGATGGGAGAGGCCTCTGTCCTAATCTTTCCTTCACCTCTCCAATACTTTGCACTTGTTCGTCCGTCAGCGGACATAACGACTCCCATTTCTCCAAAGTCATGACATTCCGGACCGTCGGAGTGGTCGATCGCGTCGTATTCGAGCTGCTGTTGACGGGAGGCCGACGCACAGCATATTGAGGTGTTCCAGGTCGAGACATGGCCTCGCGAGCGCTATGCCAACGTGGACCCCCAAGACAATCCTCCTGTCTGCGAGCAAGCTGGACAGCAGCGATGCGCTCTGATGTCTTTCTATATATTGGCTAGGAACGCATGCATCCCGAAAGCCACGTGTTGGCTTCCTTGTGGTCAGAATATTAAATGGTCCTCCCTCTTTGAACACGCGAGTTCCGCTGCCCGCGATTGGGGGTCGTCGGATTTGGGACGGCTGCTCTCACTCCCTTTCCACCTGCCTCGCTACACGCATCCAGTTCAGATCTCATTTGGAGATCTTCACAGGCTAGCTCCAAGACCTTGCTGCTGTCAATAGCGAGACGACGGAGTAGCTGTCCTAGTGCTCAAATCTCCGAAACGCCCAGCGCACCTCGCTACGCGTGCATTCCTCATCCTCTTGCACCTTTCAACCCGCCGCCCTCAACGGGAAAACGATCAAAATTCCTACCGCAACTCAATACCCCTCCTCCATCATGAGTTCCAGAGCCTCTAGGGGCCGGAAACAGGCCAAAAAGGGAGTTCAACTCACTCTGATGGTCGTTGGTGAGTTCTAAACCAAGAGGCGCCCGAGCGGACCGTGCGCGGTAGATCGGAATGCGCAGGCAGACCGTCTTGAACTCAGCAGGATTTGAGCTGATGACTCTATAATGCTAGGTGGATCAGGTACTGGCCGAACGACTTTTGTCAACACGCTGGTCGAGCAACCTCTTTTGACCCATCGAACTCAAGCTTTGTTCCAGGATCAAACGAACCCTCATTCCCCTCTGGACATTGAGCTGGTGCAGCAGGCGGCGGCTCACGCCCACGAAGAGCAATCCACACGGATCAAACCCGTCAACGTGGAGCTTGAAGAGGATGGTGTGAGAATCGCTCTGACTATTGTCGATACCCCTGGATTCGGAGACAGCATTGACAACGATGATTGGTGGGTTTACCCCTCCTTTGGGATCCTGTACCCGAAGACTTACCCTTCCCTAGCTTCCAAGAGATCTCTGCATACCTCGAGAGGCAGTACGACGATGTTCTGGCCGAGGAATCTAGGATCAAGCGAAACCCTAGGTTCAGAGATAATCGCATTCATGCGTTGCTCTACTTTATCCCTCCAACAGGGCACGCGTGAGTTGCGTCCACATCAAGTCGTGATCCACACTCACCCCGTTTGCAGGCTGAGAGAGATGGATATCGAGTTGATGCGACGATTGGCACCTACCGTCAATGTCATCCCGGTCATTGGCAAGGCAGACTCGTTGACCCCATCTGAACTGCGCGCGTTCAAGAAGAGGGTGTGTTCCGGTGTCATTGTGCATCTTGAGAACCGTGACTGACGATGTTGCAGATCATGGAGGACATTGAGTACTACGGCATCCCGGTCTACAACTTCCCTTACGATGTTGAAGAGGACGACGAGGAGACAATTCAGGACAATTCCGAACTCCGAGCGCTTTTGCCATTCGCCCTCGTAGGATCAGAGGAAGATATCATGATCAATGGAACGCCAGTTCGGGGCAGGAGGTATCCATGGGGAGTGGTAGAGGTCGATAATCCTCAGCACTCCGACTTCGCCCGGCTGAGGAGTGCTCTGTTGATGTGAGCTACACGTTGATGGTGTCTCAAGCTGACGACGACTCCAGGTCACATCTGACCGATCTAAAAGAGATCACGCACGACTTCTTGTACGAGAATTGGCGTACTGAGAGATTGTCCAAGCAGGTCGGAGGCGGTGACCCGTAAGTCTCGCTTATTGGCTGAACTTCCGTGTACTGAATCCACGCTCAGCGACTCGTCCATTCTCCCGGAGGATATGGCAAATCAATCTGTTCGTCTCAAGGAAGAGCAACTTCGCCGAGAAGAGGACAAGCTTCGGGAGATCGAGTTCAAGGTGCAGAGGGAAATTCAGATCAAGAGACAGGAACTGCTGGCCAAGGAAGACAGTCTCAAGGTACTGGAGGCGAGATTGGGTGAGTTACCAAGAGCCAAGTTCCGTACATCACGTGTCCTGACATTCTCATAGCTGCGCAGAACGGCTCTTCATGAGCTGGGGGTATGCCAGACTCTGCCATACTGGCTGGCCCATCTTCTCTAGTCCTCTCACCTTGCCTTTTGCTGATGTCCACACGCCATTTCCAAGTTGTGTAGACTGACGACCCCTTACATGTCATATATATGCCCAGTATATACCTCACGAGCGTCTCACTTGGAGCGGATATGAATTGCGTCAATTGAGTTTACAATCGAGCGGATGCGGTGCTGGGCGCGGTGCGCGTCTTGCCGCAGCAATGCTCGCAGCTGATGAGTAAGATGTCGCTGCGGAAGGCTTGATAGCAGTGTCAGTTGCCGACGTCGAATGACGCAAACATGTCCTGACCACATGCGGACCCCGATACCTTTTACTAATAGTTTCGGTGATGTCCGAATCCACTGCGCGAGGATTCCGGTGCCTAGAAAACACGGTGAGATCTCGCCATCATTAATGCTAGATCTATCGACTCGTAAGAAAATAACTCAACAAGAAACGATATCTGAGACTTTGTTCTGCACACTTTTGACACCCATCCCATCCCTTCCTCGGGAATAGTGAGTCTTGACCGCCGCCTAGCCGTGATGTCCTCCGCGACGCCCGAACGACCCAGATGTTTACCCAATGACGGCACATTCCGAAGCTTTGATGCCGACTCTGAGATTCCAAGACACGCCTCCATCCTCGTCACTCGATTCCCACCTGCCATCTCTACATTCAACAAGGCTGAAGATTGTTTGGGCTTCTACAGTGGTCCCACATCTATTGCGTACTCGTTTTTCTTGCTCAAGGACGACTTACCACCTTCGATCGAAGGGAAATCACCTATAGAATGGGCGAAAGCGTACCTTGAGACTGCGAAAGAGTTGTTGGAAACTTCCTTTGATCCAAAACATCAACTCCGAAATGTAGGCACGTCTTTCTGCGGTATCACATGCGAGACACTTTGTCGAGCATTGACAGAAGCCGTGGTGTACGATGATGCAGCCTTATTGGAACCATTGTTCCAGTATGCTCCCGAGATCAACGAGACGACCCCCAGTACACTTGACGAATGGGTCCTTGGACGAGCTGGATACCTATACAATCTTCGAGCTGCTGCTCATTACTTCCCTTCGATATCCAGTAAGACCCAACCTATCATCAAGAAGGTTGTGGAATCCATGTTGGAACACGCGCCAGATTCAAAAGAGCCTTGGAAATTTGCTGGAGATTATTACCTTGGAACAGCTCACGGCTGGATCGGGAATTTGACGGCGATTCTCTTATCGGATCCTTCGCCAGAACGCGCAAAGCAACTCAGACCGTACTTTGTCGATATCCTCCGTCAACAACTTCCGAATGGGAATTGGAGAGGGTTCGCCGATATCCACGTCGTCAATCCTGAGAAACCAAAAGAGAATAGAGAAGTTTGGATCCAATTTGGACATGGGGGACCTGGGTTCGTCTGCTCCTTCCTGGCCATTCGACACCTGTACGAAGGGGATGAAGAGTTCCTCAGAATGGTGGATGAGGCGGTCAACAGGGCTCAAGATTGTATTTGGCAGCGGGCATATCTCACGAAAGAAAGTTCCATCCTTCATGGTGCAGCTGGAAATTCGCTCGCTCTATTAGACCAAAAACAGAAAGAAACGCTATTGGCTGTCTCAACGCAGGAGGAAGTCGACAAGGCGAATGAGGCTGGCACCCACGAGCCTAGTAACAGTAGCTCGGGTCTTCACCGAGGTCTGGCAGGAAGAATATGGGCAATGGTTCAGTACAAAAAGGGTCAGAGCGGCGTCTTTCCGACTTACAACGACCTATGAGATGCCGACGGGGGCGGAGAGGTTGAGCAATTAGAGTAGTAGTACATCGGGCATGTATAGGTCAGGGACGCATATGAGTTTTCAGAAGGAGCGATCCCCGACGGTGATGCATTTACAACGATGATGAGCTCTTTTGCTTATTTCGCCAAATCCAGAGTTGAAATACAAGTACAAGTACACAAATATGATGCGTATGGGGGCTCGGTCACCAGGCTACGTCTCGGATCGCGCGGTCGATCCAGCGACTACGATTCGTTGAAGCTTGCCCTTCGCCTACTCCTCCCGCGGACCGGCTGTCCATTCATCCTGACCCGTATGACCACTGCAACTCTTGCTTCGCTCAATTCGGCCTGAGCAACCCTGACGTACACGCGGATAGTCGTAATAGTCGTGAGATTTGGTTCTTGCACTTGTGATTAATTTCCGCTTGCTGTTTGGGCTAAAAGTGCCCGTGGTCCCGCAACAACCTCTCACCCATCTGGACGGTTTATCAGCACAGCTTCTTTCTGGATGAGCATGGCGACGTACCGGACTGACACCACGCTTCTTGGTAGCGTCCGACATCCTTCGACCTCGACCAGAAGGAGGCCCACTGATGGTCTTTGCCCTTTGTATATCCGCACCGGCTGCGATGGGAGCTCGAGACAAGGTCGGATCGGCAACGGTCGCATGAGTCGTGACGGCGGGAGGAGACAGAGGTCCAGGGGTGATGAAAGGGGGCTTGAGTCATTGATCAGCCTACTCCAAGGACGGACTCGTTTTCAAACTCACTCTCATGCCGCTCGAGAAGCTCATCCGCTTGAGCACACCTTGACCCTTTGCCGCCTTGTCGGCTAAGACGCCATTAGGAGGTGACATGGCCATGCCGTTACTCGGTTGAGCCGTCGTGCTCATTGTCGATCCCGGTCCGTTAGGACTGAGCATTGCCGAGATGCCAGATTGTCTAGGCATAGACACGCTCAAAGCCCTTCGATTCTTATTCCAAGCTCTAGACTTCAAGTCATTCCAATCTCCAAATTCAAAGGAATCATGGCTCTCGTGATCCTGCTGTTGTTGTTCCATCGCTGAGACTTGTTCCAAAGGCTGACTGGCTCTCCGAGGAGTCATTTCGTCTCGTCCAGATCCAAGACTCTCAGGCACAGAAGGCGACTTGCTAAATGATGAAGCCCATTTGAAGAAACCGCCCGAAGCGGGAGCCGTCGTGGACAATGCACCTAGTCCCGCGATGGGTGGCGGAGAAAGACCAGAAGGAGGATAGAATGGCGTTTGAGGCGAAATGGATAGGCTTGACGAAGGGGTATGCGAAGGTGCTGGAATCGCCATGTTGGTAGGTGAGGTCTTTGGATCACTTCCAATGGGTATAGGGGCGGTCATACTGCTGCAGGTGCAGGATACGGTGTGGACGATAGCTATAATAGATAAGTGGGTATAGATTGTGAACGAGTTGGCCGTGGAGCGTTCAAGAAGCCACGCAGCTCAGGTTGACGTGTTCAAAATAGGCGACCCCGCAGGCCTGGAGATGGGTCCAGATCTCCTCTGAGTGGAGCAGTGTCAAGACTAGTGAACGCGAGCGATGGAGCGCAGAATCAGCTTGGTATGATTTGGATGCTAGTGAATGTGGATGTGTGAGCTGTAGAGTAGACGAGATGTCGCGATGAAAGGAATGAGTTGAGCGAGTGAAGAAGGGAGGATGAGAGAGAGAATGAGCACAGGGAGGGGGTGGAGAGACATCCCCCCTTCGGCCGGGGGATGTGAATATCCGGAACCAATCTTACTAGCACTAATCAAGATGAACCACGTGGAGTTACGTAAAAATATTTGGGGTCTCCGCAGTCAAACCCCGAGGGGGGGTTAATAAGATCGGCAAGAAGCCATAGCGAATGTGGCGTGGCGGCTGACTGCGACATGCTACAAAAATCTCATACACCTGCCAGTGCTCTTCTCCATCCCTCGCCCTCGTTCATCAGTACTCGACCTACTTCTCCAATCTCCAGCCCTAGAGCGACTTTCCTGTCGTCCAAAATCTTATACGCGTCGAAAGCCCAAGTCAGGGCATGAGAAGCGACCAGAGATGTAAAGATGAGACCTAGTTCAGAAGGGGATAACAGGTCATTGCTTTCCATTAATGAGCGAGTGAGAGCATCGTGATCGCTGCGAATCTTGAGACCAGGGGACGTCAGATCCAAACGGATGTGCCATGGATTTTGGCTCACCGATCGCCATGGAATCTCAGGCACACCTTCCCGCCTGACGCATCTGACCACTGCCGCCATCATCATCTTTTGTTGCTCGCTACATTGCTTGATGAACATGGCAACGGGAGACGACGACATGAGATTGAGGACGGACATCATCTCCTTGGCAGTAACTGGATGAGGTGGGGATTTGTCGGCTTTTGGCTCAATGGCCACTTCCACAGCGCGCCTAAGTTGAGGATGAGCTTGGACTCTGCGAGTCTATTGACAATACTCACCGACAAGCGTCCAACACCCGCCTGGCGTCACCATTCGTACCTGCCATCTTGGTCGCTGCGAGAGCAATGGCGTCAGGTTGCAGAACCTTGTGTTCCTCTTCTGATCTCGGATGGGGAATCAAACGAGATTGCACGATTTCAATGAGTGATGTTCGGTCATATGGCTGGAACAGCAGAGTTTGTAATCCTGAATGTAGAATGTGAGCGCCCCAGCGATTTTCAAAGCGTCATTAATCTACCAACCCAGTCTCGATTTGATCTTCGCCGCGAGATGCTGCGGCAGGTCCATACGGTTGGCAACCGCCATGACGAATAATTGAGAATCCCTCATCGCTGGCCAATTGAAGAAGTTGTACACGACATCTTGCTTCGCAGTCAACAGTTGATCCAGCTCATCCATGAGCACGACGCTTCGATGGGCTCAGCTCGAGAGAGTCCGTAGATGATCTCGGGTCGACTCACAATGTGTGACCCCTTGGACCTCTGACGCCTGATGTTTTCCGCCCGAAATGAGCTTCAAGACCTCTCAAAGCTGTCTTTGGGCTCGTCCCCTTGGCTCCTGAGATAGCTTCCCACAGGACCGAGTACGCGTGCTGAGGTGAAGGGACCTTGAGTCCGTTGATCTCGACGTAAGAGAAAGGCGGGAGCTCCTGTAAAGGGGGAAATATCACGAGTCAGACCATGATTTTGAATCGACGCGAACGGCAAAACTCACGCCATCCTCAGCCTTTCGCTTGAGTTCTTTGACTACTGCATGTACAGTCGCCGTCTTGCCTGTACCAGGTACACCAGCGATATCTGCCAGTGGTCAGCAAGATCACTCTCTGAAAACCCTTTCGTGACGACTTACACAAGCATCCGCCTCCTCCGCTTTCAACCCCTTCTTCCACCTTTGACAAGACATCTACAAACTCCTCCTCGCGGCATGGTAACGACTCAGGCGTAGCGCCAACGTGGAGTAATCTCAGCGCACGCTCGTAAGGATTGACAGGGAGATCTTCGGCAGAAGGCACCGATGCAGGTAATCGAGACGTTGAAGATTTCGGATGAGGCAGACGCCGTTTCGACGCAGCAGGTGCTCTGATCCGTTTTGTAGTCCCGGAACCAACCTTTGTCCTTCCGCTTGATGATTTCCGTTTCTTTCCGCCTCTGGTCTTGTCTCCTCCCTTTGTATCGTCCCCTTCGTCCCTCTCGTCTTCCGAGGCTGATGCCCCTCCCTCTGGTGCTTCAGATCCGCTATCATCGTCAGAGGTAACCGAAGGAGCCCGCCGAGGTGGAGAGGGTGATGGTGTGGGATCCTTGATTCCCATCACTTGCCATCCTTGACCATTCCGTCCAGCTTCTTTCCACGCATCTATGTCGATCCTGAAGACCTGGCGTGGACAAGAGCATCAGCTTCTGCGGGCGGGTTAATGCTCCGCGGTGACAGACTGACTCGACCACCTTTCGCTCCCTTGTCGAACGCCTTGGCACACCAATAAACGCCTTGACGGACATACGTCCACCCTTTTACGACTGAATCTTCTGGTGCGAATTTCTTAGTATAGACTTCGGGCGTATGTATAGGGACGGTTTTGACCAGGAGGGTGAGAGGTATAGGTGTGGTGACGGCCCGGGTCGCGGAAGCAGCGAGGAAGACCTCGTTCTGGATAAAAGAGAGTTAGCTCAAGTGCTCGCGGATCACGGAGCAAGGCGTCCATCAAGGTCATTCGTGATACAGCCCGCCCTCTTGGGGAGGTTGAGATGATCCATACAACTCACCTCTTCCACCTTGAGATCCTTCATGATGCCTGGCAGATCCTTTCGTCGAAAACACCAATGTATCTCTGCCATCTTTCGCATTCCAAGTCCTTCCCCCTCACCCTCGCCGCTCCCTTCCTCATCGTCTGCCTCCTCGTCTTCATCGTCATCGTCGTCGTCGTCGTCGTCATCACTCCCTTCATCCTTAGGTATCGGTTCTTCCCATAATCTTGTCAAAACGGCTACACCATCACCTCCTTCTACAGAGACCATGACTCCATCTCCCACCCTGAACTTTACCACTTCCTCCTTCTTTTTCTTCCCTGTCGGTTTTTGGATCCGCGTGAACGAAGTATAGTACGTCCGTAGACCGTGTTCATCGTCTGCATCAGACACAATGGGTTGACTCGAAGGTCCAGCCTCGGTACTGGGACGTTGGACGGGCGCAGAAGTCCAATTGAAAATCAGATCATCCCTTGACGCAAGCCCATTCTCAGTGGAGGACGGCGTGAGAGGACTGAACACCGTTCCACGGGTAGACCGGCGAGGTGTGATTGGCATTGCGGTCTGGAGATTCTGGCCTGGCCCAAATGACTACCTCACTGGACACCTTCTCAGATGCCGGCCAAGACGCAGGGAACAGATGCTAGTCATAATCTGCTTGCATTTCATTTCAATTGTCTCAATTTCCGAACCACGCGACGCGCCTTATTAGACGATGGATGGCATTTCATTCATCTTTGATACATTTTTATCATTTTTGAGAATCTCTTGAACCGACAGTTCTGGGGTGCGAGCGCTATGGTGAGAGGGAGAGAGACGAGATGGCGCTTGAGGCTTGGAGAAAGAGTTATTTCTACTACTTTACGAGCAGACATTGCTAGTCGAGCGCTATCGTGGCACATAAGGAGAGGGTAAAGAGAGTGTGATGTGGGATCAAGTGTTTATACGTTGAAACTACCAGAGTGTACGTGCCTGATTGCTGTCGAATGATTCATGATGAAAGCGAGGTGCGGATCGAGAGAGTAGTCGGAAAATCCATCGTGAGACAGGAGACTAGAGAAGATGTCGAGGAGGCAAGGTATGACCGGGACGGAAGAGAAAGCAGAATGTCCTTGTCGCTGCGGAGCGCTCTACAGGAACTGTCCGATCCGTCAGCGATTGCGCAACTCGTGGCTCATCCAGCCAGCACTCACGTAATCAGGAGGTCGACGAGACACCAGTGGTTCCCCAGCCCGAGGAGCAGGGTCGAATTGAAGGCTGTTTCGTGGGTCAATTGTGATATGGTGGAAGGTGATCTCCGAGGCAACTCACAAAGTATATTTTAGAGCATCGTCAACTTCCAGGATGGCAGCTTGATTACCACATCGGTAACAGTAGTTGGGTGCCGAGAAGATGGTAACGACGTTGCGCTCTTGTGACCATCTGGGGATTTGTGAGCTAAAGCCTCAAGATAATCTAGAGGAGCTTACGAAAATCCCTCCATGACGAGTTGATGAGCACGGGCCACCAATGTCAGACCATTGTTGTGGTCTATCAAATCGTCAGACCTGAGGCGAAAACGAAAGAACGGCATTGCTCACTGAAAGCCTCTGATATATCCTGTCCAAACGTGTATCCGGCTCCTCTTGGACTGATTCCCCAACCACATCTGTCATCCGGATCAGACCATAGCAGATCGCACATGGGTCCTTCGTGCGGGACTTCCTGAATACGATCGATGGATCGGATATGGTCGAGTGTGTCGATGGAGGGAGAGAGACCGCCGTGTAGACAGAAGATCTGCAAGAGTCGTCAGATCCACATCCAGAAAAATATCACGGTCCAAACTGACCTGGTTGTCGATTAAGGCGGTCAGAGGAAGATAATCAAAGACGTCTGTGAAGAACTTCCAAACGTTGGCATTTCCATACTTTCTCAAACACTCGTCGTAAAACCCGTAGACCTGGGTGATCTGCCGGGACTCGTGATTGCCCCGGAGGATCGTCACTCGGTCCCGATATCGGACCTTGAGGGCCACGAGTAGAGTCACCGTTTCAACAGAATAGTATCCTCTATCGACGTAATCTCCCATGAAGAGGTAGTTGGTGTCTGGAGAGTTTCCGCCTATGCGAAAGAGTTCGGAAAGATCGTGCTGAGCGGGAAAGCTTGGTCAGCTGCATCACCAGGCTGGACTGCAAGCTCACGAATTGTCCGTGTATATCTCCACAGACAGTGACGGGGCAGCGAACGGGTTGGACGTTGGATTCTTCCATCAAAATCTCTCGGGCCTGTGTAAAGGAGGACAAGAGTCAGTCAGGTGTTCATTCAGTGACTGTTTTTGCAGGCAGGATAAAGGAAGGGAGGTTGAGAGGGCTTTTCGAGCTCGACTACCGCACTCCTCGTGGGACCACACTGCTATCCCATTATGACAGGCATGGTAGTGCGTGAGATATTGGTCCTGCTCTCGTCCATTCCTGTATCAAGCATCCAGTCTCGTTGATCACTAATGGTCTGTGACGCCCTGTCGTCCACCGTATATCTGACAAACCCGATGCACGCTGCCTACTCACCTTGTCACACAGCTTCTTCACCTCCGGCTCGCCTAGCGGCTTACACTGCATAAGCTGAGCGACCCATCCGTCGACTTCGTCGGCCATGGTGAACAGTCAATGAGGAGGGGAGAGAGGGGGCGGGGGCGGGCAAAAGTAGGAATGTGTTTCTCTTTGGCTGTCTTCGAAAAGGTGTGTCGAATGACTTGAACCCCACTCGACTGCTATTGCACTAGTCCAAGTGAAAGAGCACCTCTTGGATGAGTCGTTGTCCACCTTGAATCCTGCGCGACACGACTATGTGGTGACTAGCTCCCAGAAAGATCAAAGAGCAATGAGGTTGGGTCGGTGCAAAACCGATGTCAACTCCTCCGTCAGTCGTCACACGCGCGCCCCCGATAAACGCTTACACTGCCACATGGGAGTTAATGCCGCGAATGACCGAGACTGTGGCAGTGCCATTGGCAGGACATACATGCATTGTACAACAGGTGAGAGAGGTTCTGCAACGACACGCTATGATGTCGTCTTCCATGCCTTGTAGATCTTGTCATCGTTGGGACCGATGAATCTAGAGAGGATCAGATCAGCATGATACAAGAAACCTTACACTCACTCTCTGACTAATCGATTAAAACTGTTGTCGTTCTCTCTCAGAGATTGTGGGGAGAGTGCCTCTAAATACTTCATCGCTAAACTCTCCCAAGCATGGTACCTGCTCGCCAAGTCAGCACTGCGCTGACTTTGACGCGTATGAGCAGAGCTCACGCATACTGTCCTCCTGCCTTGAAGCGGTGCCCGTCCAACTCGTGAGTTTTTTTGATCTCGTCCCCGTGCCACATTGGCCAAAAGAAAGCTCTGTTGGATAAGACTTGAATTTCGTCAGGGTATCGTCTGGCAATGTGCTGAAGCGGTGTTAGCAAGGCATCAGCTCTCCGTTGCTCACCCAGGGAATATTGACAGAGTGATCGTCCCATTCACCATCACTGAATGTTTCATAAGAAGCCAACCAGCGATCAACGAATGAGGAATGTGGAGCAGAGACGATGACTGCATTCTGCACCGATCGAGTCAGCCTTTAGCATTGCCCAGGTCTAACTCTAAGACCTACACAGAGTCCCTGGGGCTCCAAGTCCGTGGCGTAAGAATGAGGTGAGGCTTGCATACCCAACGTGGTGGGAAAGTACATCAAATCGTCAAAGGGCTTGACACTAGGGGTGAAGAAGATTAGTCTCAGAGCAATTCATGTCCTATCGCGCCGTCCAACTCACACAAACATGTCAATGTCTAAGTATATCCCACCTGAATACTTCATCGCGAGCAGACGCAAAACGTCCGCTTTGTGCGCAAAGTGGGACAGTTTTCGACCCAAATATGAATCCGGAACTTGAGTCTTGATCAAGGTCAGATGAGGAACAATCTCATCCCACCACGGACCGGTAGGAACGTTCTGATGATGACTGGGTGTGGAAATCAGCGACAAATATGGCTGGTGAATCTCAAGGAGAGGCTCTCCATTATCGGTGCGCTCGCTAGAACTTACAAAAAGATCATCTCCGGACGCAGATTGATTATGGCACTCCGTATGGCCAAATACGCATAATATGGCAATTCTTCCACCTTCTCGCCCTCCTTCACAGGTTTCAATCCATAGACATAATGCAAAGCATTAGGTACAACCATTCCACTGACTTTCGGCTGTACAGGTTCAGGAAGGTAAGATGGACGTTCAGGCAGCGGAGGCGCAGGCAAGAATTGAGATTTATCGATGCGAAAGGCGGACGAAGTGAAGCCATCTTGTTGCTGTTGATGTGTAATTTGTCGATGAGAGGAAGAAAGCGTGCCTACACCTATGCCCAGGAGGAATGTCAAGATCAATGTCGGCCAGAGTGGTAAGGAGAGGTAATTCTTCCTGGAGAATGGGACCTGCTATCGAGAGTCAGGCAAGTCAACTCAGGGGACACAAAGTGAAAACTGACGATGATCTTGTTGCCTCTGCCCCATGTCGGAAGCATGGTGTGGGAAGCGAGCTTACAGGTTGGAGAGATCCTTGCTGTGTCATAACATGTCTGGCGTTGAGTAGCCTCCTTCTTATCAGTATCTGACGGGACACTTATGACAATCGGGCAAATGTCAATTGTACACAAGAGGGCGAGTAGAAATCCACCGGCCGGTGATGTCGGCTTTGAAAACGTCCAGTAATTCCGAGTTCCGTAGGAACCCCATTGAGGAAGAGCGGCTAGATGGTCGCTCGTTCACGCTGTTAATCACGGACTGCAGCCTAACCAGGTGCCCCTGCAGCCTCTCTGTGCGGTTGACATTGGCTACACCTCGTGCGTTCATTACTTCTCCAACAGTGACATGATGGAAACAAATCCTACAAAAGCATGCCGCATTCCCGCGGCCAAAAGCTCTAATGCAATGACCCAATCTACTCTTCACTGACCCAACGCTCGGCGACTTCTCCAATATAAGGTAGCCAATACCTTGACAGTCCCTCCTGTGCATCTTTCCATGCTCTGAACGAAGTCCAAAGGGTAATACCGACGGACCCGATAATCAGGAGGATTTGAAGGAACGCAGGTAAGGAGATGACGAGATGGAAGAAGAGGATAAGAGCGAGAAGTGGTGTAGTGAGAAGAGCAGATTGATAAGCTGAATATCAGGTCAGAAATGATACGTGCTTTCGAGGAAGACAAGCCTCACCGTGAAATCTAACATAGTCATTTTGAGTTTCCAGTATCAGGAGCACCAGAGCTGGAAAAGATCAGTCACGGTTCCAGTCATCCACGCGCTGAATCGACTCACCCGTGATGGGTCCACCGAGGTATGCAGCAGCAGCCATGAGATCCACACGCCATCCGAATCTACTCTCCCATGCGTTCACCCGCTCAGACTCGCCGTTGGCATAACTAGAGTTGCCAGTACCCATACCTGAGCCAGATCCCGAGGCAAAGGCAGATGATTCCGGGTCGTTGGAGTAAGAGGCAGGTACAGAGGAGGGGTCAGAGATGTTGCCTCCAGATTGATATGTGTTATACGATGAAGCGTCACTGTGAATGGCAAGGCAGGGTCAGTGCTCTGTCGCGCATATACCGGCTCCATGTGGACCGGCTCTATAGTCAAATTCTATAATACTCACCGAGTGAACCATGGTCGCTTCGCTTTACCCTTTCCTCGACCACCCAAAAGCGACTTGGAAGCGTCGGGCGGGTCAGTAAATGGGACGTCCGGAGGTGGTTGATCTGAGGGACATGCCGTGTCAGTGATGGTGCTACCCACTTATTGACGAGGTGAAATAATTTCATGGTGGACTTCGTCCGCCGTCTGTAGATGACTATAGATGCCCACTCACAAGGTGCAAAGCTCATCGCTGAGACTCAAGCTGGAGAAAGGAGTGCGGGACCGGGAGTGGCTGCGTGCAAGGGCACTGTAAGCCTAGAGCTGGTTTTTACTGCGGGGCGCCCGGGAGTGAAGCCGATGAAGAAGGTCGTCGGATTCGCGCCTGAGGTAGTCTGTACGACAGACCTAGCCGTGTCAATGCTCCTCAGTCCTGAAACAATCTACACTTGCAACAACAAATCAAAGACGATGGCAAGTCCAAGTCCGGAAACGGGATGAGCGGGGGCGGCGGTGGCTGCGGAATCAAAAACAGTCCTCTTTTATCCGATCCTCCCGTTAAATGTTGGAGGGGTTTTGGTCAACGTCATACGAAGCAAAGCTCGAATTGCGAACCCATTTCATCTGTCATTGCTGGACTCAATTCCTCACTGCAGCGGGAGCAGCGTCCGAGGCTACCTCATTGAATCACGGCCATCACATACTTCGCATCAAGCACCACACCAAGAGCCGGTATCGAATCAGCCTAGAAGGAGATATCATCTCCTGCTCGGACTCAGCGTTGACGTGTACATCGAGGTCCATATAACTCTCTCCACAAGATGGATGCCGCACTCCTCAAGCAGATCCAAGGTGAATAACATGAGCCATCTTCCAGCTATGTGACTGTCGCGTGTGAGCCCTGCTGATCAGCTTGCAGCGGGGAAGGGCTTGAAGAAGACTCAGACGAACGATCGTAGCGGACCGTCTGTGGCGGGTTCCGTTGGCGGTAGCGGGGGAGGAGGAGGAGGAGGTGGTGGTGGTGGTGGAGGAGGAGGTGCAAGACCGCCTCCTGCACCTTCGTCTGGTCCCCCTCCCGATAACCCAGCTGCCCAATTAGCTGGATTGTTCGCGGGCGGTATGCCCCAGTTGAAGAAGACAGGTGGTGGGGGAAGTTCAGGTGGATGACAGCGGTCGAACCTCGAAATCGATTTTACTGACCATTTATTAGCGGCGTCAAGTCTTGCGAAAGCGCCTCCAGTTCCCAGTCCCAGTAGAGCTCCTCCCAGACCAGCTGGATCTGCTCCGCCTGCACCTCCAGCTCCGCCTCCACCGCCTCCTCCTTCAGGAGGCTCCAGAGGTTCTTCAGCAGCACCACCTCCCCCTCCTCCTCCTCCTCCGCCAGCACCGCCTGCCGGTGGAACGCCTAGACGTGGACCTCCTGCTCCTCCTGCACCACCGACAATACACCGGAAGCCTCCTCCCGTTGCGCCTCCTCCACCGCCAGGAAGAGGGTGAGTCTTTTCAGATGTATCATTCTGATCTATCTTCTAGTGCACCGGCTCCGCCGCCTCCACCGCCCCCACCTCCGCCAGGATCTTCGACTCCATCTCGAGCCCCTCCAGCCCCTCCTCGGGCTCCTCCAGCGCCCCCGAGTCGAGGCGCTCCTGCTCCACCAGGCCGTCCAGCTCCTCCCTCTCCAGCCCCGCCTCGATCAACGCCGCCCGCCCCGCCTTTACCCGGGCGATCTTCTGCCGCCACACCAGGCGTGAGCATTCGATATTCTCGATATAAGCAGCCCGGCTGACTTGTATCCTCAGCGCAGCGTTCCTCCACCGCCACCTCCACCTTCTCATGCTCCTGTAAGTCTCCTTGAATGGCAATGTGGTCTCGCATCTGACCTCCTGTCTAGCGAGCTCCACCTCCGCCGCCTCGGCCAACTGGACCGCCTGCGCTGCCTGCGCGAACCCCATCTCATTCTAATGCTTCCCCGGCACTTCCCAGCCGAACGCTGCCACCGGCCTTCCCGAGGTCAAGCTCAAATGCCAGTGATCTAGCTCCACCCCCGCCTCCTAGGCCATCAGCTGCAGCTCCTCCAGCCCCCCCTGCGCCACCTGCACCTCCTGCACCTCCTCCTCCGTCAAGCGGACCTCGGCGTTTACCTCCGCCTTCGGCCAGGATCCCTCCTCCTCCTCGACCTGCGACACCTGAATATGAAGAAGACGAGGACGACGACGCACCGCCTCCACTGCCCACTGGTACAAGTCCGGCAGCTCGATCAAGAGCTGCGAGCGGAGCCGGTATGCCTCCCCCTCCACCCCCGCTACCGCCCGCCCTAAACGGAGCTGCTCGTGCGCCACCAGCACCTCCTCCACTGGGACCAAGACCGAGCTCTGGGTACATTCCCACTGCTCCTCCTCCTGTCACGGGCGCTTCGCCTGCTAGAAGTTCCTTGGCACCGCCCATATCGAGTATGAATGGAGGATATGAGAGCGAGGAGGAGGAGGTACCGGAGCCACCTGCGGTCGTTGGATCATGGACTTTCCCGATGAAAGGCATGTTCCCACCGCCTAGACCATGGACTGGAGGTTTTAAGTGAGTCAATGGAGGTTCTCATCTGCTAATGTCACCGATCATAGATCCTACGCTAGTGGCAAATTGACGGGGGGAGGCACGGGTTTCAAGATGTAATCAAAGGTTGTCGGTATTAGCTTAGCTTAGAAAATCTTACCGTCCAGAGACAAGACTGAGAGAAGAATAGGTCTAGTGGCATGCAAGTGCGAGAAGTGGTCGGTTCTGCGCAACATGACAATTCACGAAGACTCGGTAGTTTGAAGGTGCTGCTGAGATACAGAAAACAAAAAGGGGCACGAGAATTACATTCCATTTCACCGAAGAAAAGCTATGATAGGATATGACGGACGACACACTGACAGCTATGTGGAGTAGACGCGTGTCGTTACAGCTTCTAATACAGCTGCAATGGCTCGTCGTCTTATAGCTGCTCCTAGCAACGCCATCTGACTGAGCAATGTCTGGTCCTTGCCGGGATGTGCAACAACGATCACCATAAATTACCGAGTCTTACGGAATTTGAGTTCCGGCGCTCTCTAATATAGTTGAGCCAAGAATCATCTTGACTTTCTGCATTGCATTGCCTGAACTCTGCAATAGTCCCCAGAAGCGATGAAGCTGGCTCCACATGAGATTGCAGCACGAGTCGACTGCATGATGCTCGGATCATATAAAGTGATTGACACCGCTCAGTGATTTTCCGAACGAACGATGGCGTGATGGGTTGTTGAGACCTGGGAATTCCAGATCAGATGACGATGGCAACAGTCGAAATATTTCAACGAGGCATACCGGACCATCAGCTTCATCTGTGATACTTGCAGCAGCGTAGACTCTAACGGACTATAGAGAGACGATTTTGGAGCAGTATCGAAGAATGGCGACCAACATCACATTCCATCAGGGTAAGCGCTTTCCAACCGTTGCTCCGAGCAACGGGACCCGCTGAAGTCCCCTCCCTGCTTAGGCGCCGTGACGGAGGATGAACGAGCCGAACTTTTGGGTCAACGAGGAGCCACTATTTGGTTCACAGGTCTATCAGCGAGTGGAAAAGTGAGCATTAGAGCAACCCCAAGCTGCTGGCCTTGCATATCACACACCGTCCCTGTAATTAGATGTGCTTACGGTCTGGTTTCTCCAAGTCCACCATTGCTAGCGCACTCGAACAACATTTACTACACCGTAAACTCCATGCGTACAGATTGGACGGTGACAATATACGATTTGGTCTGAACAAGGTGAGGTCAGGGCAGATGATCGCTCTGCAACTCTGCCCCCTTGTCCACCAGATCTTCAAATCTCCGCGTTATTTTATTGTCTCGCTGACGCTTTCGACCTTTTCCCCCCTGGCCCCCCTTGTAGGATTTGGGATTTGACCAAGCTTCTCGTATAGAGAACATTCGAAGGATTGGCGAAGTTTCTCTCTTGTTCTCCCTCTCATCATCTATCACCTTGACCGCTTTCATATCGCCATATCAATCCGACAGAGACCTCGCCAGAAAATTACACGAGGAGCATAAACCCGCATCTGTACCATTCATCGAGGTGTATGTCGACGCTCCGTTGAATGTCGTCGAGGAGAGAGATCCAAAAGGTTTATACAAAAAGGCGAGGGCAGGAGAGATCAAAGGTCAGTACGAAACCCGTTCGGTGGTTGTAGTACAAGCCCTCAAGCTGACCCGACGCCCGCCTCATCCTTAGACTTCACAGGTATCTCGGCACCATATGAAGCCCCCAGTCATCCTGAAATCCACATCAGAACGGATCAAGTCGATGTCGCTGGCGCCGTTGCCCAAGTCGTCGCTTATCTCGAGGAGAAGGATCTGATTCAAAAAGCCGCTTGAAAGCGACACCGAGCACTAGATCGTAAACAAGAGTCATCCACCCTCATATGCACAACATTGTCCCCAGTCCCACGGCTAGTCTATCAGATGATGCGTATGTAAGCCCGAAAATGCTCTACTTATGTGCCAACCCCATGCTGTATGCCCATCTTCACCGTTCATCCTTTGAGCCCCTCATCTCTGACCTGCCCACATGACCTCATGATCTCCCCTATCCGATGCTGATCTCCTCGCTCTAATCCTCCGATCTGAATAACCATATCCAAACATTTTGCCATATGATCAAGACACCCGTCTTCGTCGACCTGTTCTTCGAGGAACAGCTCGCGGTCCCCTTCATCCATCTGCGTTTCCAAGACTTGCCGGTCCTCTCGCCGCCCATGCAAGTCAGTCAAATGAGCAGAAGTTTCGCGCAGGAGATGATTGAGAAGGGTCGGCGGTAGGGGAGTGGCAATGACGTGTAAAGAGTCGGTGAATGACTTGTAGCTGCACCCACAGGTCAGCAGGCGTCACCATGCCAGCACTTACAGTAATGCCAAATAACCAAAATCAACCTCTTTTGACATGGCGTTGATGACAGTCTTGAAGACATGCTCGAGGTGATAAGGCTGCTCTTGCCATGAACGGGCATCCTTGGCAACTTGTAGGAGAGCTGGGACGAGGCTACGGGATTTAGCCTCAGCAAGGCCCCCTGCTTGGACTCACAATGCCGCCGCCTCTCTCACATCTTCCGAGAACCCAAATGACAATGCTTCCAGTGTCGTTGCCATACAAGATGACAACCAAGGCTCGAAATGACCTCGCATGGTATGTGCGTAGACCGTCAGGTTGTCAAAGGCTAGAATCTTCTCATCGAGTTCAGAGTGATGCGTCGAGCTCAGCATCGCATCGTCACCATCATCCTCCGACATGAGGGACAATTCTGCGTGGGTGAGCTGTGATCCGGGACCGAACGGTCTACGCACTCTGTTCTCGATTTACAGGTTTGTACTGAGCAGCCTTGAGTAGAGGCGGGATGACATGCGGCAAGAAAGGAGCAAAGTCCTTGCCCAGGGCACGAGCGAGATTGGCCCAGCCTGATGGGTGAGCAAGTGTCATTGAAAATATTCTCACCTTCCATCAGATAACCGGATCTAGGATCATCCGGCTCCTTGCAATCATTCTGGATGCTGATCATGATTTCAGCGAGACGGACAGCGTCTGCAGCGAACACCTGAAGGGTGTCAGTCTTTGGCAGATATCGCGCTTATACACGCACTGTCTTCCCAGCGGCGAGCCCTACAATGCATAAGTATCGCCACATTCAGTCCGGTGTCAACATACCAATCGAAGACGCGCATTCCACCGCCTTGGCTTGGGTTTTGCGCAGGTTGTCCCCGAGATCCGCGGAGAGAAGATCAAGCAGGATGTCCATCACACCGCCTGCGTAAGGCTCAGCTCTCGTGCTCATGAGAGGAGGACTACACCCACGATACCAGTTCGCGAAAGCCTCCTTTGTAATGGACGAGATAATGGCTATAAGGGTATAAGCTTGGCAAGACATAGCTGCTGCCCACCTATGGTTTTCAAGATCTGCTCTCCGACATAAGGTGGCCCTATATTGAGATTCGGTAACAGAACACCCATGATTCGATCGAGGTGAGGAACAAACACCTCGAGATCAGCCTGGTCGATGAAATTGCAGAGACAGGCGGCGGCATGCGTCTGAACTCTGCGTCGGAGTTAGTTGTCTGTCAAGAAAGACTCCTGCGGACCTATGCATTGGATCTTTGAGTAATTCGAGACAGATGTCCAGGACGGCTTTAGGATAAGCAGCTTGAACGAGGCCCTGCAATTCGATCAGCTCGTGACAAGAGACCGAACGTACCTCGAGATCACTGCACAGCTGACCGAGACATTGGAGGAAACCGTACCTCACGCGAGGATGCGAGTCCTTAGCAAGGGGTGAGATCAAGCTGGAACGATTAGCGCAGATTTGGCGGCCGAACCCCACCTCAAGACATCAGGGAGCCGTGGCCGGATTTCCTGCGAGATGATCAGCCGTGTTGACAGATACCTGACGGGATAGAACAGAACAGAACACACCTCTATACAGCCCTCGGCCACACTTGCGATCGTCACACAAGCTGTGTAGCGACAACGCCAGTCGCCATGTCTGACCAAAGGCTGGACTTGATCTGAGACGGCTGGAAGAAGACATGTGCCATCTTCGGCCATCAGCAAGGTCGGCTTTCCCCGTACCGACCTATTGTCTCTGCCAGGCGGTCCAGACACTCCTCAGGATAAGCAGGGTAGGATTCGTCCTCCTCGTCAAGCTATACAGCATCTTGATCAGTGAACTAACCCCTTTCGGTCGATCTGTGTACCCACATCAGTCTCCTCTAACCAATCCAAGCAATCCTCTCCTTGATCACTCAACCCAACGACCAATCTCGCCATTAATAATCCGACCATCTCTCTTGCTGCGCGTCCATTCTCCCAGGCTAATACTTGGGCTTTCCGGAACTCGCAGAGGGACAAGAGGATCTCCGTGGCAGGGTTGGCAATCTCCTCCCACTGATCGTAGGACATTTGCGCTGGTTGGCAGTGGAAGAATGGGTGATTGGGTAAGGCAGATGACGGAGGAGCCATAAGCGAAAGGAGGTATGGCAGAATAGTAGGGAAGGAAGGGATGAACAGATTAGGGTAGTGGCACGAGAGGTCCACGAGAGGAAGCAGCGCGTGGGATAGCAGCTCGGTGGGCAGTTTGGGAAGAGCCTGAGAGGTACTATTTCAGCAGCTACTCATCTCCCACCGGTCTCTATCACCCACTTCGAAGGCTTGACCAACCAATGTCGACCCTATAATCTCCCTTTCTTTACCCGTCACTGCCTCTTTGAGCAAACTGCACATAGCTTTGAGAGCTTCGACGCGTACGTCTACACTTGAATCATTCAATCCTCCAACAAGCAGACCTCCGACCTGTTCAATGGGCAAAGGGTCGGAAACGGAGTCGACCAGTAAAGTGGGAGTGGAATGTAGCAGTTGAAAAGGGGTGAATCGATGAAATGGATGAGGGGAAGTGGTAAGCTCTAGAATGACTGGCGGGATAGTCATACAGGGTCCTAAGCATACCCATGTGTTAGTCTTCTCTGATCTTGAGTAAAGCTGGGACCCGTACTCACGCTGTCGGAGAGAGCTCTCTGCTGCCCATTTGCCAGTACAGTTTCCCAAGCCTTTACGCATCCTAACGTTCATTTCGTCTCGAAGACCCGCACATAAGACATTCTCAATCCTCGTTTTGGTTCTCTCTGCAATGGTATCGAAGGGTGAGCAGACATTCTGATGATGGTCGTTCAGGAATAAACCAGGAAGGTTGGTGAATGCCATACGGCAGAGAAGGATACAGCTGAGCAGGCGCTCCTACGGATCGGACGAAGCGTCAGCAAGGGTAAGCTCCTATGGGTCCAAAGGATACCGGTGCAGAAGAAGAGAGAGAGAGCTTTCCACACAGCTGGACCTCAGAACATCATACTCACGTCCAATTGGAAGCCTCCGACTCCCAAGGAACCAATCTGGGCCAGGACAAGTAGGACATCTCCGGGCCCCTCGACAGTCAGACGACGCAGGTGAGTCTCTGCCCTGTTATCGATGTCAGCTATCGGAATCTTTAGAAGCATCCCGCAACTGACTCTTGCCGTGGCTGATCCTCTACGCCCATAAGGGCCAAGAGGACTTGTCCAATATCGCCCAGGAGATGTTCCGTAGACATGCTGGAGAGAGTTCGCGCTCGCAACAAAGCAAGAAGGACTTTGCAGGGAAGATTACACCAGAGATCTTCGCACACTCTGACGAATCAAGTCTCCGTTCTATTCTCTACCATACGTCGACCCTCCACCTCATTCAAAGAAAGAAAGTAAACGATCAGCTAGGCGTTTGCATATCGACTTCCCCGTGGAAAGCGAGGCTATCCCGGATCCGAAGATTCCAAAGAATCGCCGAGTATGCCGAAGTACAGTACAGCTATCGCACAAGACTGTCTCTGTGACTCGACTGAGAGCCAGAGGCGATTGCATGCAGGAGGAAATAGGCAACACGACGGTAGACACACGGAACGAAAGTATATGCTCAGAAGAATGATTGGAGTACAACTACAAAGCAACTACGGACAAACAGGAAGAAGTAGGCTCAGATCTATCCTGAACACATAAGACAAGCCTCCTTGTTGTCGATACTACATTGCAGGGCAGCTTCCGCTCGCTCCTCGGCACGTCTCTTGGCCTCTTCATATGAGATTTCCTCCTCTTCTGAAGGTCCAGGCGATGATTCGAGTGTCATGCGGGCCTCTCTGGCTGTAGAAGCAGCCGTCACGGACTCGGGGACAGGTGTGGCATCAGCCTTCGTGGCGATGGAGATTTGGCGCATGGGTGCAACGACATTCTCGACGGATGGCAAAGATGTGGCTGCTTTGCTTGCGGAAGCGTTGGCTTTGGCCTCTGCGGAAAATGTGAGCAACGAATTGTTTTCGGGGCGTTGTTCACTCACCTTTGAGAGTCTTCGCGTCGATAGTGAACTGGATAGCCTGGGCTGAGGGTCGTGTACGCAGGTAGTAACTGCCCGTTTTGAGACCACGCTTCCATCCGTAAAAGTGCATCGAAGTGAGCTGGGCAAAGGAAGGGTTGGACAAGTGAATATTAAGAGATTGACCTGGCATTGTCAGCGACAGTAGAGAATGTCGCACTCACTTTGATCGATGAAAGCTCCACGGTCAGCGGCCAGATCGATGATCGCCTTTTGGGACAATTCCCAGACAGTTTTGTAGATCGCCTTGAGCTCGGCAGGGATGTTGGGAATGTGTTGGATAGATCCACCGGCAGCAATAATCAAGTTCTTCATGTCATCGTCCCACAGGCCAAGGTTGATGAGATCACGCAACAGCCAAGGGCAGACGACCTGGAAGTCTCCAGACAACACTCGCCGAGCGTACAGCATGGATGTGTATGGCTCAAAGCTGAAAGACTGTTAGCGCCATGACAAGAGGTACACCTTCTCACCATTCATTCCATCCGAGGATCTGCGATGTCGAGGCGGTAGGCATAGGCGCGACGAGGAGCGAGTTTCGAACTCCGTGTTGGGCAATCTGAGCTCGCAGGTCGGTCCAGTCCCAGAGATCAGAGGGCACACGGCCCCACATGTCAAATTGTAGTTTGCCCTCAGAGATGGGTGATCCCTCGTAAGATTCATATTTCCCGTGGACCTGAGCCAGCTCGCACGAAGCCTCCAACGCGGCATGGTAGATTGTCTCGAAGATCTGAATGTTGAGCTCTCGAGCGGCAGGCGAATCGAAAGGCATTCTCAAGGCCATGAAAGCATCGGCGAGACCTTGAACACCCAGACCGATGGGTCTGTGACGGAAATTAGAGTTCTGAGCCTCCTTGACGGGGTAGTAGTTGCGGTTGATAACCTGATCGAGATTCTTTGTTACAACTTTGGTGATCTCGTGCAGTTTCTTGAAGTCGTACACCCGTCTCTCCATGTCAACAAAGGCGGGAAGAGCGAGCGAGGCCAAGTTGCAGACGGCGACCTCGTCAGGAGCAGAGTATTCAATGATTTCGGTACACAAGTTGGAAGACTTGATGGTTCCCAGGTGCTTTTGGTTGGACTTGGCATTTGCAGCATCCTTGTAAAGCATGTAGGGAGTACCGGTCTCGGTCTGGGCCTCAAGGATGGCGAACCAGAGTTTCTGAGCCTTGATGGTCTTTCGGCCCTTGCCGGCCTTTTCGTAGCCTTCATAGAGTGCTTCAAATTCGGCTCCATGGACATCGGCGAGACCAGGGCATTCGGCAGGACACATGAGGGTCCAGTCACCGTCGGCTTCGACTCGCTTCATGAACAGGTCGGGTATCCAGAGGGCGTAGAAAAGATCACGGGCTCGGACCTCTTCCTTACCGTGATTCTTTCGCAAGTCGAGGAAGTCAAAGACATCGGCGTGCCAGGGCTCTAGATAGATGGCAAAGGCACCAGGACGCTTGTTTCCACCCTGGTCGACGTAACGAGCGGTGGCGTCAAAGGCTCGGAGCATAGGTACGATACCGTTCGAGTATCCGTTGGTACCGGCAATGTAGGAGCCCTTGGCTCGAATGTTGTGAATGTGAAGTCCGATACCTCCGGCAGTCTTGGAGATCTGAGCGCAGGTCTTCAAAGTCTCGTAGATGCCGTCAATGGAGTCGTCTCGCATGGCGACAAGGAAGCAGGAGGACATTTGAGGGTGAGGAGTTCCGGCGTTGAACAGCTGACAATTGGGTTAGACTAGGGACTTGACTCGGCCTGACAACACTTACTGTGGGCGAGGCGTGGGTAAAATATCGCTCCGACATGAGGTTGTATGTTTCAATGGCACGATCGACATCGGCACCGTGAATTCCGACGGCCACACGCATGATCATGTGTTGAGGTCGTTCAACAATCTTTCCATTGATTCGGAGCAAGTAGGATCGTTCAAGAGTCTTGAACCCAAAGTAATTGTAGGCGAAATCACGGTCGTAGATAATGACCGAGTCGAGACGCTCCTTGTTGGCCATGACGACTTTATAGACTTCGTCAGCGATCATTGGCGCGTGTTTTCCGGTCTTGGGGTTGACCCATTCGTACAAGTCGTGGACGACGGCGGAAAAGGATTTCTTGGTCTCCTTGTGAAGGTTGGAGATGGCGATTCGGGCGGCGAGGATGGCATAATCTGGGTGCTTGGTGGTGAGATAGGCAGCTGTCTCAGCAGCGAGGTTCTAGAGCGTAATGTCAGCCATAGGGTACAGTTCAGGTGGGCTTAGCTCACATCGAGCTCCACAGTTGTCTAAATTCCCGTTAGCAGATACTCAATCAACCTTTTGGGGAACTCACACATCCACTGTGAATACCAGCAACGACCTTCATAGTGATCTCGGCGGGCTCTATGAAGCTGGCGAGGGGATCAGCTTAAGGTGGTCGGCGCGGTGGATTTCCAAGAAACCACTTACGAAGAGTCGAGGCCGAACGAGAGCTTGTTGATCTGTGCCGTCGTCAGCTGCGTTTCCGATCGCAGAGAATGTATCGAGCTCACCCTAGCAGTGATCTACCAGCGAAGAACGATCATCGTCAGTAAGTCAGTCTGTGGTAACGCGACCATCGGGGTCATTGGCTCACTTTATCGAACGCGACTGGAGAGGAAGCGGTGGATCAGCATGATTCATCTGGTTGAGCGCAAGCAATCACTCACTAGGCTCTTTGCGCCCATCACGCTTGTACACGAACATCACCATGATGCGAGAAGTGGGATGGGAGGAAGGTCGTCAAAAAGAAGAAATGAGTGTGTGAGGGTCAGTCAAGTCGCGTCCACGGTCCAGAATCCTGTAAGTGGAGGCAAACGGTTTCCGTCAGTAACAGCTGGTCGCCACGGGGGGATTGCGGTGCTCACTATATCGTTTCTAGTGAAAATAACACTACCACTCTCGTCAATCGTCAAGATGTGTCGAGGATGCCTGGTGCGAATCAAATGTGTCAAGTGGTTGAAACGAAGGATAGGAAAGAAGATGATGAACAACTGACTGGGGCTTTGCTTATAAAGAAATTTTGAATGAGACGCGTCCAAAAGTCCAATCAACCAAACGGAATCAAAAAAAAAACACAAACCTTTTGTCATGTTGGAGGAGATCAAAAACGAAAGGATTTACGCGACGACGCGACGCGTTCGTCTGAGAGGCGCGCGACGACAGAAGATCACAAAGACACGTCAGATAGTAGGACTTGATGAGAGAGTGTGTGGAGGGATGAAGGCAGCATGTGTAAGCTTGGATCAAGAGTCACAGCGGTCGGTGGCTGAAAAGGAAGACGTCATGACTTAGGCCGGAAGGAGAATCAGAGGTGCCCTTATGATACATATGCAAGTTGGCGTAGACATCAATATCGACTATAAGGAGGTATAAAGAAGGCAATGTGTGTGGGTGTAGACATTGTGAGGACATCTGCGGTGGCATGCCGCTTAGAGGCCAGACTGACCATGAGGGTATTGGATATCGATCCAATAGGGTTAATCCCTCCATCATATTCATCTTCCTCCGCCTCCCATCATCTTCATCATCTGACTCATATCTGAAATCAAAGACTATCAGCTTGGGATGATTCGCCTTGGCAAAGTCTGAGAGCTCACCGGGCATACCCCCACCCCCACCTCCCATCATCTTCATAGCCTCTGCAATGTGATGCATTAGTCATCTGGAGCGTGCAATCGCCATTTTGCTTTGGCGCCCGCTCACCCTGCATCTGGGCCATGTCAGGCATTCCCCCTCCTCCGCCACCTCCACCACCCATCATAGACCGCATCATCGATCCAAAGTCCATTCCACCGGGTCCAGCACCACCACCACCACCGCCGCCGCCGCCACCTCCCATACCTCCCATCATGTCAGAGAGCATCTTTTGAGCGCCTTGCGGTCCAGCAGCTCTCAACTTGCGCATCATCTCGGGTGGCATGGCTTTCTGAGAGGCTGTCAGTGGTCTCGACCAGACGTTTTTACGCACCCTCATCGCTTCAATTTGAGCAGGTGATGGTTGACCATTGGGTCCCAACGGCTTGCCTCCCGCCGCTGCTTGCATCTTTTGCAGGGCCGTCATCCTGGGGGAAAAAAGGATTATCAGCGCGATCTGATTACAGTGTGCACCTACCATCCATTCTGGCCTCCAGCCTGTTTTGCCATGCCAGACATCATCCGAGCCTGAGCTAGAAGCTCCTCCACTTCCCGGACACTCGTGCCGCTCCCACGAGCCACTCGTCGAGCCCGTTTGTTCAGCCCAATCGGCTGACCAGATTTGTCAAATGCAAACTGTATGAAGCGATTAACATGGGTCGCACACCAACCACCTATGTGCTCGCTCACAAAGATCATGCCATCTGATTCTAGCTCGTCTTGACGCATTGCGTCGGTGATGAAAATCATTCTCTTCAGTTTTGCCGTTGTGTCCTCCTCATTGCCATCCATCATTCCTGCTGGCATTCCAGGTATCATGGAAGCAATCTTCGATATAGATCCCCTGGACTGTCAGCTACCCGTGTCCAAAATTACGCTCACATGCTCATGATGTTTGTCAATTGCTCTCTCCAATCTTTAATGGAGAACTTCCCTTGCTCCAACTTCTTCGCCATCTCCTTCTGCCTGTCAGGGTTCGCACGAGCCATGTCTTGCCTTCGCAGGCTTCAGCGCTTGAACACAAAGGCAACTTACATGTGCTCCACCAGTCCTTGCATATCTCCCATACCTAGCAGTCTCGACACAAATGGCTGCGGCGCGAATCGTTCAAGGTCGTGCAAGTGTTCTCCAGTACCGAGAAAGATGATTGGCGTTTTGGTCGCGGCAACACTGACGCCAAGTAAGCGATGATGAAGGACATAGTTACCATCCACTTACGCTGAGATCGCCCCTCCACCTTTCGCATGTCCATCCAGCTTTGTCACGATTATCGCTCCGAAATCTGCACTCTCTTTGAATGCTCTGCTCTGACTCTCTGCGGCTTGACCGATCGAAGCATCGAGTACCATCAATGTCATGTCCTTGTCTTATCAGCACGCGCGCCCGTTTTTGACAGAGATGAGTGCTCTCACTGGTTTTACAGCAGCGCTAATTGCTACCATTTCCTCAAACAGCTCGCTTTCCTGCTTATGACGCCCGGATGTGTCAACGATAATGACGTCGAAGCGTTCTTCGAATTGTCAGAGTATTTCACTTCCGACGCCTTACCTTTGCGGAACTTTTCGACACCGAGGGAGGCGATGGCAACTGGATCTGTCTCAGTGTAACTTCCGTAGAACGGTATCTTGGCTTTCGTAGCATTCCTAGAGTTGATATCAGCTGAGTGACGATTGGGTCTTCCTTCACGAGCACTCACTGTTTGAGCTGGTCAAAGGCACCGGCACGGAATGTATCCGCGCAAACTAGGCATGTCCTCAATCCTCGACGTTGATAGTGGACCGCGAGCTGAGTGTCATAAGCATAATCAAGCGGGAAAATCGACCCGAGCCCTACCTTGGTACATGTCGTCGTCTTTCCAGCTCCCTGAATACCGACTGCCATGAGGACATTGACTTTCCCCTTGACGGGTTTATACGGCTCTGTCCCAGGATCCACTAGCGCCACCAATTCATCAAACACTGCCTAAGCCCGTTCAGTCTCTGCTGAGTTGAGCCCACAGACGAACCTTTTGCACCACATTCTTCTTATTAACTTCCTTTCCGCCCGCTTTATCTGCGTCCTCCAAGCTCTTATTGACCTGTACAAGGATCAGCAAGCGGGCAGGGTCAGACTAGAATAAGTAGGAATGAACCCACCTTGGCCTTGACTTTAGTCCGTAAAGATGACACTAGCTTGACGTTGACATCTGATTCCAATAATGCAGCGCATAGCTCTTTTAACAGTGCATCGATGACCTGGAGCGATCAAGTCAGACGACTACAGTCCATCTTGTCGTCAATAGCCTTTAGGACATACCTTTTCGTCGACTACGGGCGCTCGAGATAACTGGTTGAGGGCTCCATGAAGACGGGCTCCGAGATCGGCCAAGACCATCCTGATCTACCCGATAGGTGAAACAATCCTGCTCTTCTCACAGAGTATCAGTCGAGCTCGCTATCACAAATCTAGGTCGTACACAAAACACCAATGGGTATCTCAGATGTTGGACAGCCGAACCTTCGTTGGGGTCATGGCGCCTATCAAAATCTGAAAAATAGGCGCAAAATGGCATATCGCGATTTGCATTCAGCTGAACATAACATACCTCGAGAGCATACATCCCCTGACATAGCCTGAGGAACAATCATCGTCATGGCGTACGACAGAGTGAATTCACCCTCGCATCAGATCATGTCAGTCGTTCCAGGGTGCCCGTATCTCACTTTGCTGATCGAGTTAATAGTCAAGCAGACGATGACGACCTGGAGGCTCTTTCCTTCTCTCATCCTTCAGCCGCTCAAGCATCTTCGTCCTCGGCTGGGGTAGCGGCTGCAGGACCTTCGACAGCACCTGGGTCTGGATCTCAGCTAAACGGAGGACTCTCCGGAAAGATTGGATCTGGGCCAACACCAGGCTCGACATCTCGGACAGGCTGGGGAGGAGTTACTATCGAGACGAGGTATACTGGTGAATCTACGCTGGATGAGCCGGTCTCCGCTACGATTGTACGTGCCGCCGGGTACAGCACCTCCAAATGTCTGATCCTTCATTCCAGATGAGAGACCTCAGGTCTATCTACGCGAAGCTCCTGCAGGTGGTCTACCCTCCGAAAGGTGGAGGAAGTAATGAGCTGCTCAGGTGAGTATTCGTCTTTCCTCATTCATCAGCTCGAGACCCGGGCTGATGCGCGCGTAGAGACTGGGACCTTTGGGGACCTCTGGTCATCTGTCTGTCTCTCGCCATCATTCTTTCCGTCGACGTGAGTACCGCAAATGCTGTGCGCAAATCTCGCTCATGTCCAACAGGCACCGACAACCCAGGCTATGCCAGTCTTTTCCCTCGTCATCTCATTGATCACCATAGGATCCGTAGTCTTGACCATCAACTGCAAGCTCTTGGGTGGGAAAGTGTAAGCTGGCAATCTTCCCGCAACACAGGCAAAGCTCATCCATCGTCAGCTCCTTCTTTCAGAGTCTGGTTAGTCACACATCACACTAGCCCAAAAGAAAGAAAAATCTTACTTATCCTCACCACAGTGTGTCCTGGGCTACGCCCTCGCCCCTATACTCTTGGCCTCCGTTATCTCTCTACTTGTACACAACCTCTTCGTCCGCATACCCATATCCTTGGCTTGCTGGGCTTGGTCCGTCTGGGGTAAGCGAGAGCGTTGTCACTCGTTCTGACCAGCAACTCCAAGCGTCAATGAACTTTTTCAACGGAACACAATTACCAGAGACGCGAATTTGGCTCGCAGTCTACCCTTTGTGTCTCTTCTTCTTCGTTCTCGCATGGATGATTATGATACAGTAGAATGGTGCAGTGAAGAGCAAACGGGACATCTCTCGATACAATGCATGGTACAGTATATGGCTAGCAATACAACATTCCCGCTCTCTCATGTCGTCTTGTCATACTGCTAATCCTCGTCCACGGTCTTCAGATGCTCGATTCGGACCCTGCATCACTCTCCATCGATCCTCTTCGACTCGTCGGAAGTTGAATCTCTGCCATACAATCGCCACATTGGTAGTCGTAGATGTGATTCTTCATATTCAGTATTGAGTACGTTTCGCGATGCTGTAGTGATGCCGTCAACTTCATGAAGAGGCGGACAGATAGATGTTTGAGAGAACCCACCTTGGTCACGCAGCCTGGACATGCGAAGGAAGCGCAATGAGCATGACATTCTGTACTCGTGGCGGGTAGGGAGGTCAACCCGCTCAGAGGCTGACGAGGTCGAGTCGTCATTAACATGCTCCCGCGGCAGAGCTACGGGATTCAGCTAAGTCACAGAGGGGCAAGAACTCACCTTGCAAGCTTTCGTACTGCAGCTAGGCATATTAACGAGTCCTTTTGACTTAAGAAGAAACGATTTAGAGAAATATGACGCTCAAGAGATTGAGAGTGAGGCAGATTGGAAGGAGGGAAACTTGGGCAGAGCGGCTCACTCTTATACCCTGCCTCGACTCGCTGTCCTTTTAGACCGACCGCCTCAAGGTGTGAAAGCGTCCGTTGATTTGCTCGGACAGGGTTATAGATCCTGATACCTGAGACGAGTTTCACACCTACAGGTGAGACACGTCCGAACAGAGGATCATGGAATAGGTGAAACATTGTGGACGGTGATGTAGCAGTGTCTATCCATTTTTCTGGACGATACCGGAATGATTGGATCTCGTTCCCAACCAGTACGACAGGGAGCAAGGACGGGAAAGGGAGATTGGAAGGAGAAAAGCGGGGCGCAATGGGAAAGGGTGAGACGCATGAAAGGTAGGCTATCTGGCCTATAGCACAGGGCACATGGAGAGACGTGACTGCGACTCTGGAGTACATGCGGGTACGACCCCAGCCTGCCTCTCCATCTGGCGTCGAGATATGCATGGCAGCATTGCGGGGTACCCTTCGCTCAACTGAATCGTGCAGAAGGAATTCAGACCTCTTGCGAGCGTTTCTTCTGCTTCTGCTTCTGCTTTTTCCTCTTGCGTCTCTCCAGCTGAGCCGAAGTCTTTTCCCTTGGCGCCACTTCCTTCTCTTCTTCCTCCTTCGAATCTTCTGCTTCATACTCATGCTCGGACTCAGACTCATCTTCTGCTTCCTCTAATGCCCTTTTCTTCTGGTTCTGAACGCTTTCACTCCCGCGCACGAAACACGCCACAAAGAATCCGTTTGTATGATCTTCTTCCGGAATACACCTGATGACTCCGTCGGCCAAGTCTGAGCTGATCAGTGACTCTCCGTCTACGATGACGTGACTCACCGGCATCCCCATTGAAGTGTTCTTCGCGACCTCTCCTGGGCCAGGACGGCAGAACACTACTCCTCTGAGCCAATATCCATGAGTTCTTCCTGGCTAATGGGGACGAAAGTGCGCGCTGGACAACTTGTTCATCTTCTTCAGGGTGTATCGAACATGTAGAGTAAACTATCCGCTTGACAGATGGGACTGACGTGATCAGCCTGACAGGGAATCGCTCGACGTACACTTGAAAGCGTGGAGAATCATTTGCAGTTGGAAACTGGCGAGTTTTTCCAACCTCTCGTTTTTGGCATCGTCCGCCTCATCAGTTTCTGGAGAACCATCAGTATAGCGGAAAGATATCTATATGGAACTGACCTTGATCGACGAGATAATCGAGCCTGTTGACAATACCGGATCCTGAACAGCTTGGGTCTAGGAGGCTTGTCTCGTCAGAGATGATGGAGTGCTTTTCCCTTACATGCGCGTGACGTTCGAATACTTCTCTGAACAGGGATCACTCTGCAGGAAGTCCGCATTCTTCGCATCGACGTTCAAGCACTGAGCTTTCTCCAACATAACTTGCAGTGTCTTGAAACGCTGTGTAGACTTTTCGAACGCGTGTAGCTAAATCGCTGTCAGACATGAGGTGAGGCTGATGTCTCACTTGTTGCTTGCCTCTCATCAACGCTGACATATGACTGGTCTTGTTGCCTGGCGCAGCGCTATGGACTGTCAGTCCTCACCGTCGTAGTCTGACGAAATTTTGACTCACGTCGCGTCTATACAGTCACCTTCTGCCTCATCCCATTCGCCCATCAAGACCCTCGCGGGGAAGCAACTTGACTTGTCCTGGACGATGACTGCTCCAGATTCGAACCACTTGTCGCCCTGCCACCACGAGGTCGTCGCGGGGAATACCAGCAAACATTCAGGTAGGTGAGGGTCGAGAAAGAACGAACCATCGGGTACAGGGTATACTGGTGCATTCAGCAACTTGAACGGTGAGGGTTTCGTCTGTAGATAGCTCAGAAGCGCCGCCAAGGACCAATCGTCTTCGCGGTGCAAGTCGACATTCGGGTTCCATCGAATATACCTCGCTGATCCTTCAGTCTTTGCTGTCCTCGCCAGACCTTCTTTCGATGATTTTCCTTCACGAATTTGGAGTTTGACTAGCTCGGCCTTGAGTCTCGCTTGATGCCGTTGTATAGCCTGCCGGGGAGGCCATTTGTCAGAGGCTTCAATTCTTCCTCGAGGGGAGATGAGGAGATCGTGAAGGAGGACCAGGATGAGACTCTGTGACGAGGGTGTGCGGGGAGATGTCTTCTTGGGGAATGTAATTTTTTCAAGAGTTCGAAGTTGAGTGACTGCGATGATTTGTTCGAGAGCCGAACGGTCTGACTGAGTGAGCTTGGTGATCAAATTGGGTGGATTCACATTTCAATGTCTCAATAACCACTGACGATGACATAAGTAAGGATCTCTCATCTCATGCTCACAAGCAAGAATCCTCTTTGACTCTTGAGCAGATGAAGTCTCGATCCCAGCTGCTCCGAGAGAGCCCTTTACAGACCCTTTATACTTGTCCAGGTGGTCCAGAGCCAGAGCGGCAGACTTGTAGAAATTCATACTGGATCTCGGGAGGTGCAGATTGTGTACGGTAATCTACGACGAAGGCTAGCTATCCGGCCTGGCTTGTCTATACTGATTCACAGACAATGGACCTGTCGAGGTTCATGTGTCAGCGACTCTTCCAGCTACGCTTGACTGGATTTGGTGTGAACAATGGAGGATCAGGTATGATAGAAGTGTTGTCACCACACCACTGATGGGTCTGACAATGTAGATAAGATAAAAGGGCATCATGGAAGAAGAAATGAATCCAATAGTGCGCAGACGCTCAGCCGTGGAAGTGCACTCACCATCGACATGCTCAGAGTAAGAACACAAAGAGTCGAGCTCCTGCATGTAGTGCATATATTATTAAGTGCTCGCTGGCCATCCCAGTTGTATAGTTCAACTTTTTTTGGAATGAGCTCGGTCACGTGATGTCCACGCTGCGCGTTCGTTCGCCGCCAGTCGGTGTTGCAACTCGCTGGGATCTCGCAGAAGTCTAAGTTCAATGTTCATTGTGTCGAGTCTTTCTCAATCATTGTCATTGGATAGACTCAGATAAACCTAGTCAGGTCCCTCACCTCCGCCGACACGCATAACCTCGGTCTGCGAAACTCGACGATAGCATCTGGATCACCCGACAGGCTTCGCTTCCCTCCTTTCTTCATTTTCGCAATCGACATTTCTTTTGAACCGATGACCGTGTTATAAGGTTGCACACTTCTCATTGTCGAGCTCGTGGACGTCTCTAGATACCCCAAATACGATCTGTCCATCCAGAAGCCATGATTGCTCCCCGTAAGCTGCTGGGTGGCCTTCTCGGCGTTTGGGTCACCGCTATATGCGGGCTGGCTGCCGATCCTCAAGTCAAAGTCACGCGCATACCGAACATGCCTGACAGCCTATTCTACTTTGACGATACAACAGTCAGTTCCTCATATGACTTAGTACTGACGCTGTCTGTCAGGTCATATTATACCACGACCCTGTCACACTTCAAGTCGGGCGGTCCGACGACGAGGGCAAGACCTGGAGCATTGTGGATGGGCCCGACGTAGCTGCTCGTCTCATACCGCATCCTCATGACAACGAGATGGCCTTTATCATCGGAATAGAAAAGACTCACTGGGTCACGCATAACAAGGGAGCCTCCTGGCTTGCCTTCGAAACTCCAGTCGAAGCCACTCTCACTGGCGATATCCTCTCGTTCCACTCTAAGCAGAAAGACTGGATCCTGTTTCAAGGCTTCACATGTGACGAATCTGGATCCCATCGATATGGCACCACTCGAAGTTGTTGGGACGAGACATACTACACCAAAGACGCCTTTAGAGGCGAGACCAAGTTATTACGGAAGCAGACATCTAGCTGTCTCTTTGCGCGATCCGACAAGGCTCTCACCGAGGCTCCCGATTCGCTCATCTTCTGTGTGGCTTTCGACCCCAATCAGAAGCCTGGAAGTGGAGGCTGGCATAATATCATGGACAGCCGGCTGTACTCGTCTGAAAACTGGTTCGAAACTTCCAAATATGTGGATCTGGGTATCGGTAAAAAGGCTCGAGGTGTTGTCGGAGTAGGAGTCGTCAGTAAATTTCTGGTTGTTGCGCTCAAGGTCTCTGGAGATGGTGCGCGAAGAGCCAGTGGAGGAGATCCGATGCAGCTCTTCGTTTCGACTGACGGCATCAACTTTCGACAGACCAAATTCCCTCATTCCGCCATGCCCGATCTTCGAGAGAATGCCTACACCATTGTTGAATCGACGACTCACTCTGTGGCAGTCGACATTCTCACTTCTCCAACCGCCAACATTGGAACATTGTTTGTCTCCTCCGCCGAGGGCACATACTTCGTTGAGGCTTTACCCGATACCAATCGCAACGAATATGGCATTGTCGATTTTGAGCAATTGGTCGGACTGGAGGGAGTCGGACTCGCGAATGTCGTATCGAACCGAGAGGCGGTAGTTGGCTGGGGCGCCGCCAAGAGGATTCGAAGCGTCATCACTTACGATGATGGATCCAATTGGCGACCTCTAACCGCGCCTGACAAACGATTGAATGGTGATGATTGGAGCTGCGACCGTAGCGATGCAGCCAAATGCTCCCTTCACGTTCACTCCGTATCGGATCCCCATAACCTCGGTCGAGTCTTTTCTTCGACTGCTCCTGGTTTCGTTATGGCCGTCGGATCTGTTGGAGAGTATCTTCAGCCATATGACGAGTGCGACACTTTCCTTTCTACTGACGCGGGTTTGACTTGGCACGAAATCCAGGAAGGAGCGCATACGTACGAGTTCGGAGATCAAGGCTCTATTTTGGTCATCGCGGACGACGAAGAAGCTACGGATCACGTCCACTACTCGTATGACGGTGGCTCAACATGGACCAAACTAGACCTTGGGGTCACTGTCAGAGCTTCAGTCCTCACCACCATCCCAGATTCGACATCTCAGAAATTCCTCCTCATCGGGACGACACCTCGATCTCAGTCCACTGCAGACGGTCGGTACGCTCTCGTCTTTCTTGATTTTGCACCGTTACAGAAACGCAAATGTGGCGACGCAGACTTTGAAGCTTGGTATGCTCGTAGCGAACAAGGGAAAGAATGCCTCATGGGTCACAAACAATGGTACAAGCGACGAAGGCCAGACTCGACTTGCTACGTCGGGGACAAATTCACCGATCCGGTTGGGCACGAAGAGTCTTGTCCCTGCTCGGATGAGGATTACGAATGCGACTTTAATTTCGTCAAGCAGGATGGGGAATGCGTGGCTGTCGGTCCCGAGACTGTCCCTGCAGGCACTTGCAACAAGATCGACGACCATTACCTCGGATCCTCTGGCTATCGTAAAATACCTGGCAATACATGCGACGACTCAAAGGGGATAGCCAAGGACAAGAAGATTCAAAAGCCCTGCTCGTCTGCTAGACCGGCGAACGGCCAAGTCTCTCATGTCACTCACGACTTTGAGTCTAAGATTCTTCAACATGTCTATTTCGCGAAATCAGAAACCATCCTAGTGTTCCTGGCCGATGGGACCGTTTGGCAGTCCAGCACCGAAGGATTCTCCTGGAAACAGCTGTATCCCGGAGAAACGTTTCTGGGAATCTGGATGCACGATTTCAGCCCTGAGAGGGCTTATCTCGTCACCAATAAGCAGAAGATATACTACACCGTAGACACGGGTCGTGCGTGGTACCATACATCCATACCCATTGGAGCAAACAATCTCGGCATTCCGCTTTTCGATTTCCATCCGACCAAGGCGGATTGGTTGATCTTCACTGGGTCCGTCGGTTGCAACTCGGTTCTGGACCCCAATTGTCACGCCGAAGCCTACTACTCAACCAATCATGGTCGCAAGTGGAATCTAATTGATTCATATGTGAAAACGTGTGCTTGGGCTCGAGACAAACGCCTCAAGATTGATGAACGTGAGATCATCTGCGAGAGTTACAAGAACAAGAAAGGATCTCAGACCTCTGGTGACTACAATCCTCTCGAATTGATTGCTGGGTCAAGCTACTACACAAAACCTCAGAAGATTTTCGATGCAGTCGTTGGTTTCACCGCTTTTTCCGAGTACCTGCTGGTGGCAAAGCTGAACGAAGCCGCCGCGACACTGTCTCTAGAGGTCTCTCTCGACGGCTACCGCTTTTCGGAGGCGCAGTTTCCCCCAAGCATGCGGATCGACAACAGAGCGTACACCATCTTGGAGAGCAGTACCGACTCGGTCTTCTTACACGTCACCATGAGTTCGGCCAACGGTCGGGAATGGGGCAACATCTTCAAGTCTAATTCAAATGGAACATACTACAGCTTGTCCATCGAGCACGTGAATAGAGATTCCGGTGGATTCGTCGATTTCGAGAAAATGATTGGTCTAGACGGTATTGCGATGATCAATGTTGTCTCTAACCCTCGGGACGCAGAAGTCTCTGGACGAAAGAAACTGCAGACGCGAATAACCCACAATGACGGCGGGACATGGAAACCCCTCAATCCACCAGCAAGAGACTCTCTCGGCCAGGAATACGACTGCCGGACTACTGCATGCTCATTGCAAATCCATGGTTACACCGAACGTAGGGATCCTCAGGCCACATATAGCAGTCCATCCGCTGTTGGGCTGATGCTCGGTATCGGCAATGTTGGCGAGGAGCTGGCAGAGTACACTGATTCGGACGTCTTCCTCACTCGAGACGGAGGGTTCACCTGGGAAGAAGTGCACAAGGATGCTCATATGTGGGAGTTTGGAGATTCGGGATCTATCATCGTTCTGGCAAACGACGAAGAGCCCACAGACCACGTCATCTACACTACAGACGAAGGCAAAACATGGAATGAGTACACTTTTGGAGATACACTCCGCATTGAAACCATTCAAACGACCCCAGATGATACAAGTCGTCGGTTCATTCTCATTGGGAAACGAAGTGGAGAATCGGGCAAAAGTGTGGTGGTACATCTCGACTTCACGCAGATCACCCAGCAGAAATGTGAGTCCCCCATTTGTCAACAAGCACAGTCACTGACGCTTCACAGGCAAGCTGAGCGTCGAAGATCCTAATCATGACGATTTCGAGCAGTGGAGTCCCAGCGAAGGCCGCGATGAAGTTTGCTTGTTTGGTCGACAAACCATCTATCACAGGCGTATCAGAGACCGCAACTGTTACATCGGAGAGCATGTCGAGCAGCCAAAGACTGTCGTGAAGAACTGTACGTGCTCAGCATCAGATTTTGAATGGTGAGTTATTTCCCGCTACGAGTTGTTGCGCCAGCTGACCGGCTTCAGCGAGTTCAATTACATTCGAGACTCGGATGGCAAGTGCGTTCTGGTCGAAGGAGCTACAGCGCTCTCAATTTCTACAATGCACGAGCAATGCGACGGATACAACTCGTACTGGTATGAGCGCACCGCTTACCGCAAAATACCCTATTCATCTTGTGATGGCGGTGATCGTCCGGATCGAGGCACACGACACGATTGTCCTGGACTGATTGGAGGTGCTGGTATGGGAGCAATCTTCTGGGGATCAATCCTAATCCTGCCTTTTGCATTCGCTGGTCTGGGAGGTTATTGGTGGTATGTGAAGGCGGGAAGGCCAGGGTGAGCAGACTCGTTCTGTCAGACTGTGGCATCTCATTGACATCTGCAGGTCTATTCGTTTGGGCGATCATCGAGTCTTTGGCGGGGAAGATCAGAGCAGTCTCTTGTCCACGGTCGCATCGATACCATACTTCTTGATGGGTGTCACTCAGGCAGGTTGGGCCTGGGTCGAGAGACGGATACCGTTCCTGGATGGCCTGTTCTCTAGGCGTCTGCCCTACAGGCAGGTCCCAATTGACGATGATGGTGAGTGGGCTGTGGCCCGCAGCAGATTGTGTCCACATCTGACTGTATCCTTTAGCCGAGGTTCTAGGAGGGTACGATGATGAATGAGCGCAACGACTCGGACATGACGCGACAGCATAGATGACAACAACTAAAATTGCATACGATCTGATGACCAAATTGTGGCATTTTCAGCTGGTCGAACTGTACCCTGCTTCTATCCAGCTCGTATGCCTCTGAACCAGCTCTTTGATGATCAGCTCTTCGATTTCAAGCTCTGATTCGGGATTTCCGTCGGTTCTCTTTCCTTCGTAGTCTTCCAGCCTCAGCCATGTCTCTCGAAAAGAGTCGACTCCATCTCCACTCATCAAAGGCGGCGTTTCAACCTCGCGTATGCGCTCATCTGCTCGTGCCTTTCGAGGTGTGGATGACGGGTGCGCAGGTTCGACGAAGACCACTCTTTGCTTCCGATGATGAAGCTCATTCCCAATCACCAATTGATGCCCGTATCGTGAGAGCGCAGCTCTTGACTTTGGAATAAGTAGAGTGCTATCCGTTTCAAGCTAAAAAGAGAGTGAGCATAAGTCATCGTGTTCGTTTGACAGCGGTGACCGACCGACCTTGAAGCTGACGATGTATCCTTCTGGATTCCACTCCTGTACTAGCGGCTTCAAGACTTTCGGGACCTGGTCCATTTCTAACGAGAGCGTCCCATGGACAGATTGAATTTTATGTTCAGCCTGATGTGAAGATCGATGAGCGATTGAACACACGATGGTCCTGTACTTACGATCCTGTCTTCCGGAAGGAAAAAGTCTGAAACCGCTGCAGCGAGATAAAACATTCCTCTCCGTTGCAATGGGGCCAACACGGACGTTACAGATTTCAAGAGCCACAAATACTCGTTGACCGTTTGGAAGTCTACGCTGAGGAGTTTGCCCTCGGATTGAGCCTTTTGATGAGCCTGAAGGATAGGAAGAAGCGATTTGGCGTGCTCAGGTGATACAATGATAGACGTTGATGATGCTGACGACGATGGCGATGGAGACACTGCTGTATCTGACGATGATTGGACTACCGACAAGAGGTCCAAGAATGGGTTCAAGGAATGCGAATAGTGCCTTGAGAATGGGCGAAGGGAGTGTAGTCGATGCAGGAAGATGACCGCATAGCCGGCCGAGAGAAAGTGCTCTGCAGAAGTCGCTCCTCTAGTGCCTGCGAGCATGCGTCAGCGAATGTATTCACATGCTGACAAGTCGCACCTGCAGAGAAATTGTCCAAGAAGCGGACGCTAAGGGAAAGTCAGCAACGGGGAAGATACAATAGGGGGCTACTGCACTGACGTGTTCGCTTCAAGCGGCACGGTTGTACCACCACTCTGAATGGAAGCCATTAGCGCGCGGATCTTGCGAATGATGCAATATCTACGCACCGTGACCAAGACGACCCGTTGATTAGGCACAGCTCGCCATTTGTCTACAAACTCGGTCATCTTTTGTGTCCGCTCTGCAAGACCTGACGGAGGTCGTTGCGTCTGAAAATATGATTCGGTACTGAATGTCCGAGACTCCATGGTATTGAGAATGTCCAGCTTCGACCCTCCCGAGGACAACAGGTGATGATACTTCGTGCAAGGTGCGGCTTCGACTCGAGCAGCATCTTCAGCTTTGTCCGAGCATCGGGATTCGACCACGTGGTTTTGAAGATGCCCCGCTAATGGTTTGGCTCCACATTTGACCTTGTTGCGTGGACTCGTAACACACAGGCGACCTGTAAGGTTGGACCCGATCTGCAAATCCAGTCTTAGACTATTCGCGATGTGCTAGACGCGGTCGTCAATAAGTGTCTCTCAAGAAGCAACTGTGCAGACAAATTCTTCCACATCGATCTTTTTGAGCCACACTCGTGGGCTCAGTTCCACCACCATCATGGGCGTCCTAGTGCTCTTGATCCAATGCGTGGCCATGTTTGCGGCCAGTCTCCTAGTGGGAAGTCTCCCCTTGATGTTCAAATCCGCAGCTTCCGGTGTGTCATCCCCTATGCAAGCAACTGTCACACCTGCTAAAGCCCTTTAGGTAAACGTTTAAAAGCCATCTCAGTCTTCGGGATGGGTATCCTAGTCGGCGCAGCCTTGACTATCATCATACCGGAGTGAGTCGTCACGTGCGGGTCAATCGTATTGCTGACTCCTTTCTAGAGGCGTGTCGACTCTTTATGAAGCTCTGCCCGCGTCTGCGGAGGAAGGGGCAAATATGGCTATTGGCTTCAGTCTTCTGGCTGGATTCGCTCTCATGTTGTGGTGGGACTGATTGGATTCGGGGTATCCTTGATCGTCTGACCTTCTTTCACCCGCAGCATGGAGTCACTGACCCCTCATCCTCCTCACGACCCCTCCGAAGTAACTCCTACTCCAGACGATGAGACGTCGCCTCTCCAATCGCCGGCGAGGCGCAATTCAGATGATCGGTCGCGACCGCTACCTCCCCATCTCGATTCGAGTACTCCCATGATACCGAAACGCCTGCACATGGATGATTCTTCACACAAAGTCGACACCTTGTTCCACTCGCCTAATGGTCATAGGGGACTTAACGCGACCCTGGGTATGGTGATCCATGGTATCGCTGATGGTATCGCCCTCGGAGCGAGCAGTCTGTCCGCCCGCAAAAGTCTAGGCCTCATCGTGTTCCTCGCTGTGCTCGTACACAAAGGCAAGCGAGAGAGGTTATGTTAGTCGTTGTCCCACTGACAGCATTCACAGGACCGACGGCGCTTGGTTTGACCACTACTCTTCTCTCCCTCTCTTTACATCCCTCGCTCATCAGAAGATGTTTGATCATTTTCTCTTGTGCTGCACCCATCGGGTCACTCATTACATATGGTCTCGTGTCCCTCTTCGGTCATCAAAGCTCTCACGGCAAGTCCAGCTCCGTAGATAGGCTAGGGTGGTGGACAGGTATCTCGTTGTTGTTCTCTGGCGGATCTTTCCTCTACGTCGCTACAGTCATACAACCTCTGTCAGAACCTCACGATCATGGGCATGATCATGGTCATGGGCATGGAGAGTCTCAAAGGGACAATGGGGATCCCACAATCGGCAAATACACTCGGACGGCATTGCTCATATCGGGTATGTTGCTGCCTGTCATTCTGAGCACCGTGGTGGGAGGTGGAGATCATTGAGCGGACAGTGTTGCCCATGCTCATATGAGATACATGCACCACACGTATCCTCTTGTCCACTAATCTTTCCATTGCGCACCTTCCTCCAAGCGCACACTTCTCATCTTTCCCTGGAAGCCTTTGCCAATGATGTTGAGCGGAGCCGGAAAGGCCATCGGATTCCAACGCAGGCCGGTTCCAGAAAGGCCAAGAAGTGTTTGGAACTCTATGCGCTCGTCATCGTTTATCACAGCAATAGTCTTTCGACCTTCGGCAATGATTGAGACCTTTGTCCAGTCATCCAGAGGCAGAGTGTAATTAATGGGGAAGTATTGCCCATCAGCTTGAAACGTCAACTTCGAGTCCGCCAACAGGGCCAGTTCTTCGTGTTGAAACAATGCACCTCCATACGCCAGCGGCTTGACGGAAAAAGTCAAGGTATAATCACGCCCTTTGCGTCGCATTGGCGTTGAGAGGTAGCATCTGCCATCAAAGTGAACTTGACGGTGATCCAGTTTGCATCCATGATTTGTCGCATCGTAGCCGTTGCCCGACCCATCGCTGACTCCTCCGGCGTAGTCGTAATGGAAAATCGTTCGCGACTTCGAGAGTATAGTCATGTCAAGATTCTGGGCCGGTATGGACTCGTGTAAACGATCAAATACCGAGTCATACTGCAGCTCCGTTATTGATCCGCCCCATTGCTTGTCCGCCAGAGCCGGGAGGTGATTCCTCCAGGCATAGTATGCATCAGATACGACCGATCCGTTGGGTCCAAGATCGTTCCAGGTGGCGGCGATTTGGCCATTCACGAGGGGATGCCATCTTTCTGGATTGTTTGAGGAGTTGCTCATGTCGAACGTTGTAGGGATGTAGCCACTTCCATCGGGTGAACCATGAAAGATCCGCGTCTTGTTCAGCTCCGGCGGGAAGTAGGGGCTATAGCCAGGAATGATATAGTGAGCGACATCAGAATTGAGCACAGAGTATCCTTTCTCGACGTAGTCATGTAGGGGGTCATCTTCGAAGAATGCCCAATGCTGAAGCGAGATGTTGGTAGCGATGTTGTTGGAGTAGGCATCTTTTGGCGGGAATGTTCCCCATATTCTGGTTCGCTTTCCAGACACTTCGTAGATGTGCGCGTTAAGCACGTTGACGCAATCGTTATAGTCTTTCACGAAGTCTGCGCTGTACTCATCGGCACCAATATGTACAGTCTTGCTGTGCATCCAAGGCAAGAATACCGACCAAATAGTTTTGAGAGCCGGCAAAGTCTCTGGATGACTAATGTTGAGCATCGTGTAGTCGTCTATGAGAGCCAATTGAGGTTTCCACTTCAAGATCGGCAAGGCATGTCCGGGGGCCTCGATTTCCGGAATGATGGTGACTCCTCTAGCGGCGCATTGTCGTTGGAGACTGTCAAACTCTTCCCTAGAGTACGATTCGTTCGCCGGACTAGCCAATCCCGCCACGCGAGAGTCCTCTGTTCTCAGTCTGAAACCCGAATAAAGCGAGTTGACGAAATCCTTGTCATCAGGGTTCACCACCCCAACATTATCCGATAGATGGAGATGGAAGGTATTCTGCTTGAAATAGCTGAGGTAGGAGCACAGTTCGCCCAAGAAAGAAGTGGGATAGAACTTCCGTCCCACATCCAACATGACGCCTCGAATTCCCCATCCCGGACTGTCAACGGCGTGGCCGGTCGGAATCCCATCGGGGTGAAGAACTGCTAACTGAAGCAATGTTCGAGTTCCCCACCAGACTCCGAGAGGGCTAGCCCCAGCGATGATGACGCCTGTTTCAGTGATGGAGACACTATATCCTTCTGAAGTCCATCGACCGGCAGCATCGAGGTAGCGGGTCTTGTCCTCATCAATAGTGAGGAAAACGGTGCTTAAACTGGGATGAGCGGCTTCATCAACTCGCCAGGATCTGCCCAGGACCTGCTTGATGTCCGTCTTGAAAGTCTCTGCGAAATCGTACAGCGTCGGAGGTATCAAGGTCTCTCCATGGGAATCCACCGTGTCCGAATACCTGGCATTCACATGGACCTCGTGTATGTTGTCCAGAGATAACCGGGTGCCGGAAGACTGGAAATCAATTGTGGGTACAGTGATTATTTCCAGATCCGCCTTCCCCGGCGAGAATGGGTGCTGAACCACCGCACCTTTCGCGATCGCAGCTGTCAAGCATGTCGAGATCAGCGCGTAGACCCGCATTTGTAGAGTCTGAACTCGGGGTAACACCGTGCTGGCTGAGAGGTCTAAGAATTCAGAGTGGGGATACCGGGTGGGGTCAAAACAAAGTCGGGCCAGATGACCACGTGGTTGACGTCACACCGGGCAATTGACTCCCTTTCGGTTGCGCTATCAGATGGATACTTGAGTCATCCCTCATCCTGATCCATACATCGTCAACAGAGAGCAACCTGAACTCAGACTGGTGATACAGGGCCCTAGCTGTGTCAGCAGTGTTTTGATTAGCTGGAATGTCCACCAACGCCTCTCAGGCATTTTGGATATGTCATGAGGTAAGCAGTTTGAATTGAAAGGCCGGTTTGACTGAGAACATGCAGTGCGGTGCACAGATGCGACCGCTCACGGTGAGGGCAATCCTCTGGTAAACCTGGGAAAGATGCTCATCGAAGTGCTCAGGTAGACGGCGTATCTCATTGTGCGTCATGTAATGGCGAGTTCATCGAAATCGTGAGTGTCTCCGCAGCTTTGCCGCGGCAATCCCATACTGATGATCGGCTGCTGACCGACGACTGCTAAGCTCGACTCGAACATCAATCCCGATCCATATTTTGAGCTCCCACCCCCTCCACCAATACGTCCCACTGGGCAAGAGCCTCCATCTCAACACAATCCAGGCCTGGCCGAAGGCAACTTCATGTCCTCCCTATTTGGCAATATATTCGGAGCTGCCGTGAGGGATCCAGGTGGTAGTGGTCAACAGCCGGGTAGTCAACGACCAGGAAGCCCTAGCTCTGCTCTTGGTACCAGTCCGGGTCGATCATCCGGGAGTAGTGGCGGGAGGGGCCGGACTCTTAATTTCAACTTGCCGGGCGGCGGACGTGGCCAAGTCATGTTCGGCTCGTTTGGTGGGAATGGTATTGGCATAGGTGCGATTGGATCGGGAGACGATGGTGGACTAGGCATGCCTGGATCTGGGGGAGATCTCGCATCGTGAGCGCCCAGTTCCAGCGCGGCCTTACTCTTCATCAGATTTTTCCCTGGGTTCGGACCTCCGCCTCATCTACAGCGGGGTGGAAACCGTCACTTTCAGCCTCTTGGCCAGAACGATGCAATGTCACCAGACGAGTTGGTAAGCTGACTCTCTCCCTTGAAGGCAAATACTCACGGTTCAGATTCGATCCATGCTCGCGGCTCTGACAATTGACGGAGACATGCCGCAGATTCACGGTATCCCTGGCCGCGCGAATCTTGGCGACTACGTCTTGTCTCAGCGTATGTCAGACTGGCAGCGGGATTCGCATGCTGATATTGCGCCTGTAGAGGGCTTTGATCAGGTACTGGAGCAGTTGATGAGAGCAGCTGGACCTCAAGGACCACTCCCAGCGTCGGACATAGTAATCAACGGTCTGCCAAAATTCAAGTTGACGGAAGAGAGTCTGGGTAAGTCTCTGCGTATCTCATATCAGCTGGCTTCTCACCAAAGCAGAGACAAGCCAGTTCAAGGACTGTCCAGTATGCAAAGAAGAGTTTACAGTCGGGGAAGAAGTCAAACGGATACCCTGCAAGTGAGCACAGTCATGATGTCGACCGGACACATGCTTACGCTCGAGATCTTCAGACACATTTTTCATCCGGATTGTGTAGACCCTTGGCTCAAAGTCAATGGTTCCTGTCCAGTCTGGTGCGTAGCTTGATCCCAAGCGTAGTCATGCTGATCTCTGACAGCCGTTTCTCCCTTGTACCCGACGAGAGCAATGGCCCACCGCGGACTACAGGCACGGATACCGACTCCCCGGACACTGAGACTCGTGATCCGCAACAAGGATCATACGTCAGCAACGTTCTCAGACGGCTATGGGGTCAGACTGGCACGAACAGCGATCCAAGTTCTCCCACTACCGAAGACCCCCCGGATGCGGCAGGTGAGGCTACCGCAGTTACGACTTCTGGTCGCGTGCCATCAGAATCCCCGCCTCCAGCTTCCGCAGCCCCCCAAGCGGCCTCCGGGGAACCGGTGGTACGACTCAGCACTGATATTCCGGCAGAGTATACCGAAAGGCATCGGAGGAGGGAAAGAGAAGCTCGCGAGTCGCTGCCGTAAGTACCACCATTACGAAGGATTCTCCGTACTCATACCAGACTTAGTGACGAAGATTTAGACTGAAGGCTGCAAGTATAAGTTCAGAGTCAGTCCTGCCGTTGTAACCATGCTATGAGCCATCTGTGATAACATGTGTATGACATCATATACAATTTGGCCCTTGTGAATCTGCCGTGGCGAAGTATCAATCCTGTCTCTCCAACACGGCGCTGTCGAACCCTTGGGTCCAGAATTCAGCTGTCGCCAAGCTCAGTAAGATTGACTCGGGCTTGGGGAATTGTCAGTACTGTACTGACTAGTGGCGACCATGTCGAGTCTGTACTCACAGTCTCGAGCTGCGTATCTCTCCCTCGTCGACTCCGCTTTGGCGGTGTCGCACCTGATATCGGAATCATCATGCTCTTAGCCCGACTGACCTCTCCAGGCTTGGGTCGAGAGACTTTGAGCCTCAAAGGCTCGGTTGGTCCACTATTGTTATCAACTCTACGCAGTGGAGGGGGCCGCGTGGCGGGCAGAGATGGCGCCAGAGGTTGAGAGAGCCATGGAGTGTGCGGTAGATCTATAGCTCCAAGCAGAGGAGCTGATTCTGATCGTCTGTGGCCAGGAGGATATATGATAATCTCTTGGGATGAGTCCTCTTGCTTGAGGAGGGTAGGGATGCTGTTGGTCGATGCTGATTTGTTGAGGCCTTTTGGTCTTCTCGGCGCGGGGTCCAGAAGATCAGCCGCGAGGTCTGTCAAGTCAGGTGTCTGTTGAGCCTCTCTGCTGTCGGCAGAGGTGGAAGGGCTTGTCTGTTCAGCCGGAGCCCTGCTGGGAGGCAGTGGGAAGCCAAGATTACCAAGTTGGAACGAGAGGACAGTCGACACTGATGCTGGACGCGATTCACTCATGGTAGGGCTACGCAAGTGCTCGAATAAGGGCTCGAAATGAATTCTGCGCGAGGTCGATAGGGATTTGCTGAGCTCGCATTCCGATTTGCCGGTCTGCAACCAGGTAGGCGAGGGGATGTGGTCGAGATCTGCTTTCGTCTCACTAACTGGTTCACTCTCAGGGCGCTCCCATCCTGAGACTGGAACTCCTCCCCGACCTAGCGTATATCGAAGAGTTCCGATGATGTGCTCCTCCCCCTGGATCTCAATCTGTCGGATCTGGTCGTTGCAGATGAAGATCTGCCTTGACATTCGATCGGATCTCTGAATGAGTTTTCTCAGTCCGCTCACTGCCTTGAGAAGGTTCCTGGGATCTTCTTCGCCGGCTAGCCTTTCGATATCCGCCACGGCGCGATCACGATGTTGAATCACCCCTTGATATCGACTCTTCAACCTCTCCAGCTCCTCCCTAAGCCGAGCATCCTCAGAAGCAGCATTGGATAAGATGGAAGGTGGGAGGAGTCGGATGTTTTCCGCACTGAGATTCTGCAGGGTATACTTCACTAGTTGAACAAAGTTTTCATCCCCGAAGCTGGATTGCAGTGTACAAGCTGGCACAGTCGACCAAGGCAGCGGCACACTGTGAAAGGGACTGGATCCAGTCGACGTGACACACTCGGCTGGAGCGTTGGTAGGAGTTGAAGCGGTGGATTCCTCAGGAATGAACCACAAGACTTTGGCCACTTTTGATTTCGACGGGGTCGGAGACTCTGGAGGTGGTGTGAGATTGGACGTTCGTAATTTGAGCTCAGCTGGACGCCTTCTCACACTCGGAGGCGTTTTCATGGGAGATTGCTGGTGTCTTGCGGGAGAAGAGGAGGGAGAAGAGCGCGATGGGTTCAAAGGCGACGGCTCCGCTCGGCGATTCAGTCTGTCCAGAGCGACCTTGGTCGGAGAGGGATGAGGCGAAGAGCGGATAGGGTGTCGAGGAGGGGTTTTCATACTATTTTCAGGGCTGACAAGTCCTTGAGCCGTGGCTTGGGCTTTTGCAGGGCCGGTCTCTGGGGTTGGAGGCAGCGGTCGAGTAGCTGACACATAGTCTGTCACTTTGGCTGGTGAGCTGTCCCATTCTGGCGTCTTTGATCTCTGGGGCGTGTGGCTCCCTCTTGGCTCATACAGCGAAGCGGTGGGTGAGTTGCCCTCAGAGGTGGTCTGGACGCTTCGAGCAGCCCGAAAGATACTTGGGAGTAGTGGCATTGAGCTGAGCGGATCGAAGATCAGGATGAGGAAGAGGGTCAGTTGCGGAGTAAGCTCAGCTACGAGTCCAAGACAATTGACACCATCTTCATCTACCAAGATCGCTGCGCTATGGAGCAAATCACCTTGACGACCGCTGAGGATTCCTTTGGTGGTCGAGAGCGGATCGAAGAGGTCGTCAAGGTGACCAAGGAAGTCAAGTCAATTTTGGCTCATCTTAGCGCGATGCATTGTCCCTCGTTGGTCGCACGAGAATCATCATCTATGCCCATTCAAAGGTCAGATTGAGTGAGTCCAGAGACCGTGGCAAAACGATCCCTCCGCCCCTCGCCCTTCCCCTCAGTCCAAAAGTCATTATGGTCAGCATAGTGTCCAAAGGTAACTCCCCCCAAAAGCAGTACCTTTTCTGCATCTTTCGCCCCTCGACGCGCCTGATTTTGTTCTCGTACAGGCCATGTGATACAGTGGTATTGTTATTTACCCAGTGACCAGCCCCGATCTGCGAACGCCCCAACCTACCCTGTAGCAGTGTATATAGATTGATACATTTGACCTTGTACTCTGTGATGGGTCAAGCCAAGCGTCTGCTCGGAAATGAAAGGTGTCTGACCGGACAAGGAGCGAATACACCCTTACCCAGCCGAGAACAAAGCATCGACCTCTTGGCTTGCCCTTGGTATCACCCGCCATCCTGACAAGGTGTCGATCTGTACAGTCGAGCCACCTTTTGTAGTCCCATCTGAATGTCTAGACCCTACGCACCTTCTCTCTACAGACTACATCGCAGCAGGAAGACACAAAAGGTATATCATCTTTATTCGTTCTTCGACCTGGGACTAGCTCGGAAATTTAGGACAGAAGCCAAGAAAGTTTGGAAAAAGAAAAAGGTTAAAGTCCTTATACATTATAGACTGGCTCGCCTTCTCTCAACATTTCAAAGGTGTCAAACACGTATAGGACTCTGACATTGGAAAGTCAGTCCCTGCCACGGTTCATATTGACTTCCTGTTCTTCGTCTCTTGGACAGACCTCACTCGACAAGTCTTTGGACAAGCAGTCATCACTGCTCAGTCGAGCTCGGTCCGTCCAAACCCCACTGTCCTTTCGTGTTCATTACTGTATCCTTTTTATTGCGCCCCCTCATCGTCATCTCAAACATCTCCCAGACAAGCCTCTTTACCTGGTTTCAGCTGAGATCAACACAAGGTCGTCCTCTTACTGTACCTTCGCTCGTCTCCCCCGATTCCCTCCATCCTATATCCCACCACACAGCTCTACCGGCTTTACTGCCACACTACCCACCACACTCTTTTGTCCCCTACACTCAGGCATCAAGATGATGTCGCCCCTGGCTATCTTTGCGCTTCTCACGACTCTCGTCCCTTCGGTCATCTCTGCACCTGCCTTACACGCTCGAGGGGTTAATGTTGGATGGCCATACGGATCGGAGAAGATCAGAGGCATCAATATTGGTGGTGTAAGTGGCACTTGTAGTCGCAAGATGAATCCTGACAGTCCGTAGTGGCTGGTCCTCGAGCCATGGATCACAGTGAGCAACCTGTTCCTAAGGGTCGATCCCTTCACCTGACGCTGTGATCAGCCAAGTCTCTTTGCTGCCACAGGCAACGACGCCATCGTTGACGAGTGGACGTTCTGCTCCATGCAAAAGTACCAAACTGCCTCGGCTGCGCTGAAGCAGCATTGGGACACTTGGTACACCGAGAGTGACTTCCAAGCCATTGCCGGTGAGTCGTCACCACCCTCTCGCTCGTGCAGCCATTAATGCTTCATGTCCACAGCGGCCGGTCTGAATCACGTTCGAATACCGATCGGCTTCTGGGCCTACGATATCTCAGGAGGAGAGCCGTACATCCAGGGCGCTGCCGCATACCTGGACAACGCCATTCAATGGGCAAGGCAGAACAATCTCAAAGTTCAGATTGACCTGCATGGTGCACCTGGCTCTCAGAACGGATATGACAACTCTGGACACAGAGGGGACGCCGATTGGTGAGAGATCCGTTCGGTAAAGGGGAAGAAGAGCTGATAAGCCCCTGTAATCAGGGCTGATGCCTCCAATAACATTGCCCGGACTAAGGCGATTCTCGGCCAACTGTCGCTCAAATACTCTGACCCGTCCTACTACCAGGTTGTCACCATGCTGGAGGCCTTGAATGAGCCCGCTGGATATCTCAACTCAAATCTGCTCAATGCATACCACCAATTCGGGTACGACGCTTACGGTGCCATTCGATATCCATTCGGAAACTCGGATGAATCTGGTCTAGTCGTCGTCTTACATGATGCTTTCCAGGCCCCAAGCTACTTTGACAACTATATGCCGAGTCCCCAGTGGCAGGATGTCATCCTGGATCACCACACGTATACCATCTTTGACAACAATCAAGTGGCGCAGAGCCCGAATCAGAGATTCCAGGTGAGAGAAGACTGGCAGTCACGTAGCGGTGGAAGCTGACTTAATTCAATTTCTCAGCAAATCTGCAACCAGGCCAGTTCAATGACGAGCTCTCCTCTCTGGTACGTGGTGGGAGAATGGTCACTTGCCTCAACCGATTGCGCTCCCGCTATCAACGGGCGAGGTGTCGGCGCACGCTATGACGGGACATATCCTGGCTCAAGCTACGTCGGCAGCTGCAATGGAAAGTCTGGTAACGGATCTGACTTCACACAGTGAGTATTTCGACCACCTCTCACGGGTCAAGCTCAATGGCTGTCATCAGCGAGTACAAAGTCTTTTTGCGCAAGTTCTGGGAAGTTCAAACTCAGGTCTATGAGAACAACGGCCAAGGATACATCTACTGGCCATGGAAGGCAGAGGATGCCGCCGATTGGTCGTACCAGGACGGATTGGCTGGTGGATGGATCCCTCAAGACCCCACTCAGCACATTTACTCCTTGGATGAGCTGTGTCAGTAAACTGCTCCAAGCTCTATATCTCGTAGTTAGAATCTCAGACAAAATCATATGTCCTCGTTGTAGCTTACATTGATCAATATCAGCCTCGACAGAGGCAAGCAGCCCGCGTACACACCCAGACTCGCGGGGGACACCTTTCTTGCTGCTTGATGGACTGGTCTGACAAGCAGAATAATGCATCGGTGACAGTATGACTATGATGATCTGGGTACCTATTTGGCCGACACTATGGCGCCCGGTACCTTGCAGATTGACTGCCCATGGATGATCCCATCTTCGCCGTGACCGACGAACCCGTCCACTACCCGAGCATCCCCTGCAGAGACCTCGCTCGCGACACTGTGGTGATCTCGATGCAGCGTCGCGAAGGCTAGCACACCAGCTCTTGGTTCCGAGGTCTCGATCGCTTGGGTCCGATGTAGGAACTATGTAAAAGCTCAATCGAGATCCATATCATCATCTCACCTGAACACTTTGACCTTTTCTGAGTGAGATCTCAGTCTCCAATGACAAGACGCCCCGGCTGGGATCTCCACTCAGGATCTTCACCACATTATCTGGCTCGCCAGAGCCATCCGAGTGGATCGACAAGAACCATTCTTCTTCCTTTGTGATGCCTGTCCGACCCTTGTGTCGATGAAGAGCGTTGATGAGAGTCCTAGCCGGGTTTCCCTCGCCACCATCGTCGATGTTCAGGAGGAGATTGCCCTGGGCCCTTCACTGATCTAGCTCCAGAACATCCAATGTAGCTCACCGGGATACGGGAAAGACTTCGGTCAATGGCTCAAGACGATAATCTATATCTGTGGATAGTTTTTCCTCTATTGCGATACCGACCGACCCAGATGAGAGGATCTGACCGTTATGGAACAGGGTATGTGGTCGACCAGTGATGAAAGGCGTTTGTGCCGTCATAAGTCCGACCTGTAGCGTCCGTCAGGAAGCTTCGACCACATCAGACATACAGCCGATGCAGATGGAACAGCGCCATTTATGGCTTGTACGACTGGATCGGGGTGATTGTCGCTCAAGACCAAGAACGATTTAGCACTGAGAAAGGAATCAGCTGGAATCCCCTTGCGAACGACACAGTTCAGACTTGCCGAGAATGTTCCAGCTCTGGAATGGTCGAGACATCCTTTTCTGCATTCCACACACCTGCCCAGCCGTCCTGACTCTCTATAGCCGTGATCTCTCCGACGTCTAAGCCTTTGAGATCTTCACGCTCGACTTTCCGAGGCCGATGCCATCTCCCAACTTCGGGATCGCTCCTGCCCGACAGGGAGGTTTGAAACGTCGAAGATCCGCTCGAGAAGGAGGCGATGGAGATGCTGGGTGCTTGACCAGGGGCAGCAATAGAGAATGATCCGATGGATGAAGGACAATGCGAGTTCAATACACGCAGGAAAGGCTCGAGTGAGGAGGTGGGCAAGGAGGTAGACAGGAGAAAGAGAATAGTCGAGTTTCTCGACCCTAAATGGTCCAAAACCTCCTTCAAGACGGTCTCATTGGGGGAGAAGATAGTGCTAGACCGTATGGATGGCGGCCGAGAGCCATGCAGCAGCCTGCGGAGGATCATCGAAGAGATATGCTATGAAAAGGTGGTGGATCTTTGAAATTCCAGATCAGAAAGATTAGATTATGATGAAACCGAATGACGCGTGATCGAACGGGGTAGTATGCATCATGTACACGATTATGGGGTCATGAACAAACAATCTACCATCTACCTCCACCTCCTCCGCCTCCTCGTCCAGTTGGTGTACCTCCACGAGTAGATGACGGTGTTGCACCTCCTCTCCCCCTACTTGGCCTCCATGCACCAGATGCTGGCTCAGTAGGCGTTTGAGGACCATTCGCACTGGCAGAGTCGGCAGTGGCGGGCGATGATCGAGCAGCAGCCTCGGGAATCTGTCCTCCAACTTTGGCAGCCTCACGAGCTCTCCAAGCACCGCCTCCAGCGACGAACGAAGGTCGACTCGGCGATCCATTCGCGGTCGGCGTCGAGGTGGAAGATGGTGGTTGGCGGGTGATTCCGCCTCCGCTTGTCCTGGCTGCGCGACGAGCCTCGGCCTCGGCTTCTCTCTCTCTTTGTCTCCGAGCCTGCTCGTCTGCTTTCGCTCTCTCAGCTTCTCGCTCTGCCCTGATTTTGGCTGCCTTTTCTGCTGCTTCTGCTTTGGCGGCCTCTTGCTCGGCACGGGCCTTAGCCTCTTCAGCTTCACGTTCTTGAGCGAGACGAGCCTCCTCAGCGGCACGTTCTGGAAGAATAACGTCAGACCGAATCGCAAGGTAGCTAATTTGAACTCACCTTGCTCTTCTCGCTCGGCTCTCTCCTCTTCCGCTCGCTTTCTCTCCCGCTCATCCTTCTCCTCCTTTCTGCGAGCCAAGACGCTGGCCTTGAACTTGGCCTTTTCTGATTCAATCTTCTTCTGTGCCGCGGTCCTTGCACGCTGAAATTCCTGTTCCTGTTGACTTGCCACAGCAGCCCTGGCAACGAGATAGTCGGGCATCATTCTACCCAGACGAGTCTTGAGCTCGATAGATGCTTTCTGCTGAGCGATGGCTTGTTCACGAGCACGAGCATTGGCCTCGTCGTGATCCGCTCGGTCTTGAGCCTTCTGACGTTCGTAATCCTCGGGCATAAGCTGTCGCTCCTCCTTTCGCATAGCTCGCTCTAGGTAATCCACACGCTTGCCGACAATTCTCAATCGCTCGTCCATCTCTCGCTTCTCCTTGGCCAGCTGCTCCACCTGCATGGCCACGAGTTTGGCTGAGTCAAGCTCCTTGATCTGAGAAATGTCCACTTTGAGATCGCCTTTCGCAGCCAAAGTCTCTGCCAGCTTTTGCGCCTCTTCTCTACGGGTAGCTTCCATTTGTCGCTGAAGTCGGTCCACTTCTGCCTGTCTGGCGAGCTCCTTCTCCCTGCGAGCATTCTCCTCGGCGAGGACTTTGGCTCGCTCGGCCTTGGCGGTGGACTCTTCTCTTTCGCGGCGAATGCTGGCCTCGACCATGAGCTCACGTCGCTTGGTAACGATTTGCCGCCGATGCGCGATAGCCTTTCGCTCTTCCTCGGCCAGAGCGATGGCCTTGGCGAATACCTCGGCTCTGGTGTCCACAGTTTTGGGTTGTAAGAATTGCAGAGTGTTATGGAGGCAGACGGCGAGGGCGGAGAGGCGATCGAGATCGGTAGGTCCAGAGATGAAAGTGAGGGTCTTTGCAATGTGATCAATCGTGGCGTTGATGTCACCCCGTCGGCAAGCATTCATGAGGAACTTCTCCAAAGCAGCCATGTCCGTCTCCCATGGAGTACCATTGAAAGGCTTGACAAGGTCAAACAAATGGGAAAGCGAAATCGTGTCATAGACTTGAGAGAGTTCTTGAACCAATCGTGAAAGTACAACTTCACGAAGAGCGGGCAAGTAGGGTTGGTAGTCGGCAGGAAGGGCAGAGACAATAGGGGCGAGAGTCTGAGCAGCGTTCAAGGGTTGAAAGTCGACCTCGAGAATGAGATAGAGTTGGCGGATCGGCTGAGGGACTCGCTTGAGATGCTTGGCTGCAGCGTCCTTCACCAAAGCGTCACGGGTTGGCATCTTGGGCAAGTTCAACAGAGCAATGAGCCTCTGCTTCGTCTCCACTTGACCCAACGGAACAGCCAAAGCGCTGAGCAGTACGCATCCAGGAGCCTTCTCGGGAACTTGACCAGCCCTCTCGGCAAATTGGATGTATCTGGCCCAAGCCGAGGCGTGGAATACGGCAGTCTGCTTGCCACCCTCAGCACGGAAGATTTGAGTGAGCTTCTCGTAGTAGTTGGCCATCATGGCGGGTTTTGCGGTCTTCTTGCCGGCGACCAGAGTGTGAACATCTTCAACCGTCCTGAAGGCTTCCTGCCATAATTCGAGTTCGACTGCAGTTTCGAGCTGGAGGAAACGGGTATCGAGGTGACGGGCGAGAGTGTCAGGATCCTGCAAGTTGACAGAGTGCTGTTGGTGGCCGTACTTGGATGCGTTGACCAAGTCTTTCCTCAGTCTCTGCTCACACAGACGTCTGAAGTCGGATTTACGCTCGTGGATCTTGCAAAAGTTGAAGGCACGGTGGGCGATAGACTGATAGATGACTTCCAGTCTGTCGTTTCCCTTTGCAATGTCCAAGCAAATGTCGTATGCATCCCAGCAGAAACGCTGCGCCGGGGCAATCAGACGTCTCTCAATCCTGTCTCGGTCTCCGGCGAGGTCGATGAACGAGTCGTAAAGCATGGCGTTGGGTTGAAGAGGGAGTTCATCGTCGACGACTGGGTTCTCTGGCAGAGCCTCGACCTCCTTTCTCGCCTGCTCGACGGCTGAAGCTAGTCGAGCTTCTGCAGCCTCGATAAAGTGGTTCAAGACATTTTCGATTGATCCAACGGCCGTGGTCTGTGTGGCATTCTTGAAAGTCAAGAGACCTAGACGAGCGTGAGACTTGCGCGACAGAGCGACACAAAGATCGATGAACTTGAACATGATAGGCTCTAGAACATTGACCGAGGTGTGCTTGAATCGCCGTCTGAAAATCATCAATACCTGTTGTCGTAGATGGCTCGTGAGACTTACGATTGGAAGACCTCCCACAAGTTCTCGAAGGCTTGGTTCTGAGACTGGGAGGTTCCGAGAGCCAGCAGCTCCTCTGAGCGCTACAGACATGTCAGCATGCGATGTTCAACCGTTTCCCGTGTCACTGACCTTGAGCGCATTGTCGGGTTTGACGTAGATGGGAGGCATGATGAAGGTACAGATGTGTGGTAGCAAAGATTGTTCAGTGCCCTTTCCCAGCTATCCACGAAGATCAAAGTCTTCTTCAGGCCTGCGGTCGAGCTTGCCTAGACGGAAACAAGCCTCTTGCAATTCAGTGGTATGCTTCGACCAAGCTTCCTACTACTGTACACGAACAATGAAAATTCAGAACAATGCTGGACCACGACGAGTCTCGGCGTTTTGGAATTTGGCGCGTCATACACCGGGATTATCTCTCAATGTGGCACTCGTAATCAAGGACCAACTGCGGCGTATAGCGCCTCCTTATTACGTTGTCTCCTAACCCAATCCACTTCTGTTGCTATCCCTTTCTGACTGACTCTTGGTGACAGATCCGAGTCGTCACATCGAGGGTCAGCGCACCGACAGCATCTCTAAGGATCATGGCGAGCTCTCTACAGAATCTGTGAGTCATTCCCGGTATGAGGAGACATTGGCTGATCCACGGCGACCCAGTGGTAAAGGCGGTGAGAGCAGTTGCAACCGATGACGTCGGAGCATCGATACTGACAAAACTTCCGACAGCTCTCAGAGCGGCCAAGAATTATACCAAAGGGTATACTGACACTCAGGTGTGTAGAGATCTCTACCAGAGCGCTCAGGGCCGTCCACTGACCATCTTCGTAGTCAAAGGTCAGAGAAGCGACCTCGAATGACGCCTGGGGTCCATCCGGTACCCAGATGAATGAGATTGCGCAGCTCACCTACAACCAGTGAGGATTGCTTGAGCCTTTCAGGTCGCTGATATGACTCAGAAATGACTTCGTCGAAGTCATGGAGACGATGGACAAGAGGTTGAACGACAAGGGCAAGAATTGGCGGCACGTGTTCAAAGCTTTGACCCTGCTCGATTATTGTCTGCACGCCGGATCGGAGAACGTTGTCATTTACTTCAAGGACAACATCTACATCGTAAAGTAAGATCAATGTTCTGAGACTTACGCTGACCCACCGTCAGGACTCTGAAAGAGTTCGTGTACGTGGACGAAGCTGGGAAAGACGTCGGCGCGAATGTTAGGCAAAAGGCAAAGGACATCACCAACCTACTTCAAGATGAGGATCGTTTGAGAAATGAGCGTCGGTCCAGGGGAGACATGCGAGACAGAATGTTGGGCAACCTTGCCGAGAGTGGTCTCAGAGGTGAAGGGGACTACGGCGGGCCAAGACCGGAGCCATCCAGACGAGAGTGAGTGAAACGGAGCGGCGAGTCCAAACCCGGCTCACGATACGATCAGGCGGCCGCGTCGATCAGGAGATGAAGACGATGATCTGCAAAAGGCCATTGCGGAGAGTATGCGGATGCAGGAGGAGGAAGCTGCGAGGAGAAGTCAGGTCACGAAGGAGGAGGATGATTTCCAAAGGGCATTGCGGTTGTCTAAAGAGGAAGAGGAGAAGAGAAAGCGGGAGCAGGAGGAGGCAAACGCCAAAGCCCTGTTTGATGATGATCTGAACCTGTGAGCACATTTGAACCGGGATCCATCGGGTTCTACTTACAAGTCGATAGCAATTCGAATAACCAATATGCACAGCAGCCGCAGCAAGACCTCTTCGCACCCATGGGTGGTTATCCGTTGGTGGATATCGGATATGGCCAGCAACAGCAGCTTCAGCCTCAATACACGTCGTTTAACGTAAGTCGATGCAGAATATCGAAATCTCCCTCTAACGCACACCTTTAGCCATTCCATGCCCAAATGATGGCTCAGCAACAACAGATGCAGCAAGAAGAGTTCATGCGACAGCAAATGGCAATGCAGGAGCAGCAGAGGCAACAGGAAGAATACATGCGACAGCAGATGATGCAACAACAACAACAATCACTGTTCGCCCAGCCTACTGGATACGGCTCCAACAACCCCTTCGCGCCCGGCGTGCAGCAGCACTCTTCACCACAACAGCAAAGTCAATCGTTCTCCCCTCCCCGCTCATCTTTCTTGCCCGTTCCGACCGTCACCCAGTCTCCTTCGCCAACACCACAACCGCAAGCTCAACTCCAGCCACAATCACCTCCCAAGACATTCAATCCTCCCAAACCGGCGAACGACGGGCAGCATGCTCACCTTGCCAATCTGCTTGCTCGTGGAAGGGAAGACGGCATGGACACATTCGGAAATGTCGGAAACCTTCGTGAGTGACACACAGAGCTGCCAAGACTGACGATGCCAGGATTCGGTACCCATAATCCCTTTGGCAGGCCGCAGCAACAGCAAGGGTCGTCGCAGCAACAGAATGGACGGAGCGATCAACCCTTCTTCTCCGTGTAGGATTGTCACCTGTAGAAAACTGGTCTCTTTCTTGATCTCGGATATGCTACATAACATTTGATGACACCGGTAAAGTTGTACAAGGATAAGACTACAACACTCTTCTCACGACTAAGATGCCCAAAATGGCGCACAGGATGCCTAGCGGGATGTCTATCCATTTCGGCACGGGGCGTATCGAGGGCACCGGAGAGTCTGCTTGAGGGACAATGCCCGTGGCAGGGCTCTCTGGAGATATGGTAGGCTGTTGCGGTGGAAGGATAGGTTCCTTCGGGTCACTCTCTTCGCGAGACGGCGTGAGGGGCATTTCGACACGTTCCTGACGACCGATCTCCGTCTCATCTGTCTTTTCTTTGCGTGATTTCTCCGCATGCACCGGTCCCTCTCTCGTTGGCAGTAGAAGCTGATTGTTCGAGACTTGGCATGTTGGACAAGTCCACTGTTGCGATCTGGCATGCAGGATCAGTTGAAGGGATCAAGCGTATTCATTCGACTCACAGCTTGGCCAAACGGCGCCTTTCCTCTCGTGAACAGTCTAGAGCCCCTATCGCCGACAGCGCTTCACCACCTTGCATCCAGAAACTCCTCAGTCCCGTCAAAGCTGGACAAATGAAGTGAGCCGCCAATTGCTGATTACTGAACCATTAAATCTGCCAACTCACCCGTCCGGACACCCCAAGCAGGCTGCCATGAACCAGCGTGGAAACTAGTAAGACCATCGATACAGATCTGACGAGTCGTCAGTACGCCGAGAATGAAGTGAGTCAGATGTTCTTGACTTGCCTTCTTGCCCAGCTCGAATCGTCCATTTGGTGTGAGAAGAATGATATCAGGAGCAGCCATTGGGTAATTGTGGGGTAGAATGATTCTCAAATGGTATAACCCTACGGACAAAGTCATTACCGGCGAGCAACTCCTGGCCGTTTGAGCGACTCACCTCCCTCGTACTCGCTTCCTGCAACTCCACGCATCGTGCAGTGCCACTCGAAGATATCCGTCTAAAAGTCATCCGTCAAACCCATTCTGCTCATCTCAGCCAAGCAAGCAACTCGCACCTCTAACGGAGCCGCTATGAAATCATCATCTTGAGGGTCGCACAGTTCACTGGCTTCCTGCATGATCCGCTTGACCGCTGTTGACCGCAAATTGACTTTTGGTCTGGAGCTGCTGCCTGTGTCCGCCATCTCGAGCAGGGTCTCTTCGCCAGTACGATACGACGATACAATATACAGTGAAGAAGAAAGGATGGAGACAGAACCGCCATTTGACGTGGAAGTGAAGATCTTCGGGGCAACAATCCTACTGCGCGGGGTATCCTTTACGTAAAGAGTATCGATCAGCCAGGAATCGGCCGACGGGCGTTTGAGATGGTCGCTCGAGCCCCTGATAACATAGTCTAATCATCACTGCGGATTCCGATGAACAATTATAAAAGTTGACGCACTTGACGAGGATGCTGGAGAGTCCTTCAGTCAATTTGCCGAACCTCGCACCATCTGGTGGCGGAGACATCCCGTACGAGCAGAGAGCGGATCCTCTCCCCTTTACAGATGCTCAAGTCGATGGTTTCAAAGAGCAAGACCGGTGGTTGCCCGTGAGTACCGGTCAATGTTTATCACGGTGCCGCTGACGAGGATGGATGGCCTCTAGATCGCCAACGTGTCTCGGATCATGAAGACATCTCTACCTGCATCCGCCAAGATCTCCAAAGATGCAAAGGAATGCGTCCAAGAATGCGTATCAGAGTTCATTAGCTTCATCGTACGTTCACTGCCCACAAGACCGTCTATCTGACGCCGTATAGACGTCTGAAGCAGCTGAGAAATGCTTGAACGAGAAGAGGAAGACGATAAATGGGGAAGACGTCCTGACATCAACCAAGAGTCTCGGATTCGACAATTACGAGGGAGTGCTAAAGATTTACTTGGCAAAGCTAAGAGAGGTGAGGAGGAGGCTCTCAGAGGGTCTTTAGACGTTGACGAGGACAGGCACAAATCCTGCAAAATAGACAGAAGCAAGGTGATTCGGATGATTCAGCAGACGAAACGGGTACCAGACGTGGGCCGGAGGATGATATTGGTGATGGCGAGGTCGTTAGAAAGGGGCGAAAGAGGCGGAAATGAATACACGATTTCATGAGATGATTTTCGCCACGTGTACAAGCCAACTCTATTCGTCTAGAACAATGTACGACACAGCGGGCAACTGGAAGAGTGAGACGAGTTGAACCATTTGAACAGGCACGAAGCGTGGAAGCGGTTCTTGCACGTTCGGCAGGGTTTGGTGGGTAAAGTACGATCGGTTAAGGAGATGATACTGGACAGTTCATTAGTCTTCCATTCTTTCGAGAGGAGAGATGATGAGACACACGAATAGCAGATGGCACACTCTACGACACCCTCGAAGTGCAGGCTGACGTTGCGTTTGAACACTGTCAGCGCTTCGAGTATGAGACCGTTCTAGTGAGGGTCAGCTGTGCACAGACCATTGTAACTCACCCTCGAGGTAATGGTCTGCTGGACGCTCATCAACCAGCCTCGCCATTTGTTCTCTGGAACGCCGACACGCCTCAGATCACGCACATCCACGCCCCGCAGCGGGAATTCCGCAGGTAATCGAATCCCAATCTCCATCGGTTGCTCGTCCACGACGTAGCTCGCGATCGCTTCTGCGGATCCCGTTCCAGCTGCAGTCGTAGAGCCCCCACCTTGAGCGACTCGAACTGTCAGACCTTCCGCAGAGAGTTGAGAGATCGTGGCAGGTTGCCTGAGGGCCGCAAACTCCTTCTGAATAATGACAGGCGAATAGTATCGAGCAGTAAAATTGAGCATGGACAAGGATAGCTGTCGATCCTTGATGCCTTCGTGAATCTCTCTCAAGATGGACGGCACCGAGATCAGCGTACGGTAGAACAGGTAGGACGCGAAGGGGGTCAAGTCAGCGAGCTCCTCAGGCTCCAAGACTGGAGGAATCAGCCGACAGTCTCATGCTGCGGGGCTCACGCTCAGGATAGAATTCGTCCACTGCGAACTGACCGGCAGGGAAATTCCAAGCTCCAACTTGCGACACTCCCATCATTTGGAAGAGCATACTGAGGAGGGATCGCTCGATCAAACTACCAGATCTCAATTGATCCATATACGCTGATCTGATCGTTCGAGACTATTACCAGTCAGAGAAGATTTCGGTAAGTCGCACTCACAGCATCGTCGAAATGATCTAAGATAGCCATCCAAGCCAAGATCTGCGTCACGACCTGACTTGCTCAGTGCGAGTCAAACTCAAACCACTCACTTGAGGGATTTGTGGATCCTGCCAGTCGATACTCGCACCATCCTCCAGGATTTTGATCAGGCTGGCTGGAAGTTGAATGCTCTGCGTTTCCTCCGCCGCTTCATCTCCTATCGTGGCCTCCACTTTCAGAACAAGAGCGAGCGTTTCACGGCGAATCACTTGACTCAGAAGGCGATATGCCATGGTCTGGATCCCCCAATTGGTAGACAAGAGAAGCAGGTGGCTTAATTGAGAAATCGTCAACTCGGAGACGAGACCGCTAGAGACACTGTCTTGAGCCTCGTCTATTCCCATGACCAGATCCAGAAGAAGAGCCTGAATGCGTTTCATTGGCTCAGATGAATCTGTGACATCAGTTGCAGTTAGGCTAAATGCTCACCATTACGACACTGGGTGAATAACTTTAGGACCTGCTTTGACAGCACGTCTCGGTTGGTCCATGCAGCTCGTAAGGATTTGTTCGTCGCACACAGATCCCTGACGGTTCGCAGCAGAACGAGACAACCACAAAGGTAGCACAGAGATGACTGGTCATCCAAAGCAGAGCCCTGGCATCAGCGATGTAGACTTGTGCATCTCACCTCCAGTCCGTTCTCAAGAAGGTCAAAGATGGCATCCCAGTGTTGGCCAGGTACATCCTGTACGACGGGTCCCAGAGCATTGAACAATTCTGCCAGTCTGAATTCCGTCTCCTCGGGCAAGTCTTCGGCATCGTCGTCAGTGAGCCAACCAGAGACGTGACGAAGGACGAAGATGGCTCTTTGTTGAGGGATGAAGTCTGAAGTGGAATCGGGCAGCGGTGCCGAGGCGAGCAGGAGCCGTAAAGCGGGCAAGCCAGTCACTCCTATATCTTTCGCCTTGATGCCCGTGATGCTATTTGCCAGCCTGTTCCGAGCAGTGGAGATAGCTTGTGAATCTTCTAGATTTCCCTTGATGGCAAGGATGATAGTAGACGCCAAGTCAGGCTCTACAGGATGAGTTCACTTTCGGATTATCACTCACTCTTAGTACTCAATGTCATCGCCAGGTCCAACCAGGCAGCACTGTCTGCTTCCGTAGCTCTCTCATTGCCCAGAATGCGGGTCAAGACAAGGTGAACAGCACGAAGGCTCACATCGCTACCTGTTCGAGACCATGATTGCAGCAGATCAGCCAAGGTCGATTGGATCCAGTCACTTTGAGATCCCGTCCCGTCAGACTTGACCAGGACTATCGTCTGCTTATGCCAGGCTGAAGTGGGCTCTTGTATTGTGGCGAAAACGGAGGAGAGGATCGTCTCAGCCTCTCTCACGAAGGTTTCGAGCGAATCTGTCGAAGATGCAAGGCCTCTTGAGCCACCATTGACCGATAAGCCGTCCCTGGCGAGTATGTGACCCAGAAGGCAAGCTGAGAGCAGGATTGGCTCCCGGCTCGGAAGGTTGCGGTCCTCTCGGAATAATGCTAGAATACTTTGAAGCACTCGGGCGCACTTAGAAAGACCGGTGGAATCGAATAGCCCATCCGGTGAGATGGACTCGCCGGTGTATGGAGCAAGGGGGTCAATGATCGGCAGAGTCGGGTCGGCCGACTGAGCGATGAGGCTGTCAAGAAGACCACGAATGACGTCCGGTGTCGGAAGCAGACTGATTGGTTCAAGTCCAGATGTCCGAGCGGCCAGCTCGATCAAGCGGACGGGGCTATCTAGTCAGCGGCATCAAAAAGTAGACCCACTTGACAGAATTAGAAATATCAGTCAATTGCTGTGACATTGCCTCCCTCAATGTTGCCTGGAACTTCGACGGTGCGAGAGGCAATTGTTCGTCCAGCATGCTCGAGACCGTCTGATCAAAGGCGACGGCTGACAGGCCATGGAGCAGGTAGAGATCGACGAGAGCAGTCAAGAATACGTCGCTGTCGATGATGGGCTGGAGGTGATCTCTGGCATAGGAATAGAATATGAGCGCACTGGGTTGCAGAGAAGCTGATGCAGCGTTTCCCGCAGAGAAGTCTCTGGCTGCATCCTGGATGGCCGTGCTGCACAGGGAGAGCACAGTGTCCAGGTTCGACTGAGGCAATGTCCCTTTGGGTGTGAGTGCAATGACGTTAATGTCACTCACCGTCTCGGATGCACTGCGCCACCAATACAGCCGCGCGTTGATCGCCCAGTATCGCATGTTGTACACCCTCTTCTGCGAGATCTCCGATGGCGTCCTCGGGGAACAATGAAAGGTATTGCAGCTGCAAAGCTGCCGCTACGAAGGAGAAACGCGTCTCTGTGGACAGAGTTGGCGAGGACACGATATTTTGCACAACCTGACGGGCTTTGTCAGACTTGGCCGATGGGGAGGAATTCTCCAAAGTTCGCAACAGGTCGAGTAGCTGATTTGGAGCTGACTGTACTAGGGCATCCTTTCCGCAGAGCTCATAGATTTGCTGTAGGAATGAGCAATAGTATCTTCCCTGACTCACATCTATCGTCTCGTCCTGCAAAGCATCACTGTGTTCGCGAACAATGTCAGAGACTAGGACCAGACCGGTCTTGGGATCTGTGTCGGTGTTACGCATTTCATCCAAACTTGCTTGGACGAGTCTTTCCAATGCCACATCAACGATGCGTACACTGTCCTCCGACCCGGCAGTGTCCAGTGTGTCCAAAAGGATGACTGCTCGCGGAAGCAGCCGAGTATCTCGATCTTCACCAAAGCACTTTGAGACCAAAGTAGATGTAATTGACTCCAGCAACGTGGCGTAGAGGTCAGAGGAGATCGCTTTGACTCGAGTTGCAGCAGATGCGAAAGCTACAGCTTCGTTCTCGCCGGGAGGCGTCCGTGCTCTTGCAGACTTGCCGCCGAATTCCAACACGCACTGCCTCCAAGCTCGATCGCAGAGCTGTGTCTCTACAAGCCATTCAGCAATATCAGTGTCCTCCTCTTTGATGGCTCTTTTGAGCAGCAGGGCGATGCAGTCTAGAGCGGCCTGAAGGAATGTCTGCAGCGCAGACGTTTGGTTGGGTAAAGAGTGTGTGGACAGTAGCCGGGCGTCGACAGGTGACCAAAGATGTGAGAAGAAGGAAGGAAGAGCATTGTCGTCCAGGTCTAGCGGAAGGATGTCCGATGACATGGTGGAGACGGCGACAAGGAGAAGGGGGTATGTGACATGGGGGACGGAGGGACAAACACTCGCGACGAATTGAAGAAAGTCGGAAAATGGCGATCCCGTATCTTCTTCTTCTTCGTCGTCCTCGTCTTCGTCTTGTTCCCACCAATCTGGATGTCGACGAAGCAATTTGGCAATGACTGGGCCAGCTATGTCGAAGACAGTCCCTTCGGCTTCTCTCCAGCAAAACGACAGCAGGTCTTGAGGAAGGCAATCGTCCGGCACGGTGTCCAAGAGGGCATACGCTGCTCTACGGACGGACGGCTGGCCCGAACCAAGTGATGGTTCAACAGGTGATAATGTCGACCAGATGTCCCCTCTGAGGAGGTCAAGAAGGCGAGTGGAGGGTTCAGCTGTTGTGAGAAGCCAGGTGAGACCGGTCAATCCTCCGACTCTAAACCAGGCCTCCTCTTCTGATCCGATGGGAACCTTCTCAATGGGAGAAGGGAAGATACTGTCGTTCAAAGATGCTGGGTCAGCGATCGAGAGTTCTAGATAGTCTGCTAGAGAGTCCAGGTGAGGTGTCAAATCCAGGCGATCATCTTGCGGTCCGAATGATGTACTGTCCATCCAGCAAGTATAGCTTGCCCCTCCCGCCCTTCGCCGTTCCTCCACCGCTGCTACCAGCCAGGAGCCTAAAGTGTCTCGCGTTTGATTCCCCGGGAGAAGGGAGAGATTGAAAGAGTCTAGGATGAGATTTCGGGTAGACGGTCGATTCAACAGAGCTTGCTGAATTTGAAGTGCTGAAGTGCGATGCGAGGGGGATTGGAGCAGTTGTGCAAGATTATGCAGCCAGACAGGGATGGCGGTGGCTAGAGCTGCTTCCTTGATCTCCCGCTCAATCTCATCTTCCTCTTCATGCTCTGATGTCGTCGACGGTGGTGGAGTCAGCCATTGCTCTCGGAGCTCGTCCAATCCCTTTCGCTTCGTCACGGCGTCCTTCTTGCCTATCCTGCGGAGAATAACGACTAGCTCCGGAGGAAGCGTATGAGCCAATCCCTGAGAGTCTAGCGGATCTGGTATGGCAGGCGCTGGCGGCTTTGGAGGAGGAATGTATTGCTTGACCTTTGCCTTTTTCTCCGCCTTGGTCAACTTTTTCGACTTTTTGTTTTGTCCTTGCTGCTGCTGGTTCTGCTGCTCTGAACCAGCATCGCCCTTGGCTGCCTTCTTGGCATGCTTCTTGCGTGTGCCTGAAGATGCAGACGACTTTGTGCCCTTGGGCATGGTGTCCGTGAGGTGTGTCGTGATCAAGAGTAACAGCTATCTAAGATTCCAGCGATCGACCGGTTTCGACAGCAGCTCTCAAAAGTTACGTCACGAGGGTCTTGGATTTCGGAGCCGAAGCCAACCAAGAGCTACAACCCGGAGAGTCGAGGCGAGCTGGCGATATGGCAGGTATGGCAGGCTGGATGGGTGGCATGCATGCACATGTTCCGCGACGAGGAAATGAATTGTTCTCTATACAGGGACAGGAAGATAGACGGACTATGCTCGAGAGAATTGGTGAAGATCAAAGGAGGTCATGCAAAGTGACGTAAAAAAGTTGAAACGACCACCGTCACATTGAGAATTCGTCCATTGATCTGTTGGACCGTTTGACTCTGCTTCCCCTCTGCTCATACTGCGACATGGATTTCTACTGGAGTCCAAGTGATTCGATTGATATCGGCACCTTCCTTCAAAAGGTCTGCCCCCTCCTGCTCGCAGGGCATCATGAGATGGGGATCGTGCTGAAGCCAAGCTATCTACGCAGCACAAACCATCACTGTTCACGACGGACGAGACGCCGGTGAGCACACAGTATAGTCTATGTTCGCGGTTGACGGTAGTCAGTGGATCTGGGTGCGAGGTGTCGACGGAGCCAAAGAAGATCCCGAGCGAGATGACAAGCACGCAGACGCTCTGCTTCGTGCCAAGAAGATCTGTTAGTTCTCTGCATGTTGTCAGCTCTGACCGGCGCAGTGGGATGGTTAGAAAAGCGGCTCATGGAGATTGACCATGACGATGGGATCCCCCTTCGAGCCAAGAAAGGTACGATGAGCAAGAAGCAGGTCCGGGACGAGGTAAATCTACCAGATGTTTTGGCTTCTGAACAATCCACCACCCTATGCAGGCACACGATACAGCCAAAAGTGACCTGAAAGTGATATCAATCGACTCTGGCTGGACGGCTGGTAAATGGTGCGGCGCTCCAGTCTCGTGATGCGATATCATGTAGACAATGACGTACTCAGGATGTTATTCCCTCGTCACGCGGATGTGGATAGGACCTGGGGAGTGATCGCCACGTCTGTCGCAAACGGCCCCTTGCGGGACGCTGGTGTCAAGTTGGCCAAAGTGGCGCCAAGTCGCAGCGGAGACGAGCAAAATGTACATCACGGTTCTCCTGCTACATACGCTATCCGCAGCTGACACGTTACATTCTCAGTCTACCCACGTGATATGCGTCTACGTTGACGACGTCTACCACCTCGGTTCCGTTCGCAAGGTACGCGCCGCGCCCATCAGCCCCCCCCCTCTCTGTTCGCAATTTATTAGCTTACACGCCACAATTGCACAAGATTCTCGAGGCTCTCCTTCGCCACGGGATAGAGCCCAGTGCTGTCAAATCAGATCTTTATACTCTGGCGGGGATCGACTCCAATCATTCCACCAAGCTCCGCTCTTCCATTTGGCGTCCGAATGAAGTGATGAATGGTGGCGCTGCGGAAGTGAAGGTGAGAGAGAGAGAGGCGACAGACTCCAAATTGAAAACCGAACCTTTTTTCCCACACCAATCCAAAAAAATTCTAGTGCCTGATAAGCTTATTCATCGGCTGCTGTAGAAACTCGTCGAGTCTTCACGGACGACGACCAAAGTGGGTCCAGATGGATTCATTGATAGTGACTCGGAGGACGGGAAGATCGAGACCAAGGGGAAGAAGAGGGTTCACGAGGGAAAGGGGGAGGAGGCGCGGGGTCAGTCACCACATGCTGCTCCGGTCAAAAAGGTCAAGAAGGACAAGTCTGCTGCGTGAGTGAGCCACTATCCAACACGCTGGGCAACCTCGCTGAATGGGACGCCGATCAGCGTCAAGTACGTCGAGAATGACATCTTTGGCGGTGGCTCTGATACGGAATGAAAGCACGTTGATGGATCGGTGGTGTTGGAGGCGGCGAGGTGGCGTGAAGCCGCCAGTCATCGATCAAGGCAGCAGCAGCAGCAGCAGCAGCGTAACACCAAAAAATTCCAGTTACCATGTAGATAATTTTCCCCCTGATTATATTCCGCGCCTGTTTTCAGAATATTGAGGGGGTTCATTCCGAACGAAGGTTTTTTCTTTTTCAGAGACAAGTGCCTGTCACATTGACATGAGCAAGTTCTACTCTGTCTCTCTCTCTCATATATACTTCCCCAGGGCGTCGGCGGCGGAGGGAGGGATGAAGAGGGGGGGGGGGGGGGGGTGGGGGGGGGGTGGAGTCGGGTTGGGTTACAGGCCGCGGCTACTAGCGAGGGGGGTTGGGAAAAGTGCGGAACAGACTCCCAAATGTAATACCTCCTCCCCCCCTTTGAGGAAGGGAAAATTTCCATGCCTTTGGTCTCTCTCACTCTCGCTCTCACTCTCTCTAGACCCGAGACAGGTGATATATGGGAATGAGAGGTACCATCCATGATCACTTGTTCTTCCTTCCTTCTTGTGTCCACCCCTTTTCTTGTCCTGTGTCAAGCTGACACCACCACCCAACCTCATCATCTCGCCATCTGAGAATCGTCGTGTATTGATATCCAGAACTGCCTCATCATTGACCCGACCAGCCAAACACAAATCAAGCAAGCACCTGAAGAAGCGGGGTGTGCGTGAACAGTCATTGTAGTACTTGACCCCACTTGCTACATACGCACACACCATCCCTCACCTCTCATCCTCCATATCTTCTTTTATCTACACACAGACACACAGACAATAACACACGCTTGGACCCAATCCACTCGTCATCGATCGCTCGGTCTCTATTCCATCTTGGCACAGGGACCCTCGACATTCGGCACTATCCACATTTCGTCCTCCATCTATCTCATCGCAGAAACATTCCCCACTACTCGCCTTCATCATGATCTGGCCACCAGAGGAAATCTGGGATGGTGAGTCGGTCTGTCTGTCTCTTGCGTACCCACTGACACACCCTTTAGATCCCATGCAACTGGTGGAGTACTACGAAACTCATGCCATCTCCCTGCATCCGCTTCCCGGTATCTTGGTCCTCTCCATCATCGTCTCGGTCCTCGGTTCCTATGCCACTCTACTCGTTCTCGGTCGACGAACCTCGTCGAGAGGTTGGCGAAATCATCTTTTCCTCGGTCTCGCTGCTGTCTGCTTCGCTGCCGTCGCAGTGTGGGGAATGCACTTTGTGAGTCGACCCGATTCAAAGAGCCATACACTCACACAAACCTCAGGTCAGCTACGTCGGCGTTCGTGGTCGAGCCAGTCCTGACCTCACGTGGTACATCGAGGTATGTGAGCCCCACCATAATTAGTGGCTGACTCCTTACACCAGTTCTCGCGAGGAATGACTGCCGTCTCCCTCTTCGTACCCCTTATTTCCACCGCCATGGCGTTTTGGTTCATCGGATATGAACTCGACATTCCTTGGTGGCGTATTGTCGTTTCTGGAGTCTTTGTCGGGTTAACCAGTGAGTCTTTCATTCCGAGAACATTCTCGCTGACGATAGTCGTCTTCATGCATTACTCTGCCGCGTTCCGATTGCCCTTCCTTCGTGTCGGATACAGCGTGGTCACGGTAGTCTTTGCCATTGTCTTGGCTTGTGTCGCTGCCACAGCTGCTCTGTTCCTCTTCTTCAGACTCCGTTCCCAATGGTCCGTTTCATGGTGGAAGCGAGGTCTCTGTAGTATCTTCTTGGCTGTCGCCGTCTGCGGGTGAGTCTATTGGTGCTAGAGCAGGGCTTATCAACATCAGAATGCACTACCTCGGTCTCGGTGGCACTTCATACTTCACCAAACCAGGCGTCATGCCGGACCAACTCGCAGGAGGGGGTGGTCAATCTACCCGTCTTATCATTGGTGAGCCAAACTTACCACGTCCTACTGTCTAACGTCCCAGCCATCTCCGTCATGTGCGCCATGATTGTTGTCATCTCCATCACATTCGCCTTGATCGACCTTTTGGCACGCCGCGAAATCCGAAAGAAGGCTCGACACATTGTGGTCGCCAGTGCAGCCTTTGCTGAAGACGGCAAGATTCTTGTCCGACACGATGGAACTATTCCCATGCAGATGATTGAGACTGAGGCGGATCTTGGAGTGAGTCTATACTTGCATTCCACTGCTGATGACAGGGTGTCATGAGCGAGCTTGATCCTCGTCAATCCACATTCCAGTGGCTCTACCAGTTGACCTTCAACTGGTCCCTCGTCAGACCGTTCGTTCCCCGAGTCTTTGAATCGACCGAACGACGAACCAAGTCAAAACAGTCTCGAGAATCTGCCGAATTCCGTCAACGATTCGTCGAAGCCTCAGTCCTCCTCGCTCGCCAACTTGGTACATCGGTCGAGTCCTTGGGAGAGCTGTTTGACCGAGTCATGACTACCGGCACTCGTATCCCAGTGCCCGACGCTGCTGCCACCTCCGATGACTCGAGTTCGATTCATGGTATCACTCTCAAGCTCCACGCTTCTGAGGGTGTTCTCTTATTCTTGGTCCGCGAGATCGGCAAGGGTCTTCCTTTGGCTGTTGATTACCCAAAGATGAATCAGGATACTCCTGGTAACTTTGACACCGTTGACTGGTGGCTCGAGCGAGGCTACCGTCTCACCGAAACCCGATTCTTCTCAAGGACGCTCGCCGATCACATGGGTGTCGGTAAAGGAGAGATGGATGTTTTCCTCTCGGCTTGCAAGACTTATGCGAAACGTGGCTCTAAACCCGTCGTTCAATCCGGTGGAACTTATCTCGGTCTCTTTGGTGTCCGACCCACCGATTCCACATTGGATGTGCTCGTCTACAACTTTGCCCGACATCAGATCCCCGCTTACCGTCTGCCCGACGTACAGTACCCCCTCACGGCCAGTATGCGCGCGTGGATCCGTGAATGTAGCAACGCAACCATGTCTGAGATCCTCGAGAGAGCCAATGAATCCCTCGCAAGGGCCGATTCGTCAGACCAAGGATCGATCCAATCGAGAGAGGACGAAGAATTGCTCGAGTTCCAGGCTGCCATCGTGGTCGCCATGGAGTCCCTCACTTCTGCACTGAAGTCTTGGCCAACGATCCAAGACCTGGCCCGACTCTCCCCCGAGGTTCTCGAATTGCCTTCGTCCAACTTTGATGATGATCCCCCCGCTCAAATGGTCGTTCTCGAGGTCATATTGCCCGCTCCCGAGGCCCGCCTCACCCCTATTCAATCTCGGGCTTCCGGTATTCAGGCACCTGTACTGTCCTCTGGCCGCGCAGACTCTGACAAGCCTCCTCCTCCCTTCATTTACACGCCATGGACTTTGTTCGCCAAGTCGCAGAACATGATCATTCGAGGCAAGAAGTGGAACGAGATCTGCAAATCGCTCAATACGGAACTCATCAAGTCGTATCCTCTCATCCCTACCGATCTCGCAGCGGAGATTGACGCCGAGGAAAAGGCCATCCAAGATATCCCAAGCTTGCCTCGTGTCTCACGACTCGGCCGTCGGCCCGGGACCGGCACGAGCCCAGCGACACCAGCACCTCTCGCATCTCCCGATAGCCTTGGTTTCTCTGACATTGACACGATCGCCGAGGAAAAGGCTGCCTTGCAAGAGTCAGCTGTCCGTCGACCTGGAACGGGCGAAAAGGAATCGGCCAAGAGAGGGCTCTTTGTCGGACGAAAGGACGTCACTGGAGATGAAAGGCGCGGCCCTCCCATTTATCGCAGTGTGAGACAAAAGACCGACGGATGGTACCTTCGATCTATGCGAACCCTGGAGCGAGGAGAGCAAGGCTCGTGGCTGAACGGTAATGACTGGCAGGCAGGTGTATAAATACGGACTCTTTCTCTCGTTCTTTACATGTTTCAGTTTTTTGACACACGGTTTCATTCGATTTTTGGCGAGGCTGGTCTAGAGTTGATCTTCATTGCTTTTTCACATGTATATTGTATCGTATCTCCTGCACATTTGGGTGATCCTGATCCGAACATTCGCGATGCAACGCTTCGGTGACTTTGAAGAGCTCAAGCCTCTAACGAGGTGAGCGTGGGCAGCAGTAGACTCGACCTTCTAACGATCAGTGGGCATCGGCCGTATCATGAGTCCCCATCATTTGTCGGCGGCGTGGACTTTATCCGTCGTCAGACGGTTCCGAGACGAGGAGCGACGACTAAAAAAGTGACATTGACGAGTCAAGGCAACTGGATCAACGAGTGAGTGTCTTGTGCTTGCTGAGCTGACATCAGGTACCCTGTCCCTCGACCCATTGTCAGTGCCATTGAATCAAAGTGGCTAGGTGGGCTTGGGTTTGTGAAAGTGGCACATGGTCGTGGCTGATTTCTATCAAAGGGGGCAAATCAACGGAGTTTACGTGCGGTTTTGGGGAAAGGGCTTCATCGCTGACTTTCAAGACATCTGAGATACACTGCTGCCACTTGTGATCCAGATGACTTCACCGCAGCCAACGGATGGAATCTGCGAGTCAACGAATATGGACGGGAAACGGAATTATTGATCGCAGTCACGAGCTGTAGGTTGCGAGCCCGAGGGACTGGGAGCTGAACTTTTATAGACAACGAGGATAAACATCTCTACGCCAGGACCTTGCATCATGTCATGCTGAATATCAGGGATATCTGTAATACCAAGGCGTGAGTCCAACACAAACCTGGTGAGACTGATCGAATCAGATCCAAATTTTGGCGTCGGACAGCCGAAGAAGGAATGCCAGGCTGGAAACGGATCGTCGTGACATTGATTGCTGATGGTCTGGGACCGATGGACACTTCAGTATTGGATGTCTTGGCTACCATAGGCGTCTACCAAGATGGCGTGCTGAAGAAAGCTGTCAATGACAAGCCCACCGTGGCTCATATCTTTGAGGTGAAGGCGAATAGTGGGAGGTGCCCATGCTGAAGCCAAAACGCAGTACACTACCCAGCTGTCGATAGACGCGACGCCTCAGCTGGTGCAACCGCATGCCGGGGATCCAAACAACTTGGTAGGTCTCCTGTATCTTTCGAAGGCTATGCTGATCTCTTCTCAAGGTCCCCGTGCAAATCATCCTTGTCCTCAAACAGGAGAACAGCAAAAAGATCAATTCTCACCGATGGCTGTTCAATGCCATCGGCAGGCAGATCAACCCAGAAATCTGCGTCTTACTGGACGCCGGAACAAAACCCGGCCACAAGGCCATCTATCACTGTGAGTTCACTTCCTGACATAACGCTAACAGGATCAAGTATGGGAGGCGTTCTACGTGAGTCCGTTTGGGTCTTGCCCGGCGACTGACTCAGGGCTACAGAATAATCCTAACCTCGGTGGCGCTTGTGGAGAGATTCACGCCATGATCAGCAAAGGAAAGAAACTGTTCAATCCGCTGGGTGCGTCAGAACGCGGAGCCGCTGCTTACCCCTCAAAAAGTTGCTGCTCAGAATTTCGAGTACAAGATGTCCAACATTCTGGACAAGCCGCTGGAAAGTAGTTTTGGATAGTGAGCAAGCCACAGGAGCAGAGCCTCTTGAATTGACAACCTACTCAGTGTGAGCGTTCTTCCCGGAGCATTCTCGGCCTATCGGTTCCGAGCGATCCAAGGTCGACCTCTGGAACAATATTTCCACGGAGATCATACCAGTGAGTTTTGACCCAGATGGCCATCGCTGAAAATTAGTGGCTGCTCGACTAGGTAGGAAAGGGATAGAAGGGATGAACATTTTCACCAAGAACATGTTTCTCGCCGAAGATAGGTGGGATCATTCGTGCAATCCAGCGTTGACCTGTTTTAGGATCCTGTGTTTCGAACTCGTCGCCAAAGCTAGAGACCGGTGGACGTTGTCCTATGTCAAGCCAAGCAAGGCAGAGACGGATGTGCCGGAGCAAGCTGCCGAGCTCATCAGTCAGAGGAGGCGGTGGTTGAACGGATCATTCGCCGCATCTGTTGTGGGTGTTTATCGAGCTCCTGACGCTATATCTGACGATTTACTGTCAGTACGCCCTCATTCACTTCTTCCGGCTCTATCGAAGTGGTCACGGGCCGTTCCGGTACGTCGCAGCGTGCACTAGTTGACTGACGGCTCAGGATGTTTGCTTTACACATCCAGGCACTCGTGAGCATGATTGTATCGAACGCGCTTCTGATCATCAGTACAATCTCTTCAGTCTGGTATTCTCTTGGTTCGCTTTGGCAAACCTGTGGCTCACGTTCTCGATCATCATTGATCTCGTGCCCAACATGTCACACATCAACCTCTTCGTCACGGACGACGTGGTGAGAAAAGCCCAAAGTGTTATTACATGCTGACTTGCCAGACTCATTGGGTGAACTTTGGTCTCAAAGCCCTTTATCTCTTGTTCCTTCTCCTGCAGGCGAGTGTCTCCGTTGGGCACCCAGCTGATGGAGATCAGTTCATCCTCGCGCTTGGCAATCGACCGAAAGGAGAGAAGGGGTTGTATCTGCTCACCTTTTGGTAGAGTGACCAATCTCTGTATGAGCTAAGATCATAGGGTATACGCTGTACTGGCAGGCTACATGATCGTTTGCTCCGTCATTCTTTCCATCAAGGCGTTCCAAGTGAGTACGGGCGATGGAATATGCCGACGACAAAGGCTGTCCTAGGTGTACCTGGAAGTATTCTTGATAAACTTCGGGATTTGTTCAACAGTAGCAACGGTACCCTGGTTGCAGCGGTTTTGTCCGTGATTGGTGAGTTGCGCCGGTTGGCAGCCCAGCTCAACTGGTCAAGGGTTCTACTCGCTCGCCTCTCTGCTCTATGTGAGTCTCTCGGTCACACACGCAAGCTGACTGCAGATGGATCCATGGCATATGATCAGCTCGTTCCCCCAATACATGGTGAGAGAGCCAGAATTCGTCGATTGGCTCATGTGCAGTTGCTGGCGCCTTCTTTTACCAATATCTTGAACGTCTACGCGTTCTGCAACCTGCATGACGTATCCTGGGGCACCAAGGGTAAGCTTTCACCAACCTACGTAAAAAGCAACATGCTGATCGTGTGACGCGCAGGGTCGGACCGCGCCGACGCACTTCCCGCTGTGCACTCGGGAGGCGAAGATGTGCAACGGGTGAGTTCACCGAACGCGCGCTCGTGTGCCCAAATGTTTCATCACGTTATGGAGGTTGCTGCATAAGATAGACTGACTACGTGACACACTCAGGCACAAGAGGATCTCGATGAATCATTCTTTGTCGTCGTCAAGCGAGCAGTGTCACCATCGGCATCGCCGAATGTACAGGACAGTGGACCTAGCTTGGATGTGAGTACGACATTTTTATTTGCGGTTCGCTAGATCCGATTGGACGCGCGTATATATTCCTCCATAGAGTTTGGCTCACACACACACACGTTTAGGATCAAAATCGTACCTTTCGAACACGCCTCGTCGGTGTGTGGCTTTTGAGCAATGCCGGGTTGGCAGCTTGTATCCAATTTGGTGTGAAACGGACATCGAAATTGGTCGAAAAGTGTCTCGAGACGGACACGCCTGTGTCTGCTCAATGTGTCCATGATGCTCTGTACGCGCAAAGCGATTCATTACAGGCGAGACAACATATCTACTTTCGTTACCTTCTTTGGGCCACGTTTGGATTGTGCGCCGTCAGATTTGTTGGAGTGAGTGAGAGACCGAGAAGAGGAGAGAGAGATGGCGGCGTGGTGGTGTATCAGACCTTGAGCTGACATCTCTGTCCGCCTCCTTTCCCCTCTTAGTGCGTATGGTACTGGGCCATTCGGCAGATGAGTAGGTGTTGTAGGCGGAATTGAGGAAGAACGTGGACTGGAGTAGTGGTGGTAATGATGATGATGACGATGATGATGATGATGATGATGATGATGATGATCCGGATACCCATCCGTGCCTATACATTCCTAAGTACTCTACTCTTCTATATGCAAGGGTAAAGGTGGCGCCGCCACAAAGGAAACTGTTCATCTGATTTCAATAATAAAAATATCCTAAAACGCCGAGTAACCCGGATCCGTCGCGTGGCTTTTGTAAGAGTGAGGGTGAGGGTATGTGGTGTATGTAAGAAACAGGCTAGCGCGGTTTTAGTCTTTTTCTCGTTATTCTCCCCCCTGCGCTCTTGACCCCCTCGCCCCTTCCCCCTTCCCCTCTTTCATTAGCTCCGTTTCGATTATTTATAGATTGAAAAAAAAAAATTAGAGTGACATGAAGAAAGGGAGGGGGGCCGGACGAGGGGGAGCGCTATACAATCAACAGCTGCAGCCAGCCTGCAAGCCAGCAAACGACATGGTCATGTCCCCGCGTGCTGCCATCATATTAAGCTCGTTCAACTCTCTCTTACCCTGAACGATCACTAGACTTCATTCTCAACCACAGGCTCCAATCGCATACCTTGATTCACGCATCGTCCACGCCGTCCCACCCGCCGCCGCCGCCGCCGCCGCCAGCGACAACGCCTTGTCCCCCTTGTCGCCGCCCCGCGTCAATTCTAATTACTTTATACCTCTTTCGAAGAACGGTCCCAGGGGGGAAGAGGGGACCACCAGCTAAAGCCAAAAAAACGAGCCGTAACTCTCTCCTCGAGCAGAAGGATCCACCACGACCACCCAGCAGCATCCGGCCGCCCCGCCCCTCCCTCCTACGCTGTTGGTCTACATACCGCTAGTGGGGATATTACACACCAAGTCCTATCCTGTCGGTAACTTTTTCGGTGCCACCTAGCTCGCATCCCCTTTCCTCCTGACCCGCCTCTTGGACCACCACCCCTTGCCTCTTTCTTTGTCATCATGAACTCGCTCCCACTCCATCATACATGACCCATCCTATCGATTCCTGACTTCTTCACTGTCCAACCGCAATTCAACATTGCCTGGCATGCTGGAATTAGCCGTCGAGTCATCCAATGGTCACAATAGTGCACGGTGCTTCTCGACCTCGGGTGAGTTTCTTGATACTAGGGTCTACCCTTTGGCTTTTCTTGCTGACAGACATAAGGCAAATTCGGTGTCACTCCAGTAGTCATTGCTGGACAGATCATCACCCGTTCTCCTCCCCTCGCTGCTCCCCTACCTGTCCGACGAGTCTTCGCCAGGGTCAGATGTATAGAATCCAGTCCCGAGGAACACGTCCTTTGGGAGAAGACAAAGGTAGTCTTTTCAGGAGATGACGAAATTCTGGGAGACTGGTCACATCCATTCACCCTCACTATCCCACCCTCGGCAGCTACTGCCGCAAAGAGTACACAGAATCAAAAGGATTACAAGGTGGTCTGGAGGTTTGACGTCGGCGTCGACCACGAACCCATTCCATATGTCGGCAATCGCATAGCCAAATCTTTTTATCTCGAGCTCTTTGATCATCGCGTGCCCCCTCTTGCTCCACCCTCACCACCCGACGACGCGACAATCGGCGATATCACCCTCTCCCTCAGCCCCCCGCACGGATCTTACGGACCTGGCGACACAATCCCATGCTCATATCATGCAGAATCAAGCACCAGTGCCATACGCAAAGTGACAGTCGTCCTTGAACGCACAGTCGTCTTAGCGGGACGCGAACCCTTCACCTCTACCCTCGCTTCCACCTCTCTTTCTAATCCACCTTCCAGACGCTCACTCAAACTCGTCTTACCCCGCAGAGGCGGGAGGTGGGACGTGGGAGAATCACTCCAAACACCCACCGCTTCAGTCTCTTTCCATCTCCGACTGCGCGCTGTTGCCAAAGGTCACAAGCCGGTCCAGTCTAGGCCAGCACCAGTCATCATCACCTCAGTCCCCATAGCAGATCGCCTTGAACCTCCACCGCCCTCGCCACGTATCCGTCGCAGTGCTCGACGCGGTCTCTACATGCAAGAGGGGACCATCGACATTGCCGACCCTGCTGTCGGCCTCGTCTCTGCACCTACCATCATTCTACCATCACGCGCTCCTCTCAAACCCATTCTCCTCACCGCAGATCAGTCCGACCTCACTCTTTTGTCGAAGATACGTCTGACACTACCAGAGGACGAGTCGATCTCCATCCTGAGGAAATATCAGCAGAGCGGCCGAAGAATATCGACGACGGCCTCGGAGGAAGAGGATATGCAGCCGCTCAGGAGCAGGCAGAAGATGAGAGACAGCATCTCTCCAACACCAGGAGCTTCTCTGCCCCTGTCTCCCGAGTCCAATTCCCCTTCGAGTCCGTCATCACCTCGTTTAACGACCCCTGTACCATTATAATGTTGTACAATGATGCATGATTACGTCCCACGCAGAAGGGCATCCCGAGCTCTTGTCAATGCTAGACCCATTCTTGGGGACCGATCAACCCAGAACCCGAGTCATGGCATGGCGACTCACCGATTCGTGCCCCATTCCTTCACATGATCCATGGCCTCGTCCTCTGAGAACCCTATCCCCCAAATACGGTCTGTGGGAGCGGCTTCGACCAGTGTTCGGGATCCAGTGTCGAATAAGTAGCGTCGAAGATCGGCATGCTGGGCGAATTTGAGCTCGTTGCCCTTTTGCACAACTTGGTCGGCGTACTTGTCCCACTCCTTCCGGTCAAAATTCTTGACTTGTCGACCCAGCTTTTTAGCCTCATCAGGTGTGTCGGCAGCGATGATCTTGTCGCACAAGTCGGGATCGAAGAGTCTCGCCTTGTGGAACATGAACCAATGCTCGGCAGTCTTAAAGACAGTACCCGGTCTCTCTGGATCCTCGAACGCAGCGTCATACCATTGCGAGAAACAAGCACGAGAGATTGGACAGTCCTTCGTCACTTCCCAGCCGTAGAAAAAGACATATTTCAGCATGATTTGACGTTCGAGTCGTAACAGGTCAAACAGAACAGAGATACCAGCTTGCATGAGGAATTATTACATCATCTCGAAGCCCTCCACATCCAATAGGCCGCTCTCATGGGATCCTTTCGGCTCAACTCGTCATACAATGCTACAGCTGCTTCTCTATCGCCAACCTCGGCGAGATGCTCTGCTTTGAACTCCAGAGCAAAAGTCACAGGACTCTCTCCACTAGCGTATCGATTGAGCGAATCAATCACCGTGCTTTTAGAACGGTTCAGTCGTAAAAGTAATCTGTGTTCAGTGCTTCGCTTCCCAGTATGATCCCTCACCCTCTCAGATAGTTCCAAGCAGATACATTGTGGGGGATGCGATGCACAGCATCTACCGCGAAGCTGAAGACGTTCAGCTCGAGCGCTGGTGCCGGGGCTCACCTTATCTCATCCTGCCAGTACTCTTCGCTGGCTTTCTCTGGCGCACATTCAACATAGAGATACCATCTCCAGCCCCAGGCACTATTGTTCCTTCCATCGACTCTTAGAGCCTCTGTGCACCATTCTCGTTCGTCTTGCCATTGCTTGAAACTGATACGATCTTGAAAGTGGGAAAACAGCCAATGCAGATAGGCCCATGTGTGATAATTCTTAGGGTCAGGCAATAGGGCTCGATGTATGTAGTCGATCTCGCTTTGCGGATCCTTTGGAGAAATGTGGGACATGAGAAGCAACCGATGATGCCTAATGGTGTGTCAGCGAAGCCCGGCATGCTGGGTATCTCACCAGACTTGGTATGTCTTGAGATTGACGCGAGCAAACTCGTTCATGAGCTCGAGCTCGGCCTCGAGATCCTTCTGCAAGGCGAGCAGAGTCTGAAAACGATAGCCCCTGACGGCTTCAGACGACGTGACGACGGGCATTATCGGCGGTTATATCTCACCATACTGTGTAGTGGGCGGGATTCTTGCGGATTATGATTTCGGTCAATTCGAGGACTCGGTCGGACTGCTCTCCAGTAGCAGAGATTGATCGAAAGTAGTCCATTGCATCGCGGTCTTAATTGGGTCGGTCAGCTTCTGCTGCTGTGACCCCCTGAATTGCACACTCACAGTCCTCAGCGTACATGATTGGCACCAGAGGGTCGGGTCCATCCAACTGAGGCGTTGGTTCGACATCCTCCCATTGGGAACGTTGCATCATGGGGACGTAGGCTGTCTGAAGCATATCAGACTGGATGCAGTATGGAATACTCACCATAAGGTGGACCTGGTGTGTTAGAAGTGGACATGCATGAACTCGGCCTTGCCCTGCCCACAGGTCTCCAATGTCTTGACTGACACCGAAGACCGTATTGTTATAGCTAGCTGTCCTGGCACAGCGGTCTTCTCCGCCTGGATTGAAATTTCAGGTGGCAAAGTCCAAAGAGCTGGACGGTGATCATCCGATTTTGTTGTAGTCCCAATTCCGACTGATCAACCATTCAATGCTGGCCGTTCAGACACCAATCCCGGCACCCTCGCCTACAATTATTGAGCCAATATCCGCAGCTCTTCCTTCCACTGTACCCTCAAACGCGCCAGAGCATTGCCCGGTGAGTCCAGAACTGATGGGCATGACAAAGCATCCAACTCACTGAGCTTGGCAGGGAGTAGAATCCACCCAAGCAGGCAAGGCGGATGCTTGCGAAGGCTGCCCGAATCAGGCGACATGTGCAGAGGGTCCAAAAGGGCCAGATCCGGATCTGCCGATCATCAAGCAGAGGTTAGAGCAGGTTGATAGGAAGATTCTGGTACTATCTGGCAAGGGCGGAGTGGGCAAGAGTACATTCTCAGCTGGACTGTCGTGGGCTCTGTCGGCGGACGAGGACATTCAGGTGAGACTGAAAGCACAGAATCGGATCTGACAGTACAGACAGGGCTCATGGATATTGACATTTGTGGCCCCTCCATCCCTCTCTTGATGGGACTCTCCAATTCCACCATCCACACGTCATCCTCCGGCTGGTCTCCGGCTTATGCTCTTGACAATCTCGCGGTCATGTCTATTGGATTCTTACTGCCTTCTGCTAAAGATGCAGTTGTTTGGCGTGGTCCGAAGAAGAACGGTCTAATCAAACAATTTCTGAAAGATGTCGAGTGGGGACAGCTGGATTACATGGTTGTGGATACGCCGCCGGGAACCAGCGATGAGCACCTCAGCATCGTGCAATACATGAAAGAAGTTGGCATAGATGGTGCTGTGCTGGTCACAACTCCTCAAGAAGTGGCGCTGCAAGACGTGAGGAAAGAGATTGATTTCTGCCGAAAAGTTGGCATACCCATCCTAGGCCTGGTCGAAAATATGTCCGAGTTTATCTGTCCGAAATGCAACACGGCAAATGCGATCTTCGCCCCAACTACAGGTGGTGCCGCTCAACTGGGCAGGGAGCTGGACCTCGAGCTTTTGGGACGCATACCGGTAGATCCACGGATAGGTTCAACCTGCGATAAGGGACAGAGCTTTCTCGATGACTACCCTGACAGTCCTGCGGCTCAATCCTACATAGACATAGTTCAACGGATACGCGAAAAGTTGGGCGATGCCTAAATGCATAGACCACATCTCAATCGTCTTCCTTAATGGCTTCTCCTTGGCCCACTGCCTCATTGTCACCATCTCCGAGGCCTCGAAGTTGAGCCTCGATCCAACCAGGATCTGATACCATTGCTTGTGCTGTAGCACGCTGCGATATCAAATCCTCATGAGGGTGTCTGAATCCGACACGACTCTTGTCCCATAACGGTTCCTGTGTCTCGTCGCCTTCCCCTTGCCGCTACGGAGAATCAGCCAACGTTGACTTTGGAATGGCGCTCACCTTTGCCCGAGTCTTTCTGAGCTGCGCTCTCGTTCCGATCTCTTTGTAGTAGGCCCCCTGGGCTTTCGCAGGGTCCCCGGCCTCAACAATCGTGATCAAGACCTCCTTCTGAGGTCGAGTTTGGGAAACAACCTCATAGGTCCGAATTTGGTCGTAGAGAGCGCTCTAAGACCCACGGTCAGCAACGTAACCCAAGCCAGAACACTCGGCGTAGACTTGCAGGGAAGACCGAATCAATTTGCGGGTCATTGGGATCGTTCATGGTGAGCTCCTTCATCTGCTCGTATGATTCATTGCCGATTGGGTCAACGAATGAATGCTCTAATCTCGGCAGAGTGTCTTCCTCCGGCAGCAAGAACTGCATGATCTGCTGATCATCCTCCATGACGGGCCGTAGGACCGCACGATTCAAGCGAGATGAAGACGCTTCAGCGTGCGGATTCTGTCCTCATCAGCTGTGTTTCAGGCGATGACCCTCACCGCAGAGGTAGACGCTGTTGGCCTTTCAGGGTATCTCATCATTATGTACGAGTTGGACCAAGCTTCGTCTTCAGGCAGTATCTCGTATTGCTACCGTGTCAGTATGATACGCCTTCGTCACTCACCTCGACGACCCTCAGTCTGGATCTTTTCGGATCAGGATGTTTCAGTTGAGTGACGTCTTGGCTATCGAACTCTGAGAACGTCTGCTCGATCGACATGATTTGCGCTGCAGTCGAAGCGTCCACTTCCTCGCTGAGAGAAATTCATCAATGTGAATCTTCACGGGTTCACCTCACTCTTTGGCAATGGCGGTCAACGACTTGCTACCGGAGACAGCCTTCCGGGTGAACAACGCCGAGTTTCGCATCCAGGTCACGTCCGTAGATCCGGCAGCAGAGCCAGATCCGTTGATCTGAGGCTTGACGTCTTCGAAAGGAGCAATCAGAGCCAGATCCTCCGCTGCAAGGTCTTGAGTTTCAGCAAGTCCAAGCTCTGAAGAGTTGATCAGGCCCAGTGTCACATTTGCAAAAACCTACCCTCGTCGTTCCCGTTCCAGACTCTCTCATACACGTTGAGATCGACCGGCATGCCCATCTCAGAGTCAACTAGCATTGGCAGAGGAGTACTCGAGACCAAATCATCCAGGTAGCTAGGCTCGCCGAGTCGATTCACATTTGTAGAAAGGTTGAACAATTTGGGTGGAAACGGTGGCTGTGGTATGGGATTCAGATACCTGACTCGAAGCAGGAGATCCAGCCTCCTGGTATAAGGCTCAGGTCAGTGTAATGCTATCGAGCCTGTTGATCTGACCCACGATTTCTTAGACGCCATGGTGTCGCTGGTTACTAGACCTTGACCAAAACACTGACTACACGGCTTATAGACGCAATCAAGGATGCTTCGCTGGAGAATCACGTGACCACATTCACGCGCGTATCTTCCGGATGCGCCGTGACCTTCCAACATTAAATAAAATCCTTCGAGTTCAACGACATTCACTCGACGACCAGTGCACGAACAAGTCAAGCTGAGCAGATGCCTGGAAGATGCAGCAGCACGAACAGCTGCTCACCTGACCATATCATTACAGAGTGAAGCTCGCAGCACAATGCCCGGCGACATCGACCTCGCGGAGGCCTCACAGACGGCAAACGGCGGCGAGTCTGAGTATCGAAGGCTTTGCCACTTGCTCATCGAGACATGCGGGCGGCATCAGACTGGAGCGGCGTCAAATGAGAACAGGGATCGTGACGTTCGCCTCGCTCTCACGGTTATCGAACAACACGCTACGTCTCACGCTCAAAGCTCGAGTGGCTCCGTTGAATCCGTCATCAAGTGGACGATCCCTCGACTCGTGCACGCGGCCATCAACTTGACTAGATCGGGAACTTCTCAGCACCTAGCTCATGAGATTGTCAGCTGTATTGGCACTGTGATCGATACCTCGTGCTACCATGGACCTGATACGGAGCAGACCCCGGACAACAGTCAACTTAGGGTTCTCTGGATCCTCATTCACATATTCAGATTCGTTGACGGTGAGTCTGGTGACGTTGGCCATGCTGAATCAGTACACAGATGTCATCGAAGGTCGGGCTAAACTTTTATTCGGCTACAAGCTACCGAGCCAGCCTCTCACCTGTATCTTCCTCCTGCAAATGGTTGTCCAACACAGGCGGCCCTTTTCAGAGAGACTTCGCAAGTTGGCATTCAAATCAATTTCCGTCCTGGGCGAGCAGATCAAGAACGACATCCAAGCACAGAGCTCCTATATGTCAATGATCAGCTCGGCTGGCTTGAACGATGTCGGCGATATTGATCCTTGGATCATGCCTCTAATATGGCCGACCTCAAATAACGAATTGTGGATTTCTAATCAAGAGCTCCTTATCAGGAGCTTGGACACGGCACGACCTGATGTCCGGTTCACTTTATGGTCGGCACTATCGGGACGACTGCTGGATCCGCAGCAGGCGGACAAGACGGAGTGGTTCGCAATCATCCAGTTGACGACCTCGATCGAAGGGTTCCTAGAGCCTCTGGAGATCCGAGAGTATTTGGGCTCTACCAGAATCCAAGTTTGGCAGGACAAGCTAAGGCTTAGTGATCTCCCTGATAGTACACGCGCCATTCTCAATCATAATCTCTCGGCGCTCGTTACCGGCGAACGCCACGTTGGTTCTGGCAAGCGGAAACGGCCTTCCTCCGGGGATGGCTCTGAATCGCAATGGTTACTTGATGAGCTACCAGAGTTAATCGAGGACGGCGAGCGCAGCATCCAAAGCGGACCTATTGAGGCGGTCAACAAGCTGGCGAAAAAGTGCGCCCCCATACCGATGCGACTTACTGACGATTCCAAGAACCAGCGATACCGGTGTCTTGGCACGTATCTGCGCTCTTCTTCCGAGAATGATCGCAAATCATAAAGCAAGCCGACAGGATGCCAGGCCTGCGTACAGCTCTCATTTGGAACTTTGGACCATACTTGCCGCACGCTTATCGGACTTCTCACCAGGCTGGCGATTACTATGTCTGCTGATTGAAGACGCCGAGCCGGGGGAGGTCGTGTCATGGCTTTTGGGGTCAAAATCGACTCAAGATTCGATACTCACTGCGTCCGTGCAGGGCAACTGCCGGGCAATCAGAGCAGAAGCTAGGTGAGAGATACAGTGAATAAGTTCACTCACGACAGTCGAGCCGTGGCACTCATTTTTAAGGCTACTAGCGATGAGACAATTGATCTCGTTACTGCCGAGAATCTGCAGCTGCCATACTTAAAATTCATGGGAGAGCAATTGACGAGGACATCGAGTCATAAGTCTATCATACTTACCACGCTTGGGTCCATAAGTCGTCACGCGAGACCGAACGCGCTGGGATTGATCTTGGAGCTCTTGATGAGACAACTCGGATCTCCATCCTCACCGCTGAGGAGTCTGGCATACACGAACGTGGGTGAACCTGAGAGGCTGGAATCTGATTGTGCAGCTCCTCAGCATTTGCCGGCACCACAGCAAGTCGCCAATGGCACTTATATCGCCTTATTTGGAGCAGGTCAGCATCATGTTGGTCGCCAGTCTCTCTGAGGCCCCCGACACCCTGACCGAAGCTGCCTCTTTCTTAGGGCAAACAAGACAGAACTTCATTGAGACGACACTACATTACACTATTCCGGCCATGATTCTCGCCCGGAACCGCATGTGTCTCGAGCAGATGGCATCGACACTCCCGACTGGTCTTGGGGTGACCTTGCTTGAATACACGGCGCAGATATTGACAAAGATCTTCCTGTGTCCATCCAGAACAGACCAATGCCTTGCTTTTCTCGTCAACTTGGTCAGCCAGCTTGTTCATGATACGGCGACGACGCACATCGATGCCCCAAGCTTGATAACGTCTTGCATTGTGCCTCTGCTAGTCGCTTTGGTGATCGAGCTCGGTGACGAGGAAGCGGAAGTATCAAACAGCGCAGCCATGGGCTTACGCAAAGTCCGCGACGTATACCAGGTGACTCATCGGAGCTCATCCCTCGATCTCGGCACATTCCTCAAGCCTCACATGCTCGGGGTGATGACGCACCTGAACGAGACACTGCACGATGTGCGGGGCCGAAAGTCAGCAGCCTACAAGAGGAAGCTCATTCGAAGTCTCAAAACTCTGATAGAGATGGTTGGCGACTCCATCGCATCTTATTCCCCTCAGGTGAGTTCCGTCCCGAGAGGAGACGTGACCGATCATTCCATAGATCATGGCAAGCCTGCAAAGTACTCTGGCAATGCCTGAGCTGCGACAAGTAACCCTCCAAACATGGCTGGCTTTCATTCGCACGCTCCGCTACTCAGACATTGGCCCATTTGTGGGCAGGACTACCGCCACTCTGGTCGCAAACTGGGCATCTTTCGACCCCAATGATCGAGGTGTAGCCAAGGATATCGTATCGGAGATAGCGGATAACGCAAAACACCTCTCAGCATACCTGGATGACATTGTTGGCTTGGACCACATACCCGAGCTCCGTTCAGCTGGCGACAAGCTCACAGCATCCAGGAAGGGCTTGGGATTTGCCGAGCAGCTCGCCAAGCTCCTTGAGCGAGTCAGGAGCAAGAATATAGCTGTAGCCACGACATCCATCCGAGAACTCCGAGATGTTCTGTTAGATCACCCTCGAGATCGATCAGCCCTAGCTGAGGGAGACGCGTTTCATCCGTTGGTTGCTTCCACGATGCAGACTCTGCTATCAACTTCCAGCCGCGATGCCGAGTTTATGAGCTTCTGCGATATGGCTTACGAATGTCTGGGCATCGTCGGCGCACTGGATCCAGATAGGTGCGTTTCCAATTCCGACTCCGGGACGATGACGATCATGTCCAATTTCAACGATCCCGAGGAGTCCGTCGACTTTGCCATACATCTCGTCCGAGATCTATTGGTGGACGCTTTTCGTGCGACCAATGACACCAAACTTCAAGGACACTTGGCGTTCGCGATCCAGGAGTTGCTGCAATTCTGCGGGTTCAGTCCGAAATTGCTGCAGAGTGGATCCAGCGGGGGCATCTCGTTGCGCACGCGGACCCGTTGGACGAATCTCCCCAAAGATCAGCATGAAACGTTGACTCCCCTTCTGGAGTCAAGATTCACGTTGACTGATGGGACCATGCCGACCTTCTCTCATCCAATCTACGGATCAGCTCCAACGTACCGAGAGTGGCTGCAGAGGTGGACGCTTGATCTCATCGGTCAAGTTATGCAGCTGCCCCTAGATAACAGAGCCACCCGAGACAGCCAGACGATTTTCGGCGTCTTCCGAGGTGTCTTGAAGAATCAGGACGCTGCAGTAGCGCATCATATCCTGCCTCATCTGGTTCTCAATGTACTATTGTCTGGTGGGGCAGACGCTCGAGAACAGATCAGTCAGGAGATCAATGCCGTCCTCCAAGACCAAGTCAGTCAGTCTTCGGCTGGGTCGGCAGACAAGAGGACATGGAGTGCACAAGTCGTTTTCGATCTCATGGATCATCTCAGCAAGTGGCAGCGGCTACAGCGTATAGGTGAAGGCCGGAGCGAGAAGCACAGCACATATCGGGCCGTTGACGCAGTCCTATCAACTATCGAGGTCGAGCTTATGGCCAATGCTGCACTCCAGAGTAAAGCATATGCGCGGGCACTACGAGGCTTCGAGCAGCGGATTACACAATTGCGCAGAACTCGGAGAGCGAATACGGATCTTCAAACATACTTTGAAAAGCTGCATCTCGTATATGCAAATCTCAACGAGCCAGACGGCATGGAGGGAGTGTCGACTTTCGTCATCGCCCCCTCATTGGAACACCAAATCCGTGAACACGAGAGTACAGGCCGTTGGACCTCAGCACAAAGCTGCTGGGAGGTCAGACTCCAGCAGTCGCCTAACGATGTCACTTTACATCAGGGACTCCTGCATTGTCTGCGAAACCTGGGGCACTACGGTGAGAATATCTGCTGGCAATGATACCTACTAAACCTTTAGATACTTTGCGCACTCATATCCGGGGCATACTCAGTCTTCATCCCGAATGGTCAAGATCGTTAGCAACATTTGAGGCAGAGGCGGCGTGCATTACCGGCGAATGGCAAACCATCCGTCGCCTGGACTTGGATGCTCCGCCAATTGCCAGACTTCTGCTGGCTCTGCATGACAATCGCGACCTGGTCTCACCTCTTCTCGAGGCTAGGCGGAAAGTGGGCATTTCGATAACCTCGAATTCTTACCCTCGAATGTACGATCAAGTAATGGACTTGCACCTGTTGAGAGAGGTCGAGATCATCAAGCAGGCCGATACAAACCTATCAATGTCGAACACCGATGCGAACCGTCGCATCAAAGCACGAGATGCCATGTCAATTTTGACTCGTGAGCTCGGTCAAAGGTTCGAAACTTTGGCCCCATCATTTCAGGTCAGAGAGCAAGTATTGTCTATTCGACGAGCGGCATTTGGCCTTACCAAAGCTCCCGAGCTGCGGGCTGAGCTCGGCACAAGTTGGATACAAAGCTCCAAGATCGCTCGGAAATCCGGTTACGAGCAGACGGCATACAGCGCGATTCTCCAGGCTCAGCAAGCGGAAGCGCCTTACGCCTTTACTGAGAAAGCCAAGCTTCTGAGGGCACAAAGTGGTGCCTGGAAGGCGTTATTCGAACTGGAGAATATGGCCCAACCGATCCTCGAAGCCGCTACTGGGGACGACTCCGCTGGTGAAGACTATGACAGAGATAGAAATCTAGCCAAAGTCGGTCCCGCTTTCATGCTTCCTTGCAATGCTGAATCGGACAGGTGCTCCTGCTGGAGGCTCGCTGGGCTCAAGAGTCGGATCGTTTCGAAGCCAATCTTATAGTCGATCGTTACAAGGAGGCCATCAAGCTCGCACCAAAGTGAGTCAGCTGATTTATCGGGTGATGCTGACAACGGCGAAGCCTGGAGTCTCCCTATTATCACCTCGGCCATTACTATGACACTCTGCCTTCGGAAAGCCCAATCCTCATGTGAGTGACCACCATAGCCCCCGAGACCAACGCGATCAGGGCGTCCCACAATCTTCACACTTGCCACAATTACATACTGGCCCTACAACATGGCGTGAAATACATCTTTCAGACCATGCCACGTATGTTGACATTATGGCTCGACCTAGGCGAACACAAGGACCTTAAGAAGTGAGCAATTTTGACCCCTGGCCGGCCATGTGGATTGATGGCCTGAAAGACATCCGGAAATAGCAACTTCGCTGGTGAAAATCACCGCAATGATCGACAGATCCCGAAGGGAACTGGCGTCCTACCAGGTCTGTTAGCTTCTGATCTCAGGAATTGAGCTGACTTGTATCGAAGTATTTCACGGCCTATCCACAAATCGTCTCACGGATCGGGCATCCTGTCAAAGAGGTGTCTGTGGTCCTAGTGAAAATCATGTCCATGGTGCTGGAGCACTACCCTCAACAAGCTTTGTGGCCAACTATTGGAGTTATGCAATCTATACGGCCGGAAAGAAAGACCAAATGCCAAGCCGTCCTGACTCGCGCTCAGGTAAGCTACCGGACTCTTTGATCGCCTCTCCTGAATCTCACCCCGCAGCATCGTGACCATGGAGTCGCACTCATGATTCAGGAAGCTCTTCGATTAGGTAGCGCGTTGTTACGGCTCACCGAAGAGGGGACCGACAAACGCAAAGAGCTCTCCCTATCTTTGGCAGCTCAATTTCCCTATGTCAGATCGGCCGTTCCCTCCAGGATGATGGTGCCTCTGCAGGAAGCCCTCACATGTACCCTGCCTTCCACATCAGAAACTGTCAAGTCCCATAACCCATTCCCAGATAGTCCCGTGGAGATCCGAGGCGAGTGGCCCCTTTCACCTGCCCTCGTGAGGCTGACCATTGGTAGACATCGATGACAAGATTGAGGTCATGCCATCGCTGCAGAGGCCTAAGAAGCTCGTCCTCATTGGCACTGACGGCAAACGATATCCCTTTCTTTGCAAACCGCACGATGATCTGCGCAAAGACGCGCGATTGATGGATCTGAACGGCATGATAAATAAGTTGCTCAAGAGTGCCTCAGACTCTCGTCGCCGTCGTCTCTGTAAGGCCCAAGTGATGACTGTGCTGATACTCAGACATCCGGACGTATGCCGTTATGCCACTGAATGAGGAATGCGGGCTTCTACAATGGGTCAGTAATACCAAGGCACTTAAAAGCATTTTGGAACAAGGCTATCTACGGCAGGGGAAGCGAATATACGTGCGTGCTGTCGCCCGGACCGTACTGATCATCCCCAAAGAGCGCAGAGTTGGGAACGAAATTGGAAGGGAACCGCAAGAAGGGGAAGAGTGCGCAAATCAAATTCTTCAAGGAGGAAGTCCTGCGATCGTGAGTCTCGATGCTTCTCTCATGGGCTGATGTGGCGACATCAGCTTCAATCCTACGGTCTTCTATGAATGGTTCCTGTCGACCTGGCCGGAGCCCTCCGCATGGTTGGCTAGTCGCCTGTCGTACTCCAGAACCTTGGCCGTCATGTCAATGATCGGCTATGTCCTCGGGTGAGTTACGAAGACGTGCCTTATTTGGGACACTGAGATCCACACGAAGGCTTGGTGATCGACATGGTGAAAACATACTGTTCGATAGCTTGACAGGGGACACGGTACATGTGGATCTGAATTGTTTATTTGATAAGGTGAATCAGCCGCGTTGCATGACGCTCACTTCGACAGGGCAAAACCTTTGAAATTCCCGAGAAAGTGCCATTTCGTCTCACGCAGAATATGGTGGACGCTCTCGGAGTGACCGGCGTTGAAGGTGAGCAATGCTCGACGCGCGTTATTGATCTCCCTTCAGGTGTGTTCAGGAAGGCTGCGGAGATAGCGTTAGCCATCCTGCGCGACAACACAGATGCTCTCATGAGTGTTCTCGAAGCATTCGCACACGATCCTCTTGTTGAATGGTCATCGCGGTCCGTAGGTCATCACGACATCCAGATCAACTGATTTCAGGGCCGTTCAAAATCGGACAAGGATGTCGGGATCATTGCGGAGAAAAACCTGAAGCCTATCCGAGCGAAGCTCCAGGGCATCATGGACGGAGCAGTCAAAACGTCTGTTCCAAATCAAGTCGAGGCGCTCATTAAGGAGGCCACAAGCCCCTCAAATCTGGTGAGCAGCGAGTATTATTCTCCGGATACCCGTACATCCATCTGATGCAGAGCACTGATGCGATCCGCTTTCAGGGAGTCATGTACTTGGGTTGGGCGGCGTGGCTGTGAAGCTCAAACACGTGTATCCGTCGTATAGTCTACATGCATGAAGTGCTCAGAACTTGAGCTCGTGGAATCGGTCACTCTTCGAAAGGCCCCACGACGACTTCAGGTATCGGCCCAGGTTGTCGACCTTCTTGATAGCTTCCAGAACGGGACCGTCAACAGTCTGCGACTCGTCAGAACATGACGTCTTGCTTCATAGCCCGGGACACTGACCTTTTGCTCTGACTTCTTGTCCTCAGGCAGAGTCTTACTCGACTTCTCTCCCTCGCCAAAGAATTCGCCCTCTTTGGAGTTCTTTGCTGCCTTGGCCTTGGCAAAGTAAGAGTCGTTGACGGAGGAGGGGATAGAGATGGATGAAATGTCGACTTTGGTGGATGTCGCAATGACATAAGCCTGGTTGACCCTTCTAAGAGGAACACCGTTGAGCCTGACCGAGGGTCAGCTGAATGTTGCCTGGGTTTTATAGGCCGGGTACATACTTGAATGGACCAGTAACAAGCAAAAGACCGCTGTCCAGTTGCTTCAAGCAGACCACTCGCTTTCCACTGAATCGACCAGAAAGGAGAATGAGAACAGTTCCAGGAGTAATACTGGGTCGGAGAGCAGTCTTGCTGGTAGCCTTTCGGGAAACTCGGGCTTGTTTGACATCCTCCGCAGGGTAGTATTTTGAAGCTTTCCTGGTTGGGACCGATCGCTTCTGTCCGTTGCCCTTGCCTCCAACCGTCTTCTCAGTGAATTCAGGAGTCTCTGTCTTGGCAGCGACAGCAGCGGTCTTCTTGCCTAGAATGAAAACAATGAGCACGAGGTGGGCGCACACGAAGGACGTTTGACTGACCCTTGTGAAGACCTCGCTTCGCGGCGACCTGGGATCGCGAGAGTCTCCCAACGTGAGGAGAAATTGGCTTAGATCTAGCCATCTTTGAACACAATCAGCCTTGATATCGCCGGTAGATAGGGTCAATAGACTCACCTTGATGTACAAGAGAGTGTCGGGTGTAGACCTTCAATCAACTCTGCTCGCCTAGAATTCAATTAACCTCAAAACGAGAAGCTGAGCGGACGGAGCTCTGATGTCGGCGTTTTCCGGCATTTCGATCCCGTGGCACCCAGGAATTTTGCTAAACGCCGATGGCCACGATACATGAGCATTTTAGTACAACATTGCAAATTCTATTATTATTGTCCCGTGTTTTACAAGAAGTATTCTATAGCCTGCAAACCATATGTCAGCCATGCCCCGGTCAATGCGATATCAAATGTAAACTCACCTTAGCTGGCTGCTGTTGATTCGGTCCATCGCGCTGGCAGGGATGTGAGCTATGAACATTCCAGGAGCGAGTTAGAACGACTCACTTCGTTCTCTGGAGCAGCCTCGAACACATTGAAGTATCTCTTGCCCCCAGGGGAGACTTCTAGTATACTAGCCATATTACCGCACCTGTTTATCTCAAGTCAGAGGCAGTTGTCTTCTCGACGTTGCATCTTTCTTACCTGTAGCAATAATTTGGCGCGCTCCACACAGTGCTCAATTGGTCGTCGTACAGGATCGAGTATCCTTCCATACACAGCTGATGAGCCCGCAGGACGTGGTTCATGCCGTTCAAATTTAAAAACTTCTTAACAATCGAAGCGCCAAAGGTGTAACCGGCTCCTCTGACCAAAAGTTAGCCAATCAGCAGCACGGTGGAGATGTGCCAGCTTACCTTGGGCTGATAGCGAAATCCTCCTTCTCTGGATCGGGATCCGACCAGACGAGGTCCGCCATCGGACCTTCATGAGGAATTTCACGGAACCGATCGATGATCTTGACTTGATCGATATGATGTATTGATGGGCTCAGCCCGCCGTGCACACAGAAGATTGCGTCGTCGACAACAACGCTGAGTGTGAGATAGTCGAACATGTCCGTAAACGCTTGCCAGACTGCAGGCGATCCGTATTTGCGGGTGCACTCAAGATAGAAGCCATAAGTCTGAACAAGGTGATCAGCCTCAGGTCCGCATTCAAAGGTGTAGCGAGGACATCAGACATCCGTTCTCTTCGACTGCCGGCTCGCACAGGGTTCCATCGCTTAGCAGGGTACCTCAAATGCGAAGCCATGCAGTCATTGCCTCATCGGCGATCCGCCTCACAAGCCTCTTTTGAATATTCGCATCATATTGCCTCTACCGAGGGGACAAAGCAACCATCCCACTCACCTGAGTGACTGCTCTGGACTCGTGATTGCCTCGAATAAGCTGAATCCGTTCAGGGTAGCGCAGCTTTAGACAGGTTAGGAGCGATATCGTCTCCACAGAGTGAAGTCCTCGATCCACATAGTCTCCTGCATGTCACTCGTCAGCTACCTTTTACAAGTGTCTACCAGTAGCAGCAAGACCTGCCTAGGAATAGGTAATTGGTATTGGGAGCTGAGCCGCCAATTCTGAAGATCTCGACCAGATCATGAAATTGTCCATGAATATCTCCCACTACCGTGACAGGAGATGCAATGTGAATGACGTTGCTCTCCCTCATTAGGACCTCTTTCGTCTTCTCGCATATTTCACGTATAAGAGCCTCTCCCAGAAGTTGCTTGTCGCGCACTTTATCGATGCAGGCATCCAAGTCGAAAGGCGCCATTACATGGAACGATGGCCCTCTTAGGAGCCGAGTCACGATTACTAGAGACTATGCAAGACCTTGTCATCCGCTTATGGGCTTGAGACTGATCCTTGAATGCGATTTGATGTGCGGAGAGGGTTTATCGGTAGGGTATGGACAGTGGTAGTAGATCGGAAGACGTGAGGTACAGAAATCTTACGTAACTTTGGCTCGCAACGGCGTACGTCATTGGTTTGTCTGTTCTCCCCGCCCCCCTTCACGCCATTGACCCCCTTCTTTCTTTCTCAACAGCATCTCACTTCATCATCGTCGAGATCACTGGACAACTGCTCTATTCGTAGTGGACGAGCTTCCCAACTCTTGCCGGGCGCGCCAAAACTTTCAGGTCAAGGAGGATCTTGACTTGACGACCGAACAATGTAAGTCGCTCAGGGATTATTACTCTTTGCTCCTGGCACTGACATATTTGAGATAACAGGTTCAGCCATCGTCATAATGGAGATTACGAGGACTACTCTACATCTAGGACCTCCAACGTCAACCACACACCCACTCGTCCGGTTGACAAGGAGAAGACAGAAACAGAGCTGACCCAGAACATCAAAAAGGCAACCTCGGCAGAAGAGACCGCACCGAGTGGGAGATCTGGCCATTCACGATGATACTGTACTGACGAATGATTCCCTGAATCCAGAGCAGAAACACGTACGAAGTGAGTGATCCTCTACCTGAAATACATCGCTGATGAGTGATCAGAATGCATTGTCTACACATGGGATTACCATTCCTCCCTCCCCGTTTGGAATGGTCTTCGTACGCAGCCGATCCTGGCGGACGAGGTGCAAACCTTCAAGGCTTTGATCGTCGTCCACAAGTTGCTGCAGGAAGGACATCCAGTGGTGAGCCTCAAGTTCAGAGACCGCACTCTTGCTAAAAGCGTACTTTAGACGCTCAAGGAGGCTCACGCTCAGACCGGATGGGTAGAAACATGCGGCCGAACAGTTGGCGATGCCGGGAAAGGATACGGCTCCCTGATCAAAGCATACACATCCTTCATCCTTTCCAAGCTACGCTTCCACCGACATCATCCAGAGTTCAATGGACTTTTCGAATACGAAGAGTATATCAGTCTGAAAAACATTGATGATCCGAACGAAGGGTGCGTGGTTGTTATCAGTCACCGGGCTGAATACAATCTATATCTCAGCTACGAAACCATTACGGACCTCATGACTCTGCAAGACCAGATTGACTCTTTCCAAAAGCTCATCTTTGCTGCCTTCAGAGGCTCGGCAAACAACGAATGCCGTATCTCAGCTCTTGTCCCCCTGGTGAAGGAGAGTTTCGGCATCTACAAGTTTATCACCAGCATGTTGCGAGCGATGCATCGACGTGAGTCTCATGATGCGGTGCGTTGACTAATCAGCCAGGAACTGATGCCGAGGATGCCATGTCACCCCTGCGGGAGCGCTATAACGCCCAGCATTTCAACCTTCGGAGGTTTTACTATGAGTGCTCAAATCTCAAATATCTCACTGGTCTCATCAATGTTCCGAAATTAGGACAGGTAAGCGTTTGTCCCCTGCGACACGGAAAGGAGCTGAAGCTTGGACAGGAGCCACCCAATTTGATTGACAGCGGGGAAGCACCGGAGATTCCCGAGCGACCACAGGTCGAGGCCAAGCCAAACATCCCCCGATCGGAATCTCCCGCCGCTACCCAAGGCGAGATCGAGGAGCAGCGTCGTATGCTCGAGGAATACGAGCGGAAGCAGGCAGCACTCGTTGCGCAAAGAGAGAAAGAGCAGCAACGACAGCAGGATGAGAAGCGAAGGCAGGAGGCCGAGTACGCTGAACAGCAGAGATTACAGCAGGAGAGGGAGCGGCAGGCACAGGAGCAACTGCTGAGGGAGCAAATGAATCAGCAGTGGAACCAACAGCAGAATGGCGAGGTGGCTCAACTACAGCAGGACATGCTTGCCATGCGGGGCCAATATGAAAGGGATCAGATGCTTTTGGAACAGTACGATCGACGTGTCAAGTCTTTGGAGAGTGAGCTCGGTCTAATAGGCGCCAACGTCGGAGCACAGATGTCAGCCAAGGACGATCTTATCAAGCAGCTTCAGCAGCAAATCGAGGTCTGGAAGAACAAGTATGAAGCCTTGGCCAAATTATACTCCCAACTTCGAGGCGAGCACTTGGATCTGCTGAATCGCAGTAAGGGCTTCCAGCTCAAGGCAAACTCAGCCCAGGAGGCCATAGACAAGATGGAGCGCATGGAACGCGATGTCAAGGCGAAGAATCTGGAGCTTGCGGACATGATCCGGGAAAGAGACAGGGCGAGATACGATGTCGACCGCATGAAATCCGTGAGTGCCATACTAGCCTGTGATATCGGGCTGACCCATCTCGCAGAGCCACAAGGAAGAAATCGATCGTATCAAGCGCGACCTCAACTTTGCTCATGAGCGTGCTGAGGATGCTTCACGTAACAAGAGCTCGGAGGTATCCGGTATCATGTCTAAATACAATCGTCAGCTCACTGAACTTGAAGACTCTCTGCGGGTGAGCACGACGATGATTTCCGCAATACCTCTTCGACGTCCACTGATTTTGACGTGTAGTCCAAGCAAGTTCACATTGACGATCTCCTCGCCAAGATCGATGCCAAAGACGCCGAACTGGCAAGAATGGTAGAGGAAAAGGAACAGGAGTTACTCATAATGCAGGAAGGCATGGATTCGACGCTGAAAGAGCTCAGCGACTTGAAGATTGTCAGTACCTGTTCAAGCTGTTGCTGACCTGCAGAGTCAAGGCGACACAAGTCAAGCATTCGACGCCCAGGTTGACACATTAATCCTCGATCACCGCAAAGAGCTCAACGCGATCATCGATTCCATACTCCAAGCATGCGTTCAGAAGGTCGACGACGCGATGTATGAGCTGGAGGCCCCTATGCAGACAGGAAATACGACCGCCACGCCTGAGTACACCCTTTCGATGATTGAAAAAGCCATGACCAACGCTACTGAGTTTGCATCGACCTTCAACCTCTTCCTGGGAAGGAAAAAGGGCGGCGGTCACGTAGATGTCATCAAAGCCGCCAACGAATTTGCCCAATCTCTCTCGGAAACTTTGCTGAGCTCGAAGGGGATCACCCGTCTGGCCAACAGCGACGACGCTTCGGAGAAGCTGGTGCGAATCGCAAAAGTAACGGGGGAGACTGGTCAGCGCTTCTTCCTCAACCTGCAGTCCTTCCGACTGTTGGCCGGCGGCAAGACGGAGGACGTCGCCTTGCGCTTAAATGCAGAAGCCCGTGGCGCACTGACGAAGCTTGCCGAAGTTGTGGAAAGTCTTGTTCCCAAGTCCAAATCCAATCTCACGGCCGCCAACGGGGACATTGGGGATCTCGTCAATCAGGAAATGCAGAATGCCGCTAGGGCTATCGAGGCTGCTACTCAGAGACTACAGACACTGATGGCGAGACCAAAGGGGCCGAAGTACAATGCTCTCGAAGTCAACGTGCACGACGCCATACTAGAGGCCACAATGGTCATCACGAATGCTATTGGACGGCTCATTCAGGCTGCGACAGAGAGTCAGGAGGAGATTGTCCGCGAAGGCAAGGGTTCGAGCACGACACAGCAATTTTACAAGCGCAACAACCGTTGGACGGAAGGCCTCATTTCCGCGGCAAAAGCCGTCGCCTACGCTACCGGGTTGCTCATCGAAAGCGCGGACGGGGTCATTTCTGGGACTCATTCGCTGGAGCAGCTCATTGTGGCCTCCAATGAGGTGTCTGCAGCGACAGCGCAACTGGTGGCAGCATCGCGAGTAAAAGCTTCTCTTATGTCGAACACTCAGCAGAGGCTCGAAATCGCATCGAAAGCGGTCACTGACGCTTGCAAAGCCTTGGTCAAACAGGTCAAGACCATCACCTCGCAACAAGTGGATGATGATCACGTAGACTACAAATCAATGCCCTCACACGAGTTCAAGGTGCGGGAAATGGAACAGCAGGTGGAGATCTTGAAATTGGAGAAGGAGCTTGGGGCAGCAAGGAGACGACTGGGAGAAATGCGCAGGGCAGGTTATCATCAGGACGCAGACTAAGATCGAATCTGAGTGTGACATAATTGCAAACGTCTGTAGTTCTGGTACAACTGGTGATGGGGTCATGTCGAAATGCCAAGGAGATTCCGCACCTGTTCCCGTACCCTTCGATCGAACTCAAGGCGATTGTCGCGGAACAGTTTGCAGCACTATTCCTTTGGTGAGCATGGTCGGCGCGTTGAGGACTGCTATTCACCTCGACATCTGCGCCGCTCTCGACATTAGGCTCTGCCAGCATGCTCAAAACACTGAGAAGGACACTCCTGACTCCCTGAACCGGTGACCACCTTTCAGAAGCGCTTTCGTAGCGAAGAGGATCGTCCCCAGGAGGATGCAGGATGCTGATGCAGACCTCTCCGTTTCTATACACTTTTCCGTCAGAAGGGGCGGGATGGTGCAGCTTACCATTTGGATGCAATATAGGTGGATCAAAAGTCATCTTGAAGGGATTAAGCGGGTAGTCAGGAGGCTTCACCGAATGATCAGTACCCATGATACAAGGACCCGGATTGTAAAAGATCTCACGAATACGAGTCTGGCGGCGAAGATACCACCTTCCTGCCAGTGAGTCCAGAAATCGAAGGCCAGGACTCACGTATGGTGTGCCCTCAGGTCCCTGAATGAGAGCCTCCCATTCGAGCATATTGTCCTCAGAGATGGGACCGGCTGTAATCGAGTCCTGCAACGGGTCTGCTGTGAGATCGCGGTATTCCTTCATCAGACTGCGGCACATCAGACAAATCTGCACCATGTTTATTTCATGCCCATACCGTCTAGTTGCTGTCGACGAAGCCGCCCTGGAATTTGATGCGAACATGGTTTGGACCCAGTCGAAGAATTGAGAAGCACTTGCTTCTACGTGAATAAGACAATGGAAACGTCCTGAAATTGATTACGCTATCTGAATTTTGCTCATTAAGTCATTTGTGCATGCTGAAGTCTCTCCATTCATTACAAGCCACCCTAGCCTCGACTGGGAGACAATCTCTCTACAGGTATAATCCAGCAGGCTAGAGTACATCATTAGTTCTATCCGGTAGACCCAGAAATGCTCTTACCGTGTTCTCGTCTTTGCGGTACAACACTTTTTCCCTCGCCGAGTTGAAATCCTGATGAAGAAGTTCGAACGCATGCCTGGCGTCGGTGCGAGAAGGGCTCACCTGTTTAGTCACGCGCATGCGGCGTTCCCGCAATGCCAGTAGGCCTGCCTCGGCTACGTTCGACAAGTCAATTGTCATTGCTCACATAGGCGCAGAACTCACTGCAGACAGCTTTGATGTCGGCACCAGAAAGATCGTCCTTCGTCATAACGAGCTCTTCGAGATCCACGTCCTCGGCCAGGGACATTCGAGACGTGTGCAGTTTGAAGATATGCCTCTTCGTCTTTGTGTCGGGTAAAGGGAATTCTAACAGGTGTTAATGGCAGGCCGGGAACATCTGTGTGACTCACCGATTTTGCGGTCGATCCGGCCGGGTCGAATTAGAGCTGGGTCAAGTGATTCGATCTGTACGATGTCAGCGCTGCAGGTCGTAGATCTTGTGACGAAGGAGCGTACACGATTGGTCGCCATGATGACTTTTACATCCCCTCTCGTATCGAATCCATCCAACTGGTTGAGAAGCTCAAGCATGGTTCTTTGGATTTCTCGCTGGCCGCTCGAAGAAGAGTCGTATCTTTTCGTTCCGACGGCGTCAATTTCGTCAATGAAGACGATGGAGGGTGCATTCTCCTCAGCCACTCGGAAAAGTTCTCGTACCAGCTTGGGACCATCACCGAGGTACTTTTGAATGAGCTCAGACCCAACAATACGCAGAAAAGTTGCCGAAGTCTGATTGGCCACAGCCTTCGCCAAGAGAGTCTTGCCTGTTCCTGGAACTCCGTATAGAATGACGCCCTTGGGTGGTCGAATTCCCATTTCCTCATAGAGCTCCGGATGAGTGAGAGGTAGCTCGACAGATTCCTTGATCTCTTGTATTTGCGTCTCCAAACCACCGATATCTGCATAGCTCTCTGTTGGAGCTTTGTCCAGCTTCATCACCGAGACCATAGGATCGGTGTCGTCTGCCAGTACGCCGACGATCGAGTGGGTCTTGTGGTGCACCAGCACTGAACAACCAGGTTCCAGCATGTCCTTGTCCACGAATGACATGATTCCGACATAGTATTCCGATCCGTTACTGATGGAAACGATTGCGTGATCGTCATCGATGATCTCCTCCAGTGATCCTACCCCCATTGGCGAGCCTTTGAGATCGTCGACTTTGGATCGGTCGGCGGCAGTTCGATCTTCACCGGCAGTCGAGGCCTGGTTTGACACGAATTCCTCTTCCATTAGGAGATAGTCTTTGATACGCTCCATTTTGAGCATTTTCAATTTGCATCGTGTAGTCGGAAAGACGGGAGGGAGTTTCGAGGAGGCGTCTGGACCTCGGCGCTTTTTCTTGCCTACACGGGTGGGCACAGGAGGCTCCCATTTGGGCGCATCAGGCTGGAGATGGATGTTAGCAAGCAGAAAAAGAGGATATGCCCACTTTCTTGTTATCTTTGCTCTCCCTGTCGCCAGCTCCACGCCTTGGACCAGCACCGCTTGATGGCCCTTGACCCTACGCAAAGATTTATAGTCAGCATACGTCAATCATATTGGCCGCTATCTAGACATACCATATTGCCGTGTGTGAGTAAGGTTAGGATGACGGCGAACTCGATTGAATCAACGAGATGACTGGCAGTACGCGCGTGTGGTGACCGTGGGAGAGCAACTCACGTGTGCCGAGCGATCTTTTGTTGTTGCCACCAAATATAATTCATCTTTGCTATTATACTCGTCTTCTGAGCTCGAGCATTGGGATGCCACACAGCTTGCACCATGTTCGTCCTCAAGTCTCGTGAGTTTCAAGGCATGTGAAGCTTGGGAGAAGCTGATCAGCTCAGTCCTGGGAAAGATGTGGGGTGAGCCGAATCATTCCGCTTGATACGCGACTTCTCTCATTGGTTGCAGGAAACCCTGCGAATCCTGAACTTATCCAAATACCTGCGGGACAGCTTTATCTGGTGCGACCAAATAGTATCAAGGGGTCCAGGGAGTGCATGTGAGCCGGTGTCTGAGGGACCTGGCTGATATGCGACAGCTTCCCAGATGCAGTGGCTACCATTAGACGCACCGGCGTCGACTTCCAATATCAGCTCGTTGTGACCCGCGCCTATGACGAAGGGGAGGAGCAGCTTCTAGAGGAGGATGCTGAGAGTAGGTTCGCGCTTATTGACCTTTGAGTTCTTGCGCCTGACGACCATCAGCGGATGACGAGCGGGTGTTCCTCCTGGATGAATCCTTGGGATTCCGCTTCGGATCGCTGGAGGGACACTCCACATGCTCCTGGAGCGATCTTAGCGGTGACGAGGGAGATTTGTGGGAGTTTGTCAGCGCTCAGGTGAGCTCAAGGATAGAGACTTGCTGACGAGAAGACTGTGCCGAAGCCAACAAACAGCTTGTTTGAAATGACACTTCTGAATTGCATATACGAGAGGGTGGGTCTCCTTCGGAACTACTGCGGCTCAATCCGGCACAGAAGCACAATCAGTCACACGAGAATGCGTCTGAAGAAGACCTTGCTGCGCTGAAGTTTCAATCGGAATCTGCAAATCTGGCTGCAACAGACAGTCCTGCTGTCAACGAGGATACATTCAAGGACGTCCCAGTGCTCGCCACAACCTCTGCCGAGCTATACATGTTCGATACTGTCAGTGACATGTTCGTCATCCAGGAGAAGGAAGTTGTGATAGAGATCGCTCTGAATGGACCATTCGAGAGTGAGTTCACTCCTGGTTACATACGCTCAATTGGACAGCCTGGGTTGTCGTCCGTAACAATTCGACGCCCTTCATCACACTCCCAATCGACGACGATATGAATGCTCGATTCGACATGGTAAGCCTGTGCAAGGCCTGTAACGTCTGATGCCTAGGATAATCGAGCCTTCATGTTCACCTTCCGCGCGACTGAGGATCTTCCGGCGATGACGTGGTGTCTTCGATTCGACCTCGACTCTTTCCCGACTTGGAAAGAACAGTTCACGATCTACATGTGGGAAGCTAAGAACCGGTCAACGTATTCGAAAATAAAACCCGACGAGCAGAGATACATCCAGGAAGCCTACGAGGATGTGGAAATGGGTGAAGCGGATGATGACATCAACGGAGAAGCAGAGGAAGACGATCAATCTGACGGGGACACTTCCGTGGCCGCTTTGACGGACAGTGAAGACGATGACCCTTCATTGCGTGGTCTCGCTCAGGGTTCAAAAAACCAGCACTTGACCGTCGGCTACAAAGACGATTTATCGTATGTAACAAGGGGCGACATGATCGGTGTCTTCGCGCAGAAGGACAATCGAATGCGATTCAAGACTACAATAGATCGCGTTAGAGATCTGCAGGGCAACACTCTGACACCGAAAAAGGCAAGCGGCACCGCCATACGACGCTGATCTCAGGTCATGCTGCACAATCAAGATACGGAAATGCTCTTGCTGGATGCTGACCACCAACATTCCGTCATGAGAATGGATCTGGAGTACGGCAAAATCGTTGATGAGTGGAAAGTGTCCGATGACGTGCCCGTGTCGAACATCATACCGGAGTAAGCGATGGCTTCCTCCGCGTCGAAGCTGATATCTGCAGGTCAAAATATGCTCAAATGGATCCGCAACAAACCTTTATCGGACACTGTGAGTGGGCACTTCCGATGGCGCTGAGACCATGCGAAAGCGCACAATGGGATCTTCCGAATCGACCCCAGAGTCTCTGGTAATAAATTGGTACAAAGCCAATTCAAGCAATATGCCACGAAGAACGACTTCTCCACGGCGGCAACGACAGACTCCGGTAAATTGGTCGTGGCCAGCAACAAGGGTGATATCAGGCTTTTCGATCAGATTGGGAAGAACGCAAAGGTCGGTTCAATGCAGGAGTCAATAGCTCATCGCCAGACCGCGCTGCCTCCTCTCGGCGATCCAATAATCGGAGTCGATGTCACTGCTGACGGTCGTTGGCTCGTGGCGACCTGCAAAACATACCTGTTGCTCATTGACCTCTTGATCGGTGATGGTCGTTACAAGGGATCTCTTGGTTTCGACAGGAGCTTCCCTGCTGACAGCAAGCCTGTACCGAAACGCTTGGGCTTGAAGCCTGAGCATGCCGCTTACATGAAGGACGCTGTTTCGTTCACACCGGCTAGGTAAGTTACCTCATCCAGCTTAGAATAACAGAAAGGTTCAACACTGGGTTGAACGAATCTGAGAAGACAATTGTCACGTCTACCGGGAATTATGTGATAACATGTGAGGCGATTTCGTGGGACGTAGGCAGAAGACTTATGTGCCTCCAGGGAATTTCCGTCGCGTGAGACAGGGACGTACGGATGACTACCAGATAAAAGTAGGTCGCCCTGGCGCATCGCTCGCTTACCCAAAGCAATACGACTCGAGAGTGGTGGCCGATGATTTCAAGTACGGAGCGGACAAAGAGATTGTGGTCGCACTTGAGCATGATGTCACGATGACTAGCAAACGCGACCTTGCCAAGGTGAGCATACTTTACGCGGACCGGCACCGGGCTGAGGTCGGTACAGCCAAATCGTGCCTCACTCGCCCCTAGGATAACGTTGGATCCCGCGCTCTCCAGGAATCGGATCACCAAATCCTCCTTATCGAAATCTGTAATCAGGGAGGCTTTTTGATGCCGAATAGGGTGTGGCTCAATGTTCACGTCCGTATGACATTTTCCAATCCCCCTGCCGTTGCGCAGGCAGCCAGGATTGATCGGACATGTATTTACTGTACAGTAAGATCGTGAATCTGCCTCCGAAGTGGCAGTCTATGAACGAGCGTCTGGGTCAAAAATACGCCTTTTGCCGGATTTCCAGGCCCGGGTAGGCGGTTCTGGCTAAAGAAACACGACCTTAACAGAGACGCGACCCTGACCTGGAACGGGGGTCCTGCCTTGCACTCGACATCCTCTTTGAATCGTTGCCAAACGCGAGTTATTACCATATTTCACCCCACATCGGCCCCCGAAGGATCAGTCAGGCAATAGTTGCGCGGTCGCGCAATCCTGATGGTGATGAAGTTATACATTGGAGCCTTTTATTTCAGGATCGACTACTCTCAGCCACATTTCGTTTGCCCGAGGGCTGTGCTTAAAGATCGTGACACTTGCAGTGAAGAAATGGGAATTGGACCGCCAGGGGTAGATGAAGGAAAATGTACAGCAGCACATCAGATAGTGGACCTGTTCAACCATGACCAAGTCGCAGAATGTGGCATGACCAATATGTTACGATACGCTCATCATACGTATCCCACTCATCCTTGATGTGTGATACACACAAAGATACACACACACACACACACACACACACACACACACACACACACACACACACACACACACACACACACACACACACACACACACACACACACACAGCCTTTTATATATTTGCTATGCTTGCCCAGCGCGCACTTGCACGCAGATCCAAACGCTCCCCAATATTTCTGAAGTAGGAAAAGAAGATCTTTGTGCAACTTACACGCAGATCCCAGATAGATTTTTCCCAGTGTGCAACTTACATGCAGATCCCAGATAGATCTTTTCCCACCGTTCAACTTGCACGCAGATCTTATAGTGTCTACATAGTGGGTTCATAGGACCTCAAGAACTATGGAGGTGGTCTGTAGTCTTTCTTTTCTCCTCAGAAAACGACTCTCAGCTTTGTTACAATTGTCAGAACGCCACAAGGTCATAACTCCGAAGTACCGATATCTCGCCTTAACTTCAATGGCTTGTCAAGATATTTGCCGGGGTTTGCCTTCACTTTCCTATCTAATCAAAAAGCTCGGCAAGAAAAGCAGAGTGGATCACCGAAAGACAGGATCTTGGCATGAGTATTGATTGACAGGTGAAGGATCGGCGAAGGATATATATAGCAGCCGCAGATGGCCTTAGATAGACCAGCGATACAAGATTGAAGTTCAATACTACTAGATCTTGCATCCCATTGCCGCATTTGCCTCCAGTCGCCTTAGCTCACCTACAGTTGCCTTTGATAGCCTTGAGTTCGCCAAACTACGCCTCAACTACGTTTTGCAGCCAACCTCTCTCTGGTCCTTCAACACTAGCCTCAGTCTTACTTTTATTTGCGTATCCTTGCCAAACATTGTCAACCCTTGCCCTTTATTGCCTCATCTCGCCAACACCCGTCAAGATTAATCCTATTCTGCATTCCTCAGCCAACGAAATCTGACAACAATCCCTTTCAACTTCTTCACCACTTCACCTCATCAACCTCATTGCATCTCAATCACTATCACTCCCAAATATTCTTGCAATCGTACTTTGCACCCAGCTGCAAGACCCAGCCATCCGTACACCGAAGCTATCCCTTTCTATTAAGGTGCGCTTATTACAAACGGCACTTACCCCTCTTCTCTTTGGTAAGCCCCGCCCGTAACACAATACTTGGCGGAGCTTTCACTCGACAAGGCGTATTTAGAGATATTACTCCAGTGCTCAAGGAAGCGACAACGCACTAAGTAAGGGATTATTAGCGGACACTTCGTGAAGAATCTCCCCGAATACAGTGGTCTCAATTCGTGGCTTTGTAGACCAGCCCAGGGAACGATATTTTCATTATTCTCACTTTCGACTCACAGACGTGCGCCACCTTCCGCTCACGGTCACAATGCTTGCCGCTTGCACTTCAATACTCGATGTCGAAATTGCGCCTTAACCACATAAAAGCGTTCCGATAATTGTTACGGATGACACTCTCTGGGACGTCAATGACACTCAAAAGAAAGTTGCTCAGAGGTCAATCCTGAATTTAGGAGAAGGACAAGCGTGACGAGAGTTGAGGGACTATAGAGGGGTATGGCCGCGGCCGAGCTACAAAAGGAGAGCTGTCTTAGTGAGGGCCTCACCAAGAGTTTGTCGGGCAGAAACGCAACGTACAACTGCTCGAGTCGTGAAGAAATCCTGTGTCTGACTTCTTGTCATGATACTGCACAATCCATGGTCGAGCGGAGATGGCGGGCATGACCGAGGGTCAATGACCAAGGGTGGCTGGACAAGAATGCTCCGGTTACTTGACAGGATTTAATATATGTCAGATTTCGTTGGCTGAGGAATGAGGAATAGGATAATTCTTGACGAAGGCAGGCGAGACGAGGCTAGAGTTGCTGATATTGGGCGAGAAGACTCGAAAAAAGGTAGGACAAAGGCTAGTGTCAAAGGACCAGAGAGAGGTTGGCTGCGAAAGGTAATCGAGGCGTAGTTTGGCGAACTCAAGGCTATCAAAGGCAACTGGAGGCGAGCTAAGGCGACTGAAGGCAAAGGGCGGCAATGGGATGCAAGATCTAGTAGTATTGAACTTCAATCTTGGATCGCTGGTCTATCTAAGGCTATCTGCGGCTGCTATATATATCCTTCGCCGATCCTTCACCTTGTTGAATTTGAGCGCTGGATGCTCAATATTGACTGAGTTGCATATAGGTCAAATATGCAGAGAATAAAGTAGGATAGAGAAGAGAGGTTGAAGGCTAGGCTAAATAAATTGAGACGCGTCTAGATTACGTAATTTCCGACACTCCCCCTCAAGCTCTCTTTGGGATAAGTCCAATTCCCTTACAGAGTCGTCCGAATGTATCTCTTGGTAAATACTTGGTGAGTAAATCTGCCAAGTTATTTTCAGTTGGTATATGTTGTAGAGATACTGTTCCATCTTCCACTTTCTCCCTGATGAAGTGGTGTCGTAATGCAATGTGTTTGGTCCGATCATGGTGTACTGGATTTTTAGCAAGTGCTACTGTTCCAGCATTGTCATTGTAAATTTGTAGAGGTTTGTTGCCAAGCCCAAGACCAACATTATCAAGGAAGGTTCGGATCCAGATGGCTTGTCTTGAGGCATCGGATGACGCCATGTACTCTGCTTCAGTTGTCAAAAGAGCAACAGTAGGTTGTCTGCGTGATTTCCAGGCAACTGCTCCGCCAAATACTTTGAATAAATAGCCAGTTGTTGAACGGCGTGTTTCCATGTCTCCACCCCAATCTGCATCTGCAAAGGCAATTGACTGAGGTTGATCATTGAAGGTAAGACATAGGTCGACCGTTCCTTTGATGTATCGCAGTAAGTGTTTTGCTGCTGACCAATGGGATTCATTCCATTTGCTGATATAGGCGGATAGGACACTTGCAGCATGTGCAAGGTCAGGACGTGATACTGTTGCGCCATAAAGAACAGAGCCAACCACTTGAGCATATGGATGATGTTTGGCAAGGGCAAACTCCTCGTCGGTTGCTTTGACCGGTTTGAAGTTTGCTGGTAATGGAGTAGATACTGCATTGCAATCCATCATGCCAAAGCGATCCAACATGTCTGTGAAGTAATGTTGTTGACCAAGTTGAAGTACTTTGTTGGCACGGTCACGGTAGATGTTGGATCCAAGGAAGTATGAGACTGGTCCAGAATCTTTGCACTCAAACTCTGAGTTGAGGCGGAGTTTGAAGTCATTGAGAACAGAGCGTTGATCACAAGCAATGAGTTGATCATCCACATGTACAGAGAGCATGAGGAAGTGACCATTCTGACGTCTTGTATAGACACATGGGTCTGCACTTGTTGGTACAAGACCTTGAGATTGAAGCCATTTGTCAAGTCGTTTGTTGAAGCATCTTGGAGATTGTTTCAAACCATAGAGAGATTTCCTAAGTAAAAGGACCTTGTTTGCGGCAATGTTGCTACCTTCTGGTGGATTGAGGTAAATGGTTTCCTCCAAGTCCCCATTGAGGAAAGCAGCAGTGATATCCACTTGGTCGCATTCCAGGTTCAAATGGTTGACAACAGATAGGAAAATGCGGTTTGAAGCCTTGTGTGCAACTGAGGCGTATAATTCGTTGAAGTCTAATCCTTCAACTTGACTGAAGCCTTTTGCTACCCATCTGGCTTTGTAAGTTGATGGCAGACCAGTTTGACCATCAATCTTGCGGGTGAACACCCAGCGTGCACCAATCACACGCATGTTTGGTTGACGGTTCACAACAGTCCAAACATTGTACTTGTCCATTTTTGCAAGTTCATCATTGATGGCAGATTGCCATTGCTCCCCCTCGCTTGAATTCCTAGCTTGTTGATATGAGTTGGGGATACTTAAAGAGTTGGTAGCGGTGGCCAGATGTCCATACAATAGTATTTCATCATCAGAATCACCATCTTGTGTAATTGGTGCGTCTAGAATGATGTTCCTCCTAGGGCGATCATTGTTTTGCAAATTTTGCAAATCTAAATTAGACATTTGGTCGTCATCCAGTGGGTCGATTGACTCCATATTTGTATCAGAGGTAGATGATGGTGT